CAGAATATAGCAAGACAGTATAAGATATGTCGTAAAATCAATGTTTCTGGCTTGAATATTAACTGCATGTAACCTTAAGTGAATGCAAGAGATAGAGATATAAACTAGAAGCCATTATATAGGCCATGGTTTGCATCAATGTATTTACTCGTGTGCGTGTCTATTTTATGTGCAACTACAAGATCATGAGGTATAGTGCATGATGTTTTGTATCTGTTCATATTTTGATATAAATCATGTTTTTTCATAAATACATACACAATATTATAGGTTCAATTACAAAATATAGTAAGGCAAGATATAATCGTATATTTACAATGTTTGCTGAGAAATCAGAAACGTAATTACATTCAAATAATTTTACAACCCCAGACCGAATAGTGACCCTATATAGTTATCATTTTACAATGTTAATTCCGAAAGCCGCAATTGACCGGATTTTAAGAGCCGAAGATGATTTCAATCAGGACAAGATAGAATTAAGAAATGGAAGAAAGAACCTATGGGATTATGTCTGCCATTTGTGGCTGTGATTTGTGTTAGTGTGCATGGCTTTTTAGCCATTTCTTATGTGAAATATGGGTATAACAATTGCGATATATGTTTAGTTTTAACAGGCAAATTATCAACCTAAACCTTAGCGCAGTCCTAAGCGCAAGCGAGCATTCCTAAGCGCAAAACCGATTCAAATATATAACCGAATTTAAGAAACGTTTGCTCACATGCATCATGCATTAGCTATGTTCCTGGTGGCCAGAACTTAGTTAACTGAATTTAAAACTTAATTTAACTTAAGTTCGTTAACTAAATTAGTTAACTTCGTTAAGTTAATCATGCACAGACTAACCCCTGCATGCACATTTTTTGACCACCAGGCTACTCTAACCTGTCGATGCTCGGGCATCGCTGATGCGTTGCTGTTTGGCGTCGATTTGGCGTAGTTATGGCGTCGAATTGGCCTACATTAGGCGTAGAGTGCCGTCGAGGTTGCCTACATTAGGCGTAGAGTGCCGTCGAGGTTGCCTACATTAGGCGTAGAGTGCCGTCGAGGTTGCCTACATTAGGCGTAGAGTGCCGTCGAGGTTTCCTACATTAGGCGTAGAGTGCCGTCGAGGTTGCCTACATTAGGCGTAGAGTGCCGTCGAGGTTGCCTACATTAGGCGTAGAGTGCCGTCGAGGTTGCCTACATTAGGCGTAGATTTGCCGTCGAGGTTGCCTACATTAGGCGTAGATTTGCCGTCGAGGTTGCCTACATTAGGCGTAGATTTGCCGTCGAAGTTGCCCTACATTATAGGCGTGGATTTGCCGTCGTTTTGGCTATTACTCATCAACCTGAAATAAGATTACAGAAATAAGCAAACTATATTTCTTATTGAGAAACACGCGTAAAATCGGGATTTTAAAAACAGCAACGTCTATAAAACCCCTCTGGGATTTCAAATATTTCCTTTCTTGCCATTATTAATATTCATATTCAATTATCATGCGGCCGTTGTCGTTCTTGACTTGAATCATAAACTCCCTATTGTTCGGTTTATCTAAAATGTTTAATTGCTTAATACTCACGTTTTATTATGAACAGGTTTTGTCGTCGTTTCAAATAGCTTGACCCGCTAAATCGCTACCTGCAATAAAACCAAAGGAATGCTTGTTATAGACAGCGATTTCAAGGATTTACCTTCGATAAAGGGAGCTTAAATATCGGGAGAAAACGTGCGGTGACTATTCAGTCGAGAGAACGCATGATGCCTGATCAAGCGTTTCAAGTTTTCCCATCCTATTTTGAATAGAATAGACCCAAAATTACCTGTTCATTTTAGCAACAAGTGTTGAAGAGCAGCTTTGGACTTGCCGTCTCTTTAAATGCGAGTCATCTCCGGGAATTTCAGCAATGGGTTTTCTTTCCCAGCTTATTTCTATATTCGGTTTGGTTTTAGCTTTTAAACTCCACCTGAAAGAACAAAAGGCAATGTTAGTTTACTGGTTGGTCTTTAGAACTCAATTCAAAGGTAATTGCTTGCGATTGGAGCAAAGGTTAGCGGCTCACACAAGATTTAGCGTATATTACCTTTCTCATATCATCAACAAGTCCCAAGAAAATGCGCAGACGTGCTCTCATTCAAGACGAGTTATCTTGGGCCATTACAGCCACAATTCATCGCGTTGAATTCGAGTCGTCTCGGGTAATTTCAGCTACGGTAACGGACTTCTTGCCCACTTCAATTCATTCATTCAGTTTGGTTTTAAGCTCTCGAACTCCAGACCTGGAAGAATAAAAGGCACCATTAGTTCCCTGCTTAGATCTTTAGAACTCAATCTAAACGTAATTTGTGCGCGATTAGAGCGAAGGTTAGCGGCTCAACGGTAAGATTTAGCGTATATTACCTTTCTCTTATCATCAACAAGTCCCCAGAAAAAGCCTAGACGTGCTTTCTCTTCAAAGGCGAGTTATCTTGAGCCAGTTCAGCAACCATTCATCGGTCGCCAATCTCTTGTTCACAATTTTTTACGGTTTAGCTTCGCTTTAATTCGTCAAAATTCTGCATGAAAAGAATAAAAAGCAACGTTAGTTTTATACACGTTTGTATTTGAAGCTGAACACAACACGAACACTACGAGAAAGGCATTACAAGACGTGAACTAAAGACACGTGGAACCTCTGCCCAAAAGCTCACGATGAAACAAGCTGATAAAACACGCAAAGGGAAAGGCATATTACCTGGTATTACACCAACGACAGTATGTCAGAGATAGTAAGCTTCTAATAAGCTTCTCTTCTGCTGAAGACGATAGCAATCTGATAGAAATTTCTGTTGAAATTTTCTTGGCATGGTGGAGACTCATCTTTATTCTTCGAAGACCAGCGCTGAAGTGATGTCTCAGACTGGAATCAAAAGCACATATTCATTTCACCCGCTCCTCGTGTCTTCAAAATAAAGTCATCCTATTGGCTGAACACTCCCGGCCTGACAGCTCAACAACGCTTCTGATTGGATGTTCATAGTAATTTAAATAATGTGATTAATTCTCTTCTCCGGAGCCAGGACATCAGAAAAGAAAGGAAAGAATTAATCATATTATTCAAATTACTATGCTCGTCCAATCAGAAGCGTTGTTGAGCTGTCAGGCCGGGAGTGTTAATCCAATAGGATGACTCTATTTTGCAACACGAGGAGCGGGTGAAATAAATATCTAGCTTTCTAGCTTTGATTCTACGTTGCCACATTGCTTGGGCGCTGATTTTCAAAAACAAAACCTTTTGAAATTACCGAATTCTTGCATATACGAAGCATATTGCTTGAGATTTTGGAATAAAAGATCAACCTATAATGCAATATATTTGATAACCATTCGCCGACGATTAAAAATAAGCTTGTAAATTTTAGTTTTAAATGTACTCAGCATGAAGGCAAGGTTTTAAAGTAGTGTCCGGGCCCCAACCGCAGCGGCTCGTTATTAAGGTGGCACCTTGTTTACCGGCCAGAAGCATTTTGCAAACAACAATCCAGTTAATCCTACGATTCCGGGTTCCCTACTATAGTTTTAACTAAGCGTGTATATAAACTATCAACTATCGACAATATCGCCTCTTTTGACCTCTCCTTCCTCAAAACGGTCGCGGTGATCTGACTACAAACCCTTGCGAAACATCATTCCATTGTGACGTCATAAATGCGATCATTAGCATACTCGGCGCAAAGCAAGTGCCTAATCAACGTCCATGCCCAAGCACGCACATGTTTCAAGCGCTTGAGGTACTTTCTTCACGACTGGTTAACCTTGTTCGTAGTTTATGCATTATGGTCTACTCTTCCAGAACACCCTGGATTTCTCAAAACAAACAATTGTAAGTAGTTCTTGCACCAAGATGACTTCGCATCAAAAAAGAGCAACTGTCAAAAAACTTCTCGGCATTTCAACCCGCAGAGCAATGGCCTTCATATGAACACACTAACTCTCCTAATGAAAGCCTTTAGGTCGAAGCGCCGAGATGTTTCTGTCTACTTTAGGCAGTTGTAAACAGATCATCCTTGCTGTAAAACTAATACTGCCTATGGCTTGATTATAATTCAGTGAACATCCAACATCCCACCAGCAAGGCTTGCGAAGAAGCAAACGAATAAGAGGATGGAAAAATACGAACAGAAATCCAAACGATGAAGGATTTAACGCGTACTTTCAAAGGGTGTTTGATAACGCGGAGTATGAAAGAAAGGACCAGGTACAGATGGAGGATGTTTTTTGTGCGTGCGAGATATAAGAGTATAGGTAAATTAAGGTGGATTGCTTGCAGTAAATCTACTAGAAATCTAGAAAAATACTTTCCTTTACCAGGACGAGATAAAATTAAACCAAGCAAAAATTCCAAACGTACATCATCAGACGAGGCAACATAGTGTACCAAAGGAGAGTAAAATATCAATAAATGAAATTAAGGTGAGGTTTAGGTCTTTAAGATAGCATCAGCTGGTTCCCAAGGCAGAGTGTTCGTATATGGTTATATCCCAGGCTTCAAGACTGGCCGTCCATTTCAACAAGCTATGCATGACATTTTCTTAATGTTTAAACGTTTAAGGTTCAGTTACAGCATAAGAATAGACGAAAACTTCACCGCAGTACATCACAGATATTGGGCTTTGAAAAACGGGGCAAAATACCAAAGGTGAGCGTGTCGTGCATGGATAAGCGAGTATTTCAGTCACAATCATTCGCAATAGGAAGAGTTTTACTTTGGCTTTGTAGAGGAATTGATTACACTTTTCATGCAGGGAACTTAGTGTTGATCATGTAAGCTCTTTCCTGAGGTTATTTGCATTAAGTTCTGGTCATGACAAGCAAGGTCTCTAGCTAGTTCACTCACTACCTTGAAATCACCTCAACAGTTTAATCTAACCGCACGATTGTCACGTTCATAGGTTATTTTAAGACGAGCTAAGAAGCAAAGAGAAGAGTTAAATCCAGAGCTGTTCGCAGAAAATTCAAGACCACTTAGGGTAAAAAGTTTTTTTATTTCATTCATTATAAATCAGATTCAATTTCATTGAGCAATTTCTATTTTACATTTGATTCATTAAATCCAAAATCTCGCAGGTTGCACCTTGCTGTAGCAATCACTTTGTAAAAGTTTCATACTTCTTTATGGGCGTCCACAAAGCATGTGGGCCCCCGTCCTCCATTTGTCCCCCGTGCCCTATCCTGATAGGCCTGACCCTGGATCGTGAGTAGATGTGCTTCACTGACCAAGCACAAACAGTTTTGATAGTCTTGTACTTGAATACGTATAAATGCCACTCAATATTCAAGTCAAACAAAGTTCAAATTTCCTGGTTCCAACATCAGCCGTTGAACATGTTATCCACTCTCACTCCTAATTATCCCCTCTCAACAGCTTACAAGGTCTTCGGCGTGTCTTTTGAACCAGTCCCACGCAGCTGGAAAGGAGAATGTAGCGTCGTCATCAAAGAAGGGAATTGGAGCAAAAATAACAAAGAATTCAGGGAGAAGCGAAACAAGGGTGTTTTAAAGGAACCAAAGTTCGATATTCAGCGAACGAGGTCAGGACGACTGGTCAAAAAAACGTACAGACTCTGTTCTTAAAAATGTGAAATGCAAACACAAAAATATTGAATGACATCATCAATAAAAGAAACGCAAAACGAAATTAGAGCGTTTTATTTCTGAGAAGTTTAAGTTCTTTTGGAGTTTGGAAAATAAGAAGAGTATTCGGCACGTCATCTTCAGAAGGGGCAAAGTTACGAGTAGATTACGACTACGACTTTTGAATACTAAGGAGAATGCTTACCTAATCGGTGATCTTTATCCAAGCAAAGATCTCTTTCATCACCTTCGTATGATCGACGAATTTGCTCTTGACCTAAATTTCAATATGAAAATAACTTACATTAAATCGTTCGCAACGGGCTGTTATGCGTTTTCGATCATATTTCGAAATAGTGCAATCTAGTAAACAAACAAGCGAAGTGTTCCTAACACTGACAGAAGATTGCTTCAAACGTTACCTATGCATGCTTCCCATTTGCTTCACTTTCTTCATCAAAGTTGTTTGCTCTGAAAGGAAACATAAATTTTCAGGAAAGCACGGATATTAAACTGCTGTCTTTTAGTGCTATGTTAAGCCTATTCTACAACAGACTGAGCAACAGTTGGTACACGCTTGAGAGCCAGAGTCTTCTCCAATAACGCACACAAGCTAATTCTTCTTAAAACCTAATTTCTCCACTATGGTCGACAGTAATCTAAACACTCAGCCAGCCACTGAGAGTGAGCTTACTGTATATAACAAAACAGCGACTACCAGAGACTTACAAACAAAGAACTCGATATGAAAATCAGCCAGCTAGGAAACAGTTCGACACATACAGACAACATATTCAAATAAAATCAACCAACATACTTGGTTTCCTAGCTGATACGATAGGTACTCTTGATGATGACGTCATTGCTGACGTGCTTGATGACGTAGACGATACTCTGGCGGGGCGAATGATGGATGGTGGTGCGATCACAAAACCACGCCCAGTGCCATGTTTCACCTGCCTCCGTCTCACCTGAGGGGGAGCCTTCGCTTGTGTGTGCACGTACGCCAATTTTACTTGTCGAACTGAAAAAAATGAATTGAAATTGAAAAAGAGTTCATCGCCTAAGTCTGTACCTGGATTAGCCAAGAGTCAGCGTCAAACTGGGATGCTCTTCCCAGGAAAACTACTCCACGTTTTGAAATAACAAACCTTGTTGTTTTGCGGCTTGTGAAGCCTTGATTTTCGCGTCAATTGACTTCAATTTCTTCTCTCGTCCTTCGTGTTTTTCCTGCCAGTACAAACGTATAGAAAGTCACATCAGAAACTCGCAGAAAGTGAGACGAAATGAGGCACATTTACCCCGGAGTAACTGACATGCAAATGGCCAGTGAAAACTCACCAAATACAATGCACGCCAGTCGTCATGTTTCATTGTGGAGGTTTCCTTAAAATCTCGTTGACAATGAACCTTCCATAACGGACCAGTGTCCTCTGTGAAATACTGAAAATATACGTGGAGAAAATATTCAAACATACCATTCATTGGAACGACCCTGGACTATTTTTTTATTACCCAGGTCGAGTATACCATATTCCAGTATATTTTCTTACCACCAAGGTCAAGTATATACCATATTTCGGGTATTATACTTTGGGTATAATTTTTGAAAATTCAGGTCAAGTCACTGAACCAACCTACCGGGTTATATTCTTCCAAATTCCACAATTGGGCCGGAGAACATCTAAAGAAAGGAGTGATTTATGTTAAAATATGAAAACCTTCTGTAAATTTGGCAATATTTCCTTCTTACTTGGCTAAAACTGGCTCCAAAATGTCAAATGGAACCCCGCCAGTATCAAACAGCGCTAGAAAATATAAAAAAATAACCGTCAAATTCATTGGATTTATTAAGATACTGAATTAGTCTAAATATAAAACTGGATTAGGAAGAATAAAGGTGATATAGATAATAGAAGGCTCCGTACATTACCTTCGACATTTTCGATTAAAATCTTGATACAAATCTCGTGCAACGAAACGACGACTGAAAGAGAATTGAAGTTGAAAAATCAGGGCAAAAAAAAGACAAGTCGGTTGCCAGTTTGATAGAAGTGGAAAGTGTGGTGTCTACAAACCTCCTGATCTGTTCGCTGTCCGTCTTCCAGAGAAGACTTGAGTCCTTGACTTTCTTGACGAAAGCAAGTCCGCAGGAATGTCTGTAGAAACGGCTGCAAATAAAAGATCTAACAGCTGTAACATCAACCTGTTTCCCCTCAATGATCCAGTGTAACTCCAGGAGAAAATTGAATGCATATAACTCTATCAGTTTTAAAATACCTTTTCGTTTGCGTGGCGAGGAGTCGTCTAAATAGTCCGGAAATCTTTGGGGAATGTAATTAGGTTGAATATCAGGCAGTAATGATGCGCCAATCTCTTCAGCGCTCGGCAAGGTAGGACTCGCAGGTTTTGCCAGCATTAACTCTGAATGTTTAGTCTTGAGTTTTTTCTTCGGACTGGAGACACGAGTTTCAGAAACGAAGCCAAGATCGCAGAGTTGCATCGTGCCTGTCTAGGAGGGAATATCGATGGAAGTATGGAAGTATTGAGCTTTGCACCATGGCAGTTTACAACACGCTACATTGCATTAAAAACCTGCTCAGTTTCCCCTCAGCCAGGATAACAAGGAAGCAGACGGTGGCGGGGTGTAACAATAACCATAATAAGCAATAACTAATATATCCTCTAAAATTACTCAACGCTAAATCCCCTCCCACAACTGATCTAGTAATAGATTCCCATACGCACAATATAAGATGCTTAAATTCTTATCCGTGATTCCTGGATATCAAAGACGCGCGAATTTGGTTGATTCAAAGAGTTTTTTCTTGCACACTTCTCACTTCGCGTTGCTTACGTGACCAGTGACACCACGTGACTCCCTGTGACACTCTCTCAAACACCCACCCCTTGGAGCGTCACGTATTTTGTGAAACGGAACGAAATTCTACAAAACGCAACGCAATAAAGCGCGACTAGAATTACAGCATAGAGCAATTACCTTTTGCTTTTTAACCGATTTATTTTCATGATGATCCGATCTTTTATCATCCTTCACCAATTTCTCTTTCTGTTTTACTTTCATCTCTTTTTTTGGGCTATTTTGTGAGTGTTTTGTTGGTGTTGTTGTGACATTGCAATGTTCTGTTTTAAAATCTGATTGTAGGGTATTCAATGGCGAGCCTTTTTTAAGTGGGCTACAATTTTCAACTGGAACCAAACTCTTCCATTTCTTGACTAAAGCTTTCGACAAAAGGGCAATGCTTCCTCCTCGTTTCCTCAAGTTATTTACAGATTTTCCTATGCCAGTAGACTAGAGAAGCAAGTTAGATGTCTTTGAAGCAGTGAAAATCTTCAGAGAAATATCAGCTAATTTAATTAAATTGCCAATTGATATCTCATATTATATGTCATAAAAAATAAATACCTTTAGTATTTCAAATCCAATGACTATTTCATCTAAAGCTCTTAAATATTTTAAAATCTAAAAAATAAATAACAATTAATTTAAATGACTAAAATTTTACCAGCTTATATTGCAAAAAATGAACCACTGCACGATTTTACAAATGAGGTGTTCAGTGTTGGCTAGGTTCATCGGTACTATTTGTCAAGAAAATGGCTACAATTTTGTTGTCATGGGTTTTGGAAGTGAGAATCAAGTGGGAAAAAATGATGGATGCAACTGAACAGGTTAAGAAGAGGCTAGCTAACCACATTAACAATACTTTCATTACCAAGCAGTCTTCAAATCATGCATTGATATTTAAACACATTCTGATATATTTCAAAATATCTTCACACATGGTTTGGGCACAGACGAAGGAGGGAGATTCGAGGATGTGGGACCAATCATCCACAATATTGTATTATTTGCCAAATCATAAAACGGATCATTTTACTTGTATGTAACACAAATATAAATTACGTTGTTCAATTAGGTCGTAGGAAAAAAAATATACACTTCCATATATAAGTGCTCGTATTGGCTCGACAATATACAACAGTCGCATGCCGGGTGGGCAAAAGAATGAATGGCTTGTCTGCTCTGATAATTTATTAATTATCAACTGTATATGGTGGGCAAACAGACTTTTCACTCATCAAGACAAACAAACTAAGAGTTTGTCTGTAATATTCATCGTCAGACGTACAACTATGCCTTTCAAACCCCAGTTCGTTCCCAGAAGGACGAATTAGTTATAGTACAAACCGAACTAGGGCTGAACTAAAATCTCTCATATGTACAAAAGCATACAACAAGAATTCAATTAAATTTTTGATAAATTCGAATGCCTCGAAATGTAAACAACAACAAATTAGAAAATTTCTACAGACAATAATTAAAATCAGAACGAAATTTTGCAACATTTCCACACTGACCTTATCTTCGTCTAAGGAATCACTGTCCAATTTCTTCTTAACTTTCATAATCGTCGCCTCTCCTCCGTCCATGTTTGTGGCAAAAGAGAACAAAGGCAAAATTGGAGCAGGTTTGAGTACAAATTTTGATTGTAACGAGCTTTATACTGTCGACAAAAATTATCTTTATTCTTTCTGACTCGTTGTTTATAACTTCCTGTAGACGACTTCCGGAAATGAACACTTCCGTGCATTAGCACATTGTGCGCTACCTTGCGCCTTAAATTTAGCGCGGATGTGATTATAAACAAAAAAGTACTAAAATAGCTCATAGAATTTAATACAATTTAAGCATAACGATTTCACCCTCACAATTTCTTTGGACATATTTGTTTTACATAACATCACTCTGTGTTTGAAATTGCATTAAAAGATTTGGCAAGTTTTACTTAATAGCCTTCCTATTTCAACCTTACATATTCGTCCATTGCTGTTTGTAACCCGAATGGCGTTTTGGGACAGTTTATATGAATGTACACTAGGGATCTAAGGTTAGCATTCCTTTTAGAAACGACTAGGTTTATACTTTAATGAGTCCCACACGAGGCTGGATTGATTTTTTATGGTCAGTAATCTATACTTCATAAATTTTTCAAAAATGCAGGGTCGATATCAGCGAGTTTGGCGGAATAAAACGACAGTAGAGCCAGCATGACCTCACGGATGTTGGCAAAATCGATGACCTGAAAAGGTAATAAAATAAATCTCAAACGTGGTGGTCCAGTGTAGGTGGTATTCTACAATAAGTTGTCGTGGTTTGTGTCTGAACTATCTGAGAAAGATATCTCAAACGTGGTGGTCCAGTGTATGTAGTATTCTACAATAAGCTGTCGTGGTTTGTGTCTGAACTACCAGAAAAAGATAGCTAACAATTAGCCATTGTGGTTAATATTTTCTTACTATTTCTTCAACTGGACCAGTTTCGGGTTTCAGCATTAAAGTAAGTTTAGTTCTTCCGTCGTCAGATGAGCCTCGGAGCTGTGAGAACTTGTGGTTCCAAAGCAGCGTCTGGAAAATGTTCAAGAAAAACTTTCAGCAAGCATGTTCACATGTCTCAATTCCAGTTCGCTTAAAAACTATTTTCATTTGCCCTCAAACACAAGATTAATACTGAAAGTTTTCGGCTACAAAGATCAGAGAATGTCCTTCAGGTACCTTGTCATCACCAGTGTATAATTTTAAACCTTCTTCGATATCCAAATGAAGTTTGACTCTTGTTCCCTTCCATGATCCAGGATATATTTTTACCTTCAATGTCTCGACGGCGGAGCGAACTGAGTTTATTATTTTCGTCGTCCAATCCAACAAGTCTCCGTGCGTATCTGTAAACAACAACTTATCAATTGTCTGCAAGGTGAACAAAATATTGCAAGTGCAAAGTTGACGTACCAACTGCAAAATAGTGCTTCTTCTTTTGAGTGTCAGAGATGGTAAAACAGTGCCTTCGTTTGTCGAGAAGATCATCTTGCTGGATAATGTTATGATAAAGATGGATAGCAAGGGAATGTTAGGATCATCTTGCTGGATAATGTGATGATAAAGATGGATAGCAAGGGAAAGTTAGGATCATCTTGCTGGATAATGTCATGATAAAGATGGATAGCAAGGGAAAGTTAGGATCATCTTGCTGGATAATGTGATGATAAAGATGGATAGCAAGGGAAAGTTTGGATCATTAGCCAGGTTTCACTAACCTTACAAACATTATGTTCAATCTCGATTAACGGATACGCAAATTCATGTCTAGACCAATCCCGCACTGAACTCTAAAACCACGCAAAGGAGCTGATAAGTTTACTCGAGTTTCACACAAGGCAAAAACGAGCCACAAAATTATCTTTCTTACAGGCGCTCGGTCAAACAATAACATCCTTGTTCCTTTGATCGCCAACATTTTTCTAAACCATGTTTGTCTCTGTCCTCGCTGATAACGACGTTCCCACACCCAGTTCATGAATACAATCTAAAACCATTTAAGAAATAAAACCAAACCTAACTAACCGATTTATACTGGCTATAGCTCAATCATTTCTAAACTGTTCTTCCTAGAGGCCCAGTAAGGATCATCTCTTATTGATCCAGTGTTACTACAGGAGGAAACCTAAACTAAACTAACTTTATTTATACTGGATAGTTCTATCAGTTCTGAACTGTTCTTCCTAAAGGTCCAGTAAGGATCATCATCTCGTATTGATCCAGTGTTACTACAGGAGGAAAATTGAATTCTTATTCTTAGAACAAAATCTCACTTGTTCGTCTTCAGAAAGAGCGGAATTTAACGATCTTATCTATAGGGAAATAAAACAACAATAAATCAGGGTCTCGTACAGGTAACTATTGTATTAAAGTTTACCAAACACAAGGACATACCATTTGGCGCGCTGAGATAATGATGTTATTCTTAACAGCTTTATACCAGACTGTAAGATCCTCGGGTTGGTTGCTAAACAATGTTACCGCTACCTTCTCATCCTTCGAGACCACTTCAAAACCATCTCTGAGAAAAACAGACAAAAATTCATTCCGAATTTCCCAGTCGTATGTGAGACATAATTAGAAAATTGAAGAAGGTATCATAAGGTATCATAAAATGCCAAAAACCAGTTGTGTTCAGGTCAGAGGAATTAGGAGTATTATGGTCTTTGAAGTTGTTTTTTTAAGAGTAATTATGTGAATTTTAGCTTCATTTTACAGGCTTTGTTAGTCTTAAACTTTGAGAGTCCTTATTCGTTCATATAGTGGATTTAAGTCAACATATTTGTGGATAATATTTGGATAATATCTGAAAATCTGCGAAAGCTAAATGCTCGCAAAGTGAAGGCGTTCTTGATAGAATAATAGCGAAAACGACAGAGCAGGAATCTTTTATTCCACCTTAAAGTATCTTCGCCTGTCTTGTATTGTGATAACGATGCCATGTCGAGAGGGATTGTGATTTCTTCAGCAGCGACCTCGCTCATGGATGACGAAGAACGGTTGGAAGACGTTTCTGGAGACTACGTTGAAAACATGAAAAACATTTAGGTTGTGCTTTGCAGTTCACACGGGGCATTTGGGTATGACGAATGGCCAGAATTTCATAGAAAATGACGTACTTTGTCAGAGGATTCGATTTCACTTGTGACTGATGAATCCTGCGATTCTTCTTTTCCTGAAAGTGTTTAGTGAAAATTCATGGAAATAGATCTGTTTCTTACCATTATTTTGACTACTTTGTCATATATATGAGCATGAAGTTTTAGAACGTAAATATTGTCTCAGATTCAAATTTAACAACAAACAGCATCTATTTGGTCAAAAAATACTTAGGAATAACTTAGAACTCACCAACCGAGGCTGCTTGTCTGAGATATGGAGTCACTAAAATATCAGAAAAAGACAACATTTAAAACATCTGATAATGATTCAAAATACGTATCTGACTGACTACCATTTGTATCATTATCAATTGCTTGTCATAAATTATATACCTGATTTTAAATGCTTTACAACTAGGGTCACACAATCTCCACCATTTTTCAATGCTTCCACCTTGAAGAAAATGCGGTTGGTTGATATTTACATAACAGAAATTGGCAAGGGATGATCAATGATCTTGCATCAAATGATATGGGATATCATCTCAGAGTGGCAGAGCTGCACAGATCTAGACCTACTCCTTGTTCAGACTAAATTTCTAATTTTCAAATTCTCCCATGACTGAGAGGGGATGCTATGAGGGGGGGGGACTGCCATGTCTTGCACAGAGCTACAAGCTATATTTTTAACACATACATGTCAACACATTTGGGTTGGCTATGCCCCTGGATAATGCAAGTAACTTAAACCTACCACATCATCATGTGTTGCATTTCGCATATCTCTTCCATCAACCTGATTGGTATAGACCGAATAATCAAAATACAGAACACACCTAAGAAATTTGAAGGATGGGGCAGTCCCTCACCTTGTGGGGAAAGGGTGATGGGCTATGATGTATGTATAAAACATACTTGAAGGTTTTCTTTAGGTAGTCCAGTTTCCACCCACTCTAATATAATAATCCTTTGGAATGTCTAACAGTGGGGGCACAGTAATTTAATAGTGGAAAGTGAAAAAAAAAAGCATTATTGGGACTTATACCTTCAAAATTATATCCCCAATGTTTAATTGTCCACACTTGTCAGCTTAATTGAACAATTTAGAGAAATAGACTTTAGGATTGGACATCTAAACAAGGCTTTTAAGCCATGAAGCCATAATTATCACACCTGCTTGACCTTTGTATATTTTAGAGATAAGCACAGGGATTTTGTTCTCTGAACCACCCTAAAATGGAAATAATAAATTTTTTTTTTGTCAATTTTCAATGCTGCACTGAATTTTCATCATACGCAGACTCCTGCACTCAATCAATGCTGAATTGGTATGCCAAGTTTTTTAATAATCAGAATCCTAAACTCTAAGAAACCTTGAATCTCCCCTGCAAGAACCATCAAGCTAATGACAACAAAAAACAGGATCAAATCCTGGTGATGATTTTCTATCTGCATATGCAAGGTTTTCACAGTTCATGCATGTGTTTTCACATAAGAATAGATTGACTAAACATACCTTTACACTTATTCCAAGACCACTGGACTCTCGTTTCAAAAGAACTGTTCTTTCCTACGCATATCAAATGAATTTAAATTGTGTTATACCAGAAGGACCTGTGCTCAAAATTAGACACTGCTAAGCAAGGCAAAACTTAATTGTATGTATTTAGTGTGAGATGCGCAAAAGCATTGCAGTCAAGTGCTCTGAATAGTGAATAGTAATGCACAAGTCTGTCTAAATGGACAATATATTGAAGCTTGACAGTCAGAAAAATAGGCAAACCTTCTCAACTGGATCCTTGTTGGAAGATGAGGATGTACCCTGGATTAATCAAAAGTGACACCATATGTATTTTATGATAAGAATTTAATATGGTAGTCAGTACTCATGGGCAAGCTGTTATGGTATAGGCATCTCTGACTCAGAGGTTTAAATTGATTTCTGTAATATGCAGTTGTCTGATTATAATTTCACTTCCGTTGCATTTGAAAGAATGTTTCCAGTTTGGCTCTACCAAACACAGTGGTATCTTTCATCTCTGTGAATGAGGTTTGATTCCTGCATTATATTCAGTGGTCTTCTAATTACACCTCAGTCACATATGAAAAGATTTAAAACTGCACATTTGCAACCAAAAAATAGCAGATCCATACTATGAATTCTAGATCATTCTATATCAACTCAAACCAATAAGGAATTGACCTTATTTCTATCAACATGCCAACTACAGTTGTTAAACATCTAATAATAACATTCTTGTTATGCAAATCCAAGGCTGGAGCATGGAGACTAATTGAACAGGACTTGAGGCATCTGTGACCAATTTACTTAAATCATTATCCATCCTACATAATTTACCAACAACCATTATAATTCTTGGCAAAAGCCATAGAAAACTGGCTGCAAACCAAATAACAGAAGACTTCAAGTAATTTAACATTCAATTGCTATGTCAGTAAATAATGGTATTTCTATCTTATCTGATTTTAAAACCAAAAATAATTAGCATGTTGAGCATGATACTTCCTTTATTAGCTTATAGACCTCGCCAGGAGGTCAACAGTTGCTAGGTTAATAACACATCTTCATTTTAACACAATGCATGTTGGTTTATATAGAATTTTATGTGTTTTGTTTTGGGGTAGAATCAGAATATTCCTATGTATTCATTGATGAAACCCAAATAGTTGTGAAAAATGCAACTTTTGTTCTTCTAAGGCAAGAGTCAAATGGTACATATTGGGTGATTCTTGATTCTCAAGCAATGCTTTTGCAGTGCTCTTTTGAGTTTTAAAGTCCACCTGCCCGCATCTTTAAAACACAACCCCCTAGTTTCTGGCTGGTTACTAGTTGCTGGTTACTTTTAGTATCTTACTTTGTCCATTTACAGATGATTTGAATGAATGGAAGAGTACTGTCAGTAATGGGTTAATATAAGTATCTGTCAGTGATTCTGGTTACCATAAGCTTTTGATGCAGCCAGATATGATACAATAATTCAGTTTTGTACTCTGACTAACACCAGATGGTTTTGCTTGCTTTTGATGGAACAACTTGGAATTCCATCGTTTTCGTATTTCATGCCTCAAATTTATTGAAATGAAATAAGATTTTGTCCTCGATAGTACATCGCAACTAGGGCGATTTTAGGTAATCCGCCTCCACAAAATAAAAATAACCTCTAGAATAGATCGCCCCGAAATTTGAGCGCAAATTGTACTTTACGATTGATTATTGATTAAAACAACACCTTCCTACGATGAGACGGATTTGTAAACAAAGTACAAGATAATAGGACTAATGCAATTAATGCAAAAATCCCCGTCGTATTTATAAACCGAAGACTTAAGATTATACTGCACACACGCTGCTGGTTTCACAAAAAAGCATAAAAATTAAACGATAAACATACATTTTTTAAAGGGCGACTTGTGCTTTTACGGCCAGCTTCGCGTCTTACAATCAGTTCGTCGTTGTGCAGCTCTACTCGAACCTGTTCAAAATCATTTGAACTTCCACTCTCCAGCATCAACATATAGCCGAGACGGGACTGAAAGAAGGAGAGAACAGACGGTAAACGGCAAAAAAGAACCGCAAAGTATGTCAAACATCAACACATACAAGACATGTTAACACTGATTGACCTACCTCGGCCATTATTTTGAAACTTATCAGGAACTTTAAAAGGCCCTTCGGGACATCTCGGCAAATATAGCACGTGTTTAAATACAATATCTACTTGAGATGAATTTGAATTTTTGATTTAATGCTTCAAATTCATGCAGAATATAGCGATAATGGTGACAGATAATTGTATATATTCCAGACTGCTCGCGTGTCAAACACTTTTAATATTTACCAGGTTTGTATCTCACTGCTGTGACGTGATTGGCTTATAGGCGGGGTATATGGTCGATATAACACCCCGCCAAATTAAAAATAATTTTAATTAAATCGATAATTGGTAGCGGCTTTGAGCAATTTTGAACGCCTTTCACTATGAAAGTGTGAAAATTAAAGTCTAAATAAGCTACCCGTTGAACTTTCATTTTCAAATTATATAATCTTTCACTCACATTCAATCACTTTTAACCAACCTATTTCATTTTATTTCAAAACTTAATTTTTCATTTCAAATTGACTGAAATCTGTCACAATTAAGGAAACAAAGATTCTTTGAAACAAACAAAGTACTTCCTGGAAAGTATATGTGAAGTACTTAATCATTGCTTATGTAAACGTTTCAAAGTGTTTACAACAATTTCAAATCATTTGCATAGTATGTTTTTAAAAAATCAAAGCAACAAGTTGTAGTTCTTGCCCAACAAATGAATAAAAACATACAAGATATTGAAAATATATAAATTTTTAATGCGAATGTATTTTATACAAAATAGCAGCAATCTTACATGTGTTTTCAGAAAGCAATATGTTGTAAATAATTTTTGAATGAGGTATATACAAAATATTATATTTGGTAGGAAAAAATAATATTTATATAGAGTAATTATAGATCAAGTCTTTGTCAGAATGTCAATGGATTATCTCGTCAGATTCCCCACCAAATTGCATAATTTCTTATCCCATTTTCTATTTCACCCAATTGTTAAATTAACTATTCTATTCCAGTTCATAATTTTTAGTCAAAACATCCTGGTTTTTTGTACTATGTTCCCCTTTTCCCCAACAAAACCAAGAAATTTTGAATGGTTCTTTTAGATCTAATCCTTTCCCAAATACTACTTGCTATCTCATTCATCCATTCATTCAGGCCTGATGTCACCTGCTGGTGCGTGGTGAACTACTGTCTGTTCTGCTGGGGGAAAACATTTTATCAAAGAACGGGTGGTCCAAAGCCTCCGCAGCTGTTATTCTATTCTCAGGTTTATATTCCAACATACACTCCAGAAGGTCGAAGAATGATCTGTGAGATTCATCCTTGCTTGAAGCATATTTCTAAAACAAACAAGAAGTTTAACAAAATCAGATTAAATCATCACCTAGAGATGAATTTGGTTATGCTCTACATCGGTACTTTACTCAGTCTGGTAGCAAATGATTTTACTCATCAGTAGACAAATACATCTAGTTATTGAGTCACAACACCTCACCTCTCAATTGCATTGGCAAGGTAATCTTATTTTTAAAGTTAGTTTACATGAATTACTCACCCGTAATGGTTTGCAGTTGTCCCTAACGTATTTTCCATCGCTGTTTCTCTCATCCCAGTCTAGTCTTCCATTGCTGAAATACTTCGTTTTTCTACAAATATACAACACACTCATAACCACAGGAATCACTAACTTCATCGTAATAAATATCTCTGACCCACAGGACTCAAAGAATATACCTTGATTTCCAACACATTGATGAGGGCAGTCGTCCCAAAATTCTTTCCATCATAGCAAGATGTTCCTTGTTTTCATGCGTCTAAAATATAATCAAAATGACAGAAATTAGAAAGAGATGTAACATGGACAGCTTTATCAGTTCTAAAAATTTTATCCAAGTTCTTAGACCCCAGTACAATATTTCTACCTGAAACAGGGTAAATCCAGTGTATAACTCAAACATGATACATCCAATGCTCCAAATATCACATGGGTAGCTCCATCCCAGTTCTAAGAAGACATACAAAGAGATAAATCATTGTTCCACACTCTCTCTGGTACTGAAAAACACCGATGATACTCACCAAGGACAACCTCGGGTGCTCGATAGTGTCGAGTCGAAACGGTCCTGCTATGGTGCTCATCTTCATATGTCGCTGAACCGAAGTCAATAACTTTGATATCAGTTTTACGGACAATTCTATCTTGTGTGTTCTGAAAATAATTTTAGATTTTGTATACAAGATTTTAAATAATTAGATACCCCATTTCCTTTTAATTACTAGAACTCTACTTTTTAGTTTTTTTCTGCCAAAGGCACAACTAATCTTGTCACAATTTCACAGGAGAAATACAGGATAGCTCTAAACTGTTCTGTTCAAAGGTCATCATTCATCTCTTATTGCTAAGACCAGCATCTCAATTACCATTTGCTCGTTGTAGTAAAGATCATACGAGGAATCGACAAATAACATGTTCTCCGGCTTCAGATCAGTGTGACATAGCGACATTCCATGAAGAACTATGTACAGTAAGAAAATCATAAATCTTAAGAAAATTCCTAGAAATATACAAGAGAACAGAGGAACAAGTTTCTGATCTCACATCTTATTGCTCCAGTTAACTGGTAGGAAATATGTCGCACTTGATCCAAAGGATATCCTTGGTACTTGTTATCTTTCTATATAACCAGAGAAACAAAGATTTTTTGACAATTTTGTAAATCGAAGCATTAACAGATGGTCGTACCAATACCTACCATAAATTCAAAAACACTGAGACCCAATCTTTCAAATATCAGACACACATGACCATGGTAATCAAACCAATCCACCAGCATGATACACAAACTGTAAGAAATACCATCCAGTTTAATTTTAAGCATTAGGTGTACTAGTAATATATCATAGATCCAAGTTTGTAAAAGACAAAAAAACTCACTTCTTGTCGTTAGATTTGTTCTGACGGATCTTTTCCAGAACCTTAATTTCAATCTTTGCAGCCTCCCTAAAAGACAGTCAGTTATATAAACAGGTTTTACCCACAACTATTGTTCCATCCATCCATTATGTTTCTGGCAACAAAAATGTATATCACAATCAAATCATTACCTGTAGCGATCAACATTCTTTATAACCTTCACAGCAACATTTTGCCTCCTAATACTATACCAATTAAAGAACAATTAGAACTTGTCAAATCACAAATTAGAACACATAGTGTTTTAGCATTTTTATAAACATTTCCAAGCAAAACCAACCTGTCATAACACTCTAAGCACTTGGCAAATGTGCCCTCACCTAACATGCCACGGATCTCATCTAAATAACAGAAAGAATCAAGTTAAATCTATTGCGAAAATCCAATAAAATTGCCTTCTAAAAATTGAATGAAAACCAAGCTGTTGTAGGCATGCATGCCAACGAAATGCACAATGTTCTCCAAGTCAATATATGACACATACAACTGACAATCACAAGTAAAAGTGCTTAGCAGTGCTGGAGCTTTTCCAAGAGAAAGATATTTATATCTGTGTAGTGATATTTCACTTCAAAGTCACATTTAGTTTTTCTAATATTGGAAGCCTTTTGGGAAAATGTTTGCAAACTCTATAATCTTTCTTTATATTTGTAGTTTGCTTGTGGAGTTTGTAAAAAGGAGCCTAGACAACATATGACAACAGTCATGAATAAAGCTGAAAATGCATATATTATATGGTTTTTACTTCCATATTATTGTTCATGTTATCATGAAGAACTTGCTGTGAAAATGTCAGACAGTGATCATAAAAATTCAGGTTAGTATCTTGCATCTTCTTGTAGTGGCAAGAACATCTGCCAACTAAATCTTCAAAGGTAATTTTCATCTCATTTTAATGTCAACAGACATCAGAAAACTGCAGAACGCTGTGTTTCAACCGCATCTCAAACTGACCTCAGGCTTTGTTTGAGAAAACCATTTGCAAAGACTGCTCAATTTCGGGATAATAATGATATTACGATTCACAACAGCAAATCAGATGTTTTGATATTCTGAGCTAAAAGGCATTCATTGACATTGTGACAAAGTCCTTTGGGCTCAAAATATGAAGTGATTCATTTCATTCTTTCAGGGAACTTAAAGTCATTATCATTATTATGACCAAAACAAGCACTAGCAAAAGGCAACTCAAAACTATGTAAAGTTACCACCAAGCAAAGAGAGTATTGAAAGAACTTAATACATCTTGAATGCAACCAATCGCCAGGCTTGTACTTTAGGTGGCCATCTTGATCATCTTGTACGGTTTCGTATGTCTCATCTTTCTTCTCGTTCTTTCTTCCTCTCCGCTTCTCCCTCTGAGGTTTTCAACGGTTTTGCGAAAACGGCCAACATTTCGGTAGCAATCATGCGATCGAATTTCATTCACGTCCATTTGATCGAAACAATTTGAGTGTCGAATTCAATTCAGCATTTCATTCAGATTTTTCAGATATAGAAAGATAGCAAATACACACAGCAGCGCATGTAAGTTTTTTCCTCCCAATGTGCGAGATTATAGTATTCATACTTTCCTACACATTCTACTCGATTAATGCTTGCGAATCCACTCTTTTAAGCACACACATTTAACATGCCCAACATTTGGGTCATTTTAATAATTGCAATTTTATTATTGTGCACCTACCTTGTGGTCTCAATATGGTTAATATGGTACCATACATTGGACATGTTAAATGCAAATGGTCCAAATAAATTATATTTATCAAAAGTGAACATAGTTTGCTGACAACAAACCAATTTTTACGTTTCTGGTTTACTTTCTGGCTATCCAAACTCATTCATGCAAATACTAAGCCAACCGTAGGTACTATAATTTTCACTGACCGTTTTTGAATGCAACATTGTTTTAAACCAGAAATCTCACAAAAATTTTAAAAAGCACTACATTTGCCGATAAAATGACTTCAAAGCTATTTTTCTAAGCCCTAAAGTACTCAACGCGCTTTCAACGTCTCTTAAAGTCGACTTTTTACAATATTTCACGGTCGAAAGAGCGCTTGAAGTGACCAGATCTATAATAAAAATCGCGAAATATTTCGCATTTTTTTGCAAGAGAACAATTTACTTACGGAATATTCCGACTCAGATCGGTCTCTTCTTCTCCGCCTTCGTTCACTTCTACTTCTACTCCTTCGAGGCTTTCGTAGGCTTCTGGTGCTGCTTTCACTGTCCCCATTTAAACGGCGGCTACGATAAGTACTTCTACTCGAAGTTGTACCATGGGGTGAACTACGACGATGCCTTTTTCGTCGATAGCTTGAAACGCTATCCTCATCCGAACTCCCTTCGCGTCTCCTTCTCGAACGAGGCATCTTTGCGTCTAATATCATTAAAAAGTTTGAGGTTTTTGCCGTTTAAAAAACGTAAAATCTCAATCTAAAACGACACGTTCTCCTAACAATGGCCGCTCTTATCCTCCGATATTTTTTCTTCCAGTGATTTGCAAAGAAAACATTTTACAACGCTCATTCCTATTGGTTAGAATAGGCTGATTCCTTTGTCTTTACACCAATCACGGGCGATGTTCCATTAACTTTAACCTCTGGTGAAATTCGAGAAGAAGTTTTAAAACAACATGGCCGCTGCAAAGGGGTTGAATTTAAGACTTATTTTGAAAATTAAGATAATTTATAATCCATTTCAGTGGGAAACAGCCAGTGCAAGGTGTGAATTTACCTCGAAACAACTTATACTTATCTCTCGTCTTAAAAAATAGATGTACGAACCCCCGTTTCACAATTTTTTCAAAGAGAACTCTCACTAAAATGTTTTCTAAATTTTCCAGGGAATTTTTACGAATGTTGGACACCCAAAAAGTCAAAAATACCAATCCAAAATGCCAAATCCAATCGGAGATCGACAGTAAAAATAAGAATCCCAGAGTTGAAATCCTGTTTGGTAAGTTAATACGACGCTATACTCCACTATTTTAGGTCGGGAATAATTCTAATTTTTTTTTGACAATCTTTCAGGTGATAAAGAGAACATGGTGTTGGACACAGAAAATATGAAAGTTGTGGATATTTTATCAAAGTTCAACGAGAAATGTAGAGGGAAGGAAAATAAAAGCTAAAAGGTTGCGAAACATTTCAAAACTATTCAACAGATCCAACTTTCAGCAATGATTGGAATATTAAAACATCGCGAAAGTCGAAACAACATTTACAATTCCATGTTTCCATTTGCATCGAGTAGACTACCCTTACAGTATACCACTCGTTTAATATTTACATTATATTGTACCATATGACAGAATCAAAATTAGAGTTCACGATGTACAAGTTTATACGACGTCCGTATTTCTTTCTCGAAAACACGGCATAGTGTAGTGAGTAAATGAATTTAAAAGTATTTCTCTATGTCTATGACGATGAAGCATAATCTACTGTTAAAAAATTTAATTTCCACAATTGCTGTTAAATGTCATTGTTCTGTGTATCATTTCAAAACCTGAAAATAAAAAATTACGTTGGAAATCTCTTCAGAACACTTCATAACTTTATTTATGCTGGATAGCTCCATCAGTTCTAAACTGTTCTTCCTAGAGGTCAAGTAAGGATCATCTCTTATTGATCCAGTGTTACTACAGGAGGAAACCTAAACTAAACTAACTTTATTTATACTGGATAGCTCTATCAGTTCTAAACTGCTCTTCCTAGAGGTCCAGTAAGGATCATCTCTTATTGATCCAGTGTTACTACAGGAGGAAACCTAAACTAAACTAACTTTATTTATACTGGATAGCTCTATCAGTTCTAAACTGTTCTTTCTAGAGGTCCAGTAAGGACATCTCTCAAACTACCACACCTAAAACAGTTCTTCCAGAAAGCTAGAATGAAGAATTACCTTCTCTGGTATTCTGTCTTAATTCCTTCCGTTTTACTCCCGCCGACTAAACTTTCTCGCCCGAAACTTCCCGTTGTTCCACCAACTTTTTGCCGGATCGAATCAATCGTCTCCTTAGGGAACTTATCAGCATTGCTTTCCAAATACTTCAGGACGTATTCATCAGCATCGTTAATGATGAACCGGTGTTTGAATATGTGGATCCTTGCACCGATGTAGAAATCTCCGGGGTTGTAAAACTCCGGGTTGTCTGTAGGGGTTCCGGGTTTTTGTACTCGGGTACGTTCAAGGAATTTGCCACACAACATACCGGCATTTCGTACCGGAGGTTCGTAGATGGTCATCATGTCATCGGCGAGGCGATAGCTTATGATGAACTTGCGATCCTTGTCTTCAGGACGTACGGATTCCTGTGGATGAAAAATCACACTGGGTAACTCTATCAGTTCTAAACTGTTCTTCCTAGAGGTCCAGTAAGGATCATCTCTTATTGATCCATTGTTACTACAGGAGGAAACCTAAACTAAACTAACTTTATTTATACTGGATAACTCTATCAGTTCTAAACTGTTCTTCCAAGAGGTCCAGTAAGCATCATCTCTTATTGATCCAGTGTTACTACAGGAGGAAACCTAAACTAACTCCAATAATCCTGGACACCGCCCAATCAATTACTGACTCACCAGAACGGCGGAATATCGTAGAACTTTATTATCGTTCTCCAACATTCGAATGAAATCTTTCTTGGGAGGTTGTGGGATCAGAGAAAGGCATGACTGTAGAGTGTCTTCGAGGGAACCGAAGCCATTGTACGGAGGAATCACCTTTTAATACAACAAGAAAATATTGAAATGAGCGAGAAAATTAATTAGGTTGAAGCCGCTCTACAGAAACAGAGCTTTTTATTTGCACTTGCGAAGCAGAAAACCTATATGTCTGTTGGTAAAAACCATATGCAAGACAAATATGCAATAGATACTTCAAAACACGACGCCAGTTAGGAGTGTTCATTTTCGACTTTATTTCAAAGTCTGCTTCAAACAGGATGTCCGATGACGATTTAAGTCTCTCATCTCTTGTTGAAGAATGATTTATTGTCTGGCCTTCGTACTTAGTGGCTAATATACAAATTTCTCATGATATACATACGTGTTGTGGAGGTTCTCCTTTCCTTTCAGTGACGTCAACCGGAGGGAAATCAGTCACACCGAACTTCTCTGCATAGTATTCCCTCGTAAATTGATCGCAATCGTAGAGAAGGAACCTACGACCAAGCATCGTCACTGTGCGACCGACCATGAAGTCTGAGGGACGGAACCAATCACTGATCTCCTGATCTGTTAGTTCCAATACAGCGCGCGGAAACGAGGCTGAAAAAGAAGATAATATATTGATTACTCGCTATACCACGATAGCTTATTGTAGAATACTACCTACACTGGACCACCACGTTTGAGATATCTTTCTCGCGTAGTTCAGACACAAATCACGAGAGCTTATTGTACAAATATACTACATTGGATCTCAAACAAGACATGAAATCTTACATGTAGTCGCGTCGCGATCCTTGGGCAGTTTCTGTCTTTGAATAAGAACGGGGAAAGGATCTCTTCCATCGTTGGCGGAGTGGACTTCACGAACCTCGACGGTGTCATCCACGAGATAGTAATGAAGAATCTAGAAGAAAATTCTCATGAAGAGCTTTCTATTCACGATCAAGAGTTTTAGAAGTAATAGTTTGACTATTCCTAGTGAACTTACAAAAGGTCGCATTTCTCCAAACATGTTATCTCTGTCATCCCAGACACAGTAGAATCTTAAAACTTTGCGGTCCATGACCAGAAACTGTCGGAGTTTATCAAAATCTGAGCGTGTGATATAGCTACGAGGTGGCTGTTTTCTGCCTTCCGTATATGGATCTTTTGCGATGTCTTCTGGAGGGTTTAGCTCAATACCTTCGCTTGCCAGGAATTCCTAGATGTGAGAATTTGGAATGCAGATGGAGGATTGAAATATGGTTGTTGAAAATGGGGTTTTGGGATGAGGGTTATTATAGACAGAGGGTTATTGGAGAGGAGTCAGTGGGGAGATGTTCAAGGAAAGCCTGCATGTGCGAGAAATGTAGCTATTGGGAGGGTGGGGTGATTGGGGAGAGGGGGTTATTGAGGTGAGGGGGGATATTTAAGAGGGGATTATTTAGAGCTTTTGGTTGGCAGGAGAGGAATTGGGGAGAAGGGGTATTTGAAAGTGTTACTGGGAAAAGAAAGTTATTAGGGGGGAGGGTGATTGGAGAGGTGGTATTTAAGAGAGATGGGTTTTAGAAGAGATTTTAGAAAATCTAAATTTTCACTGCCACTTACCTTCGTCCATTCATCACAATTGCAGATTCGAATAGCCTTGCCATAGAAAGTGACATTGATCCTAAGATTAAGATCTTTCCAATGCCATGTGTTGCCAAGATCATCTTTTGGAAGTTGTTGTCTTTTGATCAGCTTGCCTTGTGGTATGCCACTGACAAGAAAACAGTGGCTTTATTAGTTCTACCAGTCAATAGTTTAACACAATTAACTGCCTTTCAGGGTCAGCTAGTATTTAGTATCACTTTTACCAGTCTAAAGACCTGTTCACACAATCCAATTTTGTTGGATCCAATTCACTTCTGATGGATGTTTTACAATCTGTTGACTTGCAATGTACATGGACAGCAAATCAACTAAGCCAATTCAGTACTGCTTTATCAGTAGGAGACTACATTTAATATGTCAGAAGTGAATTGGATCAAACAAAATTGGGTGCAAAAAGGCTGTAATATTTTGAAACCAGGGCTGAAGCTAGATGCTTAACTGGGAGGTGTATATTCATTATTTCATATATTCTTCTTATCCTGACTGATTTCTTTTGTACTGTTCCTATGGTATATAAACAATCAAACACGAATATTATGAATAAACACCCCCCATGTAAGCAGTCTGGCCCTGTTCATCATATATTTTGTATCCTTTCTGAATGCTAATTATTATTTATTTGCCTGCTTAAAGATTCCCCTCCCAAGACCACCTGTAAAATATAAATAATATTTTTAATTGTGTGATTAATACCTGTTCTCGACAGCAGGTTCAATAACTGCGATAGAATCATCTTCTAAATAATAGTAAATTTTCACTGGTCGTACACGGTAATACTCGTCCGCCGACTCGTGAACCGTCTGCTTGAAATAGCCCAAAAAGAGCAGCACTTTTTTGTCAAAACCCACATGAGCTGGGATAAAATCTTCAGGTGGTGCCTGGACTTTTTGACCATAAGTTAAACTTGGTTTAAAATTAGCCAACTCGTCCAGTTCTTCCCGTGAAAGCTGGCTTACAGGCAAAGGTTCACCACCGATTGCCGTCTTTGGCGTAACAGGCAAAGCATAGCCGTTCTTCCAGCCTAAACTTTGTGACCGATGAAACCGAGATTTCTAACAAATACAAGAATGAAAACATGTATTTTCCACCGACAAACTTTATTAAAAAAACCCCAACCTACCGTTGGATCTGTGAAATTATTGCCCGGTAAGAATGGCAAAGCCATCGTAGATTGCGAAAATGATCTTTTCTCTGAGCTAAAGACGAGTTTTGGTTGATTTCCTAAACGATCTTTTTGCCAGAAAGCTTTTGCCTTCTTGTTCAATTTTGTTTTTAAAGCAGCGTCGCGTTGCTAGGCAACAACACCGTAACCACAAACAGTGACCGCAACATGAACTGGAGCGCTTTATCACACAAGTGACTGACGTCGTTTGCACGATTCTTGAACACTTTGATAGTTACATTTTCGATGTAAAAAACGTTAAATCGTTAAATGCACTAAAAGGTTTGCTGTTTACAACATAGAATACAAAAAATTAACAATATACTATAAACTTCAACCGTAGATTCATAAGTTAATACATGCATGTTCTTGAAATCATATTATATTTGAAATTGTACATCAACTATCTTGTAATATCTTGTAAGACCTAGCAGAAACAAAACCGAAAGATACAAAGATTTTAGACAGTCTAAAAACCCTCGTGCAGACTAACAAGTGTTCTTCTGTGTTTAAAAACATTTTTGGCTTAATCAGTGCGGTGTAGTTTTTGCAGGCATGCTATTAGGGTTATTAAAAATCACAAATGTTTCACGAAATATTCCTGTTTTCACAAATCAACATTTTCTCATAAATATTCCTAATACTTCTTCGTTTGCACGAGGACTTCCAGGATCTTATTAGGAAGTTCCTTCATGGCAGACTGTCGTTATGAACGGATAATCAATGTCAATATTTAACTACGTATATTACAACTTTCTTCTGAACAGTTCTTTGTTCTCGTTTGTTTCCAATCCTACCACTACGAGGACCGCAAACGAAATGTCTACTTGAGGTGAAAGACAATATAAACTGCAAGACAATATGAATGGTGTTACGTCACGGTGTTAACATCCAGTTTATTTTCTTCGGTCAACGCCCCTATCATCGACGGTGCCCTTTCCAACTTTCGCCATACTTCGTGTCACACGACTGGGGCTCGCACTCGGACCGTCCGGTCGTACCACGTGTCTGCCGTTACTGCTGACGTAGTTGTACGCTTTGTTCTTCTCGTCCGAGGGAAGACTGGCGAGAGCTTCACCTCTCGACTCGCTCTCTGCATTCTGGGGGAAAAAATATCTCAACTTTACAAAGAAGACCTAACAGTAACTAAGGCGGTAATGTGGCAGTTCTCTGACTGTACTCCGCCATTACTGAGCAGTAACATCATCTGCCTTCAGCCAAAATATAATACTAAAGTGCAACTATTTGGGTGAATTACCATCCAGTAGTTGAACAACAGATACTGGTACATAGTTTAGCACCAGCAATTGTACCATGTATGTGCATTAGGGGATCATTCATTTGAACTTACCCTGTTTCGTCTTATGATCATAACACAAACAATTAAAAAGCTAAACACCAACTAGGAAACAAAAGGAAAAATAAATGAGAAAATTGATAGATTTACAATCAGGTGAAATCTTCTCTTATTGATCCAGTGTTACTACAGAAGGAAACGTACACTAAACTAATACTGGATAGCTTTATCAGTTCTAAACTGTTCTATGTACATGAATACAGCCACAGACTTTTTCTCTTAATACCTGAAACAAAAGCCACATTACAATATTAATCTTCTCAGTTTTTGCAAAAAGATCCTTTCCAAATTTGATGCACATTAGCAACTCTATTATCGTAATAGCGCTAAAATGAAGTACAGAAAGTTTACATTTAACTAAAAAACTAATCACCATTTATCTTGATGTACATATAATGGTTGTTACGATATAGTTTTTCACAAAAAATGAATGCTTACATGAACACCCAACATTGGGTTCCCATTCTTTTAGTTCTTGTATCCGTTACAAAAATGTAGTACTGCCTAGAGTAAAGCAAACACTATCATGATTAACACCACCACAATAAGTTAGATATCTATTCTGTTCCAAAACTAGGACAAAAATTGTTCAGGTACAAACTATGAATCAAAGTGTTAGGTATAGCATAATTTATTTACCTTATTGTTGGAGCTGAGATTAAACTTATCAATAGCAAACGGCAAATGTTCAAAGGATGAGGGTTAGGAATGCGAAATATGTGTTTTAGGAAGAATGTGTTCAGTTCAACAATCTATCAGCAAAATTACAAATGTTATTGATAGCAAACAAGACAATATAGCACAGGCAATGCAATTATGTTTATCCAACACAACAAAATATGTCTGACCTGCCAAAAAAGACCCAAAATGTAAACACAAAGAAGCCTTTTGTATGTTGAGTTTGAGTCAGTCCAACTAACTCGAGTCCAACTAGAAAAACAAAACACATCATATCATAAATTCCAGCTGATAAATACATCTTATTGTAGTTGAAACAAAAAATAAAATATGGCATACTACCTGGCAGGAGTAAACTGCAAAATGGCCCTTCTAAGTTTCCCAGTGGTACTTTGGATATCTCTAAAGAAAACCCACATGATTTGCAGAGTTCAATTCAAACAATGTCAACCTACATAATTCAAGCCTGACTATTATTAACCATACTAACTTTATGCTCTCCCAATGATACGTTCTCATTTCTAATTTCTTGCACAAATATAGGCCAACATGAATGCCCAAGCCATTACAAATAACAATGTCCAATAGGATAGCATCCCACCAACACTCCTTGAAGTTGGGCAGAAGATGAGCGAAGAAAATCTTGAAAAAAAACGAATGACAACTATAGTAATACTGTTGGAAATACCTGATGGTTGTGTCTACAAAACTAGCTGAAAAGGATATCACAAACATGGTGGCTTACAATAGATTGTTGTGGTTTGTGTCTGAATTACCTATAAACAATATCTCAAATGTGGTGGTCAAGTGGATAAATGCTAAACGTTCTACCTCTGTTATCTCCCAGGTAATACTGGCAGACCAGCACAGCACAGCATGTCTCATTAGCAATGATTTCCCAGCCCAGCCAATGAAGTGAGAAAGAATAAACAAATCCATACTATCGTACAGTTTTGCCCAACTTAACCGACAGTCTGTTGCATATTCCTGAAATGAAATTAAAACTCTCAGCTTGGCCTAAACTAGGAATGAACACTGAAGAAAACATCCTTGCAGTTTGTTCAAAATACCTTCATATCGGGCCCAGCATGCTTAAGATCATCATCAATGAATACAAGAATATTTTTTATTTGATCATAGTTTAAAAAGAGCAGAAACGTGAATCCCAACAGATATATCACACTTATACCTAAGAGAATAGAACAAGAACTTGAATTTCTATAACATACATAAAGTATTTCATATAAATGTAATATTTTAAATTACAACTAGGCAGTACAAATTAAGAAATACCTACCAAATACTATTCGCCACAACAATGGATGTGGTCTTGTGAACGGACCTAGGAAAGATATGTTAACATTAAATAACATATTTTTATCTGAAATTGTTCACATAGACCATTTCATACAACATGTTTTTGGAAATTTCAATGTCATGCAAAGACCTGTTACTCACCATTTGGAGCAACAAGCATACACACGAAGAGAAATGCAACAGAAATTGCAATGCATCCTTTAAATATGTTCTTACTAAGTTCCACATCAGGGTCACTAAAAATGAATTCAATTTACATTAACTATGGCAGAGCTGTATAAAGACATATAGAAATGGCAAGTATTTCTAAAATAGGGATGCATTGTGAGCTAATGGTTCAATAGTACTGTTGTTAAGTCATGACAGTTAATAGTCAAAAGGTGAGAAACAAAATCATCCATAATATGGAATAAGATCCTTCAAGTGCAAATCAAACACATTTGCTCTATCATTACTTATGTCTAAGTTAGGCTGCAAGGGAATATCTTGCAGGATAAGCGTAAAATGCTTTCTAAATGCATCTTACACTTTGCAGAGCTCGCTGTTCAGCTGTCAAGACACACCTCAAAACACACCCTAAAAAGCACATGCCCAGAACATTTCCCTAAATCTTATTTCTTACACAACCGAATTAACTTATGCTATACCAAAAAATAATTATGTATACATAAACATGTCCAAAATAGCCACGCTTGCTGGTGCATACCGTACAATAACAACACACTTCGACATGCAGGTAAATGTATCAATAATTATATACATGTTCAAAAGTTGTTTACCTTATTCAAAACATTTTATTGACACTTTTATACTCGTAAACAAGCAAATCACAATAACATAAACATCTCATGAACATCTACGCTATTTAAAGCATCAAAAAAAGAAGAGATATCGATCGATCGATCGCGCAAATACTCACTGTGTGAAAGCAAAGTAACCGAGGTATGCCAAAAGGCATCCCAAGGCAGTTAAGGTTCGTGGTTTGTAGAAGTACTCAAGAGTCACATCTAAGACGATTTGTTCACTCAAATCGTGATGACCGTCGTCCGTAGATACTGTACTTGACGATGAGAAGGTCCTTTCTCTTTTGTTCGACCGATCGCCTCGATTTCTTACCATAATTTTGCAAAAAGAAGCAACTTTGTAAACTATTTGCGTGGTCCAACGTGTTTGAACAAAGCTTGATATTGCCGCCTGTTCGCAGGTGACGCGATACATCGAACAAAGGTCAACATGCCGACATGACATGATCATATTCCGTACTTGATTAGAATATATTAGAGCGGATTAGAACATTGTTCGGATTAGAATATCGGATTTTGGTTTAGAAGAGCATTTAGTTAGGATTAGTGATTAGATATCATATGTTTAGCAGTGGAGTGGTGATTAGATATGATAGGTTTGGAAGAAGTGTGTGGGATTAGGAATAAGCTGAGTTAGAGTGGGGATTAGTGTTGGGATTTGGGGCATGGATTATGATGGAGTTAAGATTGGAGTACGTAAGAATCAGAGTTAGGAACATGGTTTGGATAAAGATTATGGATGGAGTAAGTCAGTAAGAGTTGGGATTCGAGTTAAGATTAGTTTTAGGATCAGAGTCAGGATTAAAGCGAAGATGTAAGAAACTCGTCTATACTGTGAGAACCGATGTTGATATGACAGTCTATAGTTAGCTTGTAAAATAGACCAACAATATATTGAAAAATCTAACCAGTCTCCAACAATTGGTTCTTATAACATTCCTGATCATGAAGAAGCCTATCTTCCTAGTTCCTATCTCTTTTTGATCACTAGTGACGTCAGGTCGCGCAAAGCGTCATGACAACGCGGGATGTTGACAGTGCCTTTATTGACAAAGTCACAGAGAAAACACACATACGCTACACACAAGATGATCGGGATGAACGAGAAGGTAAATATGAAATTTTCCAACACAATCTAGCAGCAAGTGCTGTTTATTCGTTATTGTTGAAATCGTTTGCCTCCCGACAGCGTTCGCGTACGATTCCGAACGCCTATAATATGCTACATTAATGTTCATTTGGAATGTTGTATATATAGACGACGAACGATCAGAACGTCACGTCCCTTGAAGGGGTCGAGGACACAGCTTCACCCGAACCAACAGAAGAGATCGAAGAAGATTCAAGTAAGCCGGTGTCAAAGGGTTATTTGTAAATCAAAGTTCCAGCTGCGCATTGTTAGAAATATTACAACCCTTCACGCGAATGTGTACAGCTACTAATTTCATTCTAAGTTACCTCGCCGCACACTACCTATCATTACTCTGTGAACCAGACGAATTTGGGTACCTGTCAAACATGCCGTGTCAATAAATGTGTCTGTTGCTAGCGTATCTAGGGGGATTTACTAAATAAATAGCATTTCTCATGATAATATCTCTCAATATAAACATAAATCACGGAGGTAGCAATTATCCGCAAGAATGTATTCATTAATTAATTAAATAAAACTCAATTAGAATCTTCCTCAACAACTGGCATTTTCTGAGCGCAAATTAACATCAGCTGTTCTAGATCTATGCAAATCTTGATCACTTTCAGTTCGAAAATCTACTCTACCTTGAGATCTTATCTGTCGTATCTGTTCTGCCAAGCATCTGTCCTCCCTGGGAATCTGATATAGAAAATATTTCCTCGTAGAAAGTATTTCTGTCATGTCCATCGTTTTCCCAGAGGTTTAGCGAAGACCAGGTGATCTATTACAACATGTCACTACAGTGGCATACCACAGTAAGGCTCCTCGAACTACGAACTCGCACCATATCAATAAAAGTTTAGGAGCAGCATGCAGGTTGTACGATGTATGTTCATAATCCTTTTGCTAATCCGTCTGTGTATTTATGCACGCGCACGGCGCACTGGCTAACTGACGAATCGGTGCGTCAAATAAGGGCAATCTTATTACTTTTTCATCATCAATTACAGACGAGAACGATGAGGTAGGCGAAGAGACGAAGGAAGAAGATGGAGGATTGCGAGACGGCAAAGCTCCTGCGAAAAGTAAAACAGATGGAGATAAACAGGGAGGAGATACAAAAGCTGTTTCAAGCTACGAAGAAAAACAACATCAGTTGCTGCTTGCGGATTGTCAGCGACTTAAAAAGGAAATGACTAAAGTCAGGAGCACCATTCAGCGGCCACCTTTGTAAGATTCCACGCTTTCTTACTCTAGAAACGTTTTGTTACAATTTTGCAACGTAATGGTTCGAGAGAGTGTTTCCCGGACAAGTTTCCAGCGTTCTAAGAATACAAGAACAACTACAAGAAACATCTTGGAAGATTGAGGATATGATATGGCTTGATTGGGACGTCGTTTGTATTTTCTGACTCTGAGAATGATTTTATGTTTTAGAAAACCATTTACGCCGTATCTTTTCAACAGTCTTGAGCCTTATTATAATCAATACATCGTCGATCACGTGGTTGGTGAACTGCAGGTTTGAAGTGTATTATTGTGATATTTACGCAAAGTCTGCGTTGTTAGGTATTATGCGCAAAGGGTAATAATTTCATGTCCAGAATCCACGAATATAATACTAACTTTTAATCCTAAACCTGACCCTAATCTCTACCCAACTACTTAAACTAAAGGATTAAAATCAAGGCTTATATTCGTGGATTCTGGACATGAAATTATCACCGCACAAAGTCTGTTCTGGATTGGCCACAGCACGAAGCAATGGCCAATCAGAAGCATGCCTTCCTGGCACACTACGTTACACATCAGACTTTGTTTGTACACTCCTGCTTTCTGAACGTCACGGAGTGGAACTGAAATTTTCTTGACTTCTGTTCACTGCCCAGGAGGATCAAACCCAGGAGGAGGAACGCCCGAGAACGAACTATGGACAGCGAGCCACTTCATTAGGGATTGTAGGTAAGCCGAAAGAAAACGCCTGCTATTTTTATATGTAGCAAGCAGCCCCCTGGCCTTAGGCGGAGTGTGCACTCTCAGTGCGTCACATTATGTATAGACTCAAGTATGCTCGACCAGCTCGACGCAAGAGTTTTATGTTGCTCACATCTCTCTACAACCATCGTGTGATTGTTAGTCATTTGGTAGACGAAGTGAAGGCTTGATTGACGTCTTTGATCAATCCATTTTTTTCTTGTTATATAGAACCGCAAGTTTCATGGCGCATGGACAAGTAAGTAAGACCCACAGCGTTGACCTTTGTGAACTTTATCATCGGTCTGGAATTTCAACCAAAGTTGTGCAAAGATTTACTCGTCTAGTTACATACACTCCTGAACATAGTTACGTCCTACCCTCCAGTTCCTACTCTTGTATAAGCATCTTTTAATGCAAATCTGACATTGTTTTTTTCTTGTTTCTAGTGTTCCTGGACCGTTCAGATCCTCACGACTCCAAACAAGCACAACTTCGCAGAAAAAATGGTGAGACCGCGTGTGTGCGCAAGTTCAATGCATGCAGACACAATCCATTCTTCAAATATATAACCCAGATTCTGACCAATACGCTCAGCTAAATGGTTCACTGGCGAAATATGAAATATGTTCGCCTTTTAGGTCCGGTGCAACACAGCACGATGCGTCTTTGGGAAGTACAAGGTTACCTCCATTCCCAAAACCCTCATTTCCAAAGATCAGTATACCTGAATACAGCGCCTCCAAAATGGACTACTCAAAGGTCTTGAAATTCAGGTAAAAATGATGTTCTCTGGCCTTACGATCTAGTCCCTTCCTGAGGCGTCGAATTAAATTTTAGCAAATTTCCTTCAGGATTGAAATGGATCAAAAGATTGAAAATTTAAACAAAAAGAAAGTGCGCATGGACTACAATAGAACGATGAAGGATTGGGAGCGAATGAATTTGAACGAATTAAAGGAGCTCCCGCCATATTCGCGATATCACGTCAGCAAGGCAATCAAGACGTATTTCGGGACTTCAAAAGGCGCCACCCAGGCTGTGAACTCATTGAGCAAACATTTAGAAGTAGAGTAAAAGAGGTGTTGTTGTGTATCCCCTGTTTGTACATGCGGACTTGTATAGAACTTTGAACTATTTGCGTTTGTATCGAACATTATTACCGAGGTGAAGTTCTTAGAGACTTCAAGGCGAGGTTTTTAGTAGCTTCAAGACTGTATTCTCAGTGATTTCGACGCTAGTCGTTCAATTTTATGCTTCTAAGATACTGTTTTTGCAGATTTCACAGTCATAAATCATTCAGTGTTCTGGAAGTTTAACCCAGAGGCCAGTAGATTTTAGTATCATCTGAAATACTGTAGTTTTGCTTTGCAACGAATGGAAACAATTCTCTCTGAGGTATCAGAAGTCTGGAAAATGCCTGGTTGGCGGTGTTCAAAGTAGGTTTTGGCCCCAAACATGGACACTGTTTTTTTTAAGGAGGGAAACTGGAGAACCCGGAGAAAAACCCTCCACCCGAAATCGAAATGCCGGAGTCCTAAACCTATGGGGCACCCCCCAATCCGATATTGGACACCCCCTCCCCCAAATCCGAAACCGAAATAGCCGCCATTAATCATTGCATTCCAGATCGCGACTTTAGAAGGTTGGCATAGGAATTGGCGCGCGCAGCGTTATTTTTGTTAAAAGTATCGTGCATCACACGCTCCTACGATTCAAATTCGTGTAAAATCCCCCATCCAACCTTCGCCGAACAAACATTTCAAATTAAAATGTCGTTCTTTGCATGCCAGTGCTCGCTACTTTCATCAATCTTAGTCTTGTGTTACCACAGAACTAAGTTTTGTCAAAGTATATGAAATATTCAGCATTTGCGCACACTTAGGAATAGCCTTAAGGCTTAGTTACTTCTCTCAGTCCCTGTCTGATCTTTATGAGGCGGCGTGCGGTTCATCCTGAAAACAAAAAAGAAAGACTTTTTAAGTAAAGGAATTGCGAATACTTGTTTAGATATGTACATTTGGGAAGGCCCAATCTTTTGTGGAATTGGATGGAAAGTAACAGTCGTGTATAATTACGCTTTTTCACTTGCTTTAGGCTTTCCAAATTTAGTTTAATAAAGCTGTGTGGTCGATGGTCCCGCGGGGTAAATTACGGTGTCCATCATTGACTTCGGATTCAAATAAACATATCAAGAGCGCTTTAAACCGCTTGCAAGACGTGCTTAATATAATCCCAAATTAAAACATTTCTTTCTTGTATATTTAGTAAGAACCTGTTCATGAAACTTGCGACTAAAGCGACAAAAGATTCTACAAGGACTAAACGCCTTGAGCGCCTACTAAGGACGAACTAAATTAAATATTTCATGATCGTTAAACGGGACAAGAAATTTTCCGCATGAACTAACCTTGCACGTAGTCATATCTAAGTTTCAAGTACGCTTTTTGTGCAAAATTTTCGCTTTAAAATGATAGAAACACAAGCATGAGTTACACGAAGCTTATGATAGCAAAGCTGATCTAATATCGATATGATTTAGCTGAAGAAAAGCGACGAAAATCTCTCTACGTGACTGCAATCGATCACGCCGTTCGAGAGTTCAACAAAATGCGTTAAGTGCCTATATCACTCGTGGAATCTTTATGCATTTAAAAAGAATGTAAAAAGTTAGTTAATATTTTAAAGAAAGTTTTTGATTTAGTGCAATAATTTTGAAGATACTAGCCTTTAAACTACCTGCAATTCCTGAGTCCCAGGCTCCTGTAAACGTAACAATGGGCAGTTTCAAATTGAATAGCCGTGTTTAAACCCAGTAGGTTGGGACTCAGGAACCGCAGGTAGTTTAGAGGCTTGTATCTTGGAAATTATTGCACTAAATCAAAAAATTTTTTTAATATATTAACTAACTTTTTACGTTCTTTTCATAAGGAAAAAGAGTAAAGCTTAGATTCGATTCGAACCATCGACTTACCACTTGAGAGGCCATTGTTTTCAGCACTAGACTACGAGATCTTGTGCTGAACGGTTATGGTTATTTAATATACTTTATCCTTTTCTCAAAGGTCATAAGGAAAAAGAGTGAAGCTTAGATTCGAACCATCGACTTACCACTTGAGAGGCCATTGTTTTCAGCACTAGACTACGAGATCTTGTGCTGAACGGCTATGGTTATTTAATTTACTTTATCCTTTTCTCGAATTTAGTTCATAATGAAAAAGAGTTAGGCTTGGACTCAAACCATCGACTAACAACATGAGAGACCATATCTCGCCAAAGTTTAGGTAATTTAAGACAGTAAGTTAGACAGAACACAATATTTATTAACACGAGAAATACAACAAATTTCTATTGAAACTTTTTATACAAAACTCTATATCATTTCTTGCACATCAAAAAGTCACAGTGTCTAACATGGCCCCTAAACATTGCACGATGTTTGATGTCATTAACAAGTCCACCGACTCCTCTAAATGTCGCTTTGGATCCTAAAAAAATGAAGTTAATTTTTTCAATGAATTTTTCACTTTTTTATTGTTTTTCGTCGGATAAACGTACCTGTTTTCCAACATTTTTTATAGCTAATTGTTCCGGAGTCATTTTGTCTTCATCCTCCAAAGCCTAAAGGATAACACATATCGGATGTGTTACCACATATTAGAAGCCAGCCAAAGGGAAAACAATATGAAAACATTCAGGTGTGTTTTTAAACTGAGAGTCAAGTTCCTTATGTAAAACAAACGATTTATTTACATTTTGAACTTGTATACTTTTTAAAATACAAAGCGTGTTAATACTTAATAGACTTGTATTTAGGTTCAATACCCTTTTAAATGAACGTATATTAGCGCTTATGTGCAGAAATTGGGGGGAATTTTTATAGAGAGGGCCCTCTGTTGTTATTTATGGGCAGAACCGAACGCAGAACCACAATTTCACATACATATAAAGTATAAAGCAATTAAATCTTTTTTGAATGATTTTACCTTGTTATAATTCTTTGCAAGTTGTAGCATATTCTGAAAATATGAGAAAAATATCTTGAAAACCTGTTGTGTGGCTTGGAATCCCAAAGGAAAATTGTTGGAGCTCTATATATGAATGAAACTGAACCTTGTAGAAAACCTTGCATACCTACCTTGACGGTATCTTCATTTGCTGAACAATGTGTATTATAGTCTTGTAAAGATAAACCATCCATCCAAGATTTTTTGTGAAGATTTAACAACATCTGTGGGGTGAAACGATTAGGGAGGCTTACAGAATGAATCGATCAGCTGGTATTGAATACAGTGCACAAATAAGAGGGAAAGTTGCTCTCAATATTCTCAATCAAGCTCCATTCAAACCTTTTGCTCCAGTTCGTTTTTCCGATAGTTAATTGAGATGGAGTAATAATGTCGGTTGAGTCCATGAATGAGTGCCTATGAAAGAGATGAAAAAATTGGATTCCGCTGGATGTTAACTTGAGAAATAATGTTAGTCAATGATGACAACATGTGTATGTTTGCCGTCATGTGTTTGACAAATTGCTGTCAGTGCGTGGGATAACATACTAAGTAATATGCAAAGACACTGATTTACGTTTTTATCTGGGGAACACAAAAGCTAGTTCACCTGAATTGAGGGCTTTTGTAGATGACCTAGATTTGATGTTGTCTGTCGTGGTTCTTGTCCTAAGACCATCATGTTTGGATTAATCAATCGAAATGCATCAATCACAACCTGAAAAATAAATAGAAACTAGTCAATATTTGGTCCTTAATCTATTAGAAATTAATTCTGACTTTTGATGAACTGACTGCTCTTAAAAACCCAATTTTTAACTGGTAATAGTCTCTAATTGGTACATAAAGTCGAGACATGTATTGCAAAGTCCAAAATATTATTACCTTTCCTTTGACGCTTTGAATAGGGTCAACCACAACAGCCACTGCCCTTTCTGATAATGCCTCAAAACTCTGGGAATGGGTTTAAAAGGTCAGTACTGTACAATTACGGACACCCTCTTTACAATTAACTACTGTAAGCTTGATTAAGATCTAATCTTGAGGGCCACTAGTTTATTAGTATTTATATACTGTCAGGTGTTACCCTCTTTAAATAAAGTCTCTCACTCACTCACTTACTAATCTAAACTAAGATCCAACCTGCTGAGTGTTGATATCAACACCAGAAAGCCAGCAACCAAAACCTGGATGAGAATGGTACCAACCAACCACCATCTCTGGTCGACCTGTCTGTCGTAACATATCCAACATTTTTGCTTGGAAAACAGGGTCGACTGCTTCAACACTTACACCCTGAATAAAAGGAAAACAGAGAGTATTATCAGACAACCTTGTAATGATAAACACCAAACACAGCCCTCACTAAGACATAATAATGGTGGTTTTAATCCCCACATCAAGAAAGTCCCAATCAGTTCTGTCCATGCTAAAATATACCAGTTTCACTGGTTTGATCTTTACTTACTGTACCACTCTGAGGCATAGCAAAGACATCAATCACACGAACAGTATAATCATCAACAAACTCCCCCAACATCAATCCCATGACTTCCATAGGTACTCCCGCACGGCCTTAAGAAACGACCAGTTTTCAAATGTCACAATGTGTCGAAGATTTTGAAGTTCAAATAACGACAATTAAAGGTCTACTGTCCTAGCTGTACTAAGAGGCAGTTTAACCCCTAGGCTCTTACCATGTTTCAACATCTGTGATTTTCATTACCAACATAAAATAGAAAGATATGATGAGAATAAAGAATATATATCTTAAAGCTAAAGAGAGTTTTAGGAAAAATAAAATTAGATTTCCCACCTTTAATAGCGCTAAAGATGAAATATAGACTTGTTCAGCAGTGTCCACAATCGGGGCGTCTGTTGGAGGACTCTTAAATGACACAAAAAGCATCACTTTGGTGCAAAACTATTCATGTGTGTTCACTCTTAATCACAAAGCAATTCATTTTTGTGGGACGAAACAGAATCTCCAAGCTTCTTCAACTAACCTGACCTACTCCAGGTAAACCACCAGCACCTAAACGAAGTATCCTGTCCATATTTAAACGACGAAAAGTTTTATAAAATGAAATAAATTAGAAAGAAATGTCTTGAAAGTGTTTGAAACTTTTAACTTTGTGAATGTGCCCGATTCGAACTTCTCACTACTTCGGCTTCTCGCCGTAAAAATAATCGGCAAAGGTATATAGCTCAGTGGACTCAACTGAACTCAGTGAGGTAACTGAACTATGTTCGGTGATAAAATAATCTGCCAATGGACAGAATAAAATATATTGGTCACAAATTATAGTCAATTAGTCCCTATGGACACAGAGCATATGGACCTCTATAGGTCCACACACAACACCCCCTCCCCTAAAGCGCCCAGAAGCCACCTCCTCTCCCCATCTACCCAAGGATACCCCTCTCTCTCCCCTTTTAAACCACCAGGAATGCCCCTAATCATCTTTTACCTACACCACTACAATTTCTTTTCTGCTTCTCTTTAAAAATATCTTACTTGACTGTTGACACACTTGGAAGTAAAAAATGCAAACACACAAGTGAAGCTGACTTGTCAAAACCTTGTTTAAACAGTTGCTAAGATGCAAAAACAAGGCTTGCAATATAAATGAACAGAATTATATTTTGCACTTGAAATATTTTCTCTTGTATAAAAGTTGACAATTTATATTTTACACATCAATTTCACACGTACAACCCAGCAAAATTTACTGTAAATACAATAAAATAACCCTTATACCCAGGACCATACAAAATAAATACATAAAGAACAGTATCTTCACATTATGAAAACTCCTTTTAAACTCATACTATAGGATATTGGTGATTCATACTTTCAACATATTTGACAAGTCTTTGAGCATTACAGACAGGTTAAATGGTGAAATTTTGTTATATATAGTCCATATACAAGATATATGTATGTTTTTAAATGCCTTTTCAAGTTAACATCTTGGATTATCTAAAAGAAAACAAAAAATATTTTAAATCCAGGCCTGAGGTCTTAACTCTGATCAAGAAATTAGCATACCTGTACAAAATTTGAAAATTAAATACTCTTTAATTCTTCAGGAAGAGGTGACTTTGGATGCTTATTTTCGAAATGTTGCTTGTAGGTTTTAGGGTCTGGCATTTGCGACTGAAATTGAAATTGAATAAGGTTTTGAGATTCTAAGATAGGGTCATGAAGCGCTTGTAAACAAGTGACAAGGAAGAATGAACTATCTGGGATACCTTGCACACAGTACAAGAAAACACAAGAGCAGCTTTTGCTGCTTTCTTTTGATCATGTCCGGATTGCTTCTTTAGTTTGGCTTGTTTCTCAGCATTCTTTTGTTGCGACTGGATTTTCTGCTGACCTCTGGCCATTGTGATGTTTCTTAAGGACTCTGTTTCTGTCAGACATAAGGAAAATTAAATATTAGATATGACACACAATAATGCCAAATTACTAGCTTCAGGGGCCAAGTAAATACCCTTTCGGGAAGAATCGTAAAACATCCATTCTGTTATATTATAACATCTTCTGTGGCAGCATGAATAGGGATAAATCATTTCGTAAAACATGAAAATAACTCTCAAAATAAGCTACAATGTTTTGGCAACAATCATGTTTGATATTTCATAAACTATATTAAACATCATAACAACATTCCTTATTCTTTAGATATATTTCAAAAATTTCATAAATCTAACTTTATCACATTTATCAGCAGTATAAAACGAAAACATTTCACACGAAAAGATCGTAATTTATTTAATAAAATAAACATCACAGCTACAATATCATATCATAACATTTAATAAGTTCGGTGTTTTGAAACTCACTGCACTAGCGCTCATTTCTTAAAAAACATTCATGGCAAAACGAAATGGGCAAATACAACTCGCAAACATTGAAAACTTACCTAAAAGACGACGGATTTCCTGAAAAAAAAGACTATTTCTCTGCTCAATATTATTATTTGTACGAGTTTCAGAAAATTTTCATTTAAAAAGAAAGAGATGTTCGAACGTGCCTGGAAACTAGTGACGCAAGACCTACAAATTGCTGAGTCAGCAGAAATATGAGGTAAATTTGGGACCGTTTTTGTAAAATCCTTCAATTTTTTGATAAAAATCTGGTTTGGATTGCTCCACAGGCTGAATGAATGCCCTAAAATGTCGTGCAATGTTACATAGGCAAAGATATTTAGTTTCCCAGCTGAGAAAATTTGGTAGGTAATGAAAAATATGTGGTATGATTAGTATGGCATAAATTAGATGGTTAAATTGGGGTTGGAGTACAATGAGGGTGACTGATTGCTCTAACCCCTCATATACCAAACGCCTCCTTTTCATTTGTTCATGCATTTTACTTTAAAAATACTTTTATCTCTGTAATAAATATATATACATCCCCCAATTTTAAAACAACAACAGGTTCCATGTGGTTGCTAAATAACCAATCTACAACTTAGCATCAGGGACAGCATCTCAGATTCATTAAAAAACATTCTATAATTGTATCTTTTAAAGGAAATTTAAGCCTTTCCAGCAGTCAACTTGTGCCAAATCCTGTCAGTCAAACAACCAATAGTGATGATGGGATTCATATTTTCCCAAGCAAAGGAAATGATTTATCAATGGTATAACCTCACATATATTTCTATTTTCAACGGTGATCTTGTACAACCTGTTTTTAATAGTTTAATTGCATTGGTGATAGAGTAATCATACCCGTCTGGCCTGTGGTTATGGTTTTACAGTGCTCACTGGTGTGAATGATCAATATCTTGTGGTCACAGGAGTGAATTCAAAATCTCAACTTGGCATTCCCTCCTTCCAGAAAAATGGTATGTCTGTTGTACAGGGGGCAGGCAAGCCCTTAAAAAAGAATTCCTTGTGGTTCCAATGAATGTACGACTTCAGCAAATGATAAGTTTCCAAGTCAAAGCCAAGTGTCATTTCTCATTTATAGTGGTTACAAAGTTAACAGAGGTCAAACTACCCTTTACGAAAGCTGACTCACAAATATTGGACATGTCCTGTGGAAGACTGCATACTGTTGTATTAACCACAGAAGGATGTATGTCATAATTGATTTACCTTTTTGATCAACTGACAATTTTTGACCAAAACAAGTACAATTGTCTCTGAATTCTCATCAATTTCGAGAGGACTTCATCACTTCAAAGGAATGTTTAATATATGAGTTACAAACCATACCTATTATATATATGCACTATCACTACCCTCTTTATTTGTGTAGTATTTAGCTCTGGATGTAACAGATTTGGTCAATGCGGTTTAGAAGGACAAGATGAACTAACACAATTCACGAAGATACCATCAACTCCAGCTGCGGTGAAACAGGTGCGGACACATGTTATCTCTACTGCACAAAAGTTTTATTTGAACGCATTCCAAGGTCCATACTCTTAATGGACGTCAACCCCACCACGTACATATTTTATTTGGCCTTATTCTTTGATAATTATACCAGGTGGTGTGTGGACTAGATCACACCTTGCTTTTAACAGATGATGGTCAGGTTTGGTCGTGTGGTTGGGGAGCTGATGGTCAAACAGGTGAAGTTATTAATGCCCCCGTTGACTGTCGTTAGCGAGGTTCAGGTATCATTACTTCCACTACTAGGCAACATTAACCAATCAGATGCGATAAGCTTACTGCTATGAACCAATCAGATGTGATGAGTGTAGACTATTAACCAATCAGATGCGATGAGATGAGTGTAGACTATTAACCAATCAGATGTGATGAGTGTAGACTATTAACCAATCAGATGCGATGAGTTTAGGCTGTAGACCAATCAGATACGATGGGTCTAGTTTCTCAAAACGGCGAAGAGTGTATTCTGAAATATCTTTACGCTGTAAAGGTTTGGGATCCACTGACGAACAACGGTCGTTTGCCCTCGTTCAATTGCCATCGACTATCAAGATTGCGACTAAAGTTGATTCTTGTCTGGCCTTAACAAGTGAGAAAAATCATAACTTTAGTCTACACCGTAACTTCCTGCAAAGGTTGATTACCAATTTTGTCGCGCAATGCTGTGGTCAATTTACGTCACACTTACCTAATATTTTAGACACCGGCGAAGTCTTCTCATGGGGCAACTCAGAATACAGTCAATTGGGATTTGCAACCGAAAAAACTCTGGTTAGGCCGTTAGAGCTAAAACTTGATCACTTATATTAGATAGCTCTATCAGTTCTAAACTGTTCTTCCTAGAGGTCCAGTAAGGATCATCTCTTATTGATCCAGTGTTACTACAGGAGGAAACCTAAACTAAACTAACTTTATTTATACTGGATAGCTCTATCAGTTCTAAACTGTTCTTCCTAGAGGTCCAGTAAGGATCATCTCTTATTGATCTAGTGTTACTACAGGAAGAAACTTAAACTAAACTTAATTTACACTGTTTTGTTTCAAAATTATTTGGAAACTTTTTCAGATAACAAAACCAACAAAAATCACTTCACTACAAAGTATTGTAGATTTTGCAATTGGTAATTCGGTTGGTCTAGCACTAACAGGTCAGCTTAATTGGAAAACTGTTAATAACAATTCTATTTTTTAATAAGGTCGTATACTGTATAGGGTCTACCGGTCTAATGCGTAGTTATTAAACAATTGTTTGATATAGAAAACGGTGATGTATTTATTTGGGGTTATGGTCTGCTGGGTGATAGTCCTGAGCCCTGTCTTATCCAAGTTCCGCAGAAATTGACATTCTTGGATAAACGAGTGACTCAAGTAGACTGTGGCCTTTGTTACTACCTTTTATTGACAGGTGATCATGTTATAACTACCTGATTTGTGTGTAAATACTATTCATAAACTGAAGGGATTTCATTGAAGAATACTACTAACACTGGACTACCACGTTTGAGAGATTATTTTCTGTGATTGCAGATGATAAAAAAGTCTACATTTGGGGGAAATTAAATCAAGCAATATGTTCACATTTACCAAAAGAGGTAAAGAGGACAATATAACTAATAACTAAACCATTTTAGATCGCTTAAAAAAATTCTTACTTTAATTTTATCTTTGTAGATTAAACTTCCAGAAACTACGAGATTGTTGAGCTGTGGCGTTGATCACTTGGGAATTATAGTTGATACTTGAAATCTACAGAAAAAATTTATAAATTTGTCCTGTAGAAATTAGATTACATGAATAAAACTACACTAACGTATATTAAAAATATTAACCACTGTGTTTTGGTATAGAGTCAAACTAGAAACACTGTACTTATATGTGCCCGATGCGTTTTGAGTAAAATTTCGCAAAATATTACAGGAATTAGTTTGCACATAATTCAATCACAAATCATTTCCCATTGAACATACACGAGTCATAATTTAAACATGTAATGGAGCTTTTTTTTGAGATGAGATCGCTTCCAATTGAAAATATATCAACTCCTCAAAGCGATTTTTGTAGTAAGATTAAAGATCATCGCCTCAAGTTAACTGAGTGCATGGTCTCATGTTTTTTGCGTGTCACATAAGCATCATGTATGCATTAATGTAGTCGTTTAAATGTTGTGAAACATTTAAAGTCCATTGCAACTGCCGTATTTCACATGTTTCTAAACGATAAATTAAGATAATGGTTGAAATCTTCATGATCTATCGTTTTAAATATTTCATACATGTGAAATGCGACGTGTAAAACGCTCAGAAACGCGATAATTAAAACGATTCTGATGATTATTATTATTGAATCACTCAATAATTAGATGCATACATCACAGGAAGATTGAATATGATAGATAGTCACTTTATAATGGTGTACTTGACTTGCAGATAATGGCTAAAATTAAATATATTAGTGACGAACATGAACACGTGTTGGTTCACACGAACTATAAGTCGTCTTTAACGGTCCAGTAAGGATCAGATTATCGACAGTCAGTTTCCAGGGGATCGCAACTAAACTAACGTCATTTCTGCTGGATAGCTCCATCAGTTCCAAACTGTTCTTCCTATAGAGGTCCAATAAGGATCATCTCTTATTGATCCAGTGTTACTATAGAAGGAAACCTAAACTAAACTAACTTTATTTATACTGGATAGCTCTATCAGTTCTAAACTGTTCTTCCTAGAGGTCCAGTAAGGATCATCTCTTATTGAACCAGTGTTACTACAGGAGGAAACCTTAACTAAACTATCTTTATTTATTCTGAGATGTCCAGTAAGGATCATCTCTTATTGATCTAGTGTTACTACAGCAGGAAACCTAAACTAAACTAACTTTATTTATACTAGATAGCTCTATCAGTTCTAAACTGTTCTTCCTAGAGGTCCAGTAAGGATCAGGATCGCTTCAGCAGTTTGAAACTGCTCTTCCTAGATTGATTTCAGTCCGCTTAGTAGCCCCCCTATGAGTGCAATGTCACTGTAGGAGTATCTTTCATTCTTGTCAGAGCTCTCCTGCATATTTGGTTGCAGAACGTTCTCTCATCTCATATGTTTTCATTTTATAATCACAAAGATAATTACCTGCAACCCATTTGCTCCCAGTTAGTCAAAACACGATGGCATTTTCTTTATAATAATGATAAGGGGACAGCCGGGAAATCAATAAACATTTCAAGCTAAACTTTTATCTCTGCAAAAAAAAGATGTTTTGTCTACTAATAATAGCGAGCTATCATCGTTGCAGGAAAGGTAGAAACATTTTGATACCGTTGTATGTACCTGTATATATCGTGAAATGTTCTCGGTTCGGTCTGTTCTGATCAGTTATTGGACCTCTAGGAAGTTAGTTTAGTTTAGGTTTCCTCCTGTAGTAACACCGGATCAATAAGAGATGATCCTTACTGGACCTCTAGGAAGAACAGTTTAGAACTGATAGAGCTATCCTGTATAAATAAAGTTAGTTTAATTTAGGTTTCCTCCTGTAGTAACATTGGATCAATAAGAGATAATCGTTACTCAGAATGTCATGAAAATTGATGCAGTTATCCAAGGTAAAGTTTATTTCTGGTTTCCTCCTATGTTACTTGACACAAAATTTAAAAAAAAAATGAATTGATACAACTATCCAGAAAGATCCTTTTCTTCTTCAGATATCTTAAAAATCTGACCTGAATTTTTCGTTGTTTAAAGAACCCTATTGCATGATTTCTGTGTCCATTCAACACGCGGTCATTTATAGCCCATGCAACATGTTTTGCATTAGTGCACAGGCCCTTGGAATCCGAATATTATTTCTCCACGTCTTAACGGAAGAGGAATGGAGAAATTTATCTCAACGAAGCGATAAACTTGCGATACAAAGCAATGATGTATGTTGACGTTTCAGCGTTGCCCTGGGTTGGTTGAACTAATTATGCAAATGAAGAGATCAATAAACTATGTTTAAACATATTTATATTACGGAACCCTTTCACATTCTCCTTAATTAAATGTAGACTTTGCGTCGACAGAAGAACATTGTATTGAAACATGCGAGTGAATTATTCCATGTCGTGACGAAAAAAGAAGGAAAAATGACAATCTCGACGGTGAGTTTGAACGCAATGATCATTTCGTATGACGAGGTGAATAGTTTATTACACGAAGGATGAAAGTAGGTATGGAATAAGGCGACGTAACTTTTGTTGAAAAAAGAAATTGAGGAACGAAGGAACATGCAGAAGTCGATTTTATTTTTCAGGTAGTTGGACAGCATACAACAGTACGACTGTAGAATTCTCAACATAACTCTACGATGTTTATATTAAGAGAATGTACTGACAACATTGGGTTAATATATTCAACTGCAAGCGCTATAAATACATAAACTTTAAATTACTTTGGCTTAGGTGTTCTTTTCGAAACGAACTTCATAACCTCATTCTGAGACAGCGGGTCGTCTTGTTAAGGTAGAGGAAGTTGCGTCGTCTGATTTCATCTCAATCGCTTCCCAACAACAAGCAAGTGCCGGACATGTCAAAGCTTAGCCGATTTGAATAAAATATTCAAGGGCCATCGATTTTCTCCATTTGGCGTGCTAAGAAACGCGGCTAGGTTCATAAGAATTTCAATCTTTTTTTGGCATATATCAATTTTAAGATATCATTGTAGACAAAACATTAAGGACGTACAGATGTGATTTGCCTCGACATTATATTCAGCTCCAGGAGTTAACTAAAGGACTGAAGCGCACAAAGAAAGGGAAGAAATAAATATGATCATTTTTGCGTTTTGGCAGAAAACGAGCAAACGATGAGTTCATTGAGTTGCGCGCTGAGATATAACCTTCCCGTTCACTCCAAAACTGCATGGTTCAAAGAAGCCTGGGTTCATTTGACAGCGGGAGAACGTTTATGCGACATTTCTACGTGCACGTATACTCTGTCAAGATGAAACCCGCAGGACAGTTTCCCGCATCACCGCGACAGCCCACAACAGAATAGCTTGTCAGCTGTTAGCTATCAGTGTCATAAAGTGTCTGTGGGACTATTGAGTGGCGTTTAGACGTATAGTGAGGCGCCTACGTGTATATAAATATGCGTGCGTGATGCCTAGTCAACTACCAGTTCAAGATAAGCTCTCGTGTTCTGATCGAAAAGGTTTTTTTCTTCCCGTGCCTCGATGAACTAACTACTTACACGTGTGTGGAAGTCTTATGCTTATATTCTTTTTTTTCCATGTGTTTTCCATGTATATAATTATGATTCACATGTGAATTTTTCATATAATCTTCAAATATATATGCTTGCTTGTAGTCCGGAGATAATGTATTAATTTATATTGATTGCTCTATCAGCACTCAGCAACGTACGGGAGAAATTCAATATTTCCTCGCGTCTCGCGATATAGTTAATACGGAAGAAAAGTGACTGTGTTCAACCCGACAAATTCATAACGGAATGTCCCGGGCATAAAATTGAGATAATATATTAGAAAAGGCGATGCAACTGACATATCTATAAATAGATTACGCTAAATTTTGCATAAAAATATATTCTTGAGACATGATCAGTCGCTTTTTTTACTGACACTTTACAAGATATTAAATAACTGATAAGTATATAACGCTGAATACATTCCGCATTTTGCAGTGGATAAGACCGGCAGTTTGCTAGTGTTTTCACGCAAAAATAGCACGTTTTTTTTAGTCTATGTAAATATATTCTCTCTCAGCACGACGATATAAATTAAGCAGGGCTGTTTGTCGATAATTTCTACAGCATCTTTAATATTTAGTTCAAATATAGAAAGTTATATCTCCCTAAGAGGGTTGTCGCTTTCCCAATGGCATCTGAGGCGGCAAATACATAGCTAATAGCAACGAACAAGAAAGAAAGCCGAAGCCTTAATAAGAAGATTAAGATAGTACATCAAAGAAATATTCAAACCACATTTTATCTGAGACACTGCAAAGATAATCTAGACCTTAAGCTGCAAGCCTCGCTCAATTACATTATAAGAGGCGTCGCATGCAAGGAATATATTATATTCGTGCAATCGTGTTGCGGACTTGCGGTCCATGAAAAAGAGTTTGACAAAGTTAATTTGTCGGAAACTTTGTTCAATTTTCTTTAGCCTGACTAAGCTATATGCATTTGCTTGAACCCACTGGAAACTATAGCGATGAAAAAAAAGTAGTAAGCCCGCCACAGATCAGACAACCTTAATTAATTTTTCCGGAAAAATGCCATTCAATACTTATAGGCGGCAGAATGACACTTTACGTTTTTTTTAGGACGAATATACGGCAGTTACATAATTATTTTGCTTTGTGAATTAGTGTCGCGCCGTGTTAGAAACGAACGTCCTAAGACTGCAAGAGAGTCCCTTTAACTGTCGGAACAAAAAGTTCGAGAATAAACGATTGTGCAAAGATAATTTGAAAGAAATTGCTGTAATTAACATTGTTCGTGACCATTTCACTGATAGAAGACTTGATGAGTGTTAATTTGTTAAGCGAATGCGAGCAACTTTCTTTGTCTTTGACGATGCACATACAGTATATTCATGCAGTACAATAATCGTTTCCTTCTTTAAAGCTATCCAGTATAAATAAAGTTAGTTTAGTTTAGGTTTCCTCCTGTAGTAACACTGGACCAATAAGAGATGATCCTTACTGGACCTCTAGGAAGAACAGTTTAGAACTGATAGAGCTATCGAGTACAAATAAAGTTAGTTTAGTTTAGGTTTCCTCCTGTAATAACACTGGATCAATAAGAGATGATCCTTACTGGATCTCTAGGAAGAACACTTTAGAACTGTTAGAGCTATCCAGTGTAAAAAAATTAGTTTATTTTTGGTTTCCTGGTAACACTGGATCAATAAGAGATAATCCTCATAGGACCTCCAGGAAGAACAGCTGTTAAGAACTGATAGAACAATCCATATAGTATAAATAAAGTTAGTTTAGTTTAGTTTTTTTCTAAGAAAAACATGCAGTTTACATCTGATAGAGCCGCTTGATCAAGAGGAGATGATCTTCACTTTATGTTTAATCATATTTGCGATTATTCAACAGTCACGAACTACGAACGTCAGCACTCCCTCATGTGGTTCAGTCCACGAACTGCCTGCTGGGACGGCAGTTGCTGGTGGATTTCTTGCGCTGCTTGGTATCCCAGCAAACCTTGTGGTCGTCATGGTGGTGCGCAAGACAAAACTAAAACGATCAACCCTACTGTACTTGATTTTAAACCTCGCTCTAACAGACATTGTGAACTTGATAGCCACGGAATCGTTCCTTATCTCAGAGATCATACTCCGTCCAGTTTGGGGCGCACATCTGGCGTTCGTACGATCAATTCTTATTCCTAATGATGTTGCTATTCTAACTCTCACAACAATTGCTGTAGAACGTTTCAATGCTCTGGTCAGGCCTATGCGCCCCGTCGCAAACATGAGCAAAAAAAAGATGTATCTCTTTGTGTTTGTTATATGGGCTGTTGGCATCCTATTCAACCTTCCGCCAATAATCATAACACTGGTTCATCGCGTTTCCCACTGCCATCATGCTGATATAAATCGTGGATGGTATGCGTTTGAACTTACATACAGCATAATATCGCTGGTGACATTTCACGTAATTCCACTGGTAATATACTCTTACTGTTACTCAAAAATCATCAAAGGTGTCTTTGTTGACCGGACAGTTCTTGGCGGTGAAAGTTTTCCAAACGGAGAGGCATTAGCAGAAAAAAAGACGTTGGTTCGGACGACCATATCTGTGACAATTGTATTTATTATTTCTTGTACGAGTGCAACCGTTGGCTTGACCGTGAATTCGTTTGGAAAGGGAGAAGATGTTCTACCCAAGCAATATCACTCGTTAGTTCTGCTGTTGAAGTGTTTATCGTCGACTGTGAACCCGTATTTGTACTATATTCAAAGCAAAAAATATCGCGCGGAAGTTAGACAATTGATTGTCACATGGAAAGCGAGAAAGAAGATGAACGATGGTGACAATGAAGGGACAACGAATATTCTAAGTTTAGTCTAATTAAGGGGGTTTATAATTATGAGGCTATTTTAAATACACAACTGTAGCCGAAGGTTTGGTCTCTAAAGTTTTTATACTTAGCAATTTTGTGCATGAAAAGTATTATTGTATGTACAGACTTTTGCATCCCAGATTGAAAATCTGAAAGCATTATAGAGTTGACACGTATTTTTTCATACTGGATACTTTTGTTCATGAAATAATTTGAGATGTGCTGGTTCACAGAAGATAAGAATGCAGACAATCTGGTCAAAACCGTTGAGTTTTCTCATGACTACAGACAGACAGGCTTTCAGCGGTTGACAGAGGAGGAACCTAAACCTTTGCATTTCACCTACTAACCTTAATTTACATAGGACAGCCTGTACAAGTGACAGATATTTTGCTGATACTGACCATACGAGAATATATTTCTACAGTGTGTTGATATAGCATGCATTTACAAATCTTTAAAGATCATTGGTTCACCATATGTCACATTATTTGCCACCCCTTTTCCATGGGAGATTTAATTCCACTATGACACTGGGTGAGAGACTTTTTGCCTTAAGACAACAATCTATAAAATGCTGTAAACACTTTGCAGTTTGCATTGGAAATCATTTGTGTATAAGCGTAAAAGTATCTCATGTTTTAATTTTCTGCCATATTTTGCTTTCTCATCTTTCGATATGCAGCAATTGCCTCTTCTCGCCTTTTGTCGCTGATTTGTTTCTCAAATGGATTCATTTTCTTTCTTTTCTTAGCCTTTGGTAGAGTTTGAACCACTTTTGATTGCACATCTTGCCTAGTTTGGCCATTCAGTTTATTTTGCAGAAGAAGCGACTCAGTTTTATTTTTTGTATTCATGTCGGCAGCACCCGAATTCTTTGGCTTTGATGTGAAGTTGGGAGGTTCATTCACAACTTCTCCAAACTTGACCTTGTCTATGGAAAACCAAATAAAAAGTATAATTATCTAAGCAATATTATTATATAAGTTGTTTTGAGAGTTTTTTTAAAGCCGGGATATAGCAGTTCTTACCAGTAGCAAATTCTTTATATTCATCTTCTTGCATTTCCCTCTTGCGTTTTTTACTCGCCTTCTCTTTACGTGCTTTCAAAAACCTTGAAAAGAATTTCCAGATACTCCACAAAAATTGAAACTGATTTTCCACCAGGAAATTCAAGTTATTCAAAGTCAACTGGCAATGCCCAAGTGGATAAAATATATTTCACTGAGTACATACTGTTTTCGTTTCTGACTAATGCGATTCTCTTTAACAAGTATTTTATTGACGTGTTCTGCCGCCTGCTTATCCAGCCTCTGGTAATATTCCCTTTGAGTTTCGCCTGGCCGTCTTTCTACGTTTAATTTATCTTTGTTTTTTGTTATCTCCTTTGTAGACCTCCCTTTATGCCCTTAATGTACATAGCAAATGCAGTAGCTCACCAACTTAGATTGTGAATTGTAAACATACATTTAAGATGGAGTTAAACTGGAATATATGGTCCTAGTTTTTGTCATCACATCATCATTCATTATGTTCATGCAAGTACTGTACCTCTGGGCTTTCTTGGTGGAAACTCGGCGACCAAACGACGTGATTTCCTCGGACATGGCTGGGTATCTAGCTGCGATGGTTGAACAGGAGCATTGGAACTAAAATCATATAAATTCCAATCAAAACGACTTGGAAGTTTAATCAATATTATTTCATTATTATATGTTTTAAGTGTATAATTGTATATGGTTAATTGTATATAAAATACAATATTCAAAATACAATCTTGCATCTTGATCTATGTGACCTTGATCAGTGATTTTGTTTATTGTATGATCAAAACTTTGTCTTTGAAAATTTAAATTTCCAATACCTTTCATCCACGCTCCTTTTTCCTTTAAAAAACGGATCACAAGCTTTGATCTTTCTGTGTCGACTTAACCTTCCCATATGTGGAAAGTGTCCTTTATATTTTTGACATGAACTTTAAGGCGAAAGGCTTTAAGCTTGACAAAAATCAAAATTTGTAACTAGAAGGCAGAAGCTATAAATTGGCAGCCATATTGGATTTTGTATTTCACCAATAGCTAGGATTAGGTTTGGATTAGGCTTGGATTAGGTTTCGATTAGGGTTAGGTTTACTCTGATCAGTTATGATTGTGGGATGTTTATTTTTCAATCCATACTGCATAGAGAAAATATTTTTTATATCTGTCATTGGAAAACACACTTACTCTACGGAAATCATTACATGATAAAGCACTAAACCTCGCACGAAACTATGTACATAAATAATTATTTCGTATTGACAAAATTTTAGAAAAAAAGGACGCACGCTAAAAGCATGAATAGTTTGTTCATCTTCATAAAACATGGCTAGGAAACAACGTGTCCTGGTTTGTCCATCTTTAGGAAACACAGCTAGGAAACAATATTTCTTGGTTTGTCCATCTTCATAAAACAAGACGAGGAAATAATGTTTCTTGGTTTGTCTACCTTCAGGAAATAAGGCTAAGAAACAATGTTTTCTGGTTTGTATATCTTCAGGCAGAAGCCAGCTAACAATTTTTCCTCGTTTCAGACGCTAAGTAACAATGTTGTGCACACTGGCCTGTGAACAGAAAAATTGTCGACACATTTTTGTCAATTTGACGGTATTGGAATCCACAGAGTTTTCTTCTGTTGTTCATCGACAATATCTTGAATTTGCGAGAAAAATGCGTTGATATTTGATCCAGGAATGACCGCTAGATAAGACAAAGTACAATATCACACCAGAACACAATTTCTGCAGTGATTAACAAGTGCAATATCTAACATGCACTATCACAAAAAGCTGTCTTGATGAAAAGTATTTTCTAGCTAAACATGGTTAAATGGCAAGAAATAAATACATAAGAATTATGCACTATTTTGAAGACAACAGCCTCTGTTTGCTCACCAGTGAACTCTGATCTAAATTCATGCTCCATTCTCACTGAGTTCTCGTACATGGCTCTTGCATCTTTAGTCGAAACTTTCTGTTGTAAATGTTTCGCATCTCTTTGTTCCCTGCACAATGGACAATCACGTTATCTTTTGTAATCATTTCTTCGGTTAAACGTTTATCCCCACAGACAATAATACAGTTTTCAGGATCAGTTGCAATAAAAAATGAGCTAAAAACATACTTGATGTGTTTTGCAGATTTGAACTTCAGGAACAAAACGATAGGATAGATTCGCTGTGAACGAAGTTTCTCGATAGCCAACGGAGAGACTTCAAGGATACTGTGTTTCACCTGAATGAAAGAGTGGTTAATGGTATAATACTCCATGGTTTTCCATGGTATCCTATGGTATATTACAGTATCCTATGGTATCCCATGGTATTTATTCGATGGTATCTTCTGGTATCCTATGAAATACTTGTCGCACCGTAGTTGTCTGTTGCAATTCAATGCAGAAAGTTCCATAAAGTTACCTTATCCAAATCTTCTCTGACAGCTGACATTAACGTGACGTAAAACTGGCCATCCTTGAAGACATAGTCGAGATAAGCTCCTTCCGAAACACCTTTTTTAATTTCCATCTCCGAGGATGACACAAGCTCTGTAAGAGAGTGCGCTAATGAATACATTTACCAATTTACAAAACAGGTCGTCCAGCTTTGTGACACCTTCTTCCAGGCTGGAAGGTCTTATGAAATATACAACCACATGACCACGGATCACGAATACTTACGATTGTGACAAAGTGTGAACTTGTACGGAGCTCCTGTGGCCAATTTTTTGCTGACGACATCCGCCAAAGGACCCAATATTATCACTGGACGCGGATGGTGTGCTTGGAAAGAAACAAATCACTTTGGTTGAACGAAATTCAAGAGGGATCAAAATATTTAATAGATTGATTCTTACTGTCTAGTCTTTCGACGTTCTGGTAGGAGGCAACACCAAGTTCTAAAAGAAAAACTTCCGTTAGTTGTCGAAGAACTCCGATTAATGATACGCGAGTAATGATACGTTCATAATCGCGTTCTAGCAGTGTCTTGTCAACTCATATGCTTGCCACATCAATCATTGTTGCTCGCAACTTGGTTTCATGGGATTCTGTACGGCAAGGCAATTCAAGCGTACCTGTGAAAGTGGAAACACTCGTGTCGCTGCTTTCCCTGGAGTGGCTGACGGTATAGCTGTGACTTCCTTTTTTACTTCGTCTGAAGAAGCTACGTCTGCCAGCGAGCTTATTGTGTTCAGGATCTCCCTGGGCGACACTCAGCCGAAGCAGAACGATCTGATCGGCTCTTCAAAGAAGAGGAATTGGTATAAGATTGATACAAAAACAAACAAAGTTATAAAGCAAAAACTGTCAACATATTTCGACAAAAAATAAAACTCTGCGCTCTAATGTGAATAGCTCTATCATTTCATAAATTGTCGACATGTTATCCCTAAAATTATCCCTTGAAAAGTTTAAAATTAGCTGCGGAAAGTTCCTACACAAGGTTGCACATGGAGGTGACAGAAGAAAACTTACTTCATTCGGCTGGGAATCATTCCACACTCTCGTTGTTGAGCGTCTTCTTTGTTAACAACCCAGGCTTTCCAATTGCCCACGTGACCATTGTACAACGTGTCTGTAATGTAGAGTATGTCGTCTTTCTTGAACGATAACTGATCCTTGTGAGTAGCTGGATTGTCGAACATCGCTCTAGATCAGAAATACATACAATGGTTTTACTGACACCAGTTTTATAAAAAGAAACACTGGATCAATAAGAGATGATCCTTACTGGACCTCTAGGAAGAACAGTTTAGAACTGATAGAGCTATTCAGTAAAAAATTTCGATTCCTTACCGCACGTAAAGCGAATCGCCCGGATGATCTTTGATCACATTATACTCTAAAGATACATAGATTTCTCATTTTAAGCTTAGAAATACAACTAGATAACATAAAAAATGATGTTCACTTACTTGCGGGATTGTACTGAGCTCTCATCGTTATCTTCTCTGATGGTTTACAAAGCTCCAACGTTGCATGCTCCAGAGTTACGGCCGTAAAATCAAAGCCATTGAACTAGAAAAGATAAGAATAAACTTAGGTCTTATGTCAACGACATTTGTACGCGATGGAAATCAATTTTGACTGTCAATGGGAAACCTACCTCGAGAATTTGGTCACCAACCCGAATACCCAAATCATATCCGGGCGTCTTCACATCACACACGAATATTCCTGTGGCATTCCCGCCTAAAATATTCAGCCCAAGCCCCTGAACTGTTTGACCCGTCGTGATGTATCGTGGCTCGCTCGGGGCTTCGACATCGTTCGTCGGGACACTGGAATGGATTGAAATTATATCTGATTCTGAAGTAAATTTCAAACATGGAAAAGGCTATAGAATACTCACAATCTGCGTGGAACAGGAGGGGTTATGTCACTGTCTCCAACTGGGGGGATGCTTGCTTGCGAGGAATTTTGACTACACGTAAAATACAGAGCGTTAAAGCCAATTGCAATAAACCCAACTAGAAGAAATATATAATAGCCATGCTACATCATATAATAGCCATGCTACATCATTACCTTGCCATATTATCAATTACGTTCTCCTTGAGTTCTAAAATATATGAAGGAAATGTAGAGTATATTGCATTGAACAGGGCAGGAAAAGAAAATAAACACTGATCTTACTTTGCGGGTTGTACTGGACCATAAGACGAACGCTGCCCTCGGCTTGACTAAGTATAATAGCAGCCTGTCCGTAGGTTGCAGAACGGAAGTTGATGCCGTTGAACTAAGAAAGAAGATGATTAGGAATTGGACTGTGACGAAGAAGGTTCGTATATGTCATGTAAAGGGGTTACTCCATGTGTTTGCAAAGATAAATCCTCATTTATGCCGGCAGAAGACTGCTTTTTTAAAGGGTTTATAAATGAAGAAAGAAGTACCTCCAAAATTTGGTCGCCATATTGCAAACCAGCTTTCTGTGCGATGCTGCCTTCTGTGACGGTCGTGACAAATATACCACCGGAACTACCCTGGGAGATTTGTATCCCGAGAGGATAGGAACTCTTCTCAATGTGTAGCTTCCGTACTTTCTCCGCATTCCTAGAAATTAGAATAATGGTTTAGGGATTTCACGGAAATTTGTCAAAGATTGTATCGTTTTTCATTAGTTTTCTTACTTATCGCCTGGGTCTGATTGTTGTTGATTGATGTGGATAATATCACGGCCGAAGGTTGGTGTCGAGGCTCCTCCGATATGATGGGGGGTATTACGTCCTGACGATGAACCGACTGAGCTTGGGCCACAACTGGAGTGACTGGAAACAGTCGAGTGAGTGTCAATCGTGTTGTAAGACTGGTTATGAGACGACGACGATTTGTGGCGATGCCGTTGTGGCAGACTCGAGCGATTCTTTGAGGATTTCGGTAAAGTTTGTGGTGTTGCGCTCATTGTGCTCTGAAATATAATTATCACATCTTATGAGATTTTTAAAGCGAAAATTGATTAAGCTTGCTTCGTCTATATGAGCGAAAGATGAAATGAAAAAATGAAATTACAGATTTTGAGCTAACAATTATTAAAGAGGAACACCAATTTAAGAAAACTAAGGTTTCATGAAAGTTATATCGACAAACAGGCGATTTTAGAGCAATAAAAACAACACTTTCAAAACAAGAAAATATTTACCCTGACGTCGTGGCTCCGAAGATTTCTCTGCGGTTCCGTCCAAGTTCTAAAACGCATGTCGGGAGCAGATCGTTCCGTGTCGGCGTCCTCCGGTAGCGATAAATGTGATTGGTTGTTGCTGGTCATCGACGAGGTCGGTTGCACCCCCCTGGTGTACGTAGCAAAGTAAGGAACATTTCGTGACGTAGCAAAGTAAGGGACATTTCGCGAGTTGAAAGCCGGGGGGGAAAGAGCTTGAGGTCTGCCTGACAAGTGATTCCCTCGATCCGTCAACGAAAACGGGTCGGATGGGGATATAGGAGGATGAACCAGGTTACGACGGGGTAACGTTGTATCACCTGTGGATAGATGAACATATATTAATTTAGATGCGGCCCAGCCTGCCGTAGTTTTCGCGGAACGATACACATCTCAGTGGTGAAATGTTAGAATTCTTTCATAAGACTATAATTCTTCCATACAAGCTAGACTCTCACCTGAATGATGACGATTTTTGTCCATAAACATTTCCAACGTATCAGGTCGAACGACTGGTGCTGATTTTGGACGCGTCGCCTTCTTTTTCGCAGAAGAAATCCGCATTCCACGATCCAACGATGACACGTGATCATCCGTGTTAGATTCTAAGGTACTGGGCACCATTCGACGCCTTGCGTGAGTCGAGGAAGCGCCGAAGGACATCGTTGCGAGCTCGGGGCCGCCCGTTTGCGTGCCCGTCGTGCGCTCTTTATCTTCGTACAGCGGTGTTAGTGATGGCGACGTATTTATTGCCGTATTTGGTACGAATATCGACAAGTTATCGTTTTGCGAAGCGATGTCGTCGATTTCCGACTGCAAAGCGCTAGATATATCGCTTGTTCCGATCTTTTCCGATCCCTGAATGGCAGACAGACTGTCGGCTAGCATCGCTTCTTTGAATTCTGCCTTCTGACGAATATTCGAGATATCTATGATCTTATCATCGACCTCACCGAGGAGAGATTCTAACGGACTGACGCGGGGTGATGTAAGCGGTCTTTGCACTTCAATAATCAAAATACTTGAACTGAGCAAATCTTCCGTTTCAGCCTGTGATAAAGACGCTACTACGGTACCGTTGACCTGTCAAAAAGAAAGAAAAATATCGTTTTTATACAGCTAGAGATGGTACACCAATAATCACAGTTAGCTTAAGAATTGTGCTAGAAACTTTTTAGGTCACAGGCGATGTTATCCAACTCAGGATGGCTTGGTGCTGCTAGATAACATTGATCTGGTCTGGAGAATGCAAGACCCTTGGTTTTTTATGATTTTTTTAAAAAAACGGACTCATTTTTGCTGGAAGACGCCGTACACAAACACAAAAGACTATGACTGTAGCTTTCTCAAAGCGAATCTGAGGAGACAACTTGAGACAACTTACGGTAACAATCTTATCACCAACAGTTAATCGTTGTTCAAAGTCTGCAACACTTCCTGGCTTTATCCAACTGACAATCTTGTTGTTATCGACGAGAATTCCCAGTTCTACGAAAAATTTAATGTTTTATGTTTGGTATATACAAATATTTATACCAAGCACTAGGATTACGATTAATTTTTGTCTATTGATAAGTTTGAATAAATACTTATCAGCTTTGAAGGGTCAGGTTAAACATATAAGAACACAGTTTTTACAATGAATTTTTCGCTACCTTTTCCGTGGGGAACATTTAGATGAATCGGAGATGAATACCGTCCATATTCACTTAGTAATTTCTTCCTTTTTACAGTCTAGAGTGACAACAATTATAATTTAGAAGTCATAGAACTATCCTGTATAGCGATAGTTTATCTCTTTCGGTCTTTACTGAAAATATACTCACAATATTCAAACTTTCCTCATCATTAATAGCTTCGATGGCTTTATCAAATTTCAAGGTCGATACATCAACGTTGTTAACTCGCACTAAACAATCATTTACCCTGAAACCACGAAAGAAAAAAAGTGAAATTCTTGTCAAACGGAATGACAAAACCCGAAGTGAAATTCCGGCGAGCAATTCACTGACGATGCTGAAGATACTTGAAGACTTGCCTTAACTTCCCATCGGCCATACTGCCTTTGACAACGTTTGTGACGATGATGCTGGATTTACTGGCGGCCAAATCAAATCCAGGCTTTTCTTTTGCGTTTCTCTGTTAAATAATGTGAAAATTTTTGAACGAAACGGCGGAAGCAATGAGAGTCAGACTCCGACAGGTTCAATTCTTCTGTACTAGAGTCTAGACCTCTAAAACCTGTTCTACGACAGTGCAATTTTCACTTCTACGAATCAATACATACCTTTTTCAAAGCTACTGTTTCGGTCTCCCAATCCTAATGAAATAGGAAAGTTGGGCATGTTACGGATTAGAAAATATATTTGCCTACAGCGTTTAATCAGAGTTGCTCTTTTTAGCTCAAGTTTTGAAAAAAAATTGCAACATCTTACCGGGCAAGAATCCGTATCAATGGCGGAGTCCATACTCGTTACAATCTCCGCGCGGTCGTTGGTGTCCAGCCTCAATTTAATCTTCTCCCTGAGGGTTTTTAACTCCTCCATCGACCTGCTTTGCTCACGTCTTATCTGGTCCGTATCCCTTAGCAACGCTGCGAGGTCGCTCACGGCGCGATCACGTTCCTGCCTGAGGACATCACACGCCGCTTTCGCTGCATCCCGTTCCTGGAAACGAAATAATATATTAACACATCCACGATGGCAATACAAATTTGATATACAGTTGGATGTAAATCAAAAACTGCCTGTCGTATTCAAGTTGAGGAGCGTGTACTTAATGTACTTTACAAAATTACAATCAAGCATCTAGTAAAATGAACATATAGCGTTTCAAAGTAGAAACCTTCTATATCAGAGAGCCTACCTTGACCATTTTATCTCTTTCGCTAAAGGACCAATCACGTCTTTTCTTAGATACCTCTGCTTCGCTAAGCGCGTTAGCCAACTCTTTCGACAAAGCATCAAACTGTTTTCTAAGCGTCTCTCCATCTTTACTGTCGCCATTGAACGAGTCATTCCGTTGCTTCGCCTCAAAACATTCTCGCAAGATTTTATCGCGGTGAATGATCGCCTCGTGTCGTTCACGTCGGGCGGCGTCGCGTTCCTCTCGGAACATGTCGCAATCTTCTCGGACCTTCTCGCGATCTTTCGTGACCTTCTCCATGTCCGTCATCAATTCCTTCATCCGTTTTTTAACCATGCACGACTCCATAATCGCCTGGGGAAAATGATTTTGTGTTTTGAAGAAGTGGCGGTACTACAGGGGTTTATTTTACTACATCAAACGTCAACCATCAAACAACCAAACCTTGTTTAGTTGACACAGGCATCTAAACAGCTAGGTTATCTTACCTTATCTCTTTCATTGCGAACGATGCCTAAGTCACGATTCGTTATTTCATTCGCTTGTCCCAGTCTCTCCGTTTCCTCTTTCTGCTTCCCGGCATCCTCTTGGGCCTTGACAAGGTCTTCCTGAAGCTTATCCATTTCCTTGTGGACGCTATCTCGCTCACTCATCACCAGTCTATATTCACTTAGCGCGCTATTTCGTTCCTCCTGTAAAAACGATATTGGTGGATGAAAAAAATTGTGTACAAGACAGAGAAATCAACCGGTTTTTTGCAACTGATAGAGCTATCTAGTATAAATAGAGTTAGTTTAGTTTAGGTTTCCTCCTGTAGTAACACTGGATCAATAAGAGATGATCCTTACTGGACCTCTAGGATGAAGAGTTTAGAACTGATAGAGCTATCCAGTATAAATAAAGTTAGTTTAGTTTAGGCTTCGTCCTGTAGTAACACTGAATCAATACGAGATATTCATCTCATATATCCAGCATAAATAAATCCAGGCTGCTCTACCTTGAGTTTTGTGAGTTCCCGCGTCGCTTTCAACTGTAAAGCAAGCGCTTGATCTGTCTCTTTTACAGCAGCGTCTCGATGCTGTTCTGCTTGATGAATACGTCCTAAAATCACCTCGTTTTCTTGCATACATTTCTCCAAATTACGTTTCGTTACTGCATATTGCTGTCTTAAATATGCACGCTCGTTTTCCGAACTCTCTAGCTCCTTATTCACCTCGGAGAACTGCTTTCTCAATTCGTTATACATCTCTTCGAGACGTTCGCCCTTTTCCAAATTCACTTGAAACTCCATGGCCAATTTCTCGTTCATCATCTTCAAGTTATCCGTATTTTCGTCGCCGTGAGTTTCCGAGTTCCAAATCAAAGCTCGTTTGCCTCTCAACTCATTTATCTCCTTCTTTTCTTGTTCTCTCAAAAGGATAATTTCCTCGTAGTCCTGTTTTAACTTTTCACGTTCTTTTTCGCTCGCGTTTAGATTCTGATTCAACATTTGAGCTTCTCTCACGAGCTGGTCACACTTGTTCATTCCGACCAAGTGAAGGTTCCGAAAATGCTCCGATTCCAACAACTGGCTGTTGCATTTCGCTGCCAATTCTTCGGCCTGTTTCCGATGGACTTCATTCTAGGGTGTTTTGCAGAGTAATACTGAGTATATCTTTGCTTGTTTAAAATTTTATCAGGGCTGGTTGACATCCCAAAAGAGAACAGAAGGAAATAACAACTGTAACCATCAACTTTCATCAACTTTACAAACACTGCGCTTGTCAAAATTTCATGAAAGTTAAAAATGATTGTAAACTAGTTATCTGACATGCAATACCTCTTTCACAACATCTTCATATTTTTGTTTAATGAGTTCACATTCTCTTTCTTTCTCTTCAGTCACAATCCTTTTGCCATCATCATCATCATCCTTGGAGTTGTCATCAACGTTTGTCATCTTCTCTCCTCGTTCCTGTTGCATCTTCTTCAATTTCTTAACAACACCATCATATTTTCTCTGGATAACTCGAAGTTCGGTTTTCAAGGAGGTTGTCTCTTTGCAAGAGTCATGTTCTATCATGCTCACACTGCGATGCACATTCCCCTGCTTTGGACCTGTCGATATACAAACTGTTAGTCAAAAAGGGCCTTAGAGGGAGAATCAGGGAGCCCAGACCAAAATTGATTTAGGGAAACTCTAATCAGTAACTATGGAAGCATGGCCGAATTTAGGGATCATATCCTCAGCATTATGCAGAATTATTGACTGATGCTGGGAGAGAATTTATGTTGAAATGTCCTTTATTACATAACTGACTACACTCTACCTTGTCCACCTTCTTTATCCCTGTCTGAAAGCTTTGACTTGGCTTTAGAAATACGACCTGGAACATGAAGTGTAGGTGGAAAACTATCATGATGTCGCAAGATAAAAAAAATTACTCTATGGCATAATTTAAAATAAACCTTTCAATACAGATTTGGAAAAAAATATTTATTGCTTACTGGGTATAACATAAATTGTTGCAAATCTCAAATTGTTACAAATTAATACATAATTTTCTGCATTGTTTTCCAGCGATCGGCTGTGATATTAAATACAAATCGACTAAAATCTCTCGCAAACGAACTTTCGTAATACAACGGAAGAATTTATTGGCATTTCGGCCACTTGAAAACAACTTATAAACCATTCCAGCCACAATGTCAACATAGGAAATTTGATAAGACGAACCGGCATCAAAGTTTATAAATAATATAAAAACTACAATTTGATATTAGAAAGTGCAGTCTTACAGAGACGTTAACAAGCACGAAGAACAAAGAGTTTTAGGTGTTGATTTTCAGACAACACTAGATTAACAACTAATAATAAAGGAAGGCCGATGTAAACAAAGTACAAGACCGGCTGCTACCTGAGTACAAGTCTTTTGGGGGATCCATTCCCAAAAACATACAATTCAACATATACGGATACGTGGTCTCCAAAATTACACAAAACCGTTTAAACTTGTCATATCCTTTCGTTTTGAGGACATCTAAAAGCCGATCGACTCGTTGGCTGCCGATTTCTGCTTCAATAATTTGCCAATCTGCTTCGCTAAGGATATGACTTATCAGTAAAGACGAACTCAATCTTTCTATGTTCACAGCTTGCCTAAATTTGTCCCGATGGCGGTCTAAAATGCGCTTGTATTCTTCCTCCATCTTTGATTGCTTGTCAAAACATTTTGTGGACGATTATCGAGAAAAATCCATGTTATTTTTGCGTAATATTTTTTTATTCTCTCGATATAAATATACGATTTTAATACTTTGGTTTCTAAGGCAGCCCGCGCGCAGGCTGACTCGTTATTTATGCTAATTTTCAAATACTTAGGACTTGTTTTGACTTTGACCGAAGCCGACCGCTGGGGTCTTGTCTTGGAAAAACTTTACGAACTAAACGACCTTACAGGATAGCTTAAATCCTAAACATTTGTTAGGTACGGATACCAAGAAATTAATAGAGTTAGAGATAATTGATTTTGTATTTTTGAAATTGGCAAGAAATCAGGTCATATCTGCCGGACTGTACAGTGTAAACTCTGACATTGGTACAAAAGCATCGTTAATTAACGGTTCACGATAACTTGTGTCCACAAAGCGAATATCGCCAAACAGCTTCAATTCGACCTTAATGTAATATTGAGACGGATCAGCTTTTGCATGCTAAATTAGGTTAAACTGGTGAAATTTTGATAAATTGCCAAATGTGAAAAGCACCGAAATGGCTATATTTGTTTCAAAGGTCACACAAACTCTTGTCAATAAAGTTGCATTGATATTACTCTTTAGTGAAAGCAGAATATATCTAATGTAATTCGATGGAAATTAAAGACACTTCACTGTGAAAAGTTGTTGTTTTTCTAAAATATCAAATATGGTAGACGTCTTAAGCTTTTTATATTTTTTCGGTAAGTTGGCAAAGTCTCGTGTCCCTCGCTCGTCACTTCCTGCGCTCGTTCTCTGCAGGAGCACGTCATCACGTATTGATGATTTTAGCACAAACATTATGACAGAGTTTTGATCCTATACCAAATAAACTTAGTGTTGAGAAATAGTCAACACATATACACTATTAAAACGTTGTACGACGCGCAGTTTCAGCCTTCATTTGCAAAAACAAGCCACGGATATATGATTCACGTGTTACGTTGACGAATAGACGCAGTGTTAATTGTCATACCAGAAGATGAACGATCTTTACTGTTAGATTATGTGAAGGTTTACAAATGGTGTAAAACGAATAATAGTATCATTCATCTTGTAGACTATATATTACACCATATCTCTCGATATTAATTTGATATATACATTGCGCAACTGCTGGTCAAGGAGCTGTCTGTTGCCATCTGTTGAGTTAACCTGTTCATTTATCGCTAAAAAGCTGCAACATTAGCATCGCAGAAAGGCGATTTGTTCAAACACTAACCTGCAAATCAATACCACTTCAATTTTCGCCAATAACTTTATAAATACCTTCGTCACTTTTCTATCAATTTCCGAACAGAATGTTCATGTTTTTCTTCGGACTCCCCTCCTCAGACGTCGCGAGGCCTGTCAGCAATGGAGTGTTTTAAAACGGCTTGAAAGTTTGAACAGCGCTCAAACGGAAACTGTCTATTGAACACATGTAGGCGGCTCTTAAAGTGTTAATATTCTAAGGCAATAAGGTCTTTGTCTACTTGAATGCATGGTAAAAAAAAGTTGTATAAATTTGTAAAAAAAATCTGTTATTGCCAATAGTTTTGCTCGGTTTGTACCAATAGTCGCTTCTTGCAGACCGAGTTTAGCCTTTGGTGGATAATTCAATGGCTCATCTTTAGAGATTATTTGAAGAGCAATTGAAAATGTTGGCACGAACTCATGTTCTTTGTGAGGGGCCGAAAGAGGAGAGCCATTGTTTATGCTGGTTTTGAAGTGTCAAACCTCTGATAACCCTGGAGGGATGGAAATAAGCTGTGACCTTCACTTAAAACAAAGACTGAATTAACAAAGATTAAATCATGGCCTAATTTTAGACGTGGATGGTTTACTGAGTGATTGGTGTTTCTAGGGAGAATATGGACGAATGAACCCATTAATACAGTATGAATCTTTTGTTTGGTCACCATACATTTTCATAGTCTTCATTTCACTAACCTGAAACTTCATGTTGCGTCTGGTAAGTGGTAACAACTAGGAAAACCATATATTATGAAGTGTCTAACAAATTCACAAATTACAAATACGTTGTATTTTGGCTCAGATACAAACACTGGCGCATCTTTAATTGAACCAAGTACATGTACAAACTAAGGGTCCAATATCTTGAGACAGTCACAAAGTGTATGCCTTAAAATACTGGTGGCATTTTGCGTCATTTGACATTTGTATGGGTCAAACAGTGTTGGTGAATTCGTAGCTTGCGTTATTTTCATAACCATAGGAGAATCTCTGTGTATTTTTTGATCGCGCAACTGAATTGGCTTAAATAATCGGAACACACGTGTGAAGAATAGCTTAGCTGAGAGCTCACGTCCGTTGTTGGTTTTTTCTGCGAAATTAGACACGCGTAGCGATGAAGGCAAACTTTATCCTGTGATTTATTTGTTTTGCGTGGTAAAAAAATTATCACGCGTGTGTGCAGAATGAATGTCACTATATTATCTGAGAATCAAAAGTATTCAGTAGTTAATAAAATACGTGCTTTTTCGTGCACTTGATGATTAAATAAATATTCATAGCATGCCATCCTGTATCAGTTCTAAAAGCTGCCGTCAGGATCTTGCTTCACTTGCCCGAGATTACACGAATAATTATTCAATAAATAAATCATGGTATTGAATCGAGTTTTCCACTAGGCGAAATTTTTCAATCGAAGGAAATTTTTTGCTCGATTTTCTTTTTAATTGTGAGAATTCGACCGTAGCGGATTCCCTTCACCGATCACAATTGAAAAGAATATCAGACGAAGAATTTCGTTTCGTCGAAATATTTCGCCTAGTGGATCACGAGGACAGGCGACGAAACAATTGCAAAAGAACGAAAACGTTGTTAGAGCCTACTGGGAACCTTAATACGATAGAATATCCTACAGGTAAGTTTTAAAATTTAAAGGTTTTTTTACAATCAAATGTGCCTCGATTTGATGCCAACCAAAACCCACAGAAGCAGAAGCAACGAGAATACTGAAATCGTTCACACGATAACTTTACACAGGTTTTGCCCGCCACGATGAAAGTCGTTTCTCTCTCCATCGTGTTGTTTTTGACACTGGCTTTTGAGCAAAGCGAAGCCATAACTCCATTCTTCAGAAACATTCTTGCCGCGGGCATGCCGTCGTTGGTTAAAGGATACTACGCGATTTGTGACATGCGGTATGTTCCTTCGGGAGTTAGCTGTCCTTCCGTCGTCCTTGGAAAAGGTTTGTCTCGAAACATGGCTATAAATAATGCCAGGTCTAATGCGGGTTTGAAAAACTCTCGTTGTCGTGCATACGTCGGACATTGCCAAGTGGAAAAATTCATAAAATGAAGTCTTCAGCGTGGACGAACAATCGATCTCAAGACTAGACTTATGTCTTATAAAATAAATACTTGATTATTGTCTTTGCACTGATAATTTTTGTGTCGTGCATAAAGATTCGCATCGTCTATGGATAGAGACAATCCTGGAACAACAGTTTAGAACTGATAGAGCTATCCAGTATAAATAAAGTTAGTTTAGTTTAGGTTTCCTTCTGTAGTAACACTGGATCAATAAGAGATGATCCCTACTGGACCTTTAGAAAGAACAGTTTAGAACTGATAGAAATCATAAGAATACCCACTATAAACAAAGTTAGTTCAGCACAGAGACAAACGATACAGCTGATGCGAAGTATAATATTTCATAGGTAATGTTTCTATCTATAACACGTTGAATAAATTAAAAAATTCCTAATCCGTTCTAAATAGAGCTCTGGCAAAAGTAAACCTTTTGTCAAGTCAAGATTGAAGAATTTATCCTTATACAAGCCGATCTCCATATAAAGCAACACTCTGGACTGTTTACAACATTTTCAATTAAATAGATATACTTTCAACATAAATCACTCTTAAGCTAAGCCCTAAGGGGCTGTTTACATGACCCGATGATGATTTTGAGGTATTGAAATAAGTCTTTATGAAACGAAACAAACATATGCTTTGTCAGGATGACTACACGACTACCAGGATCATGTTATACACTTATTTCAATACCTCAAAAGTCATTTGACGCTTCGTTATATTTCGGCTAAGCGGAATGATGTGAACAGGTCCCAAGCAATCAATTTGAGGTAAACGTTATCCCCTAAATAATCAAACCGTCATGTCCAGTGTGCACTTTAGAGATCAGGGTAACAAACGAATAAATTAAATAAAAAAATTAGTCCCCACTCTTTAAGGTAGTGACCGTTTCTTCAAGACATTTTACACCACATAAATCCTCCTCCCCCCGTCTATACCATATGAGGTAATGTAAATGAATATATCTAACTACCTAGCTAGGGGGGGCAGTTTCTAATCTATTTCCGTCTCAGTATTTCCGGCAACACCGTCCTCAAAAAATTTCAAAATTTCCTCGTTATCTGAAAACATTCCTTGAATAACATTGTCGTCTTTTTCCTCCGAGTTTTCGGCCTGTCGTTCTTCGTGAGCCTCCGTCGGCTCTTCGTTATAACCCGAGTACCGTTTCTCCTGTAAAACAGGAATAGTTTACAGACAGTCAGACTAGCAGTGCTGCAATGATTAAAGGCTAGTTTCCACTCAGGAAAATTCTCCTTTGGATCGGACAGGACAGGAAAGTTTCCTTTGTATAAACGCCGCCTGAGAACTCACCGACAAAAGAAATTTTCCTGTCCGTTCCGATCCAAAGGAGATATTTCCTGAGTGGAAACTAGCCTTAACTGGCATTGAGGAAGCCAGGAAGGCTGAAAGAGAAACACTGAACACTGTTTTAAATATTGCAGAACAGCGGGACTATAGGGTACAAATAGGTGAAATTAGGATCTACCTCAACTGACAATTCAGAAGATGGATCAATAAGGAAATTATCATGGCCGTTAACGAAACCATTTGTGTGTTCGGAATTAACTGGTCTTCGTATTTCAGTGACCAGTAACCGATCCCGTGTTCCGTAGCTAGAGTATGCCAAACGCTTGAAGTTCTTTAGGATATCTGCACGGCCGATAGCCTGGAGATGAGACTCCAAGTTTTCCATCGTCGCCTCAGGCCCTCGCTCGTCCTTCCATATCTTTATAACTTCCGTTGCCGAGGCTTCGGTACTACGGTTGCTAAATGATTTGAAAGAAAACAGTTTTGATGTCTGTAGTAATACTGGATCAATAAGAAATGAACTGATAGGGCTATCCAGTATAATATAAAGTCAGTTTAGGTTCGTTTTCCAGTGGCAAATACTGAATTGAAACCTTACTTTAAATCAAGGATATCTTGTAGTTTTGGATCGTCTAATCCAACCTGCTGTCCAAAAGCAATCCAATCATCACCGAGATCTTTTGCGATCAATTGCATCAGCTCTTCGGTGATCTCCTGCACACCTGTGTCACGCCCGATATTCTGCGGGAGTCGTAAGAAAGATTAAGTTTAGGTTTCCTCCTGTAGTAATACTGCATCAATATGAGATGATCCTTACTGGACCTCTAGGAGGAACAGTTTAGAACTGATAGAGCTATCCTGTATAAATAAAGTTAGTTTAGTTTAGTTTTCCTCCTGTAGTAACACTGGATCAATAAGAGATGATCCTTACTGGACCTCTAGGAAGAACAGTTTAGAACTGATAGAGCTATCCAGTATAAATAAAGTTAGTTTAGTTTAGGTTTCCTCCTGTAGTAACACTAGATCAATAAGAGATGATCCTTTCTGGACCTCTAGGAAGAACCATAGAGCTATGAGACGATATACGTACTTCAGAAGATAAATTGATATCCAACGCACAAGCGGCATGTACTTTGCCGTTCCGATCTCGTCTGGGATTCAAAATGACCACAAGCTTCATTTTCATTGGCTCATTTGGATCAACGACGTGAGCAAAGAATGGCAAACGGTTTTCTCGAAAAGCAAAGAAGTTAAGTTGCAAAGCATCATCAAGCTGAGTGGTCATGTTCCCCTGGCAATGGAAGAAGACGGTCTGTCCTTCGCAGATCTCAATGTTCCTACTGCAAGCTACCTCGGTGAAACCTGCCGATTTGAAGAAAAGATCAAATGCTTATGTTGTATCATATATATCGACATTACAGTTTATCTTCGCAAAAAATCTCAGTCTCCAGCATGCGTGTGTACACAGCTGTTTAAAGTCGAGATTCCTACCTGTTTGCGTTTCTAAGGTTTTATCAACCTTATCATCAGTCATGCAAAATACTCGCAACTTTGCTGAATTTCCGTCGGCTGATAATTTTGCAAAAACGACAAACTTGGCCATGTATGGAACGGAACTTAATTTCTTGAACATTAATCTTGTGTCCTTTGTTACGTCCGAGTCGTTGAAGGTGTCGACAAGACAATATCTAGAAGAAAATTACCAGAAAACTTCAACTAGATAGCTGTATATCAGTTCTGATCAGTGTTGCTACGGGAGGAAACCTAAACTAAACTAACTTTATTTATTCTGGATAGTTCTATCAGTTCTAAACTGTTCTTCCTAGAGGTCCAGTAAGGATAATCTCTTATTGATCAGTGTTACTACAGGAAGAAACCTAAACTAAACTAACTTTATTTACACTGGATAGCTCTATCAGTTCTAAACTGTTCTTCCTAGAGATCCAATAAGATTCATCTCTTATTGATCCAGTGTTACTACAGCAGGAAACCTAAACTAAACTAACTTTATTTATACTACATCAGTTCTAAACTGTTCTTCAAGTATTTACCTGCCAGGCTCCTCAGCCGTAAAGGTGGCACAACCGTTGATAACTTTCAAAGGTGTTGACGCCGTGATATCACTCCAGTCTGACCCAGGCGCGCCAGTGAGATACGTAAGTACATGCTGGCCCGGGGAATCTCCGTAATCGTGTCGTCGGGTGTAGGACGGCGTCGGAAATGAGATCGTAACAGGACGTGAAAACGCGACGTCACTTGGGCCAAGTTTTATGATGGTACTAATGGCTGCTCCATCTTGCTGATCATTGAAATGTTCATCGACAGGTTGGACCTTATTGGTAGAAAGAATAAACAGCAAATAATTTATTGAAACAATATTGATTTGATTACATCTGATGGGTTTATTATTCCACTGACCTGTAAATGTAACATGGTACCAGGACTAACAGCTCCTTCGGGGATATTGACAGTGCACTGCGGGATATTGTGGGATTTGATTAAATCACCCTTGTTACCCGTAACAAACGTCTCTTTCTTCAATCTTGAAATGACCGCAATTCTTCCCGGAAATTCAGTCAATGAAATTTTAACGTGTTGTGTATCAATGCTTATGTCTTCTTGGTCTAAAAAAAGTTAGTAAGGATCATTTCTTATTGATCCAGTGTTACTACAGGAGGAAACCTAAACTAAACTAACTTTATTTATACTGGATAACTCTATCAGTTTTAAACTGTTCTTCCTAGAGGTCCAGTAAGGATCATTTCTTATTGATCCAGTGTTACTACAGGAGGAAACCTAAACTAAACTAACTTTATTTATACTGGATAACTCTATCAGTTTTAAACTGTTCTTCCTAGAGGTCCAGTAAGGATCATTTCTTATTGATCCAGTGTTACTACAGGAGGAAACCTAAACTAAACTGACTTTATTTATACTGGATAGCTCTATCAGTTTTAAACTGTTCTTCCTAAAGGTCCAGTAAGGACCGTCTCTTATTGATCAGTGTTACTACAGGAGAAAACCTAAACTAAACTGACTTTATTTATACTGGATAGCTCTATCAGTTCTAAACTGTTCTTCCTAGAGGTCCAGTAAGGATCATCTCTTATTGATCAGTGTTACTACAGGAGGAAACCTAAACTAAACTAACTTTATTTATACTGGATAGCTCTATCAGTTTTAAACTGTTCTTCCTAGAGGTCCAGTAAGGACCGTCTCTTATTGATCCAGTGTTACTACAGAAGGAAACCTAAACTAAACTGACTTGTATTAGGCACGTAATTCCTCGTTACAAAACTGCAGGTCGAATTCAATGAGATTACCTGAGCCGTTCTCAACTGCCAACTCTTTCCAATTTTGGCCGCCATCAAAAGAGCTCAATATGACCAACTCTCGCTCGCCATTGCGCAAGGAAGCAAAATGAGGAACTTCTAAAGACACTGGTTTTATAAACTTTACTCCATTTGGAGCTAAACTGATTATCCGACAAGCCTTCGCCTCGTGGTCAGCTATGGGTGGCATCAATGATTGCTTTATGGACCTAAAATATGAAGATTATATCCGAGAGATTCGTGAGAAATGTCCAAGACAGCCAAAATATGACAATGAAAGTACATGTTTAATGCATGCAGAAATGTATGTTCAGTCATTCACAAGATGTATGAGAGAACTTTTGAACTTTGGCTTAGCCACCGTTTAAGCTAATGCCCGATGCAGGTGAATTAATATTGCGATGGTGCTATTCTGAGTTACCATGCACTGAGGTCGAGTTCATAACCCAGCGTAGCACCATTAAAATATCTTTAGACAATGTCAACTAAAGTAATCAAAAGCTTTGTTATAGTTTTAGGATACTTACTTTAGCAGACGACACGTAATTCTTGTTGGCATTCTGCAGCTCTGAGCTGGAACAGTCATTTTTATACCAGTCTCACTACTGCGCATTTCACAGCCCCTCGCGTCAACCATGAAGCTAATTAGGAATCTAATTAAGGGGAGTGGCCACGGTTAATTATTAATAAGTATAATTTTTCCATCTCGATCAATTTGCGTCCATCAATCCTAATGCAGCCCACTTCAGTATTTTACTTTGTCTAATGACAGATGATTTTACTCATCAGTGGAAGAGTAATGTCAGATAATGAGTTAACAAAACTATCTGTCAGAGTCTCTCGTTAACCCATTAGCTTGCAATGCACCCAGATGTGACCTACTTTAGTATTTTACTCTGTCTAATGACAGATGATTTTATTCATCAGTGGAAGATTACTGTCAGTTAATAAGTTAACAAAACTATCTGCCAGTGTCTCTTGTTAACCCATTAACTTGCAATGAACTCAGATGTGACCTACTTTTGTATTTTACTCTTTCTATAATGCGAGATAATTTTTAATGTCAGTTTAAAAGAGCTCCCAGCAAATCAATTCATAGAAACCTACCCTCCGGATTTCGGCGGTCCGCGAGTTACATTATCCGTCGGTAATTTATCTAAATCAGAAGCTTCAAAGTTATAACTTGGCGAGGATTCGACGTTAAATGAGTTGGATACGATGACAACGTCATCTTCGAAGAGCTGCGAGTGCGTCCGATCGTCCTCCGACTTGAACGGGCTTATTGGGGAAGAGATGTCTCGGAAATGCTCGTGATACGACGAGTCCGGAGTGCTGCGCGCCGATAGCTCGTTTGGATTGGCTTTTTTCTCGCCGCCAACGTTCATGCTGCCAACATCTGGCATAAATGACTGCAGATAAACTTCTTCGCTGACGTGAGATTGGTTTTCTAAAACATTTCAAAAAGTTTCCTAATGAGCGAAACAGCATGCAATGAACAGTAGTCATTGTATTTTTTCCCAGTGCCACGAAAATAAACGTCCAAAAATTAACCAAATTTTGCCGTTGATTTCTTCATTTGAACCTAAAAAGCAACCAGAGTTTTACCTTCATCAATCTCCTCTTCCTCCAAGGTCACCATTCCTTCGCTTGATTCATCGTCATCCAGTTCTTCCGGCAGTTCAACGGGCTTGACTTCCAAACCAGGCTGTGAAGACGATGAATATTATTAGGTATCAGTTCTAAACTGTTCTTCCTAGAGGTCCAGTAAGGATAATCTCTTATTGATCCAGTGTTACTACAGGAGGAAGCCTAAACTAAACTAACTTTATTTATACTGGATAGCTCTATCAGTTCTAAACTGTTCTTCCTAGAGGTCCAGTAAGGATAATCTCTTATTGATCCAGTGTTACTACAGGAGGAAACCTAAACTAAACTAACTTTATTTATACTGGATAGCTCTATCAGTTCTAAACTGTTCTTCCTAGAGGTCCAGTAAGGATCATCTCTTATTGATCCAGTGTTACTACAGGAGGAAACCTAAACTAAACTAACTTTATTTATACTGACCTCAACTCTTTCCAACACGGTAATTGACACTTGAGTTGTTGTCACTCTCAACAGCATTTCCAAAATGTGTTTCCACTCCACAGTTGTGACTGTTTTGCTTAAGTACTGAGCGATGTAGAGCGCAGTAAATCCATCCTAAAGAGATGAAAACAAAAAAGTGTTTTCAAATTCGACGTGATGATCCAGTGTATCATTGACGTGATTTTTTTTTTTTTTTTTTTTTTTTATGATTTTTGAATACGTCATGTTATAAGTATAATAGTTCTACAGACTATTTACAAAAACAACTTAACTAGACTACTCGCTAATGTTGGAGTTCCATTCCGACAACGTAATGTCGTTAGTTGATGTGATGGACGCAGTCCTCCAACTTCGACTGCCACGAATCATTGACGTGATTCATTATTACCTTGGTAACTGCATCAGGCGGGGCGCTGTAGCTTAGCAACAGTTCAATGATCATAACGTGTCCTTGCTGGGCAGCAAAGTGAAGAGGCATATAACCTTGCGCGGTCGTCACCTCGACATTTGCCTCTTGTTCCAGCAACAGCTTAGCGATCTCGTAATGGCCGCAGTGACAAGCGATATGGAGCGGAGAGAACCCACTCTAGAGAGGGAATAAATGACGAGGATGACATATCACGGTATTCACGCAGTGGGCCTGCAGTTAAAAACTACAGGATTCTCCGATGTAAAAACACCTTCGCCACACGCTTGACATGTTAAACTTACTTTAGTTTGAACATTAATCTCAGCCCGATATTTCAACAGTAATTTGGCAACTTCGACACGATTGTATCTGGCGCAAACATGCAATGGTGTAAGGCCATTCTGGAGGAAGAAAACAGCAATCAAAAGTTTATTAGATGACGCAAATTGAACCAATAAAACTAACTCTATTTACACTAATAGTTCTAAACTGTTCTTCCTAGAGGTCCAGTAAGGATCATCTCTTATTGATCCAGTGTTACTACAGGAGGAAACCTAAACTAAACTAACTTTATTTATACTGGATAGCTCTGTCAATTCTAAACTGTTCTTCCTAGAGGTCCAGTAAGGATCATCTCTTATTGATCCAGTGTTACTACAGGAGGAAACCTAAACTAAACTAACTTTATTTATACTGGATAGTTCTATCAGTTCTAAAATGTTCTTCCTAGAGGTCCAGTAAGGATCATCTCTTATTGATCCAGTGTTACTACAGGAGGAAACCTAAACTAAACTAACTTTATTTATACTGAATAGCTCTATCAGTTCTAAACTGTTCTTCCTAGAGATCCAGTAAGGATCATCTCTTATTGATCCAGTGTTACTACAGGAGGAAACCTAAACTAAACTAACTTTATTTATACTGGATAACTCTATCAGTTCTAAACTGTTCTTCCTAGAGGTCCAGTAAGAATCATCTCTTATTGATCCAGTGTTACTACAGGAGGAAACCTAAACTAAACTAACTTTATTTATACTGGATAGCTCCATCAGTTCTAAACTGTTCTTCCTAGAGGTCCAGTAAGGATCATCTCTTATTGATCCAGTGTTGCTACAGGAGGAAACCTAAACTAAACTAAACTAACTTTATTTATACTGGATAGCTCCATCAGTTCTAAACTGTTCTTCCTAGAGGTCCAGTAAGGATCATCTCTTATTGATCCAGTGTTACTACAGGAAGAAATCTCTCACTCAAAATCATCAGTATTTCTAACTTACATTGGTTTGAATGCTAGGATTCGCCCCATGCTCCAGTAACATCGAGGCCGCAGCAACGTGACCTTCCTTTGCAGCCAAATGAAGCGGACTCACGCCAGTCTAATAAAAAATGAAATGAAACTAAAAAGATAAACTTTACCATGCAGTTACCATCTCGCAACAGACAGTGGCGTCATGCAGCGAGCCAGCGGTGATAAAACGCTGTCATATAAACACTACAATTTACAGTCTTGTGTATAAATGAAACATCTATCATTAAGAAAAGTACAGTTCAATTTAACCCACATATACGAACTAAAAATTTTAAAATTATAAAACAAAACATTATATTTCGAAGATTTCAAGTCTATACGTTAGGGTGACACTATATGCATGCACGGGACAGTATTTAGGGAGAGTATACGCAATTCAAAAAAGATATTGAGAATTTATAAAGTTGTTTCTGCACACTTCGCGAGGCTTTCAGAACAATGTGCATGATGATTTAATTGTTTGTGAATAAACGACGTGAATTTCTCATTACCCAGGTTTATTCGCTTCGTAAGTCCATATTTTTAAAGCAATCATCGAATGGGGAATCACAGGTTAACGGAGGGGAAGCCTTGGAAACAACAAAAATGACGTCGTGTATTCATAAACAAATATTTAAATTAGTGGGGATTTGTTTTGAAACGATCTCCAAGCGACGCAATTGACGCCGAAAACTGCTGTGTGCCACGAATGAGTCAGGCCCAGGGATAAAAACGTTTACGCGCATAACAACAAAGTGATATTGTTGACTAAATTCTGTCAACGCAAACGGAACGAGAAATAAGTACAAGCAATTACACTTTCTCTTTCTCAGGATAATTGAGTATTGTTCATTAACGTATACACGTCTCAACAGGCATTATAATACGCGTGTTTTTGACACACTTTGTGTCCTTGTGAAAGGCGAATGTGTCCTTGTAAATGGAAAAGTGTGTAGTTAAAAATCATGCCTCATGGACAAAAATGTCTAATATAATTTTAATTTGACTATTTAAAATAATTATTGTTTCTATTATAAAGTTTGCTTTGCATGGCTATGCTCTTTTTTATATGCTTACGTTGTAATTTCACGTTGTAATTTCTAAGACTAAGTGATTATTGAACCTAAAGACAATGTGTGTCCTTGTAAAAATTCCGTATTATAATGCCTGCGTCTCAATACAAAAGCTCATAGCCTGGGCTACAGCACCGTAGCTAGAAGCTTAATTGGGGGGGGGGGTTGTACATTCATATATTCGTCTTATGTCCGATTAATTTCTTTTGTACGCTATTGTTCCTACGGTATATAAAGATGAATATATGAATATACACCCCCCGGTCTAGCTATACGGCCCTGCTGGGTGACCCCTGTTGATTTTAACCCCTGCATGATAGTCAAGAGTGATCTAAAAATATATACATCACACTTTAGGAATACATTATAAATCCTTCATACACGCACGCTATGTATAATTTTTTTGGCAAGATAATTGAACTAATGTTAACTTTTCTCAAAACTTACACTTCATTAGTGAAGTAGAAGCCCCATATAATTTGCAGCTTATACTAGTAGTAGTACAGTTTTGAAACACAGAACGAATTGCTTGCACATGTATGCCCTGGTCACATTAAGTAAGCACGCTCGCACTTCAAAAGATCCCTTTGTAGATTGAGCGAAAAAACGCGAGAAACGACGCAATTTTTCTTACTTTTATCAGTCCAGAAGTAGTATAGAGCATTTGAAAAAAATACAGTCGGTATTAAACCTGGTTTGGTCGCTCGTGAATGTACATTGACATTGTATGAAAGTAAATATGCATGGATGGATGTCACCGGCCATGAATCGGATCAGAAATATAAACTTTATTTCTGCGCACAGTGCTTGTCTTGCAGCAGACCTATAGTCTATACAGCCGAGCTACGTAATTTTCACAAGTTTGTAAACACGTTACATGCATAATAAAGCACACCAATGGATCTCGAAGGATATCGTGCAAAGTTACATTGTGTTTCACAGCATAACCTACGCTAAATCTTACCGTCCGCGACGCAAAATGTCCTTTTTTCCTCGGTACAATCTCTCGATATCGTGTTTTAGCGACCACCGTAGCATTATACATTTCATAACGCTGTTATCAGTCTAGCTTCTAGGGGCAGCTGTCGAGTTCTCGAGAAATTATCATCAAAAGCAAGCAAATAAACCGTCGCAATGGCGAATGTTAAAATAAAGAACTAATTCAATAATTATCTGCCTTGTGCGTATGCAAATGACTGCGTTTTCGACAAGAGGTATTGTGTAAACAGACATCCGGATTAATTCAGCAGGCGCTCTGTTCGGAAACAGCATACAATTATGTTGCGATTATAGTTTTTTTTGCTCATTTTAAATTGCAAACGTGTTTCTGAGTGTCTGCGCGAGATTATAACCTCGGCGGGAGGTTATTTCTTACCCCATGCATGGCGTGACGAATATTTAACTTTGTCTGACGGAGGAAAATTGAGTTCATTCTTGGTAAAATTGCGCGACAATTTTTTGCTTGACAACCCCCAATTGATATGTATATATAAATATATATTTTTATGCGAACTAGGAAGATCTATAGAAGCTTGTTAATATATGATAAGATTCATTGTTATGTCATAAACAAAATGCTATAAACAAAACCGAATCTATGGAACAACAGAATAATATTGGATAATGTAGAAACTTCATAAAATGTAAACATTTTGAAAATTTAATTTTCACGTTTTGACCAAATTATTAAACTGAACCTTCGTCATTTATAGCTAAATGCATTAAATATGTTCTCCCATTGCGAAATAAACTATTTACATCGAAATATTTCAGCTTGCTTATTCAATAAATAGTTAATTTTGTTTTTCATTTTGAAATTATCAGCCGTTGCATGACAACGAAAGGTTATAGACGAGGCAGAAATTAAATTTTTAATATGTCTATACATTTTATATGCATAGAGCTTCTTTATTGTACTAAATCACAATATATTTCCGTGAGTCTAAACTTAGTTTTCCAAACTCTCGTGCGATTGTCAAACAAGAATGAGAGTCGAGAACGAGAGTTGACTGGATGTTACATCGCGCGCCTATTTTGTGCTATTTTGTACATTTATTTTGTACTACTTTGCTGAACCTGTCAACCTGCTATACTACAAAATGCAAATTGCTAGCTGCATTGCAACTCTCATCAAATCCCATGACTGACCAAACGAATACGAACTCTCATGCATCTAAATGCGAACCAGTTCAAAGTGGGTTAGAGAGCACAAGAGTGTATCAGAGTTCGCAGTCAAACGCTAGCGAGAGTTGCAATTCTGATCAACTCTCAATCTCGTTCGACTGGGGGTTAAACCAACGGTATGCTCAACCAACTATACATTCGTTCGTTTCCATCCAGCAATGAAAGAAAATCACGCATAGAAATTGCAGTAAAAATTGCACATGCTAACAGGCCTTTTTGTTATTTCTGTGCAAAAGTTTACCGTTTTTATTACATGACGTACCTTTGTCTTTGTGTCTGGTTCGACTCCATGCTCCAGTAATATTGCGGCCACATCGTTTTGATTACGTAACGAGGCAATATGGAGAGGAGTGAAACCATTCTGCAGGTGAAAATGGAGTTAACCATAAGTGCATGCATGCGTTTACTAAAGAAAGCTATCTTTATCTAGAGTCTAGACCACCATCTTGCAGATGAACATGGAGTTAACCATAAGTGCATGCATGCGTTTAACTAAAGAAAGCTATCTTTATCTAGAGTCTAGACCACCATCTTGCAGATGAACATGGAGTTAACCATAAGTGCATGCATGCGTTTACTAAAGAAAGCTATCTTTATCTAGAGTCTAGACCACCATCTTGCAGATGAACATGGAGTTAACCATAAGTACATGCATGCGTTTACTAAAGAAAGCTATCTTTATCTAGAGTCTAGACCACCATCTTGCAGATGAAAGCCATATAGTGAGAAAAGCTTGCGGATGAAAGCAATAAAGAACTGTACCTTTGTCGTTGCATATTTCGAAGCGTTCTTGTTTAACAAGAGCAAAGCCACTTTCACGTGATCGTAATGGGAGGCCACGTGCAATGGTGTCATTCCATGCTATGGATGAAAGGAAAAAAAACACGGTCTGTTGATACCCCATCAACTCACATGCAACTCTTGTTCTCGCGACATGTGTTTTGTAAACTTACGAAGACTCTTGTCACCTCTCAAATATGAAAGTCTTACCTTTCCAGGGGGGTCAGGGGACGGATAGTGATGTAACAAAATCTCAACTGTTTTCACGTGACCATGGCGTGCTGCTTCGTGTAACGGAGTAAAACCTTTCTGTAAAGGTAGACAAGAAAATCTTCTTGAAACGCGCATATATTCGTGCTTGAAAACAACAACTCTTTTTAATACTATTGCACCAAACGTAAAATGTGGGTTAATCAAGTTGATTTTATGGCTCTCTACTGGTTGTAGGGAAATGGTTTGATGGTTACGGTCTAAATTTTGAGCGGAAGTCAAACACAAATAGGTATAATCGTTATTTAAGACGGTAACATTATAAAAACGTACTTGGTTCAGTTCCATCAATGGAGGCTTGTGTTCAAATAGAACTTGAACAATTTCATCATCGCCATTTCTCGCGGCAAGATGTAACGGAGTGCATTTGTTCTGAAAGAATAGAAGATGAATGCTGTTAATCATTCACCGTTACTGAAGTTTCAGATATTTTCAGGCAGTTTAAGACACAAACAATATGACTGCTCAAATCTGTGCTAAGGAATTCCTAAGTTTAAATTTTAAACCATCCTGGTTTGTGTAAAACAAAATTGAAAACGATGCCTCAAAAGATGCGGCAAAGTGTGGGTATTTCTCTGGGAAAAGCTATGCTGATTTTTGTCTGAACTACGTGAGAAAACTGAACTTACTCTGTCGATATTTTCAGATGAAGCTCCGTGATCCAGCAACAGTTTAACCATCTCAAGATTCTTCGTTTTGACAGCAATATGAAGAGCAGTTTCTCTGGACTACGAATTTACAAAAAATGGTACACTTCATTATCGAATGGAGGTTTCGTGTTTCATTATGATCGTGGTTTACTGGCTAGAACAAACGGTCCTTGCTCACCTGCGTCTTCGCATCAACGGCCGCACCATTCCGCAACAACAGACGAACTATATTGATGTTTCGTATTCTACAGGCAATGTGAAGAACCGTCTCCCCTCGCTAGAGAGATAGAGCAAATCTATTTAGATTTTGTTCAACTGAAACAGGCACTCGTGCACGGGGAAACTTCTTAACGTGGAGGAATGCAATGCAGTTTTAAAGAGTACTTCTTGTCCATCCACAGCCCATGTTAAGCAAACTGTTTCAAAGCATGTCGGAATTACTAAAGGAACATACCATATTCGTGACATCTGGTGAGCCGCCATTTTGTAACAACATGACGACGACAGAGACATTACCATAATACGCGGCCACGTGCATTGGAGTTTGACCACCCTATAGAAACAGGCAGAAAAATGTCTTTCCTCAAAAAAGAGTCTCCGGAACGTTTGTGGCGAAAATATTTCCAAAAATGAATATTTTCAGCGAGTCTTACTTCATTCACAGCATTAATGTTTGCTCCGTATTTGAGTAAGAGATGAATAACGGGCTCATGGTTCTTCTTGCAGGCAATGTGCAACGGAGTGAAGCCATTCTAGATTTCAAGAAAAACATAAGTGAATGAAGCAAGGAGTGGTGAAAAGTATTAGGATATGAACTGTGAGGGCGTTTACACGCATGTATAGTTTGATTTAGCAAAATAATTCCTTCAACTTACTCTGGCTCGTGAATCTGTGTCAACTCCTTTTGCAAGTAAAACTTCGGTCGCTTCAACGTTTCCATAATGAGCTGCAATGTGAATTGGACACAATCCGTCCTACAAAGATATGCAAGACAAAGTTGAGGAATATTTTATTTTAAATCATCTCTTACTGACATCTATTCAGTGTTACTACAGGAAGAAACCTAAACTACAGTAAACTAACTTTATTTATACTGGATAGCTTTATCAGTTCTAGACTGTTCTTCCTGGAGGTCCAGTAAGGATCATCTCTTATTGATCCAGTGTTACTACAGGAGGAAACCTAAACTAAACCAACTTTTTTTATACAGGATAGTTTTATCAGTTCTAGACTGTTCTTCCTGGAGGTCCAGTAAGGATCATCTCTTATTGATCCAGTATTACTACAGGAGGAAACCTAAACTAAACTAACTTTATTTATACAGGATAGCTCTATCAGTTCTAAACTGTTCTTCCTAGAGGTCCAGTTAGGATCATCTCTTATTGATCCAGTGTTACTACAGAAGGAAACCTAAACTAAACTAACTTTATTTATACTGGATAGCTCTATCAGTTCTAAACACTTCTTCCTAGAGGTCCAGTAAGGATCATCTCTTATTGATCCAGTGTTACTACAGGAGGAAACCTAAACTAAACTAACTTTATTTATACAGGATAGCTCTATCAGTTCTAAACTGTTCTTCCTAGAGGTCCAGTTAGGATCATCTCTTATTGATCCAGTGTTACTACAGGAGGAAACCTAAACTAAACTAACTTTATTTATACTGGATAGCTCTATCAGTTCTAAACTGTTCTTCCTAGAGGTCCAGTAAGGATCATCTCTTATTGATCCAGTGTTACTACAGGAGGAAACCTAAACTAAACTAACTTTATTTATACTGGATAGCTCTATCAGTTCTAAACACTTCTTCCTAGAGGTCCAGTAAGGATCATCTCTTATTGATCCAGTGTTACTACAGGAGGAAAATGCGAGAAAACTCACTTACCACAGCGACAGAATCTAAAGGTGCTCCATGTTCGATTAATAACTCGATGGTCTTTGAATGGTTGCCTTGAACTGCCAGGTGCAACGGTGTTAATCCATTCTGATAAAAGATATGTTTTGAGTTTAATGAAAGATACTTTGACCTGCCCGAGTTGTGGTTTTGAATGATGCAAAACCTCGTTGTTTTCGGCGAAAACTGCGACGCCATACCATCGTTTCAGCTTGGTCTTATTTACATTTACCTTGGTTCTAGCGATGATATTTGAATTGCAGTTGAGGAGACTTTCTGCGATAGCCACGTGTCCCTCACGTGATGCGCAATGCAGTGAGGTCAAACCATCCTAGGAATTAAGAACGATATATATGGTGTTTCATGTATGTGAAAGCAATTTGATCGACCATTCGTTGATGCGAACGATAGTATCTTTACCCTGTTTGGTTTGTCGGGTTTTGCTCCAGCTTGAAGAAGAACGGTGACCATATTTGCATGACCAAATTTGGAGGCAGCGTGCAACGGAGTAATAGCATAGGTCTGAAGAAAAAAATTATCATTAAGGGCCTGTTTACATGCATGAAGCGAGTTATCTCGGCTAGGCGATGTGATAACTGCATATAATGAAAGACTAATCAGGTTAAGCGTTTGATATGATACGCTTTTTAGTTTTTACCTCACCTAGCCGCGGGATAACTCGCTTCATGTATAAACAGGCGCTAAGTTGTCGTTTCTATCACTCGCAGACGGTTGGTAAATTTTATAGTCGGAGACCATTGTTGCATGAGATATTATGTCGGTCGACAGAGGTCATTGCAGACGACCTGTGAGTGATGGAAGCGAAGGCAGGAACCATGTCCATGTTTGCTTCATTGCTTGCCCCAAAAAAACATACAATATGCGAATAACAAAATAAAATGAATAACAAAAATATCCGTCTTTCTCGATATATACAGTGCATAACTATATAGCTAAGTTCCATCATGAAACATTGAGACGTGAAACATCGTGAAACATCGATGAACTTTTTGAAATCACTTTTATCTTATCGCGTGAGCTTTCAGACAGTGAAGTACACTCGGAAGCAGCCATTTTTTTTAACAAAGCAATGGAAATATGGAAATACGGTCCTTAAATTAATGAAGTACCTTAGTGAGTGCGTCGATATCGGCTTCGCTGTTGACGAGTAGGACTGCGGCGTTTGTGCTGTTGTACTTGGCAGCAATGTGAAGAGGTGTGAAGCCGTTCTAGACGTCGAAAAAAAAGAAAGATCTTCCGTTTATAATAGCTACTTAAAGGCACCGTTCATACCATGAGGCGTAGTGGGGTATTTGAAGGAATACGAGGGGAGCGCTCCCTCCACGTAGGTAGGGTCAGGACCGCCAATGTGACTCGAGACAATGTTCGTAAAGAACATTCTGTACTTGGCCGGGGTTACACACATTTTTTGAAAACAGTTTCCCACCAAAATTGAACCGCAGGAAAGAGAGAGAGAGGGGTTCTCTTCAGCCCTTGCTCCTACACCTATGCTCATAACCTATTCATCTCAACTGTAAATCACTTACTGGTGCCCTGACATCAACGGAATGCCCTTTCTGAATGAGAAACTTCATCGGCTTCGTCAAATCTTTTCTAGCAGCGTCGTGTAAGGCATGGAACCCTTTCTGAAATTGAACAGCGAGTATTTTTTAAGAGCAACAATGACAATCGTACGAAATTTTGTAAAGTATCTTGTTAGACTACACGGGCCGGTTGTATCAAACCCGTTTACCTTAAACGGTGGTTAAGTTCAAAATAGAAAGCAAGTCTATCGTTTAACTCAACAAGCAAACTAAATGTTTTGAACTTTAATACAACGATACTGTTTACAATTACATATTTAGTGCATAATATTCAAGTTGACTCATTCAAGAGAGATTTAATTAAAGAGTGTTATTTAATTTTGATTTTTAACCACCGTTTCAGGGCTAGACGGGCTTGATACAACCGGCTTCAGATAAACAATGATGATAGAATATAAAGCTTCTGACCCTCTTCTCGCTTCTTAAAAGAGCAACAACGACCGTCTCATGATCCTGCTGGACAGCGACGTCCAGTGCTGTAAAACCATCCTGGTGGATTGAAGAAAAATTAACAAAAATGATGATAGTTTTCCATGAGATTTCCATGAGTTTTTGTTGCGGGAAAGAGGGAACTTGCCCCCTCGCAAATACAAGTAAATCCTTCCCTGAGCTATTTCATTGTACCTCAGTCAAAGCTTGCAAGTTTGCACCATTGGCAAGGAGTAGTTTCACTGTTTCAACATGATTTTCTTGGGCAGCCATATACAAAGGAGTAAAGCCATTCTGAAATGGAAATCCACGTAAGATCAGACAAATAGGACTGAGTGCAAACAGTGCTGGCCACAGCACAGCATAACACAGCACACCTCGCTGCACCACACCCAAACAACACGACAGATATAAGCTGAAGCATAACTTGTGATGATACCTGAGCTTTCAAGTTCACATTTGCACCTTTGTTCAGGAGCAACTCAACGACTTTCGACTGCCCAGCCAAACATGCAATATGCAGAGGACCGTTGCCTTTCTAAATAAACAAAAAAACTCACTCAAGGCGTTTTGTTTTAAGCAACCAAAATAATCAAACCGGTCATACTTTGAATTGAAATTGAAATAAAGTATTGCGGTAAAAACAAAGCGGCTAAACTGCTAAGTTTAATTCTACTTCCACCAAACTAATTGCCTACCACATGACCACATGAATTTAGGTGAAATTAACCATCATTCTGTAAACGCGAACTCCTCTCATGAGATGAGATGACGAGTTTTTCCATTATTTTTTCACCCATTTTTCACCGAAACCGTTATTCTGATAAATCTCCGTACTGAGAACAATAATTACTTCAACAAACCTTAGTTTTTGAATTGACGTCAGCTCCATGATTGACCAGCTCTTGCACAATATCTGTGAAGCCTTCTTTAGAAGCCAAGTGTAGCGAATTTAATCCCGTCTATAAGAGTGTTCAAAAATGTATATATATACTTCCTTTTTCTCAGGTATTGAAGACAATACAATAGACAATATCAAAGACATCTTCCGTTAAAAACACGCATGTATGCCGCTGCAAAGGTTTGTCAGTTGAATTTCATCATTTTTTTTGTCCGAATATTATGACAAGTATTCATTCAAATGTTTGTTTGATGATGGGCAAAATAAAACGCCCAAAACTTGCAGCTGTACGATGATAAGATAATCCTTTATCGGCAGACAATTTCGTCGAAGATAAGGAAAACATATTACACGAGTCCTTGGAAAGAAACAACTCGTATGAACTTAAAGAAGAAGTTGCTAAAAAACCATTTTGGTTCGATGAGTCAAAAACGTTTAGTCTTCTTGAGTTCGCATGCATCATGCCAATTTTTGATTGTATATTTTATTTTTCTATCCGATAAGAGCTCGCCTTAAAAAAACACAAGGCATTTGTTGTTAGAGCGCTGTTCTTCCAAGTTAATGTTGCATGAAAATTAAGCAAACGTTTTACTAGTTCTGGAATTCCATCATCATATGTGAAAGGTGAACTTTCATTGGTGAATATATACAGTACATTACAATATAACAGAACATTACAATAATTCACGCTTACAGAATTTGTCACATTGATGTCAACATCCTGATTCAGGTAATTTTTCACTTTCTCCAGGTTCCCAGCACGCGCGGCTCGAAGCAGCCCAACTTCCTCCTAATGTAAGAGGTAAAATTAAGAAGATCAATGCCTGCATGGACCGTGTTTAATGGAACTAGATTTCATGTAAAATCCGGCACGTGTTCTAGCTCCCCATGGCACGTGTACTCTGGCTGGCCAAATTTGAAGAGTCCTGCAATTCAATGACCTGCTAAGCAGGAATGTAACTTAGATCTTTTCACTCCTTCGCACCCTCGCCCGTTTGCAATTAACTGTTAGGGACGTTCGGTTATAGCTACAGAGAAAATTACCCGAATTTGGCAACGCACGAGCTGGAGCTACTTCGTAAAGGCAGGAAGCTTTTGTTACATATAACGGTTGCAGAAAGGCTTAGGGCGGGGTTGTGGCGAGGCGAAGAAACTTGATTTAAAACGATGAAATTTCCACAACAAGGATTTAAAAACACTTTTCTCGTAAAAACAATTAATCGCCAACATAATTGCATTATAACAAAAATAGAATGTAGGATTCGAAAGATGAAGTTGTTAGGATAAACTAGGAATGACAAACGAACTACAAAGCTTTCTCATTTTTCGTCGACAGAAGCATGCAATCTCATACTCTGTCTTCCATTTTATCTTGATTAGCGCTCTTCTAACTCATATACGGTCAAAGATTACTTTGCAACAATAATATGCAACGCATTTCCTATGAAATCCCCACAATTTAGACCAAGGAAATTACATGCACAGGACAGAGTAAATATTTATTTACAGTTTGTCTCGTATTTTATGTAGAAAGATACTGACATCATCAATGCAAGATCAAAACATTGACTGACAGAAATCCAAAAGCCTAAAATCAACACCTAGGAACACTGGTGATCATCTTGAATTCATAAGCCATCGTAAAACGTTATCAAATATTTTTCCGAGAAGCGTACAGCGGTTTAATTGTATAATGTTGATACGAACAAACCTTGGTGTGTAGATGCACGGCTTGTTGTCCATCCATGACAGCGAATATTTTCGAAAGTTGACAGAATGTTTTAAATCCTAATATGTATTTTCAAACCTCCTTTCTTCTCATAAATATTTAACGATGTAAGGCTTGCTCATAAAAATTACAAGCACGCAACCTCGGCCGGTTTTAAATGGACCAATTAGATCCAACACGCCAAGAGACAATCGATCATCACATGAAACGAATTTACGCTTTTCAAAAGATCTTAAAATAAATTTGGCTTATGATAATTTGAGTTTAAAGCTCTTTTCCGCGGAGCTTTCTTTGCCCGCTTAATTTGGTCTAATGATTCTAAATTTAATGGAAGTTCCAATTGGTAATTTGCAATGCATAATGAGCTAGCGCTGTCGCAATTTAATAATTTAGATATTTTGTCTATTGTGATGGGTAGACAAACAGAATGTTTGCACTCAATAATAAACTGAACGAGGCCAAGTGCTTGGGCCAATACGATCAAGGAAGAATCCATGCAAAACATGGAATAATTTAAACTATTTAACATAAGAAGCTAGATAATTTGGCAACAAAAAAGCCGAAATATTCAATATAATTTAGGTTAGCCAGCTAGATGCGAAACAATAGCCGCTCGTTCAATATAGCCTACAGTCTATTAAAAGGAGGAACCCAGATATACATCATTAATCAAGAAATATCTTTAAGTACAGATTTTCATAATATTGAAGTAGTATAGGTAATGCTTTTAAGCTATTTCCCGCCAAAAATATATGACACAAAACGAAGCGAAAGTTATTCGTTTAGAAATGCTTATTTTGATGAAGCAAATCAATTCCCGGTGTACAATTTGAAAAGAAACTACAAAATTAGGTCGAAATTCACAAACACAAACTCATAACAAAGATTAGTACAAGCTGTGTTATGATGCAAGGCAAAATTGAGCAAGTTCCCGCCAAAAGTATATCTCACAATACGACATTTTAAAACAACAACGAACACGGCAAATTACGCATTTTATATTGTTTAGTTCGACAGTTCGACAAACTACTCAATTTCAGGTGCGGAATTTGAAGAGAGTTCATAATATAAACGAAATTCTTAATGACAATAATGTTGAATTTTAATAACAACGTTTCCCGCCAAAAATATAGTTCACAACACGGCGTTTTAAAACAACTAAACGCAAACTATTCGTTTCAAATTGTTTAATTCGACACTTCGTCGATGGCAATCAATTCCAGGTGTAGATTTTAAGACTGAAGAATACGCCATAAAAACGAAATCTGTAACGTTAAATTTTCACCACATTTCCCGCCAAAATATATTTCACAAAACCACTTTCTACATGCGATATTTTCGCTGACGATGCTTGACCTCAACATTTTTGGGCGACTTAATATTCTTTTTGGCGTAAAAACTACCAGGAAATTGAAAAAAAAAACGTTTCCCGCCATCCAAATTCGGCCGCCATTTTGGATATTTTTATTTTGCATTCATTACAATAACTTGCTTAAAGTTAGCCTCCATTACCACATCGATACGACTTAGCTTTTGAATTAACGCCAATAGTCAATTAATAATCATTTCAATTTAGCTGTTGCTTGTTTTTCTTTAGGGACATTAAAACTACTTGAACAAGCAATATATAATAGTAAACAGTCCACATAATAGAGCTTATTACAATGTTACAAGTGCATGTCTAAGCATATGTAACCAATTTTATATGCTACAGAGTTTGCACTTGCATAAATAAGTTGGAATGGCCCTCTTGAAGAATAATTAAAGGATTGCAAGGTGATTGCAAGGTGATTGCAAAATCCTGAGCACTCATGTTCTTTTTTGTTCATTTATATTAAAAACATTTGCTCTTGTCTACTTTGGGCTATTTACATCAATTTGTTGTTGCTACCAATTATTAACTGTGATTTTTCAATGGAATTATGAATAGTATTATTCATGCAACTCAGCAGGTCAGTGTGTAATCTCATAAACAGAGTCAGGCAGACTTGCCATCATAGACTTATGTTTCTTCAAAAGAATTGACAAATGTAATATACTCCTTTTGTGGTAACACTACCCTGGCCTTAGCATTCTGAAAGCTGAGCTAAGGTTACTCATGGCAACAAATTACAACATTCAAACCTAATACTGACTATAATGGCTAGAACAACAAAATGTTTTGCTCGATGATTGAGTATTACATTTTTTTGCATTATGAAACACTTGATGAAACACAAAACAAGAGAAAGCCTTAATTACAGCTGTCTGGACATACTGAGCATCTCTGCATGCTGTTAAATTGTTTACAATTTTGATAGTCCAAGTCATAAGGTATTAGAAATATGAGATAAGAGGTTTTAAGCTTGGCATACTTTACTTAAATCTCATCAACAATGAAAACGTTTTTGTATTAAGTACAATAGCTTATCCAGACAGCGGTATGATACAAATATGCCAGTAGACAAACTGCACACAGGTTTATTTGCATTGAAAGACAAACAAGCTTCTTGAGTGGATCGCTGTGTATTGTCGAAGTAATGAGTTTTTTTAAACTTGCGACAAAAATAACCTTAGCTCGTGTTTCAAATGTTTAAATCTCGTGAATGATAATCTTTATTCAGTAAAACGACAGTCTTTTGCAAGCTGAGACACGCACATGAGCAAAAAATCACGAACTTAATGAAAGTCCCCTTCTCGTCGAAACGCAACGTAAACAAAAAGATTTTCGAGACCCGAAGCATAAGCTTTGCTTGAACTACTCAAAACAAAACTTTTGGTTACCGAAGAGAAGCCCTACAGTTTTTGATGCGGTTTTCATGCTGTTCAACACAACAACGGCAAACGGAGGAAAGCGAAGCGATTGAACAAAAATCATCGCGACAATACGCCCGCCCTCGCGTACTTAAGAAACTGCTCAGCCGTCATTTAGCGCTTTGTTTTGAAATATTCAGGTTTGGCCGCTGAATATTGGCCCAAGAAGATGAAATACGCCGTGAGATAATTCACAGATATTTGAATAAATCGTATTATGTCTAAAATAAACTACGAACCCGTATATCAATGACTCTTAGAAGTGTTTGTGATAAGGTGTAGTAATCAAATTCGACAAGTTTTTCAAATGTAATGTAATATTGGAATGTTCTTATGAAAACGACATAAAAATTCATTGGCTTATTCAAATTCCTTTGGGATGTAAATGTAATAATTTGTAAACTTTAGTTTGTATTTTCTGATCGATTTCACGAGGAATGTTCTCGTGTGTCCTTGGCCTTTGCTCAGAGTCAAAAGATCAAGGTCTTGCAGAAAAGAACAGAAACGAACCACACATGAAATCAACATCCGACAACATTATAGATCATTAAAGCCGCCTGTTGGCGCTTTCAAACCTCACTAAAACTTCATTAATCATTAAAAGGATATCAAGCATACGGTTATCAATACGTTTCGTCAAGTACGACTGGCAAACAAACCCAGAAAATCAAGTGAGGTACATGTAAACAATCGGAGATGGCTAACCATACTTCGACAATAGCGCTTCGCTTGAGTGTATTCAAACGGCGTCACTCACCTGCGATATATCGCCACTTTTACTCATGTTTCTTCCACACAGATCTCGCTAAATAATCCAATAGTTGGCCTCCTGTCTCTCGGAAAGCTTAGGTTACATTCATCGCTTCAAAACAAGCAAATTTTGACCGTGAACACGAATTTTATTAAATTTCTCGCACAACAAAGCGCGCGCGCGTGGAGGGTCGTTTCGGAATTCCCAGGGGGGGAAGTTCCAAAAATTGAGCACACAGCTTATCTCCGGGTTCATCTCTCATTAATAGTCATAACTGGTAAAGACATTTGGTCTGTAACATCCAAATATTTAGATACGTTTGCAGTAAATGGCAATATTTATAATGTATGAGCATAGGAACATCGGAATGTCTAATAATTCAAAGATGATGATTGATTAATGATTATGAATTATCCAAATTTTCAATCGTCACCTCGAGATAATTGCTTATAATTGCTTTAAAACATTCCTGATTAACCCCCCCTGAAAAAATGAACTTGTAAGTGGGTTCGATGATTACGTCAAAAACTGTCCAAGAAGTGTCAACAAACGTTATAATTTGACTTGAATCTAGACGTTTCTACCAGTAAACATACACGAAAAGCCGTTGTAGATGTTAAAAAACTTCACATTGAAAGTTTTTTGCCCGGAAGACCTTCATACACGTTATTTAAAAGACTTCGAAAATGACTTGTTTTTGTTGTGTGTCACACCATTGGTAAAGAGACGGACAGGAGTCAAACAGAAGTAAAGCCTCAAGAAGCTTAATGCGATCAGTGTTATTTGTTGAGCACTTAGAGTTTGAATTTTCAGGCAACATTCTTGAACGAGCAATTGCGCTTGGCGATGTGAATAATGATGGAGGTTGTGAGCTGGTGGTTGCCAATATTTCTGGAGACTTGGCAATCTTCAAGGGGAGTGATTTGGAACCATGGAGACGGTACCATGGTCTTGGCATGGTGTCTTGTGTTGTTATCGGTGACATGTGTGATGTCGGACGGAATGCTGTGTTTTGCATTACCACTGAGGGGTGGTGTCATCTGATGTGTTTTGGTGAACAAGTTGTAAGTGTATGGTGTTTAAACTCATGTACGTCACTGACAGCTAGTCAATCTTCAACCTATAACCTTTATGCCCCAACGGTGCTTGTATGCAGTAATTAAGACACATTCAATTGTCCAACATCAGAAAGCTATCTTCTGACTAGTAGAGCAAACTAAGATTGTCTATAACAGACTGTAGCCAAAATATCTAACTCCCCACACTTGGACCAACCTTCAGGTGTGTGACGATGTTGATGAACCGAATGCCACACATGGTGATGTGATATCAACTCACCATCAACCCTTCCCGACCAATGGTAAAGTAGCTCTGATTGCTGACGTTGATGGCGATGGAACAAACGAATTGGTTATTGCTTCAACTGATCGAGTGGTCAGAGTTTTCAAATGGGTCAAAGATGAGGGGAAAAAAGGTTTGTGTGATAGGCGATCTTGAATATTGACCCTTGATCTAATTAAGGTCTGACATGATGTACCAGTACCAGACTAGTGTCTAACACAATGATTTTTCAATCATTAGATGTAAAAACGCAAGAAAAAAAGATGCTTGCAGAGCAAAGTTCAAAAAGCTCACTCAAGAAATATTTTAGCAGAGACAACGATGAAGATGATAAGAATGAATCTGAGGTAGAAGCAGACAACCTCCTTTTCATGAAATATGAATGAAAATCACAATGATCTTATTTCATTTACCAACAGCAGTCTGAATCCTCCACCAGTTCAGGAATTTTTAATGGCAAATTTGTCTGTGTAAAAAGATTGAAGCTAGCAGGACAAATAGAATCATTGTCGGTTATCGAGGGACGCAACGGAACATCACCTGCTATCCTTGTGTCTCAGCCTGGTGGATATATTTATCTATTTTGTGGTGAGGAATCTCTCCAAGAAAGTCTTCATAAACAAAAGAAGAAACTAATACCAAAGGTAAATAAATAAATCATGCATACAAGGCATGAGTAAACCAAGAACAAAATATTAGAACTGATAGAGCTACGGTAACCAGTATTAATACATTTAGTTTAGGCTTCCTTCTGTAGTAGCACTGGATTAATAAAAGATGATCCTTACTGAACCTCTAGGAAGAACAGTTTAGAACTGATAGAGCTATCCAGTATAAATAAAGTTAGTTTAGCTTAGGTTTCCTCCTGTAGTAACACTGGATCAATAAAAGATGATCCTTACTGGACCTCTAGGAAGAACAGTTTAGAACTGATAGAGCTATCCAGTATAAATAAAGTTAGTTTAGTTTAGGTTTCCTTCTGTAGTAACACTGGATGAATAAAAGATGATATCTTTACTGGACCTCTAGGAAGAACAGTTTAGAACTGATAAAGCTACAGTATCCAGTGTAAAAAAAGTTAGTTTAGGTTAGGTTTCCTTGTGTAGTAACACTGGATCAATAAGAGATGATCCTTACTGGACCTCTAGGAAGAACAGTTTAGAACTCCATGCAGTATGAACAAATGTTAATGTGTCTATAAATAATATTTTTTATAGAGCTCAACAGTCTCATTCACAGACTGTTATTCCAGTGTGGACAACAGCAGACCACAACATCCTCTCCCTCGTAGAAGTGAAATGTCAACAGTGCCAACATACGCTATCAGTTGGTTTCATGGCTCTGTGAGGCCATCATCAGCTTCCAGCAACTTTATCGCAATGTGTACACTTAACGGCAATCTTTCAGTGATCAAAGATGAGAAACTCTCTTGGTCCATGACCCATAATCAAAATGTCTTCACAGTTCAAAGACTTGACATAACAGGTAAGTTCATTTTAACAACCTTTATAGCCTCAAGTTCGTCAGGAGAGAAATTTTGCCTGGCTCTTTGAACAACAGAACACAACGTTCAGCTCTCCTAAGATCTCAATGCAGAGTGCAATTTTTATACATAGATGATGGTAAAGATGAAGTTATTTTCTGCTCATGGAGTGGTGAAACTTTTATAATGGACCAATATGAGAACATTGTTAATTTCAAACTGGGTCAGGATATCTCAGCATTCTGTGCAGGTACTGTATCATACCGGTACCGTTAATGCTCACATAAATCTATTCAGACAACCATCCCTGATTTAGCCATATAATCCAGGTGATTTTTCTTTTAAGGATTCTACTCTCGAGATCCAGGGGTGGCCAAGCCTTGCTTAGTGTATGTGATGTTTAATAATCGCATTCGACTGTATTGGAATGTAAAATTGAACAGAATGGAGTCGCGAAATTTCAACGATGCAGTTGTGAGTTTTTTTAACAAATTTGACATGGACCCTGCTGTCAGGGATTACATTGAGGATGATAATGGCTCACTGGATAATAATAGGATAAAACAGTTAACCTCTTGGTGTCTTTATGGGGCAGGAGCAGGAGTCCATCCTCAGGAGCATTGAAACATCTAGCATTGATGATATTGCTGAAGTTTGATTGTGTGGGATGTCATATATAATGTCATTAACATCCAGACAATACTAATTTATAACCAATACTAACAAGTTTTATGTAATGATGGAATATTTACTGTTGCTACTAACAACTAAGAAAAATTATTTAAGTTTGTATGCGCTGACCATAAATCATGTTAGCTGTACAAAGTGAGATTTCACAGTTTTGAACACTATTTATATTTCTATTTAAATTGAATGTTTTATAATTTTGTATACCTGATGTAGAAAATTGTTATTAGCATTTCTGCTTGAAAATATATACAACAACCAATGCTGTTTAAGTTTTTTCTCCACTCATAAAACTGAAGCAGAGTTTCCTGGTGCAAAAAAATTCACATTCTTGTCCATTATTTTGTACTGAACAATCCTCTCTGAAGCTCGCCCTGTTTTCGTGGCAAGATTATGGTTGATAATTTCAAGCTGAAAACATTGAATTGATAAATATGTTTTAAGCAGTTATTCTTCAAGTTGGCGAAAACAATTTTTCATGAAGCTGACCGAGGTAAAACCTCTTCCGTACCTCTCCATGAACCTCTCTACAAAAACCAGTGCTCAGTCCTTTTACATGAAGCTGTGTGTCACATTTATATATCAAATGTCTTTCTAAATTCTCCTCTTCTGACTCTCCCGTGTCATGATCTGCATGGACTAATGTAACCAGACAACCCACCTGGAAAGGTTATAATCCCATAAGAAAATCCATGTTGTGGTGAGGAAAAACTATAGCAAGGTACACTAATGTGCAGGTGCCCAACAGAACCTATCAAACTAGCCACCTACGTTTCATCAAATCTTGACATATTACTTGCTTTATACCTTGTCTGATGAAGAAACTGAAAGCAAACAGTATTGCACAAAATCTTGGATATCAACAACTGAGACTCCAAGGCCAAGAAATGCTGAGACATCGTCAATTAAAAGCAGAAATGGTTGGTCATTCTCAAATTTGGAGATTTCTTCTTGTATCTTATCGTGAAGCAGTTTAAGTGAAAACTTTGAATCGCTAAAAGTGAAAACAGGCACAAAACACAGCACTTGAGAGTCAAATTAAATATTAAATTTAAGTTATATACAGGACTTTTTACCACTGAATTCATGAAGGGTATGTAGATTGTGATATGTGAACATCAACATTAATTGATCAATGAAATCTAACCTACCTACTTGTGAGTCCTGTAAATGGATTATCTTGCAAGTCAAGTGCCATTTCATTAGTTTCAAGACTTTGAACAGCACATGTTAGTCCCTCAACAAATGTCAACTTGCCCTTTTGTATTGTGGTATTCAGGTTAACTCCCTGACAAAATGAATGATTGTATTAAGATTAAAATATTGTGCAGAAACATTAAATTTGATGGCTCTATTATTGTGCATGGCTTCAGTTAAAGCCACTGTATATGTTGTTTTTTTTTACACTTACCATTTTTTGTGCAATGCTGCTGTAATGGGTGAATGACTGCACCAATGCAATGAAGCAAACATTGTAACCTCCTTAAAATGATAATTAGAGGAAGAAAGTATTTTAGATTTAGTCAAATAGTTGCCAGTGTCTCTATTAGCTTGCAATGTGCCCAACTTTAGTATTTTACTCTGTCTAATGTCAGCTAAGATGATACACCGCAAAATATGATCGTAACCAGCCTGTTACATTATCAGACTGGCTATGCTACTGACTTCAGTGCTAGTCGAAGCAATAATTTATCCCACCTTTAAGAAAGAAACTTAGAAAGTGATGAATCAGAAAGCTGCCATCATTATGGGACTCTGAGATAAGATAATATTTTCCCTGAAATATATAGAAGCATTCAAGTAAGATTTTTTATTACTAGAGCATCTTACATTTAAAAATCGAAAGCTTTGCAGTATTAAATACTTACGTGGTGCACCTTATTTTGTGATATCACCATGCAAAGTTACAGGAATGTGTAATGTACCTATAGTACCTGTAAACACCTTACCTTTGGTGGTACATCTTCATCAATATCTAGAAGCTTATTTAGCGCAATAAACATCCTTCAGCCACTCACTCAAGCGAGTACATCACAGTTCTCAATAATCTTTGGTCAGATTTTAAATTTTTAAAATTTCTTTTCTACAACTTTCACCGAACTTTGCTGTAATTCCTATGGCCACTATATGAATCGTAACATGACGTTTCTCTAAGCTTGCTTTGGGCACAGATTAAATTTGACTTTCCTTGTTCTTTATGGTGGGAGATTATTGCTTTTTGAGTTTTTGTACTTGTGTTTGTTTGTGTTTTGTGTACTAAACCATATATGCGAAGACCCTTGTTGCAAGTCACCACAATATTCCACAATATACCATGTTCTTCAATGGTATTTTAAAAACTCGTATACACTATACAGAAGCAATCACCCCCTGCCAATGGTTAAATATTGGCCTAAATGAAACAATGGCAGGGGGGTGATCACTTCTGAAATGTGTTCTGTGGTAAAAACTCTTCAAAATGGACGCGATGTTGGTAGTTATTTTGTAATTTTTGTTATTTGGTATTTTGTAATCATCTTTGATGTATCTGTAATTCAAATGGCTGGCATTGTGAAACCTATTACTTTAGCCTCTAGTCCAGAGTGGATAAAAAATTTTGCAAACAATTTCGCATCCCTCAGCGATTGCAAGAAAAACGTTGTTATAGAAATGATCCTGACACTTTGCGGACCAAAGCAGCTACGATTTCTTTGCGACGAGGTCGACTGCTTAGTTAAACGCGACTTTCTCAGGTTTTTGCCCATGGAAATTGTGCTTCACATCGTAAAATTCCTGGATTTTAAAACGATTGCTTGTTGTAGTTCCGTCTCGAAGACTTGGAACGATGTTTTATCGCGTTGTGACGAAGTTTGGTTTGTTGCGTGCAAGAATCGTGGGCTTATTAGCCGTCAAATGACAAAACATGTTAAAACGGATTGGAAAAAAGAATTGAAGAGTGCTTTTCGAAGAGCGAAGAGGCTTCGAGGGAAGTTTTGTTTTAGTAAACGGGAATTAGAGGGTCACACGAGCAAGGTGACAGCACTGTGTTATAAAAATGGCCTTTTAGCAAGTGGTGCGTTTTCGAAATTATTGATTTTTACTGCAACCAGCTTTCATTGTTTATCCCTAGCTCTCATTGTTGATCTCGTTGTTGATCCCATGGCAACCCTTCCTCTCATTATTGATCCCCTGCTTTCATTGTTGATCCCTTGCTTTTTGTTGTTGAGATCCCTTGCTCTCATTATTGATCCCCATATTATTGATCCCCTGCTCTGATTGTTGACCCCCTATCATTAGTAAACCCCCTGACCCTGAACCATTTCTCCTGCTCTACTCTCTCTAATGTTGTTGGCGTTGTACCCCACCACGCCTATCCACTTGGCCTCCATTCAATGAGATCTCAATGCATGATGTTTGCCCTATCATTCCATACTCTTCCTATTCTTGTATCAAATTTAGAAGTACCTGAAATGCTTCACTGTACTAACGCCATTCTTTTCCGTAAGGTTCGAATGATCGAACTGTCAGATTATGGGATGTTTCCAACGGCACCTGTAAATATCAACTGATATGTCATACTTGCACAGACCTTAAATTTGATGAGACACAAGTCATCACAGCTTCATTTGATAACAACCTTGCCAGGTGGGACTGGTCAACCGGCAATTGTCTAACAAAGTATCAAGGTCATGTGGGATCCGGTTAGTGTAAGTTAAGTTGTCTTACAGCTGAGAATCAATTTCAACTACACTTGACAACTAAACCTTCAGGCAAGCAAAGCAATAAAAAACGTACTAAGCAATTGACAACCAAGGTGGTAGTTGTTTTAATAAATTTCTCTTTTCTTAGTTTGAAATCAAACTTCTGCTTTGTTTAGTGTTTTGTGTCGACTACAACACAGAGTTGGACTTGGTCGTTAGTGGATCATCTGATCATACTGTAAAATTGTGGCAATTGTCTACTGGGTTATGTTTGGCAACAAAGTTAGGACATAGAAATTGGTTGATTAGTGTATGTTTTGCCTCAAATCTTCAATATTAATGTCTTTAAATATAATTTTATGAAAGTCTGTTCATATTTTGGCAAAGACTTGGATAATGTGTTTTTGAGTTGAATCTTTGAATATAGAATTACATCCTGATCTTGCAATGGACTGTCAAACATGCATTGGACATGTTTTTTTATATTTTTGCTTGCTCTTATTTCACAGGTATTGTTAGCAGAAGTTGCCCCAAGGTGCCAAAGAAAGTTACAAATAACACACATTGTGACTAGTATTAGCAAAGATCGTATTAAGGTATGTTCACATATTCCTGGTGGTATGTAGCTGGTATTATGCCTTGGAGATTATATATAGCTTGGTATAGATTGACTGTTGTGGACTGTTACTAAATATACATAATTACATAGATATCTTAAAACTGAGAGGTACAATACTGAGAGGTGGTTTGTGTCTGAACTACCTGGAAATAATACCTCAAATGTGATGGTCCAATGTACTGTAGGAGTGTAGGTAGTACAATATAAACTATGGTGGTTTTGTGATGTATTTTCTCTGATATTATGTCTTTTAGGTATGGTCAACCAATGCTGCTAAACAGTTTGCTTGTATTGCTACAATGAGAAGTTGCAATATTGATCTCCGTGGCTACAGCTATCTTCCTAGATTACTGTGTAATGGTCATGAAATAATATGTTCATCCCCCGAGGGTGTTTGTTTTTGGGACTTGGAAACTTTTCAACTAACAAGGTACCAATAGGATAGGTCTAATTTCTAAAGCATACCATGCCATACCATGCCATGCCATACCGTACCGTATCATACCATACCTTACCATACCCATACCATACCATGCCATCATTGCCATGCCATACCATAACATAACATACCATACCATACCGTGCCATACCGTTTTGTACCATACTATACCATAGTAACCATACCATACCATGCCATCATTGCCATACCATATCATACCATACCATAGTAACCATACCATACCACACAATACCATACCATGCCATACCATAACATACTATACCGTGCCATACCGTACCATACCATACCATACTATGCCATCATTGCCGTACCATACCATACAATACCATACCATACCATGCAGACCATACCATACCATACCATACCATACAATATCATACCATACCATACCATACCATACCATACCATACCATACCATACCACCCCATACCATACCATACCATACCATACCATACCATACCATACTGGTTGCACCTAATTACAAACCATTATATTAAAAGGAGGCTTAAGAAATACGAACAATTTTTGGTTGCGCATGGTGACATATTTTCACTTTGTTGGAAAAATAACATGCTTCACGTCGTAAATAACAAGACTGGAGCCAGTGTGGGTGAACTACCGGCCCAATGGTCAAAAGCAAAGCTCGGATATCGTTATAATGATTGTGAAGGTGAAATAGCCTGGCTGAGCGATTGCTCGGCTGACCTCGAAACTGGACCGATATATTTTGCGCCTTGCGATAAAAATATCGCGATAATCCAGTGGAGTACGGATTCTGTTCTTGTCAACGGCCTTACCACCAATTTAGATGTAATCTTAGATGGAAAAAGCTCAGGAAATGATATTGAGTCAAATTCAAAAACAAATAACCTCAGGACACATGATATAACGACAGCTTAAAAATGAAAAAACTGCCAAAACCTTCCACGTTTTTGTTGAAGTTTTTGATGTGATTATGTTGGCTTCATCATGACATAAAATGCCCGCCCATCGAGACGACTTTTGAAGCATTGAATTTAGCAATTTTTATTAAAACATTGCCTTAAATAAGTTGTTGAAAATGTGGTAAAACAACTGCCCAGAATATACAAAAACACTCTACGCTTTGAGGGATCTTCGTCTAGTGTGAACGATACCAATCCCCCAGACCAGGGCGCTGTAAAACACTGTGTTTTACAGCGCCCTGCCCAGACGAAGACTTAAGACCCTTGGAAACGTGGCGACATGGAAACGTCAAGGAGTATTTTTTGTGTATTTTAGTCAGCTATTATACCACATTTGATGCGGTTCAAAGACGCTGGCCAGCTGATCAATGGTTTTATTCGAAGGTGATAAATTGTCTAAGATAATTCTTGAGAACAAAAAGCCAGCGTTCAGATGCCAGTTACGTTTTCATCCGTTCATAGACAATGATTTCGTTTTAAAAAGCCATAGAGGTCTAATTTAGGCAGTCTGGAGACTGTTTATATTTGAAAAACGCAAGTATTGTGGTGCAATTATGCAAAATTTTTTTGAAACGACGTTAAAAAACGGAATGAAAGCTGAATGATTATTACTTATAATCGAGATATGGCCTGTGTAAAAAAAATGCATTTTCATTACGGAGTATGTTGAGTCTGAACTTCAATTAAGTTTGCAAAGGTTGTCTGAGGGATCACTCATAGCTTTATCATTAATCATCGCTTCTTGCTGAAGTTGAAATTAAATTGTGTCGTGTTTACGATTGTGCGCATGAGCGAAGGCCATAAGGTTGATATGTGTCAAATCATAGGTCAGATGTGTCGTGCATCTGAAATAATTCAGTTTAAACCTGCCCATTTTTTTATTTTTTGAGTAAATAAGGCGTTTTACTTGTGAAAGACATTCGCTGTATTTTGGGAAGACGGTATTGTTCTTGTGAAATTGGCGAGAGAAAAAAAAGCTGGCTCCTTTATTAACCCCTGATATTATGATCAGGTTAAGCGCATTACTCATGATATAAAACAAGTATCGGGCAGAATAATGAGAAAACCAAACGCTGACAGCCTGACATGAAGCTGCTCGGCAAACGAGACATCACTCTTAGCAAAAATCATGTGCATATTACATGTAAATGAATATTTCATGTATACACAAGTAATGTGTATTAAATGTATACAAGACTGTCGCTTGCAAATCGCTTTAATTCGAATATTCAATACTAATAATGTAATAGAAATTTAATACCCTCCGACTAGCGGGGAATAATGGAATATTACACGGCTTCTAACGAAAATACTCAAGTCTACGTTCATCTATTATTAGCCCGTGTGACATTCGAGCTAACCGGAATCAATCCGGTTAACTATGTACAAAAAATTCAAAACTAAATGCTTTGCCATTTGGCGTGAATTCACAGCACGAACCTTTTACAATGTCTATATAAATATATATTTATATATATTGATTAAAACTATTCTATATATCCCTTTGCCTGCAAGGTTTTACGAACCGGCGTTTTTTATATAAATTATTCTTAGCTGATGGCCAAATCTAGTTCGACGTGTTTCCTGTTGATGCGCATCACAGAATGGACGAAAACGCGTCCGAATATGAGTGAAGTTTGCTCGCTACACTGTGCATTTCTACGAATTATATTCATCTGCTATTTCGTATCACTATATGGTGTGTTCGCTACGTTTCCTTATTCTCCTTGTCATAAGAGTTTTTGGCGGCGTTCCTGCGATGCTTTGTGGCTCATATGAGTAATTATTCATCTGTTAAATTTCAATATTCTTTATCCACAAGTGTTGATCCGTTTCCCCGTCTTAAATAGTCGAAATGCCACACTCAGTACGCGAATCTAAACCCCCTTGATCCTAAACTACTGCGAACTATCTTGACTTTATTACCGCTTAGTAAGTTCGGGTAAAGAAGAGTTGTGTTTGGTCCTTTAAAACCGATGTTACCTATTAGTTTACGAGCCACAAAATTACCGAAGTAATTGGTTTTCCCTGTCTCGATCTTAAAACTGGCCGAATTCCCCCAGAACGCGAACTTCATCGGCAGTAGACATTATTACGGGATACTTTAAACCCATCTAAAAGATCCAATATTCATAGTTGTTTTAAAACGCCATTCAACTTGTATAAATGTGTGTACTACAACATCTCACAAAACGGTGTGACACTAATTTCGCGTCGAACCAATGTAGCAATCTCTATGGCCAATGTATCTAAGTTGTCGTAACATCCCTCGGGTATGTGCCATTACGTGCTTCGCGTTTTTACGTTGTTCACAGCGGCTTGGGGGTTTTCCAGGGCCGTGATAAAATCTGAGTACTTATTTAAGTTTATTTCACTCGGGTCGATTTCGGTGAATGACTTTAACTCGCCGATTTCCTTGAGAAGTTTCAATGTGTGATCGGACATCATGCTTATTTTTGGTTGCATGTGAACAGGTGGACTACCATCGTCCGAGGCAGCCTGAATCGCGGATCCGTCGCCTTTTCTTCCCGTGTTATTCTTACAATTCGATTGTTCGTAGGCTTCAGAGACGTCTTGTGTTTGCTTCTTACGATGTTCGTCCTGACGAGACCCAACACAGCCCATTATGTAGCGACCAAGCCTCGGTGACATCTACCATGAAAGAAAATTAGAAAGGTCGAATTATAAAATGACCGTAGATAGCCTAAGAAATCGCCAGCAAACGACGATTGTCGTCGTCGGATGACCAGCCATGAGTACTGTGTATTTTGTTCATTCGCTTTGTGAGCTCTCGACCTCTAGGCGATGATAAATAATTAACGAGGTCATGACGTCACATACATGCCCATCTGTTTCCCAAATTCTGGTTTAAATAAGCCCATTTTCACCGCGGGGGTCCCTTATGTTTCACAAACCGCTGACAATATCCTGTTCCCAACCTCGTCTTGACCTTCTCAAGTGTTCGTACTCAAACGGTTTCGCAATATTTGTGAAAATGAAACCCCATACATAATTATTACTCAGTTCTCGTTGTAGAAAACGTATTTCACATACGCTGAATAATATCAAATGTTGTTTAATTCTACTTTGATATCTAAAAATGTCCTTATAGTGATCTTCGTGATCTGCCGGACGATACTCGGTCGGTTTGCCGGGTTAAAATTGCTCTTAAACATTTTCTTCCGCGAAATAAATGATGCTCATTGCTTTTTTCAAGGGAGAAAGTATCTAAAGTTTCCTTCGTTGTAAAGAAGTTTTTCTCATATGACAGACACCGAATTGAAGCGGAATATTTTGTTATCGCCAACTGTGAAACAGGTTTCACTTTGTCATCGTGAAGCTAATATACACCACTGCCGGCTCTCAAGTCTCATGAAATATTACGAGAAAAGCTTGACATGTTCTCGACTATAGCAGCGAGGATGAATTCAGTAGGAAATTAAGCAAGCGAAAAGCTCTAAATCTTGCGAACTAAAGAAATACATTTTTAATGATGATTATGATTGTAAGAAACTCAAAACATTTTTAATGATGATTATGAGTGTAAGAAACTCCCTAAGTTCTACCTTATATCAGTATGTTTTGTGCCTTTTATCACTTGAATTTCAACCACAAAATGCTCCCAGTTAAACAAATTTAGCTAAAAATATCAAAATCTACCAGAGCAAAGCTATGGCTACCAGCGGTACCTATACTATACTGTGGTGTACGTGGAAATCAATCGCTGCGAATTTCGCTTAAGAATTCCTAGTATTTTTCAAAACCTTCGTCGTTTTTTCTCGCTTAAAATTGTTTGGAATTAGGCGTAAAAAGTGAGTGATTAACAATGGGCATCGGGAGATTTTTTGGGAGATATTTTGGATAACTGTGAGTATTCCTGGCGACACACCATGCGAAATTCGACCACTGATTAATCTGTAGTATATTGTTTAACGCGTATCTCCAACCGATGGCTTTGCAGTTTTTGTGGCTATCGCGGCACGTGCAATAAACATGCCATTTTGTACTTAAGTATGATAAGCCCCAGCGTGGGCAGTTGTTCAACTTTAATGTGGACTTTGATATTATGTAGATTACTTGATATATGCAAGGCGTCGTCAACTACTTTTTCCGTATTGGGCGTGTCATGGGTTGCCAGTTCTACTTTTCGTCCTTCCATCCGAACTGGAGGAACCAGGAAGAACAGTTTAGAACTGATAGAGCTATCCAGTATAAAAAAGTTAGTTTAGTTTAGGTTTCTTCCTGTAGTAACGCTGGATCAATTCATCAATAAGAGATGATCTTTACTGGACCTCTAGGAAGAACAGTTTAGAACTGATAGAGCTATCTAGTATAATAAAGTTAGTTTAGTTTAGGTTCCCTGCTGTAGTAACACTGGGTCAATAAGTGATGATCCTTACTGGACCTCTAGGAAGAACAGTTTAGAACTGATAGAGCTATCCAATATAAATAAAGTTAGTTTAGTTTAGGTTTCCTCCTGTAGTAACACTGGATCAATAAGAGATGATCCTTACTGGATCTCTAGGAAGAACAGTTTAGAACTGATAGAGCTATCCAGAGTGAATATGAGACTCAATCTATTTGCGGTGGGGTAATACGTCTGATTGGGATATTTTCACAGCGTTTCCGACGAAGAACAGTAAGCAAACAAATATATATCGGAGGTTACACGCTGAGAATTGCTTCATGGGCGGCAAGCAATCGTCTCGCCCACAACAGACAATCGGAAGGAAGCGTGATTGGGCGCGCCAAAGTTTTCCTTGAAAAATGATTCTTTTACTTGGCAAGCGATACTTGCAGACGGTTATCAAACACCCGTCGAACCAGAATCCGAACTTGTGCATGAGAATCATGAGAAATAAATGTTTTGCATTCAGTTAAGTTTTTATTATTCGCAATAACGCGTCACAAAAATGCTCCTATTGCATGGCGCTATCTATATCAGGTAATTTGATCAGTAAAGTTTGGACTGGTAATGGCATTCATAATTACTATATAATTCATACTTTCATACATAACTCCTAACCGTGCAAACTGCTGTTTTCCTGTTCGAGATAGCCGTAAATGAATAGCAAACCTGAGTCTAGTTGTTATATATAGGCTGTTGTCAGATTATAGCCCCATCTGCGTATAACCTTTATTTAAATCGTTTCTTAATTTGTATATATAAATATAATATTTGTTTTGTGTGCCATATTAGAACAACCTTTTAGTTTTAAAATCGATCTGTAATCATAGTGTTTACTTCAAATCGTTTGAATGCCCAATTTCATACAATAGACAATATACATATATATTTTTTCGGTCAAACAATTTGCATAAGTTGCCAATTTCAACTATTGTGCGATTGTCAATTGTAAACATGCACTGTCTTTTAGAGACGATTTATGATATCCTGACCAGTGATAATCAATTTATCTGTAAGAGCGAAAAAAGAACTCTGGTTCTAATGAAAAGAAATTTTCGGGCTTCGCTGAAAGACACGTTTCCTCGTATGCACGGAACAGCTGGTAGAGCGTTCAATGTGCGTAATGCACATATATACCATCTTCGGTTATATTGTTGGGTTTTGCGATAATATCAGTTAAAACTAGGGCTAGAAAGAACAAAATTTCACAGAAGAATATCTCACAAACTGATGCGAAAATTAATGTTACTCCTAAATTAAAATTGCATGATCTTAATAAATAATTTACCTTCAAATACAGTAAACTGTTTGGGTGTTTCAACACGCTTTCTGTATCGTCTTTGCCGCTGAATTGCAGGCGAGAGTTTCAGAGGATTTCGAATGGATATATCAACTCTGACGCAGGTACCTTGTCGCAGGCAACAACGAAGCACCAACGATCACTAGAAATATATTCTTTTATTATGTGGCTATTATGTAACCAAGCCTATGCAGGTGGCACCAGCTGTAATATAGCTGTCAATAGCAGAAGGTACAAAGCTTTATAATTACGACAGGAAAACGAACAGCAAATATAATAAGGCGTGTTTCAAGTACCCCAGCTATATGGGCCTTTGTGTTTGAATTGAGCCATGCTAACCTCTTGAGATATCCACAGAATTGAAAGAGGTTAAAAGGTTATGTATAGTCAATGTTCTTGATAACATCAGCTGGCCAGTCGATGCTTATGCAAATTTCAGTATTTTTCTTAAACATTTGTGGATATTTGGTATAAAGCTCATAGCAAAGGCGACAGTTTAACGTTTTGAGCCCTAAAGCCTAATACCTATTGTCTGCTTGATCTATTCTGTTCTTAGTTTCGTATAAATACCGCCCACGACATCAACATATATGATAATGATATATTTATCACTTGAGAGGGCACAGCGATCCTTATAGGGCTGTGAGACTATCGCAGACGTATTTCAGACAAGGCGCAGTTAAGATGAATATCTTCAGGAGAACCCTATCAGTTGAAATTGTTTTTTTCTAAAAGTCTAGCGATGATACTCTATTTTTTTTCCACGATAAAACCTAAACTAACTTTATTTATACTGGATAGCTCTATCAGTTCTAAACTGTTCTTCCTAGAGGTCCAGTATAAGGATCATCTCTTATTGATCCAGTGTTGCTACAGGAGGAAACCTAAACTAAACTAACTTTATTTATACTGGATAGCTTTCTTCCAAGAGGTACTAAAAAGAAATTCTTCACGGACAATAACAGCAGGAAATGGTATATTTTCCCAATTCCTATGCACCTTTCACAATAACTCATTTTACAGATCAAACGATGAAAAATGATTCTCGTCACTGGTTCCTGGCAGGAAATTTGCTCCCTGTTTGCGCAACTCAGATACATATTGACATAGATACTGATGTGGAACGTCAAGTTTCTTCTTTGGAAAGAAATTATTACGCGCACGATCCTTTTGCATGTCAATTGAGCTATACAACAAATGACCTGGATGACGCCACCTGCGCATATTCTAGAATCTACTCCGTCGGCAATTTTTCGGTCAACAATTTCTATTTACACCTATGCCCCTCATCTTAACCCACATATACAGAACGCACGATCTTTTCGATTCTAATGAACGAATTTTTGTTGGGAATTTCCCTAGAAAACAAGATATGCGAAGGTGGACAGGGTTAATTATACGCGTGGGCTATGTTAATTCTATTTGCGTGCGTTTCTCATACGTCATTCTGAGTTGTACGAACTCCTAAACGTAAGAACGCGAGGAACGAATCACGTTCCATGGGGTTTGTAGCTGTTAGTGCTGTTCCTTGTTAGCTGGGTCTTTATACCCACGAGTTCCGCGTGAGAAGACAAAGAACAATGTTGACTATCACGCGTTCCAAGCACGTTGCACTGTGATGCGGCATCCGTGATACTCACAGACTGGGGAAATTGAAACCATAACTATTATGTATTCCTGCCTCTATTTTGTGCCATTCAATTTATAATCTCTTAATCTTGACAGCCGAGGCGATAGGCTAAAACCAAATATCAACACTACCTCTTGAGATGCGTCGAACGCATTTCAAAAACAAAGGTAATCCCCCAGACGCCTATGCTCATATCACAAATCTCTATAATATTTAATGTACTCTTTTAGTGGTCTTTAGATATTGAGATTTGACACCGCCGTTTCAAATCGCCTCGCAATCTTTTGATGGCAAATCCCACGTTTTCTACTAAAAATACCCTTTCGTCTCGAGCCAGCTAAAATTAAGTTTACTGCCACCAGATACGTATAGAAATTTATCACAAAAGTTTAATACGTATAGAAATTTATCACAAAAACGCTAGTTTAAACCGGTGAATACTGTAAAATGGACCTCTTTATAAATCGACTATACTTATTGTAGTTTAGAAGTCTGGATTTCAAACTGAGTATTCAATGTTTACTGACGAATAGTATAACACAGCTACGTGTTGTAAAACCGATGGATGGCGAAACCAAAAGTTTCTTACCTTTAAACTCTGAATCGTCTTCTTCCTTGTGCAGTGGTTATTGGCTGGCAGCTGGCGATGATTGATCGTCGAATAGTTTTGCGCCTGACTCGCACACTTGTCTCTTCAAATTTCGTTGTGACTTGCGACGAGTTCACCAACTGTTCTTTAATGTACGCTCAGTTCCCAAGGTTCTGCTCTAGGCTTTACAATATTATTCTCATCGCCCAGGCAACATTCAAAACTCACATCTGTCTTCGTGTGTTAGTACCGCAGTTTTCTTTGTTACGAGGCACTTGAAAGAGCTCAGTCCTGCGATAATTGCCGTAATGAAACCGACTATAATTTCTTCGTTGTCACTTCTAGATGCTTCCCTCTCCTTTACGACTTCTAGACTTTTCCTTGTGACTTAAAACGATGGCAAAATTCCTTCTTCGCTGTAATACTCCTGGGAAACCAGCAGCTTAACCGTTCTCGAAACGATTTCACGTCTTTTGAAAGCTTTTAAGCTTGATATATAACGTAATAAAAATGATTCAAACTGATATCCGACCTTTTGTAGATTTCTCGGAGTCAACGGAGTGAACAATTTTAACATACCAAGTATACTACACTTTTTATCGTTAGTTATCAACCGTGGTCTGGTTTTTGTTTTGATCGATTAACTCTTTTTTATAAGTAGTGGCGTACGTGGCATAATTTGGTATATCGCGCCTACCTACACGCAAGGTAGCTTCCTGGCTGGATCGGGAAGCGGGTTAATTAACCCGAGAACCGTTCTACGGTTGTTAGCGAACTATCAAAACACGGAGGAGTTTGAGGTATGGCACTTGTAGGATGCATGGGAAAGTTGATTTCTAGAGTCTATATGGAAAAACGCGTGGGTTAATATGCATTGCTGGCTCTATATGGAAAAAAGGATACTTAAGGTCTGATTTACCATGACAGTTTCCAAAACATTGCTGTAATGTTTTTATAAATCTACGAAACGAATTTCAGGGCGCCGTCTTGATCGCATGTACGTCACCAGGTTGGCTCGGGTTTGAACGCACCTCTTCCGAGCCAATATAAAGGCAGTTATGAAAGGCAGATATCATTTCGTGTATTAATGAGTATAACTAATGACGTAACTAAGGATACTTATTAGTCATCTCTTATTGATCCAGTGTTACTACAGGAAGAAACCTAAACTAAACTAACTTTATTTAGACTGGATAGCTCTATCAGTTCTAAACTGTTCTTCCTAGAGGTCCAGTAAGGATCATCTCTTATTGATCCAGTGTTACTACAGGAGAAAACCTAAACTAAACTAACTTTATTTATACTGGATAGCTCTATCAGTTCTAAATTGTTCTTCCTAGAGGTCCAGTAAGGATCATCTCTTATCACTTCAGTTTAAGCATTCACAGAAATAAAAAGTTAAGGACAGGTTCAAACAAGCCGACCACATGCTTTATTTTTATTGATATATAATATTCTATTTTGGTCAAGAATGTCCAGTGCCAGTGGAACCCCATGTGGTTCATTGTGCCCCAAACATTCTTCTCATTGAATTCTCTCCTCAGGACGCCATTGAACAAAATAATTAATATCAAAATTGGAATTCCCAATTCGCTAGCGTGCAGCAGGTATGTCTGGAAACATGCCTGACGTGAAGAACATCTGAGGCTTGTTTTGACATAACCAGACCTCGTCTGTCGATACAGACGCTCGGTGTGATGATCGCAAAATCAACTGCATGTGTCACCGATTTGTACCTGACTCATAGAATGACTGTCTTTCTCCCAGGATCTACAAAGGATTAAGAGAATATTCAATGCACTGTTATTAAAGCTGATTGCTAATAGGGAAGAAGTATAAACCCCTTATAAACAACAAAGGTAAGGTTTGTATCACTATCACCAGACCAACATTAGAAGTTCAGGCTATATAATTATGCTACACACCCAGCAACTTATTGTGAACTTCAAAAATTCTACAATTTCGGGGAAAAGATACGAATAAAACCTCTGGCAATCTTTTTGCTCTAATCAGCATTGGCAGTTCATCACCCTGATAACTTCTAGTTTATCATAACCTGCTGTCTCGAAGTTGCAATAAGGATTCGTCTTTTTATAGCACAAGGCTAAACGGTTACTGAATTTACAAGTGCGTTCTTTTATATACTTTTATTATTGAACTGTCAATCATTTTGTTTGACAGCATGGGTCATCATGAGTTCATAAAATTGCTCTCGAAGAAGCGCTGTATGTATTGTGCAGTATCAAATATTTTTTAGATCAGATATTTTACTACATTATCGGCAGTTGGCGCGTGCTCACGTCTATAGATAATAGAGAAGCATATAGTTTGCGTGCTAGAACGCTTTAAGGAAGAAGACACACTTTGTTCTCCATAACAATCAACTAATTTGGTGACGGTGATATTATTGTGGTCTGTAATACCAAAGAATGCGTTCAGGAATGCTCGGATTTCCTCCTGTAGTAACACTGGATCAATAAGAGATGATCCTTACTGGACCTCTAGGAAGAACAGTTTAGAACTGATAGAGCTGTCTAGTATAAATAAAGTTAGTTTAGGTTTCTTCCTGTAGTAACACTGGATCAATAAGAGATGATCCTTACTGGACCTCTAGGAAAAACAGTTTAGAACTGATAGAGCTATCTAGTATAGATAAAGTTAGTTTAGTTTAGGTTTCCTTCTGTAGTAACACTGGATCAATAAGAGATGATCCTTACTGGACCTCTAGGAAGAACAGTTTAGAACTGATAGAGTTATCCAGTATTAATAAAGTTAGTTTAGTTTAGGTTTCCTCCTGTAGTAACACTGAATCAATAAAGAGATGATCCTTACTGGACCTCAAGGAAGATCAGTTTAAACTTTCTTTCTAGTTGTAACTTTGGATAAGTAATAAATTCATGCACTTGGTGGAGTTTACTGGATGTGGTCACAGTTCGTAAAGTGTCATTTTAAACTTTCCTGGTCTCCACACTTCAATTGCCCACTAATTCCCCTCTTTCATTTTAACAGAGGAGTTTTAAAATGCCGGAAGTCTGATTATAAATACCCATTAAAGGACATAATTTAGCTACGAGCGGTTGGGACGCGATGGAAGGAAATGCGTAAGGAAAGAAACTGAAACAAGTGAATTAGACTGACGTAATTTACACTCGATAGCTGTTCAGTTAATACCAAAATAAGCCCTTCACTTTCAAACACTTGTGTTATTTTGTGTAGTCGGAAACATGCGCAGTGGAAGCATCCACGTCTTCTGCAACTAAGTATCGTGGGAATGCGGTTTCCCACCGGAACTTTTTGAGCCATTTCTTGCATATGGTTAGACAGAAATGGCGCCTTTTGATAGTTAAAGTTGTTTTTACGTGTAAGAAAAATATGGGTCCGGTGATGAATTAAATATTTTGGCGTCTTGGGAATTCCAGTTAAGCATATGGCCGGATCACATGAGCTTGACTATGATAGGATTTCTCTTGTAGTTGCAAACGACAAATATTGCCATGACAACGGTCCATAAACATCACTCTTTGATGCAAACGGTCATATATCGGTTTCGTAGTTTTCATTTGTATCGTAAACAAGATTGCATGAGACTTTGGAAAATGATAAATTTTTTATCAAAAGTTAGCGACATTGTTTCATATATTTGTGTATTTCTGTAACATGTAAACCTAACATCACTTAGAATAACTTCTGAGGCAGAAATAGTTTCATTTGTTTTGAACGGCACGAGATAATATCAGAATTTGTTTAGCCCAGTCAGTTGTCCTAAGCAAAGCTTACTGAAAATGGAATTGGGTTGAAAATAGCCTGGTGTGAATAGATGGAGTATCATGGGTAATTAAAAAGAATTTCGATTTTTCTCAATGAAAATAATAGTCTGGTCTTCGCTTGAAATATCATATATCGTATATGTCGTCCATTTTAACCGCACTGTGCTGTTTTTAGGAAACTATACTGCGTCATTGCGAACCCACGGAATTAGATTCCTGAGCTAAATGTTGTGCAATAATGGCATGCATGGTCCATGGGTTAAAATGACTACACAGCAACAATATTGCAGCTCAATTAACGAGGCATAGGATCTGCGGACGTCTAGTCGATATGCCACAAAGACAAATATGAAAACAAGCCTATTTTCAGTTCAATTGTATTGTCACGAATACATGTTTCATCAATCATTTGTAACAGGCAGTAAGTCAAGACCTTAGCAACCGGAATTTCCTGCATGATGTAACGTTTTACATAGCTGAGTTTGAACTCGAGTTATCGCGAGCTTTTGACCCCCAGGTTTTCGTTCTTTGTTTGAAACAAAACCCTTAATAGTCACGATCATATTGAAAAGCTTTGGCAATAAGGTTGTGTGAGATGCATTATAAGAAACTTCCTTCCTTATTTAAACGATTTCCTGATTATGCCTGGCTCGCCGTGCGAGTGTGCATTTTTTTCGCTACGTCTACGGAATTGAAGAGGAGTGTTTGTTTTGTTTAAAAAAAAGATATAAAATTTTCCATCCCCGTATCATTCATTTTATACTGCTTTCTCTCCGTCGTTACTTCCGATGGCTGTGTTTTCCCACAGGTTATTTTGCTTGAAACTGTGATTACTCTTGGTTTTTGGTCAACTCAATATCCGGTGACAGCTTCCCAAAACAACACGAGATTACTCAGTTCTGCCAAGTTTTGAAAAGTGGGAAAATCTATTATCAAGCGTGTGAACTTTTGATCCTTAATAAGAATGATTCAGCTCTATCTGTTTTAAACTGTTCTTCCTAGAGGTCCAGCTGTAATCACTATATAATCAGGTGCGCCATTTATATTATGAAAAGTGTATTAGTATTAGACCATAATCATTTCACACCATTTTAGTTCATTCTCAGGCCAGGATTATGTTTTAAAACTGAAGTTTAATCATTTCTAGGGATTATTTTTCCTGTCTGTCAACAAATATTATATAACATACTACTGTTGTTAATGTGTCGCAGTTCATCCAAAACAATGAAATCATGTCTAGTGATATATAAACAAAGATCTAGCAGAAGACTTCGGCTTTTTATGTGCTACTTTCATTTATCCTAGCTCAGAAAACAATACCCGATTAATTTTAAGCTAGATAACTTTATTAATTCTAAACTGTTTTTCCTAGAGGTCCAGTAAGGATCATCTCTTATTGATCCATTGTTACTACAGGAGGAAACCTAAACTAAACTAACTTTATTTATACTGGATAGTTCTATCAGTTCTAAACTGTTCTTCCTAGAGGTCCAGTAAGGATCATCTCTTATTGATCCAGTGTTACTACAGGAGGAAACCTAAACTAAACTAACTTTATTTATACTGGATAACTCTATCAGTTCTAAACTGTTCTCCCTAGAGGTCCAGTAAGAATCATCTCTTATTGATCCATTGTTACCACAGGAGGAAACCTAAACTAAACTAACTTTATTTATACTGGATAGCTCTATCAGTTCTAAACTGTTCTTGCTATAGAGGTCCAGTAAGGATCATCTTTTATTGATCCAGTGTTACTACAGGAGGAAACCTAAACTAAACTAACTTTATTTATACTGGATAGCTCTATCAGTTCTAAACTGTTCTTGCTATAGAGGTCCAGTAAGGATCATCTTTTATTGATCCATTGTTACTACAGGAGGAAACCTAAACTAAACTAACTTCATTTACTTTAGATAGCTCTACAATCTAACGATTCTCAATGATTCTTGGCCATTTTGTTAGGCAACATCCACCCTGCGGACCTAAAGCATTTGAAAGCAAAGGACAAATTAAGACCGCCCGCCACATCATTCCTGCATCCTATGGCGCCAGGTATTATACTCTTCGAGGCAATTTATCACCTTATTATTTCTTTTGTGCCTTCTTATTTACTAATTCAAAGCCGCTCTGCCCATTTATAGGCGACGAGCGATTAAACAGCGAGAGATATTTCAATGTTTAAGTGTTTGAACGAATGATGCAAGCTAATCAACCGCAATATTTGAGTGGAATTAAAAAGTTATTGATACGAACGACGTAAATCAGGAAGATACAATGGATAAAAAGAAGCGTTTCCCTCGTCCTTCGTCTTTTATAAAACGGCGTCCGAGCTTTAAAAATAAGCTAGGTATCAAGTCAAATAAGTCGAAGGAAAGCCTAGATCGTATTGACTTGGCAAACAATGAGACCGCTACTCCTGAGGACAATGACGATAATCTGGAGCAATGTAAACGCTTAAAAAGCGAACTTGAAAGTTCCAAGGATAAAATGGACCATTTTGAAACTGAGGTTGATCTCCTTCGCTCGCAACTACGGAGTGCTTACAGGAAAGAGTTGAAAACACATGAAACCGTGGGCACTGATAGCGAAATAGACTACGATTTGTTTACATCAACAGGGCAAGATGATATTCGACAGAATATCGGACCAAAGGCTTATTCCGACGGCGAATTGGACCCGAGTGAGCACCATAGCAGGCCATGTAAGGAATGCGAGAAGCTCCTTTTGACTCGAGTTAGTGCTTTAGTCGAAGCAATTACGCTTAGAAAATACGTTTTACAGATGAGTAAGATTAACGACAGCAGCGGGAATAGCGCTGAAGCCTTTCTCAGCGAAAACGAAAGAAAATTGACCAAAACATTGGCGGAGAAGGAACTTCTGGCGAGGCAGTTGAAGTCTGTTTGTCGTGAACGTGATAAAGTGCTCCTGGAACGAGACAGAGCTTTGGAAGAATGGGAAAAGGCCGCGAGCAAATGGGAGACGACCTTGGATCAATTGGATACATTAATGATTCAACAGAATGAGGTGGGTTTATACTGATTTTTATAATTAGTATTTTAACTGTACTAGATCTTCAAAACCTCATATAATCGCGTCAAGTGTTGTCTTGTATTCTACAATAAGCTGCCAGTATTCATGTTAGTTTCGCTATAGTTCTAGCTAATGGTATATTAAGATCTTTCGAGGGAGGATTTGAAGGCGCGCTAGCCGGGAATGTTTCTATCAGGAAAGTCACTCGACTTTCAAATGTTTCAAATCTTTCTCGTGTCACAAATAACGGTATATGAAGTGTGAATGTGGATATATTATATTCGCCATATTTGTACGTCTCTGATCAATATTATCTAGTGATGATTTGCATGGCAAAATGTTCAATAAATATTTTCCTTTTTTGATAGAATTCTCCCGCAAACAATTTCATGTGAGGAAGTTTATATTTCATATTTTTTTGCCAAATTTTTGAACGATTGTGCTGGGCCTGGCCCACGAAAACTATCGCTTTGGCAGAATGTTGGCCTTTTTGCCCTTTTCAACGATGGCCATTGATGACACGAATTCTCAAATTTCATCATTGTTGTACATGTTTCTCATGCAATACAACACACTTTCTCATCAATACTGCGTGAAGTGTGTAATACTGCACTTTGAAGGAGGCCCTGAAATTTGAGACCATGAATGATCAGTTTTCTGAGCTTCTAAGTTTCCTTTTCTGAGCTTCTTGTTCCTTTTAGGCCAAGGAAAGAGATAACAAGACAATCTCACGTTTACGAGGAGCGATTTCCGAGCTTGAATCGACTGTCAAGGAGAAAGAACTCACGAACAATGAACTCCAGCAAAGATGCATTCAAATGGAGTCACAGCTTTCTTTGTCCAAGAAGGAAACTCAGGATTGCCTGAACGAACACGATGTAGTTTTGAAAGCGAATTTTAACATCGCACAGGAACTAAGGCGTGTTGACGGAGAGTTGAAGGTTAGTTGATTTGCATGGTACTTGGTAATGAACTGGTATACAAGTACTTTACAGGCACTAACCTTTGCAAGAATGACTATACTTGTTTTTTCTTCAAGCAAATATTCTCTGCATATGATATAATATCTTTTGCTTGCACCTTCTAACCGTTTTAAGGAAACGCAAATGAAATGCAAGGAGCTTGAAGCTGCCATTCAGAAGGCCCAAACGTTGTTGGAACGAAGCAAAGCCACAAACGAACACATCGTTAAACAGTGGAAATACGCCGTGAAGGAAAAGAAGAAGCTGCAGAGAGATATATCTAGCATTGTTGTGTCTCGTGATGAAGCGATACAGAGGAATCTATCCACGTTATCCCAGCTGGACAGAGTTAAAGATGAGCGCGATAGGTTGGCGAAAAGATCGCGGAGTGTGGATACAAACGGGAATTATAGCGACACTTCGGAAAACCATTGTAGCTTGGCTGACTGCCAGTTTTGTGCTGATTCAAGCACTCCACCTGGTGTAGGTGAAACCTATTTCTAATGGCTTGAATTCTGGGGCGGGGGGGGGGGGCGTACGTGATCTGTTAAGATCTAGCATTCAGTTTTGTCCTTCTGAAGAGAAAGTAGGAAAGGTTGTCTTTGCAAATTATCATGGTTTTGTTGACCTCGTCTTTAGCAAAATTATGAGACAATTTGATGATAGATTTTTGCAGATCACGCAGGACAATCCTACCTAGTTTATCCATGCATGAGAAGCTATCGAAGCTAAGGTGCTTTGCATGGAAATGATGGGGGTTGGTATTGTAGGTAGATATAGGATAGTATTACATGGTATGGTAGGGATGGTATAGTACAGTAATGGGTGATATGGGATGTTATTGAGTGTCTGGTGTGATTGTAGTATGGTGACAGATGAATATAGAATTATGGTATGGTGAAGTATGTCTTGTATGGTAGTGTTTCCTAAAAGTCACCACACCTCTCATTTTTCTCTTTCTTCTATTTTAGACACTCGTACGTTATGATCAAATCAATGTGTCCGTGGCAAAAGTGAGTCTGTTTTTCTATCATCAAGTATTCCTTCTTTATATCAACGTATTTAGCCAATGATTTTATTTGAAAAGCCAGTGTTTCCCAATAAAACAAAAATCAAACAAATGAAGACGGTTTAAACATCCTGACCCTCATGTAGCAAACGCGATAACAACAATAAATGATAAAGAATCTCCAGCGTTTAAAACAGGCCTGAATGGGACAAATATTTAGTTACATGATCATATTCTTTCTTATTACGAAACCTCATCAGACCAAATAGAATATCAAAAATAATATTTTCATCAATATTTTGCTATTGTAGAACGACCTGCCAGAATTTGAGTTATATCTTGCGCCCGCGCTGATTAGTGGTCACAACACTGTCATGGTAACAAAAGTGGACGAACGCCTGATGAAACAATACAACATCAGGTTTGTCGACGTTGCATGGGAGAGAGCTATATATCATTACTAGCGGTGACGCGCTGGGCGTATATATTGTTTGCAGTCAATATTGACACTCGTTTGGCAAAAGTTGATTCCCGCCCACGTGAAATCACGTGGCGTTCACGTGCGCCACGTTCCCTCAGACAGGGAAATTAAAAACCTTGGCCAAATTGCTGGGGATTAAATACAAGACTGTTTAGGAACCCTGTGATCAGAATTTCGGTCAATTCTTTGAAAACCGACAGAATCAAAATCCTAGGTTCACCAGATCCTCCTTCAAAACAGCGAAAAAAAATTGATCTGACTAAAAGATACGCCCAATATTTTAACCTTTTGGGTTCGTCTCAGGAAAAATGGTTTTCATTATAAACATTTGAGGCAATATCCTGCGCCATTATTCTCTTTCTTCTAATTGTGTTCAAAATACTAATTTCAGGAAATATGATGATGTCGTTTCTGTGAATCAGGAGAGTGTTGTCGGTGCTGATGTTGATAAAGTCAGAAATTTACTGGAAGAAAGTGAGACTGACTTGAATTTGGTAAGAGATGAAAGTGTGCACTAGCCTATGACGAAATACTACAAAAACACTCGCATATTGTGTCTACTGATATTGAAGTAATATTGGTCATGAATGCAGAATGTTTTACAGCTGTTTACAGAATAGAATTTTTTATTGAATTCTTGGGATTTTTCAGACATTACGGAGATACAAGACTCCTTGCGAAATCACTTTTGAGACAGAAGTTCCGATTCCAAAAAGATCTAAATTAGGTATGATTCTTGCACGGGTTTTTAACGGAATACACAGCAGGATTTTGAAAGATTACTGGTAGTCAGTTTAGAACCTAACAAGGAACGTTGCAAAAATGTAACTCGGATTCTCCAGATTAACCAATTACTAAAAGCAAACTTTATGGTATAGTTTAATACACACACGAAAGATTCCTTAATATTTGGTTTTTTTAAATTTCTAACCAGGCTGTGGCGTGCAATGGGGTGTGTACATCAAGGAACTGTCTTCAGGATTGGCAAAAGAATCGGGAAATATCGAAACAGGAGACTATATAAACACGGTAAGGACTTAGATTTCCTGACTTCGTCTTTGACTCTTTGTTGAACTTATTCCAATCAAATTTATCCTCTAAAACTGTTTTCGCAGATTAATGGAAAGAATCTTTCAAAGATATTGTCCTCAGCTCTCGATAAATATTCCAAACGTGGTGAGAAGATGTGCATGGAAATCACAAGAAAACTCTCACCGACGCTGTGGAAGGTAACTGAATGCTTTTATACAATTTCAATCTTAAGTCTTTGAGAAGATATTTCGGTCAACGAGCTCGGATCTGATACATTCTAACGACTGATAAACTAACCGCAGTGCACTTAAACCAGACCTAAAGTCTGATAGTTTTTATGAAACCGCCCCAATGTAACACCCTCTTCAATATCATTTTTACATCATCAATTTTCGACTGAAAAATTTAGCATGAACTAAAAAAGACGTTTTTATATAGTATTATACAACGTCAATATGCCCAAATTCATCCATAACGTGAAGACTTTGAAAAGCAGAATGCCCGCAATGAGATTTTGCTAACAGTTCTAACAGTATCCTTCTGAAACGTCTGGCTTACCCTTGTTATAATACAAGGCTCTGCTCAGCGAGTTTATAGCAAGCTTAATCCAGTATTTATTCTCAGAAGGATCAAGGATGCAAAAAGTACAACTCGTATTCGACGTTTGAGACGCTTCCGGCTTTCTGAATTATCTTAGGTGGGCACAAAACAATACCTGGCAATGTAATCTATTGTTAACGAGGCTGTTTTCGTTGTCAGAAAGCCAGGAAATCTGTGTCATTTCCCGTATAATACATCTGGATATTTTTTAGTGCCCGTGTCACTACAGCACTTTGAGAAAAAGCAGGGCAACGTTACGAGATAAATATCCGAACCGTGATTCAGTCATTTCGATCGATAGTTACCATTCACTGGGCGCCTCAAGCATTAGTTCTATCCCATCATACATTTCAAGCATCGACTCGGCCTCAGTCTGTTCTCCTGCGACCGCGTCGGAAAGCGAAGGCTACTCGAAGGTGGACCGAAAGCATTCGGAGTTATACGCGGTCGATACCGGAGTCCCTCCGACGATTGCCGAAGAATCTTCGACGGATGATAGCGTGTTCCACTCGGACAGAGGAAGAAGAGTCAGAAGTCTGACGCACTTAGGACGACCAAGACATTCCAAGAAAGATCCTCTTACTAGAGCCCAGTCTCTGACTCATTCTCTCAACTCAGACAACAGCAGTATTCGACCAAGAAGCACCTCGCGTTCCTCAGGGACCATCTGTAGCAATGGAAGTATCGTTTCAGTAAAACAGGCAAGACCCGTGTCCGCTGTATTACCAATTACATTCACAGTTCCTGTATCAAAGGAAAGGTAAAGATGTCTTGTTTACGGTAAACACTGTTATAGCTTCGAGTTTCCATAAACTTTATACAACAATGAAAACTATTGCCATTCATTAAACGAGACGAAACAATACGAGACTGCTCTCTACTCAATTAAGTTATATTTAGGAACGTATTTTGGTGGTTTAAACCGTTAGTTATAACTCATACCCATAGTCTCGTCTTTGTCTGATTTTGGGCTTAATCCCGGCTGAAAATCATTCCATTATCTTTGTTTGTTTCTCTTCAAGATCTCGCGTTATTCGTTTGGACAAACGTGCGGACGAGCGACTAGGTTTGAAGATCGGTGGAGGAAATTGTGTTGGTATTTACGTCACGGGATTTCTCAAGCAAAGTCTGGCCGAGGAAGCTGGAGTAAGAATTGGTGATCGTTTGTTGCAGGTGAGCAACGGAGGAGGAAAGGCTGCAGCTCGCTTAGATTGGACAGAATTAGTGGTGTATAGTCAGACAATTTGTGCTCGAGAGTTCCTTTGTATTTGAGAAAGATTTTCATTACCATCATTTCTATTTTTGAGAGAGAATTAATCCTGTTTGAAATCGGAGTTGCATACACTTTGCGAACCGAGTTTATTTTGAATTTTCTTCATGAACTACCGATGCTTTTGTTAATGCAAATCATTCTCGTTTATTCGATAGTTAAACAGCTACACCGTCAGCCAAGTTACTTTGGATTATGCGACAAGAATTCTGAGAATATTGAGAAAATGCAACTACATTAGAATGGAGGTCCATAATTACACAAGTAAGTTTGATTCATTTTAGTGTTTAGATCTCAAACAAACCCTGCTTTTGTATTCATCATGAACACTTGTGCTTTTAGACGTTGATGATGTATTAAAAGAGGGAACATTGGACTCGCTGTATTTAAGGTAGATTTGATTGGTTTTTAATGGCTTAAAAAGTAGAAGTTGGCTGTGGAATGAATGAATGAATGCATGGTATCGTAGTTTTTTGACAAGTTTCACTCGTGACTCGTTTGTAGAGCACGCATCTCTCACGTGGCCAAGAATCCGTTAGAGCTCAGCTACAGTATCGGGGAAAAACTACGCGTGACCAATACCCGGGCAAACTATGACCCGGTGAAAGAGATATGGCAATGGTATGCAGTCCGTGAGAGACCTGGGGATGATGGCACGAAGAAGGAAGGGCTTATTGCAGCAATGAACTAGTGAGTGATGAATTGAAATAAATAAATAAATATGAAAATAAATGTTTAAATGAAATGAAGGAAAGGGAAAGGATCAAGGGAACTAAATTATATCATTACTCCTTTCTAATTTAAACCAATATACTGGACTTAGAGCTGGATATTTTGCGATGAAAATATCAGTTAAAGTTTGTTTTGTTAACACAGTTCACCGGAGTTGGACGACACTAGTTCCCAGGCGAGGACAGGGCAGACTGGGCGCGAGTCGGAAGGAGACGACGCCAGTAGCGTGTTCTCCGACGACAGTTTACGAAACAATCGACGCGTGAGGAGAAATTCCGTGGAAAGTCTGGCAAAACTGAGGCGATATCGCACTGCCAAGTGGAGAACATCCAGCGTTGAGAGCTTGGGATCTGAGACCGACTCACAGGCTGAAAGTAAGTTGGCGCCATTTGAGTTTTGGCGCCATTTGAGTTTTGGCGCCATCTTGAGTTTTGGCGCCATTTTGAGTTTTGGCAGTTTTTACTGTTGACGGAGTCATTCAAATACTAAAATTATTTTCCAAATTATTTTATTTTGTATAGACAAGACTACAAGTTATTATGAAATCCTGCAAGAAAAGCAAGTGTGAGTGAGGCGTTGAAACACTGCATTAACTAGTTTTCATCAAGGTTCAACTGCAGAATAACTTTTCTCGAAGTTAGACATATGGCGGTCCTTGCTTGAAGCCTCAAGTGAACCCAGTTTGAAGTTCGAAATATATTTCAAGATGCGCGCGGTGTTCCTTGTATGATGTGTGCATGGACATCACAAAATAGTTAGCTTCAAAGATGAAACGTTTAGAAAGAGAAAGATGATATTTGATTGTTAAACAATTCTTGTGGTTCAAGAATACGATACGATGGAATTGAAGAATGTTATATACAAGATATGTGGCACAAATCTTTAATATTCTATCCATATAACAGATGAGTCTGAGCGTTGCACGTAAAAATTAAGCAGTAAGACCGTAAAACTCTCTTCCAAAAAACAACTTACATGCCTCAGTTAAAATAGCCAAGAGCTTGTCCAAAAAGTTGAAACGATATCCACAGATGTCCAAAATATCAAAGGATTGCAATAAACTGTATTTGTCTTCACCCATTTGAGCTGACATTGAATAGAATTTTATAATTAAATCGAGGTGAACCAGTCTTACTAAGATGCTTAGAAAGAAATATTCAAATCTGTCCGTAATATGAAAGGATATAGATGCATGCAAATATTAATATTTATAATTTGTAACTAAAAAGTAATATTTAATTTTAGTCAATTTTGCGTCTCAGCAATCAATGTTGTACTATATATAGGCGGCCTAAAAAATCCCATAAAATTACCAGTGTCAATAAGTCCTCCGAATATGTTGATTTGCGGTAGGAAGCTGTCATGTTTATTACCTTAAGCTAGGATCTCATTGGCCGGATATTTTTAAACAAGCAGGTACGCATTGTCCTTACCACAAGAATTTCCTCTTTAATTTCAATGTCCGCTTATTTTATACATCCTGTGAAGCGATGAAGTGTTAGAACAAGAATAATATTTTTCAAGAAAAGAAAGGTAATTGATACTACTTCCAGGGCCTACTCGATCAAGCCAGGTCAGAGCGATGTCAGTTGAGCAATTACACACCAGTTTTTTTACTTTTCTAAGTATGTCATTGTGGGTGAAAATGCTTGTATTTTAAAGGTTGCAGTATAAAATTAACTAGGTTTAAAGGTAAAAAATATGTCCCGTTTCATGCACGTGCTCTAAATATAAACGAAACAGCTGTTGAGAATGAGTGCTGTTGTTTTTGATGAGAAAAACATGCGGAGACCCAAATTTATTTCGTCCAATTTAATTCTTCCGCCAGGAAGTTAAACAATTCAGTATGTCAAGTTACACGCAGGCTTGCAAGATCTTATTCAGTTTAGTTTAACCGTTACGAGAACGGGCGTACTGTACTGTGCTGTCGGCAGCACAAGTGGATTTATCGATGTCACAATTGAGTGTTAAACCACTAAAATCGTTCTGGGGGTCCGTTTATATTGCAAAGCCTTTGAATCCAAAGAATTCTTGTCAACATAATAATTTTGTTTTTCTTGCAACCTAAGCGGGCATTTGTCTGGTAAACTGCATGGGGTGTAGATTAAGGTAGCCAGTTAATTATAGAAAATTTAGTGGAAGAATACAGTCGTGTGTGTATGGACTTTGTGAAAGGTTTGTAAGATCTTTAATTTTGCATGTGCAATATGAATAATTCAGTTTGGATTTCATGGATGTAACCTGTTGTGCATATTGTCGTTGTAGTGCTGGCAAAGTTTTGATCGTCCGGACTGACTTTCCATAAAGTGGTCCCACTTTTGGATCAACCACCGCAAGTCTACAACAAAACAAGTGAGATTAAACTGAGTTCACCGGGTTTTTCAAACAATGCTTTTATTTCATGTCAAAAAAACACCTTTGGGACTTCAAGGAACAAACCAGGAATTTCTTTGACACAACAATCTCATACCAAATGCATGACTGGCCTGAGTGGCCTCTATAGGATGTTATCTTAACACGAGGCTGACTTCTCTCTAATTTTTGTGCTGTAATGTCCAAAATAATCTACGATTTCTCTCAATGTCTCTGCACAAATTTCACTGGATGTTTGTGCAGATCTCAATGTGTAAAGATGGATGGTATAAACTAGCGTTTGCCAAACATTTGCGAGTGTAGCTTGCAGCATTTGATTGTAATATAACGGCTCTCTTTCATATAAAGAAAAAATAGTTAACTTAAAATGATTTTTCGTTACGTTTTCCTCGACAAATTTTGTTAAATGAAGCTTGAGAATGTGGTTAGATTAAATCATAGCAGAGGCCAATATACCTATGCTACAATTGAGTAGGATTTAAATCGTTAAATATGCATCGCGCGGATGTTAAAAGGGCGAATTGACATATATTCAATTATGTGCTAAGTCAACATGCTTAAACTGAGGGAATTAAGTGTTGTAAACATGAGCATAACTCTGTGTCTTGTAATCTTCTCGTACAGGCGACCAATTGAGCCTTCGACGTCATTACAAGTGAAAGAAGCGCAGATATGAGGTGTAGATAAGGGAAAGCAGCTCTGTAAGTTGTAAACTATTTTGTTTTGCACGTCATTTGTTAAACCGAGAAGTTGTTAATATCGTTGTTGTAGAGTATTAGGGTAATTAAAACGTTGAATTATGATGGGTGATATATGAATATACTGGCGTTTGACCTTTATCTTTCAAGTATCTAAGACCTCCTTCATTTAACTTTTGATAAACAACGGCCACGCGAAATAAAAAATTGTTTGAAGAGTGCCCAGGTGCTATAAAATTAGGTGCATGATATATCGCTATGATAAACTGATATATCGCGGGTTACATGTTGCATGGTTGATGTTTGCTTACCGAAAAAGCACAGGCAGTGATAGTAACTCGAGGATTGCACGGAACTAGCTTATAGTAATACCATAGCTTATACTGATCTAAAACTTGTTGAGTTAATCGGGAACAGCGGAACTACGTCTTATAATGATACTTATTCAACCTGGCCCGTTCTTCATCGGGCTGTGATGTTGTCCAGTGATCACTATACATAATTTCACCTCAAAGTTGATGAGAGAGTTGTTCGTATATGCCTGAATTACGTCTAGTAAAAAATGTTTAGCTTCCAGAGTTACAAATGTTTTCTTCTAAAGCAATTCTAGAAAGCAATTCAGATCCATTGGCATTGCATGCATTCACTACTTTGTTTTGTTTTGTTCAGTTTGTAAATTGATTAGCTTCATGGATTTTAAAAGAGGAAATACTGTCCAAATACAGTGTTCGAGTCAAGCAACTTGCTTGTTCTTAGGCATTGATTGAGTATATTGTTAAAACGTAAAGTTCGAAAACAATCGCTTTTAACCATTGCCAAAGCAAGGTTTGAAATCGCACCAAAATTGTGTTTAATCCTAAGTCGGTTATTTAAATTACAATCTTCAAACAGATGATAATTGGCTTGGACGTCGTGATGTCAGAGATGGTTATCTTGCATGAATACTTGATATGTAACCATATTTGTTTTTTAAAATAATCGGCGAGACTGGTAGTCTGATAGGATCCGGTATACTGCAATAAATCGCGGGCTAATCTGTTTTGTAGCCAAGACTTTGCATTTGTTTTATTAAAAGCGACATTTGGAAATGTAAACCAACTGGTTTTTGTTTGAATGAATTCCAAATAAATGCATCCGCCCACCAGCTATGCAACGCTAAAGCTAAACGCGTAACTCTATTATAGTTATCCATCAGTTCTAAACTGTTCTTCCTACAGGTCCAGTAAGGATCATTTCTTATTGATCCAGTGTTACGACAGGAGGAAACCTAAACTAAACTAACTTTATTTATACTGGATAGCACTATCAGTTTTAAACTGTTCTTCCTAGAGGTCCAGTAAGGATCATCTCTTATTGATCTAGTGTTACTACAGGAGGAAACCTAAACTAAACTAACTTTATTTATACTGGATAACTCTATCAGTTCTAAACTGTTCTTCCTAGAGGTCCAGTAAGGATCATCTCTTATTGATCCAGTGTTACTACAGGAGGAAACCTTAACTAAACTAACTTTATTTATACTGGATAGCTCTATCAGTTCTAAACTGGTCTTCCTAGAGGTCCAGTAAGGATCATCTCTTATTGATCCAGTGTTACTACAGAAGGAAGAAGTGTTTTTTTAGTTGAATTAATTAACTGAAGACTGCATGTAATTTCAAAAGACATGCTGCATATAAGGTCAATGTGGTTAATGTTTGAGCTTCCCGGTAGAATAACTAGTCTTGCAAGACTGCTCGGCTTTTAAGCCGTCTAATCCTTAGCACAATAAGCTTTGCAACAAAGTCAAACAGGCCGTCACTGAGACGTCAAACTGAGCGCAATTCATAAGGACATGACATTTTCAATTCACTAACAACAACGAAGTTTCGAAATTCACTTTTGTGTTTGCATTTTGAAAGTCCGTTTTTCCGAAATGCTTTTGTTGTGATGTGAGATGAAATTACGTCGATCCAAGACAACGACTGTTTCCACCACCGGGAAAGATTGTTTGCTTAGTTACTGTGGAATTATTTTGTCGTAAAATGGGTAAAAAGTATTGTTATAGTTTATATCGTAATTGTTTAATGTCTATACGATATTGACAACCAGTCATAAACACCAGCGGGTTTATATCGTGCGGACATGAATTGACATGTTTTACTCAGGCAATTAGAGTTCGCTCCGGATTAATTCTGCAAATTTTTACCTCGATAAGACTGGATAGATAGCCGTAACGGATAATTATTGACTAATCCTGTGTTGCTCGTTATATAATGCGATGTTCCGAATTAAACAATACATTCCACAGTCCACAGTAGGCTGCTGGTATAATATCTTGCACTCTAGAAAAACTTATCGATAGAGCTATCCAGTATGAATAATGTAATCCGGTTTCCTCCTGTATAGTAACACTTGATCAATGAGAGATGATTCTTACTGAACCTCTAGGAAGAACAGTTTAGAACTGATAGATCTATCCAGTATAAATAAAGTTAGTTTAGTTTAGGTTTCCTCCTGTAGTAACACTGGATCAATAAGAAATGATCCTTACTGGACCTCTAGGAAGAACAGTTTAAAGAACTGATAGAGTTATCCAGTGTAAATAAAGTTAGTTTAGTTTAAGTTTCCTCCTGTAGTAACACTGGATCAATAAGAGATGATCCTTACTGGACCTCTAGGAAGAACAGTTTAGAACTGATAGAGGTACCAGTATAAATAAAGTTAGTTTAGTTTAGGTTTCCTCCTGTAGTAACACTGGATCAATAAGATATGATCCTTACTGGACCTCTAGGAAGAACAGTTTAGAACTGATAGAGCTATCCAGTATAAATAAAGTTAATCTAGGTTTCCTACCTTAAATCCAAGTAAGAGCATTTTAGCATTATATTTACTGACGTTGTTTGTTTCTCTTTATGTCAAGAACAGAAAAAGAATTAGATTTGCCTCAAAAATATTCGTCACTTCAAGAACTTTATGAGAAGGTCTTAAAAGAGAAGGAAGAAGCCTTAGAGGAAACTGAACGTGCGACAATCTCATTTGCTCGTCACTTTGATAGCGAGGTAAACAGCAGAGAATCTTATTCATCCACTGTTACTACGAGGAAATCTCTAAATTGTTCTTCCTAGAGGTCCAGTAAGGATCATCTTTTATTGATCCAGTGTTACTACAGGAGAAAACCTAAACTAAACTAACTTTATTTATACTGGATAGCTCTATCAGTTCTAAACTGTTCTTCCTAGAGGTCCAGTAAGGATCATTTCTTATTGATCTAGTGTTACTACAGGAGGAAACCTAAACGAAACTAACCGGCTTTATTCATACTGGATAGCTCTATCAGTTCTAAACTGTTCTTCCTTGAGGTCCAGTAAGGATCATCTCTTATTGATCCAGTGTTACTACAGGAGGTAACCTAAACTAAACTAACTTTATTTGTTTACGTTTCAGGTTTCATCTTTGACTGGCCAGATTCTCTCCCTCACTAAAGAACGAGACAAAGCTCAGATCGAAGCGGAGGACCTGGGAATCAAACTAGCCAACACAAAATACGAACTCAATCGTCTCCAACGGGAGCATATTAAACTTCAGTTGGAGCAAGAGAAATATCTGGATAAAATAGAAAGTTTTAACGAAAGGTTGAAAAACGAAGAAAAAATTGATTTGAGTAAAAGAGGGAAGGGAACAACGCCTGAAGAAGAAAATATGGATAAACAAAAGAAGGTAAAATTTAGTTGTATTCTGAACGCCCCGAACTAGTATTCCAGTAAATAAGTATAAACCGTCGTGGTATTTGTCTGAACTACCTGAGAAAGATATCTCAAACGTGGTGGTCCAGTGTAGGTAGTATTCTACAATAAGCTGTCGTGGTTTGTGTCTGAATTACCTGAGAAAGATATCTTAAATGTGGTGGTCCAGTGTAGGTAGTATTCTACAATAAGCTGTCGTGGTTTGTGTCTGAACTACCTGAAGAAGATATCTACAAATCGTCACGATTATATAAACATAACTTTCAAGAACTTCTTTTAACAACGTCTTTCATGAAATCAAACATGGAGACCTTTCACTAACTTGTGTGGGCGACCTGATGATCACTTTATGTTTTGTCTTTTAATTAAAACGTACTTGGCAGTTATTCATGCATTTAAACATTCAAACAACAAAAATGCATGGCTGCGTGTAGATAAATTCTAGAAAAGGTCGGAATGTATATCAATTAAATATATTAATACTGAATCAGCAGAATTATAATAACTGCAGTTTCATACGAAAAAATTAACTTCGAAACGGAATAATTCTTTAAATAGCCGACTTCATGTTGTGAGACGGCTGATCATTCCCAACAGGAACTTCAAAGCAATCAAAATGGAAATTGCAGGAGATTTCGCTATTCGTGAGCTATTAAGAGTTAATTATCAGGCAATACTGATCGGCCATCTCATCGACTGTAACATCTAACTTCTGAGCGATGACGATTGTGATAAATCAAATAGGATAAAGTTATGTTAAACCATGTTTTTTAAGCAAACCATACATCATTAATTACCTACCTGTTCGTTTCCATACAATTTTCACAACATCATTCGCGAAGCATCATGCTGGGTTAAAAGTGCGTGGTCAGATCATTTTGTATATTAGGTACAAAACAAATTAATGACCCATTGGATTTATGTACATTCATTTGGCAAAATGCACACGGAATATTTGAAATCAAACAATAGCCGTATAGGGAAATCAATGAGCTTGGAAAATACAAGAGTTTCTTTATTGTGAAAGTGTAAAAATTATAAGTATGTTGGCTTCAGAATCTCATGAAAAGGTCAAGCGACCTGGCCAGCAAAATCGTAGTAAGAGTATGAGGAGGGTTGCGAAGTTCATTAGAAGAACGTTCAACTTGGTGAGTTAACTAAAAACTAAACCAAAATCGACATATCCTCAATGTATTGTTTTAGTATCGATTGCTTTAACTGTATCCTTACAGGAACTTTGGCTTAATTCGACTATATACAGCCATTAAATAGTGACTTTTCACAGTACAAAACATCTCATCAATGTATCGTTATCTCATCTGATAAACATTCTGCACTCCATGATATGCCGTTAGCCAAACAGATACTATCGTACACGTAAAGCAAAGCACGTTTTTTACAAGTATACGTAAACAGCTCTGATGCATGGATGAGTAATTTTTAGTGTCTGTTGATCATTTTATCTCATCCAGCTGTATTATGTTCTACAAGATCATTTTGAGCTGGTTGAAACATACATCAGAAAATGTCTCCCAGACTCTGCCTGTAATAACCTTACTATTTGTAGATAAATGTTGTATTTGTTTGTGATAATTAGAAAGCTCGCAACTGAGGTGTCCGTCCGTTGTGCATTTGTCTGGTCTGACACCGAAGAGAGATATCATGGCCGTGTTTCGGCCAAGGATACAATTTTAACTTTATTATTTAATTGTTCTCATGAAAGATACAATTAAAATTACTTAAGTTTTCACTTATCTGCGTTCATAAGTGTCTTTATATAGTAATTAATTCGTTGTTTATGTGGATTTAAAGGCAACGATATTCGCACATCACTTTATATAATATTATAAAGTCGTACGTTTCCTATTTGTAGCAGTCTTCATTACTGCCGTGAACCAGCTTGACAATACAGAGTCGTCTCCTACACACAGGAAGGATTACTTTTGATTAGACGAGGCAGAATTATCATTAGCCGGTAACGTCTTCGTTCTCCTGAAGACGTTAATCCTTCGACTGTAGCTAGTATTGTACAACTCATAAACCATATTATGATGTCTATGTATGTGATGCGTCAGATACTGTTTGGGGGAAACTGGTCTAAAACAGCAATGTTGCAAACTGTGGCGTGCATAGAACTGTTTTGAAAACAAAATAGTTGATACAGCAAAACTACCAATGAACGCGTGGGAACCCTGGTGCCGAAGAATCTTAATTGACTTCCTTAATTGACTCGCCTAAAATTTTCTTAAATTTTCACCAAAGATCTCCGCATCGAGCAGAGTTGTGTTTCGTTATTTCCACGTCCGATAAAATTTGGAAGTTTTGGCTTAAACTTGGATTGCATGACTGGGAATCCAAAGCCGGCATATTTTAGCCACAGTAGTTGTACAGATTATGTCCCAAAACCGTGGGAAACAGCTTTCTCATGCAGCCATGCATGTTATTCATGATTGTACGCAGATAAAAATGAAAACGCCTCCAGAATTACAGACTCTCCACCAAAGTTTCGTGCAAACTTTAAGCTGTACATTCTTGCATGGTCGTGCTTGCTGTAAATCTGAAATGGATATCTGTATATCTTTGTGTATGTTTGGCAAAACGTTATATGAATGCGGCAAACTAACTTAAGGATACTATTGCTGCATGCGATGATGAATTATAAAGAAAGATAAATAAATATTTTTTTTCTTTTCAGGACGAAAACTTGAACAGCGAAGGTATGCGAGGCAATATGTATAATTTTATATGGCAGTAGGCAATAATCCTCGCTTTAAACTGCCAGCGTATTAATGCGTTAGTATATTCTCATATTATGCATGACCAAAATTTAAAAAATGACTGCTTTAAATCGATCGCTAGCTTACCGCAATCAATACCCCGCGACCTTTCTCTGTAGTTAATCATTTTCTTTTCCCTAATTTGTAACTTTAAGAACTGCGCGCCCAATTAACCTTCGCATGATTTCATTCGAAAACCAATTTAACAAATGCCTTTGCATCGTTTTTGTGGGGATATTAATAACCAGGTTATATAAATAGATCGTAGGGAGTGATGGTATTTACTGGCTCATTACATCTCTCGACTGCTCACTGTGTCAGACAAGTGTTTTAAAAATAATACTCGTTATTGACATGAAGTTGTCTAAATTTTTACAAGTGATGATTCTTCACTTTAGGACAACTTAATCATGTTCCAAGACCACCTGTCACAATCAAGAAATCAAAGGTCGACGAAGACTACACGATTCATGAGGAACTTGGAAGGTATCTTATGAACTATTCACACCATTTATTTTGTAAGAATCAAGTTTATTTGCCATTAGAAAATATCTCATTCAGCACAACCAACAACTTTTAATCATCCACCATTATCACAGTTCTTTAATGACCACGGATGCCCTTAAAAAATGAATTATAATCTTCCATTTTAGGGGGAAATTTGGAGTTGTCAAACGTGTGGTGAAACAGGCTACCCAGCAAGAGTTTGCTGCAAAATGGGTGAAAGTTACGAGCCAAACAAAGGAGGATGTCTTGAAAGAAATCGAGATCATGGGAAAATTGAATCACAAACGTCTTGTTGCCCTCTACGATGTTTACGATGTTTCGCGGAACTTTGTTCTCATTATGGAGTAGTAAGTTTGTAAATAAAACAGCTTGTTGTATCGCCTGCTTGATTTCCTGAGCTGTGGCAGTTGAAAACATAAAAATAGCTGTCAAGAAACTGCGCATATATCAATCCTAATTTTCTGGTAAATCGTTTTTCCTGGAGAAACAGGGGAAAGAGTAAAGCGATGACAGGCTTTTATTTTGAGCAATAAACTTGGAAATGTCAAGATTTCATGTGGATATTTGTGATGGAGTAGTCCTTTTACCAAAACGTTTCTTTTCAGCATAACTGGCGGAGAATTATTTGAAAGAATAGCCAACGAAGAGTCGGTAACGGAAAAGGAATGTACTTACTACATGAGACAGTTGCTGGAGGGTTTACAATACATGCACAAAATGAGCATTGTTCATCTTGATTTGAAGGTAACCAAGATTGTTAAACTCGAAATAATCGTCCGTTTTCTTTTGCGCATCGCTCTCATCATCTTGTAATGATCACCATAGCCTAGAATGACGATAATCATCATTTCAAAATAATTTTTGCAGCCCGAGAATATCGTATGTCTGAGCAAAGATACCTGGGATATAAAGTTGATTGACTTTGGACTGGCTAAAGAATTAAAACCAGGGAAAACTATCAAAACAATGCAAGGAACACCAGAGTTCGTAGGTAAGATCAAACATAAACTGTTTATAATCCATATTTACAATATCATCTGCTCCCAAAAACGTATTTTTAACTTCATTTAGCTCCAGAGGTTATCAATTTTGAACCAGTTTGTTTAGCAAGTGATATGTGGTGGGTATAGAGTTTACTTGATTCGGTTCCAATTTTTTTCTATTGTAAGTTGTTAAAAGGTTTAAATTTAACTCACAATAGATGTTTAAATTTTCTTAATAGGAGCGTTGGTGTAATTGCCTATATTCTGTAAGTGTTTTGACGCATAATTCATAATTTTCTTTGTCCGCGTATAAGCAATATCTTTGCAGAAATAGTATCTATGTTTGTGTGATGCTATTGACTTGTTCTTGGGTTTATACCAAGAGCTTGTGCGTTCAAATACAAGATGGAAATCTCAATTCAACCGTCAAGACTTTTCTATTATTTTTCATCTCATATTTAACCGAAGATTTCTGTTTTCGTTGCTAGTATAAGTGGTTTGTCTCCATTCCTGGGTGATGACGATAATGAAACACTATCTTACGTCACCGCGGCTGAATACGACTTTGAAGACGAGGCGTTTAATGAAATAAGCTCTGAAGCAAAAGATTTTATCGAGAAGTTGCTTCAGAAACCCCCAAGGTGAATTCATTTGTAAATACTTCATTCTTTGCATAACAATATGTAATTGCAAGACTAGAACCATCCGTCTGTGGTGAAAAAAAAACATGTCTAGTTGTCGATATGATAGTTGTTTGGGTAATTTGTTTGTTCCGGTGAAAAAAATTATGTTGTTATAAAATTAATGTTTTACATTCTTTCTTTATTTAGCAAGCGAAAAACAGCGGATGAGTGCTTGAAACATGAGTGGATCAAGGTGAGTTGTCGTGGCTTGCGATGTGATTTAAGGTGTATTATTTGTGTAACACAAAGAGTTTTCTTCCTGTTCGCAGAAAAACCGAGGAAGTAACAAAATTAAAACAGACAACCTTAAAAAGTTTCTCGCGAAAAGAAGATGGCAGGTTAGTTGCTTCGGTGCTTCTTTATGTCAAAAGCCCTTTTTCAAAGGCGAAAAGCCTTTCCTCAAGGTACGTGATCTTTTTTCAAGGTAAAAGGATCGTTTTTCGAGCTAGGATAAAGGTCATGGGCACTTTGTATTCTTGTCGTTGACCAATCGTGAAAACACAACATTTTACTGTTTTTCAGAAATCGGTGAACGCAGTGAGAGCAGTCAGACGATTATCTTCCATGAGTTCATTGTTTACTGCCGGAGCAAAAGCTAAAAGTCAATCGGTTGTAAAGCTGGACGATCCTCAAGCAGTAAAACAGACCCCGTTGGCCAAGACGAAACGAGATTTTAGTAAATCAATGCCATCCGTATTCGCAGCAGAAGGAGGTGGTTTGAACAAACGCGCAATGAAAATCCTGGACAGCGACACCGAAGTATCACAGAGGTAGGCAATAAGAATAATTTCTTTTATAAATCTTGGCACTGTTCCAGTTTTTAATGACATTTTCATGCTGTGTTGGAGTCATCCATCTTCACACTTTCACCAAATTAATGGAAGTTATTTTCGACAGCGAATCAGGCTCAACGGAAACGATAAACACAGCTGACGTTGATGACAAGGATGTGCTGGAAGGATTATTCAAGGAAAACAAAGATATCTTGGACTTCTTGAGCTCAGGTTTGGCAAACAACGAACAGAGTAAAAATCTAACAAAACTGAGGGGAATTTCTGAAGAGAAAGATGGAAACGATGATTTGACAGGTAAGGGTAAAATGAGAACTTAAGAACGTTTACCAGCAAAAAGGTTGTCATATTATTAAACACAACCCAGTGTTTTCGCATCTTTAACACTGATGTTCCCCATTAACATTGTTTATTTATACCAAAGATATTTTCAATTTCAGCCAAGCCGGACTTCGTAAATGCATTGCCAGCCACGTACACCGTACCGAAGGGAACACCGATACTAATGACGTGTACGGTACGAGGATCCCCGGATCCGACAGTCACGTGGTTTAGGCGGGAGAAAGCTCTCACTAACGAGGACACTGACGTCACGATAGAAAGAGACGGAGATGAGTGCAGCCTTGCAATTACACAATGTGAACCTCAAGATGAGGGCAGTTATTCCTGTGTGATCAAAAATCAGATTGGTCAGGCGACTTGCAAAACAAATCTTGATGTACAAGGTGTGTTGACTCATCAACCTATCTAAAAGATCTATCAGTTCTAAACTGTTCTTCCTAGAGGTCAAGTAAGCATCATCTCTTATTGATCCAGTGTTACTACAGGAGGAAACCTAAACTAAACTAACTTTATTTATACTGGATAACTTTATCAGTTCTAAACTGTTCTTCCTAGAGGTCCAGTAAGGATCATCGCTTATTGATCCAGTATTACTACAGGAGGAAACCTAAACTAAACTAACTTTATTTATACTAGATAGCTCTATCAGTTCTAAACTGTTCTTCCTAGAGGTCCAGTAAGGATCATCTCTTATTGATCCAGTGTTACTACAGGAGGAAACCTAAACTAAACTAACTTTATTTATACTAGATAGCTCTATCAGTTCTAAACTGTTCTTCCTAGAGGTCCAGTAAGGATCATCTCTTATTGATCCAGTGTTACTACAGGAGGAAACCTAAACTAAACAACTTCAAACGTCTTCTAAAACGCATGCACTCTCTTTTTTCAGTTTCACCCGATTTTGTTCGAGAGATGCGTGATGTATCGACGGAGGAACGAAAACGGGTCCAGTTTGATGTACAGATCAGTGGAAAACCGTTACCCACAGTTGAATGGTATCATGGTGATACCTTACTCCAGGAAGACAGATTGGTGAAGACACGCAAGAGTACCACAGACAATAATACATTCTCCTTAGTGATAAGGTCTGTGACGGCTGACAGGCGAGGAGTTTATAAATGTGTGCTTACAAATCCTTTGGACAGTGTATCATGCTCTGCGCGTTTGCGTATTGAAGGTAAGGAAACTAAAGCCAACGCTTTCTGCTCAAAATATTTGTTCGTTCCGGACGGTGCGGTAGATTTTGCATATCATGAGCTTTTTCATTGTTTTTCTCGTTGAAGGTTTTGAAGAGGAGGAAGAAGATGAAGAGAATGAAGAGGAAGAAGAGGAAGAAGAGGAAAAAGAAGTGGAAGTTTTGGAAGAAGCGCCTGCAGATGAAAACAAAGACGAGGTTGATATCTATGATGATCATCCTCGAGTATCGTTGAGACAGGACGATATCAACAAGTACTACGATATCAGAGATGAAATAGGAAAGTTAGTAAAATATTTCCCTTTCAGTTCTAAACTGTTCTTCCTAGAGGTCCAGTAAGGATCATCTCTTATTGATCCAGTTGTAATACAGGAAGAAACCTAAACTAACTAAACCTAAACCTGGATAACCCAGGGAACTTTAAGCTGTGAGACACCTTTTCTCAGAGAGACTCTTTCAATGTGGTTTCAGAGGTCGTTTTGGAATCATCTACTACGCAATCCACAAAACTACAGGGCGTGATTATGCCGTGAAGTACATTAAAGTAAGGAAAAGTCAACGAGATCAGTTTCAACATGAAATTGACATTATGAATCACCTTCGACATCGAAGATACATTCGTCTTTACGAAGCCTTTGAAGAATCAAGAAAACTCATTCTTGTTCTTGAACTGTAAGTTTTGAAACTGACTTTAAGTAGAGAGGCAGAGAATCTTTAATTGTATTACGCTTTTGAACAGTCCATATACACATGCCATCGTCTCTTTACCCCTTTCCTTTCATTTACTTGACCTGTTCATTTCCTGAGGTATACTTGCGCAGTAAGCACTTGAACTCATCTTATCGTTGGCAATGTCTTTTACACTTTTTCTCAGGATGCGTGGAGGAGAGCTTTTAGAAAGATTATCGGAGAAAGATTATCTGACAGAACATGAGATTATCAGATACGTCAAACAGATTTTGGAAGGAGTGAAGGACATGCATGAAAAAGATGTCCTTCATCTTGATCTTAAGGTATAAAATGTACACATTTCAAAGGCATATTCTATCAGATTTGATGTTATTTTCCTTGCAAGATGAAGCATTTGCAGCAGTTCTGATCTAGTCTTGACCTGCTTCCATTTTTCTAGCCACAAAACATCATGTTTACCACCGAGGATAGCAATAATTTGAAGCTTATTGACTTTGGTTTGGCAAGAAAGCTGAACGCCGAGAAAGATCTGAAGATATTGTTTGGAACTCCGGAGTTTGTAGGTAGGAAATACAAGCCAGCCATTCCGGTTTTTATAAATTTCAGCACTGTTTATAATTTAGTTTTGTTCAGCCAAATATTCTCGTATTTCATCAACACGACAACAACATCATCGTTACAACTAATATTTTCATTACTGGTTCAATTTCTAGCACCTGAAGTGGTTAATTACGAAACTATTACGGCTGCAACAGATATGTGGTAAGAATTTTGAATTTCCATAGATCACCGAATGGTTTGATGCTGCTGTGTTTAACATAGAGTTTATGTTTAAAACACACCTCTTTTATTTCATTCACTTAGGAGTGTTGGAGTTATTACTTATATACTGTAAGTAGTGATTTCTAGAATCTTTGCAATCGAGTTTTCCTGCATTGCATAAACCTTTCTAAAGGTTCAGAAAATTGCGCTAATACTCGTATCAAATAATCGTTTTAGTCTTACTGGTGTGTCGCCATTTTGGAATCATGATCCTGATGTAACCCTCAGCAACGTTACTCGAGCGATTTGGAAAATTCCTGAAGAGTTTTTCGAAGGTGTTAGTGAAGATGCAAAGGACTTTCTTACGAAATTGTTGGTAAAAGAACCCAGGTATATCTACACGTTTTGTTGTACTTGTCTTGCTTGAAAAGGTTTATATAAATAAGCTTTGTACAAATACATGATGAAATGTCATCTGAATGCTATGTTGACTTTAGCAAACGAATGAAAGTTGATGAAGCATTTCAACATTCTTGGGTTAAAGCGGCCAAGCAAGAAAATACTCATTTGAATCACATTTCCACGGAAAGATTGAAAAAATATTATGCCCATCAGAAGGTAAGTTTATCAAGACATTCATTCCTAATTCGTTCTTTCATTTATTTCAAAACATTCATACGTTCTTTCTTGCGACAACGAAGAATATTTAATTTTATGTATATTGGAACTTCTTCAGGGTCTTATCAGTGCTCGAGTTATAACAGCAGCTGGCATGAAAGACGAAGGTGAAAAGAACCGCTCTGAGAGTCAAAGTGAAGGTGAAGGTTCTTTAAACCACAAAATATTATCTTTTGTATCGTGAAATGCACGAGAGTGAAATATAATCATTTGCAGGACAAACACTACCAATGCAAATTGATTATTAGGCATGGAAATTTTCTTTTGCAGAGAACTTACTGCTAAACTGGTTTGCCTTCACGTTTCTATCATTTCGTTTTAGATACGAAACAAAAGACGGAAGCGAACAACAACAAAAGCAATCAGGATAACGGAAGCAGCAAAAAGGAAAGCGACGAAAACGTTCCGTCCACTGAACTCGTTTCAGAACTGACAAAAGAAAGAGACGATTTGAAACAACAGCTTGAAGATCTTCTTGAGAAATATAATAACGTGGAAGACGAGCTTCAAGTTGTGAAAACTGCAAACAAAGAGCAGGAAGATGCCATGAATAAACTTCAGAAAAGAAACCAGCTTTTGGAAGACAGAAACATCGCAAACCAGGAGGCTACGCAGCGTTTGATACGACTAGAATGCGAGAAAAGAGAATTGGACGATAAATTTGAGCAGAAAGATAAGAAGTTTAACGAATTGAGCAAGAAATACGAAAAAATTCGCGAGAAAGCTGCATCTTATGATGGTTTAGAAGAGAAGGTGTTGTATCTAGAGAAAGAACGCAAAACTAGTCAAACACTGTGTAGAAAGTTAGAAGAACAATTAAAACAATTGCAAGAAGCTCACGAGGCGCTTAAATTGAAAGATTTGAGTGAAGATAGGACTTCTATTGCTGAGAGGGATGAAAATGGCTCTAAAGGTGCTTCAAACAAACGACACTCTTCAAATGAAGTTGTAGATGAAAACGAAAGAAAGTTATCGTTAAACAAACTTGAAAACAAAGTGGCACATTTATCTGAAGAGCTGGACGTAGCTCAGGCTGAGATTCAGAGACTGAACACGACCATCAGTTCTCAAGTGGAAGACTTGGAAGAAATGGAGCGAATTAGTGAGCATAAAAAGAAACTGGAAACTAGATGTAAGGGTCTCGAGGAACAATTGGTTGAGCTGGAACACGAAGGGACGCAGAGGGAATACGAGATCGATGAAATGGAAGAGGATATACTGGATTTACAGGTTTGTATCACTGAACTGTACAAAAACTGGATTTACAGGTTTGTATCACTGATCTGTACAAAAACTGGATTTAGTATTGATCGGGTTTGTTCCGTGTTTACAGGGGAAACTTGAAAAGTCTCATATGGAGTTACGTACTGTTTTGGATGAGAATAAGACGTTAAAACAGCGGCTGGAGGGAGGCGAGAGGACACGCGGAAAGATAAGGGATATTAGTGAGCATAATAGGTCAATGAAGATGGTTAATGGTAACGAGGGGGCTTCTGGTGTTGCCATGAAAGTAAGTGTGTTTTGTTTGCGACAATTTTATGACTGAGTCAGTATTTAGTTAGAATTATTCTTGGTCAACTAAAGCAACGTTTTTCAGGATTGATCTAACTTCACTTGAAACTTTTTAGCCAAAATTAGAAGAAAAAGAGGGATCTCCAAAAACGAGGGACATTGCCGATCAACACCCATCTCATGAGGTCACAAACGGTGACAAAGGATCACCTAGGGTGATAACGAGGAAGAGATCGGCGGAGCGTCACGAGGAAAGAACGACAGATCGCGTAGCCAAGTCAGCTGGAATGACGAATGGCAGAGAAATTTCCGATGATGACGTCGACGACGCTGATCTCTTTGAAGACGACGGAGTGTTTTCAGAAAAATATTATCAGTTAGAAAAAGAAATTCAAGAACTTTTGACGGAGAAATTTGGCGAGGAAGGGAGTCCACGTGAGGGTAGGTACTAAATTAATAAGCGAATCAATCTTTGATTCCTAGTTCCTACGAACGCCATGCACTGATCTAATAATGCACTGGATATATGGATATTCGATTGAGCGACCAGCATTCCAGATTATTTTGCTTAATCAAATCTTGTTATTTAAATTTTCACTATGTTAACTTATAATGCGTGCATTACTAATACTTACACTTTCACCTATCATTATCGATATTTCCTAATGATTACTAATTAGTAATATAGTTAAGGTTAATTAGAATGACTAATTAATAAATAGTATAAATAAGCTTCAAAATGAAGTTACTAACAATAGAGCAAAGGACAACAATGTTGTTCAGAATATATGGTATATTGTATTGTATTCATTCCTACATTACAGCTGTATATATCAGACTATGTAATAACTAATTTCTCAGTGTACTGATTTTTCCGTAATGGATGCGTTTAGCGTTTTATAATGTACTAATCTATTAACTAGAAAGGATGGTAGAATTGACTTAATCAATATTTTGTTGTATGATATAACTCGATACGATTTTTATACTTCATGAAATTCACTGGAAACGCATATTGCAATGGCGAAATTTGCTGCAAATATCCCAGCCTTTGTATACCACGGTTGATTGCTTAGTTTTTTAAGTGATCAATCTTTTTATCTTAAAATGAGGGATCGCCATTTTTCAGTTTGCAGGGTACATAAATTGCGTAGTACTAATTGACTAATTTGCAGCAAAAACTGCCAGCGTTAGGTTAGACCTAACTAGAATGAAAAAAAACTGATCACTTTACAACTTTCTTGTTCCGTATTTTAAGATTATTTCGCTTCATTTTTCGTGCCCAATAAAACTAAAAGTGTAAACTTTCATTCAATTCTCCAAGAAGCAGGAAATGCTGGTTATTTCAGTGTGTTTACTGTCATGGATTATGAACTACAATTGTAAAAACCTGCCGAACTTTTGGAAAGTTGTAAAATGATGTCAAACTAATACTATACTAACTGACGCACTATATTATAGTCTATAGGCAAAAAGCAAAATAACATCATATTTTATTTAGGAAACATAATCTTGTATTTTTTCACATACTAACAGATTGAACTGACATATTTTTTGTATAACTGTAAATAGAATTGTAATGAATAATCAAACTTATGTCTTCTCTATAAGAAAATATATTAATCATGGGATTGTTCTATCTCTGTCCAGTTAAATACCGATTACTTTAGTTTCAGAGTAGATGTATGTCTAACACTAATCTTAACCCATTCTATGTCAACCATCACCCGTTTCTTCAAATATCAGAACTAACTGATGTGTTGCTTCAACTAATATTTCTAGATTTTGGCTTTATTCGAACAAAGACAAGTTTTATCAAACGCGATATTTTATGGATCTAACGGAAAACAAATCACTAATACTTCAACACTAATAAACTTTAATAAAACGTTAAATTAACTCTAAATGTTTTGTTTAAAATAATCAAAGTTACAAACAATATCCTAACATTAATAATTTATAAAACTAACAAACTCTGAGATGTTAATATATAATCATATAATTGCTAACAAATATAATATTATACTTGATATATATATACTATCGTGATATAAATGTGTAATTAATAATATAGTTACAATATCATGATTAACATGTGATAATATAATTATTATATTTATAACATGTAGTTGCGTAACTGAACTAACCTAATGAACTAATTTAACTATATCAAAAACTTAAATTAATCGTACCAATTAACAATACTAAGTATTTATATCGAGAGTAAGTCTTTAAAAGAAAGTTTGAAAATAACAATGAAAATCCGTAAATATTTATAAAATAGAAAATAACATATATTCAGCGAGAAACAGAGAATTATTGGTTAATTATTTTTGCATTTTGCTTTAAGCAAGATTCTTGAAATATCTACACAAGGTAGAATTTACAATTCGCTTCATTTTTATCTAAAGTCGAATGGTTGGGTATCAAGTATTTCTCCTCCATTCTCGCCCCATGCAAGAGTTAGCATTGCAGTTTTATTAGGGTTGACTATATGAAGCATAGCTATATTCAGAACGAAATCTTATTCAATGTAAAAAAATGTTTTTAGGCGGGCTGCATTTTTGGGAGGGCTGCATTGCCGGGACAAATTGATATATCTCGAAGCAACTTGTTTGTTAAGGCTGCCTGCAATTTTAAGAGTATCGCTGGTTGCTTGTGATCTGTTGAAACGATAGCGCGGGTATACGATCACAAAGTCGCAGTTCGAGGATGCTTGCATACAAAAACGCGCTGCAGGAAAGCAGTATTAAATACTTATAGACGCCTACTTGTGGATGATTATTCAAATTGTTTTCAGTTGATAGTTTGGCTGCGTTTTGCTGTACCATATATTCGCTTGACACGGCAACTTATCGTGAAGTTGCGAAATGACTTATAATGCAACAAAACAAAGTGAGAATCAAGGAGCCAGATTCGTGTCTTGCAAATCCAGCACAACGACAAGGGAAGCTGATTATCCCTGGAATGACATATACGCTGTCGTTTTTACTCGCACCATTGAGTTTGTTATCCACAAAACTGATTTGCATCTTAATTGAATTGTTGTTGTTATAACACTGACATCGACATTGTGCAAGGGCTGTGTACATGTCGAGCAAAGTTATGTTGTTACTTTAATGTGCTGGAATATATATTTCAGGTGAAGAGTCGGCCAGAGGAACTGCGAATACCGAGGACACTTCAAATCCCGTAGATAGAACAAGGCATAAAACATCTCTGCCTCAAAACATGGACATCAAACAGCTTCGACAGCTCAGTCGAAAACTCATGAAAGCCAACAAATGCTTGTTGCAGGTAAACGAAAGACTTCAGAAGGATAAAAAAGATATTGAGCGGGAAAACGAACGACTTGGACAAAAATTACAAGCGCTGGAGAAAGAAAATGATACGTTTAAACGACTGTTTAAGGCCGAAGATAAACTTAATTCCGTGGATACGATTTTGAGTAAAGACACGATTGAAGCCTTGAAGGCAGAACTCGGTAGTCAAGGCCAGGAAATATCGAATCTTAAGAAGGTAGAAGATGTAAAACCAACGAATGAGATGGCAGAAATCTCCCAGAGTGATGCCGATATTCAACTGCTTGAAATGGTAAGCAAAGAATACATTTTAAAAGTGATAAATGTTGGTATATATAAGGTAATATATAATTATATAATTGTATAATCTCAATACGCTTCGTTTTCTACGGTCTGAACACAAAGGAAACGACTCGAGTCTGGTAGTAAATTGCACTCATTAGATAAACACAATATAGACGTGATAAAAAAAAACTCATTATGTTCCTTTATTCCGAATTGCTTGTACGAAGTTAATTGTATACAGAGTTTCAGATTCCCACGTGCCAGTTGTCAAGTTGACACTTGTTTGAATTCATGAAGTTCAATATTCCTCCAAACTTGACGTTATCTACGTATTAAAAAGGCTGTCGGAGATTTCATATCATTATAGCATGTCTGACACGCAGAACTGGTAGTTTCTCAGATTTAATTTACGACGTTTATATAATCATCACCTGAGAGTTATCCAACAGAGCTACTAATAGTAGTTCTTATGAGGGTTTTTTCCCGTATTCCATTGTCTTCCTCATCACGTAGCCTTATCTAAAACAATATGTTTTTTTATACCAAAATGAACTTGGCGACAGAGAACGTCATACACGTGCATGGGAAAACCTTAAAAAGTGCTATATTCAGACAGTTTCGAAATATCACTCTTCCGTCTTCTTCATTTGTCAAACACATTACAAACAATAGATAATATGTTGAGATATCTCATTATCTTTTGTTTTAAGAAAACCTTTGACCCTTGTCTTAGCAATAACAATAAAACTTTTTCCACAAGTTCCTGCATGTATGCAGATATTGTGATGTGAAATATAAGCAAGCTTGTCTCATTCTCTATATATGGTTTGATATTGTTTTAGTTTAAATCGTGAAGGTTTAAAGCTAATATATCTTGCCAAGATTACAAGTCGTCCTCACATGCCACGATTATGATGTTTCTCGTTAGATAATTATATAATCATTTCAAAACGCCTCACATCTCAAAACAACGTTTGAAACAAGCTTTTAGTTCTACTAAAAGGCCTGTTCGCACCGGCCTCGGATTCACTATGTGATGGATGCATGCTTTGTAGTCTATATTATTATTGGCTTGTAACGTATATTGGCAACAGATCAACTAAAGCAAAAGCAATCAGTGCAGTGCCGCTTATATCAATATACGCAGGCTACATTCAATACGTCAGAAGTAAATTTGATCCGAAGACGGACACACCTTAAAATTTAATTTAATTTAAAGTGCTTGTGCGTTTGTACATACAGAAACGTGTAACTGAAAAAAACAGCCTTAACATGTACCGGAAATAATTTTCCCAATATATAACCCAATTCCACAAAGCTCTGCTTCATTTTAACCAAAGGATATCTTGTATTTAGAAAATTAAAACGATGAAAAATGATAAATCGTTGATGGTAGATAAATACGAAAATGAACTTGAGGAATCGCATAACTTTTACGTTGAAGAGCATCAGAAATTAAAGATATTTTACGAAGAACGTATCGCATCGGCTGAGAAGCAAAATGAAAATCTCAAATCTCAAATCAACGGTTTAATGTCATTTAACGACAACAAGAAGAACAATTGCGAAGTTCACACGAAAGAACTGAACGATTTGAAGCGTTTGCATCAGGAAGAACTGCAAGAAGTTGAGAGGAATTTAGCTTTGACTCTGTCACAACAACTTCACTCGCTTACAAACTTATCAGAGCAGGAGAAGTCGACCATTACGAAGGAAAAAGACGCCGAGATAGCAAAGTTAAGTGACAATTGTCGAGAGTTGAAAGAGGTTATAACGAATCTACAAGAACAGGTTGGAAATTATCCAGAACTTTTAGAGAAATGCGAAGATTTAGAAAAACAGTTGAACGAAAAGAAAGAGCGTTTCGATGCTCTAGAGAAAGAAGTTGAACGGCAAGAACAACAACAATGTAATATTTGTGAACGATTGAGAAGTCGTGTTCGGGAACTTGAAAACGAGCTTGTTGCTTTGAGAAAGCTTGAGGAGGACAACATCTTACTCGCAGGCGAAAATGAGAAGCTGATTGATCAGTTGGAAACCGAAAAACAGAAATGTGATTTGATGACAAATAACAATCAGCCAGACAGCGAGTCTAAACTCGTGATGGAGGAATTTCACAACGAGAAGAGCCCATCAAAAATAAAAGAAAACTCGAAAAAGTATTTGAAAAAGCGAGTTTCGCAGCTCGAAAACGATTGTAAGGATTTGTGGAAGAAACTACAAAATGAGGTTAGTTTTTATACGATTTATTGCAAGTAGTTTTCACAATTTATTTCTTTCGCGTTAACTCAGTTCAACCTCACAACTGTCAGGTTTTAAAAAGCAAGAAACAAGAGCTGGAAATCAATCGGGAGACGACGGAGAAAGAACGTATCCTGCAGGAGCTTCACCGAACTCGTATTTCAAATAGCCACGAGAACGATGCTCGTCACAAGAAGGCGAGCGATGTTTCCATACACAGTTCAAACAACGAAGACGAAACAGGCTCAATAAACGAGGACAAAGATAATGATTATTCTCTGCTGAAAGAAAAATTGAAGAAGTCCCAAAATAGGACGCATTTATTACAGGTATTCCTACACTGGCTATAACTTCAATTCTGCACGACTTTTAAAACAATTTTCATCGCTTCTTTTACTATTTCTCATCCTTCAGACTGAGATAGACAGATTACGAGAGAGTTATTCCAATAATCTTAGCAAAGAACTGGAAGATATGGAGAATAAATGGACACAGAGACTAAGGTTCGTCGTGAGATTCATTGTCCATCGTTTTGCAATACGTTTGCAACTTCTTGAGGCGTCTGATTTAGACTTGACGTGTGACGTGCATGATATCTAATCAACTGATAAGTATTGTTTGTCATATTTGCAGACGAGAATGCAACGCTGTTCATTCCGAAATGGCGGAGGAATTCAGAAAACAAAAAGAAGCCTGGAAGAAAAAGGAATCTGAACTTCACTGTGTTGTTAGTAAAAATAATCTTCAGAGGCCAGTTGTACGAAATCTGGATAGCGCTATCCACCGGATGGATATTCGTTAATTAAATTTGTAGTATTCTTAAATTGTATATGTAGTATTCTTGTCTTCCATAACTGTTAGTTCCAAATCTATAATTCTATCGCTTTTCGGGAATGTTCACAACGGTTGAAAAAAAACACAACCCGGTGGATAGTGCTATCCAGCTTTCGTATAACCGGCCCCTATTCTCTTGTTTATTAAATGTCTCCGGCTTTAAAATCAATTCGTTCATCTACAGTTTAGTTTCTAAATAACTTATAACTATATAGTCATCATTTTCCGTCGTCATAGATTAAAGAACTCCAAAGTCAAATCGAGGAAACAGAAATTGAACGGAAACGCTTAGAAATTGAACTTAATGATATAAAATCAAAAAGAGAAAGCGATAAGAAAACTGCTGAATATTATACGGAGGTTCAGCCTCACGAAAACAGCAATAGAGATAGCGCAGCTTTGGAAAAAGAAGAGAGTCAAGCTCAAGGTATAATTTGCCCTTATTGGACCTCTAGGAAGAACAGTTTAGAACTGATAGAGTTATCCAGTATAAATAAAGTTAGTTTAGTTTAGGTTTCCTCCTGTAGTAACACTGGATCAATAAGAGATGATCCTTACTTGACTTCTATGAAGAACAGTTTAGAACTGATAGAGCTATCCAGTATAAATAAAGTTAGTTTAGTTTAGGTTTCCTCCTGTAGTAACACTGGATCAATAAGAGATGATCCTTACTGGACTTCTATGAAGAACAGTTTTCGAACTGATAGATTTATACTTTAAACCACATACTTTTAACGAATGCTATTTCTACAATAGAATACATCAGTGATAGGGATTTGCGTCGTTTGGCTTACAAACTCAAGAAAGATCAATGGCTGCGTCTCGCGAAACTTCTTTCACTCTCAGAAGCCGAAATTCGTGAAATTGATCACCTCAAGGTAGGGAAAGATGAAAAAGCGTTTCGGGTGCTGAGTGAATGGCGAACTAGTACCGAGGAAGCGAGCGGTAACCAAGTGTCGAAGTTGGCGTTAGCCTTGGAGGAAATTAGACGCAAAGATTTAGCGCAGTTTGTCATGGAACATTGTATGGCTGGTAAGATTAGAAATAAGTTGGTTGGAACGTAGCCAGAGATTTGGTTCTTCGTTAGGCTCTTCTCATAAACATTTATTGCGAAGTTTTACATTGTTTCTATCATAATGGTCCTGAGATTGTGGTCGCGTTGATGTTGATTTGATATGATGGTAATATAGGTGATTTCATGGTGAAAGTGATGGTGATTATTATAGTGTGGTGGTGGTGGTGGAGGTGAAGATATAATGATAGGCGAAAGCAATATAAGTACGAGGCCGTTTGGTTTATTGGCTGTGCAAAGTTCTTAAACCCTATATAAATAAAGATTACTGATTGATTGATTATTAATGACGATGCATGAAGTTGAGAATTCCAAGGCTGACTGACTGAGATATATATACATAAAATTCCTCTCTAAATATAGTCGAATTTTATTTCTTTACATTTACAATTATTGCCATTACTATTTATTTACAAGGTATGTTGAAAAGAATTCCAGACTCTCTCGTATTCAGTCATAATATAACAACTCTTTATTCTTCCTAAGATTATGTCCACTCCTCTCCAGTCTCTGTATGTAGTTTGTATTTCGTGAACGAGAACGCAAACCATAGTGGCCATTGGACGTATTTGGCACTGTCTCAGAGTACGGAGAATTAGCATCGCTCCTGAAGTGTTTTGGTTCCTTTGGATTTCCCTAAAAATGTAAAAAATTCAATAATATTTTTATTTTGTGACTCGTGATAAGAACCATGTTTCCAACCACAGGGGTTGGGACGTGAACCGGACTCTTGACCTTCAGTTTGCTAGGTCAATGTCATGTCGTTTCTAAAAGTCTAGAAACGGTTGTAAAGTTACTGAAAATTGATTTTTCGTCTATGACGTTAAATGTTTTTATTATATCTGGCTAAAGGAAGAACATTACACGTTCCCTAATACGTATTTTTATCGACATTACACGACATTGTCATGACCTTGAGAGACAAATCTCCCACTGGTTTGTGGGCAGGGTTAATCGTATGTTATTGTCTTATTTATGTTGTGCATCACGTGCATGTGCGAAAATAAACGATTGCAACAGTGCTATAAACGATCAGGAGGTTATATAATTATCTAGACAAAAAACCCATACTGCATGTACAAAGAATGAGGAAGGATGCTTGCCTTTTGGTCGTAGTGTGTAAGAAATCCCCAATGCTTCTCCCTAAAAATAGAGATTGTCATAAATCAGTATATCTGCAGGTAGCCCAATTGAGCATTTGATGATAAATTAGGTCCGTTTTAGACGTCGAACTTTTCATGTGCCGAACCAAATGCAAATGAACTTTAGCTCATTAACATTAGGTTCAGCACATGAAAAGTTTCACGTCTGATGACAATTCAAAGCCAAAGAAATAATCCACCTATACACAAGTCATACAGAGGAGTATCCGTTATCATGACTACACTTTTTTCAACGTCTGGCATCCTGGACCATCATGACATTTAGCACGAAAACATTGACTTGATCGCTATTAACTCGCTACAAGATGATTTATGATTTATCTTGTTCTTCCTGCATGCTTTAACCAGGAAGCCACATGACACAACCCACGCCGTAATTCGTTGAATCGTTTGATCGACTATAATTTTTAATAGCTGGCAAATCATGACACAACCAAAAAAGATCCAAAAATATGATATCAAAGACAGTGTATCATATTATGTATGAGACTCCAAGATTGCATCAGTTTAAATATTTTTACAACATGTCGGTGAGAATAATTTATGAACTCTTGACTGTGTCGAGTCACGCGCGTATACTGTATAGACAATACCTGAGACAAGACAGTCTTTGAAGCAACGGGGGTACGTTGAACCATTGAAATGCTGGCAATTTGCAGACTAATAATAATATACATGTATATATATAGTAATAATTTGAAATGCTTGCATGAACAATATTCTGGCTTTTTTCGAAACTGCAACGCAGCATAACGAAGATTGCACGTGTGAAGTCATGCAATTGTCTGCTGGTTCACGCAATTTACAAATCACAAATTTTTAGAACTGCTAACCGAACTGTAGAGAATATTTCATCTTCATACAATCATACATGCTCAACGTGGAATCGAATTTTCGAAATAGCCCCGACAAACTCAATCGCCAAATCGCGACGTAATCATACTGTGGGTGTGACGTAATCTATACATTATGTAGACTGGGATCGCCCATCACGTGTAAAAACGCACATGCCCCTGTAAACAAGTTGTTACAAGTCTATTCATAAACTTGCAATAAGATCCTTGGCATCATTTGCTCCAAGATTGTCCGTCAGAAAGTTTATGGCAAGCTGTTAGCAACTTGTAGCAAGCCCGATGGCATTGTGATAGACTTGTTACATGATTGTTCTAACATGTCTGATACAACATCTAACATGTTATATATATACAACAACGTTGCTATGTTGCTACAACCTAGCAACACAAGATTATCCGTCAGAAAAAATAATGTGATTATTGGCCATAGCTCAGTTATGGCGTTAAAAGAAATGTCAAATCCGGTGAACGAATAAGTTTGGATTTGAATAATTTACCATTTCGTTTGTTGAATTTTTTCCTTATCACAAGAACTTTTCCATATTTCGTCCTGGGTAACTAGGCAATGCTTTTGAGATTGATCGTATGATTCTAGCGAGTTTGTAGGCTCTGCCGACTTCACTCTTTTGTGAGGCAAAGCATTAGGATTTGCGACACATTTCGTATGATATTGACTTGACATCTGCTCGGCCATACGATTAGGTGCTGAAGTTGTTCGATTTTTGAAAGATGAAGCCATCAATTCAGAATTTACCCATCAAAATTGGATGCCAGTATGAAAAAGTGATATATGAACTGAAATTTGAAGTAATAATTTGAACGTATTTCGTATTTTTCTGATGTTGCTATAGTCGCATTTAATACATATGATATGTATACATATGTCATTTACGTAACACAATACTCCATGGCAACAGATATAAGAGACAAGCATGAATATGTCAACAAACATTTAAAATTCGTTTCCTGCGAAAATGAAACAGCATCCACCTGCTTTAAAACTGGCTATATGTCATAAATTACGGACGAGAATTATGGTGTAGGAGTATATTAAAAAGCGGCGAAATAAAGAAGTTATGAAACCAAAGTGTCTTTGATTTTGTTATGTTAACGATAGATATTGCAAAATTAGCCATTCAAAATTACGAAACTGAAAATACACTTTTAAATTTAAATATTAAAGGATTCACCAATCCTGAACTGTTTGATTATTAATATAATTATTCAAATAAACCATTATTCTGATTAAATAGTTAATATAATATTTTAAGATTCATGTAGCCAATTTGTAAATTACCTAAAATAGAGAGATTTGCAATTGTATGTATAAGAAAAAATTCCAATAAAGTTTTCATTATCAATCCTTCACGCAAGGACGATTTGGTAATGGTTTTATAAATAACACTGAAGCAATGTTGTAAGCCTTTTTAAACGTCGAATAACAACCCCGGACCATGAGAGATATATGAGACGCTGAGAATCAGAAAAATATATATATATATATTTATGAAAATAATATTTTATAAAAATATATATATATGCATTTTACAAAATCTGTTTTCAGTAAATTTGAGACAACGGGGGGGTTTCCCAGTGGGGGTTTCTAATATTAACAGTTTCACCTCGGATCACACAGGATTTGCACCAGTACCAATAAAAAGCACTTTTCTTCCTCGCGGGGTCGGGGTTGTAAGGGGAATTCCTAAATCGTCTGCATTTCGATATCGATATCATGCTGTTTAATTTTTGCGGAAGGGAGTATGCTTGATTTTTTATAAATACATGTTAGGCTAAGTGTTAACCAATCACGTAGGTGAAGTTTTCAATAAGAATAACTATTATTTAATGAAGTTTGTTTGAATGCATGAGAGTAGAAACGTATAACAGGGGGGTTACCGCTTTCTGAATATCAATATGAATAACATCCGAAACGTAACGACGTATTTATAGGTTCGTGACAAGATAAAGAAACTTTTCGAAAGCAAAAATTAAGGTATTTTATAAAAGCTTATTTTAGTTTTTGTTTATAGAGGGAAGAGCAAACAGTTGTAATGGTGAACAAATTTAGAAGTAGATTAGTAGAAAGTGAATGCCTTAATTGCTTTTTTAATTCTGAAAAGTTTTTTAGCAGGCTTCGATGAGTTCGAGCAGTTTTCAGTACTCTATTTACATCAATTTTTTAATTATTTTGATGTTTATAATTATAAAGGTTCTTTCATTCGGAATCGGAATCATCGGATGAATACGCCGTGCCTGAATTTGTCCGCGGTTCTGGTCGGATCATCACACGGTAAAAATGGATACAACTTTGTCCGCTTCTACGTGTTCACACGAACCGGAAACATTTCAAAACAAAGCGCGATGCATATGACAATATTTAGAGAGGTTCACACCCGTCCTTATAATCGGGAATTCCCTTTGATTATGGACGTATGGTAATTTTTAGCATTGAGCGACCATATTCAGACGGTTTTTTACAATCAACTATCCTGTCTAAGACGAGTTTCCCGTCCCTAATATGAATTCGGCCGCCTCTTTTAATTAAGGAGTTACTTGCATGGCTATGATCAGCGCGTGCATGTTTTCGTGAAATAATATAACCGCATGACATGCGTGACGACGTATTTCGAGGTCAATGGAAGGAACCACAAACATTTGATATGCTGCATGAGTCAGAGATATGCTGCACGTTCCGCAATTTGAGCTAGATTACTTCAACGCAACGCAAGACTTAAGATTACACCATCTATACGTCAGCTTTGGAAATGAATTATAGCTTACCTAAACACAAATAAAACTATTTCAGTTTATCAGAACATCCAGTGAATCGACACTATAAATCCATGGCTTTTTTTAAATCAGAGATGAGTTGAGCAGTGCTCGAAAAAGACCGTGATATTTGACCCGAACACCGATGACGTGTAAATAATTTGATACTAATGATAGGTTGATACGTTTCGATATTTTAAATACAACCGGCCCCTGCTGTTTCCGAATTACCGATTTTTTCATAGAATGTGTCCATTTTCTCCTTCGAAAATAAGGGAGTATTTTAGAGTTTTTTTAAGCTTTAGTTCGAGCGTAAAGGCTCTTTTCCACTTACGCGTTTTTCATACGCACGTACACGCACGTAAAAGTCTAAATTCTTATACATGTTACCTTTGAAAAAAACTAAGTGAATAAATCGAAGGAACTTAGTTTTCTGCATATTTTAGTATGCATTAGTTGACCTGGATGTTAAATGATAAAAATTTAAAGGCATTTAAAATTTTCCTTACGTGTACGTGCGTATAAAACACGCGTAAGTGAAAAGCAGCCTTAAGTTTGTTCGTTTACGTTGCATGTTTGCGATTAAAGTTTTTTCGTTTTTGAACAAGAAATTATGTACTAAAAATTTCACAATGCGTAACTTTCTGAACACTTTTTCCCGACCAGGCATGACATAAGGTTCGGTGAGTCCGACTCACCTCCCTGCAAGTATTATAGAATGGACGTAATTCTTGGAATTCCGTATTACTAGGATGTATTCACTGAATAGTTCCAATAAAGTTTTTCAAACACGTGCACGATGTCGATATGTTATGTGGGGGGCCCGAGGCCCTACCTGTTTGTAGGCATATATATATATATATATATATATATATATATATATATATATATATATATATATATATATATATATATATATATATACATATATATATATATAATAATATTAATATTAACGAAATACGATTATCTTGGTTATATATATATATATATTACATAACATCACTATATATACATCCGTAGTGACGACACAATACGTATAGTCATGTGACTAAACCCGGCGCGTCTATGACTATAAAACCAGCTCTGACCACACATTGACACTCTCGTTTCTTACGAATAAAAGTGTAAGTCAGCAAATTTGTTTTGGTACGTTTATTTAAAACTTGATTTGTCAGCGTTTTTTGCAGTAACTTCACTGCAATTCCGCAATGTCTACCGCGAGCGTGAGAACACCTGATGGATCCCAATTCAACATTGACGATCTGAATCAAGGGGATCTGAAACGAATCATTGCTGTTCAACAGAGGGACATCAAAGTAAAAAATGAAAGACTGGATGGACTGGAAAAGCTCACAATATTATACAATATATCGGAAGAGAAGAGGCACAGCTGGAAGACCATGGCAGAAAATCTCGAGATCGCTCTGAGACGCGCTGAAGCGAGAATCGCTGTGTTAAATAAAAAGCTTAACATCGGTCCTCAAACAGCTTTTGATATCAGTGTCGTTAACCCTGGGATTTCAAGAAAAGATTTCGATGCGATTACCAAAGAAAATATTGCGTTAAAAGAAGCCTTGGAGCATATAGTGCCGACAGAACTCGGCGGTAAAGATGTAGTTTTGGTAAGTGAAAGCAAAAAAATGGCGGACAATCAACAACGTTGTTAAATAAATTTGGTTGTAGTATTACTTTGAATATAAAAGTATTTTTACCCTAACTAAGAATCTGGGACCATCCAGGGTAGCTATAGATATGGGGTTGACACTGAAATGAAGATAAAGGATTGAAATTTCGGTTGGAAAAAAGTCGTTAAAAATTTAAAAATGCATGGCGTGGCGGGGAAATCCCTTGGGAAACCCCGATGCTTAAGATTATATTTGACTTTTTTTGAAATATGGCCGCTTATTGGTCGCGAAGAGTCAGAGGCAAGGTAAATTCCCTTACTACAACAGGTGATCAAAATGACGCAAATTTCCTTCTTTAGACTTATAATTTCTCATACTGCAGCATTTTAATAGAGCTGTTTAAGCATTTTAATATTGTTTTCTTACAGGAATGTGCTGGCATAGATGTATATTTGAAAGAGGTTAAAGAAGGCTTTGATCTCCATAAATATACCTCGTATAAAAATCCTCTTTTCCAGGAACATTATTTCCTAATTTGAAAAGTTCGTTGCCACGAAACCTCTACGATTTCTTTAAAGCATCCGTAACTTCCTGTGTTGGTTGTATAAATTTTTGCTGTTCCTGAAAGTTATATTAGTTTAAATTTCATAACCACCAGAGCTTATTGTATTAAACCTGCAATAATACATTTTGCTCTCTTACTGTCAAACATGTAACTACTATTACATGTTTGAATATACCAGTAGTGTTGGAAGAGTACTGTTTCTGTGAATACTGGATAGTAACACTCTTTTAACAATGGAAAAACCCTAAAGAACCGTGAATTACAAGTCTAAAGTATTATTACCCTTTACATGCAGGACTCTTTATTTCATTGGTCAATTTATCTGGCAGTGCTGAAGGTTTTATTATGAAATAGGTATAAATGGAAACCACTAAATCCTACAATATACTATACTTTTTAGAAAAATCAAGAACTGTATGAGTTTGTAACAAAACAGCAAGAGGAGATCATAGAGAAAGATAACCATATCAGAGAGTTGGAGACGGCGTTGGCTGGTAATGACAATGAGCTGGCTTTGAAGGTTAATGATCAGACGAAGAAAATCATGAAAATGGAAAGATCTATGAATGCTAAACAAGTCTTCTCTGAAAAATTGATGAAAGAAAATAAGAATCTGACAAATCTTTTGGAGAAAATTAGAAATCAAGAGCTCAGGAAACAACATGATGTTCCTGATGGACAAGCATCGGGAAATGAGATGAATGTGAGTTGTGTTCATATTATATTTCATTAAATATATGGGTTAAGTTATCTAGAACTAAACAGTACCAGGTACAGTATATTCAAATAGGTTTCAGGGGCCGGTTGTTCGAAAGGCATTTAGCTTAAATGGTGGATAAACCAAAGTTTAAAAATAGTCTGATAGATCTTGTGAATGACTGAACCTGCATCTTATGCATTAAATATGTTCTTCCATTGAAAATTTAACTATTTACATTGAAATATTTCGGCTCAGTTGTTCAATAAATTGATAACTTTGTTTTTCATTTTGAACTTATCCACCGTTTAAGCTAAACGCCTTTCGAACAACCGGCCCCAGGTCATGTAAAACATGCACAAAAATCATGAAACTAACCACTAGTTAAATAGCTACCAAAGGAAACCAGGGGCTTTAGTTAACTTTCAACTGTTGTTAAGGAGAGAATTGATTAATCAAGAGTCCTATATTTCTTAGTTAACTAGGATTTAACTAGAATTTAACTACGGTATGCAAAGTGTAGTTAAAAATTTTTATACAACCAACCTCTGGTATACAGTTTCCAACCTACAGATATCTCTTTACAGAATATTAAGTATGCATTCACTTGACTTAAATTTCAAAGTTTTATCTATGCACTAAATTTCCATGCATATTCAATTGAAACACCCATTCTCTGATAAATAGTAAATAGCAATTTTAAAATGTTCTTTGACATAACTCAATCTGTTGTTGAAAATTCCAATAACCTAGGCACAGATCGCTAAAAAAGCAACAGATGTAGTAAATGAAGAACAAGAAAGAATGTTGAAAGAATTCGAGGCAAAAGAAAAAAGAATTTTGGAGTTAGAACAAAAAATCCAGGAATTAACTGCGGACAATGAGAACAAGTCCAAACAGGTTCTGGAGTTAACCAATGCGCTGCAACAGGCTAATGATGTCAAGGCAAAGCTCGAATCAGAGTTGAGCGAGAGTGTGAAGAAATGTTCAGATTTTCAAACAAAGTGCAATGGTTTCTTCAAGCAAGTCCTGAGTTTGAACAGGAAGCAACAAGATTCTGAAGAGGAGATTTCTGAGCTGAAGCAGGCAATTGAGAATTTCCGCGCACAAGTCGCCGAGAAAGAAGCCATGATGGTCATGATGAGAGACAGTGTATGTTTAGTTTTAATATTTTATTCCTACGTACAAACATCTTGTATACAGTCACAGTTTATATAAAAGAAAACTCACAATCTGAAATCATTGTTTACTTTTCTTTTTTAGTTGAAGACCTACGAATCTGATTTTAGAAGTGAAAACGAAGAAAAAGAAAAGATCCTAAAGCAACTAAATGAGTCAAAACAAGAATGTGAACGTCTCAGACGTGAAAATCAATCACACATGGCGACTGTACGACATTTTGAAAGTGAAGTAAGGAATACCTAATTCGCATCTTTTTATAGAGGTTGACATCTTTCACCATTTATAGAACTTACACTTACAGCATTCATACCATACAATAATACACGACCTACTGTTTTTATAATGTATTTTTTGTTGAAGTAGCTACGTTTCTGCGAGTATAGATAATTACAATAGTTTCTTCTCGTTTTCAGATTGAAAGAATGAACAAACTATTAAATGAGAAAAACAAGGTAAGGATTAATATCCAACTGAGTCTAACAAAGCTTTGTGTATTAAGCAAACAAATGAATTGTTTTTTGTCGAGATGTTTCGATATTTAATTTTCTTTTTTTATTGTGCAGAGCAACTCCAACATTGGTCTTCCATTCGGCCAACCGTTTGGATCAAGTGTACCTACCCGGAGTTTCTTCCACGTGAGTTTGAATAATATTAAGATTGAGCATCAAATGTGGTATAACAACTGCCTCTTTTTGAGAAGTGTTTTGTCCAATTTTAGGCAGTTGTTAGATTAGATTGATATAGATGTAGCTGTATGATTTGAAATTTCTCAGGACAGTGAGGAAATAGATGTTGATGTTTCGTGTTTTTTTTGTAGGACCGAAACCCAGCGCAAATGGTCGTGGCTGACGGCGTTGGTGGAGTGAACGAGTCGACTGGTGGCACCCGACAAACAAATACGTCGATCAATCCACCCAAGGCATCACCAACTCTAATTGAATGCCCGTATTGTTCAAGAAGTTACCCTTACCATTTAATTGAAGGTCATGTACAAGATTGTATGGAGGATAGTCTGTACATGGACGATTGAATGAACTTTAACCGCAAACCACGAAAAATATAACCCCAGTTTCCAATAATTTCTTCTCTCAAATTAAAAAAAAATTGGTGATTCGCAAAAAATTGGTGAGACGAACCCGCCAAAAACACACCACGGACGAGAAGCTGAAATTTTTTTTTCTTTGGAGAAGAAATTCTTGGGAAACCGGGTGTATAGCTGAAAAATGGGGAAGTATTCCATCGGTGATTGGCAGTGGAGGAGATTTGCGACAATCAAATGTGTGGCCAAGCAAATGAACAGATTTGTTGTGCAATTGTGTTGATTTATGCTGCTGATTTTGTTCAAATTGTTTTTATGGCTGGTTGACTGAACAGTATTCCGTGTGATTGATGTGATTTGAGAACAACAGCAACAAGAACAATCCTTTATGAGCAATCAAATGTGCAATGAAGAAAAGAGATCTTGATAAAATAAGTCTTAATCGGGCAATGTTGGAGCTGGAATCTTTGGAAAATCAGCTTTATTGGCAAAAGCGTTGAAAAGCGGTGTTGATTGAGGTGAAAGAGAAGATAAAGAAGATGGAGTAGAAGAAGGAGGAGGAAGATAGAAACAAGATAAGGAGGTAAAAAGGTCAAGAGGCTTGAGAGGGCCGATATATATAGCGCCGAATGATTGGAGTGCGTGTTGACGTTTCAAAATTGGTTCTAATTTTTGCGTTTGTATTTCTTTTCGAAAACGAACTTTTCGGAAAATCCACATATTGCGATGTCTTTCGATCTTTTCGATTCTCATTTCTGGACTTGCCGAGACAGGGCGGTGAAGCATCTCCTGACATGAAAATGGGGGGAAAATGAACACCTTATGCCATTAGAGCAAGCGTCATTATGGACCACGACCGAATAATTTAGCTAGGTTTTTTTTTCAATTGCAGGGTTTGCACCTAGTATTATCTACATGTTCACTAGATGTTGTAGTGTAATTTAAGCATCATAAAAAATAAATAAATGCAAAAATGATGATGCACTATTAACTATTATATGTATGATTATAGCCTTCATTATTTTAGTAATAATACATACAATAGTCGCGGTGTTGTTTCTGTTGCGTTGTCATCTCATGACTTTGAATTTTGTTCGTTAAATCTCAATTTATAAAGATGACGACGTGAATTTTTGATTTCACGTTATTGCAATATGCCATGTCATCGCATGACCGTGCATCATATTTAAGTAAATCATTCCCATTACCATAAAATAATAATAAAATATTTTATTATTAATAATAATAAAAATACTTCTACCATTTGATTTTAAAACAAATATTGTATAACCATAGCTATAAGCTAAAGTACATCGGTAATTCGTTTAAAAGAACATAAAAAGAACTACAATAGCTTCGTTTTCGATATCTGCATTAAATTTCTTCATTTGTTTTTTCATTTTCACTTAATTTAGCGGCAAACAATCTTCACTTAGACCGTAATGAATGCTGTTTCGTTTGCGTTTTATGAAAAAATATCTTTCGATTTGTTCAATTCAAATCATGAACGGTCCTCATAAAAATAGTCTTCATGAAATCCCTTGAAACTTTAACAAGATATTTCTTAAGATGCCCGTACATATTTTTACTAAAGCACGCATGAATGCATGCATGCATTGCTTTTTAAATTTTAATGAAAACGTGCATTCAGTCTGCAAGAATGATATTTGGTGTTTAACATCCTCTATAAAATCGGCGAAAGCAATTACTAGCTATACTGACAGTCTCTTGCTGTATAACAATGCAGATACCAACACAAAATGATTTGACATAACACTTCACGTGTGTTTTTTTTTCATCTAACACTAAGCATTTATTTCAACCAACTGTAGTTAATATTCCGTAGCCCTGTTTGACCCAGTGTATACGAACTCCATAGCTCAACCAGAAGTAAAGAAAACCGGAAATTAGGAGGTTACCGATGCATCATGGGCATGTTTCATGGCGCCATAAAATAGGCCTTTCTCATAACACGTCAAGCGCGGAAGGTTTGATGTTAGACGAAGTTTGATTGGCTGGTTAGCTTTGCGCGGCCAATCAAACCTTGTGTAACATCAGCCTTTCTCGTGTTTGACGTCATTATAATAAGAACGGTCCATTGAAAAGATTTTTTAACAAGTTATATCCTCAAGTTTAAAAACCTCTGCTTACCCTCGGCCTCGGGATTATCAGAAGGTGCTTCACTTGTTGAGGCGAGTTCTCATGACATGAGTTTTGAGCAACCTAATCGTTCGCATTGAGCAAAATATCACACTCTAAGAAGACATCGAATTGAATACATCTCAAGTACCATAGCTCGCCCACAGTTCTGACCACAGGCACAGTATAATGAGTTTAAAATCAAATCTTTACAGTCGAAATTTCAAATCTTATAACACTTCTCAAATGCTCCTTTTATATGATATGCCAAACCATACCAGCTTTCTCAGAGTGGTAGCTCAGAGGTCAGAGCGTCCAATGTCGTGGGTTCGAGTCCCACTCACTCGAAACAGCAGCTGTGGTTTGTATTTTTAAAATATACCTGAAATGCGCAAATGCATCTCGCCAATTTATTTACGAATGAAATTATGACTTCAACCAATTTTGTGAACATCCTTCACGCTAAAGCTCGTATTTCACATGTTCCTAATTCATTAGAAACAAATGTTAAATTCGTATTATCCATTGTCTTTAATGTTTCGGAAAATGTGAAATACAATGTTTGAAATAAAGCCGGGTAAAGTCCAACAACTGATTAGCTATATTAGCACCTGATTATTGTAATTAAGCACAGAAGCAGTGCACTGTATTGTTAGAGGTTTGTGGTTTTAAACATGTAAAAATTACCGTAGCGGGGAGTATTTTAATCGTACGTAAAAAGGCAACACTTTGCGCCCGAAAAGGGAATTTTTTTAGTCGTTTCTACGAAATGTTCATTATTAACAGTTTCTTGAAAATCCTAGAAGTTTAAATTTCATTTAAATTTCCTGAACAGGTTCATTGAACCTGGATTGGACTTTAAGGTGATTGAACTTATGAGACTGAATTATATAAAATCATTGTGTATTTTATCTAAATTACTTGTTGATTATTCAATTACATTTTTTTAGCGTCGCCGGGCGTGTATTGCCACATATGACTGCATGTTTTTATCTGTTTACACGCGCGAAAAAGCCCAATCCGTTGGTAAGCGGAACGGATAATCAAACAGTGACTAAGACTAAATGAATAAACGAGTACACTGTGTTCTTGTGTTCCCGTAAGATTTTTTATACATTTGATTATTTTATTTCAAGAAAATGCTTTAAAATAATCGTTCTCTTTGTGAAATGGACCATCAGAGGTTTTTCGCCTGTCTTTAATGTCGCTCTATTTTAAAGACATGCAAAGTTTGTAAAATTCCGAGTTCGCTAAATTGTTCTTAAGTACATTTTTGAGGAAAGAAGTGCCATATTGATCTTCAGGCTGCATGGCGTTCACATTTTCGCCCCGTTCCTCACAATCACGTGAACTCTTCAAAAGTACCATCGTTTGACCAAACACACACAAGAGTTACACAAAACTCGGCCATTGGGTTGCCCATCAGTTTCTGAAAATCAACGAAATACGAAATAAATAAACGATGGTTAACTGAACGAGAGTTAGATTACATCAACCTACAAGTATTCTTGCTTGCTCTGGTGTTAGGACGTCACCAGTCTTGCATACTTCGTGATCATTCAGGAGGACAACTTTTCCTACAAAAAATACGTTTTAGCAAGTGTATTTGACAGCTTGAATGAAGAACAAGTTTTTTTCTGGTTTGTACCTTTTTGAAGCGATGTTGGAAGACCCAGCTGTCTCAGATTTGGTTCCATAGAATGAGTAAACTGATCCAGTGGACCTTCGTAGAAAATAAAAGAATTTCTGTGAAGATGATGAATAGATCATGGTAACTATCAATTATATTTACGTTCTTGTATTTGATGATACATTGCATTGTTTTCTTTATTCATAGTGCATGATTGATAATCAAAACTTTTGATACCAGAAAGTTTGTTTCTGACCCTTATTGTACTGAAATGTTTATGTACTAATGTGAATGTCTTTATTATTTATGTGTCTTTATTATTTATGCTCTTACCGGCATCCAGTCTTAAGTCATGGGTTGCAATATTTCCAGATCTTGCAAAATCAAGTTCTTTAAATTCAGAAAACCATCTGATTTGAATGATGAAGAAGAATAAAGGTAAAAGGTTTGCAAAAGATTTTAGTGAAAAAAGAAATCCCCAGTGGTTTCAACCTAATAGTTTGGTTCACATCACTTACTGAAGAACTTCGTCTTTTGTTTTGTTTGTAAACAAAAGCCCTCGCTGACCTTTTAAATGCTGTTGGAAGCAAAATTAAAAGAGGTTCATAGTTTAGAACAAACAATAGTTCACGTTTTTGTTTCTAGTTTATGGCAGACTATACCTTGCTGACTTTAGAAAGGTTTTCCTTGTATTCCCCTTGTTTGTCTTTTCCAAGGGCAACTATCATCACTTTATTCTTACCAAAGAAAAACCTAAACATTGACCAGAATAAATTATTTTAATTTTTAAATTACTTGGGAGTATAATTATTCCTGGATTCCAGCTTTTCTTACCTACTGTGCTTCCATTCATTTCTAACATCTTTTAATTTTGAATTTCTCATATTCTCGACAGAGAAAACAAAAATACGAGCATATTTGTCGACACATTCCTGGACCTGAGAAAGATGAGGAACATCAGGAATCCAGAACACCTTTGGTGCTAATCTTCGCTACTTCTCAATATACAAGCAAACAAATTTAAACAACAACAGAATTCAGGTTGGATTCTGGGCAATGTTGAGAGGTTGCCAAATCAATACACAACTGTTAATTCACACAATCCCACAGGGAAGATAAACGAAGCGTGTGAAATGACTTTGAGGTATTGAAATGAGAATATAACATGATCCTGGCATTGGCGACTTCAGTCATTCAGACAATAGCAGGTGCTTATTTGGTTCTTATTTCATTACTTCAAAGTCATCTTCCAATTCAATAAATCTCGGCTAATCTCCTTAAAATCAAGCGAATCTCCTTTTAAATCAAGCGAGTGAACATCGCAATGTTAAAGTTTACCTCCTTTATTAGAGAAGATTTTAATTCTAAGCCTTTCTTCGTAGTCTGAGTAAGGGATACTATAAAATATGATAGATTGACATATTTGTGTTGGTGTAATGCAGTATAAGGGGCAGAGGAAGAAAAATAGTCTGGTGTTAATCTGTTAGACAGAATATATACTCAAATCAAGCCTATATTTGGCAATACAATAAACACTGAGATGAAATTAGGATTGCAAAGTACTTGCCTAGTTTATTTCGTTTTGATTTCGGCATCTTCCAACTGAAATTATTAAATATTTTCTAATAAAAATGGTAAATATCTTCCGATGACAACAAACTATTAGGACACGTGCTTTTGGATGGATAGATTACCTTTATCCCAATTTATCCACAAATACTACCACCAATTATAACTAATTGTACCGCTAATTCTGTACGTATTCCCCTCAAGTACACCTGAGTACTCCTAATAACAGAATTGTTCATCTGGTTTTCATCTGGTAATGGTTAAATATACTGGTATATGATATATTGGACTATGGTAATATTAAATTAGTAAAGGTCGAATCACTGGGTCGAATATACTGGTATATTGTATATGGCCAGGGTAATAAAAAATGAAGAAATAAATGAAGAAAAATGGAGAAATATATGAAGATGGAATATTTGAGTTTTGTGTGGAAACATAGCATGCGCGCAATGAAAGCCGGGATGGATCTTGCACCACGTTCTTTTCTCTCTATACTTTGTAAATCATGAGGTAAATTTCTTAAAATTAGCGATCGTTTTTTCTCATTTTCGCGAGGGATCTGACAATATTTTCTATGTTTAACTCGCCGAACTTGTTCTTTATAATGCCTTCTAAGTTTTCAGCGGTTGTACGATACTTAAAAGCTGTTTTAAGTAGGGGAATTTGATAGTATTTCCAGAGATGTAGTTTTATAGTGCATTTAAAAATGCGGCCATGTTTGTTGTTGTAGATTTTTGACGTCGCATAGCGTAAAAATAACGTTAAAATTTGCAGACAAAATAGGTTCTGGCCTGATGGGGTACGATTTAATTGCAAATGCCTGCTATTAAGCCGGCCAGTCTTGACCGCATTATGTCAGATTGGTGTGCAATGCAGGCAAAGATTAAACCCTGAAGTTGTCTATGGCCAGATATTGTTTTATTACTTTTATATGACTATTTGGTCCTGGGCTTCAGGAATATTACACTGCATAAACACATACTATTGAACCAATGTTTTCAAACTGTTATATAAGCTTATAGCTCTGCAATAATCCACTGTCTTTGAAAGACATTCACCATTAGTTCTGACCATGTTGATCTGATTCATTTAGTACTCTGAAGTTGCAAAAGCGGCTGGCGGCCAGCGTCATGAAATGTGGCAAACGAAAGGTCTGGCTTGATCCTAACGAGGCAAACGAGATAGCCAACGCTAACTCTCGTAAGTATAAAAAGTGCCTGGAAAAGAGCGTAGAGAAAGCTTGCCAATGATTAAAAATTTGCTGTTCACATACTGATTGTCTGTGATGAACTTTATCTATTATGAGGCTTGCTTAATGATGTAATATAAGATATTGTATAACATGTGAAAGACTACTTAGGTTAAAAAATTATCGAGCAAAGGGCCTTATCCAGCAAGATACAGTATTTCTTGATATTTCTTGACTATCAGCAGTACAAATAAAGTTGAAAGAGTGAAAAATAAGGTTCAATGAGGTTCTATTTTCTTCTGATGAGAGCTGGAATTTCTTTGAGGGAAGGGGACTAGAATTTTCCAAGGACAGGCACCATTGATGTGTAATGATTGTACCATTCAATATGTCTTCTCATTTGTCTCTACAGGCCAAAATGTCCGTAAACTTATCAAAGATGGTTTGATCATAAAGAAGCCTCAAATCGTTCATAGTAGATCCCGCGTCCGCAAGGCTGACGAGGCGCGTAGGAAGGGTCGTCACACAGGTTACGGTAAGCGCAAGGGTACGGCGAACGCCAGGATGCCTGAGAAGGTTATCTGGATGAGGCGTATGAGGGTCTTAAGACGTCTTCTTCGAAAGTACCGCGAGTCGAAGAAAATTGATGTACACATGTACCATGCTTTGTATCTGAAAGCCAAGGGTAATGTGTTCAAAAACAAGCGAGTTCTGATGGAATTTATCCACAAGAAGAAGGCCGAGAAGGCCAGAGCTAAATTGCTCAGGTAGGGAAACTTTTGTTTATTTTTTAAACAGTATTTAGTTAGGAAAAACATGGGTGGTTTAACCTGCAGACTTCACTCTGGTATTAAATATAAGATCCATAATTTTTTAAAAGAGCAAGCTTTTAACATTTAGTTTTTACATGAAAACCATTCATTTTTGGGGGGATTTTTATACAAAATCTTCAGAATGCAACTATTGCCTGCTATTAAGCCGGCCAGTCTTGACCCTTCATGTTAGGCTGGTGTGCAATGCAGGCAAAGAATAAAACCTGAAGTTGTCTATGGCCAGCCATTGCTAAATGCATCAATTCTTGGTCCTGGGCTTCAGGAACACGCTACTATAAACTACTATACACGTGATAAATTCCTTTCAGTGTAAATAATTCTTTTCCCAGTATAAGTAGATCTTTTTGACTTGAATTTTGACATACTTCGCAAGCATTTCTCAATGTAAACACGTTTGTATGTAATGTTCATACGAAGAGAAAATAACGACGAATTTCTGATGATTTATTTCCAGTGATCAAGCCGAAGCTCGTCGCCAGAAATCAAAGGCTGCTCGTCAAAGGCGCACTGAAAGAATTGCTGAGAAGCAGAAAGAAATGCTCAAAGCCGCCGAAGATAAATAGACTTCGATAGTTTAATGAACGAAATAAATCCCGAGAAAATTTATCCTTGTCTCGTAGTATTTTTCCTGCAAGTCTTCAGTTGGTAAACCTCACGAACCTTCGACAAAACGCCGCATGTTTTTACAAAACAACAGAACATGAAGATTCAGCACTAGTATCACTGATATACCACCAAATATCTGTCTTGATATCTTTAAGTACAAACTAGTGAAAAAGCTGAAATAAAAGACAGAGATTTATTCGCCTTTTAAGACAGAACCAGAATGTTAAAACGAAAACAAAACTATAGATTCTCCTGCCTTTTTCCCTGGCAATAGCTGAAAAACATGTTGGTCAAAAAAGCTAGCTAACGACTAAAATTTCTTCTTCACATACTGAATCTTTGTGACGAAACCTACAACCATTAGGCTTCCTCATTTGACCTAAAACTCGTCATTCCTGTACCTAACACCTTTTACTTCATTCTCAAACATTCTTTTATTATTTACACGATAATCCTGCTGTCGTATTTTTATGAATACAGCTAAAAATATTGAACAGTTCAGATGAAAGTATTGGTTTATATTTAATATAGAGTCATATTTCTCTTTATTTCACCATATCTTCATCTTGCTCTGAAAAGTTCCCAAATTATGTTGCATGAAAGGATCCTGGTATTGTAATCATCCCGTTAATCAAACCATAATTCACAATCTTCTTTAGTCTTTTCTCGCTCACGTTTTTAAGTTTCAGGAAAACCTGAACTTTAGATCTGTATGGTGGTCCACCGACATCTTTAGCCTCCCTAAAGTGCATTAGTGGATGGTATTGCGGTTGTCAAAAAATAGATGTGTGGTCTAGACTATTGTTAGTACGTGTGACTTTCATCTCTGTGACTGAGGTTGATTCCTGTAATATGCAGTTGTCTGATTATAATTCCACCTCAGTCACATGTGAGAAGATTGCTTCAAGTTTGACTAACAAACACAGTGGTTAGTACACGTGTCTTTCATCTCTGTGACTGAGGTTTGATTCCTGTAAAATGCAGCTGTATTTCCTTCGTCTAAGTTGAGGAGGAAACAGTGTAGTTGTGAAAACTACGACTCCGCCGTTTATTACCTGAACAGGACTTCGCTAACAACTCCTGTGGCTCTGAGTGCCCTTTCAACCTAAAATTAAACGATAATAATCTTAATTAAGCGTCCAAACTCTCCTCGTAACTCCTACACGTTCTGTTCAAGAATACTTGCTAGTCTTCAGCTTGTATTTTTGGTCCTGGCAGTCAATATTTCTTCCAAGATGCAGCTTTAAAAAGTCTCATTTGTTCGTCTGCATACTTACGTCTTGAGCGACATTGCCAGCCAGAATCTTGTAGGCCGCCGACTCCTTATATTTCAATTCAGGCTTGAATCTTTGCCTGATTGTAAACTGAACATAACCTTTTCCTGAAAAGATTAAAAAAACTCTAGCAAAACTTAATGGATATTTTAGTCGATAGACATAACATCAAGCGCCAAGATGCATCAAGTTTAAACCTAATATGAACATGTTTTTTAACTGTTTTTTGAAGCAAAAGTAAAAGCGTTTATGATTCGTTTTTTCGAAATATTTTTGCCGTATAATTTTAATCGTTAAAGCCAATCAATTCCTAGAGTTAAAGGAAAATCTCAAAGCGTTAAATCATTAATAAAGATTACTTATGTCGGCCATTTTTCTGTCTGCTTGTTCCCGTGTCAATTCTTCTTCTTTCGGAAGATACTTTGCTTCGTCAGCAGTAGGCGGGAACTCTCCGTCTAGATTAGGCAAGTCCTTGTCGTTCCCTTTTTTCCCCGATGATTCCTTCATAATATCCTCACCGGACGAGTCTGTCTCCTTCGATCCCTTACTGTCCTCATCATCGTCTTTGTTATTCGAGCCCATGTCTCCTGCACAGATAAAGATATTGTGATTACTCTGTTGGTTCATTGTTATGACGATATGGTGGACGCCGAGCGGCCCTGGTAACGATTTGTCTTATGCTTCCCTTGATGAAGTGGATTTGGTTTTGAATGAATAAAATCTTACCAATCTTTTCATAACCTTGGCCTGATTCCTCCGGATTTTTTTTATTATCACTATCTTTATTGCTCACTTCCTCCTGGTCGTCGTCATCGTCGTCATCGTCATCTTCGGAAACGGCCGAATCCTCGTCGGTATCCATCTCTTCGTCTTCCTCACGGAAGGTCGAATCCCCGGTCATATCGACGTCCTCGGGGTTACGAACTTCTGGTATTCCTGTTCTTATAAAGACATTCTTAGCGTGGTTAAATGCCAGTGGTACACCAGCCTTTTGATGAACCGTTTCTCCTTTTCTGTTCTTTATCTCGCTGTCATGACGACGCCCCCGAAATAAGTCTCCTGAATAGATACATGTACGAAAAATATACGAGGTGAATTGCGACTTATATGTGAATAGCTGTTTTTAAGATCTATTGATATGGTCTACTGAGTTGTTTGAACGCTTCTCTGGACGCTGCAACTGCAATAACAATTATTTGTCAAATGCCGATAGTGAAACGACACAAAAAAGAGGTTTTTTGATATATTTCAGGCAGTTTCTAACCGTCTTGGAAGAGAAATTGTTTGAAAAATGTTCAGTTTATTCAACAGATTTATAGCACCGGTCTTCTGGGCTCATTGCCTGCCGAATTTTGACCGGCGACTTCTGAAGTTGTTTCACTCTAAATTTTACGCTCAGCTCTGTTATCAACTTTTTGTTAAAAGCTTTAACTTGTTTTCAGATTATCAGCCCTGTAGACTAGCATCACCCGTTAAGCTTTCTGCAACAGTCTAACGGCTTATTCCTGAAGTGTCAACATTGATAAAACTACTGAATTAACAAGCGATAACATCGTCAGTTGCACAACTGTCTTGTTTCCAATCGTAGTGGAGTTTATGTGTACAATATTGGAAATCAGCCAGAGAAGGTGGAGATCTTTCTTACCTTTCTCTAAACGGTAGTTGGTTGTATATGATAAGTTTTTAACAGCATCTTCAAACCTTACCTTGAGAGAGGGCCGTGAAACACACAAGCAGACACAATGTAACTGAAGATGGCATCTCTTTGATCCCTAAAATTAAGATATGGTGAATCTTGATCGTAGGCGCTCTGTTATAGATTAGTTGTGCATCCATTGCTGTTTATTTGTATATTCGTTATTTCTAATTCACTGAACACACAAACACAAACCGTAAAGACCCCAAAATACTCCGTAAAACTATTAAAATAATTGGTTGTTGTGACTTGCATATGGTTGTAACGATTTATGAATAACCAAGATTGATTTATTATATCAAAATTAAAATACCAAACATTGTGAATTATGTTTTTCATATAGCCATAACGGTCTTTGAAACACTTTGTTTTGATGTTAAGACCTTCTGACTCGGAAAATTTACAAAATGGAGAGTATTAGCAACAATTATACAATATATACTTACAATAAACCTTGATTTTACTAGATTATTCAATTTCTTTGCAATACATTTCAAAAATTATATAATGATATTTCGACACAGTAGCAAATTCGGGTCAAACATTGCAGGTATTTTTCCCGCTTCAATGCACTTGGTATATAAACACCTGTCAGTCCAGTGTTATGTGTTGGTATGAAAAGCAAACGAGGGTATCTCGAAGCTGTGGTGTTAGTATACAATATAATATATCACCCAGTCGGATTTGTGAAGAGTGATTCTCAAAAACAATCTTGATTTTCTTTGCCTATTTCTCCGGTGTTTTCTCTTAAACTTTTGAAGCAATAATAGGGAAGGATTGAGGTCATTGAAAGATGAATTACACTTGGATGTCTCACTTTTGATTTGATGATTCAAAAGTTCAGAATTGCGCTTCTTCCTCCGAGCACGAGCACACATGAACAGTTTTCTTGTACTTGAATTCAACAAAATTGTTCAGTGTTGAGATCGGTAGACCAGCAATATTTGTTCTCAGACTTATTTCAATATCTTTTGATATGAACTGATCATATGATGATGTTGAATGCAAAAACTTGCCGTTCATCTGTAGTGCAGAGACGATGATTGATGTCGAAGAATTAAGGTGTTAAAGAATGAATTGGTCAAACAAAATGAGGCATTTTATTGATAAAAATTTCATTTTACAATCAAAATACACGCAGGCCTTCTTGTTATAAAACGTCCACAAAATAACACGTTTTTATCCTTTCATTGCGGATGTTCTTCAATCTTTGTGCCTTCAACAGCCGGTTCTTCCAGAGCTGAGATTTCTGAGCTACAAAATCGTTTGAGTTTGATCTTTGGTAAATACTCCAAGTTACCATTCCAAGCCCTAGGAAAGGTAAAAATTTATAAGCTTCTTCAATAGCCCAACCAAAAAAATACCATCCATAGCTGGAGTCAGCCCTTTTACCTAAGCAACTTCATATTTCCACGCGACGTTAGATCAGGAATTTCTAAACGAAAAACGAGAAAATTAGCGTTTTTGAAAGGTCAGCATGATTGCAATTTCATCCAGCTGATGTAACTTCCAGAATATTACCGAATCCAGAAGAGTCGTACACTTGTCGCTCTCTGCTCAAAACAGCTTTGATGTTATTTTCTCTGGAGAATTTCGCCCCACCCTGCAGCTGTCTGCCCTTGATATTGTCACCAAGTCTCAGCTGTTCCAATTCTTTGTCAAATCTCATGAAATACCTGCGCAATGTTAAAAATAGGTACGCCATGCGTACGTGAATAATCAGTAAATTTTATATCCATTTCATATATTCAAAATTAACTTTATTTATGCTTGATATCTCTGTGAGTTCTAAAGTGATTTTCCTAAAGTGAACTGACACAATCTGCTTACATGTTGATTAGATCATGTACTTCTTGAATTGAGCAATATTTTGCCTCTGGTTTAACATGATCTTTGAACCATTGCACTTTATCAGCCAATGATTGTAAGACGATTGCCCTCTCTGACTTTCTCCTACCAATGTCAAAAAAGTTACATCGCATCAGTGCGAATATACTCGATTATGAAAATCATGTATTTAATCAAACTATACTTGTCAACTTTATCTTTTCTATGAGCATTTCTGATCATCTGCGCAGCTTTTCTTGATCTTGGATGAATTACTTTTTCACTCACTTTAACTTTGGGTTCTTTGGGCTTTCGACAAAATCATAAAATCAGAAATTTACATTCTCAAATGTGATTAAGGTGAAATTATAATCAGACAGCTGCATATTACAGGAATCAAACCTCAGTCACAGAGATGAAAGACATATGTACCAACCACTGTGTTTGGTAGAGTCAAACTTAAAGAAATCTTCTCACATGTGACTGAGGTGAAATTATAATCAGACAACTGCATATTACAGGAATCAAACCTCAGTCACAGAGATGAAAGACGCATGTACTAACCACTGTGTTTGGTAGAGTCAAACTAGAAGCAATCTTCTCACATGTGACTGAGGTGAAATTATAATCAGACAACTGCATATTACAGGAATCAAACCTCAGTCACAGAGATGAAAGATAGTTAAAAGACAAAGTAAAAAAATCAATAAATTTACTATATATTTACCATTTTGAGTAAGTTATTTTTCAGAATAAAGTTCTGGTAGTTCAAGGTCAGAAATTTATTTGTTGTCATTTACATCAGGGCTTTCACCCTCCGGAAAAAGTGCACTTTGTCATATATACAGTTAATATCCGGGGGGGAAACAATTTTATGAAATCCAATATGGCTACCTCAGGTGCCAGAAATGCATTTAAAGCTTTTGGAAAAGTAAATCGGGCGCTTTTGCCTCAAGTGCAAACGATACGCGATTCAAAACTAGGGAAACCATTTTACCTTATTTACGTGGACTATAAGAATGTTCTGTTTGACTTTTCACAGTTTGTTTACAAGAAACCATTGAAAGCTCTGAGGAACTTTGGTATGATTTTTGGTCTGGTCGGTATATGGGTTACCAATCCTGAACCAGATTCCTACACAGCACAGCTAATGGAGAACGCTAATACATTGCTTTTGCTTAGCAGTAAGGTTAGAAACAGCAATTGTAACGAAAGAATACAAAACTTAGTCAAACTGAACTCAGAGGGGAGACTGTTGGTTCATAATTTTGGATTTTTTTCGTTGGTTCGTCATAAGGAATATAGCGACACTTCCTGTTTCTACGAAGCGAGATGCTTTTATCTGAAAGAACGCTGGTTGTACTTGTATAAGAATGTTGTGGATATTGGCATTCTAGGAAAATGGTATTTCCTAGAAAAGGCGATGGTCAATTATGACGTGAATGATGAGGAGCTGTCATGGCAACCAGGAGAATACCACGATGGAAAACGTACATAGGGTTATTTTTACTTGTAATTTCTACTTTACAAAACTAATGAATAAACCAATGAAACTTAGTTAATTTGAAGTTAATCTCGTAAATCAAGAGAGGGAATTCTTGACTTCCACCCAGCCCCTATCCTGCATTATCAAAGCATTATACAAATTACACAAATGTTGTGCTATGTCATTATTCAGAATGTTGTGAATTTGTCAACCAAGACAATGCAAGGAGTTTCTTATCTTTTAGTTTCACGATCTATAGTTAAATCTTCGCCATATTTAAACTGCTGGCGAGACACTTAATATGGAGTCTTTGAAAGGTAAATAATTTACAAATGCCAACAGTGCATTTGTATAAAAGTTTACGGTGAAATCCCAGGCACTACCAAGGGCATAGTTCAAGGTTTGCGGTAGCAATGACATCTCTTCTATTACCTCCAAGACCCATCTCAGGGTACGGACCGGTGCCATTATCATGTGACCTAAATCATGGCTTCGCACATGCGCATAACAGGAGACAAAAACTCCGTCTGAAAGCAGGCTGCCATCGGCAGTCAGCGGTGCGTACAAACCAATATCGTGGACAGCTTCAATTCTTAAAACTGATCTCAATACCCCACCGGATGTTATAACCTTATCACCAAGTTTCACATCCCTCGCGAAAAGTACTTTCCGGGTTAAGCTTTTTCGGGGTATGATATAGATCAAGTGCTCTAGGGTGAGGGTGATATCTGCCCCTCCTTCGAGGTGAAACTTGAGAAATCTGTTCAAGCCACTGGGTTCTCTGTGTAGGAAAGCAATAACTTTAGAGTATTTTTCTCTACCAGCCAAATCCAAAGTTTTGATCTCTTGACCCAGTCGTAATTGAGACATCGTTATCTTTTGACCATCTCTGAGTTCGACTGAGGCATGTTTAGGAAAACAGCCAAGACTTGCTGGAGATGGTAATGGTTTTGCTATGAGAATTTGAAATATTTGAATGAATTTCTTGAAAAACAACATTAAAGTATAATTTGCATCCTTGCTTCACAAAAAAAGAGCGATCCCATTCCCTCTGGTGCAAAAGAATCCTGTCTATCACAACAAAGTATTAAGTGTACCAGAGTCTAGTGTACCATGCTTCATTCATGGGATAGACTACCACCCCCCCCCATTCAGGAACCCCTGCTGTAACCCCCCCCCCCGCACTTACGTGGATTGTTAAACTTATACACAAAGAAAGATTCCTCTCCTCCGAGTCCATTCAGGCACTGAGAAGATGGACCGAACTTATTGTATGTTAAGTTTGCCCCAGGCCCGCTCCAACACTCAGCCTGGTACTCGATACCAAAATACTGAAACTGGCCAATGTAAGCTTTTGCCGCGCACTTTGCGATGGTCGAATTGGGATTGGTCAGGTCGATCTGGTTACGAAAGTTTGCGAGCATTTCCGGGAAAGGCCTCGGCTTCGCGACCGCATCCCGAAAGCATCCGACGGCCGTGTAAGGAAAGCTTCCAAGTTGACCAGCAAGAGCTGAAGAAAATGTGAACTACTGAGTATGTTTGATATGAATAACTTTGCGTCAAATGTGGTAGAACAACTGCTTAAGATGGTGAGATACACCTCTAGTTTCAACCTTAGCACCTTTTCCCAGGATCATGCTAACTCTCCTGACGAAGGCCCTCAGGTTTAGACGGAGACGTCGAGAAGTGATTTTATCTATTTGAGGCAGTTGTTATACCACATTGATCTTTGCGAAATTGTTTAACAACGCTGCCAGGCTGTTTCCGGGTTAAATTTGATATGAACAGTTGAAACACTTGAATGAAAATCAAATGCCTTTGTTTATAACCAAATCTGTCCTAGACGTTCTTCTTTCGTGTGTTTTTAGTTTTGTATCTTTCGACATGCACAATTACCACAGCACAATATATTAAAGATTATATCTAAAGCCATGTATTGTATACAACTTCTAACTGTAAACAATTTATGGTGCCTTGAATGATCATGCTTGCTGTCTGAAAATGTGGACACAGTCTTGGGCAAAGCCGGAGTGATTCACGATAAAAGACTTTTGTTGAACGTACCTTGAATAGCAGAGAATTGGCGTTTTACTCGCTGAGCAGACAGAACAATAGAGACTGCAAGTGAAGAGTATTTTACGTTAGTCAATCGACTTCCTGGTTTAACAGAAAAGCGATATTTACAGCAAGCAGTATCCAAACGACTGGTGCGTTGCGAGTCCCCGCTGTTGCTGTTAGAAAAATTTTGTTTATCATATTCAATTGAGCAAGAACAGTTGATCTTTGTTGTCAAAGTTTTTCAAAAATATTAAAGCTTTTTACCTTGACCAAAGGCAACGACGAGAAGGCATATTATTGTGCCAAGTTTCTTCATGTCGTTCTGTTTCAGTTTATACCTTCATGAACAGCTACGAGAAGAGAAAAAAGTTGAAAACAAATGAAACAACAATGTTTTACAAAGAACTAACAAGATTAATTTATCCTATCTGGACCACAAAGAGGACAACAAAAATAACAAAACAAGAAAACATAAATTGAGCAACAATTACCTTTAATATTTTTTAAAAATTTGCGAAGAAATAACTTCTTGTCTGTTTGTTTTCATTGTCGTCAGTCAAACGTTAAAAAATACCAGTTTGTTGTGTTGTGATGTTAAAACAAATAGTTCCGTATGTGAAACTGTTTTGATACTGGTATGAGACACGTTCACACCAGGGTTAACTCTGTCTCAAACAACTCCCCTTTCCAGAAAAAAGGCCCGTTTATAAATTGATTACACCAAATATATCTTTCTAGACCTAGTTTAATAATAACACTGTGGTATTCTGTGTTAAAGATGCGCGCTTTTTATCTTTGTAACGCTACATCCGACGTCAAAAACGATACACTGTAATCATAAATCGTAAAATTTCAAATGTCACTACTCGCACGCAGCTAGTTCACTTCCTATGCTTTCAACATTTGCTTTGAAATTTAACACCATGATACGATAATCCACGATCATTTCGTCACATCAATCTCGTGATCTCTGCTCGCTGTCATATGCGAAATTCAGAAGTTATTTTATAACTTGTATTCATAGCAGCAGAAAACGTTTTTCAGAAAATATCCTTTTTATAAACCAAAACTTTACTTCGACGCTATCAAGGCCAAAAAATGCGGTTCCTTGGCGTCTTAATTCTCCTCAATATCGGGCTTCTCTCTATGGCGTTCAAGTTGGTAAACAAAGTGAAGTCAGGCGACCATCCGCGCGGGTTTGGTACGGCAAAGCACGCTTTGATTATTGGTATGTTCTATCTTTATATTGCAATGATTTTGTTGAAATGAGTCGGCCTTGTGATTCAATGGTGTTTGTGACGTAAGGCTATGCATGATTAGCGATGCAAGGAGATTGTCGTTCTGTACATAATCACAGATATTGACATGTTGAACTAGTAGAAAGTTTTTTTATTGTGTCAATATGTCAGCATTGCCAGAGATAGTTAAATGATATCTCGCTCGCTGGTGTCTGGACCTGTAGTTATATACGAGAGTTGGACGTACACTCTGTTCAGTATAATTCATATATGCAAACGCAATTTTGTCAAAATTTCTGTTGACCTTGCTGGGTTTCGCCCCCAGACCTCTTTGAAAGCAAACGGTGGCACCACTTACCGATGTTCTTTGTCCTCTTTAAAAACCCCCTGTTCTTTGAGACAGAAAACCCTTACTGGATTTTCGGTCGCAAGTGTTGATCAGACGAGATCAAAACTCCGATCAGCTTTCATCAAATTTTGAAGGAGCAAAACTAATGAAACTGTATAGGAGCCGATCTTTGTTTATTAGTCCATTATTGTCAGTAAAGTAAGCCACTGAATGTCCAGACAATTTCGTAGAGTCGTCGACTGACTCGCACTTTATATCCTTGTGTATTTCTCCTCAATTCTTCACAGGAATTGATGGATTTGGTGGTGCGTATATGAGAAATTTCACCAGCCAACTTCCAGCACTTCAAACGTTCTTTGATTACGGCGCTTGCACAACGGAAAGTAGAAATATTGTGCCGACCGTAAGTGTATTTGTTTATCATGAACGATGCCATGAATGTGTCGAACAGAACAGCAAAATTTTCTCATCTTTTCCCAGGTCAGTGCTCCCAACTGGGCGGGCTATTTGACCAGTATGTCTGTGACACAATCAGGTGTGTATAGTAACGACTGGGTGGTGCCTGATGGTAACCCTTCAGGAAAAGCGGCACACCTTCCTCCCATATCAGGCAGAGGACGACCACAGACTCTATTTAGTGTTATCAAGGAACAGAACGCAACTGCAAAGGTATGTATGTTGTTCATGGACACTTTTAGCTTCATTTGTCATGATCTTTAGCATGCTAATCGTATCTATAGCGCGATTACTTGCCGTGGCATTACGTCGATCATGAATTTTACCAATTTCTAGACGGCCTTAATTTTCACTTGGGAATGGTTTATACAAATTGCAAAGAAGAATCCCCACGTTGATAACTGGTTCTGGGGCCATGAGGGAATCGTTTGTGGACCGAAGGAGAGTGAACAAGATTGCTCTAACAGACAAGACTGGAATGTTCAACAGAAAACTATTGAAGCCATAGAGAAAGATCAACCAACATTAACCTTCATTCATTTTGGTATGGAGTTTTATGATTGCTCTATCAGTTCTAAACTGTTCTTACTAGAGATCCAGTAAGGAAAATCTCTTATTACAACAGAAGAAAACCTAAACTAAACTAACTTTATTTATACTGGATAGCTCTATCAATTCTAAACTATTCTTCATTGAGGTCCAGTAAGGATCATCTCTTGTTGATCAAGTGTTACTACAGGAGGAAACCTAAACTAAACTAACTTTAGTTATACTGTATACTCTATCAGTTCTAAACTGTTCTTCCCAGAGGTCCAGTAAGGATCATCTCTTATTGATCCAATAAAGCAATACGTGCTGACCAATAAAAACACTTACTCCCCATATTTAGACGCGGTTGATGCAGCCGGTCATAATTCATACTGGGGCAGTCCAGTGTATTATGAAATGACGAAGGAAAAAGACCGACAAGTAGCCGGTATTTTGGAAGCTCTGGAGAAGACAAAAACTACGTCTGGTAATGTGATTGACGAAAGTTTCGATTATATGCTATTAACCAAGCTATTGGCCCCTTATTCTTGTTAACCCATTACTCTCCTGCCAGTAGATCTTCATCTTTCTTCTGTTTTGTTTGTGGTACAGGAAACTCAATGCTGGATGAGACAATTATTGCGGTTGTAGCCGACCATGGTGGGTACAGAGGGACTCATGGAATAACACCTCCTATGATTGCTGAAGTCTACGTACCATTGTTATTACGAGGTATATAATATAATATTCTTTGAGGCAACCACGATGGTACAAATTTTTCAAAGTAGCCACCTTCTAAGACTAATAAAATATTCTTCTACTTGATGGCTCACAATTCAAAAGAGGCAGGCGAAATATTTCGCATTCCGCTGAAAAAATTCTCCTGTGGAATCAATTATGTAATGCTTCATGTTTTACACCAAATATAATTTTGCTTGACTCGAAACGTTTTCCAAATTGCTAATACTGACTTTAAGTTGTTTATCTTAGGTCCAGGAATCGCGAACATTGATTTGGACAATGATTTAATTGATCGTCCTGACATATCAAGTCTTGATATGCCTGTAACCGTGCTGAATGCCCTGGGTATCGAGCCTGGAAAATACATGAGAGGACGCGTTCTTGAAGAGATCTACCAGTCTTAATGAAATAGTTTTATACAATCTTTGTAACAGGAAATCTAATTGGGAGGAGTTGTATTCAAAATGAAAATGTCACGTTAATCTTTCAAACAAATAAATTTTAAGTGAAATATTGTGCCCACAATTAATTTCATAAGTAATGCGTTGTATTAAACACAGGTAATCTCTCTTTCATATTTTTCATTTACATTCGAAATATTTGTAAAAGAAGAGCGTGATGTCGCTTGTTTATTTTTGTCGGCAGTCAAACGTTAAAAAACACCAGTTTATTTGTGTCGTTTTTATATAAATAAATACTTTAAGAAGGAGAAATTGGCTTCAATTAGCACGAATGATTTTAAATACATCTAATCCACCTTAAATAACACGCTTTTTATAAGAAGAGGTAACAAATGAGCAGACAAACGTATGTTTTCGTTCAAGGACCATAGTTTTCTTCTTGAAAACTTTCCGAAAAGTTCCATTGAGGCCAGCGTCGTCTGACAGGTAAGAATCAAAATATTCTAATTGTCTCATACTCCGAGCAAAAAAACTGAATTGAGTTTAGCCTATATTCACAGTGTCCTATATATAATGCATTCTGGTTATATTCAATCAAGTCCTGGCATGAACAACAATGAAAACTTAAGTATAACTTGAGCTGAACGCAGAAGAAGATGGATAATAGGGACTGGTCATAAAGTATTTACAATCCCAGGGGGGGAGGCATTTCGATGGGGTTATGAAACATTCTCCTACTCATTTGATGGGGCATGACATTTTTTGGTCACAAATTGATGGGGTGTGAAATATTCATTAAAATCTATGTATATATGCTGGTAATGATTCACCGTTTAAAATGATCCGACATCACACTCGTGGTGTCACTTTGGTCTTTTAAACATTCATAGTAGATCGTTTATAACAAGATGGGGTACAAAATTTTTTAGTGATATTTTAATGGGGTTTGAATTTTTTTTCTTAACTTGATGAGGGGTGTCAATCTAGTTTTAAGCTATGATGGAGTGATGTTTGAGTTTTTGACACACAAACAACCAAAGTATTCCTATATTCATAAATTAACATCGTATACAGTATAATTTCGTCATATCTTCCTCATCTTTCATTTAATTGAACAGCGACAGAACAACTCCATTTTTGAGAAACACTCTCCACAGTAAACCAGGCCATTCTTTCGACGCCAACAAAACATAAAATGCAGTCTCTTTACGTTTCATTTTTGCTCAATATCGGGCTTACCGCGATGGCGTTCAAATTGGTCAACAAGGTGAAATCAACCAAACATCCTCACGGATTTGGAACGGCAAAACATGCTGTGATTATTGGTATGTTGTATTCTTTTATTAGTTGAGCTTGCGATTAGATGTGTTGAGATTATTGTTCTATTTTGTCCACTATAATTTCTTATAAAATCGTTGCAGGAGTCGATGGAATGGGTGGAATATATTTAAGAAATTATACCAGCCATCTTCCAGCAATTCAATCGTTCTTTGACCACGGCGCTTCTACCACCGAGAGTAGAAATCTTTTGCCAGCTGTAAGTGCATTTGTGACGTGAATAGCTAGGGTTGAGGGGGAGCTTGAGATTTGGAATCAAAGAGGAGGGAGAGATGAAGCTTGGGGGTTTGAAGGAGGGAGAGATGAAGCTTGAGGGTTTGAAGGAGGGAGAGATGAAGCTTGAGGGTTTGAAGGAGGGAGAGATGGAGATTGGGCGTTTGATGGAGGGAAAGATGAAGATTGGGGGTTTGAAGGAGGGAAAGATGAAGATTGGGGGTTTGAAGGAGGGAGAGATGAAGATTGGGGGTTTGAAGGAGGGAGAGATGAAGATTGAGGGTTTGAAGGAGGAAGAGATGAAGATTGGGGGTTTGAAGGAGGGAGATATGAAGCTTGGGGGTTTGAAGGAGGGGAGATGAAGCTTGGGGGTTTGAAGGAGGGAGAGATGAAGCTTGGGGGTTTGAAGGGGGGGAGATCAAGCTTGGGGGTTTGAAGGAGGGAGAGATGAAGATTGGGGGGTTTGAAGGAGGGAGAGATGAAGCTTGGGGGTTTGAATGGGGGGAGATGAAGCTTGGGGATTTGGAGAAAGAAGAGGGTATTGAAAAGGAAGAAGCTTGAGAAATTGTGAGAAGGAGGGGGGGGGTAAATATTGTGGGATTGGGAAAAGGGGGAGGATAAAGATCGGGGGGTTGGCGGTTGAGAAGGAAGAGGAAAAAGTAGAGGGGGTTTGGAAAATAGGCAAGATAAAAGCCGTTTCGAACATATCTCATGTTTGTAGAAAAGTGCTCCTAATTGGGCAGGCTATTTAACCAGCATGACTGTACCACAAAGCGGTGTGTTTAGCAAGTTATGGGTAATGGATGATAGCGACACTTCGAAGATGAAAACGCATCACCCCCCGGGATCAAGCAGAGGACCGCGACCACAAACTATATTTAGTGTTCTGAAGAAGCAGAAAGCATCTGCAAAGGTATGAATCTTGTTCATGAACAATTTTTGGAGAAGGATCATCTCTTATTGATCCAGTGTTACTACAGGAGGAAACCTAAACTAAACTAACTTTATTTATACTGGATAACTCTATCAGTTCTAAACTGTTTCTTATTTAGACGTCATTATATTTCACGATGTCCTGGCTCGTTGAAATTGCAAAGAAAAATCAGGATATTGATTACTGGTTCTGGGGTCACGAGGGAATCTCTTGTGGAGACAATGAGACGGAGACACATTGCGAAAACCGACAAGACTGGAATGTTCAACAGAGAGCTATTGAAGGAATCGAGAGAGATCAACCAACATTAACCTTCATTCAACTTGGTATGGATGTCATTAGGAGCTCTATCAGTTCTAACTTCTAAAAATGTTCTTCCTAGAGGTCCAGTAAGGATCATCTCTTATTGATCCAGTGTTATTACAGGAGGAAACCTAAACTAAACTAACTTTATTTATACTGGATAGCTCTATCAGTTCCAAACTGTTCTTCCTAGAGGTCCAGTAAGGATCATCTCTTATTGATCCAGTGTTATTACAGGAGGAAACCTAAACTAAACTAACTTTATTTATACTGGATAGCTCTATCAGTTCCAAACTGTTTTTCCTAGAGGTCCAGCAAGGATCATCTCTTATTGATCTAGTGTTACTACAGGAGGAACCTAAACTAAACTAACTTTATTTATACTGGATAGCTCTATCAGTTCCAAACTGTTCTTCCTAGAGGTCCAGTAAGGATCATCTCTTATTGATCCAGTGTTATTACAGGAGGAAACCTTAACTAAACTAACTTTATTTATACTGGATAGCTCTATCAGTTCCAAACTGTTCTTCCTCGAGGTAAAAGAAACAAATTCATTTGTATATATAGAGAGCGTTGATGCTGCTGGTCATACTTCACACTGGGCCAGTAAATCGTTTTATGACATGCTGAAAGACACAGACAAAAAAATCGCCGGACTTTTGGAAGCTCTGGAGAAAACAAACACTTCCTCTGGTAAACTGTCTTTTTTTCTTGCCTAATTTTTTAGCTTTTCTTTAACGTTCAGCTTATTTGCTCTTCAGGGAAATCAATGCTTAGCGAGACTATCGTTGCTGTTATTGCAGATCATGGTGGGTATGGAAATGACCATGGTGTCAGGGCACCCTCAATTCCTGAGATTTACGTGCCAATACTCTTTAGAGGTATATTTAAAGCAAAAACCAGGGCTGGTTTTTTTACGAAAACTGCATGGCCAGTTCTAATCTAACTACCTATTTTTTCAATCGCTCTAAAATTGCCTTTTTCTCGGTATAACTTCCATTAAACCTTGGTATTTTAAAATGTTGGTTCCTTTTTATTACTTGTCAGCTCCAAAGCTGCAATTTCATTGTTTTTCCAAGGGTTTAAAGAATCATTATTCGGTGGATAGATCTATCCAGGTTTCGTACAACCTCCCCCTGGATGATTAACATCATGTGTTATGAAAAAAACATTGCGATGAATACTATAATCTGGATTTCATGAAAATTTGATGATTATTATGCAAAAACATGCCACGAATGAGATTCCTGTTAGCAACATTCTTGCTGCTGTCTAAAGCCAAGCGAACACTGGTCAACTGAGCACTTTCGCACACTTGTTACTAGTAAAATAATGCAACAGAAAGAATGCAAATGATATTATGATTCATTGTTAATACTGATTCAACGTTCTTTTAACGTAGGTCCTGGGATTAGGAAGATCAATTTGGACAAATATGAGCTTGATCGACGTTATATATCCACTCTGGACGCGCCCGTAACAATTTTAAATGCCTTGGGCGTCAAACCAGGCACATATATGAGAGGGAGAGTTTTAGAAGAAATTTACGAGGATTAGTCTGAGAAAAGATTGAAAAGGTTTTTATAGTCATAGATAGCTTTCAAGGGGTTTTCAGTTCAAAAAAACGTGTTCCAATTTCAAAAAAGCCACCATCTTTATCGTAATTTTGGATTATACTACGTGGCGTTAGTAAAGGTGTTAAAATTGATTCACAGACAAGATTAGTTTTTTAAAAACAACTTTAATAAAATAGAATTTATACATTTGCGTGAGACGAAAAATTCAGACAAGCTCTCTGATGACGAGAAAGACATTGGTCGCAATATACTGCGTGATTTATTTTCGTGTATAGCTTGGAGCATTAAACCTCAATCGAGCACGTTCCAGAAGACAGGAGCATTCTTTCACTTGTGACCTATTTTACAGTTTTGCTCTACAACGCAAGTTATGTCATGACAGCAGCCGATTCGTCGTTAAATTGAGTTCATCTTCCAACAGCACATCAACACGAGATCGCTGCATGGAAATGATAGAAGAATCTTCAATATCTGAATACAACAGTTTGAATATAATTGTTATGAAAATATCGCCTCATTATCATTGTACTTACCTCATCTTTACCCAACAAGTCTCTGATAATGATTTTCTCAGGATGAGGTGGAACAAGACACTGCAGTCTAACTGCTTTGATTGCTGATGGCTGACACGCTATTAAGTTGTTCATCTCCGACGCCTGAAGGTGAATGTTTAGAGTGTAAAATTATTTCATCAGGCCTGTTTTTATCCTGACAGAGGACAGTGATATGTCAGGCATTCTGACTGATATAGAATCAAGAATATTCACGCTGTTTGTGTACCTTGTTACCAGTATAACGTAGTCTCATCAATCTGATTCTGTTCCGCGCTTCTGCTGCCCTAAGAAGCGGATAATTTGAAATTAACATGAAAGCATAGATACAGACATCAATGTGGATATGCTGGCGATGGAAAGACGCTTGTCAACTCACTTTAACTGTCCAATGAGTCTGGCGTGATTTTCTCTGTCAGGATCTCTTTTGTCCCGGCCTTTCCCATGTTTTCTAAGTTGAATGAAATCATGGATTGTGATTGAGCTCTCAATTCTGTGGAGTCAGTGAATGCTATAGTATGTGGTTATGTTGGAACGTAAATACTATAAATGCATCACCTCCAAGTGAATGATCTTTTAATGAAAAGTTGTTTCTAAATTTGCTTACATTTCATTCTTTCGTCTGTCATGAATTCTTTTCCTTGCCTCGCACATGCTTTGAGCTGTTTCCTTTGACAAGCTTTCGTACTGAACAGAGAACATTTGGTAATGATGGATGACATTATGTATCAACTTTCATTTCAAAGCACTGATTTCCACATCTTAAGATTCGTTGACACTTACTGCCATATAACGACTTCTTTGAACGGGATCTAGGTTTAGAACCTCCCTTTTACTAAGTTGCTTCCAATTTCGAGCTTGAAACCCCTCATCGGAGTTGATTTCTGGCAGCTAGTAAACAAATTACAAATATTACAGTCACACAGCAAATAACTTCGAACTACGATTGTCATATACTTCAAAATTTGACACATTTTATATAAAAAATTCACACCGTTTAGGAACATGCACAACTGATTTACACGCCTACCTTGACGGTTGACATTCTAGCTTCTTTATTCAACTAATTTCTCCATGTTTTATAAAAGAAAAGAAAATATAAACTTTGAAATAAAAAATAATATTTACAGAAGAAGGTCGTCAAGGAGACAACCCGATTCGAACTGTTGGCAAAGCCGCATTTAAATGTCGCTCATTACACGTCTTCTTCGAAAAAAGCGGAAGATGGCTGAGGCTGAATGAGTCTATTTTTTTAACTTGATTTAACATAGAATTTCGGCACGAATCTGGGCCATTTCTGCTCTAATATGAAAGTAAAAGTGCTTTCCCGTAATCCGGCTGATTATATACGCGAATGTAAGTCGGATATTCATAAGATCCCGAGAAATATCGACCCAAGTTTGCATCCGTTTGAGGGGGCTCGGGAGTACACGAGGGCATTGAATGCTGCTAAACTCGAGCGTGTGTTTGCTAAGCCGTTTGTTGGATCTCTCGATGGACACACTGATGGTGTTAACTGCATGGCAAAGTTTCAGAAAAGCCTGTCGTTGCTGCTGAGCGGCTCTTGTAATGGAGAGGTTGGTATATTTTTAACTTTGGTTGGGAGGTCATTCATCTTTCAAATATCATTAGCCCAAAATACTGCTGATCTAGGGAATGCTTTGATCTCCTAAGACATCACATCTGTCCAAGATTCCATTTCATTGTGCCTGCTTTATAAGTCAATGAGAGTAATCTAGCAGCCGGTGATGAGCCAGATCAAATCACTTCATGAGCTAGAGATGGTAATTCTTACCAAGAGATGGTAATCAAGAGATGGTAATTCTTACCAAAATGTGGTAGGTCATAGCCAGCCAGATTACCCTTCCTGCCAATCACAGATATTCAGCAAGTCCCTACCTCCACTTCAGAATAAGCAGGACACATCTCATGATCATGATCCGCAAGTGTCGTTCATGTGTTTCCTAATCTTATGTCCCAATATTTCAGGTGAAATTATGGAATCTTCCTAAGAAAGAATGCATAAGATCTTATGCTGCTCATAGCGGATTCGTAAGAGGTCTAGCTGTTGTGCCGACAGGAGAAATCTTTATCTCTGTGAGTTCCGAACAGAAAATTTGTTTTGAAAGAGCATAATATTAAACTAACAAAGACCACATGCAGAGACAGAAATTTGTATGAATATAAATGTCATTTAGGTTGGTGATGACAAGTTGATTAAACATTGGAGTTGGAAGCAAGATAGTTCAACAAAATCCAGCCATTTAGTTCACACCATTGTAGGAAAAGTTAGTGTTTATTTATTATATTTGAAGAACTTGAATTCTGATAAAAGAACTGTTATTGAGCCTAATCCCCCCATCCATACATGCTTCTCCAGTTCTTTTCAAATGTACCCCTCATTATTGTTCTCTCTAATCACCTTCTTCATTCTGAAGTACCCCCTAAAGTACCTCACCCAGATGTACCCCTCTTCAATGTACCCCTTGCTAATACTCTCTCTTATCCATTACCTCCTCTCTCTTGACCCCTCTCAAATATACCCCTCTCTAATCCCTGATTTGCCCCTCCCAAACGACCTCTTCCTTCACCCTTGCCTCTACAATACCCAATCAAAATGAATCTCCTTCCACCACAAATGACCCCTCAATGTCTCATTCTGAATTGGAATATCTTCACTTAGACAATGTTTCAAGGTGTTGATCATCACTGGAAAGACAACGTGTACGCCACATGTGGTGATCAGGTTGACATTTGGCACGAAGACAGATCAGAACCCGTCAGATCATTTCAATGGGGCGTGGATACAGTTCATAGCGTGAAATTCAATCCAGTTGAGGTAAACCGTAGATCCCTGTTAGATCTCCGTTAGGCCCCTCTTAGATCCCCGTTAGATCACTCTTAGATCCCCGTTAGATCCCTCTTAGATCTCCGTTAGACCCCTCTTAGATCCCTCTTAGATCTCCGTTAGACCCCTCTTAGATCCCCGTTAGATCTTCGTTAGATCCCTGTTAGATCCCCGTTAGGGAAATTCGCGAGCATGATTTTTCTAGAAATCTTAAGACATTTTTTTGTGTTTAGACAAATCTCCTGGCAAGCACAGCATCTGACCGTGGCGTTGTGTTATATGATATTCGTGGAGCCACACCCTTACGTAAGCTTCTGATGAAGATGCGCAGTAACACGGTGGCCTGGAATCCAATGGAGGCCTTCAATTTCACTGTGGCAAACGAGGACTCAAATCTTTACACGTACGACATGCGACGTCTGGACTTCGCTGTCAGCGTCCATCGAGATCACGTTGCTGCAGTACTTGATGTAGATTACTCCCCCACCGGTCAGGAATTTGTATCTGGCAGTTTTGATAAAACGATCAGAATATTTCCTTATAATCAAGGTCACAGCAGGCAAGTTGATTCTCGCCAGTCGATTATTGATCTAGCTTTACTAACTAATTTTATTTATACTAGTTTTTATTTCGATTTTGAATATTTTACAGGGAGGTTTATCATACAAAAAGGATGCAACGCGTCTTTTGCGTCAAGTGGAGTCCTGATGCCGAGTTTGTTTTGTCTGGTAGTGACGAAATGAACGTGAGGTTAGTTCACGACGACTGCAACAGACATCATGACAAAAATCTGGCGACTAAGCATGTTCGTTTTTGCTGTCCTTTTTAGAATTTGGAAAGCCGAAGCATCTGCAAAACTTGGCCCGGTAAGTCGAATACATGCAGTAACTCTTTGGATGTTGTAAACACTCGTCATTTCCACTGTCATATTTTTATATACCCTGACTTGTCAAGCTCTTTTTCTAGCTTGCCCCGCGCCAAAAGGCTGCCTTGACTTACAACAAGAAACTAAAAGAACGATATAAATTTCATCCACAAGTTTTGAGAATTTTACGGTAAGTTAAACGCGTTTCAAATTCTGTTTTGTACTCGTTATTTGTAATGTCCTATTAAGTCTAAAATTGAGGTATATTAATCGTTTATCTTTGCTATCATCCCTTCTAGACATCGTCATGTACCTTCTGCTATTTACAAGGCAGCCAGAGAGAAAAGAATTATGTTGCAATCCCGTAAAACTAGGTTAGTTTTGTGCTTTTTAAAAAAAAAAGATTTAATGAGCTCGGCAGCGTTTATTCCAATTTAAATTCAATATGGCGGGCTTTATTTTAACGCTGTTTATTCGTGTCTTAGGGAGGAAAATCGTCGTCTTCACAGTGCCGAAGGAAAGGTTCCGTACGTTGCTGAGAGGAAGAAACATATTGTATCAGTGGTGGAGTGATTGTTGGATCAGGGTGTCAACGGATATCAGGGTATTGTATGACGTATCAGGAAGGATAGTGAGGGATTAATCATGTGCATGGGTGATTTACTCGTGGGAAGTATATTGACGCCGGATCTCGACAATGCGCGGGAAAAGAATCAATGTCTAATTTTGATGAAAGCAACTCAAACCACACCACACATTCAAACCTTTTGCGTGTCACGTCAGCAAACACCCCCGAATGTTTTGAAAACGTAACCAGACATGTTACATATTAACACCGTTCTTGTAATTTTCAAAAGTTTATTTCAACGTATCCTGATTGCATAAACAATATCACAGCGTTTTGGTTCACCTACAGTAACATACACACTTTGAATAAACAAACAACATTACTTACAATGGTGGAACAACAGCTAGAATTATTAAATATATCTGTACAAACTAAACCTTTACCCAAATCATGCGTGTTTCTTAAAGTTCAACGAATGTTAGATTTATAATCTTTTTATAACATCTAAAAGTATAAAGTGATCTTCAGTAACAACTGGAGTGAACAATACGAAATTCTGGTAATAAATAGAAACTATTACAAGCATATTCAAACGTCTTCCCTATTTGCGAAGAATCCTGTCAAGTTTGTTGTACCTAAAAATGTATTTAGTCGTCATAATAAGCTAAGCTAACAATCCCTGGACACTGAACGTAATCAAATAACTGGAACGTCTTTCACAGCTTCGTGTGCACTTGATACGGAGGACATAAACTCCACGTCATTAGGCGGCCGTAACTCTTCCACAGTCTCCGAAAACACGGGCTGATGTTGACTTCCCGCCGTGTGCGCTGAACTCACGGTATTGTGGCTTCTCTCGCGTTCCTCTTCCGGGACATTTCGTTCGGGTTGAACCACGAGGATGTAGACTTTGGGTAGAATTATACAACCGCTGACCGCTAGAGCGCCCACGAGCGACGTCGTTGCTATGACAATGCTTGTCGTCATTCCTTGCGCGAAACGGTAAGTCGGGAAGAAAGCTATCAGGAGAATGCACATTGAAATCGTGCAGAAACTGAGGTACTTCGCCTCGCTGTGGTTCTTCCTGTCATCTCGCTCTTTGAACGCAAAAGCTGTCGCGAGAAAAAGGACGACTAACGGGAACCCGGTCGCGACGAATCGACCCGCTGTCCAGCTGGAATTGCACTCTCGGATATGCAACGCTTGGGACGTTTTTAGATACGTGACCTCAGGCGTGTCCGTTAGAAACCAGACCCCCACGAGCAGTAGTTGGAAGAGCATTATTGCGCCCACTAATATTGGGGTGGCGTAGCCCGCAACGGGCTTGGCATAACTTGAGGCGTATTTCTTGAGATATAATTCGCATGTTTTTGTTTTGGCCAGTAACGTGCTGCCGACGAGAAGAACAACGAAGAGAAGAAATCCGTTCAGGAATCGGCAAGCGTCGTCGTTCCGATAAAGCGACACCTGGAATATGGCATATAGGAAGCCGAGTGCGGCCGAGAGAAGGAGAAGGCCCAGGAGAATTGGGTTCGAGTCTTGAACCAGCGGCGTGTCTTTGACGTAGAAGAACAATGCGGCTACAATAACCATGGCAACCAGACCAAAACAACTGATAGTTATGATGACGATAGAGAATGCATCGCTTGGTTGAATGTAGTCAATCTCTGTCATTAGGCATTCCGTTTGATCGTCGTTGGCGTACGACCCCGAGGGACATCTGTGGCAAACAGTTGCTCCTGTAGTGTTGCTGATTTCCCCCTTGGGGCAAGGATGACACGCCCAGCAGCAGTCACTCTGCCCCACCTGTTTTTGTCCAGGCTGGCACGCCTGACTGCATGTTGCGGAAGGAACCTCTCCCTGGATCCATGTGAGATCATGTCCCTGCCCGTTTTTAAGGAAAATCGGACGTGCGGGTTGAGTTGACGACCATTTTGCGACCACTTTGAATTCCAACGTATCGTTCTCGGGATCATACAACACGTTGCGAAACGTGTACTTTTTGGCAAATAAATCACCGCTTTCGTCGAAGGAGACATGCTCGCCCATAGCCCCAGTAAACGTTGCGTTTTGCATATAGGCGTATAAATCTTTTCCCTTTAACGGAAGGCTAGTATTCGCACAAAGGCCACTGGGTAACCGTCCTTTGCATAGTAACAGGTTGTTCAAGCCGTGGGCGACAGCTTTTACACTGTTCACAATACTAATCAATCTGCTCCACCTGTTCGCGAGACTTGGCAACTTTTTTCCAAATTTCTCGTTCTTATCGCATCTTCTTTTGCCAGCCAACCCTTGTTTGCTGCAGTTCAAAACATTCTCCATAAGTCTAAGTAACCATGGATTATGCGCGGCTGCTGTCTCTACTGTGACGCTCTGAAGATGCTTTTTAATTTCAGGGAGTTCTTTGTAAACAAAGTCAACGCCAAAGGCACCGTTCAACAACGATTTATTGATATCCGCATTCGCAATATTCGTGCCAGTTGCATCGCTTAGAATCCAGGTTACATTTCGTAGTCCTTGCCTTTCAGCTTCTTTTAAAACCTAAAAATTTTTACAAGATTTAGTTCGTGGTACTATTTCATGCCTGAAGATTTTACTAAGTTTAAAGTTTTTTTTTACGCACTGAAGAGAAATTCAATTCATATTTCATTTTTGATTCTTGAACATAGTTTTGTTTCAGATGTTAACAGCTGTGAACTCTAAATGGGAAGGTTGCCTCGCGCGGAAAATGCAGATGGCAAACATTGAGAGAATTCTGTGTATAGTTACTTCGTTTTAGTGTAATTTCGTACCTAGACTTATGTTATGCATAGTTCATAAGTTTGAGGAAAGCTTGAGTGGATTTCAGTTTTACGTTGGCAATATCCTCTACCACAAACATGCCCAAAAGGAAGCAGGGATATAAAATAACCGAGCATTAGGAACGATAGAAAGTGTCGCCTGCTTTTCTTTGGCGACATATCCACGCGTCCCATTTAAAAAGTTTTCTTTGTAGTTCAAAATGACGCTCGTCAGTACTCAAATTAAAGGAACAGCAAAGTACTTGCAATGCTAATGTGGCTGCATATATAAACACGATTGGACACAAAGATTCGTGTGGTCATTTCTATAATTGCTGTCGTCGCTGTTGTTTAGAATTGTTGACATTGATGCAAGCTTTGACAATATTGAGATATTGTTGAAAACTGTGAACAATGTGTTCGTCTACAGCCTTACCAAGGCGTCTCATTCATACACCAAACGCATTATTTTAATAACCGGCAATTGTAATCACGCAAGATGCCACATTATGTAAACTTGTTAAATGTTAATGCGCTTTTAACACGATCGAGAAGCGTGGCGTCTTGATCAGGAGTAATTTAACAAAATGCTAAAGCGTATCTGTTTGGTACCGTGCCAGTCGGGGTCCGATTGTGTCTTAGTGCTTCGCTCGATACTCTTCCGATTTAAATGTTCCTGTCAATCATTTTCTGCAAGAGTTGTTTGAAATAAGGTGCGTTTTAATCTAAACTCTGATCCAGCTTGAAATATATAAAAAGCAAGTCTAAAGATTGCTTTAACAAGCAAAGGAAAAGTTTATGAAACTTTGCTGGAACGATAATGCTCACAACTTCATGCATTAGTGCCTATGATATTCAAATTTTTTCGGCTTTGCAACAATGGCAGGTGGTCCACGGTACTTGGTATAGTCAATTATTGTCGCCCCATTGTTAATTTCTGCATGAGGATTAATATTAGACCGGGAATAACCGTGGTACTCGAAGGGAACCTTTGAAGTCCAGTAGAGTCAGTTTGAATGAGTTAATTGGTGAAGCAGACGATGGTTTCTCAAACAAGCCTTAGCCTCTGAGGCCGCTTAATAAAGCAAATTCCGATCTTATATACGAAAACATCTGCGTTTTCATATGTCGTAATTCATCGGCGAAGTCTTACGATATATTTTCGGTAACAAACTTAATAAGTAAAAAATTTGTTTAAATAGACAGAGTTGATGCTTCAATAACAACCAACAATTAATTGCCATCGCCGAAAAATAACGTTGTATTGAAAGCATTTTTTATTTGATTTGGAAAACAAGGCCTACGTTGATGATATTTCGACTCATCGAAATCATCTTCAGACAGAATGTAGAGAGAATGAAGACTTATTCTGTTTGAAGAAGAAGATTCAGGTCTTCGCATCCGGCCTATTTCGTGATGAATGGTCTCGAAGTAAAATCTAAACTTCGACCTGCATCTTTGAGTTAGTTAGATATAGCGCGCTGACCGCGTTTGATATCTTTTAACTTATCAACTTTTTAAGTTGAGCAGAAGTCAAACAACCTGATCAACGGTATTCTGTATCAAAAGCATCGCCATGCAACTACAGTAATGGCTATTGAATAACTTTCCAGCCCTGTAGGCGTGTTAAGACTTTATAACAAAGGTTTCTGTTTCGGAGCAAACGAGACTCGTATCAAAAAAGATATATGTTGAAGATCAACGTATCCAGCTTTACTCTGTAAACCTACCTTTTGCGTTTGCGAGTCGAACATAAACAAAATCGCCACTTGCACATGAGACATTTTCTTCATATCTTGTATGATTTGCTTCACCTGTTTAGCAGCATCGTCTTCTCGTTGAAATGGTATGTTAGCATCGTCAGCTGTACAAACCTTAAGCTTTCTTGCTGCTGTTTTGAAAGATGCCAGTCCTTGTCTTCCATATTCATCGTCAGAGCCGATAAAAAACACGTAATTCCAGCCGAAGTATTTGACAAACGATGCGATTGCTTCGGCCTGATACTTGTCCGATGGAATCGTTCTTAGGAATGACTTGAATCTAGATTTATCGCTCAGGATTTTCGACGAAGCGGAGTAGCCGACCTGTGGTATGTTGTACAAGCCAAGAAGACTTGCTGATGGAACCGAGGAACCTGATGTGGCTGGGCCGATTACCGCTGTAACACGCTTGTCGATAAAGGCGCCCAACTTTTGATCGGGTGTACAGAATTCTTCGTCCTCGCGACAAATGGAATCAGGGCGATATTTTGAAACGGTGCTAACAGTTCTCTTCATAATTAGATCCAAGTCGAGTTTGTCGTTCACGATTTCGTAGCCAAGTTCGATCCCTTGTAAGATGTCTGAGCCATTGTTTATTTCGTCTATCGTGAGTCTGACTATTTCGGAGGCGATAGCGTAAGTGTCTAGCATTACGCCATTTAGTCTTGTAATCGGTAGCAAAGCTTGAATGATGTAGTCGCCATCTTTCTGTAGTATCGGTTCTTTCGCTTCGACTTCTGCCTTATTGATTACGAGAAGAAAAACATATAAACTTAGCGCCAAATGAACATTAAAGATCTTTGTTGTGTTTCGCTTTGCTGAGGTCATTGCGAAGCACTTCGTTTACGTTTTCCCTCGTGAAATATCAAATTTAGTTTCTTGTTTCAAGGATATATGTCATAGCGTGCGCGTGTTGCGTTTTATATATACTGTTGTCGATAATAGCCGTTCTCGTGAAACAAACAGCTCAATATAAGAAAATTTGAATATCACTGAATGCAAATTTCTTTTAACCAAAACGGAAGTTTGTAGACCTCCTTAAGATACACAAAGAGATTAGAATTTTAATACGTAGTTGTCAGGCAACTTTGAAATATAGGACCGCGAGTGCTATCAAACACTGCCATCTCAATTTTCATCATAACGAGAGCATAAAAAAGTTGGAAACCTTATCAACATCTTTCTGCATGGTGGCGATGTGTGTATAAGAAAAGCTATAGGTATAAGCTATAGGCGTATACACCCGAATATGCAAATATTTAAAAATTAAAAATTTAACTTGATGAACAACTCGTGGCCTCACTAGCTTATGTAAGCAATGCATATAAGTTTTTTGTCTCATTTATTAGTCCAGACTTTAGTGTTTATTCTCAACTTGTATTGGTTTAAACCGCATGACCTTTTGCTAAAAGTTGAAACTCGCTTGTATATTGAATTTAAACATTAATATATGTCGAAAATTCGTCAATAAAGTAAGTGAAAAACTTTGATTTTAAGCTACACGTATATAGGCAAATGTAGGTGCAAAGTACACAAAGGATTTTACATATAAAAGTTGTTTAATCATGTATTTCTGATAGGCTTACACAGATATCAGGGGATGAGTTGAAATGAGACTTTATTGGCATCATATAGCACTTCGGCAAATATATATTGACGACCTAAGCTAGTATGTGTCCCCATTTATAATCATGACTATCTCAGTATTCTGCATGTTAATTACCAATTATAAATCGGCAATATATATGCATGGGTTAACCATGGTGATTGGAGTATTTTCTTACCAATGTGTTAAATGCGTATAAATATTTTGGCAAATGTTAATCAAGATTTTAGACGGCGAGTCAACACGAATCAGTCTTGTGTTTGAGTCATCAAAGAATAGCAAATAAAGGAAGTGAATGTTTTGGAAAGACGAAAAACGGAAGCATGGTTGCTCACACACAATGACTCAATATTTAAATGTACTGGAAGAAAGGTCAGCCTAGCTGTCTCTCACATTTACGATAAGTTTCATTTGCTGATTATTCTAGATCTTTGCATCACATGTTCTGAATAATCTTGCATCAGCTTGAAGGACAAATTAAGAGAATTGAGAGATTCATAGATGAATTTGTTTTTCATTTCGGCAGATCGTTCGACTTTCATTTGCTTTACAATATTAAAACTATAACGAAAACTGAAAATTCTTGAAAATTGAAAGGGTTTTTTCTTTATTCGTTCAACGTTATCCTCAAGTTTATAGTTTTGTATGATTTTTGACACGAAGAAAATCATTGATACAGACACATCTTGTGCAATATTTAACCGTAAGTGATAGCTATATGTTGACATTATTTCGTTTATTTTATTTTAATATATAGAAAATTTATTTTATTTATATATCATATATCGTAGTCATTCTGAGTTTTCACTTAAATAATTATGGTATATATATATATCCCCAATCTCAAAATATATGCCTTCAAAATCTTCAGTTGTTCCATTTTTTCCTAATTTATTTTATCCTGAACACGACGGGCCCGGGACTCGCCGTGCGTGAAGATCATGCATATATTTTTTTTACGTGCATGGATAAAGTCCGAAAGGTGTTTGTAAGTGTTTCCAATCGACGCGATTTGAACTATTTCGATATTTTTTTGCCACTCCAAGTAAGCGTGGTGTGTTTTGAGTGTCTTGAAGGAGTTTACTAATATTAGCTAGCTAAACTTTACTATATGTCTATATCCACTCAAGTTATAACTAAATAATGTAAAACAACTTGTCAATGAAGAGGAAACTATACAGCTCGATGCACGACAAAAGTAATTTCCAAGCTTTGCAGCTGCCTGCAGACTAGCGCGCTATCAATTGTCACATCAACGGCACATACGGAGCCATTAACACAACCTTTTTCAACAGACGCTCTATTCCATCCATCCATCACATTGTGTGAAGATATTAAAATATACAGCACCTGCTTTGGAAATCATCGCGGCAAAGATTAGCATCACGAACGGTGAGGAAACGCGTTAATTTTTATCTATATTTTTGTCCCGGCTTTTTTGGAAATAACATTAAATTATCATCTTATAGTAATGGATGGGAGATACACCCTGTAAGCTTATCAAACTTTCAGCATAGCATGATTAAATAGGGCTCTGCTTTTCATGACTTGACAAATAAAATATACACACTAGCTGTTATAGGCAACTGCTGAAACCCGCGCGGAATAAAGGTAGTGTATTTCACGTTTCTGCAGTGAAAATCGTTGTATTTAAAAGCGTTGTATTCTATAGAGTTACTTCATTTTAAAGATCGCATGCAGTAACATGCATTGACCAAGCTGTATAGTGATGATGTCTAAAATGCGATTGTTTAATTCATGTATATAACTTGTTTATATTCTCCAAAAAGCTGTACTAACAATGACTCACATTAGCTCAGTAGGTGGTTTATTGTGGTGATATTTTAACGACAATATATCCATATGAAGCTATACTGAGTATAATTACATCGAAATGAATATTTTGTCTTAAACAGCCCTTTAATTATACTGTTGACTTACTTATGGATGGCTAGCAACGTGCAAGGTGCAATTTTACATTTAAGTGATATTAAAATGCCAGGAAAAAATAAAATTAGAACGTCGCCAAAAGCAATGTTATAAAGCAACGCAATATTTTGAACACAGGTTTGAAAAAACAGACCGAAAAATATTGAACCTAACCAACACTATATGTCATGACGTTTCTGAAACAATTTCATTATTCCTTTGGTAATAAAACATTTAAATTTTTCCGTATTAAGCTGTCATGTTGAAGCAATTGTCAATTTTAGGTGAAAATTAATATCATGACGGTTTACTTTGAAGAAAGAATTTTTAATCATCATGATAATTTGGGAAAGAAAAAAAAAGAGTGGCTTTTTTCATTAGTCAATCTATTTTCTTTTGAAAGTGGTTTAAGTGATAGCCATGCTGAGAGCTAGCGTGCCAAAATATATATATTCCCTCGTTTGCAAGTTTAAGACATTTTATTTAATCTGGATATCGCTGTATGAGGTCTTATAGCCGATGTAGAATAAAATAACAGCAGCAGGCGTGAAATATTCTCTTTTGGGTTAAGATAATACGCGACATACATGCAATATTAATATGGCACTGATGTGATGTTCTCATTTAGTTTGTATATAAGCCCCCCCATATTAGCTTGTGGTTATTCAGGAATATTCATTTAGTTCAGCTATCAACTTGTTCAATTTCCTCGAAGGATGCGCCTGGCTTGACGTCCTATATATTGTCACTAAACACTGCTGTGTTGGTATAATGATTACCCCGGTGCTTCCCACCGTCCGAATATATCTTTATAAGACATAATAAAAACCGCAGCAACAGGTGTTCTCGAGAGACTGAATCTCTCTTGTGGCGATGATAATCAACTCTACTCATTATGTTTTACAATATTCATATTGTCCGAGTGATGCTAACTGTTGTTTGTATATGCGCTTCTAAAGTAGAGGTCATTAAGTCGACCACCACGTTTGAGATATCTTCTTCAAGTAGTTCAGCCACAAACCACGACAGCTTATTGTAGAATACTACCTACACTGCAGGACCACCACGTTTGAGATATTTTTCTCAAGTAGTTCAGCCACAAACCACGACAGCTTATTGTAGAATACTACCTACACTGCAGGACCACCACGTTTGAGATATCTTCTTCATGTAGTTCAGCCACAAACCACGACAGCTCAGTTAGCGTAGAGTATACTACTTTTACACTAGACTAGCACGTTTGAGAGATCTTTTTCAGGTACTTTAGCCACAAAGCAGGAAGATCAGTTATTGTAGAATACTGCTTTATACACTAGACCACCACGTTTGCGATATCTTTCTCAGGTAGTTCAGACACAAACAACGACAGCTTATTGTACAATATACTACCTATATTATACAATTTGCCACCACCTTCGAGACCTTTTCCAGGTATAGTTCCGACACAAACAAAGTCCCTGGGCTATGTCTCTGCGTCATTAGGAAATAAACCATAGAACTGAGTGCATGCACACAGGATATATTAAAATAGAACAAAGATTTAGTCTTCTATTATAAAAGGATGTCTAATAAATTTGAAGGATTGACTTTGGCATGGCATATAAATAGATAATTTTTGGATATTACTGCATGTGATTACGATAAAAATAGGGAACAATTGTACTACAAAACACAAGCATGCATGGTCCAGCTCAAGATAAAATAAATTAGGGGACGAATGCACTTATAGACATGATCTCAAGGTGAGAAAAAAGCCAACATTCGTTTCTTAAAAGAATACAACAGCAGAGCATTGGCTAAATAACATTTTAAACGAAACACGCAGAGTAAAGACTGCGGGACATCTAGCATGCTTATTAAATATTAAACAAAGAAAAAAATGCATCGCTTTTCGCATTTCTGGCAAACAATTTTTGAACAAAAAGTGGCGAAATTATTGTCGTATGTCTTAGCCACGCAATGACATCTGCGTGGGTATTAACATTTCATTTATCAGAGTTGCATGTTGATGCTAATTTCAGCCCGTAATTGCGTGACAAACACACAGGCAAATCGTGACAAAAGCATTAATTTTAACGAGCTTGTTATATATTGCATGTCAGTACGGAGTATTTTTCTCATTTGAATATGGTCAGGCGGAGTTTGGCGCTCGCTGAAGATACCAAAAGGTATTTTTTCAAAAACTTCAACACAATTGTTGCACAGTTTATCAAATTTTTGCCAAAAATCGATGCTTTCAGCTACGTTTTTAGAGACAGTTTTGTTGTTTATTGCTGTTTTAATATCAATAACGATCTAGTTTGTTTAAAAAAAGTCTTTTTGTTGCCTCTTATGCAATCGTCGAACCGCATCAATACTCGGAACATCCTGATACATCATGCTGAACTGACGTATTAATTTCATCTCCTTTCATCAATATATTGTTATTTTGACGAAGCACGCCTAATCCAGAATGTGTAACGATTTTTAGGCGCGTTGACAAAACGAAGGGAGGAAAATGAACGCTTAAAAAACGGCATCTCCCTGGAGCATCATCGTTAATCCAGAATCTACGACTGTCGAAGAATATTAAACAGAAATCTGACGTACGAAAATTTGCCAATTGGGTAAGCGACGTGCCATTATATGGTATTTTATTTTTTCTAATCGTTAGTTTGTACTATATAATCGCTTTCTTTAGTCGCCTTAAGGAATGATTAAACTAGAATTCGACTATCACAGCACTATATGACTTCTTCTTCACCCAAAGCAAATCACGAACCGTAATCACAAAGCTAATGGAAAAATGATTTTATCGCATTTTGACAATATTAACAATCCATGATTTCAGCATTAATTTTTGGGGGCGTATGACAAATTACTAACAATATATTTAGGCTGCGTGTTTATATTTATAAATACACAATAATAATTCATGAAATAGACAGTCCTTTTAAATATTAGCATGTATACTTGTAACGTTTTGAAGACTCCGTGGAGTCGTGATGCTATTATATAACGTTTTTGGCAGATAGGCGTCACTGACTTCATTATTCTATTAGCCAAATCATTGGGGGTTTGTATATATCTTTCAGTAAAAAAATATCTCAAACGTGGTGGTTCAGTGTAGGTAGTATATTGTACAATAAGCTGTCGTGGTTTGTGTCTGAACTACCTGAGAAAGATATCTCAAACGTGGTGGTCCAATGTAGGTAGTATTCTACAATAAGCTGTCGTGGTTTGTGTCTGAACTACCTGAGAAAAATATCTCAAACGTGCTGGTTCAGTGTAGGTAGTATATTCTACAATAAGTTGTCGTGGTTTGTGTCTGAACTACCTGAGAAAGATATCTCAAACGTGGTAGTCTAGTTTAGGTAGTATTCTACAATAAGCTGTCGTGGTTTGTGTGATTGTGTCATAACGTAACTACCTGAGAAAGATATCTCAAACGTGGTTGTCTAGCGTGTAGGTAGTATTCTGCAATAGGCTGATTGATGTTATTAAACTGAGAGGACATGTCTGTATATACAAACAAGGTTTGATCTTTCTCATGATAATCAATTTAATCATTCCATGTATGTGCTGTATGAGCACCGGAACGTGTAATTTATATTGTGCTCAACGCAAACAAGTGTAGACACTCCCGCCAGCGCCGTGATATTAAGAAACACGTCGTCAGCCTAAAATGTAAAACATTTCAATGTTTTATTTGAAGAAACAAGGTTTGTGGTAAATATTGGCGTACAATGAGTAATTATTTTTCGGATATGCCGATAGGGGCTTGTCTGGTTATAACGAGAGTAGGCGAGGCATGCAATTGAATTTGGGGATCCTATTTTAAAGCTGTGTGTGTTATAGCTTTGAGATTATAATTACCGTTGACGTATGTATCACATTCTTGACTGGGCTGAATCATTGCTTTAGAAATCAATGACAAATGTATTTTCCTACGTAACTTTGAAAATTAACTACCCAATATCTCTTAATATTGGTTATAAAAGTTTATAACACGACATAATTGAGATTTGTGCAGACATGTGTAATGGTCTTTATCACAAGTTATTTACCGGCATATTAGGGAGAGGTCGTTGATGATGCAGGGATAATGATTGCCGCGTCGTTTCTTTCCAATACATCACACCTGCAAATAGAAACGACGCTCTTTTGCACATCTTACAAACATCAGCGTAGACTAGGCGGGGCCATGTGCACATTAGAGGATCACGCGGCACGGTGCACCATATTAGGAATCAAACCTCAGTCACAGAGATGAAAGACACCTTTATTAACCACTGTGTTTGGTAGAGTCAAACTAGACGCTCTTTTCTCAAATACGACTGAAGTAGAATTATAATCTGACAACTGCATGACCGCTATAATCAGGGAGCAGCGTGGCAGCGTCTTCAAATAACTTCGCACCAAATGTGGTATAACAACTGCCTAAAATAGACACGAAGTTTCGACCTAAGTGTTTTGTCTATTTACAAGTGCATATTACAAGAATTGAACCTGAAGCCACAGAGACACATGTACTAACCACTGCTTTTGCTGAAGGCAAAATTAAGTTATTTCACAGACATTCCAAAGATTGAAAGCATTTCGAGTCGAAATTTTCGACTATCTTGCATTTACGAGGTCGTCAAGGTGTTCCTGATAATAACTGGAAAGGCAAGCTCTGTATAGATTGGGCTCATTTCACAGAAAGAGCATGGCAACAAAATCAAAACGTTTACAATTTTTACAGTGTCCATGGTAAGGCATCCACTTGGACCATATTGTCCATTGTCCGGAAACGAATTGTCGACTCGCTCTTGAGATTAGCGTGTTTCAAATCACGTCGTGCCATGGGAATTTGAAGTAAAGTGCTTATATCAGTCACATTTGACTCTATACTAGCGTTGTTAAACTCGAAACTAAAATTGTCGCTGATGCATGAGTTACCAGCGACACAAGTTAACTCTTAACTGTAGTAAAGACCGAGGTTCGCTGAGCTTTTCATTCTTTCATCTTCACTTGGACCACAGTTTTGGTGATAAAGTTTGCATCGTTGATCAGATTGGGAGGCAGGGAATTCTCATCGATTCTTAGTCGTATATCAATACAAACACTTTTGTCGAAAGATGTAATTTCCGAGTGCTTGCAGTGACATATAGACATGCTGTCTGGTTTGACTATTGTTCTTGGAGAACAACCAAAACTAGCTTAAACTAAACTAACTTTATTTATACTGGATAGCTCTATCAGTTCCAAACTGTTCTTCCTAGAGATCCAGTAAGGATCATCTCTTATTGATCCAGTGTTACTACAGGAGGAAATCTAAACTAAACTAACTTTATTTACACTGGATAGCTCCATCAGTTCTAAACTGTTCTTCCTAGAGATCTAGTAAGGATCATCTCTTATTGATCCAGTGTTACTACAGGAGGAAACCTAAACTAAACTAACTTTATTTATACTGGATAGCTCCATCAGTTCTAAACTGTTCTTCCTAGAGATCCAGTAAGGATCATCTCTTATTGATCCAGTGTTACTACAGGAGGAAACCTAAACTAAATTAACTTTATTTATACTGGATAGCTCTATCAGTTCTAAATCGTTCTTCCTAGAGGTCCAGTAAGGATCATCTCTTATTGATCCAGTGTTACTACAAGAGGAAACCTAAACTAAACTAACTTCATTTATGCTAGATAGCTCTATCAGTTCTAAACTGTTCTTCCTAGAGACCCAGTAAGGATCATCTCTTATTGATCTGGTGTTACTACAGGAGGAAACCTAAACCAAACTAACTTTATTTATACAGGATTGCTCTATCAGTTCTAAATTGTTCTTCCTAGAGGTCCAGTAAGGATCATCTCTTATTGATCAAGTGAACTAAACTATACTGGATAGCTCCACCAGCTCTAAACCGTCATCTATTACCGGAAACATACACATTCAACTAACTTTACTTGTACTTTATGCTCGATAGCCGTTTTAGAGCGGCTTTTTTGTGGTTCATTAAAGTACCACTCCTTTTTCAGTCTTGAAGTCAATATTCGTTCGAATGCTTTCCATGATGGACATTTCATTGAAGGGGTTTAATTCTTTAATACATTTCCCCTTAATTGCGTGATGTTAATTATGTTTTGTCGGAAACGGTGCTTGTTATTTCATCAGAGCACGCAGGATATTTGCATGTCCAAGTATCGGTGGCTGATGAGACGGAACCATGCCAATATTGTAGCATTTTTACTAACTGACGTCTCCTTCAATCGATTTTCAAATATATTGTTTTGCTCGCTCATATTTTACCCGATGCTTTCGGGCCTGTGGTCACATTCAGAGAGTGCATGGTATTCAGAGATTGCATGGTTAATGAAAATATACAAAGGTGTCTGAGATACAGTTAATTTTCTTAGCTTTATCATAATAGTTAATGGGTTAATGTGATCAATATCTTGTGTGTTAACATGATGCCACGTCTTTATGAAGTGATTTGGTTTTCCGTTACAGATGACCGCTTCTAGAGCGTTCTGACATGAAGATACTTAGCGTCCTTGTTCCTTTCCTACTTTTTCTCAACCTAACGTCAAGCAAACCCCTCAGCAAAGATGTCGAGCCCCCGACACGTTTGTTCAGTAATGGCGATCTCAATATTGGCGCGCTCGTCCCAGTTCATCTCCAACGATTCAACGAGACGCTCTGTGAGATCTACGACCGTCGTTTCTCGTACATTCGTTCACGAGATGGAACGGTCCAGTGTTATAAGCTCAACGTAGCTGGCGTCATGTGGAGTGAGGCGATTCGTTTCTCTGTGGAAACAGCCAATAAACACTTCTTTTCTCGTAAGTCCTACTCTAGGTTGCCCAGAAAACCAGAAGTATGTGTGTGCAGTTTCATGCATTGCCGACGCAGTAACGTACGCTCATAACGTAACGCCTTGGTGCATGTAGTAAAGAACTACTTTCAAAAAAACCTTTACCAGCAGTTACCTTTACCAAAAAAACTTCACTACCTTACAATTTTATAAAATATAAGAAAAAACGTACTCCGAAAACCAATAACTGAAGATACGAGTCATATATAAACAGTTAAAAACAGTTTTTCGACTTTATTTCATTCAAGTCATTCTCAAACCAGTGTTATTAACACGTGTGATTTCACGTGACCGTATAGTTTCCAATGGAGGTAATATCCCCCCTGTTCCATACTAAAGTATCCATCTGACCCTTACAGGTTGGAATTTTACTCTCGGCTATGACATCCGCGACTCAGTCAACAACGTCGATGTTGCCTCAGATGCTGCGTTAGATTTCTCGTTGCAGCGGAAACGGCTTGAAGTGAACGATAACAGTTCGCGTGAGTGCGCGTGTAACGTGAGCACCACCGTGCCTTACGTGGTCGCGCTAATCGGTGGAGCACGTTCCGAAATCTCGCAACGCGTGAACACTATCGTCGGAACATCCTCGCTACCTCAAATAAGCTATTCCAGCACCAGCGTCACGCTGAGCGACAAAAAAACTTACAAGTAGGTAAAATCCTTTCTTAGAATTCAAGAAATTTTCAAGAATCTATCTTGTATTCTTAGAAATTCTCCCTGTGTAAAAACAGGTGTCCCTATGCTCACAACTCGTCATATTTATTGAAATTCTTCTTTATAGAACATTTTTTCGGACGATACCACCTGATAATTTCCAGGCTCGTGCGATGGTTGATATCGTCAAGACGTATGGCTGGTCTTACGTCGCCACTGTGGCAACGGACGAAGCCTATGGCCGGCGAGGAATCGAGGGCTTCCATGAGGAAGCGAGGAAAAAGAAAATCTGCATCTCTACGCAGCGTTTATTTCATTTCAACATCAGCTCACCGGAGACTAAGAGAGAAATCAAGGACATAGTCCGTGAATTGAAAGCGGACACCAAAACCAATGTCATCGTGTTGTTCTGCGAACGACCGCGTGCCGTTGCGATCCTGACTGAGGCTCAAGCACAAGGCATGACGGGAAAAACGTGGATTGCAACGGAGGATTGGGGATTTAGCGAGAGGATTTACGATTTCAATTTTGCAACAGTCGGTGGGGTTTTGGGTGTGGTGACCCACGCAACCCCACTTGAAATATTCGAAGACTACCTGGCACGTCTCACCCCCAAAAACTCGAATCATAGCTACTGGCTCTTGGAGTACTATCGACAGCAGAGCTGTAAAACGGGCGAGAAAGATTGTAAAATAGATCCATCTCTAAACGCGGCTATGATGCATAGGAATAAGGCATCCTATGTCATGGATGCTGTTTACACAGTAACGCTGTCTTTGGTAGACCATTTCAGCTGGTGTAGCGAGCAAGGTTTAGACAAGGAACATTGTCTGAAAGAACTTAATCTGAAGAAATTGAGAGAATACATGTTAAAAGTCAATGCTCTTGGTGCCAGTGCTAGACACCTCAGCTATGACAAGGCTGGAAATCCTGCAGGTAACAACACTACCTACATTTCAGACCATCTTTTCAAACCATGTATTAATGCTCGAAACTTTTTGGCGATAGCAGCGATCTCGAACCAGATTTTACAGCATTATAACTTTTTTCTTTTCATTCCTAGATGTTTACTACAATATTAGCAATCTTCAACCAGATCCAAGCGCTCCAAAAGGAAAAAGATTCGTCCACGTTGGAAGTTGGGTGAACGAAGTCCTGAGCATCACTCGTCCTATCTACTGGAACGGCGGAAAGAACGCCACCCCCGTCTCTGTCTGCTCGGTACCCTGCCCCCCTGGGCACTACTTTGTAAAAGGGGACGTGTCGTGCTGTTGGAAATGCGTGCTCTGCCCCGGAGGAACGTTTAAAATTGCCACGGGGAACAAGGAGTGCGATCTGTGCCCGAACGGGTACACCTCGGACTCAAATCGTACGCGATGCGTGCGCATACCTGAGGAGTTTATCCACTGGGACTCGGTGACGTCTGCGGTACTGGTGTCGCTCTCCCTCTTCGGCGTCCTTGTAACCATTTTCATGTTTGGAGTGTATTTCAAGTACCGTAAAACCCCAATTGTCAAGGCCTCCTCAAGATACCCCTCGTTGATGCTCCTTATTTCAGTAGCTTTCCTGTTTGCGTTACCATTTCTCTACATCGGACGCCCAAACCTCGCCGTCTGTCACCTTCAACCAATCGCGTTTGGCCTTCTCATGACTCTTGCAAGTTCCTTAGTGCTGACGAAGACGTTTCGACTGATTCAGATTTTCAACAACGTCGTGGCAAACCTTCGCGATAAGCCCTTAGTCACAGTGAAAACTCAATTCATTATGGTGGCTGTGATCGTCATCTTGGAGGGTATCATGATCGCCGTGTTCCTCGACCGCAGACCGATCATGGTGAATACCGTCGTCGAAGATGCCGCGGTACCTATCGACTGCGGTTCGTCCGCGAAGGATCTCCACACGGCTGTGCTACTGTATAACTGGATCTTGGCAATCATCTGCGCGATCATGGCCTTCCGAGCACGTTCTCTCCCGGCAAACTTCAGCGAAGCTCGTCTCATCTCTTTCGCAATGTTTACGTACTCGGTGATATGGCTGTCGTTCCTCATCGTTTTCTCTGGCAGCTTCATCAACCAGTTCTCGACGTATATTTCCGTCTGTATTTTAGCGACGGGCCTGGATCTAGTCGTTTGTATGTTCGCGCCAAAGATATTCGTGATCTTATTCAAGCCGGAGCTAAACGAGATGCATGTGGTTCGCGCCGATATCTACCGCTACACGATGAAGCAACGCGCACGTTCACACACGCCAAACCCAGAGAGCAGCGAGAGCGAACTAACCAGGGCCCAGCTTGAAGGCTCGTTACCACGACCAAAGTCTGGGCATATCTTGCAAGAATCCAAATTGTAGCCTTTGAATATATCGTGGGGAAACTTATGCTTTCATCGCAACTTGGAAGTGCACGTACTCAGATATAGGAAAGGCTCACAATGTTCATTCTGATAAAATCGGACAAGCTAGAGCCAGTCAAGAGCTTGTTAAAATCTGGCAAGAACCAATGCATGTCGTTCAACTAATTCTTTTTTTTGTGCTGAACCAACTTGTAAAGACTGCTGTTCTCTCATCTGTCTGTTTTAAACGGCGTTGTTAAACTAGCAATAGTTAGTATTTATATTTTCTTTTCTTTGTAACTGGTATAGCTAATCTTTGGTTCTGTGGGTGATGTTTTGGTCAATAAAATTCCTATTTTCCAAACACTATTTTGAGCCGTCTTCTTTTCAACTGTTTACAGAATTCACTTCAATTCAAGAAATGGATCCTATATAAACTTATTGCTTTTTCATTTTTTATAATGCAAATGCATGCAGCATGCAAAGGCATCTTCCACCGCATTTCAAATGAAAGAACAAGACGTTAAAGTATTGAAAGAAATTCACATTTTATTCATTTATTTATTTCATTAAAATTCACCACAATCTATTGACTTCCAAAATCAATTCTTCGTTATCAACTTATTAACTGTATATGTTGTGAAGTAATCTTTTTACAATTTCCAGACGGTTGTATATATAAAGTTGTCGAGTTTTTTCGTCTTCTCAATTGCTGTGGTTTAACTGCCTTCCTAAATATTCCCTGCAAAAAGCGGACAACATTGAAACTTAAGGTCCAGAAAGGCTCATCTATGAAAGGAAGACACACTATAGCAATCAATAACGGGTGAAAATCTGACTAACCAGTTATGCACCATAAGTTTTTGAACAGCCAACAGTGCCTCGTATCGCACGTTAGGATCCTGATGCGCCATTCTCCTCATCACCAGCTCTTTACAACCAAGTGTTTCTAAAATACTACAAAAGAAAAAGGTAAACAAAGATTGCCTCTTCACTGAATGCTTCCGAACGAAAGATATTTTTTCAAGCGTACCTTTTCCCCCGGGGATAATGGCGTACGTATTCCCCAATATCATGAGCTGACACAGAGAGTATTAGTGGGTCCTGAGATGTGTCCAGCAACCTTTTCAAAATTCTAAAGAAAAAGATTTCTTTTGACTCGCGAGCGACGTTTCCGAGGTGACCCGAGCTATGGTATACTCACTTCAGTAATTCATAATTCTTCTCATTCAATCTTTGAGAATTCTCACGCTAAAGTTGTGAAAGGTAAAATAGACGTTTTTTGCATAAATTCTCTCTCAATCAAGTTTCAGCCTTCACTGACTTTCAGGCAGTATTTCTTACCCAGAATTTCTCTGATTTATGAACCGGACTCCATTCCAGTCTTCCTGACCTGACCTCGGCCGCATATTCATCAAATGTACTGCATGTGATGACATTATAAAAATCTTGTTAACTTTGCTGAATTGCTTTAAATTTATTTATATCTGTCACTTCTATCTGTTCTTCCTAGAGGTCCAGGAAGGATCATCTCTTATTGATCCAGTGTTACTACAGGAGGAAACCTAAACTAAACTAACTTTATTTATACTGGATAGCTCTATCAGTTCTAAACTGTTCTTCCTAGAGGTTCAGTAAGAATCATCTCTTCCAGTCCAATCAAGTCACCTCAAATCTTGTACACTGTCCGTCAACTGCTCATGAACGTATTCAACATCCTCCTATTGTACAAAAAAATTTTCTCAGTATTTCCTTTTCCCACGAAATACTTCCATTGCAAAAACCTCAGGAACTCTTTTGAAAGAACTAAACAACTATAAGCACACCTGAATATCTTCATCAACCCACGTTTTATTCACAAGAACTGTTAGCACCTAGAACAACATTCAAAGATAGGGAAATGATGGACAGAATTATTTGATGTTTGTTTTAATTCTTGTAGCATTCTTACAGGTATTAATTTACACTGAATCATCGCCATTGCGGCCTCCTTCGTTCGTTCTTCTGGTTTCTCCAATAGATTCTAAAAGAAACCTCATCATTATGAAACTATTGTCTTGAATATCATAATTGTTTATGGTTGGTTCTGATGAATATCGAGCGCAGTTTTCAACAGTGAAATTCCTACCCGAAGCGTTGCAAGAATAATACGAGTCACTTTCTCCTTGCCAGTATCTCGCAGAATATCTGCAAGTGTTGGTACAACGGCGTTGTTTCTGTTCGGAAAATAAACACGAGAGAAAGTTTAGAACCGATAGAGCTATCCAAAATATATAAACTAAGCTCTTCTAAAATATAATCTAGGCTTACTCGTTTATTGCTCGAGCAATTGCTGGGTTAAAACTTAGCAGCCAAAGGCAAAATATAATTTGATACTGCAGTTGAAAACCAATATTATCTCGAAGAAGAAACAAAACCAAACTAAAAGGTAAAAAAAGAAGAAAATGGAACCGTTGTCTCAAAATGGTGTCGATTGTGTTTAAGCAATGGAGGCCTCGCTGGCTTCCTAACCTAGTAACTCCGTCAGTTTCAACGAAGGTCGACCGATATTCGTCAATCCTCAACATGATCTGAAAACACTCCACCACACTTTCACGAAACCTGTTTTTCTGCAAAAAATATCCATCAGATACGAGTTTAAAATTTCGATGTTTAAATGGTTTTATGTACTGTAATGCAATGAAAAATAAAGCTTCTGCCGTTCTGCTCTTTTTATACAGAAAACGTCTTGGATATTGTTTTGCAATTACTGTGGGAATGTATTAGATAGTTTATGTTCGTATAATAACAGTGTGAAAGAAATGGCAGACACATACTGCAGCGCTTAGTCGAGCTTTCAACCAGTCAAAATAGCTGATGACTTCAGCATGAGTCAAACGAGTCTTTCCCCAGCAGGCCAGCTTTGCTATAATCCGTGCAGACTGCAAAAGAAATGTTTAATGTTTATCAGCAATACTGAATATCTAAACTGAAGACGTCTGTTGAGGTGAGATGTCTCTGAGTATAAACGGCGTGAAACATCCTATCATTTGTGAGCTTCGTCGCCTGGTTTACAGCATGTAAAAACTAAACGGATTCCTCTAAATCATATACCGTCAGTTCTCAGTAACAACTTCAAATATGACTCGTTGTGAGTAAAATCAATGTATATAACCTTCAGTTGCAAGCATAAACGTGGAAATTTTCTTTACAATTTTACCTGATAAACGATGAATTCATCTTGTCGATGAAGAAGATTAAAAAATTGCTGCCAAGGGGATGCTTGAGACCTACGTATGGATTTAGCAAATATTAAAAATGTGTCCCAACATGATTTTTGGGATATGATTAAATTTTAAGACAAGAACTCATAATTGTATTTATGTACTTTTTCTTGTAGTCTTGTAGTAATGTAAAACATTCTTTATCATTCTACAACAACAAAGGTGATTTAGGAATTTGTCGAATGACTGAGCCACAGACATTTGTAAAAAGGATTTAGGATTATCATCAAGACTTACTGTAATCATATCATCCAGTAACGTTAATAGATATTGAACTGTTAGATCCTTTGAAAGGTGACCAAGAAGTGAAAATATTGTTGATAAAATCTAAATGAATTTAGAGCAATTTTAAGAAATGTGAAGAAAGTTCTTGATCTATTAGAGAGTAGAATGATATGTTAACTAGCTATCAGTGAATGGTACTATTGCCGAGTTCTATCAGAACTCAGGAATCAGTGAAATATCCAATTAGGTGTACATGAAATTAATTTGGTTAAACTTCCTTCAATGGTGTATGTCAGCACCTCTTCCGAGTTGGATTTCATTCTTTCATAGTCTTTTTCTTTGGCCAAAGTATCAAAAGCAGCAATGACGTCAAAATCTTTTTTGGAAATCATTTGACTTCTACAGATTAAAAAAATTTCACACGTTAAATTATGGCTGGAAGTACTCTTTCTCAATAGTTAGAAACATATTTGACCAAACCTATAATATGACGTCCATTGCATTTTCTCTGCTCGAACTTCATTTGCCCGTGCATTTAGTGGACTTGTGGCAATTTGCATTCCTGAGAATTAAGCAAATGATGACGAGTAATTCAGTAAGTGATGTTCCGCACGCAACCGTTAACTAACAAGTTTACAGGATACACATGACATGCCGCACCTGTGTCTAGGCTGCCTGTTTCCATGATTTTTAGGGATCGCAATAAGATACTTTCATACGCAATCTTCTTAAATCTTTCTAAGAACCTCACAAAATAATTAGCTTTTCGACCAAGATTAACAGTAAGAATTCCTAGAAACACAGTGAAATGTGGCATCAGATTAAAGAGATTATACTGTAATAGAGAGAGATTAGTATTAGAGAGATGTCCGTATGAGAGCTGTGGATGTCTGTGCTAGAGAGAGACCAACTACATCTGTATTTGAGAGAAATGCCAACATTAGAGGGAGATTTGGTTTACGTTAGAGAGCTTCCAGCATTAGAGAGATGTTTACATGAGAGAGACGTCTGTATTGGGTGTCTGTATTAATGAGAGATGCCCCCTGTTGGTTAGATGCTGGTGTTACAGAGACACGACTATCCCTGAGGACGTACCCATGCCTGCATACAAGAGGACATGTTTGTATTAAAGAGATATTCATATTAGAGAGGTGTCTGGTCTGTATTGATGAGATTTCAGGGAATTATCTGTATTGGGGGGGGGGGTGTTTATGATATAATGTCATCATATTATTCTACAGGTTGCCCAGGAAGTACTATTTATAACATGACTGTCATTTTACTATTGACAAGTGTCAAAATAAACGATTTTTATTTCCCAAAATCTAAAGACGATTCAACGAAAGTTACATCCAAACTAATTTCGATCTCGTTGATAAAATAAACCAATAAACACGATATAAACAAAATAAAATGTCATTTCAATATATTATCTATTGTATTAAATATTTAATAACGACAATCACAATCCAAACCTTGAGATCGCAAAATATTATACATATATACAATCTTACGATACATACCACGCGCTCGGAATGCCAAGATCGACAAAAACTTGTTTGAAAATCAATTTTTTTCTCAAAAAATCGAGAATTTTCACTTTGTTTATATTTTTTTCTCACGAGATCGACCAGCGGAACGAGTGTGCGGGCGACGTAATTTATGATAATCGATTCAACATTTCGCCAGATCCACTGGAATAATTTAGCTGGTGCCTGGTTGTTCAGAAATTGTCGATTTTTGTGCAAAAAATGATTAAATAAAAGGTGTGATTTTGATTCGGAAGGGATTATGGCTTCGCGCAGGATGTCCCCAGCGCCAAGTACGTGTAAATTGTGTTTTAAATATGTTTAACCAGTAGTTTTTCTGGGCTATAATTTATGGAATAATAATTGTGTACCCTGTATTTGCAATCGATGAAATCGATCACGTTAATCCGATCAGAATTAGTACAGCTGTTTGTTTGGTTACTTTTTATAGAGCCAGAGGTTTCATCCCGCCCTGGATCGCCTGCAGTGCATTCTGTAAGCAGCGAGCAAGCATTCCTGGAAACCTACTTTCTTCTTTTAAGTCAATTTGGTTTCGATAAAGCCAAAGAGTCGGCTGTAAGTCAAAATGATAATAATAAATAATGCATTTGAATGACTGAATGAGCAGCGTATTTTGTTCCGAAAACATTTATAAACATTGATCCTGATCTCATTTTGGTTATAACTAGGAAAAAGAAAGTAATTCAAAGAAAGGCCAACTTGCTGGTATATCACCATGGTTTGCATTGATTAGCAGTTTGATTGTACTTGCTGAAGCAGAAAAAACCTACTCATCTTTTTCATTTGTTGTGAAGAAAAGATTTCGAAAGGATGTAAGCACGGAAGATAATATTTATAATTATTTTAGTGTTCTATCAAAAATGATAACTTGGGTTTGTTAATTTTTTATCTTCTCCATTTCAGTCCCTGATTTCGCACTATCAAACACTTGAAAGAGAATCAGATAAGTTATGTGAAGTCTGTTCTGGTAAACATGGAACAGTTCCTTTAATACCTGAGGTTATAAGCCATGGTTTGTTAGCTGAACTTTGCCGCCATCTTAACCAGTTTGTGAAAGCAAGACAAGAGAGCATGAGGCTGTATCCTTTATACAAAATATTCCTGCTGCATATGTGCTGGAAAATATAGGATTTATTTCAGAATATCAGGAGAAACATATTGTTAAATTTACTGTAATAGCTAAGAGATTGTGTTGGATGTTAAAGTGATTGGATTATTGTATACCACCTTTGATGCTACATTGTTTAAAGACGTTGCCACGCTGTTCCCAGGTTATATTGATTGGATTATATTCTTAACTTTACGCACAGTTATGAAAACCTTGGCGCAGTTGGAGTGAATGTTCACGCAAACAATAGTTCTGGGATTAACTATGTTGAAATGGCAAAATCAGTGGAGGCTTTGAAAAATAAGTATGTAGTAATATATGAGGTTTAGAGGGAAATGGGAGGGGGTGATGATTGACCCTCACTCAGGGGAGGAAGAAGGGGGTTTAAGCAGATATCAGAAGATGTGCAGGAGAGAGGAAATGTAATAAATTAACAAAATGTGCTGAACAATGTGCTGAACAAAATTTTTGTTTTGTAGGAATTCAAAATTGTTCCATCATCCTATTTTAGATCCAATAAAATCATCATTCAGGTATACAATGGTCAGTTTGTGCATGCATTACCCATTCTGGTATGAATTCTTGTATATCATTATTATCATGTTTATAGTGTTGAAATGGACATACTTCATCATATATTACAAGCTCAGTGTGATTTGGCTGATTGGAAGTTTCTGCCCTCGCTGCTGCATCTTCATGAAAGCAAAGCCAAGCTCTTCTCATGGAATAAAGTGTTGTCACCATCAGTTGTTAAAGATGTAAGATGATTATGCTCAAAGGTCTAAGTTCACCCAATCCTTTAGTCAGAGCAGGTTTTTTGACATCCAAACAGGTTTTCAAAAGCACAGCTTTGTTATATAATAATGAAATATAAATGTAAATGTCGTTTGGTTTATGAAATACTGGAGAGTGCTCAATACAATATAAATAGAGCAAATATAAAAGTACTTATTGCTTACTAAAAATCGTCCACTACAGTCTGTTTCATCCGTTTAGATTTAAAAACCTGAAGATTCATTCCTTTAGGGATGAAACAGACTGTAATGGATGTAATGGATTTTTAGTAAGCAATTATTAAAAAATGAAGTATATCTTTTTAAGTCGTTCACAGGATCTCTAACTGTAAAGAAACGATTTGGTGGGGGATCCAGGAGACAAATCGAAGTTCCACTGTTGTTCCAGTGGCTGGCAAGATTTCACGCGACACTTGTTTCTAAGTTTTCGCTCTATTTCCACGCAACTCTTAGCGAACAAACAACGCCATCAGAAATGAAGAGTCTCACTGCGAAGGCAAACGTTGACTACGTCAGCAAGTAAGGTTTCTTTAGAACGAGAGAAAAAAGACTTTGAATAATTATATTACCACCACTCTAATGTCATTCATAAGTAATTAATTCAAGTATATTATATACAGCATTAACTTAGCAGTTCACAGCGAGACATGTTTACTACTATAGTTCATGTCAACAGAGAGTATCTTAATTATCAGCATGACGTTAGCAGTTTACAGTGAGACAGTTTGCCTACAGCCATGAGTAGAATCTTCACCATCAAATTTACCTATCTCTTATTAAGGATTGCATCCTTCACGCGTCGAGCTGATGTATCTTACGTTTGTTTGGTCCTCAACACACGCGATCTGAAAGAAACGTACAAGGGTCCTGGTTACCACCTCCCGCATGTGAAGATAGAGTTACCAACTGGAATACATTCTTACCCCGCCGTTTTTAGCTATCCTAATGTAAGTAGACAAAATAAGACTATGTGCACACTAGCGTCGTTTTCGAGCGTTTTCAAAATCGTTTTTGCCTATTAATTTATTGTTTAGCGCCTTGTCGACATGATCCAACAAAAAATCTGGCTTAATTTATTAAATTAGCTTTAACTTCTATTGTAAATTGACGGTGTTTGAGACCGTTTTGATATGAGAACGAATGCGAAAACGCTTTTGCTTTTCATTAAGGAATGCCCTACAAATCTTTGGCCATCAATAGTATCTCTCATTCAAGACCGCGAACTGTTCTTAGCCCAGGAAAAGATCGTTTATTTTTACGACGAAAGAACGCAAAATACATATTTTCTGGCAAAAGTTGACATTCGAATGACTTTGGTCGCCATTTTCAAAGCGAAGAAAAATGAAAGAGATTCTTATGTCGTCAATTTTTTTCAAGGTATATAATTTGGCTTTTTTCTCGTTGAACATGGTTAGATCTTGGATTAGGATTTACCCTAACCGACTTTAAACCCAATATTTTATTCTAATCTCAAGGACTAATTACCTGCATTGCATTTTTTCCTTTTTCAGATGTGACGAGCGATTTACGGAACACAAATGTTCTGAATGTACTTATTAAAGCAACGTAGAGATTGGAAGGAGATGTTCTTATGAAAAATACATTTCAATTCTACAATAATACACAGTTTTGAATGAAAATGAAAAATGCGTGGACACGAAAACGTCAAACGTCCGAAGTTCAACATGCCGGGTCAATAATTCGGTGAAGAAATTGTGAAACGGCTTTACGGATTTTTACAATTTAAATAAATTATGTTTCTGTAATTTCTCTACAAGTTACACGGCTCAGCTCGCAAAGAAAGTGTGAACCGCATTCACTTTTATAGAGTTTTAAACAGATTTTTATCTTGAAATAAAGAAGAAAGATCCCCGAAAATAGAACAGAATCAACGAAGATAAAAAATAAAAACTTTATATAATAAAACTTTAAATAAAAATATTAAGCAGATTCTATGATCTGTAAAATGCCTTTAGTACGAAGTAAAGAGATTGCAAGTGGTAGTTGGATAAAGGCAACACAGACATCACTTGTTAAAATACCAGCATCAGTGGTAAAAAGTGCACAGATAAAAATATCCCGATGTTCTTATTTTGTGACTCTTTTGCCTAATCTTTTTCAGACAAATTTTAAATAATTTGTGGACAACCTTTTGAAACATACCAACAATATTTTAACTCTTTTTGAAAGTAAATCTAACACAAGTTATACTATAGTTATACTATAGTTACATCATTATTTAAATATATAAACATCATATTTCATATAAACATCAAAATGTTGTTCTGCAAATGGTTCATGTAGTTTTTCTTTTTTTATCACATTGATTAGCATCATGCCTGTTTTCAGATTCTTCTTCAATGACCTCTTCAACTAAACCCTCAAGCTTCGTAATTCTTTCATTCAAATTGAGTAACAATGAATACGACTATAAAACATAACAGAAATTGAATAAGATAGTCAAATCATATATATCACCCCTTCCATAGAAAACAGTGTGGCCATGAGTTTAAATAACTAGAAAGGATAAATATGAACATATTAGCTGAATAGCAGAAACATTCAAGGCAAGTTGATACATACTATTAATCTTGCATCTTGTATATCCGGCTTCATGCTTGTGTTTGTGCACTGTCCAAGTTGGTAACTTTTAACTTTGCTCCAGTTTAGTGTATACATATCTCTAAATATATAATGATTCATTAATGAATGGCAAATAGTTTGATCTAAGTTGCCCAAACAATGTCTTGGTGATCGATGATATGTCTCATGTTGATAAACATCAATAACTTACCTAATGCAGTCTAGTTTCTTTGGTGTGGTGTTGTACATTCGGCCGATGACAAGACGACAGTGCTTGCATTTCAGAGTGTGAAAGGTACTGTAATAGTTCAAAAAGTTCCCCCTGCACTTTATCTTTAAATTCAAATGGCTTAGAAATCAGGCATGGTAGAAAACACAGCTGTAACAGATAACCGGATTGCCGGTACTCTAGTAACTGATCATTGATAAATATCAATGTTCGATATCGAAATAAAGATTATGGACATAATTTTTAGTCTGAACGTAAATCAGATTAAGATCAACAGGAACTTTAATTTCTATAACTAGAATATCTATTTACATTTTTGAATCTAGATGTCTTTCAGTGTCTTCACTGCATTAAAAAAATCTTGAATCTTAACGTAGTCAAAGGTAAGCAGACTGTGCTCGACCTCAAACTCAGCAAAAAGTAAAAAGGATGAAAAGTAATATAAATGAACTTTCATCTGCAGTCTAGTTGCATGTCGAAATCTGTGAGCTTGTAATATGACGAAAGTATCACACAAACAAGTGCATAAGACAACAGGTATGCATAATTGAGGTGAGATATTCAGTGTCATATTCTCGCCTTTCTTGAAGCACTCCTAATCAAACATAACAAACCTTTCTATTACATCTATTCTACAATTTTCTCTTTATGCTCTTTCTCTGTTTTGTATATATTTGCATTTTAAAGTATTGTATTTTATTCTGTCTTAAGATGACTTTGCAATAAAGTCGAAAATTTACACTCTCGTGTTTATTCGGAATTTGTTTTTTACTCAACCCAAACTTAACTTTTACTTAACACTTTTAAATGAATATGGAGATAATATTCTATAGCGCGTAAGACTTAAGGACAAGCTAATTTACCGTTCAGACTAGAAATGTTGTCCATAATCTTTATTTCGATATCGAACATTGATACTTATCAATGATCAGTTGCTAGAGTACCGGTTATCCGGCTATCCGGTTATCCGTTACCCGTGTTTTGTACCATGCCTAGAAATCATTTCACCTTCCTTTATCATCTCCTTCACCGGATGTCTGGCATTCCTTAGATTTTACCACAAATTCAGTGACAGCTTGAAAAACATAGATGATTTTATAAGTTGTTTGTACATCCGTACATTCACCTTAAAAATAGCGATGCTAAATTGCTAATTGCTAGTACCAAAGCAATTGTGGTTTAGCTATTTTCTGTATACCAACCATTAAGTGATATGCTTTTTAAATTTTTGTTCATCCTCGCTGTTGCAAAACTATCTCCTAAGATGTTACGACAACTCATGCAAGAGAAAACATGATACTTTTGTTTTTGTTCTTCCGTGGTTAACACCTCAGAGGCAGCCATATTGGTATCGAAATCTCGAAGAAACGTTCACACACGAGACCACGAGACACGTGCGTTGAAAACTGGTAGTTGTGTCCAGTTTCATATTGCGAGCAGTGATTGCGAGTCGGATGTTGGTCGTCTTTTGACGGCCTTTTCCGAGGCGTTCCGATTGAGAATGTTTTGCTTGGCTCCGAACATGTGCATGTTTTGGAATTATTTATGAAAATTTTAAATAGCCAAGATAGCGTTCGCAAAACTTGTGTTTGTGGCTTAAAATGTCTTTTTGACCACGCCGATTTCAAAATTTGGATGAGTTTTTATATGGACGAGCCTCGTAGAATTGTGCTTCAAAGATCACATCGAAAATGCGTGAAAAATTGAGCAGATTTTGGAGGAGACCCAAGGCGTTTTGACCTAATGGAAAATATAGCGACATTCTGACATTACCGCGTCAAGTTCGCTTGATTTAAACATTTAAAATCGCAGTATTTTTAAGTGAGTTTTTGATTTTGCCGTGCAAGACGTACAAGGAGGATGGCGTCCGGCCACAAGGCCGTTCCACCGATGCCAGTTCTCACGCATTTGACAGAAGAGGAAAGAAATATAATACAATCCGTCATAGAGAGGCAGAAAGCTTGCGATGCTGAAACTCACAAACTGCAAAGGTAAGCAAGAAAATACGAAGAGAATCCTAGGTTTAGGTATCTTTTATTTGTGTGTTTTCATACCGGAATGTTTTCATTACATCTTGTTTGTTGCTAGCCGTGATATCAATGAAGCGTGTAGTATTTTTCTCAGTGAAAACCCTTTGTAGTTTTAGCGGATAATGTTACGTTTATAGTAACTTCCTCTCGTCAAGGTAAACTGACGCTGTTAAAACGGACTAAGTATCTTGACTTAAAACGGCCCTTTCTCGCTTCGTAGAACGCTCGCAAGAGAGGTGGAAACGTTTCAAAATAAACTTGAGATAAAGAGTAAAGAGTCGCCTGGAAATGAACCCGAGAAAGAAGCGAATTTGTGCGAGCTCTGTCACAAAACAAAATTCGCAGATGGGGTCGGGAAAGCATGCAAGTATTGTAAGCGTCGTGTGTGCAGCAATTGCGGGGATAATGCGTCCTTTCCTACGAAAAAACAGGTAAGAAAAGAAGTGAATTATCGGATTTATGTGTAAATTTACCAGGCAAATTTTCATAGTGTTTTATATAGCTTGCATATATTGCACGGAATTATCGCAATTTGTCGCCAAAAAAAATAGCCACAAGCTGACTGAATGCAAAACTTGCGTTCTGCAAATCCCCCACGCCTTGTCTCTGCGAGAAATACTTCATTCCTGTTTTAATTTTACGCTGAGCTTATTGTACTTTTTCATCCAAACGACACAATGTACAAACGAACTTCGAAAAAGTGTCAAGATCGCTTATATCCGAGAAATTTGATGCACGTTATAAATTAACATTCTGCCTACGTAGCTTTCAGCCGTAAATGTTTGTTTTAGGACAATTTAAAATGGCCCGTTTGACCCGTAGAAAGGATTTACACGAAAATTTCTATTGTTATGTTCGCTTAGCAAATTTTAGGTGACCTTTTATTTCACCAATTCGTTTGGTAAACAAAAGCATAAAGTCTTACGGCTATTAATATTTAACTGATGTTTTGCATTCAGCACAATTTTAATTCACGATGAGGCCTGTGTGTCGTCGTTACATAGCAAAGGTTTATTGAAATCGATTTCTTCCCTAATGTGGTTTTCTTTTGTCAAGCATTTTCGTGTTTGGGGATCTAGGGCACTTAACTAAGCTGTTAGCTGTCTGTACGTCTACTGAGAAGAAAGTTGAGTTTGTAATGTGAAAGTCTTCAAACGCCTGTATCTCTCTAGGTCAGTCTCCATTAACTAGGTTTTAATACATCAAAGAAGTGAGGCTAAAAACGACAGGCTAAACAAATAAATTCTATTTCCAAGCTGGAAAAAAATGTTTTCAGTTTGAAAATATGAAAAATAGCAAGGGTTAATATAACCTGTGGGTTTATATTCCTAATTTGCAATCGAAAAAACACAAATGATTTGAAAGGTCTGTTGTCATAGCACCCAAGAGCAAAAAAATTGTTATCAGTTTTTTACAATATTCCCTTAGATCAAATGCTTTTTTTACAATGGCTTTTCAAGATAGCATATTGCTCATCTATTCTTGCGGATTACTTTTGCTGTAGTCAAAGTTCCTGCAATGCAAGTTTATGGCAACTAGCAATGAAGTTGTGTTTTTCACTTTTCATTAACAAATTGGCAATCAATTAGCAATACATTTAGGTGCTTTGGCAATGAACAATTTGTTGGCCAGACACTACACACAATGTCACCTGCAACAAAACATAGCATTGATATATTTTCAGAGTTAATTCAGACTGAATGGCGGCATGCCTGGCGAAACGAAGCATTGTTTCAAGAAATGCTCTAAAACATCTTTTATTTGTCATACAGGCTTTGTGTTTGCATGCAATCAACTATTTGGAAATAGTAAAAACATTCTAAGTGCATGAAAGCCATTCATGTTTGCTCATCAACACACAATATATGTACAGAGCAAACTAGCTGTCAGCCTAGATGTTTTCTGAAAGATATATGGGTTAATAAATTAAGATGAAGCACATGCAGGTATTAAAAATAATGGCTAACATGCACTTCTGCCTGACAAGCATATAGTACTAAAATTGCATGATTTTTTGAAGCATCGAGTGACAAAATAGCTGTTTATGTATTCATGCCTCTTATATAAACATATTTAGCTGTTTAATAAAAAGCACAAGAGCATGCATATATTCTTAATAATATTCAAGATGATCAGAAAAATTTGCATCAGACCATTAGGTAAAAAGTCACAAAATGCCAAAAACTCCAAAAGATGACAAGTGATGAAGAATTTTTTCCACATTTTTTCAAGTCTCAACACTACATCAAAACAGGCTTCTGGTTTTTAAAATATAACAAGAGAAGTTGAATTTTATTCGTTAATAACCGTGCAGATGGCATGAATTTTGACCAGATGTTATCATATATTACCCTTGCATTCAAGGTGAAAACTAAGGATGAAAAAATGAAAAGTAAATTCTGAATAGGGCAGCTACTAGTCATAAGAACAGACCCTGGCTAGGAGGTTGTCATATTGTAAATTGTAGCTGAATTTTCAGCTAGTGTTTAATTTAGTTTCTCCTGCAGTCTGACATTAGAAGCTAAAATCATTAAGGCATCTCATTCATGTGGGTTTGTGGCAGGCAGTCTTCGCAAGCTAACTGTGTTTAAACCAATCAAATTTCTGTCAGACCTGCATGCTGTAGCATCACAGTTCTTAATAGATCCTTAACAATGTACACAGCAACAAACCTCCCTCCATGTTGGATATCTCAATCCCAATTAAGGTCTGAAATAATTTTCAAAAGGTATCTTCTTGTGTCCTGTAATTGTGATTCTTGCTATTGTTATATATAGTTATATAATTTCTTGTTTGTCCTCACAACTATTTCAGTCGATTAATACTTTTTACAGGCTAACATGCAGTACGCCTGTGGATCACTAAATCACTTTAAACTGTTCAGTAAATCGTGGAAAATTTGCGCAACTTTTAGGAGAATTATTCTCTGTTTTTTTTTGCCTGAATAAAGTTTATACGAGTTTAACTTTACAGACAGATACAATATTGCTTCATTATAATCAGACTCCCTGCTGATGACACAATTACACATTGTCTGTTTGTCTGCTGGAAAGGCTGACATCGTTTGCATTGTAGAATATCTCTATATTGAATGAATTATCTAAATAAAGTCGACAGCATTTTCAGTCGTTTATGTCTGAACTACCTGAGAAAGATATCTCAAACGTGGTGGTTCAGTGTAGGCAGTATTCTACAATACGTTGTTGTTGTTTGTGTCTGAATTACCTGAGAAAGATATCTCAAACGTGGTGGTTCAGTGTAGGTAGTATTCTACAATAAGCTGTCGTGGTTTGTGTCTGAACTACCTGAGAAAGATATCTCAAACGTGGTGGTCCAGTGTAGGTAGTATTCTACAATAAGCTGTCGTTTGTGTCTGAACTACCTGAAAAAAGATATATCAAACGTGGTGGCGTGGTCTAGTACTCTAGTGTAGGTAGTATTCTACAATAAGCTGTCGTGGTTTGTGTCTGAACTACCTAAGAAAGATATCTCAAACGTGGTGGTCCAGTGTAGGTAGTATTCTACAATAAGCTGTCGTGGTTTGTGTCTGAACTACCTAAGAAAGATATCTCAAACGTGGTGGTCCAGTGTAGGTAGTATTCTACAATAAGCTGTCGTGGTTTGTGTCTGAACTACCTGAGAAAGATATCTCAAACGTGGTGGTTCAGTGTAGGTGGTATTTTACAATAAGTTGTCGTGGTTTGTGAATAAACTACCTTAAGAGGATATCTCAAATCAGTCAAATGTGGTGGTCCAGTGTAGGTAGTATTTAAAATAAGCACTTGTGGTTTTCTCAAACCGGTCATTGTGCTAATTCCAAGGTTTTGAAATTGCTACATGTACAGACGATGCCGTAGTTCACTTCAAACACCACACGAGAATTGACTGATTCAATTTTCATTCGAATAAAATATTGAAGTCGATGAATTCGACTTGTTTTTGCCGCGGTATTTGCTCTGGTGTTAACAAGATTTTATCGCACGGACTGAAATCACCACGCTTATCATTCGCCTTTATGCAGTATTTCCCACTCGCTTTTCAAGAAACACATAGTTTATAGTTGGTGCTCGAATTGCAACGTGTAATCCAAGACTGCCTTAACAGAAAACAGAATTTTTAGACCGAAAACTTCGCGAGTCATGATTATATTTTCCGACAAAACGCCCATAGACTCGTGAATAAATATTTTATGACTCTGCGCTAACTCTTTAAATTAATGCGGTTAAAAAACGGTCACGTTTAATATTTTTGGCCGATGTTAAATTTTCAAAGACCAAAGTTTGATATTATTTAATGACTCAGGAAAATTGGAAATTAATAAAAAGTAACCGACGGGATATCTTTGAAGATTTTGTCAAAGATTAATTTGAAATAGGTGAATTTGAAGTAATGTAAATCATATCGGAAATTTGCTCATGAATATTTTGGTCAATGCTTGATATTTAATTCGTGCTTGACTGTAATGAGTTATTGTGTCACGATGTGCTAATCCAGTCTCGGGATGATTTGTTGAAGCTTGTAAAATGGATATTTGTTTCAGCAAGTCGTATTTGACTCACAGACATAGCTTATCGTTGTTAGCATGCACCGTGCGAAACTCTGAGCGCAAACACGGTCAAACTTTCTGTTATTCACTTTCTGGTGGATTTTACATCAATAATTTCGCGTTTGAAGAGTTCGTGGTGGATGAATATATGGGGCCGGGAGAAACAGTTTAAATCACTGTTTTATAGATATTTGCCTCAAATATTTTAAGGAGATCCTTTGAGGCCCAGTATTTTAGCAAGAAGTAAAATATTCTGAGCAAAGAGTTCGAGCTACTTCATGCATTATGCCCACATGTGGTCCTACGTTCTAACAGAAGCGTGTTTAAATCCTCATTACAGCTAGCCAAGATGAATTTCAACCTGCTGTTTTTGTTAATGTAATAATGTTCTAGATTCCTGATAACACCGTTTTTGAATCAAGGAAGATAGCTTTATATGGCAAACATATTCTTGGACTTGCATGCCTCCCCCCCCCCCCCCCGAGAATTCTAAATTCCTCCTTCTGGATTCTCTATGAGTACATGCAGTCGCTAATCCTCCTACCCAGAGCTTAGCTATAATATAGTCTTTTAGATAATCCGCCCTATAAGAATCAATCCTAAGGATTAAACACATGTACTAATCCTTTTGTATATATAGTTGGAGGTCAAATATAACACACTCAACTACTTAGCTACCTGCACGAGGCCAAGTTTGGTGTGTCTAGAAAATGTATTTTTATATGCCCTAAAGTCAATACGTCTTTGCTGAACTTTAAAGATGGTTTAGTATCCAACTTCGCAAATCATTTATTCCAATTTTTTTAAAGAATTAAAACACACTGACGAACTTCGTGTTCATCTGCTTTTTGACTCGCCGGGATGAAAAGATATAAATAAAACAATATAACCTATATATGTTTATAACGCTTTCTGTAACCCATCAATTGTTAAAATTTGCTCAGACTGCTAAATGTTTAAACTCTTTTTTATAACAACAGGGATTTTTAACTTCGCTTATACAAGATTTTAAACAACTCGCTCTTGGTCAAGAGGTTTGTCAGATCACACATATTATAATTGTTATTTTAACCTAGATTTTTCATCTGCATATGAATTTTTTAAAATGATTGTATTTAATTATATGCGTAAAACATTATTGCTCAATACTAGGCACTTTAAATAATACCAATACTAAAGAAAATTAAAAAAAAATTAAAATATATAAAGTTTAGTTTTTAACTATAAATTTAGTTTAAAACTTTTAAACGAATAAAAACTAAATAAGGAATTATTTTATTTATAAACTGTACGCACATCTTTTACTTCAAATAAGATATAAACCGGAAAGTCGAATAAAGTATTCTGAAGAAAATATTGAACGCTAAAAGCTAACAACGAAAGTTAGTAAGACTAACTTAGTAAAGACTAACTTAGTTCACTCTCTGGTTTAAGGCACCACAACTTGGAATAAAACAAGACTGGACCTATTTGTAAATTGATTTTAAAGTAAACCTAATATTTATAAATGAAATAAATAAAATTTTAAATAAACGATTAAACTTCCTAACGCTTGTTATCTGTTTTGAATTGTCTGAAGTCCGTATGAAATATCTTCACCACTTCGGCCAACACGTCATGAAATAAAGTACAGTATAGTTACACAAGATAAAGTTCCCTGGTGAACTCAATATTTTTCCTAATACTGTTGTGTAACTGCCCTAATACTGTTGTGTAACTTCCTCCCAACCCTGCCATCATCTGTGTGATAATGTTTTTTTTTAATTCCCATGTTGTTTTTGTTTGTTCGCAGTCGTCATGGGTTTGTGTTATTTGCAAGAAAAAACAAGAGTTGCTTCTCAAGACCGGGGGCTGGTTTAGTCCTGGTAACGACCCTGAGGAGGCGAATCCAGCAGAGACAATTGAAAGCCTTCTTCATGACGGCGCTGGTCGTAGGCACTCTCTTCAGGAGAATGGTCCAGTTAGGTTGAACAGCTCACTGGGAAAATCGAACTCTTTCGATCAACATGACAGAGAAAGGGGTGCTTTTACCCCTAGGAGTCCCCGAGGAGCACAAGGTGTACGTAGGTTACCTGTGTCACCCCGCACTAACCCCCAATCATCGAACTATAGCGGGTATAATGGCTATGGTAACACGCGTACTGGTTTCAACGCTAGTCCTCGGCCGAGTCCTCGAACTCATCCGTTAGCCACTCGGCCATCGTTGTCGGACGATGACGTAGAAAGCCCGCCTGGAAGCGAACACGGGGATTTCTCGCGAGACTCTCACGTGGGCGCCACGAAAGCTACAAATAAAAAAGTAAGCTTTCGAGATGGACACGATGAATACAGACCTACGGGATTGCGCGGGAACCGAGCTGAGAATCCGGGAAGAGATGAACTACTGGGGTCTGGGGTGAGTAAATGATCACTTTGCTTACAGTGGTTAGTATACATGTGTCTTTCATCTCTGACTCAGAGGTTTGATTCCTGTAATATGCAGTTGTCTGATTATAATTTCACCTCAGTCACATGTGAGAAGAATGCCTCTAGTTTGACTCTACCAAACACAGTGGTTAGTACATGTGTCTTTCATCTCTGTGACTGAGGTTTGATTCCTGTAATATACAGTGTCTGATTATAATTTCACCTCAGTCACATGTGAGAGGAGTGCTTCTAGTTTGACTCTACCAAACACTGTGGTTAGTACATGTGTCTTTCATCTCTACGACTGAGGTTTGATTCCTGTAATATGCAGTTGTTTGATTATAATTTCACCTCAGTCACATGCGAGAAGAGTGCTTCTAGTTTGACTGGGTTAGTTCACCAACTTAAACCATGTGTCATATTTTCCTAGGCTGGTTCGTCAATACGCTGGTCCAAACCTGACGATGATGGAAAATGTTTAGGCGTGGTTCAACTAAAGCGAAACAAACAGAGATCATTTCAAGACAATGGTATGTTAGAATTGCTAATTTGTTCTTAATCCATACTGAGGCTAAAGCTAAAACTCAGCAATGTCTTCCAGATCCGTACTCCGTTTATGGCTTAAAAGTTGTTGGTGGCAAGATCTCTGATAACGATAAGCCCGGAGCATTCGTGACAGACGTAGACGAAGGGAGTTCTGCTGATGTGGCTGGGTTGATCCCAGGAGATGAGATCGTAGAGTGGAATGAACAATCTCTGGTTGACTGTACCTTTGAAGACGTCTTGGACGCCATTTCTAATTCCCAAGAAAGCCCAGATCTTCACGTGGTTGTTTCAAGACCTAAGTATGACCTTCTTTCTCTATTTTTCTGTACTGGATAACTCTCTCCTAGTCCAGTGTTACTATATCAGGAAACCTAAACTAAACTAACTTTTCTGCCTTATAGAAACAAGGTTCCGTCGCAAGGTCAACTAACTGAAGATACTTCACGCGTAAACATGAAAAGCAACAATCGATTAAAACCAGACATCAATAACCAACCATTTTGGCAAGATTCTTCCATGGGTCCTCAGTCGACAGGCAAAGAAAACCAGAGCCAAGCTTTAAGGGAACAATACAATGTTAGTTGAACAAAGTTTTTGGAGTAGTTTCAATTCTTTACCACAGCAAACTGTGTCCATTGTTTGGTTTTTCACACTTGTCTGTTTTTTTACTTTGGCAGCAAGCGTCAAACCACAATATCAGTGGAAGAATACAGGTTTGCATTATCAGATTCTTGTGATTATTATTAATCGCCTTTTCTCATGATAACGTCAAATGCTAAAAGCCTGAGATTACGCGAAGTTTGATTGGCTCCTGAAAACCAACGAGCCAATCAAACTTCGTGTAACATCAGGCTTTCCGCGTTTGACGTCATTAAAAGACAGGTCTACCGACTGCCAGACAATAGACTTCTTGTTATGAAAATTAACAACAACAAAACCGTATTAAGAATGACCGTGCAAAAGAGAAGTATTTTAAATGTCTCTTCAATAGTTTTCATGACAAGAATTCGTAGCTAGTGTGTCGCTATTCTGGTGAAAAAGACAGGTTTAGATGAAGCTCGTTCTTGGTTGAAACAAAAACTATCGATGTTTTTAGGTCAAGCTGCATTATGATCATGAAGCGGCAAATTTGACCGTCACGATAGTCTGTGCCGAGGGTCTTTCAACGCGTGGAGACACGAACCAACTTCCAAGCCCTTACAGCAAGGTGTACCTACTCCCTGATCGCAGGTAAGACAGGTTGCATCCCCGACATATAAGTTCAAGATCCTTTAGCAAACACAACTCGATGTTCTCTCAAATGTTTGCGATGATTGTGCGACTGCTATGTGGATGTACAAAACTCTTCATGTTTCTAACAGTATGCAAAGCAAACGACGAACAAAAACAATGACAAAATCAGCGTCTCCAAGATGGAGTCAGTCGTTCGTGTATCCCTGTCGACCACAGAAGTTTCATGGTCGGTCCATTGAAATAACCGTGTGGGATTACAAGAAGTCTGGAGAGAGTGAATTCCTTGGAGAGGTAAGTCTCCTGTATTGTGGCATCGCACGAGTATTGCTAAATATAAAAACATGTCTGATTTTTCATTTATTTGCAGGTTCTTATCGATATGGCGAACGCAAGTGTCGATGGTAGCCCAGCATGGTATCCCCTATCTGCCCATGATGACTCGTTAAGTCCCCTAGGACCCCCTACGCCCACACAACCCTCCTCCTCGGGGATTAGTAAACCCAATGACGGTGGAGATGGTAAGCTTAAGATACGTGAAATTTTACTCCACCACTTGTTGAAAAAAATCATAATTCAACTATTCAGGGCCCATGATTTTGGTGAACAACGATCGTGGTTTGTCTGAACAAATGGCGCGTGAAAACGCTGCCAAGCAATATGGCGACCGTCCGGCACAAGATGATGCATCAGGTAATATTATCAAGCTCCAATCCGTCCCTGATGAACTGCCTGAACTAAACTAACTACCCTAACTGTTCTTCCTAGAGATCCAGTAGGAATTATCTCTTATTGATCCAGTGTTACTACAGGAGGAAACCTAAACTAAACTAACTTTATTTATACTGGATAGCTCTATCAGTTCAATACTGTTCTTCCTAGAGGTCCAGTAAGGATCATCTCTTATTGATCCAGTGTTAGTGTTCATTTATACATTTTACGATCTATACCTAGTGTACAGTCCAAGAATGAGTCGCACTAAGCATCACCAGGAGACTCAAAACTCCGGGAGGTTATCGCCGAGTGGGTCTTTAATCTCTGGGCGCTCTTCTCCTGGGGCTAAAAAGTCAAGAACTTTGCCTGGTGTGCCTTCCAGTAACCACCCTTCAGGTAGGGAATTATACTGCACCTTATTGGCTATTTCCTTATCTATACTATCCGGTGAATAGCGCTATCCGTCTTTCATACAACCGGCCCCTGGTTGTAGTATAGACTACATGGTCTTAACTGTTTGTTTATAGAACCGCCCCGTCGTAACAGTGATGGTAACCTTTCGAATGATCGTTCCCAATCTTCGGCGATGAATATTCCAACGCGTGCTAGCAACGCTTCGCATCAGCCTTACGATCAGCTTTCCACGTCTCTTCCGAACGGTCGAGGCTCACACGAACCCAGGCCGAACATGTTACGAGATATGGAAAATAGCAGTGGCTACCTCAAGATAGGCAAACCACACCTGAAAGGGGAACTCGCGGGCGGGCCTCTTAGCGGCAGGTCAAGTCGGTCGTCGTCATTGGCGAGTGATAGAAGCCCGACCGGAAGTGTTGGTAGTATCACGGGCTCAATTACAAGCACAGAGAGCAGGTGGGTCGGGTCCAGGCCCTAGGATGTTCTGACGTTCATGTGGGATTCGCTTGCTAACGTTCTTGTTTCATTTTGTAGTCAATCAGTGTTGCAGGGGAGAAAACAAATCGCTGATCAGAATTTAGAAGATTTTGTCGAAGGGCTGGGACCCGCACAAATGGTTGGAAGGCAGGTTCTAGGTGGGTGTTTCTGGTTTATGTTACTACTCTGTGTTTGAAAGGCCCTCCGTGAAAACATCTGTCGATTATTTTCATTTTGCGAAACGCGATCAAAAAGGTTATTTTTTAATGCTGTTTTGTATATTTTCAGCCTCGCCTTGCATGGGTGATATTCAACTGAGCTTTTATGATCGCAAAGGTGTCTTTGAAGTTGAAGTCATTCGTGCGCGCGGTTTACTTCCGAAGCCTGGATCGAAAATCTTGCCAGGTAAATTACTATATAGTGATTAAACTGTCGTTTTTTGGTTCACTGTTAGTACAGAATGACCTTTAGTATGACTGTTCACTGTTAGTACAAAATGAAACATGCTGAATGGCTCGCTCATCCTAAACTGATCTTTGCTCTCTCATAAAGCGCCGTATGTAAAGGTTTATCTCATGGAAAATGGTAAGTGTTTAGCAAAGAAGAAAACTCGGACTGCAAGACGAACACTGGAGCCACTTTATCAACAACAGCTTGAGTTTCGATGTGAAGTTACGACAAAAACCTTACAGGTAAGAGGAGGATTGATTTTGGTAATCTTAATCCCGATATTAACCCCCCTACCTAATCCAGTCTTCAGGCTGTAATCAGCCTCAATCCTAATGCATAGTCGTAATCCACAAGTAGATTGCAATTCTAATCAATATTTCTCTTGTGAAGGTCATCGTATGGGGTGATTATGGTCGTATGGACCGGAAAGTATTCATGGGCGTGGTCCAAATTCTTCTATCTGACCTTAACCTCAGTAGCATGACCTTTGGATGGTATAAACTCTTTTCGACTGCCTCCATGTGTGAACCACCGATCTTCACACCTCCTACTAGTCCCATGGTATCCCCCAGCCAAGGTTTTACGCGTCAGACATCGTCCTCGTCTATCCATAGCCTTCCCGCACCACACCGCAGTCGACAACCTAACATGCACAAACATTCTTCCTTGAGTCAGCTGGGGAACACGCCGTCGCCACGTGGACAGCCACGTGTAAGTAGGCCAAGAATAGAGATGATTGAGGACGAAGGGGATTATGTGTGATCTCGACGGATTCGGAGTGTTTTGCGGGGTTACACTGTGTCGCTGACGTCAGGATATGCCCATGAGTGTGTATCCAGTTTAGAAATTTGGGGGGATAATCGACTACATTCACAAACGGTAGAACGCTAATTTAAGCCTGTGGAAGAGAATTAGTTTTCACTGTAGTTATGGGGAAGAATTCTAAGATTTTCTGAGCTTTTCTCTTTCAACTCAAAATGGACAGACTCGCTCTTGTCAAGGACAAAATTGTCGGGACTTATTGGTTGTTGTTAAAATAATGTGTTCAGTTTTTAATTGTACGTCCATTCTTGAAATATCGAGAATTTTCTGTGGCAATAGTTTGTAGGTTGACTGCTTTGAGATGATAAGAGTAAGATATGAAATCTAGTTTTTAAAACTGTATCTTCACAGGCCGTGGTAGGGCGGTTATAGCTTAGTATACGTCTGAACAAAATGGCCTTATATACCTGCGGGAAACAGAGGCATGATATCGAGGCTGCAGACACACAAGAAAAGGCTGTTTTATTAAATAACTCGTGTTAACAGACAAGCTTAATCCCAACAACAGCTTTTATTTCTTGCTGTGTCCTCTGTTTTCACGACGAACATAAACTCGATACAATGTATTTTAGCACGCGGTTGGCAGATTTCAAAACATGCATGCTTTAATCTGCGAGGACACGTTCTGTTCGCCTTGTCATGCACAGTTTATGGAGTTGAAATTTCCTAGACGTGCTTGTTTAGATTTGGGTGTTGTATATGGTAGCGATATTTATAGTGTATATTTATATTGTATTCTAAAGCACAGAGATTTAATATATAGATATAGGTTATTTAATGGTAATTAATTGTACGCTTGTGTCATTGCTGTTGTGTGTGAAGAAATGCTTTTTGTTTGGTCTGACTTGGTGATAAGTAGCTATAAAGTATTTGCCATTATTTGATATTGAAAAATCAATCTGGTATCATAAAGTTGAAAAAAATCACTAGACAGTTCTTCAGATTTTAAAATTTCTAATTTTTTTTTACAGTGCAATATTTTACAGAATTTGCTAGACGCATAATTATGTGATAAGAACTGATTCGTTTGATAAACTACAAACTCTGATCTAAATTTGCAAAGCTCATTAATTCAAAGATAAATGTCTGGGACAGCTAAGGTCGGCATATTAGCCGATGTAAATGGGAACATGTACTATACGATTTATAAATAGCGTTTATTCTATTTCTTTTATCAATAATCTAGGAAATCTATAAAATCTAAGGCAAGCATGCATGCAAGAGAGTTTAATATTACTAGTTCATAAACTGCCTTAAATATACACTAAAATTTCTTAACGTTTCCACGTGCAATAGTTTTAGCATGAAGAAAATACTGGGGAATCGTTTCGTTATAACTCTCCCGGCAAAGATGCGCTGGTTTTAATATATATTTAAGGAAATTGATGAACCATTGTCTACAGTTGTGAAGTAAAACATATTTTATGTTCCATTTTTGAATCAATTTTAGGAAGTATGGCCTTAGTTGCGATGCTTGTCCAAAATGCATTCCTGAGATGCCCTAAAATTATTTATTTCCTATTCGTTTTAGGAGGGGTGGGGTGGTACATCATCAATTTGTCCTTGCAGAAGTCTACTACAAAGTTATTCTATGGGGCTGACGAAGGGGGGGGGGTGTGCGGGTGACTGAACCAGCAGTTAAACGCAGTGTCCCAGAGCTCACAACGGCGTGCTTATTCCATTCGGCTGAGACTGGGGCAGATTGTTTGAATTTTGGTCGACTTTTCCTGTTAAATAATATGTTGTCAATGTTCCTTTGCCTTTTATTTTGACTAGACCTCGGTAGATGAAAGTATAACCTTTGTCTTTCAGCATTTCGTAGGTTTTCTCGACAATCTGAAAAGAAAGAAATGTTATTGAGCTTGATACCTGTTCGTTCTTACTTCATTCTCGCTGCAACTGTTGCACAGACTATTTGAACAAAGTAAATATCAGGATATTTCTTCGGATATCTTCACCAATCTCCCGTTTCATTAAATTTTAGGTCTTTTAAGTACTGAAGGAATTGGTGATTTCAAATTTGAATAGATTCTCGAGACTTTTAGCCGCAGTAGAACTCACTTGAATATATCCCCCTTTTCCTGTGCTGTCCATACGACTAGCAACATTCACTGTGTTCCCCCAGATATCGTAATGTGGCTTCTTCGCACCAATAACACCACCAACAACAGGACCACAGTGAAGACCTTTGGAAAGAAATCCAGGCATAAGCAAAAAAACGTAATCAAGTCGTGTGAAAAGTAGACAACTACAAAAACAGCTTGAGAAACATGGAAAAGGTAGAAGGTAATCGCGCCTTGATCCTTTCTAATGCACTCACCAACTCGAAGGACAAAGTCGTTAAAAGATTCCTGGTTGATTTCATTCAAGCGTCCTTTCAGAGCCAAAGCAAAGTCGACTAAATCGACTAGGGGTTTCCATGAGTATTCTTTGCTCTGAACAAAAAAATATTTAGAAAACACACGCTATGGCTGAATCCCGCTCTGGGATGAATGATTTTCCATGTTTAAATTAGGGCATCTTACCTCTTGATCAGTGATAAGCCCCGAGGCTAAACCAGAGGCAGCCATGTACGTACTGCAGATTGTCTTAATCTTTTCCACGTCACCAAATCTTGGATCGTCGAGCAACTGAAATACAAGAGGGTCAATGGTGGCATGTTAATGATATCAGATGATGGTGCTTGTGGTATACATATATCAATCAACGTACCTCATCAAAATCCGAGATGACCTCATTCAAGAATCTCATGCACTCCACACCGCTGTTGTTGATGCTGTCCTCAGAATAGAAATCGTCAAAGTTTGGAATTGACGCAAACATTACACTCACATTGTCGTAGGAATGACTGTACAACTCCTATAAAACAAAACGAAAAAAACTCGCTGTAAACTTTCCTGGTTCATCCCAGAAATTCTGCAGCAAACATAGCGCAGGGGTTTCGAGAAGATCGGCATGTTTGCAAATCAGAATACAGCGTTCGGAAAGACATAAGTTGTTAGTATATACCGTCTCATCTTTCTCCTGATTCTGCATGAAATGAGTAGCAACGTAACTTGGTAATATATTATTGATCAGGGCTTGATTTCTTTCCCTGATACTCTTAATCTTTTGCTTGCTTTCCTCGGCCTAAAATGAATGACATTCAAGTTGTAGAGATCACCATCATTGCTGTATCACCTTTACATGAGAATTGTAAGTTTATCTTGCTGTTAAAATGAATTTTGTCCGACTAAACCGTATTTAACTTTTAAAAATTGAGATATTTCAGCTTGTGTGATATGTATATATTTTTATCGTCCTTTCAATATCACAAAAATCATTTCTAGTTGCATTCAAATTGATTCAATACCTCCAACTTCCACACAAACAATGTTTTCGCTGTCTTCGCAGTCTAAATAAAATTTAAACAAACATCAGTTTTTCATACATGGCGATTAATATGTCGCCTTAATAACTCACGACAAGGATAAGTTTAGTTGTGAAACGATTGAAAATCGCTTGAAGGACGACTGATTAATGCACTAAACTGAAAACTGCTTGACTGATTGCCATCGGTATAAACTATTTGCGCGGTGATCTTATTTCAAACCGTGCAACTAAAATATTTTGCGCACCAACCTGTCGACAATGCATAGTTAAGATCACCATACAAAACGTGATAACAATAGGTCCTGTATATTTGCTTTCAACATGAACGTTTTCACTGAAATAGATATTTATAAACTCAATTTATCTCTGATTTTGTTTTAACAGTGGACAAGATTAAGCTGTAGTCTTCTAGCTAAAAAGACAATTTCAATGCTGTATAACTGAAGTTAGTTTGGTTTATAGAAAACGATCCATACTGGGACTCGGAGAATCTTTGGACAAAATGAAATTACAACATAAGTTTAGTTGAATCATAGTTTTACCAACCTTCCGTGCAGGTATTTATCAAAGTTTTCGTACATTTCCGGCACAGCAACGGTTATCATTAACCAGTAGAGCATTGTGGTTAATAACATAAGAGCAAATTTGAGGAAGAAACTAAGTTGAACCATTAGACCGATGCCAAGAAGAACAAGGATAGCGATATAACTAAAATACTAAAACAAACAAGAGTTGTTTCTGAGCTGGTTGATGATTGATCAAAAGCCATGCAGTTAACATAACCTTGGGTAAACGCTGATCCATGCACAAATCAAATTTTCAAATGCTCTGCGACAAATGGCGAGATTGAAAGAAAACATTGACTTACCATTGGGTAGAAGCAAGCTTCATGTCCAGGATCAAAATCAGTGATATTTAATTTGGTCAATCCTTCGTCACACGCAGCCTGGAAATGAGATGATACAACTGTATTTATATCACATGCAAGGATATAGCTCCATCAGTTCTTAACTATTCTTCCTATAGAGGTCCAGTAAGGTGAATCTCTTATCGATCCAGGATTTTAAAGAGAATCTCTGACACTTTCACGCCTCAATAACTGACCTCAGCTATCTGCTGAACGTACCATGTCAATTGAAGTAGAAAAAACTAACAAAAGAACGGCGAGGATCCCTAGAAAAGTTCTTGCAAATTTGTTCCTCTCCAGGTAGCGTGAAAAATCAACCAGAGCGTCCGGGAGATACTGAAAGATGGAGAGTTCAATGAATACTCGAATATCATGAATACTTCACTAAGAAAACTATCTTTTAACTGGATTTACAATGAATTATTTACCTTGTCGACCCGAAAGGCCACAGTGACAAAAATAAAGGAGAGTATGACAAAAAATACGACGGGAAATGAAACGTTTTGATGTACGGATCTATAAATAAACCAAAAAAATTCGAGTTTTAACTTCGCAACCTGGTGTCGTTCATATGATGCGTTTCATCTTGTACAATACCTTGGAAGGATTGTGATCTCGACAAGAAATGAAAACACAAGAACAAGGCAAATGGCGGCGAATGATACAGCACAGCCACTTTTTGTTTGCGCAGAATACTAAAAAATGTTGGTCAAAATATTCACGTTTAGTATATTTTGAGAAGATCATTGTCTATAGATAATGTCTGGACGTTTTCACCTTCTGTTCATTCTCAGGGTCGACAAATTTTAATGTAAACGGATTCACTTTTCCAGAGGTTCTAAAAAGAATGAAGATGACCTTGGTTAGACGTTATATTTAACTATTCCTTCAAAAAATGTATTTTCTAATATCCTGAGCAAATTGTAAGTTTTGCTCTTTGGCTTAAATTCGTTTAGATATAACTAAACGATGCCTCAAGCAAGACTCTTAAGGCCGTTTTCCACTTCAACCGTATCGTAACGAAACGTAGCGTATCTCATTGTTTTAAAGTCATTAGCTCTGGTCGAATACTTCGGAAACAAAGAAATACGCTACGTTGCACTACGATACGGTTGAACTGGAAAACAGACCTTAAAATAACAGTGGATTGCCTTTCGGAATTTGCCATTTATATACTGACGTTGTCTAGGGTCCTCACTGCCATTGTTTTAACTCCGCCTTGTAAAATATTTATGCAAATTTGGCCGGCCTCGCTCCTTGACAAAGAGCCGGGCAAGAACCACATGCTTTCACATGCAGACAGCTTTTAAATTTTATGGATTTCACCGGCAAAAACCACTAAAAAAGCAACCAGTTGAATGAAAGATAAACGTCGAAAGAACTGGACTTTATTTGAGAAGTTGTTTAAACATGAACGAGCCTTTTTATACTTGTGGATTTCAAGGCATGGTTGAACAAACAATCAAACTTGTATGGTATGTACTTCTGTTGTCGTGTGTTTAGGTTTATATAAACTAAATATAGTTGTATGGCTACTCTTTGACCACAAATTTAGTGCATATGTGCACAATTAACGCCGTAAAGTGCATGGTTGATAGTTTTACGCCTTACTTAGTAACCTATATATTCCTTATAAAATTGTATTACCAGTTTAAATGTGAACGCACTACAATTCTTTAAGTTGGCGCCAGCTTCACTCTTGCTAACTGGTTTAGTAATTGACCATTTCGAACCATTTCGAACGCGTTGGTAAAGTTAGTTTTCAAGCAAATACAAGCATTTCAAATGGTAGAACATTAAGTGTGTCTTCAGTTAAGGCATTGCCGGTGACTAGAGTTAGTCATATAAGAACTGCACCTTGACAATTGGCCAGACTCGTGTACAATTTGCACGAAAAAGCAAGTGATTTATACGTCTTTAGTGTTACCTTTCACTCTCTTCTAAAGCTCGTCCGAGATCGCTCATTAAACGTTGCTCATCTCCTATTCTGTCGTCATTAATCTCGCTCTTTTCAAAGCTATCCTCCTATACGAGAAAAAAAAACAAAGAAGCCTTGAGTTAACCAAAAGTTAACCAAATAAGATAGCGCTTCAAATAAAGTAACTCTGCTGGACACGTTTCCGCACCACAAGTAAATATGAACAGTACATGTTTTTACTCTTCTTGGAAGACTTGGATCACTTAATCCTTGTATATAACCAAAGGTGTTTTTGAGTGGAATATATTTCTCAAACATGGACTTAAAGGCTATGTGCTCACGGTAACGTTTTCCAGCGTTTTCACATTCCTTTTCATGCCAAAACGGTTTCAAACATTGTCAATTTACAATGCTAATTTAGCATATTGAGCTGATTTTTCCTTGGATCGTGTGGTCTAAGCAATAAAATAGACAAAAACGAACTTGAAGACGCTAGAAAACGACGCTCGTGCGCACATAGCCAAAGTTATCTAAAATACAAACAGACACTATTCATTAACTTACGGTTTTCTCAGGCATGGAAATCTCGACATGATTTCGTGGTGTTCCATTTCCTTCGCCGTTTTCTTTTCCCTTAAGCGCTTTTCTCGCAGAAGCTCCGAGTAAGCTGACGATTGGTGAAGACGTCCGTCGCTTGGCCTCGCATTCTGGCATGACCAGTAGTGGGACAGTTTCCCACTTCTCCTGGAATAGATCATGGTTATATAAAATGTCTGTGATTATAACGGTGATCATTATGATGATGGGGGTGATGTAGGGTGATATGATGATATTTGGGAAAGACTGAGGAGTGACGAAGCACTGAAACATACCTTGGCTTTTGATTTTATTTTTCCAACAATGAGATAGGTCTTAATGCCAGATTCCTTGATGTATTCATTTCGTATATCTCCGTTGCCATCTTCAACTTCGTAGAGATCTCGGACTCTTTCGTACGTTGTCGCCGATATGTGAACACGCCTTTAAATCGTAAGAATATTAGAGCGGAAGTTCAGAAAGAACTAGATTATACCTGTCTTGATAGCTCTCTTAATTTCAAGAAAGCGTAGAGTTCTAGGTAGAGTTAGTGCTAGCCTAATCATAATCAGTATTCGTACCCAGGTATGCCGCCCGACTCCATTTTATTAGCAAGTGTGACGTCATTTGACCAAGCGTCGAATTGCCATTTTCTCTGCCCAAGGACCCCTGCTAACACGGCTCCTGTGTGGATGCCAACGCGCATGTCCAGACTGCTCACACCTGTTTGATGGCGTACTTTCCTGAAAGACACACGAAGGAAAATACCTCAGGTTTTTCTGAGTTCAACAAAGCACGACACGAGAATGACGTGATGACGTGATCACGTGCGACTTACGTGATATGATTCACCATTCCAAGGCCCATGTTTACCGCTGACGCAGCATGACTGTCGTCTCCTTTCTCTCTCTCGCTTGCATCCAGGCCAGCGATGCAGTAGTAACAGTCCCCAAGGATTTTGATTCGTTGGCACTTGTGTTTCTATAAGAAAATTTATGTTAGTAACTACAAGAGGAAAGCTAAACTGAACTAGCTTAATCAAGGTGTCTTAGCTCTATCAATTCTAAACTGTTCTTCCCATGCCAGAAGTCCAGTAAAGATCATCTCTTATTGATCCAGTGTTACTACAGGAGGAAACCTAAACTGAACTAACTTTATTTATACTGGATAACTCTCAGTTCTAAACTGTTCTTCCTAGAAGTCCAGTAAGGATCATCTCTTATTGATCCAGTGTTACTACAGGAGGAAACCTAAACTAAACTAACTTCATTTATACTGGATAGCTCTATCAGTTCTAAACTGTTCTTCCTAGAGGTCCAGTAAGGATCATCTCTGTGTTAATTCAAGGGAAACTAAACTACCAACCCTCTAGCCAAAGCAAATAAGGCTTTTAAAGGTGGTAATTACCGATGCTAGCTTGTCGAATATCGCGAATAATTGGTTCAAAGTCACTATAAGTTCTTCGGCTGAACATGTTGAGGAGAGTTCGGTGAAACCAACGATATCAGCGTACAATATACTGCAAGAGATAGATAGCTATGAGAAGCTAAAACCAACACATAATGTAGGAGAATAAACCGCATCTTTTTGAAGTGGACAAGCCTGGACTGAATTTACATTTCTCGTTTGAGGTATCCGTTTTCTTACCTACAGCACTCTACTCGTTCTATGTATATCTTGTTAAAATTTCCATTTTTTAATATTGTTCCATCCGATTGCATATCATCCTGCAATTCTTTTGATACGTGACTTGGTAGAACGGAGAGAAGCAAACGATTCTAGAGAAAGATAGAGCTCTCGAGATATGTAAAAGTCACTGTGAGTTATTTACGTATACGCACGTTCAACATGGAGGTAATTTGGTGCGAGGTCCTAGGCCTACAGAAGAGCGCAGGAATAAGGCATGGATAACACAATACCCTTAGGATTTTCTAAGAGAATAGTCTAGATTGGTCTGAGAGAATTGCAATAGAATTCTGCGTTTTCCTATCAAACCACCTGCAAATAATTTGATGGCAGAACCAATGAAGATTGTTTTATATTGGCTTTGGAAAAGTTCGGTCAACGGATATTGGCTGCGAAGTTTGATTGGCTCGTTAGCTTTGCGGAGAACCAATGGTATGCCTCCTTAGGAGTTCGAATAGTACCTGTTTTTGGTGTTGAACCTCCAGTTTAATCCTGACTTGCAATGAGTTCAGTGTTTCACTAAATGCCTGACGCTGACGTCTGTCTGCCAGAAGGAAGTCGATTATTCCCATTAACGATGCACACAGGAAAAGAAGGATGTTAGCTGCGATCTTCGGAAATAATGATAGAAAAAACAATTGCTTAGTTTCGAACTGATGTATTAATTATCTCGCATGCAATTGGCGTGGGATTGCTAATCTATTGAAGGAGTGAAGCTGTAGAGTTTTGGGTCATCATTTCAACAAAGATTAGCTGCATGATTGCGTCACTAAGACGGCAATGATATTAGTACTGCGGGGAAAACAATCTTATCTTTTTTGCAATTAAATTGCATGCCATTATATGTGCATGGAACGACTTTTGAAAACTAATAAAGTTGATCAAAATCACCGCTATCAATAGCGACATGACGTCACGGTGACGTAATTTAAAATTGTTTTCAAACTGTTTTGAAAGCTTGTAGCACGATAAAACAAACTGTAGCAGCAGTATCAATGATTACCACGTTAGAGCTCCTCCCCTAGTCCCTCTGGCGAATACTTGAGGCCGTTTTCGTCATTCTCGTAATTGTGAATACTCACAATAGAGTTGTTTATAGTGTAATCTCCTTTGTATTAATTGGGATGAAGTAATACATATTTCTGAGGCAACTAAAATAATCTATCTTAGAAGACAGCTTCAGAGACTCGTCGAGCATGCATTGGCACTGAAAAACATCACAATTTGTTTTATATTATTTCATTTATTTGGTTGTCCGGAGATACCTTCGCCTAATTCGGATTTGTATTAGAGTGTTTCCGGGCCAAGTTTTTTCGTGATTGCGTAGGAACACAAACACAAAACAATCCACATGAAAAAAAAACTTGACTGTCTCTCATAACCTCTCAGACTGAGTGGCGCTGAGGTGATTGTTAGCATCCATATATTCAACGTTGTTAATATTTTGTGAACATTGTGGACACTCCTTCCTAAAAAGTCGCCTGTTGTATGAATGTATGGATATATGTTCCCGTGATATCCCAGGTTACCACGAATGCAAATCCAATCAAACTTTCTAAACGAGTTTCCGAAGACTTGAATACTTTACTCAAGCCATTCTTCATAATATTTTTGTTCCTGCATGTGTATACATTAAATATACATCGACAAAAACAGTGCAGAAAATATAACCCAAGGCATAGAATCAATTGTTGAAAGGCCGGCTCCGGGGCTCCGGGTCTGCCTCTCACCCTCAGCCCACCCTAATCTCCCCCACCACAACCTGCAATGGATGGATGGGCCTAAAAAAGTTATCACATGATAAATTAATAAACATAGATAATTTGTATGTAAAGGTAGTTATCGCAAAGTCTGATCAGATATGACAGTTTGAATTATTGGTTTTACGCATGATTATTAAAGACCATGCAGGTTTTTCAACAGCAACGCTCAAATACAATGGTAGTATGGGGCGTTGCGTAATCAGTGATGGAAATGATTAGAATCACTTGCGTGTAGGAGGGATTAAACTATGTATGCATTGCCTCGTGACTGCTCATAAAATCATATATAGCGACTTTTTGCAACTTGCGATTATGTAATTGTAATTAACTGCGCAGTTGGATCACTGCCGACGTCGTAATCGATTGCATCATTGCGGACGAGGGGGATAAGATTTGATGTGGTTCAGAGGAAAATCACGCGCTCATGAATTGTTTGCGAAGGAATGATTTCGTGTTCATATATCTATATGCATGTGAGGCAATGTTTTGCTGGTAATTTTAAAAATTATTTATGCGAAATACCATCGTAAAACATGGAATGCCAATCAAGTAAACAAGAATGGTATCAAGAAGAGATTTTTCTTCACAACACAACTGAAATAAATCTACGTAAAACATTTGTTATTTTTCAAGTATTTGTGCAACTTTTATACGCTTGTTTAAAGACCTTTCACCTGATCCAATTTTGCCGAATCCAATTTACATTTGACGATAAGACAGCCGCGGTACTGCATTCACTTTAGTTGATTTTCTGCCCATATATACATTGCTATAAAACATCCATCACAAGTATAATATACAAAACTATAAAACATCCATCACAATTGAATTGGATCCGAACAGACTTCAAAGTTAATTTGTCTTATAAACTTTGTTGAGGATTTGCGAGCATTCAGTTTATTAACCGTTTATTTTTTACACTGAAACAGCTTGCACTCGACCTCATATTTTGGCCTGGAGGCACGTTATTATAAAAGATAGATTAAACCGAAGTATGTCACAGATAAAGCAGAAAATAAAAAAACACTGTTCTTTGTATAGGAGATTAAGTTGCACTAGTAAATCTAAAAATCGTTATACTTATTGCTAAAGATGCGCTTTAAGCCTATAATCTCCAGAATGAATCAGCAATTTTAACTCCAAAATCTTTTCCCAAAAATGAAAGCATAATTGTGTTTTTTTAGCCACTTTGTCTGAAGAGTTAAGATGTGAGTGTAATTTTGCCGCGACACGCGATGTTTTGAGACAACTTAATGAGGAATACTTTTGTCAATATATATAGGCTACGCGAGTATTGTTCATCCTGTAAATCATATAATCTCCTTGACTGAGTATCGGAGACGTTTTTTAGGCCTATTAAAACTCCCTCGTTTTATACAATAATTTAAAATCCCTGCTTGAAGAGCAAGCAGGCTTGATCTTTAAAAGTAAAAATAAAAAAAACCCTCAAATTTTGTTTAGATTAGACAGCCAAATTTCAAACCAAAGCATGATATTTCAGAAACACTTTATGCATGAACCGCCATGCATCGATGCGATTTGAGGTGATGTGAAAAACTCTGATGTTATAATGTATAATATATGTGTGTACAGGCCTAGAATTAGGGATTTACTAATGTTCCTTCTAATCCATTAAACACACCTGCTGTTTGGATCACCGAAGGTGTTATGAAAAAGATGATTTTATCAGCGTATATTATATTTGAAAGTTTTTTTCTCCCTCAGTTTTATATAATATTCATTATTTATACCATGCATAGCCAGCGCGTTTAAACGCGACGTTCCTATCATATTCTCACCATCTGCTGCAACGGAGTGCTTTGTCCGAAGGATTGGACGAAGGATTGCTTAGACTTCAACAATACCACGATACAACTGAAGCTGCGTTCTAGCACACCTTATTCTAAACCTATTTTGCATTGAACTTATCCTAACCTGCAGTTTAAGCATTGGTTGCCATAGACACCGCGAACAATATGTTGTTATATCCTTACATCAACTAACGTTCCCGCATAAAATTTTTCATTTCAGCTAAGAGACAGCATCTTCTAAACTAAACTTAAAGAGATGTAACCACTTTCAAATTGCAAATCTCGATTATACAATAAACCAACTTTATACTGGATAGCTCTATCAGTTGTAAACTGTTCTTCCTAGAGGTCCAGTAAGAATCATCTCTTATTGATCCAGTGTTACTACAGCAGGAAACCTAAACTATATAAACTAACTTTATTTATACTGGATAGCCGCTCTATATCAGTTCTAAATTGTTCTTCCTAGAGGTCTAGTAAGAAACAATGATTTTCATGCATTGATATATAATTGTTATTTGGTCATGAAGCGGAAAATTTGAAGAGGAGATGAAGAGAAAAATTTCATAACAGCTAAAAAAAAGGCGACTTCCATATGCAATAATTGTAGCTAAGGTTCAATATATTACACCTAAGCCTTCGTAATCTATACCCAATAACAATAGCATAAGGATTAACATTGTCAAAACAATCTTTCTACAAACATTACTAAAATACAACACAGGGGAATATATCTCACAATATCCTCAAACACGTCAGAATCACAGGCTGAAATGACATCTCACCCCCAGCCCCTATGCTTAAAATAATTCGGGGTATCTTGATATATAGGTGTGGTGTAAAGTTTCAATTTAAGACGACAGCTCGAAACATTTAATTTGTGTCTGGACATTTGCGAATAGTTCAGGGTTAAACAGCGCAAACGAATATGATAATTATGTCTTTAATTTCAAACATGCAAGTGGGATCGTCTATAGTTTGGTATATATAGTCCAAAAATGGGAAATATAATCGCGCAAAAAAAACTAGCGTATCTCAGTTGCAAATGACTGTGTGTCCCGACTATAGAAAAATAGCATTGAGATGACTTGACAGCTTGGAGTGCAGCTGTTTTGCGATATTAAATGTTGACACGGATGGATATAGCCGTGTTTTTATGCTGTTATGCCATCGTATATGTCATATATATACGCCAAAAAATTGAGAGAAAGGCTTTGTATATATGTTCGTCTGTCGAAAAGGGTGGTATTTTTTGACAGGAAAAGACAGATTTAGGAAACGACGTTGATAAAATAAACATAGTCTTCGTTGAAAACCGAGAATTTAAAGTATAAACTCTGCTTTTCTCATCTAAAATTGTATTCGTTGCTATTTTTGTGCCAAGTTTAATGACAACTTTTTTCGCTCGGTTTAAATTATATCCATCAAACAAACCATGCTCGGCTCAGTGCTTTGTATTTGACTATTAGTTGTCTAACAGTCCCTATTTTCTAAACCACTCATTCACTCATGTAAGCTCTCTGTCAATAACATTATGCAAGGCTCACTAGTTGAAGACAATCACTGGCCAAGGTAATCATCAATTTTATTCCGTTTTTGAGCCGTATCTAAATATAATATAAACTGAACAGGTCAACGAATCGCCTGCATTTTTGTTCTCAAAACCATGTAAACTCTTAAAAAGTGTCAAAATCCACATGAGGCCGACTTTATTAAGTTCAGTTGGGGTTATGTAAAGTAGAAACGAATGCGCGTAGATCCAAATGACTGAATTATGAAGTTTACTTAAGACTGTATGTCTGAACCAGAACCGTAAATTCGTCTCGATTCACGCTCTGTCCGCATGCAGATCATATATATATAGCGAGGGAGTTTGAACCCATGCAGTAACCCAGGGAAAATTGTGTACAATTTCTCATTTGTTTTGTCCTTTCTTTCATGTGCATGCATGTATGTGAGCCGTTGATGTACAATTGAAAATTCGCAATAAATACCACTGTCATTCGGTCAAGAAACGGCTAGGAATTGAACAAGACATGGAGACATATCATGTATTTAGTCCTAGAATGCGCCCTGTGTTAGCTGAGGGTATAGTAGTACATATACGTATAGCATAAACACAACAGATAAAATGGAAGTCATGATCTAACCTGGTTGGTGGAATAATCTTTGAGCTTCGTGCTAGAGGTGCCCACGATGATCGAATGAGCAATGGCCAATATTGTCACCCAAAAAATGCAGAATCGTAGTCGCATTGGAAGCAGAATAAAAGCCAGAAATGATAAGAACGTGATCGTCCCCACAAGATCACTTGGAATGAGCGGGTCTTCGCCCAATCCTAGGATTAATATCGCCTCTAACGCGGCAGAAAGCCAGACGAACATTGATCCGTTGTATCCTGGTGAACAACGTCTGAAACACGCTGCAAATAAGCAGGAAAATACGACAAAGAAGACTCCGCTTATAATGATTACTCTAGTTCGTTCTTTGTCCATTTCTAGTCCGGAAAATGCGTGAATAAAAATAAGGATAACGTTCACAACAACGGCTGATAAGGCACAGAAAAGGTTGCTCTTCACTCGCTCTCTCTTGTTACTTCTTTGGTAAATTTTCTCGAGTTTTGGCGATGTAAACGTGAGTCGTATTGATTCGGAGAAACAGGGGCAGGATAGCCGTGGCTGGGCGACATTGTTTCCAGATTGTGAAAACTCATCTTGACTTTGTCGCTCTCGACGCTCCGCTATGGAGCTGAAAGCTCGGTCTTCCTCCAACGGCTCAATTTTGTTCGGAGGACTTTCAACACGCATCTAAACTCCCTGTTCCTTTCCACCTTATACCAAGAGCGCGAATTTCAATCGTTTTCTTCCCAGATCGTGTTGCTACATTCTCCCATAACGACAAGTATTGTAGACACACACGGACACACACAACAAAGCTTATTGAAAATAGCTTAAAATGAAAGCACCACTGCTTTAGACAATGAAACAAATGGCCTTTGAGTCGTCAGGATCGTTTCGATTCGGTCTTTTGGCGATGAAAAACGAACGGTGACCCCCAACGCCAATGTTATTTTGATCACTTTGAAAGCGAAATGATGGAGTCTTTCATCTTAGAGATAAATATTTTGTTCAAAAGCGAATTTCACAGCTGCCTGTAAGTCAAATGAGGCTCTTAACATAAATTCTAACTGGTCGGCAACGAATTAAAATTTATTAGCGTTTGCGACGAAATTAGAATTTTAAATTATACATGTATTTGAGCAAAACAAACTGAAACCCAGCACAGGCCAAGTGCTCTTTCAAAAACCAAGGAATCATTGTTTTTTTCCGCGGCAAGGGGTCTGAAATTAAATGCAGCGTTAAACGAACCGGTGAAAAGGTAGTTTTTGCGATGAGGAAGAGCAAGGTATATATACGATTCATCCTGTTCTGTGAATTCAATGTCTTAATGACGAGTGTTATTACTTTCGAGGTAGCTATGGTAACAAGGTGCGAAACTAGATTTTCATCTATAAAAGGTTGCAGATGGGATGGGCCCTTGTACCGGAAGAAACAAATTGCGTAGGGAAATTTTCAAGCTATAAATAACAAAAGTTTACACTCTCGAGAGTTGTTTTCAATAAACGTGTTGAGAGGCAACCGTAGTTTTCTATCTGGAATTGTCACATATAACAAGACGTTCCGGCGAAAACACTGTGTCCTTTTATGACGAGCGTTCGAACATGTTCTCGTACATTATTACTAACACAAAAGCTAATTTGTTCGGCATAATCAGTGTAACGTTATATATTCAAATTACACAGATGTTGCTTTCATTTCAATTCTATAGACGATAACGAGGTAATGACTGTTTTTTATTATGAGAATGAAAACTTTTCAATTTTTACATAACATTAGAACAGCACCGTAACCTTCACGACCGGTAAAAATGAAGTCTGGAAAACATGTACAATTTGATATATGCGTTCCATGTGTATGAAGGTTAATGGTTTTTATTATTTCATAAAACACAAATTAAATTACAGACTATGTACAAGATCGATGTTGTTAAGAATCTTTGGTAGCTTAATGATATGTTAAAAGTGCTTTTCAAACGACAAAGTGATGAAGCTAGCATACACAATGCATACAAAGTTGTTGAATTGTGCCTGAACAACCAGCAAAATATAAGATAGCCGAAGACACAGACCTCCTTTCTATGCGAATGCAAAACATACATCTTGTTAAACTGCCAAGCTTTAGGCGACAAAGGATGTTTTTTGAAAATAATTACGTTACTAAGACAACAACGCCTGGGCAATATGGCGAGCGCAAAACTTGTTAATGCTCATGACCGTCTCTATTCTATATCCTCTTGTCTGCCTTGATCGATGAACTTTGTGAGGTGTTCCACCATTCCCTAAAACGAAATTGTACTGATTTGGTTAAGTTTGTGTTGTAACAATACAAAAGCAAATGATCAATCATTGGATCTTCCTATAGAGGTCCATCAAGGATCATTTCTTATTAATCCATGCAGTGTTACTACAGGAGGAAAGCTAAACTAAACTAACTTTATTTATACTGGATAGCTCTATCAGTTCTAAACTGTTCTTCCTGGAGGTCCAGTAAGGATCATCTCTTATTGATCCAGTGTTATAACGGGGTAATAATAGTCTCCAACAGAGCAAAGGTGGTCGTTGATTATAATTTTTATAAAATTTAATAGCTATTTATAGATAGTTGTAAAAAGTACCTGACACTCTATGCAGGTATCTCTATAGAAGTCCATCTGCCTCTCATCTTTGTTGTAAAGCCGACAACTCTCGCCTTAGACTAAAAATTAATAAGACTGGGTAGTTTTAATAGTTTGAAAGACACATTTTGACTGTGTTCAAATGCCCTGAAAAGGATATCTCAAACGTGGTGGTCCAGTGTAGGTAGTACCGTAGTAGTACTCTAGTAATCTACAATTATAAGCGTCATGCAGTTGAGGTAAAAAAGTACTCGACAATGAGCCATATTTAGAAATATCAGTAGATTTCGGAGATTGGCGCGCGTTTTTCCTTTTTAAATCCATTTTTTCATCACACTTATCTACTTCTATGATTAGTTTCTATATGCATAAAATATTGTTTGGTATTTTAAGAATATTGATTTAGAATATCTTTTTTTTGTAAAGAACTCCCAATCAAATTCATGCAACAATTCCAAAATTCAAGAAATCTTACGATGTGCAACGAGCATTTCTTTATCCAAGCATAATTTTTGCTCGAGCAATTGACTGAAGCTTAGATAACAGAACTTTAAAATGCAGTGTCCTAAAAATAGATTGCCTGAGCATAGAGATAACTACGTACATATCTATTTGATCGTTGTAAAATGTCTCCTGTTCACGTATCACCCATTTCCTGACATCTTGGATGGAATACTACATGCATGCAGGGAAGAAGAAAGAAAACATCATTTTGATTAAAGTAAATCATTCCTTGTCTTTTAGATAAGATTTGCTCATTTCAACAGCAAAAACAGAAATGCAATACCTCGCTGTTCACGTTCCCACAACGAAAATAGCATCTATAGGTAAGAAAAAGATCGATTGAGAAAATCAGAATTGAGAAAGTGTTTATAGTTTACTTGAGTCAATTGCCTAAACCGGATGAATTACCTCCTTTTGTTTGTGGTGTAAACTCTTCCTGAACACACGCTGAATGCGACTTCAATAACAAAAACATCAGGAATGATCTCGATGCTTCTCCTAAAATCACCGACAATTAAAAAGAAATTACGTGCAAATCATAATATCTGTACAATACGATGTAAGAACAAATGGATACAAATGTACATGATGTTATTTAGCACAAGTGCTCTTGGGCAAAAATAAACATTTCAAGTAATACCTTATTTCATGGCCACTTCCCTCCTCAGCAACGGGAACAAAGTTTACCTGAAAATGTTTGAATATTCAGAATTCCAATCGAAAGCTCTCGAAATCTTATTTTCAGAGGCCCGGTAAAGACCATCTGTTGATGATCCAGTATATTACTACGGAAGGAAACCTAAACTAAACTATTTTATTCGAAAAAAAACACATTTCTATAGGAAATTACCTGATATTTATCGTATCTCACGGCAGGTTGAAATTCACCCATTATTTCATCAACACCACAACGCAGGCGATCTCTCTAAAAAAACATGGGAGAAAAAGAAATATATCTATCAGGGGATCTTTCGTTTCTTAAGCAATCTTCTCCAGATGTCTGGTAAGTAGGGATGAGATTATTTGTGTGACTCCTATATACGAGACTAGCGTTATGATAAAAAAGCATGAAAATATAGCTCTAGTCATGCAGAAATGCTACAATTTCACTCACTTGTTTTCGCGAAACCTCCACTCCATAAACGAGACCTGTTTTCTTTACTCCGAGGTAAACCGTTCCTCCCCTTCCGGCGTTCAAAAACGCACACGCTGCCCTGAAATCACATTTGGTTAAACAAAAACGTACCGTACCATAAAGTGATAATATTCTCATGCTCGATGATACAAAACAATAATACAATATACATACAATAACACAAAACATGACCGGTTTATTTCAGTCTAAAACTAGGTCAATTTTTACAATGTCTACCTCGCTATAAATCCTGACGAAAGACCAGCAGCTTGCTTGCAGTACCTGTACACAAAATACAACGATCAGAGTAGATCTTTTTTGTGGAAATTCGCAATAACTTCTCGTGAACGACTTAGATATTTACCTGAATTCATGCGTTTCATCCTCAATAAAAGGCATCGCTTGGCCTCGAACATAAAAGCTTTCAACTTCTTCACAAGACTACAGAAAAAAGATGAACATAATCTTTTGATCGAGAGACATTATGGTTACTGATTTTTTATGGTATTTCTTAGTCAAAAAAAGAAATCCAGGCATTCGTCATTGAGATGATCGAGTGACCAGACCTCGTTATGGTTTTCATAGGGCGATGTGGGCGAAGGACATAATAATCTTTCTTCCCCATCAGTATCACCGTCGGTGCATTCGTCTTGACTTTGGCTGCTTTCTGCATCGTGATTGGGTGATGCCTTGATCACGTGAGATGGAAGCGCTTTCTCTATTGGCTGTGGTTCTACTTCGCCTGGTCGAAGTTGTTTATTTCTGTTAAGATACATGCAGTAACTTCTTACAAATCACCTCGGAACTGTTCTCCCTTTTAAGAGGTCCAGTAAAGATACCCAGGTTAAGTTATATTTGTAATTCTCTATCAGTACCTTCGTTTTACTGAGGCTAGTCTTTTCGGAGCCAAAACAGATGAAAGAGACAGAGGATTCTGAAGAAAGCAAGGGATTGTTTTAGTTCACCATTGCACCTTGTCGTTCAGAGCTAAAACGTCAAACTTCAGACATAATCTAACCGTCCTATTTTCATCGAGAACGCTACGAAGATCGGTGCCGTCTCCCGCAAACAAATACCTGGGAATAATTTGAAAATGACATAACAAGTCAGCACGAAAGATAGTCCACGTTCAGTTAATCCGAAATACACAAGGTTAGGATTAGGGTAAGATTAAAAATGAGGGAATAAGGGTTTAATAATTGCAATGAAGAACCCTGATCCTTATTGAAAAAAAGAAAAGGAACTAAATAAATGTATTTTACCATGAATTTCCAACGAGGTTTTTTAGAGCCCCTAAACATTGCTGTTTCAAGTTGTCATTTGTAGAAGTAAAATAAGCTTTTATTAAAATAAGCAATCCGTCTGAATCAGCGCAACGACCTCTGTTGATAGGCGAATCCAGCACGAGATTTCGAAGAGCTCCGACAGCGAGATCCAACAACTCCGTATCTTGCTTGAAGTCGTTTGCAATCAAAACTAAGAAGAAAAATATTCACAATCTTAACTTTTAAGTAAAAGACTGGTAAAAAACTTCATTTGTCAGAGAATTTGTGTTCATATATGATGTATATCAACCCGCCATGATATGGTGTTTTAATTTGCAGCTCGTAGGAACATTTCGTATAACTGACATGACTATCTGTCTCGTCAATCCTTACCTAACAATATTTTAATTCCACCGAGAAAGCCGATCCTTGCTCGTGTTTTAAAACTAATACTCAAGTTCAGTATAGCTCCAATCGCTTGTCTCCGAATAGCTTTCTCTGGCACAGCAATAAGCTGAAACAACAATACGGAAACCAGTAAAAACATAAACACTGAACTCAGTTTAGAGCAAAATTTATAGATGTAAACCGTATTTAAACTCATATTCACAAAATTGAAAAAGTGATCATCACCTTCAGCAGAACATCAACACCATTTTTAGCCAAAATTTGCAGACGACTGGCGTTGCTTACGTACGCAAGGTTTTTAAGAGCGGCTGAAGTGAAAGAATTAGTTGATAAATGGACATTTTTAGCTCCGATAAACAGGTAATGAACAAGCCTGTGGTTCTAGTCAATGCATAACCGTCTTACCTGTCGCGTTTACCAACAAACCGACATTAGATGACGGGGGTTGAACTCCATCCAAACAGCACAAGCGAGCCTAAATTTTTGGTTAAAAAACCGGGAGATTTTGAGCTTTACCGAGGTGGTTTTTGGTAGTACGTGTTTGAAATAACTAGAGGCAGAGATTTTATCAATGTGGTATAACACTGTCTATAATACAGTAGTTAAATAGTCAAAATCCATCAAAGGCAAAATGAAGACGTCCTTTTACCTGGAATGGCTCCTTCCTACCGAGATGGGTCATACGAGTAATGCAGTCCAATGAAGCAACATTTTTGAAACCATAGTCAACGGCAAACAATTCCAACATGATAATGATGATATCAACGTCGGTTGTTAAAACTTGTAAAACTCTGGCGCGGTAAATATCTCGATGACCCCCAACCATTGTCTTACAGCAGACTAGATCGCCTACTTCCGGGGCGGTTGTAAATTTGGTCTGAACCTTGGGTGAGAAATACAATACTGTACATTTACATTACACCACCACCTTTGAGATATCATTTTTACACAGGTACAAACTACGGTAACCTATGAAGAATTCACCAGCTAGCCTGGATGATAGCCTACATGCAGTGGACATAATCTTTTGACAAAGACATGCCTCGTTCTGAAGAGTAAGTTTGATCGCCCTAAGTTTCTCATCGACGATTTCCCCTCCAACGTGAGCCCAAAAGTGCCCGCCATCGATCACACTTGTCACTGCAATATCTGCCCAAACGTGATCCTCCTTGATCTGTCGGAAAACGGTGACTTTTAATATTTTTAAATATGAAAAGTTAAAAGTTCCCATGCTATATGAAATTACACAGGCGATGAGACAACCAGTCACCATGTCTTCATAAATACAGAGCATTAATTGTTGCTTTTTGTAAAACAGGACATGTAAAGGTACATAGCACTCACTACCTTCTTTTCTTCAAAGATTTTCGCTTCACTTTCTGGGGATAGAAATTGTGGCCAAGCCATTTTCTCTTTGATCAGTTCTTCACGGATAACAATGTCTTGATCGGTCGCCGTATCGTACAGGTCGACTGATAGTGCGCAAATTTTTGCGTGCTTCTCAAAAACTTCTGCTTGCAAGTTAATGAAATGATGTGAACATTAGATTTGGAAAGTAGATGGACAACTGGCCATAACTTAGCCAAGTTATCAATCATCTGAACTGAATTATTGGCTGACCAATACTACTACTAGTTCTTCTTGCTATAACCAGCTTTGAGTGAAATCGTGTGGCGTTAGCTCGAATTGAATACTTGAAGTCTTGAACTGGAGAGATTTGAAGGTGTTTTGCTACTTAAATTATTATAAACTAGTCTACAGGTCTGAACATTGAAGTGTTTGAAAGACAGGACAGTGAACCTGTGCAATATCACTGCAGATACAGTGCAACCATGATGGATCAAACTGAACTCACCTTCGCACTTGGATTCCTTTATCACCTTGTTGCTTGGTTCAGGGAGTAGCTCTCTTACTTTGCCAATAAGTTTTCGGCCATGAACAAGATTGTGAAAGTAAGATGTAGCCTTGGGCGGATACCCAGCGTTGCCATGACAACAGTTGGCATGTACGGAATCCTCAAACGATATTCCGCAAAGTTTAATGACATGCCCAAACAGGTCAATACTAGCAACCTCAAGCATACAGTCAGAATTCAGCACAAGAATTTTTATCAGACAAATTGCTCTATTATGCAACTGCTGGTGCAATCTCTTGTCTTCACTATCTGCAAATTTAAAGTTGGTTGTTAAATGTAGCAGTACCCACCTTAAAATCGATCAATTTCTTCTGATGATTGGAAACATCTCTAATAGGCATGCATTGATTGGTAACCAATTAATTAGTAATTACTCATTTTGCTAATAATTATATTAATTGTTTGGTGAAGCTGACAATAAGATCTTACCACACTCTTCAAATGGTGAACAGAGCTTGGTAAGTTGTTGGAGATAACCCATTGGTTTCAATAGTTTCTGTTTTACAACTTCATTAGGCATAACGAGCCTCGTTATGAGATTCAGAGAGCCCAAACATACATCCATATCATTGGAAGCAGTAAAATCTAAGATAATGGAATGAATGTTACCTTCGATCAAATTTGCGCTACTTTTTAGCGTTCTTCTATCAATCTACCTCTTTATATACCTCGCAAAATCTGGACTAGACCTTGCTCAATATACCGAGCACATAGTACCCTGTCTTGTAAGTTATCTTCAATCCGCGCAAAAACGCTACAAATCTCATCGGCATTCATTGCACATCGCAACGCTTTTATATCTTCCTCCATCTGCAGTTTTGCGTTTAAAATCGCTGTAATTCGGTTATTTTCAAACGTTCTACACGTGCTTTCATCGACAAGTACTACAGTGTAAACACAAATTTAAATACCCTCCCAGCCGCGCGGGAGGCTCGCGCGTGTTTCGAACGCTAGAAATCTCGCATCGCGCGGGTTTCTTTCCTCTCGGTTTTTCGTAATTCAAAGTGTTGAGTTCTCCTTTTGGAGCTAAGGCATTTCATCCTTTTCAATCCTGTTGAAAGGAAAGCAACCGGCACTATTTCTGAATTTAAGATTAAAGTTTGAAACTACTGCAACAAGAAAACATGTCATCTTCCGAACTTGCGTGTGTCTACAGCGCCTTAATCCTCCATGACGATGATGTACCCATCACGGTAAGGTTTGATAAACTATTGGGATTTTACTACGTTGTACTTTGAGTATGAAGCTTCTAAAGCTAGTATATCTTATAGAGATTGTATTCTTCAGTAGAGTTTGTTTGACTTTAATACACAACTGATAGTAGTGGTTATTTAATTTGTTATCCAATGAACAATATAACAACATGCTCACCTACAAACTAGTACATAATTCGTATTTTATTTCCCAGGGTGAGAAAATCCAGTCTTTACTGAATGCTGCTGGTGTAATCGTCGAGCCTTTCTGGCCTGGTATGTTTGCCAAGGCACTGGAAGGTCGTAACATCGGTGACCTACTCTGCAGCGTTGGTACCCCAGGGGGTGGTGGTGGTGCTCCAGCTGCGGGGGGAGCTGCCGCAGGTGGAGAGGCGGCCGCTGATGATGCTAAGGAGGAGAAGAAGGAAGAAAAGAAAGAGGAATCTGAAGAATCAGATGACGACATGGGATTCGGTAAGTGATAATTGTTATAGCATTAGTTGGATTTAATATATGACACAGCAATTCCTGAACCTCCTTTCAGACTCCCTACCTCCCCTTTAAAATGGATTAGGTCATGATCCCTTCCCATCTTAACACATCTCATCTAAAATCAATATTTTTGTTTTTGTTTCAGGTTTATTCGATTAGAAAACCATTGTATCAAGATCTTGAATGTAGAGCAAAATAAAGATGAAAAAAATGAAACCAGTTCATAAATATTTATTCTCTATAATATTCCCAACCTTTTCGGAAATTCTGCAGGCTGATTAAGTGTTCTATTCAAAATCTCGTATTCATCGATTAAGTAATTAAGAGATTCTAAACTCTCGTTAAACATCGTCTGCTCAAAACCATCCACATTATTATAATGATGAATGTGTGCTTTCCTCCGATACAACTTGGTGAAACGCTGCCTTAGATTGGAAAATGTGTTTTGAATACAAGTGTTATTCGCAAGGGATAAAAGTGAGTATGGTTGCCCAACTGGTGCAACTGAACATAACCCTGTCTTCCAACCCTCTTGATTCCAGTGTATAAATTTAAGATTTGGTTTTAGTCTTTCGATATTTCGTCTAATATCAGAAACCTCTGCCTTGCCACGGACTATGAGTGCACAGGCTAAGTACAAGTTCTGTTTTGGGTCTGCTTTTATAAGTTGGTAGTCTTTCGAGAAGGCGTCCGTGAACATTTGATCCAACCGTCCAACTGGAAGGTTCACATCAATAAGAGAATACAGTGGAGTCAGACTTGATACAAGATAGTGTAGTTTAGGAAATGGTACAAGGTTCATGGTTATTTCATTCAAGTCAACATTTAATGATCCTTCAAATCTTGCTGAGCTGGTCATGTTGAGCAGAAGGTTGGCAACAATGTTGTTCATGTGGTCGAAAGGTTTTTCTTGGGATGGTTTTGTGACTCCTTTCTGGCTTGAAGTGATGGTGCTTATCTCTTTGACCTGGGTTCCTTTTTGTTGGTAAACTTTTTTGCCCGGTCGAGATGGAGGAATGGCTTCATAGATTTTGTTTGTAATATCAATCAATGCCTGAAGACAATTAGATGTGAATTAAGCTTTCCTGAGTGCCAAACTTTATTTGCCAAGGAGGATGCCTTTAGTAACGTAAACTCATGGTAGAACAGTGACAGTCAATAAGTATTTACCTGGTTCTCAATTGGTAGCACACAATCTGCTTTCTCTGTAAGTTGATGCATTGCAAGTACACTAAAGAAAAAAAAATGGTTTAGTATTTTAGTACATATAAACAATTAAGTACTAAGTGGTGGAGACTAACTCGAAAAAATCACCAAAAAATGGACTAACCTGTTGTATGGGGAAGTTATGACATCATCGTCATGTGAGGGATAGACTGCTGTAGTAAACCTATACACTTCTGGGTAGTGATCTTCCAGTAGGCCCAAAACATTTGTCCCAACACCTGAACCAGTACCTTAAAAATAATACAATATTAGTCATTTAATAATGGTCATGCACATGTGAGAAGAGTGCTTCCAGAGCATCTCTGCAACTGAAGTTTGAGGATCTCTGAATTTAGCAGAGATTTTTGGAGACTAGTTCAGCAATAACATGGTAACTTACCTCCGCCCATGGAGTGGAGTAAAAAAAAGCACTGTAAAGAATCACACAACTCTGCTGCATGACGAATCGTCTCAAGAATTTTATCCTGGTACTGACTACCATACATCATATGACCAGTTGCCCTGGAAAGAAACTATCAAAATTAGAAATATACCAAGAAGTGTTTATTAACCCATCAGTTAATTAATTGGAGTGAAATGCAAGAGAAACACAAGAATATCATACCAGTTATTTCCACAACCAGACACATCTGTTATGAGCTGTTTGCAATCAAAGATATCTCTAAGAGGTCCACTTAATGTTTCATTGACAACACCTTCCTCCATATCAATCAATACAGCCTAATAATGCAAATCATCAAAAAATATTTCAAACAATTGTACTCTGCTATTAGTGCCATAAATATAATTACCCTTGCTTTGAGACTTTTGATCTTTCCTCTACCACTTCCAACTGGGATATCCTTTGGATCTTCAAACCTTCATCAATGAATGAATATGAGAATAATTGGACAAAACAAAATATTCTGGTAGACTTAGTTGAAGTAAGCCTCTCACCTCGTATCAACATTTCTGAAGAAACTGCTCAAAGATTCATCGTATCTTCCTGTCTAAAAAGAATTGAGAAATAATATCATAAACTAGCTGAAAACTTTCCTTGGTAATGCTGAGGTACTGGACAGATCCAAGGGGGCTGTGCAGTATCTCGGCAAAAATACCTTGTTGATATTTGCATGCTCTCGCAGAGCCAAATCCCAAAAACGACATCCAATCTATAAACATAGACAGAAATGTTGAACAAGCTTGCACAAAAATTAGCTTTCGTAAAAATTAAATTTGGGCATATATGAACACCAAAAAAAATAGTTACCTGGTTTCCACATTGTCCAACTATTGAAAATAAAAACAACAGCATAAAACTATTATAGTGGGACATATAAAAACAGTTTGGAGATCTGATTACTATGTACCTTGAACGACAATTGACTGGGTCATTTTTCTTCAATCAGATCAAACAGGAACCTACTTTTAATTCTGTTTTTCACATTACAGAATAAAGAGTTACTTATATCCCAAGTTCAGTAAAATTAAATACACAAATTTAATCTTGTAAGATTAGGTGGGATTAGTGGTGGAATAAAGCCTGAGTTTATGATAATCCTAATCTTAAATCTAACCCTAATCCTGTGATACTTGAGATATCTAATCACTTGGAGAAGACAGTCTTAGACAGAATTGTATTTCTACGTCTTCATATCTGAAAACTGATTTGGAAAGTCTTTCTGTAGAAGAATGGAAAATATCGTAACTGGTCGTTTTGTATGAATTTCGCAACTTTGTGCAATCAGGAGATCCCCAGAGTCTCACCACTGCGCAATAGCTCGAAGGACTAAACACCATTAGAATTTCTTGATGCAGAAATGCATTGTGGGATTCGTCCTCTTTTTTGCCCTCGTGTTCTTTGAACAAAATAAATTTCATTTTAGGTAAGTTTAAAACTGATAATTTCCCTGTTTTTCTTCCGCGATTGTTGTAAATTTTGCATAGAATTAAAGCGCAGTTGTTGCTCTTTATAGAAAAGGGGAATTTTGACGAATTGCACGATGGTTGCCACTAAAAAAACGGTATGTAAAGATTCAGTCAGCCATTCATTTGTTTTGCTGTTGTTATAAAATAGTTAAATCTGTAGCGAACTTATGGTGGAGGCATCAAGAGTGTGCCTGAGAAACCTGATAAAACTGAAATGTATATTTCATCTTATCAGGATTGTAGTTTTGCAGCATGGTTGTTACTTTTCAGCCATTATAATAATATCTCAATAACTTGACTTGGTAAGTTTGCTGTGTGTGTTTTCCCCACCAATAATTAAACCTACCCCACCTGTAATTGAATCTATACTACCTATAATTGAGCCCCCCACCTATAACCTACCCTACCTATAATTGAACCTCCCTCCCCTATAATTGGAACCTACCCCACCTATAATTGAAACCTACCCCACCTATAATTGGAACCTCCCCCACCTATAATGGGAACCTACCCACCTATTCCTGGAAAGAAGGCAGGAAATATGTCAAAACACAGCTGGTATAGCCTGTTAGTTGTGTGTATATGGTAGCATGTTTTTAACTAACAAATTGTCTCTGAATCACCAACCCTTACTTACATTTATTACTCCATAAAAAATGTAGAAAAAGTCTCAAGAAAGCATCAATTCTCGTCTTCAACTTGTCATGAAAAGTGGCAAATACACTTTGGGCTATAAATCCACCTTGAAGACGCTCAGGCAAGGAAAAGCTAAGCTGGTGATCATCTCAAACAACACCCCTCAATTGAGGTATGCGAGGGACCTGTTTAATTGTAACTTCCTATCTGCATATAGTCTGAGTTAAACCTGTCTTATGTTTGCATTTTTGTTACTAAACCAACCTGGCATGTTAAGAATTACTATGGTAAGACTCAAAACCTGACCATTTGTGTTTATTAGTCTAATATTAAACCAAGAGTTGTCGGTTGGTAACTAAGAGTACCATCATATTACCTTACACATAATCATTGCTTTCAAACGGTTCTCTAATATTATTTTTGTGGTCCTTGACAGGAAAAGTGAGATTGAATACTATGCAATGTTGGCAAAGACTGGTGTTCATCATTACACTGGAAACAATATTGAGCTCGGAACCGCATGTGGGAAATATTTCAGGGTGTCCGTGCTGAGCATCACCGACCCTGGTGACTCTGACATCATTCGCACCATGCCAACTGGTCAGGAATCCCAAGACAAGTGATCTTGTTCAGGTTGTAAAATGGCTTGAGTGAAATAAATTAAAGTAAATTTGAAATTGTTGTGTGATATTTGTGTGTTGAGTGAAGAATACAGTAAGAACAAAGAAGGTCTTTTTATGTGGATATATTTGCATTGCACAAAGGCCCTCAAATCAAGTTTTTCAATGTGTTTTTAAATAGATTGATATCACATGCAATCCAAGGGCATTTAGATTTGCCAGCCAGACCAATTTGATTGGCCACTCTTTTATTGATAAGATGGGAGCAGGTGCCCAAATGCAAATTTAATATTGCTTGGCTTCTTCTCGTGAACATGCTGAAACAACTAATTTGTGAAAAATACCACAAATATACAAAAATTCTCTTTTTTCATCTCTTCCTATATACAAAAGTGCTATAAAATAAGTGTATTTCACAAAAATAACAAATAAATTTTTTGACATATTTGAATAATTAGAAACTGCAAAATTTCACGTCTAAGGTTTTACGGACAATGGCTAGTTCTAGGAGTTTGTATTGGGTGTTCACTGGGAAATTATGCGTTGGAATTATTGTTTTATGAATATTTCTGCATACCTAGCATTTGGCATGTAACTTCTTATTCACAGACTAACTATGACAGTTTCTGAGGGCGTAATGCTGTGTTCTATAAATAGATTATGACTCATCATCATCAAAACACAACTCTAGATAGTTCCTTTGCCCGGCTGGGAGATTACGTTTTTGCTCTGGTTGCACTGCCCTTGGTGGCAGGATAGATGGTTTCTCTTCCTCGTGGTTTGGCATATTCATATATTCCGATTCATCTGTTTCCATATCTCTAGAATGGTCTGCTTCAGGTTTATCATAGAGATGTCCATCCTCAAGTTCTTCATCTGATGGCATTATGACATAACTTCCTGTGCTTGACTGGTCGTCCTCATACCCTGCGTCAATTTTCTCCACTTCATGGTTGGCGTTAGGATCTTCTATCGCTAGAGCATCTATGTCAATCTCGGCGTAGCTGCTTTTCGCTGCTTGCGTTGGTTCTGCGGCGGCATATTTAAAGTGGTTTGCTGGTTTTACGGTGCAGGTCATAAGAATTGGAGCTGCTTTAAGAACCTCACTGACTTGTTCAATTGTCATATTACTCATGTTAACACCATCTACATCCAAGAGTTGGTCTCCTAGAAACAAGAAATGTTGCTTGAAGGACTTTAATATTTCCAACAATTTACTTCACTCAATATCAGGCAATAGTATTTGTCAATGAGTTTGCTATTTGGCAAGCTGCCTAGATATAGCCTGGTTGAAATATTTTAGATGTTTGCTGGAGAGAACTACCAGTTCATATGATTTGATTTGTATTATTACTGTCAAATTTATCCAATTATCAAATTTATCCAACTTCATAATCTCACAATGAGGTCAAATTATATAAAGTCAATAATCTCACAATAGGGTCAGATGCAACTGAACACTTTAGGAACTTGATATATGCTTTGTCCCTTTGATGTCACAAACAAACATTACATGAAGAAGTGATGTGGGAAAAGTTCAGTAAATGTACACCAAATGCAATAATTGAAATCTAAGAAAGGAAACACATGCCAATCTAATCAATTCAGACAAATGGAAGTTCAATTCAATGATTTATCCTTTGAAGAGTTGGTATTTGTAGGTGTACTCTTGTTATTTTGTTACATAATTTTGGGTCAAATGTACTTATATGGAAGTATAAATGCTAGTAGCAAACTAAACAAAATTCAGGGAAGTAATTTATTTCCTTATTTTGAGGTAATGTAAGCATGCCTGTTTCTTTTTCTCCTGAAGATTAGCTTTTAAGCTGATTATGCGATTACAGCATTTTCAAATATTAACCCATAATAATGGTCTATATACCTGGACGAAGTACACCCGTTTCTGCTACAGGGCCATCTTCAACAATTCGGGTAACAAATACACACCCGTTTACGCTTTTAATCCGAACACCAATGCCCTTCGTGGGATCTTTGAACAATTTAATTCGTTTTAGATCGCCGTTCAATCTCACGCTCCGTCTACGAACTGGATCTTCCTCTTCTGCTTTGAAGAAGTCATCTTTTGCGAAATTCACAATTAAAATCCAAGCGTCTCGTTCCTCAGGCGATTCGCAGTTCATAATGTGCGTCTTCCCCGATTTTGTATCGATGCTAAAACAATGATCCTTGCTTTTTGCCTTTGAGAAATACTTGCCGACCGCGAGGATGTCGGCGAGAAATATCCGACCCATCGGACGCTTCTTGTCTGTGTGTTCTTCCTTCTTGAAAAAGCACAAAACTTCGCCGTTTATTTTGAAGTATCGTTTTCGCCATTTCTTTAACACCCTACTCTTCTTCTCGACGAAGCCTTCCTTCAAAATTCGCGGTTTGTAAGCGGCTTGTTTATGACTTCTTGCCTGCGACATTGCTTCAGGAGAGCTCATATCTCGAGTAATTATTGCAAATTATAAATGCCTTTTACAAAGAAAGCACACTAAGCTCAATATCTGAATGTAAATTTGGGTCAATACCAGAAATGTTTAGCCTCCTCGTACCTGGCACCGTTTGAAACTTCGATAAAGTGAAAGCTTTTGTCTGTAATAAAACCTTTTAACTTAAACTATTCACGGACACTATATGATTATATGTTAATGTCCATCAAAATGCGTCTAAAAGCGGCCCACACGGAAGGGAAGGGAGGCATGTTATGCAGTTATGTCATCGCATTTTTTAAACCGGATGTCATATAACAATTACTTCCACGTTATAATACAAAAGCATGAACCGAAATTATCTATAATGGCCTCATTTTAAACTATTTGTATTGGCCTGTTGTTGTGGTTTGCCGTGGAAAACATTAAAGTGAAATATGACCATTTATGGAACGTCCATCTGTGAGAAGATAGCGTAGAATTTTCTTCTTTCTTCCATAAAAATCATCGGCCGTTGCAGCGTCTATCAGATAAGTTGCAACAAAAGGTTCTTTCTGGTGGAAAGTAGCAATTATGAATCTTTTTGTCGCAAATGTTTGAAACACAATATTGTATTTTGTCGATCAAACTTCGGTTGATTCAGTAAAATTTCGTTTTAAAATTAACTTCTTCACTGAAACTAAACCAAACAACCAGACTAGAAACTAAAGTATCGCCAAGATTATCAGTTTTTTAACTGGATCACCAATTATGGAAAAACGCAACAACAGGATTGCACTTTTAATCTTTCCCCACCCATAAACTGTACGCTAGTAACCGGTAATGAAACCCAATACTTGTTCACTAATCGGAATTACTTTCTTCAAAAAGAAAGGGACAACCCGAATCGGTGGCTGAGATTTTAGTCGGGTTTCGAAAGCGAAACATAAAGCTATTTAGAAATTGTTAAATTGGATACTTAAAGCTTGATATTCCAGCTTAATTCGTTGTTTCTGAAGAGAAACACATCCCAATATTAATTGCTTTTTGCAGGGTTACATTAAATAAAATGGGAAAGAAAGTACCTAAGGCTTAAAGCACTTCACCGTTGTCTTAAAATCTTTTTCCCAATTGAAACATTTTCAACCCATGGACACTGTCTAGTTTATGCCAAAGCAATAAACAACCCACTCAAGTACAAAACCGGAACACCTATTATTCAGTATTGTCCTGTTTCTGTATAAAATCAGCATGGTATATGTAAACAAGGAATAATAGAGAATCATGCGTGGATTTTCCTCAACAGATCTCAAACACCGCAGATATTATCATAACTTTAATGACCAAAAATATTTATAAATTTCATCTATAAAAGTGCCGCAAGTTCATCCTATACGACATCTGCCAATCAGGGAAATTTACCCGTACGATGTTTTTACCCGGCGTTTTTGCATACGATTTTAGTAACCCGTTGTTACTTCCCATACGTTATCTATACCCGGATATATTTTGCCTACGATATTAGACTCCAGGAGTTATATACCTAGCAACAAAAGCTTTCTTTGACATTCTGAACAAATTTTGTTTGAATTTTTTTTTGGTCAAGTATACAAACAAATCGTGGGGTTTCTAACGAAGATTTTATTAATCTTCCTAAATCTGGACGTATTTTGCTGTGTTTCAGCTAAAATCGAGAAATCCAAGATTATTGAAAATATCGACGATGATCGATCTGGACCATCTGGTGAATGATTGATTTAAATGTTTGGTAATTTTTGTAATGAAAATCATTTGGATCTTGTGTTAATACTTTAAGAGCTATTCTGAGTACTATGTAAAGACATGCTTTATTTAATACGTCTGTAAAAGTAAATTTGGTTTTATTAGTATATAACAGAAATAACGTTGATTAACTGACTACAATATGGCTTCATTTGGGCCAAGGGCAGTAATTTGCTATATTTGTGGAAGGAAATATGGTACATCTTCTATCAAGATCCATGAGCCACAATGCCTTAAAAAATGGCATTTGGAAAACCGGGATTTACCCAAGCACATGAGAAGACGTCCACCAGTCAGACCGCAAGGTTTCGGCGAGTTTTCAACGAATGGCCAATCTCTCGGCAACCAAATCGATGCAATGAATGAACTCTCCTATGGTACTTCCAAGCAGCAGCTTTTACCTTGCGAGAACTGCGGTCGGACATTCCTTCCGGATCGTTTGCCGGTTCACCAAAGGAGTTGCCGCCCAGGTAATGCAGCTAAGCCGGGTCGTGGTAACCCTATGCAAAATGGTGGCCCAGGTGAAACCAATAGATTCGGGTTCAGGGAACAGCCGAGGGAACCAGTAAAGCCAAAAACTATTATCTGTTATATTTGTGGACGTGAATTTGGGAGTGCGTCCATCTCGATTCATGAGCCGCAATGCTTAAAGAAATGGAAGCTTGAGAACAACAGTTTGCCAAAACATATGCGGCGACCTGTTCCAACCAAACCTGACGTCCTACCAAGCCTGACAGGTGATGAAAATGACAGAGAAAGGAGAAATCAGTTGGCATATGAATCAGCTAAACAACAATTGGTACCTTGTCCAAATTGTAAACGGACATTCCAGCCAGATAGATTAAGTGTTCATCTCAGATCATGCAGGCAGGGTGCCAAGACTATACAGTCATCACCAAATAGTAAGTTTATAATATAGTATGTAAGCTGGACTATTAAGATTATAGAATTACACCTGAAATACTGGGTAACCAGTGTGCAGCCTTCTTGATTAAATATCACCACCAAATTTTGATTATAAATGTGTCCAATAAAATAACTTACAGAACTGTTTTTCTTACCATAGACAGGCTTGGGTCACAGAAGCAGTCAGACCCTTTGGAATTTCCACCAAGATCTCCAACAACGCCACCCAGAAAACCAACCACAAAATCCACCCGAAATCAATACAAAAAGCCACCATCTCGCACCAAAGGACAGAGTGACTTCAACAACAACTTTGATGACATGCAACACCATCTTGAAAGTTCTAATTCCCATGAGAAAACTTCTAATTCATTTAGGAAGGGTTCCAATTCGTTTGGGAACAACTCTAATTCACACAGGAACAGTTCTAATTCATATGGAAACGCAAGGGTTGGATCAGGTGGCAGTAATAGATCACATCCTGACGATGATTCACACAGAAACCCCGGATCGCAACCAACTCGTAAAAAACCGAATGTGAAAAAAGCCAGCGGACCGAAGAAAGGTGGTTTTGCGAGTCCGAATTCTGATGCATTCGGTCGTTCAGCTGGGTTGGGCACCTCTGGTATGAATGATCCTGAAGCTTTCCAATCAAGCGGCAATGGTAATTTAGTTCCTTGCTTCAAATGTGGGCGAACCTTTGCAGCTGACAGAGTTGAGAAACATCAGGCAATCTGTAACAATGCGAAACAACGGAAAGTGTTCAACTCGAGCAAGCATCGAACTGAGGGCACCGAGGCAGCCTCGTTTAACAGACCAGGTAGAGCGAGTAGCAAGGCACAGATACAACCGAAATCAAAGTCCAATTGGAGGAAAAACCACGGTAAGAATAAACTAATAACTAATACTGGGTAGCTCTATCAGTTCTAAGTCTGTTCTTTCTAGAGGTCCAGTAAGGATCATCTCTTATTGATCCACTGTTACTACAGGAGGAAACCTAAACTAAACTAACTTTATTTATACTGGATAGCTCTATCAGTTCTAAACTGTTCTTCCTAGAGATCCAGTAAGGATCATCTCTTATTGATCCAGTGTTTACTACTGGAGGAAACCTAAACTAAGCTAAACACCCTCTCTAGTCTAGTCTATCATTGGCCAGTCTTTTTTGACAAGAAATATCGTTTCTTTGCAGAGGACTTTATCAGAGCGATACGTGACGCAAAGAAGGTTCAGGACCATGTCAAAAAAGGAGGAAAGGTGTCTGACCTTCCCCCACCCCCTCCAAGTGAAAACCCTGACTACGTATACTGTAAGCATTGTACGCGAAGATTTGCGCCGGAAACCGCTGCTCGGCATATTCCGAAGTGTGCAACAACGATTAGTCGTCCAGCCCCACCGAAGCAACGAGCCATTCCCCTGGGGGGAAGCCGTGCTAGCGGTGGGGGCGCTCGTGTCAGAGGTCAGTATACTACAACAAGTACCCAGCGAGGTGGGGGAAACCGAAGATTGTATAGATAGATAGAACTGTTATCTTTTGTTCAACATATGGCCACGATTTTCATCCCCAAAGAATGAATGGAAATTACTAGTCGGATAAAGTCGATCCTAGGGCATTTGCACTGAATGAAATGCACTTTGAACAAGTTTAAACCACTTGTGTAAACATACAAGTAGATATATGAATGTCTACGCATCATATTATTAAGCTCTATTGCACGTTATATCTTATGATAGTTTAAATGCGCTATATATATTGAATCATTGACGGCGTAAATGAAAGCAATATACATTAGTTTTATACACGTATGTAAATCAAATTTGCACATGCAGTTCGTCGCTTGTATAATTATGAGGAACATGATGAAGTCATCTGTCTTCAGGTGCTATCTTGCGGTTGATTTTGTTTAATTTTCTTCCGCTTTCTTGGAGAAACAAACTTTGATTCGCCTATTTCTTATTTTATGACTGCTTGTCACGTTCATAGTTTTGATTGGTCGCAATCAAAATACAGCAACGACACACAGAAATTCGTGCATAGAGGCTGAAAAATCAACCATTGATGATGGTTGCTCTAAATGAGTACAATATTCAAACAAATATCAGTCTATTGTCATTAATTTATTGCCACAAATTGTACATAAAAATGAGTCTAAATTACATTTGAATAAAATTGTCACGATTCGGTCTGTATGTTTTGTTTTAAAAACAAGAACAGTGCCGTGCCTAAACAAACTACAAATCCTACGGTTCCAAACGACGTGTACCCGAAGCGATGAAGAAGGATTCCGCCGACCGTTGGGGCGATTGTCCGTATGAGAGCGTGGGTGGCAAAGGAGATGCCAAGGGCAAAGCCCGTGTCTTCTGCTGGGACTAGTTTGGTTAGAATGGAGTTGGTGATCACGCCAAACAATGCACCACCAAAAACAAGAGGTACGACCATCACACAGAGATGCAGCGCGCGAGAGCTGAAGAACTATTATGAAAAGATAACATTGTAATTGTTGAGGGCGACCTGAAGATAGACGACCTTACCGTCATCGTTTTAAAATCAAGTACTATTACTCAATAGTAATCATTTCTTGCTCAATAGCTAAGCCTTAGTTGGTAGAGGGATAGAACTTTTAGATACCCAGAAATGCCAGATCAAATTCATGAAATAAAGAATTTAGCGTTGTTCATTGTAGTTTTAAATGGAAACGAATCTAGAAGGTTTTCTCCAACACAATTTGAATCAAATGAAATTTTTATGTCGGTTTGAAAGCTTCTTTTTTAGGATCTCATTGCAATTCAGCCTGCCAAATCCAGTTGGAAAATAATACGCGCAATAGAAACTGGAAAAGATAACCAAAGATTATTAACTCTGGCTTACCAAAAGAACATAACCGAAAGAGCATAAAATCATTGCCAGGACCAAAGTATTTTTTTCGTTCATTCGCTTCGTAACAAAACCCACACCAAAACCTTGCACAAGCTGTGAAAAAAGAGGTGAAACCCTTGAGATGAAATCCCAGCAAAAATGTGCGGGGTTCTTAATTCAGAATTTACTTACAATCATGAGTGATCCAATGTAGGACATAAACATCCCATGCTGAGCTGGAGTCAGGCCGAATGTGTTTACAACGACTAAGGAGAACATTGATTGAAATATACCAAATGGTAGTCCAGATATTAGTTTCATTACGTAGATCAATCCTACACCTGGAATTAGCATCAGCTCTTTGATTCTTTTCACATCAAACAAGGACACAGGGGAGGCTTGCTGCTTAGGATTTGACTCTGGGAGAAATAGAGGAAGGTGGTTTAGATAGGTTAACGAAGAGGTCAGAAGATATAATGGTATTGCAAGAAAGATATTATGGAATAAAGAGATTTGAAGTTGCAAGGTGGTGGACATTGCATAGAAAATGAGGGATGCAAGGTTGAGATAATATGGACATGTAATAAGAAGAGATGAAGGAGAGCTGGTCAGAGATATCATGGAATGAAGGGATCAGAAGATGCACAATTGAAGCAGACAAGGCAACATTGAGATATTGTGTTTTAAAACATAAGCTCCAGCACCTGTTTTTTGCCTTGTGAATTTTGGTATGAACATCATGACAAATCCCACAGCAAACACAGATAAAAATGCAGCTGACATCAGAGCAGCATTTTTAGAGAAATATTTTGAAATTTGTCCACCAATAAATGGTCCCAAAATTACTCCTGCTCCATAGGAAAATCCAAGCTGACCCAATGCAACTGCTCTTTCTGTAAGTCAACATAAAAAATTGTCCTTAACACAGGTTTTGTATTTTTAAAATATTTGACAGTTAATTAAGGAGAATTACCTTTGTGGCTTGTCAAATCTGTCATGACCATCTGGGCACCTGGTTGCAGAAAAGAGAATAAAATGATGGTGAAGTTGTGTTTTCTAAGCTGGTGTCAATGTTAATTAAAGAGTGCACCATGTTGACTGTATTAGAAAGGGGTGGCTGTATTAGAGAGGGGTGGCTGTATTAGAGAGAGGTGACTGTACTAGAGGAGGTAACTGTATTAGAGACAGGTGATTGTATTAGAGAGAGGTGACTGTATTAGAGGCGGTGACTGTATTACAGAGGTGATTGCATGTATTAGAGATTAGGCTTACTAAAGAGAAGTGATCATAATAGAAATGGGTCAAAAGTTTGACTCCACACCATGCAAGCATATACCTTGAGCACCATGCATGAATATCCCAGGCACCCGTGCGAGGAACAGCATGGCGGGACTGCTAGCGATTGCAAGAAGAAAATAAATGAAAAATCCACAAGAATGTGCTAACATAAGTACAGCTCTGCTTCCAAACATATCACCCAGACGTCCATAGATTGGTCCACCAAGCAACTGGAGGGCACCAAACACTGTTTGCAGATACCCATAGGTGACCATATCGATCCCGAGAGATTTGGTTATATACTGAAAAAATATATGGTTACTTCAACATCAGAATTTTGGTAATCTGAAAAGTGAAGACTATAGGAAGTGCAGTATTTTGCTTGAGGAACGTAATCTATTATTAATTATTTAAATCACATGTACTATTTACGTTCTAATATAACCAAGGGGCAGCCAGACAAGGTCTTGTTATACCACATACTTGATGAGTTAGATTTACTAGCTTATATCTCTATCAAGAGCAAATCTATAATTTCAAAACCGTACTGGATAGACACCGATATTAATCCAGAAACATGACGAATACAACACGTTGCAGAAATGAACAGCAAACACCAGTAGCCGTCTTTTTGGCTGTGGTTTCTCCTCCGATGCAAAATTTTCGTCATTTTTAGAATCATGATCTATCTCCTCGGACATAACCGTCGTGTTTTCCGACTTTAAATCGTCGTATTTTTTCCTTAAAACGCTTGACATGATCGTATCTAAAACCCATAGACCATGACGCGTTTTGTCACTTTTGTGATCTTTGAAATAATTTTATTGTTATTATAACAAATGAAATTTAAAGACCACGTCTGGGGAAAACAACCCGGAGAGGGTACAAAACTCGTATTTTAGAAAACGGCCAAATTTTTCCACAGGTGTGGTAGGCTAAGCCTAACAAGTCATATTTTGACGATTTTTCATTTGTAAATCGAAATTGCATATTGTTTGGGCTAACTATAGTTAAAGAGTATACAAAAAGTGAGCGAAGGACATGATATATGTATTTATCTACTGATAAATCAGCAAAAAATGTACAGTAATAATTTTTCACATCTTGGAGCGGGGAAGACTACAACTAACCCTAAAATCGGGTCGATTTCTCTCGGCCCATTTCCCTCGAAGCTCGCGATATTCGTTGTTTTGCAACATGGCTAGTTCAATGTTGGTAAGTCGTGCTTTTTATCATGTTTAAGTTTTTAAACGATTTTTTGCTTTTAGACTGTTAGCTCGTCTTGGGATTGATGTAGTCAGATTTTGTTGCATAAATAATACATACTTTATGTTTTCTGTTGTATTAATATTATAGTCTATAGTTTTTGTATTGTAAATTGCATTGATTGTAAAAAATAGATAAAGCCTGTAAAAATATATCATATTGATCAGTGTAACCTGTGATTAATTCTTAAATTGTGCCATTCCCAGAGGACTGATCAGGCGTTGAGGGTTTAAATCTGGAGGCAGAACTCTTTAAAAAATATCATTCAAATTTACAAATTTTAAGTTTACAAATTATCATTAGCATCTCCTACCACCAGATCACAAACCAGCCCCCCTGACATCTTTGCTACATTTGTCTTGCAGAGAGGTAGCAAAGTACTGTGGTGGATGACTCCGCCCCTAGCGGGTGTGGCATACCATATGACGACACTCAAGGCAGCAGACAACCCTCAGAGGAAACTTGATCCAAAAGATGTAAGATTACCAAGATTTTTATGTCTAATGTGTGATGGTTTAGGTTCATATAGATGGGCTATAAGATATATATTCTGTAGAGAAGTTGGACTTAAATATTTATTATACCTCTATGGCTTTATTTCATATTATACCATATATATAGAATTCTTCCACTCAAAAATAACCATTTATGTTAAGCTTGAGATTTATGATAAGCCAGTGAAGGAATCAATGAAACCTGATGAGGATATTCAGCCAACTGCATTGGAGGAACAGATTTCAAAAGGCAGAAAATTTGTTTGGAAACACTCTGATAAAGTGAAGGTTGACCAATTAATATTGCAATATTTTAAGATGGTTATTGTATGATTATGGAAACAGTAATTTCTTTCATCTTGTCTTCACAGAATGTGACAGATTCCTCAACCGAAGGCGCCAAAACATTTTGGGACAAGACAAAAGGTTAAAGCATGTTAATTTGTTTTTATTTTTCTAAATTCACAAACTGTTATTGGTAGATAAATTTCCTGGCTAGAAAGTTTCAAACTGATCCACAAGAGCCATATTCAAAGCTGTTTATTCTCACACAATTAAGCCATTCATTTTTCATGAACCAATATTTCAAAAAAATATTTTATCCTTGTTTTAAGAATTTGCAACAAACATCCAAACTGACAGAACATTGCAGCTGAAAACTGGAGCAATCACAGTCGCTTCTGTGACTGGTATTTTGATGGTTGGTAGAGGAAGTGAGTGTATAAAATATGCTGCTCTTTTGTGAATCTTGTTCAATCCTGTTGTGATCTTTTCTTGGGTAGGAGGAGGGCTGCCCAGCTAAAGAGTAGTGGGGTTAATTCTCACTTCAGTCTCCACCTTTTCTCCCCAGGACGACCTCTGCGGAGGGTATTTTTTGCCGGTACCCTGGGCGCCGCAACAGCGGCAGTTTGTTACCCGGCGAAAGCATCCTCCGTGATAAAATCTGGATACAACAGATTTACGTCTATCATGACTGACTCCAAGTCAGATTCGACACGAGCGAAGGTCAAGTTTGATGATAATGTCGACCAGTTTCGTAGCGGAGAAACTTTGATGTTGGAAGAAGCCTTTATTCTTGGTGAAATGGTCTATGAAGAGCTGCAAAAAAAGATCCATGGTGATGAGATTCACTTACCCGATGTCATGGCGATTTGTCACGAAGTTGTACGAGAAGTTTTCCTCGGGATTAGCGAGGATTTTGAGATTCAAACGGGAGGTTACGTCGGCGCAGATCGGCCACGCACGGAACCGACAGGTACCGAACCCCATGCGGGCTCTGACGTGGTGCTCTATGCGAAAGACGTGACCCGACGCGTGGTTCAAGAAGTCCTGGATTCCATCAACGAGGATATTGAAATTCAAACCGGGGGGGTGGTTACCGGTGCTCCAACAATCGCCCTTGATTCGACAATTTTAGCGAAGGAAATTTCGATCGTGGTTTCAAATGTTTTGAAACGAGATATCGCTTCGGAAGAGGCCGACCAACAGGATTACCTTTTCTCAAGTCCCACGCGATTGTCAGCCGTTGTCTGCGAGGAATACACGAAATGCGTGGACGCGGCTATTCGAGCGCAAGTTCCAACGGGAAAATGTCATGTGATCATTAATTCAGCGTCCCTCGCCGCAAAAACTGCGGCTGAAATTAAGGTGGCTATTGATGGTTTGAAGAACAGTCGGTCTGTCGTCGTGAGCTCGAGCCGTCCCGTGAATACATCGGACTCGGGGAAGGTACGATTATTTTTTTGTATCTTTAGGAATTTCAGGCTGTTTCACTCTTAGGTTTGCGAATACGGTATCTGTGCAACTATGGCCTACGATTAGATAATCCTAAATGGAAAAACTGGTCTTCCCAAAAATTGGGAAAAGTCAAACAGTTTTCTAAGAAATACAACAACCTACTCACCCCCCCCCCTTGTTTAACCGACGTCAAATTTATCCTTATTTGTGCTGTAGGTTGTTGATGAAGTGGCGTCCAGTCTCTTAGCTCACATAGAGCAAGATATTAGCAAGTCTCGCGGGAAGGACTACGCCTTCTCTGAGGCCAGCAACATCGTACGAAAGGCTTCTCAAGAGGCCACAAAAGCGATTGCTTCCGACGTCCAAAGTTCGGGTGCGCCAGTACAAGGTCGGAGAACAAGAGTCGTGCTTGATTTAGCGAAGAAACTTGGGGAAGAGATGATAGAAGCTATTAATGAAGATATTGAGATTCAGACAGGGTCAGGCTTACGACGGCCGTCCGATGGCAAGCCGAAGCCTCCTCGTGAACCTCCGGTGATAGTGAGTAAGGAGGATGCTTCAACATTAGATGGTAAATATTATGTTTAGGACTAAACTGTTTGTCCTTCCTAGAGGTCCAGTAAGGATAATCTCTTATTGATCCAGTGTTAATCTCCATAACTCTCTTATTTCTTGTCCTAACGTATATTTCTGGTTTAGGTATCATGTACAGTCCAATGTACGTTCCTGGTTTCGACCATATCGCTGACGCTGTCATTGACGAGGTCTCCGAGGCTCTTCGCGGACGGGGGGTAATCATTCACGAACTAGACCACTTGGCTCATGTGACCATGAAAGAAATCCTGGACGGTGTAAGCGAAGATATTGAAATTCAAACCGGGGGGTGGGCCGGTCGGGAGCACAAACCCCACGCTGTGTTAAGCGGCAAGGAGCTGGTCCGTCGCGTAGCGAACGAAGTTCTCCAGGCCATAGAAGAGGACATGAATATTCAGACTGGAGGAAAATTGGAAAGAAAACGTGATCTGTATTTTGACAGCAGACGGCTGGCTAAAAATATCGTTGATTCAGTTATGAGCGATGTTGAACGTGACACAAAAGAGCCTGAGACTAGTTCGCCGTATTTGTTCTCAGTCCCCGAAGACCTCGCGAAGTTGGCCTTGAAAAAGTTGCAAGATGACATCGATCAGGCGGCGATCGGAATTGGTCGAAATGTCGGTCAGGTTCATGTTGATGTCGATGCGTTGTCGGAAGAAGTCGGTCAGCAACTCAAGGAGAGAATTGAAGAATTTTACATTCGTGCAAATTCGATCGGGGATCTACGTGCACGGGAAGTCGCGATCGTCGACTTCGGAGAGATCCGAAAAAGAGAGTGTGTTTTTGAGGTGATAACATGAAGAAAGATTTGTCCGAAAACCCGTTAATTTCACCGAGACCTGGAGACGAGCCTCTACACGTGGTAAAGGACTGGGGTGAGATGGCAAAGCGGATCGTTGAGACGACGACGAAGGCTATCCAGGAAGATATAGAAATCCAAACTGGCGGAGCGAAACTGGGCACAAGTCCGCGCGTCGTCATTGATGCCAGAGGCTTGATGACCAAAGTTATCGAGGAGATCACTGAAGCTGTACAGGAGGATATCGATATTCAAACTGGACGGGGTTTTAGGTCCGAGGAGGCAAAACCCAGGGATGAAAAATCCGGTGGAGAACCCGGTCAATCTGAGCCCGAAGACAAGGACATGTATTCAACAAGATCAAGTTAAGAAATCGAGGGGGAGAGTCGAACTTTAAGAGACGTTGATAATTCAGGATTCTTTCTTTTGCTTTGATGAAACCAGATGCAATCTCGTACCCAGGGTTTTACTCCGATAGGTGGAAGGGGTAACCCGGGTGCGAGGTTGCACTAGACTTTGTACCATATCTTCTGTGAGAGGCATTCAACCAAGAATGATTTGGATAGTCCTATATACTAGTTGAATCTTGGACTTCATCAGTTGTTGTGTAATTTAAGTGATCATTTATCATGGTTATTTGTTTAATTGGGGATGTTTGAAAGGAACACTGGTGGTACAGTCGCTGAAGACTCAAAGCTTTATGAAATTATATTAAAATAAACATCTTTTAAATTTTGTGTGATGAATTTTCTTTATTCCTCGTTTGCGATTATGCGAGCAATCTTTTCTCAAAATGATTTAAAACATGCATTCCTTTCTCACATTCATTCAGCGAAATTTACAGCAGAAAATATAATTTAAAATTGACATTTTTGCCATAGCAATAGATTAACTGACCAGGCCGAATCTAAAGACCTTGGGATAATATCACCACCAGTCTCACAGAAAGGTTAAATATTTGTATTATAAATTCATAGTTGTGTGCGTATCGTGAATAATGTGTGCGTATATTTGAAAGTCTTGCGTTCTTAATTAAAATATTTAAAATTTTCTATGTTCCCCAAAGGACGAGGCTATATAAATATATGGTATATCAATTTGTATAAATTCTCTAATCTATCCTACACTGTTATTTCGTGCACTTCTGTCTTCCATTGACAATTGCTTAAGTCTTTGTAAAGATCGTATTTTAGACTCGCTTCTAGAAATTGGTTCATGTAAAGAATTTTGTGAAGCAATCTTTACAACCCTCGCAGGAATTTGCTCGTTTGGGTAAAAATCGTTTTGAGTCCAGTCTTTGGCTGATTCTTGCGCAGGTTCGTTTCCACGCCGTGACAGTTCGCTTACGTCATACGCACACGCTGTGCTTTGTGGGTACTGTAAAGGATTAAGCGTGACCGTATTGCGCATGTTCGGATTGCATTCGGCGTAATAATGCTCATCTTCGAGCATGTATCCATTCTCGGGATCCCATCGGAGGTTCTCGTCATCGCTGCGCACCGCCGACGGTTCCCGACCTGGAATACGGACGGTGAAGCCTTTTGAAGCGGAATAACTGAGTGGTTCGAATCTGAATGTGTCCACACCTAAGGTCTGGGCCTGAGGGTCTTCTAGATTCGCTCCAGGCCTGCGCGACATCATATAACTAGCGTGGTTACGTTGTTGAGTGATATTGTAAAGCTCCACGTCATAAGGTGTTATTATTTCATCTTTGCGAAGTAGCGGCTGTAGGTTTGAATAGAATATAAAATTATTGAAAAGCAAGCTGAGTTAACTTACTACATACTGCATAGTTCTATCAGTTCTAAACTTCTTTCTTAGAGGTCCAGTTTCTTAAGGACACGCTTTTTTTCTTACCAGTGGTAATGGGCTGCAGTCAGATATTGAGGGATCTGAAGTACTCGCTGTCTCTCGATTTTTCTAGAAAATTAAATAACACAAACTTAAAACCGGAACCCTACGCGTTGGACCGAACTCTGATGATTGCATGTCCCATACTCCAACAAACCTTCTTAGTTCTTTCGTCGATTCTTTCTTGTGAGTAAATAGGAATACCATTGTTGAATCTTGTCGTGTAGGGATTCACAAATGTATTTTGGTTTAATCTCACTCTTCTCTGTAAACAATTCAAATGAAATATACATCTTATTCCCCACACAAAACGAGAGAATCCTAACGATTTCTGACACTCAAAAACCTTTTTCATTTAACTTACTTTTTCTCGTTCTCTGGACGATATTTTGGTGGTGTCTTCTTTGTCTACATTCACTATTTCTGACCTTTGCTTCAAAGACTAAAAGACGAAACATTTTACATCAAGAATCCAAACTCAACATTCAGAAGATGACTTGCTTTCATATTGATTACGATTTTTAACTTACTGCAAGAACTTCCCATCTTTTGGCGGCCTTTTTCTTTTTCTTCTTTCGTCCCTCGTCATTCTGTTAAAGGACAAGAATGCAGTGTTAGCAAAACAGCAGCCGTTGGAAGTCTAGCCTCAAAAGAAACGAGGATTGACGATGGTTCATCTGTGGAGTTAAAGCTCTTGCTCTCGTTTAACGAAGAAGACATACTCAGATGAATACTTTACCTTCTTTCTTTGTTTGGCTTTTGTACTGTTTTCCTCGCCTTCAGATTGACTGTCCGAATCACTGGAACTAAAGAACGACATTCAATCAATTAAATCCAGTTCATAAACATGAGTGTATCCCTGAACTTCACTGCACCGTAAATAGCAGTGAAGGTGTAACTTCCACAGGAAAAAAAAGGCTGACAGTTCTTCCAGTTTTGTCTTAACCTTTCTGCAAGAGTTCATTGGGCTGCTAATATATAAACGTACGGAGAATAGAGTTTTTCTTCAAACGACTTACTCTGATTCAGCGGCCAATGTGTGTAAATCGTATTCCTCCAACTGTTTGAGGCAATCTTCGAGACTAGTTCCTTCGCTTTTTCTCACTGACACCTCGACCTCTTGAAACTCTAGTTCCGACCTCGTGTCACCCACGTGAACATCGAAAACATTAACGTGTCCGTCGTGCAATCCACGTGACTGTTTCACGCGGCCGTCAGCAGAGCAGCACGCCTCGTTCTTGCGTTGTTGCAGGAGTTTTGCGTGACGTATGATGTCCTGTGTCATGCGTGAAGCCATCTCGACAAATGCTTCTGTGATCTCGCTCCTAAAACGAGAGAAATGAAGGAGATAGTTTGCTTCAACGTGCTTTGATGAATAGCTATTTGGATAGATATCTGTGGTGCGAACAACTGGGCTAAACTAAACAAGCTAAACTAACTCCAGTCCTTTCCATACCTGCACCCCTTGGGTCTTGCTCTGGTATAATCCATGAGCACTTCACAAAAATGTCGGCCCATTGCTTCGAAATCTCCGAAATGAAAGTGTCGTCCGGCAGCTCTGTAAAATTCAGAGAAAAAGAAATGTTATTTCCACCATAGCGGCCAACCATCAACCACAAATACGGTGAAATACCCTTCTTACATGTTTCCAAAATTTGCGCCACAAAACGTCGCTTCCATGGTGAAGCTGTTTGAGACACCCATCTGACGCCACATCACGACACGCGCTGTTCCCTCCTTGCATTTGCGTACTTTGAACTTGCATTCGCGGAACGAAAACAGCTCAGGTGCCTAGAAGTTTTAAAAAAAGCTTTTAGAAAATTTTACCTATTAAGAAGGGGGACCACAGTAGTCGGGATGGAAGCGCTTGGAAACAAATTGAAAACATGACTGTTAAAAAAAACAAAAGTAAAAATATACATTCATTCTCGTTGCAATATGTCATTTACACAAGCGCTTTTTTCAACAATGTATCATTCTTAGTACCTTCTTCGACATCAACCATGGGAACAATCTTTCTTGAACGAAATCTTTGACAGAGTTCCCGCGATTCTCTGGCGTGCAACCGTACATAAACACGTTGGGTTTTCGGCTATGACCATGAAGATCACAGTATATCACAATCTAGGAAATTAAGAAATGATAGAAATATGATTTGTGTGTTCTGCTTGAAAGACCTCAGTCACAAACGGCAATAGTATCCCAACTTACTTCTTGTTCAGACGAGAAAGACTCCACTAGTTTCTTTGTGTGGTAAACAGTTGGGGAAGAATTCTGAAATTGGAAATATTGGTTATAGCTCAGACACAAAACAAGACAGATTATAGACTGTGGAATACTCCTTGCACAGGCCTCTCCCGTTTCAGAGAACTGATCACATCTGTTCTTCATAGATATACCTTTTTAGGGTTCATATAAGTCCTGTTAAGATCTTTAGCAGCTAAGTTTGTACGATAGTTTCCAACAATGACTCCATCTGGATTCAACATTGGAATTATTTTGAATACATGTTTTCTTCGTAAGTCCTGTTTAAAAGAAAGGACTAGGTCATCATCCTCCCCAGTCGTATCAAGAACGATACACGTTCCCTCGTCATGAACTGTGCTATGTATAATGCAAGTCATCAGTCGAGTTGTTTTACCCGTCGCCTGGCGATTAACCGGGAAAATCGTCTGGCGTTCGGGCAAGATACTATCACAATGTTAAGTTTACCTCAGCAACAGGATCTTGTGAAGTCAGGAAATCAAGAAGTCCCTTCATCATCCAACTGGCGTTTGTCTCTCCCGGATGCACGCGCGCTGTTACGACCACACCCAATTTATCTTCTCTCGAATCTAGAGGCAAATGCAAGCGATCGTTCCTAAGTTAATGTACTCGTCTACCACTCGTAACAATGCAATTCTCAGATTCGCTATAGAGACGGCTTTCGTCCTTCCAGTTACCTACCTTCAGATGTTATTGTCAGGACGTAACAGTTGTTACCTGCAATTGTTTTGCACAGCACCTGGATGGGAAATTTTTATCTTCCATTAGTAGGCAGAGCTCTTAAACTATGTTAGTTTTTGTGTGTAGTCATCTCATGACTTTGTGTTACCTGTTGTTTGCAGTAGCGGTACTTGATAGGATCATTCGTGATAGCTTGCAAATGATTCTCAAGGTCTGTGTACGTATAGGGGTAACAGTGGGTAAGGTAACAGACATCATTCACGTGAGGAAATTCCTATGAAAAAAAACAAAAATTGTTTAGTGTGTCGCCTGATAATTCAAATCGTGCACAAAGAGTGGAGATTTTGTTGTTTAATATTAAAAGCTATTAAGAAAGGAAATCAAAAAAGATTTGAAGAAAAAATTCGTTACCATTTGAAAAGTTAGAGAATAATAAATCTTGTCCCTGGATAACAACGGATGTCCTTTAATGTAGTTTTGAAAGTATTTAATGTGATGACCCTTTCTTGTCCAACCTAGTCGCTTCCTTTCCGCAATTTTCTCTGAGTAAAACAAAGGTTTCATGCCTGAAATGAAAAAATGGTAATTTTATGTGCATCTTGTCTCGTCATTAATTGCTAGTTCATTTTGACCAATGTTCCATTTCATTCAGAAATTCCGACCTGGAAATATTCTGTGAAAGATTGGTGCGCAGATTGCAAAGTGTAGCAGCCTACCGTGGTTATACAAGCTATCCTTCTTCAGGAAATTTATGATTGTGAACGTGTACGTGACACCTGGGATCGTTTTCCGTACTTGAAAGTAATACCTGCGGTAAGAAATGATGATGAAAGTCTCTTCAAGCGCGAATCCCGCAGTGTAACGCCATACAAAGGCTGGCCGCTGACTATGATGTTTCGTTATGTCAATCTTTGATTCAGAATCACAACCTACCATTGTGTATGTCTTCTTGTGTAAAGATCTGTGTTCAGGACAAGTTCATATTCATAGTTTCCTCTGAAATGTGAACGAAAGATTTTGGAGAATATCTTTCCAGTACTAACACTGGACCAAGGGGCGCAGACCTTGGGGAGGGGGGAAGGGGGAAGAGCGCGATCTTTCCCAAAAACACTCGAGATTCCTTACACTCGTTTTGCTTGTCTGAGATTTCCGCTCTCAAATCTTGATTCGAACTGAAGATGTGGAGGACAGCCAGGTGGAACTGCGTCAGAGTCCTAGATGAGATTAGTAGTTGAAGCATGTATCAATGAAAAGATAAGATGAAAAACTCTTCCTCTTATTCACCCCTGATTTTCCCCTCTGGGTTTCAGGCTTACACGTGGGGTACAAGGTGACTGAACCTTTCCAAAATTTTGTTGCGAGATGACTTACCAAGGTATTTTTTCTCTCAGTGTCAAAAACGACGACTGAACCTTTCCAGCATTTTGGATAGTCAGGATGTTCCTTCACCTTCGTGCGATTCTCGTTCGCTTCTGAAAACAGCAATAAAGAGAATTCTAGTCCTTTTTCTAACGCATTATGACAGCAATTCAGGCCATTTTGCGCAGGAATACTGGCTAATTGGCCATTTCGTGATTTTATAGAATGGAATCGCGCTAATCAATGCCCTCTGACTGGGGTACAAGAAGGGGGGGGGTGCACCATACCGATCCGCCCTGTATTTCATGTATCTTACATGGAGTATACTCAATGACCATCTGCAGATTGTGACATTTTTTAAAAGAACACCTGAAAGATTCGATGGAACGTTTCAACAAAAGCATTCTATTTTTTGAGCCAATGAATTTACTGGTAAGGTATATTATAAATTGTTTGATTTCGATATGATCTACGTTCCAAGTGCTTGTGTGGAAGATACCAGCTGTTCTTTTGAAAGCGGAATGACAGCCACTTAAACTACTCCAGTATTCGACGTGCTGTCGCGTTTGAAAATGCTTTTAATAAGTAAGACCGCTTGAGAAATTTAGGTTTATGAATGTTTACGAAAGATTATGAAGTAAATTATGCCCATCCTTATGTGTTCAATTCCTGAAGTGGGTTTTAAATTGGAAACCTATTGTATATAATTTTTCTAGAGGACTGTAAGATCAGAATAGTCCGCAGGTGTTCGAAATTCGGATCATAATAAAGGGAAATAAATTCTTTATCAAATTCTACGGACACTGAAGACACAGCTGATGTTTATATAATGATTACAAATCTTCCTTGATAGATCTGTAGATACGACTATAGCTTCAAATAGCATCAGACTGACTGACTCTTCATTTGTAGTCAAATGTCGTCAAGGAATACGTGCTCCTTTCCCAAAATATATGCACTGGTCATTCTATTTTTTTCCATCTCATATATAAAACATAAACATTTGACAGTTGTTATTACGATTTTAACCTAAACAACTTGTCCAAATGTACGAGCATATTGTATCACCAAGGAAACCGCTTTTAAATACATGGAAATTGTACAAGCATTGTGAATTAAAAATGAAATTTACAGTTCCGTTGCTAGGGTATATTTATATCATTTAATTACAACGAATAAACGAAATCAATGTTACAAAATGCAGCTTCATTGTAACAATTTTAAAATCGAATTCAGCATTTAAAGTCAGTTCAACATTTACACATTTTTCAAAGTCAATATCACATTTCTGTACACAAATCGTTTTCATATGCGGGGCATAGTTCAAATTTCAGGATGCCACGTAAATCTCTTTCAATTACACAGGCCTGTTGGAATCGTAATTTACGCCTAGCCGTCGGATTTCCCACACATTAAATGAATTAAAATAAAGCTAAATTGTACAATATAAAGTGGCGATTTCTCGTGGGCATTATGGATTTAATCGCTGCCAAATAAAAGTACTATATTGCTAAGACAGCATAAGAGATGTTTGTTTACATTAGGTTAATAATGGCATGCACCTTTTGCAAATACCCGCAGCAAATATCAAACGTTTAAACAACTGCTCTTCTAAACTTGGTTAAATGCGTTTACTAGAAGTACATAACTCACCTGGTATATTTAAATCTTCGACGAAATTTGGAATCGAGTTTAAATGCCTTGGTGGGGCCATCAAAGGCATTCTTCCGCTGGGAAAATATGGTCCGTCTCGAGCTCGCGTTTCTTCGTCTCTTCCTGTTTCGGGATAGTTAGACTTGCTTATCGCCCGTTTAAATTGTGTTGCAGTTGTATGAATCTGCGTCGGTACAGTCTCGCAGCTTTCCCAAACGACTGGCGATGTCTGATTGCTTTTAGGACTTTCAGAAGCGCGACGCCGCGAAGTTATAGAGCACAGAGTACCAGAAGGAAGCTCACGCATTGTTCTCCGTCGGTTGAACTTTTCCAGATATCTTTGCCGTCTTAACCACAATAATTCATCGTCTTCCTCAGTGTGTCGTTCGAAGGAGGCCTGTTTCATAATGCTAGAAGCCATAGCTTTCTTTTCCTCTTCGATCTTAGCGAGTCGTTTCGCAGTCAGTTCTTCTAAACGTTTGCGCTGTCGTTCTTTTGGAGGAGTTCCAAGCGCTTCGCGAACACGCAATTCAATTTCTTTTTCAACCGATTTCCGAATAACTTCAACCCATGATTGCCTGTCTTCGTCTTTTTCAAAGAGCTTACGGTCTTTCTCCTCCGAAACTCGATGCATATCGCGTTTAAATTGTTCCCTTTTTAAACGCAACGTTTCACGATCCATTGCGGTCGGCAATAATAGACTTTACACGGACTTGTCAATACAATTCACACAAATTTGACATCTTCATACAGCGCCTAGAATATTCTATAATCCCCGGTATTTTTGAAGCAGGACTACCATGGAATTAAAACTCAAATTCTACTGGCTTACCGGCTCAAAGTGTGACAAAATAAGACCGTTTTGTATGATTGTGTAAACGACGAGATTATCGCCTTGATAAATGTGCCATTTTGAAGGAAGCTATCTTGTAACTATAGCAACAAATGCCGTGTGGATTACTTGAATAATTGTAAGCTCATGTGAGCATTTTGAGAAGGTATAAAAGTGTAAAGCTTTCAATCTTTTCTCACAAATAATTTTTTTGGAATTCTTGTTTTTGTTTTTTGTTATAAAAATTGTTGCAATATAAGGTCGCTTACATTCCATGAGCCAATCAAATTCCTTGGAACGTTCCAGAAGGTTCGCTAATCGCTATTGAGTATTCAAAATGGTGGTTAGAAATGATTCAGCACTCTTGTCAGTTGTCGCTGCTTCATCTGCCTGTTTATTTGAATGAACCAGGGCCCAATCTAGACGAGGGATGTTTATTCCAAAATATACAGGGTAACACATTCTAAAAACAATTGCTTTCAGGGGAAATTGGCAGTCGGGCACAAGGCTTGCGTCGACAATTGCTTCCAAAAGTGTTCACTATTCAAATGTATATTTGAATTCAAATTTATAAATTACAAAGATGCTGGTAACAGCTGATTTATAAGAGCTGTCTGAGACGCTCTATATTTCATTATTTGCCTACACATGTGATAATTACATGTTGTTTTCGAAAATAAATTTTTGTTTCGGATGCACTTCTGTGCTATGGGCAATGAAAATGTTACAGCAGGGACCCCGGGCGAAGGGAAACAAGGTGGAACAGCTCCCCTCCCCCTCTTTCCGTTGCGAAGCCCCTTGTATGCCGTGATGCTTTGAGGTTTTCCAGGCCAAAAAGTCAAATACCTAAATACAATGATGGCTGGCTTGGGAGAGCCGTTCTCGGTTCTCTGTTACATAAAGTTTATGAAATGACCAGCATCTCAGACTCTGACCAGCATCTGACAAATGTACATGGTTTTCATGTACTTCATAACTAAATTTGAAAAGAATATTCCATTAATTTTTGTTTCATAAACAGTGGAACTTTTTTAGAGTGTGTAGCGCAATAGCCACACATAAAGACCATCTGTAAACTTAATTAAAAATGATGCTAATTTCCTCTGGCTCGGTCTAGCCGACTGTGTAGGCGGTGTGTTCATTATTTAGTTCATATAATATCTTCGTAGTACTGATAACTAATCAAAACAAGTGGCGTAGGCCGTCGGAAGGCGTTTCCATGTAAAAGCGTTTGCAAAATTAACTGCGGAGGGATTGATGAGAATCCATCTCTGAAATGATTATCGCGAGAACTAATTACAAGGAAGCCGAAGATCTATCTAGCCCCTCCCTTCAAAAGTTGCTACGCGACTAAGAACTATATTTGTCTTTTTCCCTAGATAATACATTACGATTCAATCTTGAAATAAAACTGACTTCAACTATTGAATTGAGTCTGTGTTCTGAGGTTTACTTCATTGATTGACTGATTGCCGTCAAACTCACTCCTAATTCCCAAGATGCCTAATGCTCTCCCCTTTCATCTCCTTTCATCCCCTGTTGTGTTTGAGAAGTGTCTTTCACAGGAAATTCTGTGATCTATAAACATCACTCAATATTGGTCGAGCAGGTGGAAATGGCAGGACTGGGTCTACGAGAGATATGTATCGTCTCTTTATCCTCGTCGTCAGTGAACTCGGGAACGTTCGGATCTCCGACCGTTAGTGTACCGTTTGCAGGTGGATATCGTACAAACGCTGGGGCCTGGCTCCCAGGTTCCGCTACGAGATACGTCGTCGGTATGCACGGGAGACTCGACATCTTTCGTAGAAATGCGCCCCGTCTGTTTGTGACGAAACCGGACATTGATTTCTTTCTGGCAACTTTTCCACTGTTTTGTTTTGGATTTTCAGGGGCCACCTCTTTACTTTCCACGATATTTTCCGCATCTACGAGGCTGTTCAGTTTACTTTCCAAATACTCGATTTCGCTATGTTTCTTGTGTAAATTCTTTCCGCTTCGCGACGTCGAAACGGCGTTGCAACTTTTGGTCGAAGTCGGTCTGGATTGAACAGCTTCGATATGCTCGATCTCTCGACCGCCGGCCCTTGCCGAAGCGCTCTTCCGTATGACGCTCGTAGCCGGTCGTCGACTGTCTGAATTGAAGATATTCCTGGAGAAATGGTGCTGCCCTGTGAGAGGTTGTAGGACACTCTTTGTAATAAGGAGTTGTGGAGTTGTGACGCGTGTTTGGTGCTTGGATCCGTGAGTTGAACCTTCCTTCTTGAACAAATGATCAACGCTGTTCGTTTTCCGCAACGCCGACGATTTCCGACTCGTCTTCACCGTTGTTCCGCACTTCGGGCACTTCGTGAAACCGCTGACGCTTGTCCAGAGTTTTTGACGTAACGATGGCTCGCCTCTTGCGCAATCAGTGACAGTCACATTCGGCGGGAGTGTTCGCTCTTTCTCAGTCTTCGTGTACGCGTCGCTGACTTTTCGGAAAAGTCGCTCGATGCAGGATTTATGAAAATCGTTTGTGTAGACGACCGCATTTCGGAACGATTCGATAAGGAGATTTGACAAGATCGCCTTGCTTCGTGAATGCGGACGATTCCGATCGCCCGAAGTCAGGTCGACAATCTCCGTCGTGTAGTAATGCTCCGGCAGAGGGTTGGGCATGATGTAACTTGGCTCGCGGATTCCCACGATCGGAACCCCACGCGCGAAAGCTATGCCAAGTTGGTTGAGGTAAAACGCATCTACCGTGGTTTCTTCGTTGAAAATAAACAAGAAAACGTACGATGCACTGATATTACGAAACAATGTATCTTTGTTACCTCGCGGGTCGCTTCCATTGGGATCGTAATGTGTGCGAACTGCCCAATTAGTCGCTAACTTTGCCGTCAAAACACTTTTCATCGGAAGAATATAATCGTCTTCCGCAAGAGTGTCTTCCCCGCAAATAAACACAGCTCCGTCTGATTTTGCCGGATCCATATCTTCGTTCAAAGCTGTGTCGACGCCTCTGACAATTGCTGCCTCAGCCAGTTGATCTTAAGATGCTCTCGGCCTCTTGTGTTCAAGATAATTATTTGAATAACAAGCTTTGATGCTTGCTCAAACAAACAGCAAATTATTTTCCCTCAGTCGCACGAAACAGACTTTTCCAAAACGATTTCGTTGTCGAAGCAGGTAGCTACCTGGAAATAGTTGGTGATTTATTAGTTAAATCCGTGGAAAAAACCCAATTCCATAAATTCATAGTCAATTTTATTTAAACCTGGCGTGTTTACTTTCTTTACCAATTTACCTTTGTAGACATTCGTCTCAATAATTTAGCAGTATCCTTATTCCTTAATTTGACACGTTTCAATCAGTTCCACGTTATCCTTATTCTATAACTTGAAAGGTTTACCTTTATTTTTTTAAAATCTATATGCTCAAAGATATGAGACTGTTCACTGTTGGTCTGATAGTATAAAGTCGGGTTTTCCAGAATATTTCTGTGCATTTACCTTTGGCCTTTCTTTTCGAAAATAAATGAAATCAGACGAATTTATTTAACTTTCCAATCCTTTCTCTGTTACCTCTTTCCAAACAACTCACTCAAGAAACCGCTTAAATAAAAGATAAACAACAACACGCGTACTCACCTTATGGTCTATCGTCTTCTCACAAAACCGTCATGAAAAAATACTGTCTTCTCTTCTAGTTAAAGCCGGGATAGTTCGCTCCAATCTTTGACCGAAATCAGCGTCCTCTTCCACGAGAAACTAAGCCAAAAATGTTATCAATATGCAATCCCAAACTTCGAATAATCGATAACAAATGACAGTCACTGCGTATAGTCCTATCCGTCCGTTAAATAAACCGCTTTATGAATTGAAAACAGCGGCTCAAAATTGAATTAGATATCAGTCGATAAGGAAATGAAAAAACTAAGAAACTATGAAACTCTTCTCCGGAATACGAACTGATGATTCAAACCTTTGCTGTAGACTTCAGCAAATGACGGTTCGACTCTGAAGACGATGAAGTCATGAAGCGCTCATAGAACTTGCTGTGTTTTTTTTCGTCACTAAGCGCTGCTGGCAGGTGCATACATACATATATTGTTTAATCACATATTAAATAGAAAAGCTGTCATTTCACTGACTGGCTTTTTGAATTAATTTTCGTTTTCGCTCATAATTGCGAGACAAATGCAATGTACTTGAGTGGGGCAGATATCTTCCAAATGTGTGATTTTACTACACTGCAGAATGTGGGAGGCTGCAGTGAAGCATGATTCGGACAGCGTTGAATTTTTTTTTTACCAGATATACGTCGATTCAAATGAATGCAAATTAGTTTATATCCTGATATACGCGTATCAAAATCATCTCCACAACACGGAACTACAACAGACCGATATCCAACACATTTTCGCCAAAGATAAACGATCTTTAGATATTTTTTCATCAACTCTTGGAGAAATATTATCCGACCAATTCGATGTAGTAATGTTAAGGCATTAAAGAGTTAGATTCATTGTCTATTGCTCCCCTGTTGTGAAAGGTACACGCGATATAGGAACAATTACGATCATTTGTTTGCAGTTTCAAACGAGTTCAAGTGTCTTTGCCAGTGAATTGTGTTTCTAAAACACTGAATAGTTGTTTTTTTACTTTTCATCTATGGTGCAGGAGTTTCTGTACATGCATATGCCATGTGCCGGATACGACAATTTCGTACTGTTTTTAGACTTAGCATGCATCAAATGTGGTATAACAACTTACAACTACCTAAAATAGACGAAACACTTCTCGACGTTCCGACCTGAGGGCCTTCGTAACACTCCTGACGCCCTCAGGTCGAAACTCTAATCGTCGAGAAGTGGTCTATTTTTGGCAGTTGTTATACCACATTTGATGCTAAGTCGTTTGAAGACGCTGCCACGCTGCTTCCTGGTTATGCTTTCAGACTTGATTGATTATCACGAAAGGCACCCCGTCCTGATGTAAAATTCGTTTGCATATTATGAGACAGAAGAGAGAGCTTAAAAAAGAGACATTTTTACGACAAATTCAATGGTGCTTTCAGGTTTTAAAACTGATATGAAGAAATTTCTGCGTATATTTGCGTCTGTGTTTTGTTTTAAGAGAACAAAGTCACCAGAAAATCAGAAACCGCATAGTGATGATTAAGACGAACTTATTAGGGTCCTCCCGCGTGTATCCTTGAAGGATTCATCGTGGAAGGATCGGTGAATTTGCAGTGAAGGATCTGTTAAGATATAGTGGAAGTGTGTTGTGGTTTAGACTGCACCACTGTCTTTACGTTCACTAAGTATATTTTATAGTTTTCATAAATTTCATTGGCCAAACATTGCTTCTGTTCGTTCAGTCAATAAATATTCACCCAAAGTTTTCTCTATTCGAGACCTTGGGGTATATACAAGGACATATTTACTCCTATATTGGGTGGGGTTGGATAGGATAAGGTGGGATAAAATTACAACGTGTCAAAAAATCCAAGATGGCTGCCTGTTTGAGATCTTTGTCATCATTCACTTGGTCTGTAGTTTTACAACATTCAAAGGCAACATGCGGTGGTTTATTTCGTTGTACATCGAAGACAACTTCTTTTATGCATCGATGTATTACGATCGGGCCGCGTAAGCTGACGTTTGGGAAAAAAACCGACCTTGAATTGTTGACGAGTCACATGAAATTGGAACGGCATGAAAAATTCTCTGGCTCTCAACCAAGTATGTTTTGTGCTGAATTACTGGCAAACCGCTGCGAAGATATGGATTACAAAATGGTTCGAGATAGGCAACCGTTTTTTCTGAACTACCGAGTTGAAGTGTTGATGCAACGGGTTAAGTATATGGAAGAGATGAAACTCACTCCCCTGCAGAAGCGGAGAGATGTTGAAAAGCATCCCCCTGTGCTGATGTTAAGTTTGGCTAACTCTGGGTTCAGCGTATATTACCTGCGTGGTTTGATTCATTGTGGCGAGGAGTCGAATGGTCGCAGTAGGTTTGTCCACTTTCTCTACAAGTGCCGTCCCAAACTTCGAAGTTATGTATTTGAAATTAAATCAAAGTTGGATTTTATATGCAATCAATTGGGAATAACAGTTGAATGTGCTCTTAAAATGGCCATAAACATGCCGTGTTTCTTGTTGTGGAATGAAAATTTAGCTACAGAAGAATTCAGGGTGATTCATCAAGATTATGGTCTACCATTGGGATATAACCTGGATTACCATACTGCACTGGTATACCCAACAATGTTGAAGTCTTCTTTCAAACTATCTCATGGAGTATTAATGAATAAACCAAGTCCACAATTAGTAGAAAATCTTGAGTTGTTTTCAATGTCAGATATTTTGAAATATGAATTTGAAAACTCGCAGGGAAAGCCAGGGGATTTATCCAGACTTTTGATTGACAGTTCTCGGGCTGAAGGCACTAACGAGAATGCAGAGTTGACTGTCTGAATGTCTTTGTCGCTGTTTTACTGCTGTAAGGTTGATCAAAATGCCGATAATAAATGTTTGATGTTTATGAATGAACCCTGCTATTGTTTAATTCATTGCCTCCTATATCATGCAGAGACTGGGGAGAGTATTCAGGGGTTAATTAAGGTGGTTTTTAGTCGATATAAATTTTTTTTCGAACCATATCCACTCCATATATGTTTAATAAGAGTATTTTTTTGTATGTAAAACAAAAATTTGGAAAGCGTGCCAAAAAAAAATTGGGGGAAAAACACCCAAAAGAGATCATCCAGCCTATACCACAATCTAACCTGGTTATACAACCGGCTGCAATATTCAGCATAGTTACAACTACGAAAGGTGCAAGGCGGTTGCTATAGGAAGAACTCCCCCCCATAACTCACATCTTAACGGCCGTCTAAGGGGGAGATGCACTACGGCCCCCAGACCATGATGTATGTGCACCTAACCGTTACGTCTCAGTGAGAAACAGAGTATGCATCGCCACAAGCCTAGCGCGTCATAGACGAATCAGCTACAGTGGCTAGCCCTGAGAGCGATGATAAATTTAACGTATTTAAGCTTTTCTTGGTCTCGGGGGGCGGTCCCTAACAAGTATATGCACAGAAAACGACTAATAAGGCACACGCTTGGAAATGTCAAGATTTAAACGCCTAAACGTTTTTTAAGTATTTTTAGCGAGAAATTTATAGTGTTTTTATAAATATTCTTTTAGAAATTTTAGTGTTTTGAAACAATCCTTGTTGGTTTTTAACGTCAAAATAGTCATCGTTCTCGAAAGTAAACTCAATATAAATGACTGAACGGCTTAGTTTGCTAAAATGTTTTGTTAATTTTGTGTTTGGTATTCCCGTTTGATTCGCCGGTACAATTTGGACCTAAATTGTATGTATTTATTTCACAAGTTTTTATTGTTTATCTTCGCTGATTCTGTTCTATTTTCGGGGAATATTTGAGTCCGATCTTTCTTCTTTATTTCTTTTACTCACTATCCATGATAAGACGGTGTTGGTTTTGGACTTTTGGTTGGATCCCTTCCTGGCCTGGCCTGGCCTCCCCTCCCAGCCTCCCCTTTCAAAGGAAAAGTGCTGACTCAGTTGTCCCAATTCAAGATGGCGGACAAAGTGCAATTCCATCTTCCAACAGCTAGTGTCAGGAATTGAAGTTGTCGTTTTGTGGAATATTTGAGCAAGAACCGACTTCAAAGAGCAGGGAACAGGGTCAACAGTAAACATCGATAGTAGATCTGTTCGATTGATATTTAATCGGTTATGTTTGCGCTCTTTATATCTTCTTAAAAGAGATCTGAAAACTTAACACGAGTTCCCGTGTCAGATGGATCTGAGCGTGAAAGATTATAAAATCATCAAGACTGTTATCCAGTTTATTGTAGCATGGGTATTATTTCTCCCAGCCTTTTCGAAGGAGTAGGTGCAGCCCTTAAACAAAGAACTGGTTTCGGTGATGCTTTGTGTGCTGAGCAAGAGATCAAGTGTCCACAATGTTTGTATAAGTGTGTATAACGGTCTTGGTTAATTGTCTTGACAAGCCTTCATTAAGCGGAGAGATGTTGAGAAGCACCCCCGTGTGCTGATGTTAAGTTTGGCTAACTCTGGCTTCAGTGTATAATACCTGCGTGGTTTGATTCATTGCACGGCGAGGAATAGAATGGTCGCAGTAGGTTTGTCCACTTTCTCTACAAGTGCCGTCCCAAACCTCGAAGTTATGTATTTGAAATTAAATCAAAGTTGGATTTTATATGCAATCAATTGGGAATAACAATTGAATGTGCTCTTAAAATGGCCATAAACATGCTGTGTTTCTTGTTGTGGAATGAAAATTTAGCTACAGAAGAATTCAGGCTGATTCATCGAGATTATGGTCTACCATTGGGATATAACCTGGATTACCATACTGCACTGGTATACCCAACAATGGTGGAGTCTTCGTTCAAACTATCTCATGGATCAGTATTAATGAATAAGCTAAATCCACAATTAGTAAAAAATCTTGAGTTGTTTTCAATGTCAGATATTTTGAAATATGAATTTGAAAACTCGCAGGGAAAGCCAGGGGATTTATCCAGACTTTTGATTGACAGTTCTCAGGCTGAAGGCACTAACGAGAACGCAGAGTTGACTGTCTGAATGTCTTTGTCGCTGTTTTACTGCTGTAAGGTTGATGAAGATGTTTATGCTGTTTATGAATGATTTCTGGTATTGTACTATTGTTTAATTCAGAGACTCAGCCATGCAGAGACTGGGGAGAGTATTCAGGGGTTAATTAAGGTGGTTTTTAGTCGATATAAATTTTTTTTCGAACCATATCCATTCCATATATGTTTAATAAGAGTATTTTTTTGTATGTAAAACAAAAATTTGGAAAGCGTGCCAAAAAAAAAATTGGGGGAAAAACACCCAAAAGAGATCATCCAGCCTATGCCACAATCTAACCTGGTTATACAACCGGCTGCAATATTCAGCATAGTTACAACTACGAAAGGTGCAAGGCGGTTGCTATAGGAAGAACTCCCCCCATAACTCACATCTTAACGGCCGTCTAAGGGGGAGATGCACTACGGCCCCCAGACCATGATGTATGTGCACCTAACCGTTACGTCTCAGTGAGAAACAGAGTATGCATCGCCACAAGCGTAGCGCGTCATAGACGAATCAGCTACAGTGGCTAGCCCTGAGAGCGATGATAAATTTAACGTATTTAAGCTTTTCCTGGTCTCGGGGGGCGGTCCCTAACAAGTATATGCACAGAAAACGACTAATAAGGCACACGCTTGGAAATGTCAAGATTTAAACGCCTAAACGTTTTTTAAGTATTTTTAGCGAGAAATTTATAGTGTTTTTATATTTCTTTTAGAAATTTTAGTGTTTTGAAACAATCCTTGTTGGTTTTTAACGTCAAAATAGTCATCGTTCTCGAAAGGAAAGTCATAAATGAGTGAACGGCTTAGTTTTATACTAAAATGTTTTGTTAATTTTGTGTTTTGTATAACCGCTTGATTCGCCGGTACACTTTGGGCCTAAATTGTATGTATTTATTTCACAAGTTTTTATTGTTTATCTTCGCTGATTCTGTTCTATTTTCGGGGAATATTTAAGTCCGATCTTTCTTCTTTATTTCTTTTACTAACTATCCATGATATGACGGTGTTGGTTTTGGTTGGATCCCTCCCTGGCCTGGCCTCCCTCCCAGCCTCCCCTTTCAAAGGAAAAGTGCTGACTCAGTTGTTCCAATTCAAGATGGCGGACAAAGTGCAATTCCATCTTCCAACAGCGAGTGTCAGGAATTGAAGTTGTCGTTTTGTGGAATATTTCAGCAAGAACCGACTTCAAAGAGCAGGGAAACAGGGTCAACAGTAAACATCGATAGTAGATCTGTTCGATTGATCTTTAATCGGTTATGTTTGCGCTCTTTATATCTTCTTAAAAGAGATCTGAAAACTTAACACGAGTTCCCGTGTCAGATGGATCTGAGCGTGAAAGATCATAAAATCATCAAGACTGTTATCCAGTTTATTGTAGCATGGGTATTGTCCCAGCCTTTTCGAAGGAGTAGGTGCAGCCTTTAAACAAAGAACTGGTTTCGGTGATGCTTGTGTGCTGAGCAAGAGATCAAGTGTCCACAATGTTTGTATAAGTGTGTATATTAAACGGTCTTGGTTAATTGTCTTGACGAGCCTTCATTAAGCGGAGAGATGTTGAAAAGCACCCCCGTGCGCTGATGTTAAGTTTGGCTAACTCTGGCTTCAGTGTATAATACCTGCGTGGTTTGATTTATTGTCGCGAGGAATAGAATGGTCGCAGTAGGTTTGTCCACTTTCTCTACAAGTGCCGTCCCACACCTCGAAGTTATGTATTTGAAATTAAATCAAAGTTGGATTTTATATGCAATCAATTGGGAATAACAATTAAATGTGCTCTTGAAATGGCAATAAACATGCTGTGTTTCTTGTTGTGGAATGAAAATTTAGCTACAGAAGAATTCAGGCTGATTCATCGAGATTATGGTCTATCATTGGGATATTACCTGTATTACCATACTGCACTGGTATACCCAACAATGGTGGAGTCTTCGTTCAAACTATCTCATGGATCAGTATTAATGAATAAGCTAAATCCACGATTAGTAGAAAATCTTGAGTTGTTTTAAATGTCAGATATTTTGAAATATGAATTTGAAAACTCGCAGGGAAAGCAGGGGATTTATCCAGACTTTTGATTGACAGTTCTCGGGCTGAAGGCACTAACGAGAACGCAGAGTTGACTGTCTGAATGTCTTTGTCGCTGTTTTACTGCTGTAAGGTTGATGAAGATGTTTGCTGTTTATGAATGATTTCTGGTATTGTACTATTGTTTAATTCAGCTCCTATGCAGAGACTGGGAAGAGTATTCAGGGGTTAATTAAGGTGGTTTTTAGTCGATATAAATTTTTTTTCGAACCATATCCGTTCCATAATATGTTTAATAACAGTATTTTTTTGTATGTAAAACAAAAATTTGGAAAGCGTGCCAAAAAAAAAATTGGGGAAAAACACCCAAAAGAGATCATCCAGCCTATGCCACAATCTAACCTGGTTATACAACCGGCTGCAATATTCAGCATAGTTACAACTACGAAAGGTGCAAGGCGGTTGCTATAGGAAGAACTCCCCCCCATAACTCACATCTTAACGGCCGTCTAAGGGGGAGATGCACTACGGCCCCCAGACCATGATGTATGTGCACCTAACCGTTACGTCTCAGTGAGAAACAGAGTATGCATCGCCACAAGCGTAGCGTCATAGACGAATCAGCTACAGTGGCTAGCCCTGAGAGCGAGGATAAATTTAACGTATTTAAGCTTTTCCTGGTCTCGGGGGGCGGTCCCTAACAAGTATATGCACAGAAAACGACTAATAAGGCACACGCTTGGAAATGTCAAGATTTAAACGCCTAAACGTTTTTTAAGTATTTTTAGCGAGAAATTTATAGTGTTTTTATATTCTTTTAGAAATTTTAGTGTTTTGAAACAATCCTTGTTGGTTTTTAACGTCAAAATAGTCATCGTTCTCGAAAGGAAAGTCAATATAAATGACTGAACGGCTTAGTTTTATACTAAAATGTTTTGTTAATTTTGTGTTTTGTATAACCGCTTGATTCGCCGGTACACTTTGGGCCTAAATTGTATGTATTTATTTCACAAGTTTTTATTGTTTATCTTCGCTGATTCTGTTCTATTTTCGGGGAATATTTAAGTCCGATCTTTCTTCTTTATTTCTTTTACTAACTATCCATGATATGACGGTGTTGGTTTTGGTTGGATCCCTCCCTGGCCTGGCCTCCCCTCCCAGCCTCCCCTTTCAAAGGAAAAGTGCTGACTCAGTTGTTCCAATTCAAGATGGCGGACAAAGTGCATCTTCCAACAGCTAGTGGTGGGAACCTGGATTTGAAGGGAATAATTTCAATATTTCAGATTTTATCCAACACCAATCGAAGTAAAGCTACAGACATCCACTTAGCCGTTAAAACCACAACCAATTTTGATGATTTGTTAGCGTTGAATCTATGTTTGCTTTGGCGAGCTTTAGAAACAGAGGAGCATTTGAGATCATGTCAGGAATTGAAGTTGTCGTTCTGTGGAATATTTGAGCAAGAACCGAGCTTAAAGAGGATGGAAACAGGGTCAACAGTAAACATCGATAGTACATCTGTACGATTGATCTTTTATCGGTTATGTTTGCACTCTTTATATCTTCTTAAATTGTCTTTGATGAGTCTCAAGAGGTCTGAGAACTCAACACGAGTTCCCGTAATGGATCTGAGCGTGAAAGATCAACAAATCATCAAGACTGTTATCCAGTTTATTGTAGCCTTGGGTATTTGTCCCAACCTTTTTGAAGGAGTAGGTGCATCCTTTAAACAAAGAACTGGTTTCGGTGATGCTTTGTGTGCTGAGCAAAAGATCAAGTGTCCACAATGTTTGTATAAGTGTGTAATGGTCTTGGTTAATTGTCTCGACGAGCCTTCATTAAGCTTACTGATTCTATCAAAGCATTTAGCAGATGTATTGGCCTCGCTAATTCAGCTTGGGTATTGTGGAGATGTTTGTCAAGAGGAGTTGGTTGGAAGTGAGCAGTTGATTAGTTCTCATGAAGAGAATGATGATTTTGAATTGGGGTGCAAAAGTGGGTCTGTGGAGAATGAGTTAGCCGATCAAAATAACGATATTGCGAATAAACAAGATCTTACTGGAACAACATTAACTTCAAATAACATCTGTGAGGGTGGGGTGTTAATTTCCAAGGCTGAACAAGAAAAATGTAGGAAAGCATTAAATGATATCATTAATAAAATGTACCAACCTTTGATCATACGAGAACTGATGTTTCTGCAAGGGAATATGTCGGGTCAAAAGATACCCACCCCCCGTGGGAAATCAAGCGATACCGACGCTCACAAGGAATCCAGGCCAGGGATCCCTCCTTCAGAAAGGTCTGACATGAAAGGAAAGACAGTTAGCAGAACTCCTAAATGGATGAGCGACGTTTGTGGTCACTTATTGTCAAAATGCTTGACAAAGTCAAATGGAGTGGAGAATATTTTGAGAGCTATTTTGGAGGGATCATCAGGTTTGTATATGCTTGTATTTAATACAACTCCTGGACATATCTATGCACTAGCTAGCTGAGTGGTTTATTGTTTTGTCTCTTGATTGTCAGGTACAACCAATGAATGGAAGATATGTGAGGCCATTGCTCAGGTTATTGCGAATTGTCCCATACAAATACAGTCACCAGAAGAATATTATAAATCTATTTCACCTCAGGTATGATTTGTTGGGATGTACATTTCATAATGACATCAATTGCAGAAAGCCTGATGTGAAATGAAGTTTTATTGGCTTTGCAAAACTAACAAGCCATAATCCAACTCTATTTAACATTTGCTTGCTGCGTTTGATGTCATCATTAGAAAGCCACTAAGAATTTTCATGTGTCATTAACACAATTATATCAATCTATCCATAAAAGGTCCTAAAGTTGCTGCAGTTACCTTCATCAAAACTTCAGCAGCAGTACAGCCGAGCATCAGTACAAATTATTCATGCCATGCTCAGAAAATACCCTGAAATCGCTTCTAAATACATTGCGGATTCCTTGATGAGACCGTTTCTTATAATGACATTGGAACCAGGTAATGAATGTTCAGAATACATTCACAAACGCCCAGGAATATCTGGCTATTTGGTTCCAGAATTGTCAATTTTTCTGGCTTGTTTATTTATTGGAATATTTGGTTAATGTTTTGCAGAAGAAAGGAAGCAAACAGTTATTGTGGATGAAAGAGAAATGACTTGTTGTATTGAAGGCTTACATAAAGTACAGTAGTACCAATTCTTCTTGAAAGTTTCTTCAAAGCAAATATCTTCAGTATGAATTATGCAGTGAAATTATAAAAACTCCATTTCCTCCTCAGGTTTTTGTTGCTTCACCCAACTCCAGTCCGGTGATGATGAAAAATATGGCGAGAATAATAGTGCCTGTTTTTGAGCTGTTTTGCTTCGTTAGACACAGTGCATCACATGTGAAGTTAGTTGCCTTGCTATCAATATCTTTATATAATCATTGTTCATTTCTGGCAGCTCTATCAGTTCTAAACTGTTCTTCCTAGAGGTCCAGTAGGGGTCATCTCTTATTGATCCAGTGTTACTACAGGAGGAAGTCTAAACTAAACTAACTTTATTTATGCTGGATAACTCTATCAGTTCTAAACTGTTCTTCCTTGAGGTCCAGTAAGGATCTTCTCTTATTGATCCAGTGTTACTAGAGAAGGAAACCTAAACTAAACTCTTATATATTTAATCTTATTACGTTTTTTTATTTTTATAGAACAGCGCTGCTAGAATTACTCTCAACATATTTCAAGCGAACAAACAATCTGACAGCATTGACAATTCTCTACGTATTCATCTGTAAAGAACTGCCAAACTCTGAGTCCAAAAACGCCTTCCTGGTTTCCGAGAATACGACAAAACCCTCTGGAAACTCGGGCGATGCCGGAGACCCCTCGAACGTTCGTGTACCATCGGAGGATGTCGGAAAACACTCAGATGTTCGTATATCTGAACTGAATCTGATATCAAATCGTTGCAGTTTTGAATTTGGCGAGAATGGCGGCATTATCTTAAAGAAGACAGCCTCATCCAAAGACAAGGTGGACGAGAACGTGTTTGGGAGAATTTTTGGAAAGGAAACCGCCATATACGAAACCCGAGCTCTGTGTTTTGTTGAAATTCTGCGAAATCTTCGAAAAAATGAAATTCCAGGAAATTTTTTTCTCTACCTTCTTCAAGAGGTCCAGAAAATAATTCTGAAGCCGAATTTCCAAGAAAGAATGAAGGCGTTGGTGATTTTTAATGTCTTGGCATTGATGTGCGAGAAGCTTGGGCCGGCTGTGTTGAAGAACACCGGTCACATAATTCAGTTCATAGACACGACACTGACACGTGCGCATCACGTGTACGTGGAGAGCGAGGGTGCCGCTGGCGTGTTTGAGTTAGAAACATTGACAATGGCCTTAGGAATGCTGTCTGCTTTGCTGGGCGGAGCTGTCAAGGTTTGTGAATTGTGGATAAGATTTACAAGAACAGCTTTTGCAAAATAATTCTTGTTGTGTTTTGAAGAAATAAATTCCTTGTATTCTTGGGGCGCTGAATTTCCCAGTATGTTATATTCTTTTGCCAAAGCTTATTTTTGTTTTCATTCAACTTTTCACTCAAGGTCGAAAGCTCAGATTTCGTTAAACTTCAAACGCTGACCCCGATCCTACTAGAAATCGCAGAGAGTCATGTTGAAGAGGAAATCAAGGAACAAGCCAACGACTTGATGGTCGTAATTCTCACGAAAACAAACGTTCTACGAGAAAAGGGAAACGTTTCACACGAGAAAACAAACCGACTGAGTGACGGAACGAAGATAAAAGGCAATAACGCTGTTGACAAAGCGAAAGAGTTCAATCTTGAAGCTGAAGATTTTGAAGGTGATTCAGATTTAGGTAAAAAGATAGCATTTACTGTTAAAATCATTGCATAGTTGTAAAGCCTCGGTTTTTCATGTCGTAATTTCTCAGGGATGTTGTGCGATCCATTTTCGGTGATAAATGAAGTAGACTATTTCTTTAGATAGACTAAAACATTTAACGTATCGGATGACCACCATTTATTTGTTTCTCTTTGAAGATTTCGACACAGCATTTGAACAGCTGTGTGATCCATTGTTACCAGTGCGTGGCCATGCGCTGATAAGATTGGGAAATCTACTGAAAGCTCGCGATACGAAAGCCGTAGCAAAGGTCGATATTTTGGTCAAAACCTTTCGTGATAGTCTCATGCACGAGGACAGTTATATTTATCTCGCGGCTGTTGAAGGCCTGGTCGCTGCGGCTGATATTCGGAGCGATGATGTCATACCCTATCTGGCGCGGGAGTTTATGGCTTGCTGTCGAGAGGGGACCGAGGCAAGTGGTGAAATAGACAAGGAAGAGTATAAGTGTTTTCTGAAAGGTGGGCATAATGTTTGAGTTTAGTTTAGTTTAGGTTTCCTCCTGTAGTAACACTGGATCAATAAGAGATAATCCTTACTGGTCCTCTAGGAAGAACAGTTTAGAACTGATAGAGCTATCCAGTATAAATAAAATTTTAATAATTTCTTGGTAGAAAAAGACAAGAAAGCAACGGTGAAAAGATCTTCAAATACTCGATTAAAAGTTGGCGAAGCTCTCGTGCGCGCGGTGAAGCGTTGTGGCGAACTAGTTCCAAAATATTTTCAGATTTTGACTCATTCATTTCTTGTCGGGGTACGGGATGTGGACAGCTTTGTTCGAGCAAGCAGTTTGTCGAATCTTGGTGAGATGTTTGGTCTATCACCGCATATGTTACCAACAATTGTTCATGAGGTAATCTAAACTCAAGAGCCACAGTTTCTCACCCAGGGGCTGACTGCTGAAGTGAAATGTGTTTATTTTCCAGGCATTTCATTGCGTCAGTACTGTGTTAAGATCGGACAAGGCAAGCGAAGTTCGTCGAGCTGCTGTATTGGTTCTAACACTGGTATTGAAGGGCTTGGATCAGAAAACGATTCAGGTAAAACTGGACGAGTTCACTTCGTTTTAATCTGTTCTTCTTAGAGCCATGTTTTATAGACTTTTTATTGCGGAAATTGACTTTACCTTTCCGTTAGGTATTATCGGACAAATTAAAAGACATTTATCAGCTCTTGAAACAAGTGGAATCTAGCGACCAAGATGAGACAACGCGTATCCATGCACAGGTGACCCTAGGAGAGTTAAATAGAATCATGAGAAAACAATTGTTTCCGGAACAAAGGCTCGTTAAACATATCAAAGTTCTGCCGTGAAAATCTCGATGGCAATTATAATCTTAATTTGTATATATCGAAAGACATTTTGTTTTGAAGAGACGAGATACGGGGGGGTAGGGTTTGAAGGGACGAGATACGGGGGGATCAGGCTTCAATATCAAAGTAACATTCCTACTTCGTTTGTGGATTTAGGAAGCTGTAACTCTTGTAAGGCTCGCCGACTAATTTAAAAGAACTCAATATAGTTTATAATTTATATGCGTTTTTACGAGTGAACTTCCACATAAATAATCCTAATTTTAATCCTAATTCCTAACTCCAAATCTTGATCGTAATCCTCTTCCCTAAACCATAATCCTCCATCTTAATCTTTGATCTTGACACCAGTCTCTAATCGTAACCCGTATATGATCGTCTCGATCCTTGATCGTAATCCCAACTCCCATTCCTTGCCCTTAATCCTAACTCTTAATCCTAATCCATGGATTATCACAATGATCGGATGTTGATTTCATTTGAGTGCATATTTCTTCATGACAGCCGCTCGTATTATTGCCATTCACCTTGACCTTGTCGCTCTTGTTTTTCAACTGAGTAACGAAATTATCCCAGACCAATATTTTGGGAGGCAAATTAAGCTCACAATGGGAGACCAAACTTGTATCACTCCAATTTATTACTTTAATGAATAAAATTAAACAATTTTTTCGCTCGTTATTTCTTTAATAACCTTGCGTCATAACACGAGGCTCACGAGCGTTTTTCACTTGGAAAGCATTCACGGGCCAGTTGTACAAAAGCCGGTTAGCTTAACCCTGGGTTAAAGCAAATCTCTAGACTCTACATTCATTTTTTTAATCGCTTGTTTACAAAGTTGAATATATTTTTCCATAAATATTTCTGGACTGACAAAAGCCATATTTTCTAAGGTTTTAAAATGAACAGTGGTTCAGAAAAACTTAAACCGAAACAGTGGAATAAAATCTAACCCAGGCTTAGCGCTAACCTAGCTTTGAACAACTGGCCCCAGGCCCCAGGGTATCGTTAAAATCGTTCAAGTTCATCTATCGATGATGTCATTGTCGGTGACCATTGATCTCAAGACATCAGACTCCATAAAAATTGCGGCATTCATGGCAGCCTGAATTAGCAGGATGTAAAAGCAAGTTAAGTCTAACACTCAACAGAAAACTTTTCATATGTATAAATTTTATCATTACCTAGTCGCCTTTTAGGTGTGGAAAAAATTTGTGGGCCATTTACTAACCTGCTTCAAAAAGCAATAATTATCCGCCGTAGTTGCAATTAATGATTAAAATAAATATATCAATCAATTCGCACAGTTGCAGTATCATTTGAAACGATTTCAAAATCCTGTGTAATTATATAAATATTTTATGAAAGATTTTTTTGCTAGGTGCTTCACCGCATGTATTCAATCTTTAGGAAACATTGTTCATCTACGATTATCCAAAGGAAAAATTTCTGTCCCTTGGTATTAGCCTTTCAATAACTCTGGTACAATACGCGCAATGGTTCGCCTAACCGTTTGAACCGTTTAATTGTTCTGTTTTAAATAAATATTTGACAGCGAACAAGGCTGGAAATGATGGAAACTGCTGGGTTTTTTATAGTAAAATTTAGAGAATATATGACATTAAATTTCATATTTTTGTGCGAATGTCTTTCAAAGATCCCTGTCAAACTTTCATGTATTTCCCCAGACCTGCGTGTGTGATTTTCAAATAATGGCAATCTTGTTTAATATTTTATAAGCAAATACTTATATGTTCCATCTTTAGAATAACCTGGGTTATGACTTATTATGCTTGGCTAAACACCTGCGCCAAAGTTTGCCATACTGTTTTAATTGAAATTTTAAAGTGTTGTTTAGCGAACGTCTACGACGACAATTCAAGTTATAAGGTGGGTAAAAAAGCCTAGTATTTGACGCTAAGTATTTTATCAGCACACAGGAGAAAATAAGGAATTGATGTAATGTTTTCAAAAGAAAGCACTCGTTTAAATAACGCGGACATACAGACTTTTGCGAGAAATTTCTGTCAATTTCCACGAGGTATAATTTATTGCCTTTCCAAACACGAAGTTTCAATGCGAATTGACAGGCGTATACTCATTTTTATACTAGAAATTTTCTTGAAATAATGAAGAGATTATTTTCCAAATTTAACTCACTTAACTGTGTCGAATTTATTCGTTAATTTCATCCAGGAAGATTACCCATTTTTGGTACAGTTCTGATACCAAAAGAAAATATGCACATTCTGCATTCGTTCCCGCTAAAGATTCTCGTCTTAGTTAATTGGTTATTCTTTAGTGCTGAAGGTAAGACGAACTGATAATTCCGCTGTTTAATTACTAATATAGCCAAACACCAGACAATAGACTACGACATTTTATTGTAGAATGCCATATCTATTTTTTTTGGTTACAGAACGAGTACACTATTCTGATTTAATATTTGTTGTTTTTTTAGCTTGTTCTCCAACCGGTGAGCCTTTTTCTAAATTGTTTCCTTGCATATTTTTCAAGCCTTCAAACAACACTCAAATTGAACTGCATATTAAATATTAAGCTTTAATTTTTTAATATTTTCGCAGTACCTCCACCGACAGTTCCCGAAAGCCGAGGTAAACACAGTGGCATACGAGTAAAGTTAGTTTAGTGTAGGATTGTAGGTCTCCTCCTGCAGTCCACCAGTTTCATCAATGAAAGATGATGATCCTCACTACCAAATAATTTTATTGACGTGAAATATTCTAAGGTTGTGTATCGGTTGAATCATTTTTGTTTCTTAGGTAACCCTGATTGCAATTTTACAACTGGAATATGCAACTGGAGGAATCTAAAAACTCCAAATACAGACACCAAGCTTGCGTGGATCATCGTAAACGAGACGACTGATAAGAACTCCTACCTGTTACCTCAACAAGGTTAGTAGGGCACACGGCTCCCCCTCGTGCTCCCCTTAAAAGCAAAAAGGTAGTGGGGTTACCTCCCCTTTCTTTCCCGGCTTCCCGTGCCCCTGATAACATCCTTTTCACTCGCGTTTAGGTTCAGAGCCTGGTTATGCCTGGCTGGACTACGAGGATGATAACAATTATTTACGCAGTGAAAAAGGTGAATTCAAAAGCCCGCTCATCACCGGACCCAGGTGCATGTCTTTTTATTTTCATCTTCATGGAAACGAAACTGGCTTCTTGGATATCAAAACTAAAGTTGAAGACGAAGATTCGAAGTTGATATTCAGTCGCTATGGGAACCATGGTATGACGTGGCAACGAGCTCAACTGTACATTAATATCACTGAAGAGTACCAGGTGTGGTTTAGCATTGGGAATAAACTAAGCGAAATTCTTTATGAAAGTCGATTAAGAATCATCTCTAATTCATCCAGTGTTACTAAATAGCTCTATCAGTTCTAAACTGTTCTTCCTAGAGGTCCAGTAAGGATCATCTCTTATTGATCCAGTGTTACTACAGAAGGAAACTTAAACTAGTCTAACTTTATTTATACTTGATGGCTCTATCAGCTCTCTATTTCTCTGTTAAGGTTTTTGTCTCAGGAATTGTGGGTGATGAGGTTGCAAGGCACGCACCAGGAATCGACGATATTTCATTTCGCAACCATTCGTGTCATCAAGAACCCAAAGGTATTTGGTTTGGATTGGGGATTGGGTGTTTCGGCGTATTAGATAGCGAAGACATAACCCCGTGTGATTCAAGTTAATCTGATGTGACTCGTATCAACAGATTTAAGTAATAAGTTCACTTTTTAGAAGTACAATTCAACTGCTCAATGAGAACTCATCGCTGCGGTTGGCAGGACGAAGGATCCGCTTTGAAGACGAAGGCTGAGTACAATAAGGGTAAGTCGTGTAATTGTCGTTATTTTTTGTCATTTATGTGTTCTACCAACTATTCTTCGTGTTGTTACATGTCACTTGAGTTTTTATTACAATATTAGATAGCCCTAGTTGTGAGAACTATCGACTACTACTGAATATCCCCTTATTTTAGATTTAAAGAGATATGTTTGGAAAGCATTGGGTGGTGGTAGGAAAAAGATTTATCTCACCAGCCCAAGCGTTCATCTCGAGAATGGCTGCTTTCGCTTTAGTTATTTGGTTGATGCCCAAACTTGGGAACTTGCTTTTCGCGGGCGGCTATTCGTGTTTGTTGAGAGTTTAAATGACGGCGAGAAGTTTCCAGTTTGGAGTCGCAATCTTTACTATGGTGCTGGATGGGACGATATTGCCATAAAAATCTCGCGGCCTGTTGGTCAGTATAAGGTAAACGTATTTACATCGAATAGCTCTATCACGGTGCTAATATTCTGCTGCTTATTGACTTTGAAAACAATAAATTTCTTGGAATATAAACAATAGTAATAACTTCAAATTCGCCTTCGTCAGGTTAGCCATTGCCCATTAGTTCAAATTAAACTGCTCTTATGAATGATCACTTCGATATTTATTTTTCTAGTTTATCATTGAAGGAGTCGAGATTACGTCAAATTTTCTATTTCGTGATTTTACGCTTTCCCCAAATTGGGAGAAATGTCATGGCAAAGGTAATGATGATTACTTTTGATTTTCAACCTGACGATTGTTAGTGTGCGAGATACTGCGAATATAGTCTTCTGAATTAGAAACGTCGTTATTCTACGACATACAAACCTAGTCTAAAGCTGGAATCATCTAATAAACTGTAAATATTTCTTTAGCTGAGACGAAACTGTACATAACGTCCAACCCAAGCCAGCCGGAGAAACTTTCAATCTCGGAACGGACTGGTTACTGTGGATCATTTCCCCAGTGGTACATGATTGCTGATGTTCTTCCAAGTTCAGTCTATCATCAACCCGTGTACGTCTACAATAAAAATGACTACCTTATACTCAACACTGACCGCAATGATACCCTGTATGGTAGCTTACAGCATTACTTTTATGTCGCCAATGATAACTCAACCAATGGTCTCAACCAATCACACGCCGTGTACATGATGACGAAAGATTTTGACGGGATCACCCATGTTACGAGTCTCCTCCCCAGGACAAGTTTCAGCAGCGCGGATAATACTTTCTTTGTTAAGAAATTTGTTGATATTGAAGAAGGTACGGGTTTAGGTTTCCTCCTGTAGTAACACTGGATAATAAGAGATGATCCTTACTGGACCTCTAGGAAGAACAGTTTAGAACTGATAGAGCTATCCAGTATAAATAAAGTTAGTTTAGTTTAGGTTTCCTCCTGTAGTAACACTGGATCAATAAGAGATGATCCTTACTGGACCTCTAGGAAGAACAGTTTAGAACTGATAGAGCTATCCAGTATAAAAAATGCTTTTTTGACGTATGAAAAATGTTGTATCTTGAATATTTCACGCAGATGAAAGCAAGTGTGAACATGGGTGGACGTATTTGAATGGAAAGTGCTATAAGATATTTTGTGAAAGTAATACAAAATGGAACGAAGCCAGAGTAGGTTGCATTGAAAACGAGGCTGATTTAGCATCTCTTTCAAACGATGAATTGAAAGTCGCTAAAGAGTATTTTGAGCAAATACAAGTTCGGCTTTTTGGGATACAAACTGTAGCTGTCGGCTTGCAAAGAAAAGATCTGGAGTGGAAATGGCTCAATGGTCTTGGGTATAATGGCACTATGTCGTCCAAGCGAGTGGATAAAGGTCGGTTGGCTTGGAAAAATGAAATGAATGATTGGATTTTAGAAGCGGCCATAGATCCTTTCTATTCAACTTCTGAAAAGCCCTCGGATGTATATTTCTGCGAGAAAATGAGAGGTAATTTGGTCCGACTCGTGATTTCAAAATATCTTGCCTGGTTTCTGTGGTAATGACACAAATACAAGACTACTATAAGAATTGTCATTACTGACCCACTTTGTTGTGTTTGGCTGTCAGTACGTTGAAATTGTTTTCATTTTTTAGAAAATGTTGCATATCGTAAACCAATAAACCAATCAAGTTCTAAATCAACGTCGGGGCCAGGTCTCCTTGTTGATGCTGACGACAAAACGTGCATCACCATCGCAAAGGTTTGTATATGGTTTTTATAATTTGCCGTGGTCATACCAGAGCAGAATGTCTTCTGGTGTCTCCTCGATTAAAGATAGCCACAACCCCTTCCTTAAGAATCAGTTACTCTAATTCCTCAAGGACAAGGGGCCTCTCTTCGTTATTAATTTCTTTATCATGCTAACAAATACCCTTAAAGAACCATTTTTAATTCTTAGCAAGCACAAGCGGTTTGGATGCATATCGACTTGCAGTCTGAGATGAGGATTTATCGTATCAAGTTGACGCCGTCACCGAACCAAAGACAAACAACAATTTATGTCTATTTAACACTCAACGAAACCGTCTCCCAGTCGAAGGCTGCTGTTCTTCCAAACAAAGCCATAAACATATTTTTGGAGCCACCGACTTTAGCAAACTTTATTAAACTTAAAATGAAAACAGACCTGACTGAGATTTTGCTCTGTGAGATTGAAGCGTACGAGACAGGTACGAAAATTGTAAAACTCGTATTCTTATTTTCGCGTCAATTATTGTGTGCGTGAATTCCTCAGCAACATACTGAACTTAAAATACTTCAGCAAGCGTCTATCTCAGCTGGTTTCTGACTCTGTGCTTGTTTTGTGAGAAGTAAATCTCGCAAGACACGTTTTTTCTTTGGCAAGGCTGGCTAAGTTGTTAACCCTCAGCCAAGAGTTCAGGTCAGCCTCGAACCCAGCTGATTTGAACCATAACCAAGCATATTTCTTCGTATTCATAAATTTTAGACGACTTGGATGAACTGCGGGGTGTAATGAGGTCATTCACACCTGAGCTCTTAGTGGCGGATGATCTCTCAAGCCTTGAAGAGAACAGTTACCTTACAGTTCCCGAATTCTTCCACACTTTTCCCCACTTCACAATACCCGAGCTTGTTTACCCCAGAAGAGGATTTGTGGAAACGTTGGAAGCGTATTTAATGGTAAGACAAGGAGCTTGAAAGTTTTGTTTGACTGTGAGGTTTTACAGTGGAATGGAAAGTGGGTGAAATAAAGTTGCAGGAAAGTGAATGCGAGGAGAAATAGTCGCGTGAGGCTGATGTGGAATATGAAATGTTTGCGGAAATGTTATAAAATTATTTTCTTTTTTGCAGCTAAGCGTCAGTGGAAATTTTACATTCAAAACAAGAGGTGAAGATGAAGTGGTCTTCAATCTTTCACCAAGACGAGAGAACACGACTTCGCCGATTATGAAATGGGAAGTTAGGTATAAATTGTTGTCCATCAGTCCATGTAAATATTATCAGCTAACAAACACGTCTGATATGAGATATGAGCTGATCCACGAAACTCAGACACTTTACTTGAGTATTTATCCTTACGCTTTCTTGTTGAACAACTTGTTTTTCTTTTACATTTAGTAAAACCAAGAATTTATCGTCAAGCGTAAATATCGAAGCTTGTGTCATGTACTTTTTGAAAGGAACTGTGAAACAAGTCGTTGACAAATCTTTGTCGTTGTCCCTAGTTCAGCTGTCAGACAATGGTTCTGTCGTTGTTGATATCTCTCTGAATGAAAACCCTTTTGACGAGAATCTATTCTGGATTTTACCAGGTGAAAACATGGCACATTGCGTGTTCATTCCTGAACTTTGTTCAGACGATGTTCGCCATGTTGTCAGGTGAACTCAAAAATTTTAATAGAAATCAAATGGATATATTTAGGTGAACTACATGTCGATTTTGCGTTTGAAACCGAGGGTCATCTTAATACGATTGTTGGCGAACCTACTTTGATTACTGGTGAGTAATGAACGAACTTTGATAACATTCTGTATGGAACCCAACTTTGAAATGAATAATGAATTTCTACTGCAAACTAGTCAAGTATAGTTGTAAATATCCTCTCTACCGATCATCTCTTCACATTGTTCTTCTATTAGGTGTGTTTGAGAGTCGTTGCGCAGGATTTTATTGTGGTTACTGTTACCTTGTCGTGTTCATGACATTTGCTGGTCGTGTTCAGTGTAAGCTGTTAACCAATCAAAGCGCCAGCCATACTGGTTTTATTATGATAAATTTATCTGACTGGGTTTTACAACCTGGTATCTACGATGTCAAGGTATTTTGTTTACAATAGATAGCTCTTTCAGACCTAAACTGTTTTTCCTAGACCTAGAGGTCTAGTATGAATGGTGGAAATCCGAAATAACCATTTTTGACGTGTTTTTTTCCAGATGGGATACCGAAGAAACGGAGATTGCGCAGAAATCATGAATCTACCTGAACCTGGAACAGATTTAAAATGGGAATTAGAAATCGTTGGTCGCGTTCGGGTGAATCGTAAGTATAAATCAATGCTAAAACGCTCTTGAGCGCAATGAAAATAAAGGAAATAGTCTACATATGTCATTGCACTTCACTAATTGCTGCTTGTTATTTACAAACAGCTGTTATTGCGATTTCCTGCCTGTTTACGGACAATATCTGTGATGCAACTGTGTCACATAGTGGATGGGACAGAGTAAAGTATTCTAGTAATAATATTTCAGGTAAGGACTCCGGCGGGCCATTTTATAACTTTTCAGAACTGCTGCATGGGCCCAACATGCATAATCAAGAATATATGTTGTTAATTTTGACAGGTTTCGCTTTTCAAAGTTCTGTAAACAATGTCACCTCGCTGTTCTCATTTGGTTCAGTTGAAAACACTGCCATCACAAGTTTTACTGGTCTTTGTGCCAGGTTCAGATATAAGTTGTCCAATTCGTCGGCTACGACACTTTCTCTCTCGACACGCACACGACATGACGTTGAGAAAAAAATATGGCAGCTGTCTGGAGTTCATGGCGACAGTTGGCATAATGCCTGGGTCCACTTAACTATGCCGAAAGAAACTCTTGAAGTATGTTTTGCCTTGAAAGTTTGTTTACAATTAACTTAAAGTTTTATAACTCAATTTTTACTCACGTTCATACGTTCCAGTTTGTTTTCAAAGTTTATCCAACAAAGACAAACGAGACTGCATTGATATCAGATGTTCAAGTCCTCACAGACTCTTGTCCAAACCAAATTAATCCATACATGGCCCAAATCGGTATGAAGATGTAGATAACAGTGTTTAAAATCCGTATATACTTGTGTTGGATCATTTCTGAATGATTCTGCTGTTGCACTGAGCATTGCGCAAATGAAACAAACACCATTCTTTCGTGTTCCAAGGTCATTCATGCACTGATAATCAATTCAGTTGTTCCAATGGCGAATGTTTGAAGATCAGTCAACGATGTGATGGGGAGAAACAATGCTTAGATGAAAGTGACGAAGCAGGTTGCGATTGTATTCTTGGACAGTTCAAATGTGTGTTGAGCCATGAGTGTGTTTCATCGAAGAAAATTTGCAACGGAGAAAGCGATTGTAACGATGACTCTGATGAAAGAAATTGCGGTGAGATGGTTTGAAAAGTTCAGGCAATGTTCTGCAATTAACTGCCGTGGTTTACATCTGGAGCTGAAATATTCTTGTTTAGATTTTTGTACGAAAGACGAGTTTTACTGCCCCAGTGGAAGATGTGTGCCGTGGAGCTCTACCTGCAATGAAGTGTGGGATTGCGAAGACGGGTCAGATGAACCTAACGTTTGCAGACTTTCAGAAAATGGATTAACAGGTACATTTATCACATTTATTAAATAACCATCTTAGTCCAAGAGAAGAGCTTTGTGACGGGAGAGTTTTCTCCTGTTATCTTGTGGATCATCTAGCGAATTGTGTAGAAATGGCCGCCGGATATTTTAGCTAACTGATATTTCCTGTGATTTTTAGCGAACAAAACGTGCAGTTTAGATAATCTTGGATGTCTTTACGATGAGAAACTGAATAGTACAGATTGTGGATATTATCAAAGTAAGAAATGCAAATATTTTTTCCTCTAAAGACGTTTTATGCGCAATTAGTCTCGGGAGGAAAGTGGACGTTTCACCAACTGAAACTCCTTTGAGTATTCGTTCTTTTTCAGAATGCGACTTTGAGAACGGCTGGTGCGGATGGAGTAACGTGGGCTCACGTGACTGGAGGGCCAATCAGGGGGCGACTTCATCAGAGAATACTGGCCCGGAAGTTGATCATACGACTACCTCATCAGAAGGTAAGATATGATGTAATGCATATTTGCACGAAGACAGTCGTGGCGCCGAACACCACCACGTTGTAGCAATCTGTGGTCCTGGAGTGATTCGTCACAACCCGGCCATAGCTAGCTTCTCAGAGCGGAGATTTTTGAGATTACCTTTCAAATCATTCCAGGTAGTTATCTCTATATTGAGGCCAGTACTCAAGAAGGGAACCAAGGTGAGATAGCTCGTCTTCTGGGGGGTCCCTTCAACGCTGGTGCAGTATGCCTACAGTTCTACTACCATATGCATGGTCAAGATATTGGTCATTTAGCTGTGTACACAGCGTCGACTGGTAACAAAACAATTGAAGAGGTGTTGTGGAAGCGAGCAGGTGAAGTTGACATGCGTTGGCATAAAGCTTTGGTCACTCTTGACAGTGAGAACGAGTTTATGGTAAGAATTATACCTTTACTTTTACTGGATAGCTCTATCAGTTCTAAACTGTTCTTCCTAAAGGTCCAGTAAGGATCATCTCTTATTGATCCAGTGTTACTACAGGAAGAAACCTAAACTAAACTAACTTTATTTATACTGGATAGCTCTATCAGTTCTAAACTGTTCTTCCTAGAGATCCAGTAAGAATCATCTCATATTGATCCAGTGTTATTGTAGTTCGCTGGAAACCTCAACTATGAACATTGTTTCATTTAGATAATCGTGGAAGGTGGATTGGGTTCCGGACATCGTGGTGACATCGCTGTGGACGATATTGAAGTTATCAAGGGATCTTGTTTAGAAGCGTATCAAGATGGTAAGTTTTTGTTTCTCATCAACGCGCTGCCTAAACATGAATCAGACGAAGTCTTCATTTATTTAGAGGATATCTTGACGTGCTCTTTTGATGAACCATGCTCTTGGGATGGACTAGAAACGTGGGAAAAGAGTTCACACAATGCAGATAATTCGTCCCTTTTGGAAGGTTGCTGTGTTTTAAATTTCTTTTCTATCTTCTGAACCCTCCTAAACTCGGATAAAGAATCAGTGGATAGCGATACGCGAGGTCTTTTCAATTACCATCCTCTTATCTTGTTTTCTAGGTTCATTTATTTACACAAAAGCTCCCTTTTCTCTTACAAAAGAAGTCAGCCAACGTTCTAGTAGCATTTCTTACCAATGTTTATCATTCTGGCATCAGCATACCAGCATATCATGTGAAAACACGACCATTTCCGTCAGTCAACGATCTTTTGACTACAAATGGTCCATTCCGGTCATTAATACGAGACGTTTCAACGAGAAATGGCGATTTTCTGAAATACCATTGAAGCAGTCAACTCAAGACTACACTGTGAGTTTCATCCTCGCTGGTTAACTTTATCAGTTCTTAACTGTCGGAGGAAACCTAAACTAAACTAACTTTATTTCTACTGGATAGCTCTATCAGTTCTAAACTGTTCTTCATAAAAGTCCAGTAAGGATCATCTCTTATTGATCCAGTGTTACTACAGGAGGAAACCTAAACTAAACTAACTTTTTTGATACTGGATAGCTCCATCAGTTCTAAACTGTTCTTTCTAGAATTCCGATAAGGATCATCTCTTTTTATCCATTGATAGTCTTACAAGATGAATCACAACCTAATCTTCTTTTTAAAGCTATCGCTGAAAGCTACTGTGAATGAGGAATCCCTGCAAAGCTGTGTGGTAGCCATTGATGAACTGAACCTGTCACCTGAACCTTGTACAAACATTAAAGAAGGTAATTGAGATACATTAAGGCCATTGTTATTAGAGTGGAAGTATTTGCGTGGAATATTTAGAGAAGGAACTGTCACAATTTGATGCATATATTTTTTGAAATTATTTTCGTAGGCTTGGATGTCCTTGCTCGTATCGATTCGACGTTTTATCATGGCGTTGAAATCAATTTCACCAAAGATATGGTTGCCGTTTTCTTTCAAGAACCGTCACCCCAGTTCAAGCAACTTTACGACAAGCTGAATGTGAACGAAGTAGTTAAGAATATACCCGTGAATGTTTCGCAGTTGAAACCTGATTTGCGGGTTATTTTAGAGACTGAGCCTGGTGCTGCTGTTCTTGGTACGGTTATGGGCGAATATCTTCATGAAAACATCACCGTTCATGAAAACATCACCGTTCATGAAAACATCACCGTTCATGAAAACATCACCGTTCACAACAATAGCACTAACAACAGCGACAGCAGTAATGATTCTGCTATCTCCATCCATAGCAAAACGAAGCTGGTGAATTTGACCGTGCGTCTTGATGGAAGCGGAGATATCGTATCAGTAACACGGGGGAGAATTTGGTTGCTTCCACTACAATTGGCAGACAAAGGTGACGTTATTATTGTAAAGGTATTGGTTAGTAAGCTCACGGTCGAGTGGTTGGTGTTTTTCTTCTCCAAAACTGTGTGTGTTTGAAATTTGCAACATCCAGTTTGATATTTATTGTTTAATTTAGGCTGGATTTGGAGAAATCCTGTGAAAGATTGCGTTGACGGAACATTCTTGAACGGCTCGTGTTACAAAACAGTTAACCAATCAAATTGGTTCGATGCTGTTGACCAGTGCAAGTTTTTTGGAGGCAATTTGCTTAGCAAAAGTAATTCTAAACAACTGCAGGAATTTTCAAGAAATTATGCAAACTTGGCGTTATTTTGGATATATGATGATCATTGGTCGGTGTTTTCGAATTCTCAGAACTATAGAAGTGTATTATTGCTTAATGGAACAACAGGGAAAGTTATGTACAGTAATGTTTCTCGAAATGGATCTGATAGTAATCTTCTCAACGGAACATTGAGAGGAAATATGTCTGGAAACAGTGCCTTTGATGAGAGATTCAGAGGAATGGTTGATGAAGAAGGCCCTTTCTTGTGTCCAGCGTTTTACAAGGAATATATTGTGGGGGTGAACTGCAGCAAAATGCTTTTGGGTGTGTGTGATATTCCAGGTAAAATTGGGGGGATAATGGAAAGTTAGTAGGGAGGTGGGATGAGAATGGAGTGAAGGTAGAGATTGGAGGATGATAGGAGAGTGGAAGGGTTAAATGTGGAGGGTTTAAGGAGGAGAGGGGAGGAGAGGGGAGAAGAGGGGAGAAGAGGGGAGGAGAGGGGAGGAAAGTGGAGGAGAGAGGAGGAGAGGGGAGAAGAGGGGAGGAGAGGGGAGGAAAGGGGGGGGAGAAGAGGGGAGGAGAAGGAAGGAAAGGGGAGGGGGGGAGAAGAGGGAAGGGATGTGAGCGAAGAAGAGATGGAAGGATGATAAGGGTGTGGAGGGGGTTGAATAAAGGAAGATGAGTGGAGGGAAGGTGAATGAAAGAGGAGATTAGGAGATGATAGGTAAGAGCAGGGGAAGGAATGGGGACAGGAGGATGGAGTGCATAATCTAATAAAAACTTCATCATCTGTAGTCAAACAAACGCAGATTATGTGTGAAGATCTAAAACACGACGTACTTCAGTGCCCTGACGATGGAAGCGTTCTAGAGATACACGAAGCCTACGTTGGTCAAGACGTGCAACAGCTGTTTCAATGTCTCGGTTACGATGTTAGCGGCTTTCAACATCCATGCAGCAGTTTTCCTGATATGACAAAAAAGACGAAACTTAAGTGCGACGGACGAAAGTCATGTAATATTAGCAAGTCTCTGAGTGATCCGAAGATCCTTTCAACCTGCTGGAGTCATAAAAAATATTTTAATGTCGAGTTTGGTTGCCGAGTTAATTCAACCAAAGGTAAGAGGTTGACGCCGTGAACAGTTGTGAAATCATTTGTTCATTCAGCCTTCTAGGAACACTGGATGTGACAATGATAAGGTGCAGACTGGTTGTGGTATATTAATAATCGTAGGAAGAACAACTAATGTGTGTTTCTTCTGTATTCTATTCTCTAAGATGCTGTTTTGAGGCAACCTTGGTGTCCTAATGGTTACACTTCCCGCGAATCAGAATGCTACAAATTTTCCGACGAGAAATTGATGTGGAGGGATGCGAAAACGTTCTGTGAAATTGATGGAAGTCATTTAATGTCGATTAACAACGAGAGAGAAGATGAAACGTTGAGCTCAATGATGAAGTCCTTGGGTTTAAGCGAAGTTTGGGTTGGATTAAATGACATCACTTATGAAGATATATTTGAATGGTCAGATAATAGTGAGGTAGGATCAAGGTGTATTTTAGATCAAATCAGACCAGCCTGACAAAGTCATCAATGATTCAACTTACCTGACGATAAACTTGGCTTTGAAAACCTAGGTTGGTTATACCAATTGGTCCAGTTCAGAAAGCTTTGGTGATATATTTAGTCAGAACAAGGACTGTGTCGCTGTCAGTGATCTTGGTTGGAAGGTGAAGAAGTGTACAGAGAAAATTAACTTTATTTGTGAATATGAACTTTGTGAGTGAAATATTTAGTAATGAGTTCTGACTTCATGGTGTGATATGAATGTGTTATGATTCTCAAAGATTATTTTCTTATTGTTAGCGATGGGATCCTGTGACTTTAAGTCAGATTTCTGTGGTTGGAGAGACGAATCACAACTAAACAGCATGGCTTGGACTCGCGAGTATGAAGAAGTAAATGCTTCTATTCCCTCCAATTTTTCTGGTGGTGAGTACATATATGTTTAAGAGCCTCTGAAAAGACCGCTAAAAATATCAAAGTTGTCTGAGGTATTGAGCATAAGTAAAGAAGCACAGTAATCTCATAAACTCATCTCATATATTTCAGGAGGAAACGATTCTTCTCTTGCGCGCAATCACAGTTCTCTCGAGCTCTACCCTTACCGAGTTTCGCTCTATCGTGACACCACTCAAAGACACGTCATCTCGACTCTCCTCTCGCCAGAGATGGCGTCCACAATCATAGAGAGCTATGGCGTGTGTTTGCAGTTTTCATTCCTTCTAACTGGTGAAGAAACTTCATTGAAAGTCATTCTTGATCGAAGAGGAACAGGGATGGAAACGTTGTGGCATGTGCGTGCTTCTAATCAAAGTTTCACATGGAGAGAAGCGCGCGTGTCCCTTGGGATAGTTTCCAAATTTAGGGTAACCTATTTGCAAACTACTTTTTAGGACCGTCAGCTTTCAATCGCAACTAAGCGCGACTGTTTTCTTGCAGATCCGGTTAACTGGAGAACTGATTGATCACGACAGCACGATAAAGATTGCCAAGATTGCATTCAACCCTGGCTTGTGCCAAGCATTGCCTGTTGGAGCTCAAGGCGAGTGCACAAAGTGGATCTCTAGGAAGAACAGTTTAGAACTGATAGAACTATCCAGTATAAATAAAGTTAGTTTAGTTTAGGTTTCCTCCTGTAGTAACACTGAATCAATAAGAGATGATCCTTACTGGACCTCTAGGAAGAACAGTTTAGAACTGATAGAGCAAATCAATTCTAAACCAGTGGATAATCATCTCTTTACAGACTTAAGTACAAATCTATTCATCAGCACAAATGGCATCTTAACATCGCCTTACTACCCCTCGTCCTATCCGAATGACATCAACCAACAGTGGCGTCTGAGAACCACGAAGGGTAAACGGATTCGTCTCGAGTTTCTCTACGTGGATCTTGAGTGGGACCCCAGATGCCAAAACGATCACATTATGATATTGGATGAAGCGCAGCCGAAGAAACAGTTCTACGTTTGTGGAAAGACTATCCCGGGCGATTTTAAATCAAGCTCTGACCAAGTGCTTGTTGTTTTTCGAAGCAATCACAAGATTCGTCGAACAGGATTCAAAATTCGATACCGCGTAGTCAAAGAAGGTAAGAAGGCGATAAACTGTGCAGGCGAAATTCTCAACTTTTAGTGGTGGAATAGTTCTCGGGTTTTGTTCCGCGCTAATGATTAATCACAAACCCAAATTACAAACTAATCTTTCTATGTTGACAGACGATGAAGAGGATGCTTGCTCGTTTGCCGATATCCCAGGTATAAACTTTATTATTTTATATTTTTTGTTGTTAGTACTACATAACTCTATTGGCTCAGATCTGTTCTTGCTACAAGAGTTCTAGGTCTTCCAAATCAGTTCTGCAAATTTCCAATCTCTTCTGTCCAATTTTACAACGAAGAGAACAATTGAAACCGCATTTTTTAACTCTACCCAGATTGTCCTAGCGACTGCCGTTGTTATCGATGGCCCTCAGATCAGTCGAGAATCACTTTGAGCGCAGAAAAAATATACAAAATTCCCTCTGTGTTCCCTCAATACACGGCTGCAATGTAAGAAATAAAAATAGAAATGAGTCCTTGATGTTCATTTGAATTAATGTTGTGGTCTTGATGAACGACTTAAACCATTTGTATCCTTTTAGATTTTTCAGAGAGAGTTCCTTCTATAAATTGAGTGATACTGACTTCGATAGCCTATCAGATCTGGAACTACTGTAAGCAAGGATTATTTCATTTATTTTTTGTTCAACTATATATGTTTTTACTTGTTTAAACAAAAATCTTAATTTTTTTAGGAGTTTGAATTACAACTTCATCTCAACCATTGAAGGAAGAGCATTTCAGAAACTCCGTTCTTTGAAAACATTGTACGTTATTATAAAAATTTCGATTATTTCCCCTTAATCGAAGTTGAATTGAGGTTGTGAAGTGCGATAAGTGTAAACAAATCGTTTTATAAACTTTAATCTTGCAGACGGCTTGGGCAGAACACAATTAGAAGCATTCCTGCAAATCTTTTTACTTTTAACTCGTCTCTTGAAGTTATGTAAGTTATGAAATGGTCTATTCATATATCTTGTTTACTGCTTTCTTTAAGTTAAAGTAGATAAAGACAACCAAATTATGCCGTACGATATTTCCTAAAAGCTGTGAGCTAAGGCTGTGACTAAAACTAGTCTGCTAAGACAGAAACTCTTGTTCTTTTACCATTTCAGAGACTTGAGTGGAAACTGGATTCAGTCATTAGAAAATCATCCTTTTTCTTCCCTGAGCAAACTCCGAGCTCTGTAAGTACCAAAGTTTTCATTCCTGTTGTAACATCCATACAGAAATACTTCGTTTAAAACGTCTAATGCCTACGCCTTCTGACAGTCATTGCTTCAATCCTTGCAGGAGCCTCCGTTTCAACAAGTTTGCTGTTTTAAAAGACGGCGTTTTCACAGGACTTCACAATCTTACTTTCTTGTAAGAATAATATAAATTTGCAAATGAGTTTGGCTTTTACAATGGACGCGGTGTGTAATGTGATTTATTTTTTCAGATACTTAGACAACAATGAACTACAAAACATGGATGATAATATCTTCAACGAGACTGCATCGCTTCAGATACTGTGAGTAAAGTATACGCTCTGAAATCCTGTTTGTTTTCAATTTTGTACAATAATGGTTTACTACAAATATCTTCAGGCACCTTCAGCGGAATAGACTACCATTTATCAAAAGGGAATGGCTACAAAATGTACCGTCACTGAAGAAGTTGTTAGTAAAAAAATTGTTCGTGAATGTTTACTTTGCCTTATATTGCTGATCAGTTACCAAATAGTTTTATTCTACTTTATATTTCCTAGGAAATTAAATGACAATGGAATTAGAACGATCGAGTCGGGATCATTCGATAAACTTCGTGAATTATCTGAACTGTAAGCCGAGTCGTTTTAAAATAATTTCAAATTTGTTCTTCTCAGTGCGAACTATAGTTTCGTGTTTTTAGCGATCTATCAGGCAACGCGATTGACGATATTCCGGAAGACCTGTTTACTCCTCTGACCGCATTGCGATCACTGTAAGTATTGAAAGCTCGAAGAAACTTTGTTCAGGCTCCTATCAGTAAATACTGAATAGTTCTATGAAATATCCGTGTTTTCGTTTTAGAAAAGTTGATCATTTTACGTTGTGTTGTTACGCGGAGAAAGCACAACCCAGTGTATCTTGCACCTCTCTCGGAGACAGTGGAATCTCAAGCTGCGATGAACTTTTGAAAAACTCTGTGTTAAAATACAGTATATGGGTTCTTGGCACGCTAGCGTTCCTTGGCAACCTAGGTGTCTTGATCTGGCGTATCGTTGGAAAGGATAAAAACCGCGTCAACTCGTTCCTACTGACAAATTTAGCCGTTTCTGACTTCATGATGGGAATCTATATGTTGATAATCGCGTATAAGGACAGGCTCTGGGACGGAGTCTATTTCAAGCATGACTTTTCCTGGCGTGCTTCTGATCTCTGTATATTTAGCGGAGTGATTTCGACCATCTCAAGCGAAGTGTCGGTATTCACGCTCTCTCTCATAACCTTCGATCGAGTCATCTGTATCGTCTTTCCTTTCAAGTTTCGTAGAATGTCAATGAAACGTGCTGTTTACCTTACTACCTTCATATGGATTCTAGGAATTGCCTTGGCTGTGATCCCTTTAACGGACGATTCATATTTCCACGATTTTCGACGCCGGACACATTTCTACGGCCGCTCACCAGTTTGTCTGCCTTTTGAGCTGTCGAGCGAAAGATCTCCCGGCTGGGAGTATTCGGCTTTTGTCTTCATCGGTCTTAACGGTGCGTCCTTCATTTTTATCGTCGTTTCCTATGCTGTGATGTACAAGACTATAACCCAGGCAGGTCAAGCCGTCAGATCCACCAGATCCAACCAGGATTCCACCTTGGCTAAGAGGATGCTGTTCATAATCTTGACAGATTTCTTCTGTTGGTTTCCGGTTATCATTATAAGTATGTTAGCTTTGGTGGATAGCTTGCACGACCCGAGAAAACAGGTGTACGCATGGATAGCAGTATTTGTGTTGCCGATAAATAGCAGTCTTAATCCCCTGTTGTACACATTCTCCACCCCCCTCGCCCGCGGCTCGACGATCAGAAAGAAACAGGGAACCCAATCCACTTCAACCGTGACAAAGAGTCAGAAAGAACATCAAGGTATGAGCAGATGAATGGTAGACTGAATAAATGGTTAAGATACCCTTTCATGCAGTTAGTTCAGACACAAACTACGACAGTTTATTGTAGAATACTACCTACACTAGACCACCACGTTTGAGATATCTTTTTCAGGTAGTTCAGACACAAACTACGACAGCTTATTGTAGAATACTACCTACACTAGACCACCACGTTTGAGATATCTTTTTCAGGTAGTTCAGACACAAACTACGACAGCTTATCGTAAAATACTACCTACACTAGACCACCACGTTTGAGATATCTTTCTCAGGTAGTTCAGACATAAACCATGACAGCTTATTGTAGAATACTATAAAACTAAACTGGAAAGGACAATCTATCCTTTTTTAGTTTCCAACGCAAATACGCGGTCAGCAAAAGCGAAAACAGAAAACAAACCAGGCGTAAAACCATCCGTTATTCACCGACACAAAATGTTAAACGAAGCATTTGTTGATGACGATATTTCTCCCAGCTCTATTCCACAGAATGATTCCGAGCCAAACGCTGCAAGTCACGATGAAAAATTCGTGGAGGATCAGGCTATCGACCATTTTTATGAAGATGTAAGAAATTTATCCCAGGATCTAGAAGATATTGATGTTATTGAGCAAGCAGATGAGGTGCATGAAAATATTGAGGGTTTAAACTCAGAGACAAGCGACGAGACAGTCTCGGAGAAAGCTTATGAAAATGTCACGAATGATACTCATCTTTGATTTCTGGCTTTTTCTGTACAAGAAGAGAACAGATGAAATAATAATTCAATGAAGAATTGTAGATACTTGTTAAGATTGTGTTTGTGCAGCATCATAGCGATTCACTAGGAAATAAGATTATCTCATCTGAGTGCTTTTAAAATGCATGAAATCCTAATATATTATCTTCATAGGACCCCTTCAAGAGTGTACTAAAAATATGACACTTTATTTGCGCCTCCTAGAGACCTAGACTCACATCCCGCGCGCAAAAATGACGTCCTGCTTCACTGAATAAATTGCGTTTCCCGAATTTTTTCCGGGGCTCTGTGCCCGGGGGGGGAAGGCTTTGCTGACTGTTGACTGTTCTGAACAGGTTGGTCGAAGTATACGTGTCAGATGATTATTGTTTTATTATTGTTTTGATTGAGAAGAACATAATAAATGCTAATTTTTGAGACTTAAACAGGTGCTTTGCATAAAAACGAAGCCTTCTTTAGGCGTCTCTTGCAATATCACGCTGAACTAGCAAAAACAAAGCTGGTTTATCGCGAGTGTATCCTTGTTGCAAACATGTCGTCTGCATTTCTTGTTGTCATTGCTTTCTCTTTGGGGACAAGCTGTTGTCTTGCTCAGCAAGGTCAACCGATGCGATTTGAAACTCCTAAAATGAACGAAGAGGAAGAGCACTCGATGCATATCCCTGGTTCCTTCGAAATGCGGTGTGACGCTTGTACAGCTGTTGCTTATCAAGTGAGGTCGAAGTGCACTTTGCTAGTTATAAAAAGCCTCTGAAAAGCCTTGATTCTAAGATTGGTTTATCCTATTTCAATAGCTCACGGCAAAACTCAAGCGTGCGGAGGATAAACGTCCGTCGTTGAAGAAGAAGGGTTTATCAGAGTCAGAATATCTTGACATAATTGAAGATGTCTGTGACAATGCCTGGGACAAGTATGTTATGACAGGCTGACAGCTGAATGTTGTATATAAATCCTGGTGTTTTTACAATATCCTTTAAACTATTGGATGGGCTACAGATCACAGGTATTCTTTTATCTGTTTAGTTATGGCATAAAAACTGTAGATGGAGTTAACCGTTTAAGTGGCGAAGGTTTAGAAGCGAAGGATGTCCCTGGAATGATGCAAGGCGGAGGAAAGTGGCCAAATAGGTAAGGAAAAACTAGTTTTATTTGCAAAGTCAAACTCATTGCTCTCTCATAATGATTCTCTATTTCCTCCCAGACTTAGAGAAAAATGTTCAACTGTTGCTGGAGATGTCGGCGAAGATGAGATATACAAAGAGTTTCGCAGAAGAGGGGAACTAACAACTTTTCTTTGCCAAGAATTTTCAACAGACTGTGTCAGGGAATCTCACAATGAACTATAGTTGTTTCAAAATTGTTAACAAATATTTTTAAATTTGCTTCTTTTAAAGTCTTAAGATGAGATAGGCTTTGCTTTAACCTGCTGTTTTTTGCTTGAAGATCATTTGATGGTACATTTCATTATATTTTTGACTTGAAGCGTTTGGAGTTTTGCACAACAAGTCAACAACACACAAATAACTTACATATTCACCTAGTAATTTATAACCAAACATAGCTTTACATTGAAATTAAAATTCTGCAAATTTTGTTTAAAAATATTTAGTGTTTGGGATGCTAAAGGTGGTTTAATTGTAAATTGAGCGACATTTCAATATGCCCCCCCCCTCCTCTGTCCCCTTTAATGTTGCAGATAGTGCTATGGTGAATACATGCAAGGGGGGGTGGGTGAATGGGGGAAGGGGAAGTCTCTCAGTGGGGAAGCCCCTCCTTAGAATGTTCAACTTCCTGTCGTTTGTAATTTCGGTAACTTTCGGTTTCGCATGAAATTGATCAAATGATGTCATCGACGTAACGACGTTTTGTAATTGCATTTGCTGTTTTCTTTGAAGCAAGGCTTGCAAGGGCAGCTACCAAAACTTGGAAATTACGTTTTGTTGTCGCCATCTCGAAAAATAATCGCTTACGAGTTGAGAGCTATTTGTAAGGTACACAATTATTTCTTAAAATACAATTATTGTACAGTCGGAAGCATGCATTGAAGCGGTTTTGGCCTGAGAAATTGTACTGATCCGTGAGGTTTTTGGCAGAGGTTTTCCGGAAATTATACTATAGACCTTGTGGTTTTTGGCTTGTACAACCCGTTTCTATAAATCTTGCCACCATGCATTGTATTTTAAATATTATCATTTGTTGCCTTGTTGGTGCTCATTTCACAAGTATTTATTGACGTTTTTATCTAATCTTTAAGCTTTGTGTATTTTCATCAACATTTATATTAAAACGTTCACAATTCTGTGGCTACAAGATCTTTCTAAATTCATCTGTGCTGTATAAAGCTATTGCAATTGAAACGGTTCGTTTATTTTGTAGAACAAGAATATTAAAATAAAAAAAGCTTTTGAATGGATCAAGTTGCAAGCACCAGTGATGAAAATTCTGGACGAAAATTACTTCCTGTTGCATCAGGAGTTGAAACTGGAGGTCTTGATAATCCATGTTCTGTTTCGGTTGATGATGAACATGGTTCAACCAATACCAACCACATTAAGCACATACCAACAGGCAGTGAACGAACCCCCCTGATTCGACCAAGAAGATCAACTGATGTCACAGATGATACCAATAGCGACAGTGGATTACCGACAATGCGGTATGGGTCTATTCCTGGTCGACAAGCACCACGCTTGGAGGCTAAACCAGGAATTATTGCAAGAATTGACAAAACATTATCACAACCAACAACTAGTGTTATAGCAATGTTGTTGATTGTGGTTCTTGGCATTGCCCTGACTTTTGCAGCAAATCTAAACACTGACCGTCAGGCAGGACAAATAAAACCCCATCAGGTTTTGATCTACATGATGCTGTTAATTTCTGTATTTGTGGCATGGATGTGTTTCGCCGTGGTGCCTCAAACGCCCCATTACTCACGCAGACGGGATGGAACATTGATACCCAGGCATCTGTTAACAGGCGTCGCCATCTTTGGAACAGTCAGCGCCACTACACAAATTCTCCTTTTCGTGGATTTTATAAAATGTAGCAAGCATGTTGAAGGTCTGAGTTACGTCTTTGCAGTGTATCCTTTCTTCAAGATTGCTTTCATTTACTTCCAAATGTATTTTTTCTACAAGCTCTCTCGTGACAGCATTCATCACAACAGTCTTCCCGGTGGCGTTTTCTTTGTCATGGTAACCTTAGCAACCAACCTGACCATCTGGGCGTCGGTATTTTTCAACGATGCAACGGGCGCCGCAAAATTGAGTAATGTATCGTGGTTGAATCATTACTATTTTGGCATAGAAAAACATGATCTTTGTGCTAATGAAAACCTCACAAGCCCAGCGTCACGAGAACTCCACAATCTTCTTAGCAACTTTGCACCTTACATCAGCACCTTTTCAATGGAATATGCTCTGCTTGCATCCGGTTTGTTGCTAGATGTTTGGCTGGTCATAAAGAAACCTGAAACCCACGTACCCAAACCCCAAAAACAGCAGTGGACACTCTGGCGTTTTGGTTTCATTTTAGGACTTCTTGCAATTCCTGTTGTGTTTGTGGCTTACATGAAAGAACAGATTGCAATAGATTTTACTGCCCCTAAAGTGATACTCTACGTCCTGAAGAGCTTGTTCTTCCTTGCGATGATGTACTGCTGTTTTAAATGCACAAGTCTTTTAAATGAAAAGTCAGGTTTCGTGAAGAAAGACAAGCAAACCAAACTGGAAATATATTTGTTGGGTGTCTCAGCCTTACTTGGATTTCCAGCATTCGATATGGCTTCCACGGTTGCAGCCATTTGTGAATGGCGAAATTTTCCAATACTTTATGTTCTCTGGAGTGGTATTGCTTCTATGTTTGAGCTCTTTGCAAGTTGTGTCCAGTTTTACTTCATCAGAAAAGCCTACCAGTACAAGCTTCCTAAGGTCGCAGATACCAAAGCTAACAAAGCATCTAAGTTTATCCGACAGTATGCCTCATTTGCTCTTGTCATGAACATCAGTTACTGGGCTTCAAAGACCTATGAGCTCAGGCATACTTCGGGAGACACTGTAATTGCTGAACAGTTTTTTGGCAAGTACACTTGGTTTGGTCTGAGCCATTTCTCCTTACCTCTTTGCATTTTTTTCTACTTCCATATTGCAACTTGTTATGCAAATGTTGTGTCTATCTTCAGTCAATTTGGTCCGCTCTGGTTAAAAGAAGATAATCGGGATGATTAATATGGAAGCTAGTCGTGAACTTTAATGGATTTTTGAACTTTATAACTCGAAATATAGTTTAGTACAGCCTAGTGATTCAGATGATTATACAATGTGTATACATAATAAGTTTATGAGAGCTTAATCTTGTAAAATACGTAATAATGTCTCGCGCTTATGAAAGCGACGGATCACAGAGGGACGGACGCGCACGCAAAACACAATAAACGTGCGCAAAAATTCGCATAAATTCCGCTCTAGGGATCTTCTCCCGGCCGGAACTCCGAGCTCTCGGCCAGAACATGGCGGGGTTACGCGCGAACAATGAAATTTGTAAATTTCGTAACTTGTTTCATTTTCGTGTTATGTAACAAGAAACTCTATTTCTTGGAAATTTTGAATGAAACGTTATAATTTTAGTGCCTAAACACGCAGGAAACATGTCTTCTGCACGTAATTTTTGCTCGTACGAGCCTTGCAGTCCAATGCTGACCGATTTATATCAGATTACTATGGTTTATGGTTATTGGAAAGCTGGAAAACAAAACGATAATGCCACGTTTGATTTGTACTTCAGGAAGAATCCATTTCACGGGGAATTTACAATATTCGCTGGCTTGCAAGAGTGTTTGCATTACATAGAGAATTTTAAAATTACCGATGAAGGTAGAGCTTATTCTTGCTTAAAGTTTTACTGCTTAAATATCATTCTTTGTTTGCATATTTGATGATATATTTTGCAGCTGAAATTATATAATTTTTTCAAGTATATTAATGCTTTCGATTTGCAATCCTGCGTTGTTAAAACTGCAGGTGTGCTTTTTGGAGTATTATCTGTACCAAAAATGGAACGGGGCAAGGTTTTGAAGTAATCTTGGGATTAAAAGTGGATAGTTACATTTGGCATCTCAAATATTTAAATCATCAATTTTTAGACCACGTATATTTCTTCTATGCAGAGCAGGTGCGAGCGTGCAGACAGCCCCGGGGGCACTCAGTGAAAAGCCCTAGGGGTACACCCATTGAGATTTGCACAGCCCAAGGGAATGTATAGAACCGAGGGCCAGGTCCAGCACCTAGTTTAAATTTATATATTTTTGTCTACTGTTAATTATAGTTTGTCATCACTTTTGCAAATTTGTTCAAAAGACACATTTTTGCTAGTTTGAATGACAAGATATCATTTTTGTCATTCTTAGATGTTGCTTATCTCAGAACTGTGTTTCCAGACACTACAGAAGAAGAGTTTTACACATTTTTTAAACAGTTAAACACATCTGAAGTCACTGTCATGGCTGTTAAAGAGGGTTCAGTTGTTTTTCCAAAAGAGCCTCTTTTAGTAATCTCTGGACCTCTGGCAGGTTTGAGACATTTGTTTGGACTGTTTTCTTAGTTGTACATGATAATAGGCATATAAGTAGTGCATCACCATCCTAGATTATGAGATCAGTGAAAAGAAGTTGTTATAACAGTAAAATAATTTATAATATTTTGTTAATTTAGTCACACAACTGATGGAGACAACATTGTTGACTTTGGTCAATTATGCAAGGTGTGATTCAGATGTTTATTCTTTGTTCTGCTTAGAAGACAAACATTTAATTTAGTTTAGGTTTCCTCCTGTAGTAACACTGGATCAATATAAGAGATGATCCTTACTGGACCTCTAGAAAGAACAGTGTAGAATTTTCAGAGTAATATATATTTTTTTCTATGAATTCATTTTAGCCTGGTGGCCACGAATGCTGCAAGGTTTAGACTTGCTGCTGGTCCAGGAAAAACATTGTTAGAATTTGGTCTGAGAAGAGCACAAGGACCTAATGGAGGTCTTTCTGCTTCAAAATATTCTTACTTGGGAGGTTAGTGAAGATCTTTGAAGGCTGAAAACTGGCCCAAAGATAGTTCCTTGACAACATTTTAATTTTTATTATTCAGGATTTGATGGGACGAGTAATGTAATGGCAGGCATGTTGTATGGAGTTCCAATCAAAGGAACACATGCTCATTCCTTTGTTTCATCGTTCAACCCAAGTGAAGAGAAACAAATTGGAAAATTACAGCCAGCTGATAAGTCAAAACCACCCAGAGATTTCTACCCAGAAACTGTCAAATGGTTGAAAAAAATAGCACCAGTTTTGAAAGTTGTTCAATCAGAAACAAATGACGGAGAGAGAGTTGGGTTTTGTGCCTACGCTACAGCCTTTCCAACATCTTTTTTAGCTTTAGTTGACACCTACAATGTTCTAAGGTATTTTTTTGGAGATCTCATTTTCTTCGATCCAGACGTCCATCCATTCACTGTTTTCAATCTTGAACTTCATTCAGGAGTGGTCTTCCCAATTTCTGTGCTGTTGCCTTAACTCTTTATGATTTTGGATATAAGGCACTGGGTATTCGTTTGGACTCCGGTGATTTGGCGTACTTGTCACAGGAAGTAAGAAAAAGATTGAAAATGGTTGCTGAAGAGTAAGTCAGGTCTAATCCAGGTGTACATCATGTCAATCAATTTCAATCAGTATTACACTGGGTGCTTTAGACTAGAGTTGCCTTCACAAATCTTAATCAAGTTTGTGTTGCCCCTAGGTTTGATGCTCCTTGGTTGAAGAAAACTACTATTGTTGCAAGTAATGATATCAATGAAGATACCTTGCTATCACTGAACCAACAGGTACGTCAGGTACTAAACTAACTTTATTTAATTATACCGGATAGCTCTATCAGTTCTAAACTGCTCTTCCTAGAGATCCAGTAGGGATCATCTCTTATTGATCTGAACACTGGTGTTACTACAGGAGAAAACCTAAACTAAACTAACTTTATTTATACTTTTTTTCGTTTTTAAGGGACACTCGATAGATTCCTTTGGTATTGGTACGCACTTGGTAACGTGTCAAAAACAACCAGCTCTCGGGTGGGTGGTGTGTTTTCAAAGTGAGTGAAACAAATAATCGTCCCTTGCAGTAGAACTAGCTGGTGGTTTATCCCTGATGAAGTGCTACCTGATGGGGTAGTCTAGGCTTGGTTTAGTTGTTGATATAGCGTAGCGCACGTGTTTTTGAAAGAGTAATTCCTAATTCGCTGCATCGTCTATCAAGGTGTATATCTTGTTCTAGCTTATTGAAATTTCTGGAAGTCCAAGAATGAAGCTAAGTGAAGATGTTGAGAAAGTCTCAATTCCTGGAAAAAAGAACCTTTATCGTCTTTATGGACACGATGGTAAAAGATCACTTTGAAATTTTGTGATTTGAACACTTTCGTGCAACTATTGTACAGGATGTTTTGGAAAATAAATTTCGTTGGGATAAAATCCGTTTCTTTAGGGAAAGCACTTGTGGATCTGATGACGAAGAGCAGAGAAGAGATGCCTGGTGTCGGATCACGAATACTATGTCGTCATCCAGTTCTCGAGAATAAAAGAGCCTGGGTCTCACCATCGAAAATTGAAGATCTTTACAAAGTCTACTGGAAGGATGGGAAGGTAAGGTCGACGTTTGACCATGTACTGTAGTTGTGAAGCCGTGAAGTCGACAGCTGGTACTTTCTATCGGAGTTTTATTCTAGTGTTCAATCAGTGTCTTCCTAAAAATAAGGTACATACAACAGATTAAGCACAACAGGCCGAAAATTCTGGGTATGAAGACAAAGTTTACAACTGAGAGCGCAATTGTTTGAGATTAAAGTTTGTTTAGTTTGTTCTGAAGTTTGTTAGATGTTAATGTTTTATAATTTTATTCATCGAAAGATCCAAGAGTCGATACCATCAATATCCGAGTCAAGGGAACACGTTCAGCAATCTTTGGACAGTTTCAGAGGAGATCATCTTCGAGTTCTTAACCCAACGCCTTACAAGGTCAGTAAACTTGATGTTTGCAATCTTTTTGGAAAAACAGTTTACCAATATAACTGGAAATCAATAAGAGATGATCCTTACTGGGAGCTCGAGCTAGGAAGAACAGTTTAGAACTGATAGAGCTATCCAATATAAATAAAGTTAGTTTAGTTTAGGTTTCCTCCTGTAGTAACACTGGATCAATAAGAGATGATCCTTACTGGACCTCAAGAAAGAACAATTCAGGATAAATATAACACGGTATATTTTCTGTATTTAAAGGTATCCGTCTCAGATAATTTGTATGAATTTATGCACAAGTTATGGCTGGAAAGTGCGCCGATCGGAGAACTCTCGTGAATACGCCGGTATAGTCACCCTCGTACCCAGGGTTTTCCCCTTGGGGTGAGGTATAGTTAGTCTTTATGTACAATTAGTGGTTGAACTCTAGGTATATATTTCACCGCAGTTAACCACAAATTTCCACAGATTTATGCAAGGGATCGGTTATGTATAGTATAACTGTACGATCACATGCAAATGTGAAATGATGAACTGATAACAAAATGGAACGAAAAAAACCCGATTTACATTACTTAAATACAATACTAAATACTGTACATGAAATTTTTTGAAACATAAATTTAAAGGGATTCTCGAAATTGAAGTTAAACCCTGATTGAAATGTGCGTACCAAATATTGAATATTTCTTTTTTCCGGGTAAATCTAAAAAAGCTTCCATGATTGAGCTTCCCGGAAGTCTTGTGATGACTGATGGATGAGTAGCCACGATTTCATTTCCTATGAAATCGAAAGAGGAAGTGATACTGTATCATCAACAGTCACGAGAGCAAAGCAAGTTCCGATTTAGTTTTTCGTTTGCACTTCTTGGAAAGCTTTTTTTTCTCGATTTCATTGGAAAGTCGTTAAACTTAAGTTCTGCTCTGTTACTTTGCAAGCATTTTACACTCAGACGTCTTGTGGTAAAGTTAATAAAAAACAAAAAAGTACAACATGTCGCAACCTTCAACATCCTCTGCAAGTCCTCAAGAAGAAATCACTTCAAGTTCAGCTGTAGTGACATCCTCAGGAGAGAACTCGCAGGGCAATGGACAAGTTCTGGTTAGCGAAGCACCGCGTTGGTGTAGTGTAAATACGAGACGATTTGTCAGTGTGGCCTATTTCGCCTTCATCATCATAATTGCTGTGATAGTCTTGGTGGCTGCTACTGTTCACACAGATAAAAAAGGAATTGGCATCGATCCTTTATCGTTGTATCGTTGTTTAGCCGTGTTTCTCCTCATTTCCATTCTATGGATGGCTACTTTCATATTCTCAAAAGTAAAATGGTGCTCAAAATTATTTGATAATCGTTGGTTTGCAAGTCCTATCAGATCTGATAGACAATTATTACCACAACGATTGCTAGCAGGAGTGATGATATTTGGGCTTGGTAGTTCGTTCATGACAATGGTTGAACTGCTTAAGTCAATTGCAGTTTTGACCGACTGCCCCAGTAAAGATCCGAGCATGTGTCTTTATTACGTTGTGCGCATATTGTTCATTTACACACAGCTCTATTTCTTCTACAAATTATCATGCAACACCAAAAAAGTCCTGATTTTTGCCCATGGTCTCATGATGCATTTGATTGCGGTTAACCTTGCAACATGGATTGTAACGTTTGTCCACGATAGTGCGGAAGAAGCTCCTACACCTACAGGTAAAACTAGACATACACCTACAAACTCCACCCAAGAATTCATGACCCATCATTGGGATGTTGTGCTGGGCTCAAACCACTCTCTTGTGAATATATCTAAGAACTGTCATGACAGTGCAAAAGTACTTGAATCAACTGCCAAAAGTATGGAACCCATCTTGTATGTATTTACAATGGAATATTGTTTGATTTCTGCTGGTCTACTACTGAACACTTGGCGTTTGTTGCCTAGCAGTGCTGAGGGTCAAGATAATGGTGGCTTTGAGGATCCTGAGGGGCTTGGTAATGGGCATACGAGGCAAGCTAGTGGTCAAAAGGAATCAGTGGCAATTAAGAAAGGTAGACTAGATGGAAAGGAAAAGATGCTAAAGAAGAAAAAATCAAAATCAAGCATTGGACATTCAGACAAGAGATCGATAAGTGAAGACACAGAGGAATTTGAAGTAATTACAGCTCCTGAAGGTATGCCAGAAGTTGGTACTCTGTGGCGATTTGGTTTCATCCTTGGTTTTGCTTACATTCCAGCATTTACAGCCATCGTTGCCAACATGTTCTTCTCAGATGACAAGGAACAGGACCGTCTTATCTACATTGGAATGCAATTCATCTTTTTCCTTTCAATATTGATTGCAAGTGTGATTGGTATCAAACAACTGAAGAAGCAGGATGTTGCTAGCGAATCACACAGCAATATCGACTACATCCTACTTTTTGTGGCACTCATTGGTGTGTTCTTCCTCGACCTGTTCATAATTGTTGCTGGATTTTGTGAATGGTCTCAATCCCCAGCAATTGCTGCTTTTCTCATTGTGGCCAATATAACTGAGCTGCTGTGTTCCATCGCTTTCACGCTTTTTGTCCGAGAAGCATTAAAACATGAACTTCCTGCTGGAAATGCTGATGAAAGACGTACAAAATCAGCATCCAACATTAGAGAGGTTGTTTCTTTTCTGTTCATGCTGAACCTATGCTTCTGGGCGTTGTACACTTTTGAGGTGAAAAGATCCAACTTGGTGTTAGATATGGTCGAGACATTTTATACTCCTAACGTTTGGTTCTATCTGTCCCATTTTGTTTATCCGTTTGCTGTGTTTTTCCATTTCCATGGTGCAGTTTGCATGGTTGAGATCCTCAATCATTTCAGCATCAGTAAGTCACGGACAGAACCTGGATTGGCTTCAGCTAGTATGACTACGTCTCACCCGGGGAATATTCAGACATGAATTAAAACACTGTGTAGAAGTTTGGAAGAATTTCAGAACTTAGCTAGTTAAAAAAGCTTGCATGTGATACATTGATAATGTTTAGGGTGCATTTCAAAAAACTACTTTTAAACTTGTATTCTTTTTATATTTTGTGTTGACCAACCAAATCATATTAGCCTTATTTGGGGAAAGAGAGTCATTGACATGAAGACTAAAGAGTGTGTTTTTGTTGTTGCTGTATAAATGTTATCTAGTTTCAAAATATAATAGTTTAGTTTATAAGTTTTAAAATTTTTATTTGTCATGAAGTTATAATAAGAGAAAAACCAAACAATATTGAATATGTTGTAATTTCACTATTTGAACAACCCTTTTGAGCATCGATTCATATTTGATTGGCTAAAATATGAATGGGAGATCACGTGAATTGGAGCCTCCTCAGCCTCGTTCTCATAATTCGTGAGCCAATCGCTTTCCGTCTTTATCATTGAGAGTGAGGCTTCGGATGATGACGTGGTACATTATGAAAGGCAACTGCATATATTTGATCTTTGTAAGACCAATCACCATTTCAACTAAGAAATCACGACTTATATTTTTCTAAATCAAACCATATAAGCGATATAGCATACATATTGTGTTGGTTTTCCTACCCCGGTTAATATCCCGACCGCAGTATAGTGATGTTGATAATTTGATATAGCATTATCTAATAAAAACGAAGCTGATGCCTTGTATGCCCATTATCTAATAAAAACGAACCACTTAGCCTGTAGGGTTTGTGGTTATGCAATGCGCAGTTGTTTTACCTGGAATTGCTAAAAAACATGGTAAATTGCTTGGTAAAAACATTCTGGTTTTTGGTTTTTACCAATTCAATTTCCGTCACAAATTCCAAGAACGAAAGTTGAAGTGAAGATAGTGACGACTGTTTCCGCCTGTAGGGAAATCCCTTAAAGGCTTTATATCTTTAAGACGAAGTGACTAACCTTGCATTGAAAACGTTGCGGCTTTAAAGTCGCCAATTTGAACGTATATTTATAGAGCATAGGCGTAACAAGTGCTCAGATATTGTGTCTGTATATATAAAGAGTTTTGCATTGCTAGTATTAGTTCGCTTCACTCTTGTTTTAAGAGGCACTCGAAGCCAATTTCAAGGTACAAACTTTGGCGCTAACGTCAAGGAGACAAGGTAGTGTAGTGTATATTGTTAATCTAGCAAATACTAATCTAGAAAATGAGCATCAAAAACAGGTCTTTTAAGATTTGATTTTGAAGATCAACGAGTGTCAGTGAGAAGGTCAAAGAATGTGCATGCTTTAAAAACTAAGTAGTATCGTGTAGTTCTCATTGCTTGATCACGATCAATAAATATGATTGTAAACAAATCAAGCTTGTTTTTCTAGACCAACTTTGGCAAACAGATCAGTTTAATGGGACTCAGATTGGTAAACAAGGACTACTTCCTACATAGAAAATACTGTTGAGGTTTTGGGAAGAAATTGGTAAACGATCCGTGATCCTTGCAGTTGAACGAACCAGGCGGACGCGGAAACGACCGACGGAGTCGAGCAGCCGATGAACATATACAACCTTCAACGAAATTACTCATTACGATTTTACGAATACTTCTAGTATCTTTTTTAAAATAACATTTTCTTAGAACAACAATATGGGTATTTTTCCGATCCAGTAAACATTCTATACAGTAATTGTTCTAGTTCCCTGGAAAGTTCAATGCTTGATACCTTTGATTAATTCTTGGTATATCACGTGCATATATTGAACTTCGAGGTTTGAGGGTGATTTCTTCCAAGAACTGTCAATAAAATAAACGGCAAGCGTATTTACCATCAAATAGTTCTACAGAGATTGCAAATAAGCTAGCGAGCAGCGAGCTGCAGTGTTTATATCGAAAGACCAGATCCATCGCCTCGGAAGAATACGAAGTAAAAGTAAATTATGCCGCAGACGAATGGGTATACTTTGATTAAAGATACAGAGTCAGACGATGAAGGGGAGACTTCTCGAAGTGAAACGAAATCTGGCAAAGAAAGACGACGTCCGAATTCCCCGTCTAGCGAAGGCACGAACGGAACTGAGGTTGGCACAAAACTAAGTCAGTCTCGTACTAGCGCAACGTATGGTAGCATCGTCTGCATTGATGCAGACCCTGACTGTACAACACCATTGCTTCCAAAGGAAAGCGACGTAAGACCCGATGGAGATACAGTCGATAACAACGCCGACGAAGAAGAGAAACCCGCTAAAAAAGAAAGTTGGTTAAAAACTACAGAACGCTTTTGGAGTGTAATGGTATTCCTACTTCCATTAGTAACAGGGTGCGTCTTGAATATAGCAATGAATGTTGACACAGACACAATCGCTCGGGAAATAACACCAGCAGTATTTCATTCCTATATTGTGTGCCTTATAATTATCTTTGGCGTTTGGTTGGTTGTCGAGAAACTTCATCATAATTATAAGGAATCCAATATCAGCGATAGAGATAAATACGAGCCACTCATTCCAAGACACTTGTTAGACGGCCTGGCTGTGTTCGCTGTTTGTAACTGTATTTTCCAGGTCTTCATGTGCGTGGACATTTTGAAATGTAGCCGAAGTGTCTCAGGGTTGGATAAAAGTTATGTCGTCTCAGCTGTCTTTGAAATATTTTTTCTATATTGCCAGATATACGTATTTTACTCGCTGTCCAGACGACGGGAAGAAAAACTGTGGTTTGGCAACTATTTTACAATGTTTACCCTCGCGATTAACCTGACGTTGTGGGTGGGATATTTTACTGCAGGTGCAGTGAAAAATTCAAATTTGGAACACGTTTCATGGTTACGGCGTTATCATTATGGGCTAAAAGAAGACCTGTGTGCTAATTCAAGTTACAACAATGGGTCAAACTCTCGAAGACTGCACAATTTTGTCCAAACGCTTTTGCAGTACAAGTTCACCTTTGCAATGGAATATTCGCTGTTGGCCTCAGCACTACTGTACCATTTATGGGTCGAAATTGCAACACCTTCTGCCGGCGAATTTGCAGCAACAAATAAAAGATGGGCGGTATGGCGTTTTGGCTTCATTTGTGGTCTATTCTGTCTGCCTTTGATAGGGGTTGTTTGTGCTTATTCGTCAGTAAAATACAAAGAAAAGCATCAATACAAACCTGCCTATCTCTACATATGTACGTTTCTGCTGTGGTGTCCAGTGTTCGCATGCAGCATCAAAGGGCTCTGTTTACTGACTCGTCATTATAAAAGAGTTTCTGACTATAAAACCAAAGTCGACACAAAATTGCTGTGTCTTTCAGCGCTTGGTTTTGTTATCCTAGACTTGTTCACCATTTTTGCAACTACTGCGGAAATAGTCAAGTCATATAACGGCGGTTATATAGTCCTGTTGGGTCTTTCCTCTTTTGGCGAGTTGGTAACTTGTAGTGTGTTAACTGTATTCATCTACGCGATGTACTTTCACGAAGTCAGACCCACTGACGAAGGAATAAAAGCCGCCAAATCGATCCGTCAAATAGCATCGTTTTGTTTAACAGTTAGCATCGGATTTTGGGTTATGCGAACGTACACGTTCAGAAGTAAACAGGATTTCGATTACGTGTGTAGCGATTACTTTGGGAAGACAATTTGGTTCGTCGTCCAACAGCTTGCGACCCCGATGTGCATCTATTTTCATTACCACTGTGCTATTTGTCTTTCTGGTTCGATTGCCGATAACTCTTAACTCAAAAGTTGTAGTGTAGTTTAATTGAATTGATTGTTTTGTATAGATTTATGTAATATAGATAAACTTCATAATCTTTAATAAATTTTCTGGGGCTTTTTCTAAATCAATCAAAACTGATCTTAGTACAATGTACTTCTATAAAACGTATAGTCAACGGCATAATCCACTGTTAATATTATAGTTAAAGATATTGATTCAAATAGCCTAGAGGATCTCTTCTTATTGATCCTGTGTTACTACAGGAGGAAACCTAAACTAAACTATTTTTATTTATACTGAATAGTTCTATCAGTTCTAAACTGTTCTTCCTAGAGGTCCAGTAAGGATCATCTCTTATTGATCCAGTGTTACTACAGGAGGAAACCTAAACTAAATTAACTTTATTTATACTGGATAACTCTATCAGTTCTAAACTGTTCTTTCTAGAGGTCCAGTAAGGATTATCTCTTATTGATCCAGTGTTACTACAGGAGGAAACCTAAACTATAAATTAATTTTATTCACACAGTTATATATACTGGCTAGCTCTATCAGTTCTGAACTGTTCTTTCTGAGGTGCAACCAAATTAATTTTATAACCTGTTTCATGCATCATAAATGCAGTTATAGAGTTTGAATTTCGTCACAACCACCTGTTGCTGGCTATAAACGCTATCGCGGCTGAATTAAACAACACGCCGTTTTATACTCTGAAATAATCATGCTCAAAGATAAATTTCAACTTAAAAGTGCTCTCAAAACTATTAGCAGTCTTCTAAGATGAATACGCGATCGTCCCAAGTTCACACCAGCGAAAGAAAATCGGTTTTAAAATACGTTTTGAAGGAAGTTATCGTCGCATACAAAGATTGCAAGACCTTGTGAAAGAGGAATTTTAAAATGCTAAATGTTATCTATAAATCTTTTGTCGCTAAGCGGGTTTAATTTCGCGAAGATATAAACGAAAACACGACCAATTCATGCTCAAAATCTATGGGGAACTCTCTCAAAACTCCGAGCGAGTGTTTTGAATTCATATTACCGGCGTGCATCATTGTGTCTATTAAAACGGGTGACACAACAAGTACTGGACTACACAACACAGCTTATATTCAACTAACTGATCATCATGGACGCGAAACAGACGAGGTTTTACTCCAAGGTTGTTCCCTAACCGTCTTCAAGAAAGGTCACATCGACTCATTTCGCATAACAAAATTACCACAAAATTTTGGAACTGTGAAGAAGGTTCGGTTGTTTCGTAATGAGACGAAACAAAATGTAGTGGAATGGTTTGTTGATTGGATTGAAATTCGTTATCATAAACTTGCTGGACCTCAAGAGAGGATGGTATTTCCTTGCAATCGTTGGGTTAGAAATGACAAAGCGATTATTTTAAGATTGTATGATTCATGTTTGCCACAAATGGATGAAGATTCGCATCAAAGAGACGCGGAATTGTTCTCGAAACGGGCGAAGTACCGCTACTGTCAGGGGATCTCCGGGTTGCCACCAAGAGTAAGTTTTGATTATCGAGTTTAAGATACAAAAATAAGATATCTCAAACGTGGTGGTCCAGTGTAGGTAGTATTCTACAATAATCTGTCGTGGTTTGTGTCTGAACTACCTGAGAAAGGTATCTCAAACGTGGTGGTCTAGTGTAGGTAGTATTCTACAATAAGCTGTCGTGGTTTGTGTCTGAACTACCTGAGAAAGATATTTTAAACGTGGTGGTCCAGTGTAGGTAGTATTCTACAATAAGCTGTCGTGGTTTGTGTCTGAACTACCTGAGAAAGATATCTCAAACGTGGCGGTCTAGTGTAGGTAGTATTCTACAATAAGCTGTCGTGGTTTGTATCTGAACTACCTGAGAAAGGTATCTCAAACGTGGTGGTCCAGTATAGGTAGTATTCTACAATGAGCTGTCGTGGTTTGTATTCTAATCACGATTTTGTGTTCATAATGTTCATGTAGTTGAAGAAATTTCCAAAGAACGAAGTTTTCAGTACAAATTTCAAGGTAATTGCAAGTACTTTTTAGCGTTGTGGGGATAAACTTTGTTAAAAACACAGCATTGTTGTTAGTTGGTAAAAGATATTCTTTCTCAATTTAGTGGGATATTGCTCTTCGACGGGACAAACTGTTTGCAAGATACAACATGACTCATTTTGACAAAATACCATGGCATGACTTTCATGAATTTGATCCAGTTTATCGCACGCTGGGAGAGCCACTGGTTAGTGACCTATCATGATTGAATGATGTGTTTCCTTAACAATAAAGCTAGTTCTTTCTTAACCATCGTTTTAATTCAATTTCAGGCCAAGAATTTTTGGATGGACGATGTGTATTTTGGTCGGCAACGCTTGGCTGGATGCAATCCAACTGTGATTAAACTTTGTACAGACATTCCCAAAGGGTGCGCTTTCTTTAAACCGTTATTTTTCTTTGGGGGCTGTTTTACCATAGGCCCGTCTTTTGTAGTGAAAATCCTTGTCGATCGCGAGTTTATCTTAATCTGTTTTTAAGGTTTCGCGTGACGTCGACCCTTGTTCATCCGTTTCTCGAAGGAATGAGTTTGGACAACGCTATGAAATATTCCAGATTGTTTATAGTTGACTACAGTATCTTGGAGCAAGCTGATGTGGACAGCGAACGAGCAGTATGTTTGACCTTTCGTGGTTTTGCCCTTAAGCACGAAGAAATGATCCTTACTGGACCTCTAGGAAGAACAGTTTAGAACTTATAGAGCTATCCAGTTTAGTTTAGGTTTCCTCCTGTAGTAACACTGGATCAATAAGAGATGATCCTTACTGGACCTCTAGGAAGAACAGTTTAGAACTTATAGAGTTGTTTAGAAATAAATTGCCTTAGTCTCATTTGCAAAATCATCATCTTTTTTTAGGTTATCAGTCCATACGCGCTCTTCTTTTTGAACAAGAAACGAGATCTTGTTCCTGTAGCGATTCAACTGTTTTCCAGTCGTAAGGAAAACAACCCTGTAAGATTTTTCTTCAACAGACATCTTTAACATTAAACACAATACATAAAAGTAAAAAAAAATTAGGCAAACCCTGTTACATGCTGTCAATGGTCATCTTTGTAGGTTTTTGTCCCCAGTGATCCCATATACACCTGGACGATTGCCAAAATGTGGTTCAACAACGCCGATGCTGGTTATCATCGCGCATGCGCTCATTTTGGTTTTAGCCATTTGGTTTTGGAGAGCATTGCCATAGCAACGCATCGACAGCTCTCGCCATCCCACCCTATTTACCGACTGTTGGCTTCCTACATACATTACGTTATCCCTATCAATAGGTAAGCTAGGAAAATCTCCTGTCTTCGTCTTTCCTGCAAGTTTTTCCTGCAAGTGGTTCTCTATGATAAAAAAAGAATAGTGAATGTCAGCCATTTTTTTATTATGATGAATTGTGTTCACGACATCTATCTCGTAGCTTTAGTAAAAAATGAATTGCCTTTTTTCGTTCCAACGACTGCCCAAGTTAATGAAGAGGGTAATAGGAAGAGAATAATTGGAAACTTAACTTATAAATTCACCACAAAAATACCATTTGATGTCAAAACTTTCAATAAACCACTTTTATGTTCATATTTCGAGCAAAATAAGAAAACCAAGTTCGTTTTTCTTCAGTTTTGAGACGAATCAATTGATCGCCTATGATGGATGGATTGACAATGCCACAAACCTGGGAGTTTCTGGAATTATCAGCGTTTTCCAGGAAATGTGGCCAACGTGGCGACTGGATCATCAAGGATATCTACCACAAGACTTAGAAGATAGAGGCGTAAGTAGAAATATTTAGTGTTATGCATTGGCTGTGGTGTTGCATCGTAGTAAAGTAACTTTTCATCCACTTTATCTCTAATTATAGTTTAACTTCAGTCAACCAAACACCGTATATGAAATATTATTTTTCTGACGTGCGTTTCAAATGCGTTGTTTCCAGGTTTTAGACGCAAATATTTTACCAGATTACCCGTATAGAGACGACGGTCTACTCATCCATAACGCTATTGAAAAACACGTTCGTCGAATCGTGGAACAAAATTACCGTAAGTTTGACTTGAGACTGGAGTTGAAATTCAAATGCCCGCAATATTTCAGAATTTTCCTCTATTTTTGTGTTTTATGTTAGATCATGACGTTGAGTTTTTAACCAACGATTTTGAGATCCAAGCCTGGGTTAACGATCTGGTTGAACAAGATCCCTTACTAGGATGTAACATTAAGGTAATGGCTTCTCTTAACAGGATCATCTTTTATTGATCCAGTGTTACTACAGGAGGAAACCTAAACTAAACTAACTTTATTTATAATGGATAGCTCTATCAGTTCTAAACTGTTCTTCCTAGAGATCCAGTAAGGATCATCTCTTATTGATCCAGTGTTACTACAGGAGAAAACCTAAACTAAACTAACTTTATTTATACTGGATAGCTCGATCACTTCTAAACTGTTCTTCCTAGAGATCCAGTAAGGATCGTCTTTTATTGATCCAGTGTTGCTGCAGGAGGAAACCACAACAGAATTGTTTTTCCATGTGTCAATTAAGCCTTATTACTTGAATCTTTCTAGGGAGTTCCTGGTGAAGGAAAGTTTGAAAAATTTGATGAGCTTGTCAAGACTCTTACATCAATAATTTTTATGTGCACTGCGGGACACGCGGCGGTAAACCTCCCTCAGTATGATGAGTATGGATATCCCCCTAATTATCCCACATTGCTCGTTGGTGACCCACCTTGTGATACGGTATGTTTGTTTTAAACTTATCTGAATCTGGATTTTCTTCTCCCTAATTCAGGGGAAGAGCACCGACTATTAATAGGCTGTAAAAAATTTGTTCTTCCTTCAGCGATGGCGAGAGAAGCACGATGTCTTACGACACCTTCCGACCAAAGATCTTTGCCTGCAGTCGGTAATCTATGCCAGGCTCATGACTGATCGCAAGACTAACGGACTGGCTGATGTTAATGCGAAATTTCAGTATGATCCAATTGCGTTAAACTCTCGCGAGTTGTAAGTGAAATATGATAATATGATCCTTACTGGACCTCCAGGATCTTTACTGGATAGAAATAGAAATAAAGTTAGTTTAGTTTAGGTTTCCTCCTGTAGTAACACTGGATCAATAAGAGATGATCCTTACTGGACCTCTAGGAAGAACAGTTTAGAACTGATAGAGCTATCCAGCATAAATAGAGTTAGTTTAGTTTAGGTTTCCTCCTGTAGTAACACTGGATCAATAAGAGATGATCCTTACTGGACCTCTAGGAAGAACAGTTTAGAACTGATAGACATATCCAAAGTTAAATAAGAAATGTTTTCTTTTCAAAGGTTTTACAAAGATTTGAAAGAAGCTGCTCTGACTGTGATACATCGAAATCTTCTGCGCAAATATCCTTATGATTATCTTAACCCATGCAGCAGCAAGAATTAAACTACACGCTGATTTTTTTTTGGGGGGGGTTTCAACCTCTTCGTGTGATCACTAAACTTCAAATGTATGCTAAAAAGCTGCCCTGAAACTATCAACAAGCTATTCTGTATAACGATTAGAACACATTGATCAATGATTACAACTCGGTGTAGTTATTACTGGTAATTATTCTGATCATCGACTTCATTACTTTTGAGGGAATAATTATTGTAACAAAGAGACTAACGCCTGTATTCAAAAAGCTCACTCACACTCATACTCATCGAGTGTGACATATAAATTTCGTTAATGCTGATCAATGAGAAAGTTTTTTCTGAATAGATGGAAAGATATAAGGTAAATCACTGAAAATCAAGCCCCTGTTCGGCTGGAAATACCGCCATTGAAACGTTATGAGAAGATTAAGATCTCCCACTCAATGAGTTTGAGTGTGAGTGAGCTTTTAGAATACAGGCGTAAGAATTACTTTGACTGGAGGGAGCAAATTTACCTTTATCAAACAACACTTCAAATGAAACGAAACTCAATCCTCATCGGGAAACATACCCGATCTTTAGTACTGTTTTATAGCTTAAAAATTAAGCCTTTTGTATCATTTTATATCATAGAAATAAATTAGTCTGACGTTGTTTCTCTGTCAACCTCTTCAAGATAGTAGAATTTTTTTCTCTTTGTGCGTGATGCTTCTCAAGGGGGGCTAAACTCCAGGAGATTAAGGGCGGAGAAGTTACACCCATCGCTGGAGAGGGCTGATTCACGAGAATCATATTATTAGGAGACTGCTGAGAGGCAGCTTGAGGTGAGAGGCTAAAAGCTATCTCCTAAATTTCATGCGAGAACATGCAAGTCTGTATCGATGCAACGCTGGGTCATGACTCGTGAGTTAATCGTTCAGAATAACCATTAACAATCGATTGACAGTAAGTGTTGATAACCATCAAATAAAGCTCCTTCTTTACATAACAGGAAGCTCTTATATCCTCAAGTATCACCGAATTTACCGGGAATCCCCTAACTATTCCGGGAACAATAATATGACCATACTTCCTTCCTTCAAATCCTGTCTGCTACGCGTCATAAAAATTTTTGTCGAGCTTATTCGACTCTAAATATTTCATAAATTTATCCTTTTTAAAGAAACTTTCATAAATGGATATTGCAACTGTAAGCTGATGGATCACCTCACGTGAATCTACGCCGGTAGGTGCCTCAAATTGTCTTGCAAAATAGATTTGAATGCCAAAGGCAGCTTCCCTTAGGAAGTAACAAAATCTTGAGAGTTGTTCTTTCGAACGTTTGAATGACATTTGATGTAGCAATTATGTAGAACCCTTTAAATACGTAAATAAAAGATAGTTTATCGTTCAATATACAGCTGTATTTTAAGCCGGTGAAAACACGTCTTTCTGCTTTATTGAATATCGGTCTGGTTGTGCTTTAGTATGTGTACATACAACCGGATTTAAGATGATTTGATTTGCACTATGTAGGTGCTCGCCATTTGACGTGCGTTTTATAAACACTGTCGAGCTGTTTATCGTCTTAGCTTTTAGTGGATAAATGCCGGATAAAATACCACGATAATCATACACAATATCGCTGTCTACTTGAATTTGAGTTTGATATAAAAGAAATATAAAACAAACAAGGGCAGGCATATTTTCTTTCATGTCTTCTTTCATGGTAGGTGAAACGAAAACTCCCGAAGCACTGTATACAAACATCGCAGTTATATTAAAATGATTTATGGATTAAAGAAATGATCGCATTTAGGGTTTATATAAGCGTTTATTATCACCTCAGAGATAGAATCTATATAGCCCAGTCTACACTCACTTTAATAAGTTTACTTTAGTGAATTGAATCAAGGTGAATTGAATGATAGGATTGATAAAATCAGCTAGGTCAAATTGATACTCCATCTTGCTTAGAATCAGTTGATCCTTTACATCCAAACTCAAGAAACATTACCAGCTAGCTAACATACTATATTTGTATGGCAAGTTGTTCCTGCTGGCTGCATGGACAAGGTGGAAAATCAAAAACCTGGGATCAAGGTTGATCAACATGGTTCAATCTTCTTTCTTCCCAGTGGCCCAGTTTTCAGTTGGTTTAAAATGCTTTACTTTGTACACAATGGCATTAGACTTTGATAATATTTAGGCTTATAGGTTCTCATGCTGTTTGTTTCAAAGGACTTCATGCCGTTGTCTAATTTCCTAAATCAAAAACAAAATAACAACTGGATTGTATTGACTGTGTTAACTCCAACTTTGTACCTTGACTTTGAAACATAAAGATTGCATTATGGTACTATATAGAGTTCGGTAGCAAAAAAGCAAGCCTATGAGGATGAATGACAATTTGTCAAAATTTTCCTCCAGACAATTCCTGCCAACTACCCTCCTCTAACCCCAGATCCCCTTAAGACTGAAGGCTTAGCCATGCCCCTGTGAATATGGTTAAACATGTACAATTTATATCAACAAACTCTCCCTGGTAGTTCTAATCATAATGGAAAGTCCAATTAGCTCTCCTCTCCCCAAATAATATGCTCGTAAACTGCCCTTCTCTATAGCGGTCAGATCTTTTAACCTCACGTCACAAGGTTTACAATGCCCATGCCCCGCCCTTCGTGGGCCAACCACCTCCCTTGAAGCACCACCTATTTTGTGAATGACCTTCAATGTTTTCTCTTCTATTCTATAGGCTACACAATGACACCTATCTGTTGATAGATACAGTCAGCGCAGTGTTCAATTCAGGTTTCAAAGTGTCTAACAATGACTCTCCTTTGTCCTTGTATGTGTCGTCATGGCAGGAAGGTTTGAGATAAACACGCCTTCTCCATCGAGTAGCACTCCTTCTCCATCAAGCTCGGTAAGAAACCATTGAAATGTACCAGAACGTCAGCAACGGCCAACACCTTAACGGCCAACCGCGCTAAATAATTGATCAAAGAGTCCGTCTAATTCTGTCCAAAGAAAGGAAAGCCTTTAATTTGCTTTCTAATATAGTCAACCGGTGACTTTTAACTACAAGTTAATACTTGTCGTTTGTATCTAGCGGTTCATAATCAACTTTAAAGTCTTTATTTTTTATCTTTTGTCCCGAGATTTTTTCCAAGTTTTCTTTTCTTCTGTGCAATCCTCTGTAGGGATTTCATTGGCCTCTGTTATGGAACAGCCCAACTCCGGCCGGACAGTTTCTCAGATCTGTCGTAAGTGTATAAATGATATATAAATATCGTTAATTCTAATAAATGAATGCCAACAGTGGTGAAACGGACGGAGGTGGTCTATAATCATGTTTCTTGTGTAGACTACACTAATGGGGACACTAGTTTCTGGGTCCCTCACTAGCTAATGACGGCTTTTTTCGGCAAAACTTATACCCCCCAACTAGACTTGCACCCCAAAGTACTATGTTCTTGCCACGGTTGAATTGATAACCAATCTTAACTGGGTAATCTACTGTTAACGAATTTAAATCCTTGTCATCTGATAGCCTCATAAAGTACACCAATAACTAACAGCATGTTTTAACTACAGTCGGATCAACAGGGCCAGGCCACTCCAACTACGAGCCGACAATTAAGCTACCAAATGAACAGCAACTGGCGTGTTGCTTTGCGTTGTAAACAACACGTCGGAACTCAAGAATGGATCAACTGCAAGCACAATTCTTGTGTCCATCTTCGTGATGAGCTGCATCATTTATTGGAATGTCCTTGTCGTATCATTGGCGGCTGTAAAACACGTTGTCATGTTTTGAGAGAAGAACTAAAGAAGATTAGGGAACAAACGACAAAACATCCCACCATCCCAGATGAAGATCGTCGCATCCCGGGAAGCAATAAGCTTCAGGTGAAGCTACAAGTTTTAACTATTGTCGACTATGTTGAAAACTGTACCTATTCCCCCACCTCTCCTGCTGTTGACGAACCCTTCCAGTCTCCGGCGGAAAGAAGTGAAGATGCTTCTGATACTGCTATTGAACTTATTCCTCTTGATCAGGTAAAAATGTAATTATACTTATCATTACCCTCAATACGCAGTTATCTTCTTCAAAATGCAATGAAATCATTGAAGGTTTTAAAGGCTGGCTTGCTACTTGGGTTGAACGGTTTAAAAACCACCACATTTGTATAATGAATTGTATCGATATTTCTGTCCAGAAAATCAAAAAGCACCTTTAAAAAGTCGACATATCGCACACGTTCCTTGCGCAAAGAACAGTGGATGTCTGATGCATGATCCTTTTCTTCCTATTATTTTAGAATCAATTGTCGGTGACAAATGGGCACTTCAGAAAAGGCACTGAATGGGAAAAGATACATTTTCTTGGAAAAGGAACATTTGGTTCAACGTATCTCTGTTTTGATCGCATAAGGAGCTTCCATTTTGCAATTAAAAAGGTATATAAGACTCGCAAGTAAAATTTGTTGTCGTCTTTCCAACGGTAATCACGACTGTTTAAATACCAGGTTCCACCTCTAACACCTTAAACATTCCTGATTTCACCTTAACAAGTGAAAATATCTACAATCCATTTTCTTTCTGTCGCATGCGTAGTTGCAAGTGTCAAAATTTCACGAGGAAGAAATAAAAATATGGCAGAAACTCAGTGGAAAGCATCCGAATATTCTCGAACTTTATGGCGCAGTTCAACGAAGACAACGCATATTGATCTTCATGGAGTACATGAACGGTGAGTGAGTGCATGTCTTTAAATGTCATTTGAATAATCATTGCTTTGTCTCAATTCGTTAATTTTTATGAGAGCATTTCTTTATATTTTGCAGGCGGTTCTGTTGGTGATTTTCTGGCCAGACATGGCGCGCTCAGCGAAAGAAATGCTTTGAAAATTCTTAAACAAGTTTTGTCAGGGCTGAACTTCATGCACAGAAATCGCATTGTTCATGGAGACATAAAAGGTTTGTGACTGATTTTACTTATACTGGGTAGTTCTATCAGTTCTAAACTGTTCTTTCTAGAGGTTCAGTAAGGATCATCTCTTATTGATCCAGTGTTACTACCGGAGGAAACCTAAACTAAACTAACTTTATTTATACTGGATAGCTCTATCAGTTCTAAACTGTTCTTCCTAGAGGTCCAGTAAGGATCATCTCTTATTGATCTAGTGTTACTACAGGAGGAAACCTAAACTAAACTAACTTTATTTATACTGGATAGTTCTATCAGTTCTAAACTGTTCTTCCTAGAGGTTCAGTAAGGATCGTCTCTTATTGATCCAGTGTTACTACAGGAGGAAACCTAAACTAAACTAACTTTATTTATACTGGATAGCTCTATCAGTTCTAAACTGTTCTTTCTAGAGGTTCAGTAAGGATCATCTCTTATTGATCCAGTGTTACTACAGGAGGAAACCTAAACTAAACTAACTTTATTTATACTGGATAGTTCTATCAGTTCTAAACTGTTCTTCCTAGAAGTCCAGTAAAGATCATCTCTTATTGATCCAGTGTTACTACAGGAGGAAACCTAAACTAAACTAACTTTATTTATACTGGATAGTTCTATCAGTTCTAAACTGTTCTTCCTAGAGGTCCAGTAAGGATCATCTCTTATTGATCTAGTGTTACTACAGGAGGAAACCTAAACTAAACTAACTTTATTTATACTGGATAGTTCTATCAGTTCTAAACTGTTCTTCCTAGAGGTTCAGTAAGGATCGTCTCTTATTGATCCAGTGTTACTACAGGAGGAAACCCAAACTAAACTAACTTTATTTATACTGGATAGCTCTATCAGTTCTAAACTGTTCTTCCTAGAGGTCCAGTAAGGATCATCTCTTATTGATCCAGTGTTACTACAGGAGGAAACCTAAACTAAAGTAACTTTATTTATACTGGATAGTTTTATCAGTTCTAAACTGTTCTTCCTAGAGGTCCAGTAAGGATCATCTCTTATTGATCCAGTGTTACTACAGGCGGAAACCTAAACTAAACTAACTTTATTTATACTGGATAGTTCTATCAGTTCTAAACTGTTCTTCCTGGAGGTTCAGTAAGGATCGTCTCTTATTGATCCAGTGTTACTACAGGAGGAAACCCAAACTAAACTAACTTTATTTATACTGGATAGCTCTATCAGTTCTAAACTGTTCTTCCTAGAGGTTCAGTAAGGATCATCTCTTATTGATTCAGTTTTATACTACAGGAGGAAACTTGAACTAATTAGCTCTATCAGTTCTAAACTGTTCATACTTAAATATATAATCTATTTCCTAGCCGCAAATGTGCTCATGAACGAATTTGGCCTGCAAGTCAAAATAGCAGATTTCGGATCGTGTATTGACTTAAATTCAATGGAAAACAGTCGTCCACTTGCTGGAACACTCGCTTTTATGGCACCTGAGGTAGCCGGGAAATTCTGAGACCGTTTTAAACTATTGTTATCAAATCAAAATATGTATTCTTTATCTCAATGCACGTAGGTCTGTCGTTCCGAGGCCCCTGCTGCAAGCGCAGATATTTGGAGTGCCATGTGTCTATTGATTCAACTGTTGACCGCCGAGGCACCATGGGAAGAATATCGTCATCAAAGTGATAATTTACTGTTTGTTGTAAGTTGATGGGATTGATGTCATCTCACGTGAATAACTTGATTCAATTGTGAAATAACTCAATGGTGAAATACCTCTTCAGTGTGTGTCCATAATTTTGTATAGATTGGCTCAGCTAAGCGTCCTCCAAGGTTACCAAAGTGCAGCGAGGATGTTCAAGAGATCTTCTCCAAAGGGTTGAACGTTACGGCAAATTTAAGACCAACGGCAGCCGAGTTCCTTCGATATCGTGTGTTCAATTTTGGTACGTTACCTTTCTCGCAATGATATCAAACGTGGGAAGTCTGATGTTACACAATGTTTGATTGGCTGCGCAATACCAACGAGGCAATCAAACTTCATGTAACTTATTTGATTTGAACATTTTAAAACGACACAATACGACAGGCTTGGATGTAAGGCTGTTGTTTATTTAGTGGATTTAAGGGAAGAATAACGCAATCTGACCACTGAATCTGACGTAATCTGTTTTAGCTGAAGAAGATCTTGAAGTGCAAGGGAACAGTGACGAAGGAAATTCGCGTGATAATGGAGATTCACGTGATGGTGGAAATTCACGTGATAATGGTAATGGTGAAGAAGGTGCTGGTGATAGTGACGACTCCAGTGATTATCAAAGCTCAGGAGAACTGGGTAAGGTTACAATAGTCATCCTGAACTAAACTAATAGCTTAGTATATTTTAGTGTATCTGTTAATTTGAGGATTCCTAGAGGTGCAGTAAGGAAAACCTCTTATTGATCCAGTGTTAATGCAGGAGGAAACCTAAACTAAACTAACTTTATTTATATTGGATAGTTCTGGACAATTTTTTCCATCTTTATCTTAGAAACGAGCAGTGAATATTATAGTTCAATCGAAGACGAGCTAGACCGCGCAGGCCCATCTCTTCTGAGAAGAGGTATTGCTCAGACAATTTATACATTCTTACTTTATTGCCGTTCAGTTAATCATCTTTTCAGCTATAAACAAATACGTACGAATACTTACCCATACAAATAGAAAAAACTTAAGATTATTTTCAAATGCGTTTAATTACAGCTTTCACGGTCGTAGACATAGGTCCTGGCAAAAAAAACTATCTAAAGATATACTTTTCTTTCCGCTGTTTAGCGAGATGCACACGCACGAGGGATAGAAGACACATCGATAAAACGGGCGGTGCGTTGAAAATACCCAACGCTCATGTCACCTTTCCTGTAAACGCTCTGACGAAAGATACAAGAGTTTCTATAACCACGATGGATCCGGGACAATTTTATCAAACCATTATCGACAACGATATTCAAGATAAAGTGACAATACTTGGAAACGTCTTCAAACTTCATCCGTCGGGATTAAAATTTTGTAAAAACGTCAGCGTTAAAGTGACGTTGCCTGAGGCGTTGCATCAAAGCGAGGAGTTGAGAGTCCTTCATGGCACGTTTGATGAAACAAGAAACAAACTATTGTGGGTAGACATTGAAAAAAGCACACGCGTGGTACCGTTTGAAGATTCAGCTGTTGTCACGGTTGACATCAACCATTTTTCGTTGCTCATGTTTGTGAAGAGTGTCCCTTCGTTTGCCTATGAATATGTAACAACATACCTGAATTTTCGACCATCTTTTTTCCGTTTTCGCGTGGTAGTTCGTCGCCAAGAGCAACGTTTGGAGGTTTGTGTTGTTCTTGTGAGCGAGTCGTTCTTCTCCAATATGACTTGTGATGCAGATCTGTTCAAAGATCGTTCCATCAGTCATAAGATGAAAGGAGAAGGCTTCTGTGAAATGTACGGAAGCAGAAAAGAGTATCTTAGCCCTAAAGAGAGCATTGAAGTGAAGGTTGAGGGGTTGATGGAGATAGGTTCGTGTCAAACCAAACGGTACACAGTACGGAATGTTTTTGGTGGTGAAGTGGTTGCGAGCTGGGAATTGGATGCCGGAGAAGACGAAGATCAACCAATCAGCGGAACTGTTCAGTTCAAAAGAGCTGCTGGTCAAAGCTACCGCTTTCAGTTCTGGCAACACGGTATGTCAATTATCAATACCTTGTCAGTGTGGGTTAAACTGTTCTTCCTTGAGGTCCAGTAAGGATCATCTCTTATTGATCCAGTGTTACTACAGGAGGAAACCTAAACTAAACTAACTTTATTTATACTGGATAGCTCCATCAGTTCTAAACTGTTCTTCCTAGAGGTCCAGTAAGGATCATCTCTTATTGATCCAGTGTTACTACAGGAGGAAACCTAAACTAAACTAACTTTATTTATACTGGATAGCTCCATCAGTTCTAAACTGTTCTTCCTAGAGGTCCAGTAAGGATCATCTCTTATTGATCCAGTGTTACTACAGGAGGAAACCTAAACTAAACTAACTTTATTTATACTGGATAGCTCTATCAGTTCTAAACTGTTCTTCCTAGAGGTCCAGTAAGGATCATCACTTATTGATCCAGTGTTACTACAGAAGGAAACCTAAACTAAACTAAATTTATTTATACTGGATAGCTCTATCAGTTCTAAACTGTTCTTCCTAGAGGTCCAGTAAGGATCATGTCTTATTGATCTAGTGTTACTACAGGAGAAAACCTAAACTAAACTAACTTTATTTATACTGGATAGCTCTATCAGTGTTAAACTGTTCTTCCTAGAAGTCCAGTAAGGATCATATTATCACATGTCATTTTTGAATAGTCGACGTAAATTGTCGAAGTGAGATTAATCGTATTAACGACTCATCCGGGAGAAATTGACGCCTTTGAAATCCCGAATTTTATCTTTAGATCCAACACGGTACGTCCAGGAAAAATTGAAGTTAGATTCTCTGATCTATAACAATATTTTATCTCTTGGCCGAGCTTTGTCTCTAAGTCAGGAGGAGTTGGATGGTCTGGTAGAAACGACGGGGGGAGACGAGGAAAAGCAGCTTCAGAAAATAACAGAAACCTGGACAACTAAAGCCGAGAATAACGAACTGCCTCGTTTTAAAGATTTCATCGCCTCCTCAAATCGTGAGGGTAAGCTGCTTCATTGAAGGTGATAGATTTTTACTGATCTTTTGTTAAGAAACGGTGGAAAAGGTTAAGCGATAGATTGACAGTGGAGTGCTACGCGGGGGTCAGAAATAGAATAGGACGGGGTTGTTGATCCCCCAAAAGCGTTTGGTGGGAACCCAGTGTGGAATATGACACCGTGCTGATCTTCCTTGTACCCCTACACCCCAGTATATCCCTCGCTGCTCTGCTCTGACTAAGTGCATGAAATCCCCTCTTGATGAGCTTGAGATATATTTGAAATTTTTTCATTTTGCATAGCAATCCTTGTGTCTGACCGCGGTAAGTCGCATCTCCGTGATATCTCAGAGTTCAGGGAAAAATGGCGCTCGCAAATGGCCAGCGAGAACGAGCCTTTGGGAAAAGACCTGCTCATTAAAACCATGGCCGAGAGTGCTGCAAACCTTTGCCAGTCCGTTTTTAGCGACTGTGTGCTTCAAAGCGATCATTCTGAGGAGACTATACGCTTGGTTAGTGATGAAAAAAAGTTGAAGACAGTTATGGAGAAAGTTCTTGAAACAGTCCAGCAGAAGTATTCTCAATCTGTAGCAACTGAGCTGAGTTCACTTAGAGATGCAACAGTCTCTTACGAAGGTGATAGAACCAACAGTCAGTTGTGTGAGCGTTTCTCACAGAACCTTTCTGACGTTGCTCCTTGGTTGATGCAAATTGTCAAGGATTATTTCAAAATGCACCCAATCACGGAGCCAACAGGTATGTATCTTTAACGTTTGCGAGCGTATGTCGAAAGATATGTATGGTTAATGACCTGAGCTTTGTAGCTTTCGTCGACTTTCGTGGCACCATTTGTTCGACAACACCATCCCAGAATAGACCAGATTAGTCAATCTAAACATGTCCTGGTTTTGCAAATCTTTTCTCATTTTTCTGATACTTTGAGTTTAAATCTCTGCCGTAAAAGCGTCACTGTGATCAGTCATTATTTATTATCTGCCTGTGTAGGATTGTGGGGCCTGCATAGCGAAGCCGAGCAACCGGAGATAAACCAGCAGGGGAAATGTGCCTCCAAAATCTGGTATGATTTATGTAAACTCTTGAAAGAGCTTTGCCAGGCGAATTCAAGCAATGACGATACCTCACAGTTAGAAATCTTTGCCCGGAAATTAAACGTTGAAGAACTTATCGAAAGGCTGGTACGATTAGTGACACACAAGGAATGGCTCTCCATCGCTGCAAGAATTCGTTACTACTGTCATTTCGCTGATAAAATGATGGGACAAAAACTATCCCGAAGCCACACGCGTGATTTGGAGAACGTTTTCGACTGTTTTCGAAAGTATGTTTCATTTTGCCCCACTCGTTTGGTCCAGTTTAGTTTCTCGAATGGAAAAGTGAAAAAGGAGCCTCTTAGCTTCGATCAAGACTCCATTATTTTCACTCAAAAATGTTCAGTTTCTCTTGAAGAGAACACGACAGAACTGAGCATGAAGGTTGAGGTTCATATTCGTGGTGTGAAGCTCTTTCGTGAGCTGAGCGTTCCGTTTCAGCAATGCCCAGAAAGGGATGAGACTCACGGGGAATGTGCATCATTGACTGTTGTATATCAGCACCACAGCGAGGACGAAGGATTGCTCAAGGTTACTAACGATTGTCAACAACTTAACGAGGAACATCGTGTACAAACAAGAGGTTAGTTTGAACAACATACAGTTCCCTATTCCTATAGCTCGTGTATAAAGCTGGAAACTTCATAATCACCAATTTCTGCGGTGTTTGTTTGATGCAGTAGTTTAGGCACAAGCGATTAAAAGTATTCAAAGAATGTGATTTATTTACAGAAACAGTATAAGAATTTATGTGGATTTTCTTTTTCTTTTCTAGCGGAGTCGTTGCAGGTTTCAGACGAGCCTGATGCCGGCAGTTCCACTTCCAATATCCAAATAAAAGAAGGTGACTTAAACTTATCTTATTTTGCTTAATCACTTCTAAACTGTTCTTTCTCGCCGTGGTTTGGTAAAACTTTTTAACTGAAAGTTATTTCCGAACTCTTAGATTGTCCTGAAGAAAGTGAACTTAACGAAATAGCGGAAGAAGTTGCGAATGACTGGGAAAAAATCGGCCGGAAACTGCTTTCGAATAAAGAAGTGACTATAGTTGACCACGATGAAGACGGTGTGGTGGAGAAAGCAACGAGGATTTTGGAAAAATGGAAGCAATCAAAAGGGAGTGGTGCGACTTACAGACTACTGTATGAAGCATTGGTTGATCAAACCGTTAACAGAAGAGATATTGCTGAACATTACTGTGTTGTTCCAGGTTCTCGTCGGAGAAACACAGAATTGTAGAGAGAGAGAGAGAGAGTTACAGCAATCCTTTGTACTTTATCACTAACGCTCGGCCATGTCTCGTCGGTGGCCGGTGACGAAGATCATTGATGAACAGTGATGTGTGCGTACTGCGTACTGTTATTTTTGTACTGTTATTTAAAAGTATTGTCTTGTGTCAAGCTCTCGGCAGTAAAGTACAGAGTTGTTCTCAACCGGTCGCAAAGAAAATTTATTCAAAATAACATCACACTCGTAGATATCTCTACATTTCTTACTTTATGCATTCTTTAGAATTGAAATAGACTCTCGTCAACCTTTTTATTAATTTTTTATTAGGTTTTTACTGTGTTTTAATGATTTACGAGAACTTCTTACCAAATTCTTCATAGTGTAAACGTCCGGGAGGTGCGAATGATGTTTTAATATATGCTTAGAACCATTTAATACTAATTAATATAATTATACTTTCTCTCACAAGGGCTTGAGGTATCTGAAGTAAGGGGGTTCACTTTTTTAGTAAATAAGTTTTTTATGTTGTGTAAAAGTTCAAGAAGAGCGTCTGAACAATAGCCCCCTCCTCCCATTCCGCCGTCCCAGGGTTTTAAAAACTTTTTTCACTAGTTAAAAGAACTTCATTCTTCATTCTTTTCCACAAGTTCTTTATCTTTATGCTCTCCCTAGTCTATGCGCGGTTGAATTCAAAATGGCGGATGAGGGTGCTTCAGAAAGTGAGCTTCCAATATACGTTATAAATGCCTTCACGGACAAACCGTTTTGCGGAAATCCTGCTGCTATTTGCCTGCCAGGTCATAAGGTGTTAGTTAACTCTTTCTGAAATGTGTACGTTTAGTATTGAAGGATTTGAAGCTGACTTCAGAAGCAAGGTGACCAAGGTCAAGGAAACTATACGTAAATCGTCTCTTACTTCCTTAGGAACTTGACACTTCCATATATCAAAAACTTGCAGCTCAAATGAACATCTCTGAGACTGCTTTCATTGGAAAAAAGTCAGAAAGTCAGGATTACAAAACAGGTTAAGTGCACTTGGCACAGTTTCTCTATGTTATAGCCCTGGTACTGACTCTGCTCTGAGCCTCCGACTCTGCATGAGGTTTGGTGACACCAGCATGGTGATTGCATTGATGCACCAATGCATTGAAACTCCGTGCCAAAGACCTGCAGCATAGGTGCACCCTAGCACTCTGAGATCAATTTGTGAGGCAAGACTGACGACTTTGTGAAAACAATGACTGGCCAAGACTAACGACTTTCTAGCAAATCTTCAGGTGACTAACTTCTGTTGATTGATTTAGGCAGTTGTTTCAACCTGCGCTGGTTTACGCCGACAGTTGAAGTTCCTCTTTGTGGTCATGCGACCTTGGCCTCTGCAGCAGCTCTATTTTATGTAACAGGTATTAATAATATGGAATTCTAATTATCACTAATTAATTGATTATTAACAATCATTGGTTGAACCTTCTACTAACCAATGATGTTTAAACTCTTTCAGGAAATCAAAATAATTCTCTTTCATTTGATACTCTCAGTGGACCACTTCATGTGAAAAGAGATGGTACTTTGCCTTTCATTTAACTTTGATTTTTTGAATAATTTTGTTCATCTTTAAAGGCAATGCCTGAACAAATAATTTATCTCATTTAGGAGACTTTTTATGCCTGAACATGCCAATTAACAAACCAAGTGTTGTACAAAAGGTAACTCATTTTTGCATGAATTTGTGTGTTAATATCTTCCTAGAACTCAGGATTTACTAGCTTCCTCAAAAGTCAATTCAAACATTCTTCGTTTTTTTCAGGACATTCTTGAACAATTAGAAAAATTGATCAAAGTGAGTTGTTATTAACATCAGCTTGGTAAATGCAATTTAATGAGTTTAAAAGAAATTCTAAGTGGTAATATTTTCAATGTTTCTACCAGGCAACAGTTGGTGACCTTGCTGTAAATTGTGTTTATCATTCCTCAAAAACCAGAAAACTTTTGGTTAGACTGGAAGACTCCACATCTAGGCAAGTTTTATCAAATATTGAAAGTTATCCTAATTGACCATTGTTTTAACATCATGGTAAAATTTCTGCTAAATAATATTACATGAATATACTAGATGTCTTAGAGTATCTAACTTCTAATCGTAAATCTACAAAAGTTAATTTTTTTATCAGATCCACATTTGAGGCATTCCAGCCAGATATCCAGTCAATGCTATCCACTGCACCATCAAAAGACCTGGACGTTCGCGGTGTGATTGTTACGGTTAAAGGAAGCAAGGAATTTGGGTATTGCAATGATCATGGAGAACAGTTTGATTTTGTTTCAAGATATTTTGCTCCATGGCTTGGAATTGATGAAGACCCTGTAACAGGTTGAAACACTTTTTAATTTTATAGAGCATAATTTTGTGACTGTGTCAGGAGATATAGAGTGTAAAAAGATCTTCGGTTTTTAGATGAAAATTTGATAAGGATTTTCGCTCTGTTTTCAGGCTCAGCACACACAGTTCTTGGTAGTTACTGGTCTGAGACATTGGGCAAAAATAATATGATGGGTAAGCTCAGTATTTGGTTAATCTTTTTGTTAACAAAATAATATGTGACTTAGCTAGTATTAGGTGTGACAAGTGGGGGATAAGTTATTATTTTGTGCCTCTTCCAGCTCGTCAGTGTTCAGCACGTGGTGGTGACTTGAGAGTGTCTATCTTAGCAAATGACAGGATTGAAGTGTCTGGACCAGCCATAGTTGTGTTACGTGGTCATATTAAATATTCCTGATGACATTTCCACACAACAATAATATCACTTATAGAACACCAAATCATCAACAATTATGTATATTGCCCAGGGAAAGAATAGTACCTTTTTCTCATCGGTCTCACTCACACCTTTTGTTGAGATTGGGCACCGACAGTCTCGCCGCATTGATACTTCCTAGTGAATACAAAACGTTGGGGAGGGAAGGGTGGAAAATAATGAGACGAGACTGCAATCGACGAAGGAGTGAGTGAGAATGATCGAAATAAAAACGTGGTACCCTAGTCTTATAAATACCACGTAGCTTGCTTCAACAGACTGACCTCGATCACTTGTTCTGATCTCCTTTTATAGGCGTGAGTGAGACCGCTGAGAATAGTACCTTTTTCTCATCGGTCTCACTCACACCTTTTGTTGAGATTGGGCACCGACAGTCTCTTAATTAAGATATTTCCAAATCCATAATCAAGGGACACACACTAGTCCAGGAAGGAGCCCGTACTCAAAGAAGCGGAGGAAAACCCCCGAGGGAGCCCAATCTCAACATGGCACACAAAACCTAGCACTGAGGAAAGGCTAAGATAAAGTTTTTAAGACGGTTCATGTCAGAGTATAGTTCAGTCGCAGGAGAAGAGACACACGCATTTGAGGACAACACATCTGATGGACTCCCTGCTCGCAACACTTCAGCTAACTTCATATAGTACAAAGCAGTGCCTTTACTATTCCAACCGACGTGCGACATGATGTCCGCTAACTGGGAGCCAGATAAGGCGAGAGTTATCGCAGCACCGGAACGGAAGCTATGTAACGTTTCACCTTCGTCTAGTTGCGCTTGGTGTAAATAAATCTTTAGTCTGGCATCGGCGGCGGAGCTTGTGAAAGGCTTGTTGAGAACATGTCCTTTAGGATTGGTTGGGCGGAAGAGGTAACCGGTGTTTAAGGTGACCCGCAATTCAGAACAAATGGCAACGTAGGTCTCAATCGCTTTTACAGGGCAGAGATCGGGATTCTGGTGACGACGAATTCCAAATACATTGGAAGCGCCGTCTCTCAGGGTTTTCCCCCATGTGTGATTAAACAATAGACCGTCATCTTGAGGAAAACGCAAGATTTCGGCTGCCTGCACTAGGCCAAGGTCTGCGCCCCGGTCGCCACTGAAAAACAGTGTTTTAAAGAACGCTTGATCTCTGGCTAAAAGATAAAGACCAGACGGAGTAAGGGTATGTTCCGACATTTTTTTGATCCAGAATCGTGCGAGGAGCAGAAGTTTTGGTAGAAACAGAGGTACCGCTTGCTTGGAAACAACATGAGCTCGTAACTGTTCTTCGGTTACGGCCTTTAAATACTTCTGAACGGGGGTGGAGTCCGCAGGATTGCCAAAACCAAGGATGGTGTTCCAAGGGCCAGATCGGCCAATCTCTTTGAATATGGAGCGAAGTTTGCCAATGTAGGAATCAAGAGTTTTGTAAGCTAAACGTTTAGGGCAGCTACAAGGAACGGAATCTGTACGAGTAGCTGCAGTACAAACGATAACGTGAATGACCGTTTTACCATGGCGATCTTTCCATACAAGGAATCTGGAGACGTCTAATGGGCTCGCGGAATGAATATTATTATTATTAAACTTTATTTACACACGGTATTCTCAATCAGGATTTTCATGCTGACAAATGACAAGATTATGAATTACAAAATAAGACTACAAAAATATTTACAATGATAAATCAAACTAATAATTAATATACCTGCTTTTCATGAGAGCCGTGTAAGGAATATATACAAGAAATATAATATAATACAAATGTAAATGTAGATTAAAATAATTTGGAACAGCCCGCTTTAAAATTTGATAGGTTATTTGCTAGCCGTAGCCCAATCGGTAGGCTGTTCCATAGCATCGCACCACTATAACTAAAACTATTCTTCAGATAGTTTGTGCGAGGCTTAGGAACAGCCAGCTTACTATTTGTGTTTCTCAACGAATAAGGATTGACACTGTCACGGTTTACAAACATGGAACCCATGTATTGTGGAGCAAGTCCATTGAGTGATTTATAAACCATGACAGCCTTTTGAAATTGGCGTTGGGAAGATAACTTTTTCCAGCCAAGTCTATCGAGTAAGATGTCGGCATTAGTGTCATAGCTTGAAAAGGTCAAAACTCTCGCTGCGCGATTTTGTAGTTTTTGAAGTTTATCTGCCAAGGTTTTATTGCAATTGTCCCAAACTGTACAGCAATAATTGAAATATGGCTGGACAAGGGAATTAAAAATTAAATACAATGTTGCAACTGGGACAAATGAACGAACGAGTTTTAAAGCGCCAATACCAGAAGCAATTTTTTTTGTTAATTCCTTGATCTGTATATTCCAAGATAGATTTTCATCAAGGTGAACTCCTAGAGATTTTGTATGTGAAACCTTGTCTATAGGAATTCCGTCTATTTTAAAACATGGGTCTGATTGGAAAGTAGCTATTCTTTGTCGTGAGCCAATTAGCATAAATTCAGTTTTGGATTGATTCAATGTAAGCCTATTGGCGATAAGCCATTTATTAACATTTTCAAGATCTTGATTAAAGTAATAATCTATATCTTCAATTTTATTGCTTGCAAATGTTAAATTGGTGTCGTCTGCATACATTCGTGCTTGGGAGTGCTCAAGACAATTTGGCAAGTCATTTATATACAATAAAAATAGCAATGGTCCCAAAATAGTTCCCTGTGGAATACCACAAAGTAACGTACGGTTGGTAGAAAGATGGCCATTGACATAACATTTTTGACTGCGGTTACTTAAATAAGACCTAAACCAGTTAGCCACAGCACCCCCAAGACCATATGCTGACAGTTTTGACAACAAAATTCCATGGTCAACTGTATCAAAGGCTTTCTTAAGATCTAGGAAAACGACAGCATTGACCAGTCCTTGGTCAATATTGTAGGCCCAGCTATTAGTAGATTCTAGAAGTGCAGTAACAGTTGAATGCAAACGTCGAAATCCAGACTGGCTATTACATAGTAAATTGTTCTCAGTAAGAAAACCGTAAATTTGATCATAAATAATTCGTTCGAAAACTTTCGCCACAACCGGTATTATCGAAATTGGGCGATAATTATTTAAGTCTCTACGCTCGCCCTGTTTGAATAATGGAATGACTTTTGAGCATTTCCATTCTTCAGGAAAGATACCGGTAATGATAGAGCAGTTAAAAATTACGGCAAGGGATTCCGAAAGCAAGTCAGGACAATGACGAAGAAGCTTGGCAGATATTTTGTCTAGCCCAATTGCTTTGGACTTACAAAGTTTGTTAAGAAGCGAATAAACTGATGATGGGGTTATTGACTTAAACTCTATATTATTGTTACTATTGTGGCAAGTAAGATATTCTAAATACGAGCGATTGTTTTCTTCGTCAGGTATTTTTTCCTTAAGCTTAGGTCCAATAGTAGCAAAATGAGTATTAAACGTCTCAGATAGGTCCGAGGGGTCAGTAATAGAAACCCCGTTTATTTTGATTTCATTTACTCGTGAACTCATCTGTTTTCTTGAGGTCAATTCATTGATGATACCCCAAGTTTTTTTAACATTATTCTCGTTTTCATGAAAAGCGTTCATATAATAGGTTTTCTTAACAAGTTTAATTTCATTGTTTACAGAATTTCGAGCTTTCTTAAAAACAGTCCAATCACAAATATCTTTGGATCGAATAGCTTTTATTTTCAAAACATCTCTTTCATGCATTTGCCTTTTTAATTCAGGCGTGATCCACGGCGCCTTAGAAGATCTTACTCGCCTAGTTCGTAAAGGGGCATGCTTTTCCACTACGTTGTTAAAGGTCGTTTTCCATATACGCCACATATCATTCGGATTATTATAAATCCTTATCACGTCCCAATTCTGTAAAGAAATATCTCGTCGAAAATATTCAGAGTTGAAATTTTTAAGTTTTCTATAACTTATTGTAGAATGGCCTTTGTTGCGTGGACTGATAGAAAGCTTACGGAATGCGTAAATTAAGCTATGATCACTGATACCGACATGAGAAACACCAGAGGAAACAATATTATCTGGTGTATTGGTAAAAATATGATCGATCATAGTTGATGAAGTTTCGGTAATTCGAGTTGGTTCATTTATTAATTGATGTAAACCATAGAGTTCAGTGATGCCAATTAAAGATCTCGAATTGCAATCTAAAGTAGGCGATCCAAGGTCACAATTTAGGTCGCCCAATAGGTAATACTCGACATTTTCTGCGTCAAGCATATCAATAAACGTTTCGAAATGATTAAATTTATCAGTATTCGAATTAGGTGGTCTATACCATGTTGTAACGAGAAAGGGCTTAGAATTTGGTTTTTGAATTTGAATACATAAATTTTCCAAGTCATCGATAAACAGGTCCTTGCGAAGTATAAAATTTACGCAGGAGCGCACATAAAAGCAAACACCTCCATACGTTTTTCCATCGGCACTACTACATGCTCTGTCCCGACGTATAATTTCATATCCAGGTATGTAAACATCGTTATCGCTTATTGTAGAATTAAGCCATGTCTCGTTAATTGCTAGAACATCGATTGGGCTAGTAGCAAGCAAAACTCGCAGCTCATCAATGTGATTTACTATGCTTCTCACATTAAGGGCTGCTAACTTAAACCCGCGTGAGGTAGGAATAACGGATTTGGGAAATTGTCAATCTGAGATAGATTTAGCAAAATCTAAAAAGTTTTGTTGTAAAGCTAAGCTACCTTGTCTATTTAAATGAAGGCCCTTCGTGTTTAGGTGGCTTTCATTCATATTTGAATTACTTAAGAAGGGAATTTTATTGCGAATACAATAGCCTTTAAGAATGTTATTAACCTGAGTAGCTTTAACAGTTAAGTCATGATTATCAGACCTTACCAGAATGGCTGATATTCCAACATCTGTACCTGGTGAATCTTCTTTTACTTGCGTTACAATGTTGACGATAGAGTCAGCTATTACTTTTGGCGTGCAATGACTTCTCAGGTCGTTTGTTCCAACATGTAAAATCATCTTGTCCGGTGTTCTTCTTGTAAGTGGCTTGACAAAGTCCTCCATGTCTGTGACTGTTGCTCCAGGGAACGGCTTTACAATAAAATAATGATTAGGATCTTCAGCATTCATCTTCGGACCGATAATATTTTTAACAATTGAGTCTCCTGCAATAACAACTGATTGCTTCTGCGAGTTCTGGCCCTGTCTCGTTGTTTCAATGTTGGAGGTATTTGCAATCCCGCCAGAGCCAGAGGTATTTGCATCCGGAGCATTTAGTTGACTGGTATTATGAGCTGATGGTTTAGACTTGGTTTTCTTACTCTTCTTTTTACTCTTTTTTGTAAGACTTTCTTTGGCGTTGGGCTGACTATAGATTACAGGCTGATCAGATTCATGATTCAGTTGAGTGACTTCATTATTATGTATGATTTCACAGGCCGGTTCAATGTTAATTTCTCCGTCTTTTGAAATCACAGTGTTAGTCATGGACGTATGTTGAGAGTCATTTTGAAATAACTTAAGAGCAGTCAAAAGGCTGCTCTTTTCGTTTTCCAAATTTTTATTTGCCATTTTCAAATCAGATATAGAACAGGACATGTTCATATTTTGTGCCCTAAGATCATCATTCATTCTGATTAGCTCAAGCTTGTCTTTCTTTAGGTCATTAACTACGTTTTCCAAAACCAGAATCGAGTAGGGTTTACTTTCTTTAATATTGTTTATCTCAACTGTAATATCCTGTAGTTTGTTTGCCACATTTTCGGAAAATCTCTCAAGTTTCGAATTCAATCTTGCTATTGACTCGGAGTCGCAGTTATAGCTGGAGTTGCTTCCCAAGGGATTATGCCAATTTGTTAAGTTTGCGTGCATACCGATTGGGCCTTCATGCAAATTTTTTGACTTCGCATTCAACTCATCATACTTTACACCGATTTCAGAATCTATTTTCGCTTGATTTTCGTCTTGGTATTCCAATTTCTTTTCAACATCAGGTTGATAACTAAACGAATGTTCAAGTGCATCATCATTGACATCGTCAGGTTCGACAGCTAGCAAATTTTCAATTGATTGATTTAGATGTAGTTCGGCATGGCTATCGATTTCAGAAGCACTGTCCAGATCTTGATTTAAAAGCGAATGTATTCTTGCCGTTATGTCACTACCTTTCTCACCACCAAAGTTTATATTTTGGCTTTTTGTTAGCCAAGTAACTGATAACAGCTTACTTTCAAATAACCATTTACCGCCACTGGGGGAACGCCATGTTGTTGCTTCGGCAGTCTCCTCGTCAATTTCGGTTAGTACAAGCGCTTTCAGGGTTTCAAGAGATCCCGTCCAAATAAGTTTACTTTTCTTAATGTTGAAATAACTGTATAACACATTTAAAACAGTTGAGGAATTCATTTTAACTCAACAGAACTTGAGAAACAACCTTCTTCGTGACCTTCCTCGGTTGGAAGCGAGGATAAAAAGGACTCAAGTTCAGCCCTCAATGAACATTTCTGTTTAGAATAAGAGGAACTTTGGATACTGGCTTTTAAATCGTGTAGGCGGGAATCAATGGCAGCAAGATCAATCTGCACGTGCCGTGGTAGAAGGGTGTCAGGGGAACAAAGGCGTTGGTAACCGCACATCTGACAGAATCGAAAAGTATAATCGTTTGCGTAGGAACACGTCGGGCAGGCGAGGGCAGGCATGTAGACCCTTGGTGTTCGAGGAAGGTCCTGAAATGGATCGGGAAAGGAGATAGAATTTACACACGTACCCCAGAAATTAATCAGAGCAACAGGTCTTGTAGACGAGACGTTAGAAATAGTTTATGGTCGCACGAGGCCTAAAACGTTAATTTGCGATATGAAAGGCCCAGAGGTCCCATGGGAGTGGCCACCGATCGGAATATCCGTGTTTACTAGGTGTGAGTAGTGCGCTAATGGAACCTTTGGGTGCTAACAAATACCGTGATAATGAAGAGGCGCTCACAAGTGGCCACCAAAATCGACGAGGATAGACGTCTGGTACAATTAGGGTGTACGTAAGGTGGAAATCTTCAAGGTACTTGAAGACATGAGGGATGAGGCAAATGGGTGGAAAAACATACGGGTTCGCGAAAAATTCTGCAGGACCAAGGGAAGGTGATTGAGCAAAAACATTAACACCGGCTGACTCTGGTAAAGGGCATTCCGAGAAGAAAGGAAGATGGTGGCCGGCCAAGTCAGTTTGGACGTTCGATGGTCGAGCCATAAGGTTAGCGGAATGTCCTTTGGGACCTCCATACTGATTTTGAACGAGTTCCCATAAAGCTGGTGAAAGCTTCGAATCTTGAAGGCTGAGGTGACGAGATGGGATATCCGCTAGGTTCTGGCTACTTCTAACGTAGAACAGATGTAAGTCAATGTTCAAGTTCATAACAGTCTTAAACAAGGCTTTTAGAGCACAAACGAGAGGAGGAGAGCGAGACCCTTGTTTATTCCAAGAACGAATCAGAATTTGACTGTCAACGAAGGCATCCACCCACGAATCCCGGACGACGCCAGCAAATGCATGGAGGACATTGCGAAGGGCGAGAGTTTCTTTAGTTGCGATATCACTTTGCAAAGATGCCATATCCCAGTAATCACAGATATTCACTTTAAGAGCACCCGGACTCAAAACAGCACCTCCCCATGCATAGGAAGATGAGTCAGAATAAAGCTGGATGTGGGTATGCCTCTCCGAACGCCAGGGAAGAAAACCCTCCCATTCTTCGAGGAAGAGCCAATGTTGCATCTCCGAGCGTAAGGATGGCGTGATTACAATAGGTCGGGATGAACGGCTGGCACGGGATAGGGCTAGGTTAATTTCATTACAATACATCCTTGCTCCTGGGACGGCTAGTGCCAGGGACATACATTTCCCGTTTAACTTTTGGAGGGTAAGTAAGTCTATGGTGGTTGTGGCCAAAATTTGTTTCAGGAGAACCAAAAACTTTAGCTTCTTACGCGGTAGCAACATAAAGGCTTGTGTTTCTGAATCGACCATAAAACCAAGATATGGGACGCGTTTCTTCGGAATGAGAATGGATTTCTCTAGTCCCAGAAGTAACCAAGAGAGATCAGCGTATAACAAGTAATAAATATGGCTGCATTAGCTAGAGCAAAATTAACACTATCCACCGACGGTAAGTCGAGATAAGCAGGAGACAACGAATCTCGTGGAATTGAAAGCTGTGAGCTATGACGATCATCAATGTAAAGTGAGGAGGGGATCTTCAACGAACGCAAATAATGGGACGCGACAAGGCCAGTCGTATGGTAAATATAAGCGGAACTTTTCCAACCAAAGGGAATGGTGCAGCTTACGAAAAACCAACCTCCCCACTGGAAACCAAAGTATGTGCGGCTATCCGGCGAGAGAAGAATATGGTCATAACCCGATTTGTCGTCACACACCGTTTGGTAAAAACCTTTCTGAATGTACGTTGGCAGGTGCAAAATACTGTCAAGGTTAAAAGGTCGGTCTTGAGTCCATAAATTTAAAAATCGATCATCATTGCAAAGGCGCGGTTTAGAAGGCTCCACGGTTAGTGGCATCACAAGGCGGGGAGGAGGACAGTGGCCGACTCGACCCCAAAGGGAGATAGCGCCAGATGCCAATCGATCAATAATTGAGTCAGATACAAATTGGGCAAACGGTTTACAAGAGACATTGTTGGAAAAAATGCGGGCTGGAGGGGTGTCACAATTGTAGTTACAGCCTTTATAACTGCCGTGAAAGGGCGTGAAAAAATGGAAAACATCGACAGAGTTGTCAATCCAATCAGCAACTTCAGTGAAAGTAGGATTATCAGAGTCCTGAAGAAGTGAAGCCCATCGGGGTTTGTACTGATGAAGGTTACCAGCTTTAAAAGTGCGAGGATCTGGAAAGCGTAACATAGAAACATCCGCGTGGGCTTCCCCATCAATAACAGAAGTGAGGAACTGATTGGAAATATGGGCATTGTCGACCATCCCCTGGGCGGTGTTAAGGCATGAACCATCGTATTGGACCCAGTTAACACGACGTGGAGAAGGCGAAGTGGGATTGAAATTCGGAGTCCGTTCCCAGTCATGAAATATGGCGTTGCAGAACTAAAGATAAAAGAAAACGAGGGTAGAAAAGGAAGCCCAGGGGATGGCAAACTCAGCCCCGGTAATCCGAGAGAGAAATAGATTCTCCTTGAGAATGCCATCCAAGAGCAAGAAAGTGAAGAGAGGGATATGAGGAAAAAAGACTTAAAAGGTAATATATGGAGCATCTTATAGGAGGGATGTAAAACATCATGCTTTCGGTGTGTGTAGTCAATACAAATTGGGTAAGTGTCTACTCATTGACAGTGGGAATTTGAAAAGTCGCAAGCTAATGTTAAGGACTTGGCGAACAAGGGTTGTTAAGTTACTGAGAGGTAAAATAATAAATATAAACAAAATAACAGAGGAATGAATTATTTTTTATTGAAATACGCTTGCTAGAAAGCAAAGACACAAGGAGCTATCCGTCTTATCCAGTTTTCACCGCATTGGAGGGTTCTGTTGGGGACGATCTTGCCGAGGAGGAAGCCGATTACTAGGGCGTCGCCAACATTGTGGAGACTTGTGGCCAGGAGTGCCACATTTATAACATACGATACGCGGTGCAGGATTTCCCGACGTAAATCGTCCTCTGCGAGCGTGTGAGCTTCTTTGATATGGGGATGAACGCTGGAAGGACTTATCGATTTTGGAGACGGTGTCGATTATCCGTGAAAATTCTTTATCAGCGAGGAGGGCTAAAAAGTACGCTTTAAAATGTTCGACCTCAACCGAAAGCTTGTCACGTAAAGTGGTCGCAATGATTTCATAGCTGGCAGCTTTGAGGTCACCCGAGGTCTTAGCAACAGAAACCAAGTTTTCTGCAAGGTGAAGGGCTTGATACTTGTCAAAATCTTCAACTCGGCGACTACCATAATTAGTAATTTGCCGTAACAAAGCCTCAACAGTAGTGCCTTGAGAGTCCTCCAATATTTTAATTCGTTGTCGTAAGGTCTACAGGTATTGAACAAACACAGAAATAAAGCAACAACAAGGATTTAGCTGTACAAAATACCGGAAGCAAATTACTGTAATTAGAGACGGTTGCATGCGTGCGGTGTAGACTTGTGGCTACAAACAATATGCTAATACGAATATTCGTATGCAAAACGGCGACAAGGCAAGCCATAAATCGTTCAGACACACTGAAACAAACATGCATAAAAATAAAAACAGGCCGCTTGCAGCTAATCCTATAGTAAGGGTAAGAAAAAATTGTACATAATAGCCCGCAGGCGCAGAGCCTGAAACTGAAAGCCATAACGTCTGGAACAGGGCCAGGTACACAATAGTTAAAAAATACATATTAAAGATAACAGCCCGCACAGCTTGATAGCAAATACGTTCACAGCAGGGCTAAACATACATGGTACAAGATACAATGAAATTTTAGAAATATAGAGATATGAGCCCGCACAGCTTTTAGCTAAAACGTTTTTAGCTGGGCTCAGAACAAAAGTACCATGGAATAACTAAGATACAAAAGATATACAAGAATAGTAAAAGCCCGCACAGCTTAACAGCTAAACGTTTTGGAGCAGGGCCAAACATACAAGTACAAGCAAAAATATTACATTTTCCAACAGGACGAAAACAAAATATACAAGTATTCATAGTAAAACATACTGTAGAACAATAACACAACACATTGGAGTCCACAGAGCCGACGATTTTAGCCACACGCTGGCTATGGGAAGTGGTGAAGCATATCATGATGGGTCAAATAAGCAATTGGACCACAAATTAAATTTGCAAAGATTATACAAGTGTTGAAGATCGCATTGTGCGACAAAATATAAACGCATAAACAAGCATAAGGCGAGGTCGGAGCAGTAAAAGCTGCAATCGTGCCACTGTAGTATGTAGCTATAATGCCTGTAATGTGGCTATAACAATAATGTCGCTACAGAGAAACCATGGCGTAAAACAATATAGCGTTTGGGATGAAAATAATGTAATAAAATACTCCAAGCGAAGCCGATGCGACGAAGAGAACACAGTGTATAAATCATGCGATACGTTCGGAAAATGAAAATTTTACAAACCTCTAAAGACATATCTTCAGGTAACTGAGCATTTTCGGTAGGTAGTTGTGGTCTCGGCGGTGCATCTTGCCCGGCTACAACAGGAGGCTGAGGTTGGTCGATTTCAACAGCAGCGGCAGGCGGATGATCTGTAGCGAGGATAGCTTGAGCAGCTTCGACATTCTCTGCAGGAATTTGAGCTTCTTGAGCGGCCATAGTCTTGACTCCACGGTTTGCTTCAACAGACTGACCTCGATCACTTGTTCTGATCTCCTTTTATAGGCGTGAGTGAGACCGCTGAGAATAGTGTCAGTAATTTTAATAAAAACACTGATTCATAACTTTGGACACTGGATCTTGCTGGATTTCTAATCAATACACAGTCCAGAGTGCGTCAGGTTACTACGGTCAGTGTTAGCAAGATGGCCGCAAGAGGCAGACTAATTTGTTCAAATGGATTGAAAATATTGCTGTTAAAATTGATCTTTCTTGGCGATATTTGCTTGATCTCTTGCACAGAAAGTACAGTTTTTGCAGAGGAAGGTAATCTGTGTTTGAATTTGCCCTAAACTCGCTTTTAAACGCGTCAATGTTGAAATGAAATGCGCTGAAAAGTGAAAAGGTCTGATGCTTATATGGTGTTTTAGTATAATACTTGATTGTTGCGTATTTCAGTTGCCGAGGTTGGAAATACGTGTTATATTTTGCTCTCATAATTTACTCTAGAAATTAATGAAAAAATCAACAATTATGTGCAACCATCCACAACTGAACTACCTGCGTCTATTGAAGACACAATATCAGCAGAGGTGACACGGGAAGAACAGTCTCAAACAGAGGCAAGATCTCACATAAATAACCCTTTCGATGAACGAAGTAAAACTATCAGTACAACAAACATAGATCACAGCTCAGATTTAACAAACACTCATGAAAATCCTGAAGACCTGTCTTCCACAGATAGTGGTGGTACTGAACATGGTGCAGAAACTGTATCAAATTTGACTGATAGCGAGTCTCAGAATACAAGTGATGCCAACTCTACCAACAAAATGTCTCAGCAATTTTGGAGTTGTGTTACATACAACATCAGTGAACAAAAAGTGATCATTTTGAAAGACAAAAACAGTTTAGTTTGGTGGCTGGATGAGCTGAATAAAACAATGGGTTGTGCAGTTGTGTTGTTTTATGCCAAATGGTGCTACTTTTCGGCAAACCTTGCTCCTTTGTACAATGCAGTTGGCCGGGCATTTTCTGGGATACCAATATTGGCAATCGATGCTTACACCCACAACAGGTAAGAGGTTTTTCATGAACTGCTTTCCTTTTACCAGGACAACGTTAGAGTCTGATAAACTGCAACATGCTTTCATTTAATTGTGGTACTTTCAAAGTCTGGTGTTGCACAACTTGTGTTTTATTTTTCAGTCTCAACACCAGATATGGTATAGTTGGTGTGCCTACCATCATCCTCTTCCAAGAAAGTCGGCCTGTGGCAAGATTTAACCGTTCAAGAACTTACAAAGATCTTGTTGAATTTATTCACGAGAGCACAGGTCTGTTTGTTTCTTTATTATTGCAATATATATTCAATTCATAATCTTTACTCTATTACCATTCCCTTAACAGTTTAGAAATGACAGAGCTATCTTGTATAGCTAAATTAATAATGATTTTTTCCCAGGAATGGAGTACAATTCTTCTGTTGAAGTTGATGTAATGGATTATGAAGAAGGTCCATTGCCTAGTACAGTCTCTGATGACTTTAATTTCCATCTTTTTGGCTCCCTTTTTTTCCTTCTAATCATGGCTGCGCTATTGTTATGGCATCTTCAATATGTTCAGGTGTTTTCAGACTATTTCATGTCGCTCTCGCTGGTAAGAACATTGTTAAGACGGACGGAGAGGGTAAAGAATGATTGAAAACAGTTCCACGACTAAGTAATCAATTTATATCACTACGAATACAATCAATCAATACTACGTTTTATCAAGGTTTTTTGGACGAAAATGAGATGATTTTTTGTGGTGTATGAGGTGAATAATGTGTCCGTTTGTGAAGATGATTTTCGGGGCTGGCATAACTTGTCTGTCTTCCCATGTATAATGTCGTTGTTATTGACAACAGGACGCTCTGAACGTCTGTGAGTTTCTTCTAAGAATAGACAAGAATAGGAACAAGTTTCTGAAAACAACGTGTTATAAAATACTTATCCTCGCAGAGAATACGACGTGCCTCTTGAACGTCAAGCTGTCGTTAAGGTGCTGAGCTTTGGCTATACTTCAATAAGGCAGGTACCTGAACTAGACAACGTGGTTCTTATAAGAGCGTATTATTTTACTCCTTTTATTGTTCAATAAGACATAACAGTTGCTTCATTTGCATTAACTCAGTCACCCATAACCCAGCTCGAATCAAACTCGTTTATTTTCCAAATGAGCAAGTGTGATCTGCTTAGTAAATTGTTAAATATATAGCCACAGAGTTATATATATGAGATTTGTGAAATTTAGCGGTAATTTTAAGCATTGTGTTGCATTTAAAAGCCTCAAGATATAGAATTGTACATATATTTATTATATTGAGATATAAATGACAATAAATTATTCATATCTTGACCTGTTGTGAAAATTTATATACATTGTGTCAAGTGTTCAACTTTTTGAAAGACTCGCATGTTGCAGTCAAATAACAAGAACAATAATCTGTTTGAGTCCACGGTTTTACAAGTCTTGCAAGCAAGCGAACGGTCTGAGAGTGACGTTTGAGAGTTGTCAGTGACCTCTGCAGTGCTACAAATTATGAAAATCATTTTCATATTCACAATTCTCGCTCAATTTTACTCTCAGACAAGCGATGGTGCGGTTTTCACCGCCTTGACAAGACTACGCGATCTTGCTTTGATGGAAAACACGTTGGTCCAGTCCTTGCATGATTTCATTTCAACAGAGAAGTCCAAACTGGAACAAGCTATAAAAATTGCCGAACAGGTTCAAAATTCGTTGGGAAAAAGGAAATTTAATGACCCAGATGAGATCTATTCCAGCCCTCTCGAAGTCTATACTCTGTTTAAAAGATTTGTCTATCAATGGAAGAAACTGGAAGACATTGTCGCGACAAATAAGTCAAATGGTTTGTTATATTTTGATACATATCACAACTGTATTTTGTCTATAATAACCATGATTTTAACTACACATTCTGCAATAAATTGCTTTAACTCTAAAATCCTCGAGTCTCGACTGTCATTGATCCACTTTTTCACTAAAATTTAACATTAATTTTACAACCGACCCTAGATGGTGTTCAATGTCTATTTTTTTTTCAGATATTTTACGCCAGTTGGATGACTTCAAACCATATCTTCCTACCGCAGAAGATGATCTTTATGGCTCAATATCTGCGATATATTTACTGCAAGATACGTACAACATCACAGCGAGTGATTTGGCCAGCGGAAATATTCCAGGTGAGGAGACATTGATATTAGTATATCTACATTAGAACACCACGCACGTTTGAGATATCTTTCTCAGGTAGTTCAGACACAAACCACGACAGCTTATTGTAGAATACTACCTACACTAGATCGCCACGTTTGAGATATCTTTCTCAGGTAGTTCAGACACAAACCACGACAGCTTATTGTAGAATACTACCTACACTAGACCACCACGTTTGAGATATCTTTCTCAGGTAGTTCAGACACAAACCACGACAGTTTATTGTAGAATACTACCTACACTGGACCACCACGTTTGAGATATCTTTCCCAGGTAGTTCAGACACGAACCACGACAGCTTATTGTAGAATACTACCTACACTGGACCACCACGTTTGAGATATCTTTCTCAGGTAGTTCAGACACAAACCACGACAGTTTATTGTAGAATACTACCTACACTGAACTACCACGTTTAAGATATCTTTTTCAGGTAGTTCAGACACAAACCACGACAGTTTATTGTAGAATACTACCTACACTGAACTACCTTAATATAACCTCTGTCACTCTAGGCAGCAGCATTAAGAATGAAATCCATGCTGATGACTGTTTTGAACTTGGTTCATTTGCTTTGTATTTTGGTCGTTATCACCATGCACGCGGTTGGCTAAACGAAGCCCTAGAACGAGTGAACAGACCCGACTATAATGGCAATATCGACATGCCGCTCCTGCTTGAACACGCGTCCTGGGCCGAGTATACGGTAGGTGCAGATTTTACCAAGTCCCAGACCCTAAGATGACGGGAAGATGGAATCACTGAGTTTCCAGTTAAAAACCTTAGTGTCGTCTACATTTCAGACGGGAAATCTTGAAAAAGCATTGAAACGATGTTTGGAACTCATAAAAATCAGTGAGTATTATGCAGACTGTCTATTTTATATCTTTGTTTTGGAAAAAAATACTTGATCCAGGGTAAGGTAATCCTGTGGCTGAGGAAGATTGTTGGTTTTGGACTAGCGGTGGTCACGAGGATCACGAAAGGGGTCGAAACGTCAGTCAACACCAGAACTAACCTGGGCTATCATCATCTGCAAACATATAATGATTCTCTCGGGTTCAAAGTAATGAGCTGGTATCTTTCTTAGGTCCAAACAACACGCGTGCTCTGGATAACGCAGTGAGATATCGCCGTCAACTGAAGACTGGTTTAGTCAAAACCTACGAACATGTCAAGGCTGATGAGGAGAAGATGTTGACAAAGGCGTACACGAGAACAAAACTGAGCAAATTATGTCGAGAAGAAAAGTTAAGAAGGGTGCGTTTCCTTCGTTACCAGTTCAACTTAATTCTCTCTCTTACCAGGATTATATTATTTTGTTAAATTCAGTCCCATGGTCCAGCTCGTTTCCTCAAATGTCGCTACAAGACGGATCATCCAATGTTGAAATTCAAACCCGCGAAGGAAGAAGTGGTTTTGGTTAAGCCACGAGTCGTAATTTATCACGATATGGTCCGAGATCATGATCTTGAAAAAATCAAAAACGTCGCAAGACCTCATGTAAGTTCAAGGAAGATCATCTGATTTGATTCAATCCAACTCTGATCTGATTCAATCCAAAACTAATCCTCTAATCCTCGATCATCTTCGTACAACACAACTCAACACAAAATTTAACATTTTCGCAAACGTTTATTTTCCGTTTTCGCTTTTTTTTGGTAGCTTGAACGTTCAAAAGCATACAATCTTGAAACAGGAAAGCTTGAGACAGTTACTTACAGAATCAGCGAAAGGTGAGCTAACCTGGTCGTCTTTGTTCCACAAGAATTTTGATCTAATTCATCGTTGGCTTTGATTTAGTGCTTGGATACACGAGAGAGCCACGGATGCCGTGAAAATATTCAATCGTCGAGCCGAGGCAGTCACAGGACTGGCCGCGTCCACTGCCGAACCCTTGCAGGTGAGGACATTTGATCATTAGTGTCATCTTAAAACAGAATGGATCTAAATTGATATAGCGGTATATTTGTTGTTATAGGTGGCTAATTATGGATTAGGGGGACAATATGAGGAGCACCATGATCACGGAGTAAGTATAATGAGATGACAAGAACATGCGAGATCAATCTTCCCCCTGACAAGAAAATCTTGTTCTCCCTTCCGTATTTAACAATCATTCGTGTCTATTTTTGTATATCGTAGTACCCAGACTCTCCGTTGATAAATCACGTGAATGGAAACAGAATTGCCACGATGTTACTCTACGTAAGTTGTCTGATCTTAATACAACAAAAAACTGGACCATCCGCGATGGCGAAAGGTTAACTTTGTGGCATATTTTTTTTCATAGCTCACGAGCGTTCCTTATGGTGGAGGAACGGCTTTTACGAGACTAAAGATCTATGTCAGACCTGATAAGGTAGGTGATCTTGTTTTCCTAAGCTCCTTCAAACTATTATCACGTTAAAGTTAACTCATACGCGTCTAGGGTGATGCTGTGTTTTGGTACAACCTCAAACAATCTGGTGTCGGGGATAACTCCACGTTCCACGCCGCTTGTCCAGTCCTCTCCGGGATCAAATGGGGTATTAAATATTATTATTATCGTGACTCGTGAATATTTCCGCGTGTGTGATCTCCTAGCCATTGCTCAGATTGCTAGCAATCTGCTGTTCTCAGAGCTTTGAATATCGTGTCATAGTCTTCAAATGAATTGAAGAATATATTATCACAGATATTATTCACCTTTATACAGCGTTATGACGTAGCTTGCGCACAAGGCATGTTCCTGATTGGCCAGCTGTGTTCGCATTGACCAATCAGAAGTATTGTCTGCAAACACGTCATAACGTTGGATTTTTACAAAGGTCTACATTTCATAAGTCTCGACGTTTCTAAAACGAGGTTTATGATTTTTTCCAGTTGGAAATAAATGGTTTCACTTACACGGGCAAGAGTTCAGGCGACCCTGCACGTTGAACGAAGACGAGTGAAGATAATTTAATACAACTTTCATATTTAACTATCCGCAACTTAAAGTAATCAGGCTAAAGTACACAGCCTTCCTTCTGCAAAGAACAGCAAAATAATCGGTTCTGTAATGGTGATGTCCGCTTCAAACAATACAATCCGTTCTTTAAATAACTCAGAGAGAAACTTCTCGTTTTGACCAGACCGGTTTTGACTTCTGGTGGATGTTTTATAGTCTGTTGACTTGCAATATATATGGGCAGCAAATCAACTAAAGCCAATGAGGTACTTCGTCGATGATACACTACATTCCATACGTCAGAAGTGAATTGGGTCGGACAAATTTGGATCGTGTGAAGAGACTTTTAAGTCCATTTGTCCATATTTTGCGGCATTTTTGTAATTTTTTAACGATTCTTTATAAATAACCCTTTGTATACAGCTGCTTCGTAATTATAGAGCAAAAGAGAGCTAATCTGACGTGTTTGATTTTAAATGATAAAATACCATTAAACCTGGATTATATCAATATTAATTTTGAGTTTTGTTTTAATTTAATCATAATTTTCTTTTGTTTTGTTTTTATATTTTCTTCAACGCAAGTTACATATATAATTAAAGCTAATTTTAATTTTAACTGTAATAACCACTAAATACTGTTCACGTTGACAAGCGTAAACTTAAGGTAATATTTGCGATCAAATTAGATGTAGTAGTCTTGGTATGCTAAATGGTTCGTTATGGTTCCATTGTGAAGTGATTCTCAGCGCTGTTGCATAGCGAATTAGCAGGGAAGAACTTAAAGCATTGCTTTCCAGGGAACAGTGCTTTACGAAGGGTAGAAAGGTCAGGTTGGACCTCATACTTGGGAACACCTCTTGGCTTGTTATTTGCCCAGAATGAGACTGATTGCGCATTTTTAACCCCAGCCTTTGTCCACGCACAGCAACCAACTGTCCACGCTGATTTCGGTTGTATAATAGATTTGGCCAACCCGTTTTCCAGTTCCGGGCTACCGTCTGGTTGTGTGACCGCTCCTTCGTAGGCCACCGGCCAGAACGTGGCTGGTCTAAGGAACGCGCTAGACCGTACACCAGTCAATTCGTAATCCGACACACCGCTGACGGCATAGAAGACTGCGCTAACGTCCTTGGCGCTGCAAATATCTTTAGCATAGGAAATAATCTTGTTTTGGTATTTCCTCCACACGCCTTGAGCGAAATCTGTATACTGGGGAAACGCATTGATATGGTTGAAAGTCAGGTCCATTGAGGCGTCTGCGTATGTATGCATTTGGTTTGGATTCAACTGCCCTTCTTCCACCCCCTCGGGGTATTTCTTGTCGCTTCGGTCGAGGTAGATCTTGTTCGATCCAATCCGAACATAACTTTCAGCTGAAGAAGAGTTGAATATAACATTTCAATAAATTCGGAATCTCTTCAACATGCATTAGGGATTAACATGATGGATTAGGGATTAACATGATGGATTAGGGATTCACATGATGGATTAGGGATTAACATGAAGGATTAGGGATAAGCATGAAAGAATAGGGATTAATATGAAGGATTAGGGATTAGCATGATAAGTCATACTCAGCTTAGTCCATCTGTTTCTCAGCCAGCTCTTGGTATTAGAAATTGCCTTCATGTTTGCATTGCTTATTTTATAACCAACAAAAACCGGTATTCCTCTGTTTCCATCAAATAATACAGAGTATGGAGTTGCAGATGCGATACCCCCTTCGCCTTTAACAGTGTAGTAGTGGGTGTTAGGGGCATGGGTGATGGGACCGGGTGGGGTGTTACCCTCGAAATTTTCAAGGTAACTTTGAGGTGGGGATGCTGATTTGGTGTTAACTGTACTGCGTTTGCCGACATAACTTTTTTTCCCTTCAGCATGTTTGTCATGGACGATTCTCAAGTCATTGTTATGGGAGCACTCAACCTTATCAGCAATTGCGTTAGCGCAGAATTCAGGTGTCAGACCAGTCGGCGGGTTAGAGCCTGTGACTGTGACACGAATACCCTTGACGTCATTACACCAATTTGCCTGACCAGCGTCTGCAACAATCTTGCTATAGGTATTGTCTGTGCCGCCTATCCTATAGGTGCAGTGGTCTGTGGAACAGAGATGGACATTGGTGAGAGTTCACGATAAAAACACAGGGAATTTCGAGTCGTACATCACTACATCTTATCAAGTTAACGAATCCAAATTTAACTGTAAGTAAGGTTGTTTACCTTGCAACACGGTCGGTAATGCTGAAATGAAACACTCAAAATTAGTCTTCTTTCTTTCATTTCTTTCAAAACATGGATAAACCAGGCTGAGCACGTCTGTGTCAAAGAAACTTACCTACGCAGTTATTGCCACTACCAAAGTGTGTTGGCATACACGCGCATTTCTTGTCTTCCACTAAATAATATCCCGCGGTCGCGTGACATGGTGAGGGATCTGGCACAAATTTCGAACCAGTTGAACCTGAAAATATTTTCATTTTATAAACTCTTTCCTTTTAACTTCGAATTGCGCAGGAATGATTTTGCTGGAGTGGAAAACGTTGAGAAAACCCTTCAGGGTTTTCCCCCTTCTTTGAAAAACTGATCCATTTCTGAACATAGGAAGTAAATGACTCAATGATTATCAATTATCATCACGCATTTCGCGAAAGAAAAAAGAGGGAAGGTCCGTTGAGGTATTTGTATCCTCCTTCAAAATAAGCGCTTGGATCATGTTATTCAATCACCTTCGAAGTATTAATTCATCTTACTTAGAATAACGCCTGATTTCAACAGAAGAACATTCTCATCGTGACTTCCAGCTTCACTTGTTTCCGGAATTCCTGATCTTTTATCGAAGTGAAGACTCTGGAGGAATGCTTTTAGAAAAGGAAACATTATCAGAGATACAACTATAGCTTTAGGTCTAGTAAGACTTGTGACAAAGTTTATATTATCTATATTTTATACTCACATGTTGTACCAATAGGAGGTGCACCGACTTTACTAAAAACAAAAAAAATTAACGATTAGTCAAAATTTAAAATAACAACAATGAATTATTCTCTAAAAAATCCGTACAACAATCTTCGCCCTGGATGTTCTTTGTGCTAAATAAAGATAATTCTCTTACCCAAAAACGTCCATAAAGTTTCGAAACGTTGTAAAATCGTATTTGTCGTTGTATGGTATAAATGTCTCGCTTGAAACAGTTCTGTATTCAATAAAAGGTACACCTTTGATCTGTATAGGCAGAATGTTCACGTCAACTACTGCGATTTCAAATTGATTATAAACTGATTTTAGGCGTTGTATCGTCTCCATATCCTCCACAAAACTTTGATAATAGTCAGAGGCTGTGTTGGAGAAAATATGTCAGTTGGAAGATACGATGATGCTGAAATATTGCAGCGTTTGTTGGTGACTTACCAGAGCTATGATATGCAAGGACAACAGCTTTATGATTGTGGTTTCTTTCAGTCTTTGCATCGTAAGTTTCTCGGGAAAATACTGTCGTTGGAAAGTTCACATGTGCTTTGAAAGAAAAGGTGCGGTGGAATTAAATGGATGAAAAAAATTACCCAAGATGTACCCTATATATTGACCACAGTATACCCACATTGTACTCAATGTGTTCACCATACTATCCACAGATGGCACTCAACTACATCACCAGATATCAACTACACCATACCCATACGTTTCGTTGTACCATAGAAACATATTTTGCGACTTACTGCGTTGCAGCAGTTTGCTATCACATGACGTCAACTCCACCCCCTCCGTCATGGCATGGCGGCAAAAATCTTGGAAGGCCTGTTTCGAGATGCGCGCTCCGCACGAACCCGATATTGCTCGATCCAGTGAGCCCGAGGTACAGTGGCCAAAGTACACCCCATAGATGACAGGCGCACCATTCACCATCCGATATATTGGACTTCCGACGTCAAATTTTCCCTTTCAATGATAATCGAATAATTGCATCAAAATTTTGAGCTTCAAGATGCATACGTACATGCATATGGCATACGTCTTCGGTGGTATATACCTTCCTACCTTATTTGAGCAAGATAATGTGATGACTTTGTCATCCATATGACGAATGGTGTCACCTTTACGAGCAGTATTTGAGGCAGTGTCGCAGCTCGTCGCCACCGGGTCGGCGATAAAGCTATCACCAAGATCTTCAAGACCGTAAGAACTCCATGACATTGAGAGTAAGTTTTTCTGATTAACAGGAGGCATCGGTTGCTCAAGTTGCAACAGCGCTAAATTATCATCTCGTTTTCCTGTTAGAAACCAGTAAGGATTGCGAAACACCTGGTTTTAAAATAGAATCAGTAAAATAAATCACTGGATCAATAAGAGATGATCCTTACTGGACCTCTAGGAAGAACAGTTTAGAACTGATAGAACTATCCAGTATAAATAAAGTTAGTTTAGTTTAGGTTTCCTCCTGTAGTAACACTGGATCAATAAGAGATGAACCTTACTGGACCTCTAGGAAGAACAGTTTAGAACTTATAGAGCTATCCAGTACAAATAAAGTTAGTTTAGTTTAGGTTTCCTCCTGTAGCAACACTGGATCAATAAGAGATGATCCTTACTGGACCTCTAGGAAGAACAGTTTAGAACTGATAGAGTTATCCAGTATAAATAAAGTTAGTTTAGTTTAGGTTTCCTCCTGTAGTAACACTGGATCAATAAGAGATGATCTGGATCTGGATAACTCACCCTTTTAACAGGTTTTATTTCTTTTCCCAGAGAGAAGGAGATGTTTGCAAACGGCTCAGCGGTGTGATTGGGGTAGACACACGTGGCACTGGTCAGGACGAAGGTAGGTTCAAGGAGGGCACCCTTGCAAGATTCTGAGACGCTACCAACCATCACCTCACCAACATCAATATTCACGTCCGGCGTTGGAACAGATGGAGCGCTAAAGCAGACAGTAATTACTATCGTGACTCCCTCGTATCTTACCAGTCAGAAGTATTCAGATATATTTTGAATTTATTCAACTCTAATGTGCTCTCACTCATAACGCTTTTCCAAAAGATTGATCACCGCAGTTTACAATGTGGAAACAGTGCATGGTAACTCGGTAAGGACAGAGTAAGACTTGTTATCTGTGATTTGAAAAGATTGCTTGAGTTACCTTGAGCTTTCGTCTGAGCTTGGTGCTTGATCTCCTCCGTTCTGCCGTTTTACGAAATTATTATCTTCGTTTGATTCATGGCCTGGTCTTATTTGCTCGTGGTGGGCCTTGAGACAACAATAAAATTTACTTTTGAGTTTAAAAATCCCCCAAATATTTATTAAAGCAAGGTCGTAAAATGACAAAAATCGCGTCATGTGCGCCTGACTTAAGAAAATAATGGGTGCTCTCATAGACTGAAATTACATCGCTCCGAAATTCACATTTTTAGTAGTTATCTTGTAGTAACTTGCTCAGTACACTGGGATATCTTTGGCCACTTGTCCAAGAAAGGTATAATGTCATTTATACATGCTATTATTTGTTTCTTAAGTATTAGTTTGTTTCTTAAAAAAAATAAAAAATCTTTCATGTTTTAAAAAGGACATTAAACGGTGAATATGATACCGTTGCAGAAGTCAAGAAAAAGTGTCGATGAGAGTTTTGATTGCTTGCATGGCTCAGGTAGGCGTGTAAAAGAATTTATTTTAGTTTTTCGCCGAAAGATGTTTCATTAAGAATATAACAAACAAATTTAAGCAATTTATTCAGTTCATACCTGATGAAAATGGTGATGATCATGGCAGTGTGTGTTTCTGCTAAGTAAAACAACAGCAAACACGAACGTCAGTAAAAAGTTCTTGGGCTTCATCGCTCACAGTGTTGTCGAGACTTGAAGTAAAGAAATGAAATCTGTTTTCTATTTTTGTTAAGTTTACGACGCTAAGAACTAATAAAGCAAATGTCACGCTGCGGCATCGTCAGGTGTTTGATTGTTTGGTGGTGGCATTTTTTTAAACTTTGATAGAATTGAACGACCAGTTTTACTTAGCGGGGTATTTTACAATCTCATTAGTTAGCTACATCCTAAATTAAACTTCCGGATGAAGTCATTCTGATTACTATTAAATATAAGCCTTTATAAAAAGCCCTCGTCCTGACGTAGTCGCAAGAAGCATATGCTTTTTGATTAGCCCACTGCCATAGTTGAACTTTTCGATCTAACAAACGTTTTCGCTCATTTTTGCCGGTTTCAAATGTGAGAAGTTAGATCCACTTAATTGATCACAGACACAGATGAATGGTAGTAAATCGAGCGAAACGTTTTTTTGATTAAAAACTAACTGTTTATAAACGGTGTAGGTGAAAAAGTGATAGCAAAATAACGAAATATAATTTCATTGACGGATAAAAAGTTTCTTAGCGTTCATTTCTACCAGTTCGTTGCAAGTCGGGGGCACTGAAACACGTTCATATTTTGCTATGGTTCAACCAAGCATCATATGAACTAAAGCCGTAGGAAACACGAATATCAGTAAAACCACCAGTTTTTTTAGTTTGATCATTTTAAGCTAACAAAGGTGTTAACAGGTTCAAGTATTTTTAGTTATCTTTATTACTTTATTCGCGCAGAGAATTGAACCATTAGTGATAAACTCTTGATAGCGTACGAGAGTTTGCACGGCGTATTAAGGCACACAAGATGACAGTTCACAGAGCTTTAAGTTTCGTTCTATTTATCATCTTCTTTCTATGTCTAACAGTTCCAGATTACTCGCTAGCGACGGTACTGACTCATGATCAGAAAGAAGATCTCGTAGCTGAGGCTTACACTTCATTAAAGGGCCTTGTTCAAACCTTGGTTGAAGTCCATACCACGATTCAAGAAGATGTTGAGAACACGACGAACAATTTAAACACGCTGAAGGACTCGGAGACCAGATCCTCGTATGCTGTTGATGTTATGGATACAGAGAATAGACGGATGATAGCGGAAATCGCAAGACGAGGAACCATTCTTTCCCCAGAGGAACTGAGGGTAGGCTATATGAAAATCATGCTCGTATATAGACAAGTTTATTTCTAGTCTTACGGATAACATTTTCGTAGCGACTTTGGGCTTGAAAGAGAGACGCACTAGTAATGTCGAAAGTGATGAAAAATACGAAGCTAGTCGGGTAGAATTTCATTTCCACTATACAAAATACACATGTCTGAGAATGAGAGATTGAGAAACCTTTTTTGTTTCAGGATCAAGAAGCTCAAACCGAGGCGATTAACGTTGCGAAAAACGAAGTGAAAAACCTCGGGTCAAATATCACATCGACGAAAAACGAACTCGATCAAGTTAACTCTCAGATGGCCTCCATGAAGCTCACCGCGGCAGATCTTGCAGATCTACAGAATAAGGCTAACGCCAAGCAGGGCGCCGGTGAGGAAAGTATCACGATACCAACAACAGAATCCATCAAGATTAAAGTCGACGAGCAACTTACGAATATGCAAAACGTTGTCAACACTCTTCCGGAATCCCAGGTCAGAAAAGAGGCGCAAAGATTGAAGGACGATATTGCAGCGAAGTTTAATATTTTGCTGGACCCTAATTCGGCGTTGACGTTCACAGCACAACAGCAGACGGCAAAACAGATCGATATTGCGTTGCTTCACTTCAGAGCACTTGATATTTATGGTGCTGCTCGAAAAATGGAACTCTGAAACATCATTGTAGAGAAAGTCAAACACGATGTATCAGCATTTCCCTTTTTACTGGTTTTAGTTTGTATCTCAAAAAGCCTGAAACACTTGTAATTCATGTGCAGAAGACATATAAAATGAACTTAGATTTCCCTATCTGATGCTATAGAATCATATCTGTATAAAAATACTCGTTAACTGAAGTTTATGGAAATATGTTTGAGAAACACGATTCAACTTTATGGTAAAGTGCAAACATATAGTGGGCTTGTCTTGTGGCTATCGTTCCTCAAACGTCTCAAACGGAATGGTTAGTGTTTGCAACTGCTCAAAACGCATGATTTTCAGAAATTTATTCATTAGACTAGCACAAAAATTTATTAAAATTTCAGACATAATTAAATATCTTTTCATTTGCCAATTACATTATATTATTCCCTCACATGTCGCTTAGAAAGTTATATATTCGTCATTAATTTACAGAAACTCGTCACTGGACTAAAGTGTTATGATTATGCACGCGACTTCTTTCTTTGAGTCAACGTAACGTTCACCACGGCTCCATCATGGTAGTCACTAGTAGGTTCCAGTAATGATCTGTAAACATGGTGATAGTCACCAGGATAATCACGCTGTTCCATTTGACTGTCAGAACAACACAACATCACAACACATCACATAGCGCTCACAACATCACAACACATCACATAGCGCTCAGAACATCAACACATCACATAGCGGCTTGTCTTTGGTTAGCATTACCAACACCAGAGTTAAATATAAAGTACACGAAAGCAATCATCAGTAATCCTGGTAGACCAAGGAATAACACCGCTATAAGTGCTGCAACAAGAAATACCGGTTCGACAACGTTCCCTGCTAAATTAAATCGCGGTACTCCATAACGCAGAAGTTGATTGTTTATTTCAGTAAAAGGTGAATCATTATTGCCTTGACGGCCATCTTGGTTTGGCTGCCTGTTCCTTGACGGACTTTCGTTTGAACTTGTAGTTCTTGTTTGTGTCCGATTTGTGTTGCTTTGCCTTTCTCGATATGCTTTAGCTCTAGGATCACTGTCAGGGACTATTTCTCCGTTGATTATTGTCACCATTTTTCTAATTTTTTACTTTTTACCTGCGACCTTTTATTCCATTTTTATGTTCCTCAAAAGTCGTACTCAGTCCTACGATTTCACTCGCGTCCCAAGGCACTGAGCTGTATATACAATCTGAATCCATATTTCAAAGTGTTACGTAATCACTGGATGTAATATTCCCATCCACATCTGCCATTTTGGTTTTTTAGGAAGGATTTCTAACAAAATATACTGCTCAAATTCCAATTGAATTTCAATCATTTTACACGTCTTAACAAAGATCTAGGACGGATGAAACATGGCTAATAGCTTGCTGAAGTCAACAACGTTCTTTAATGCTGGTAATACAAGATACGATCATCTTTCTTTCCATGCAAAGTTTTTGTTTTTAAATATATAAATGTCGTATTAAATAAACTTTACCGTTTCCTTCATCGTTAACACGTTGAATTCTCTTGGATTCACAGCCAGGCCATGTCATCTTGGACTAAGGTTGCTGAGCAATGGAGCAAATGAGGTATTTGGTTGAACGTTCATAGATAAAAATTTGCAATTTTGTACAGTTTTATGAATGACGAGTTAAATTCTTATAAAAATGTTCATTGCGTATTTTAGGAGACACGCACATTTGGGAATATGAAGGTTAGTAAGTGGTTGTCTTTTGCAGGAGTTATTGGGTTTAGTAACCACCCCGCAATGCAAGACCAATGCAGAGATAAGATCAACCTTGAACCTTTTAGTCCCTTACCAAGAGTTTTGAACTAAGATCTCAATGCCTTTCAATAGGCATTCCTTGCTTGAGCCCTTGTAATCTGGGGGCTACATTTTTTTTGCATTTTTTTTGTTACTTAATCAATATTCCCTACTGATTTCTTCACCATTATTATTGAAACATTCCCCATGCAAAAAAGACTTTTTGAAGAGTGCCTGTTTCAAGAGTGTCTATACCAATACCCTTTGTCTTGTTTTATAAGGATGAAGACAGAATTTTCACAAATCTCTACGGTAGACATGATTGGAAACTTGATGGAGCCAAGAAAAGAGTAAGCTTGCATTTATTTTATGTATATTCATTTGTGTATTTCAAAAAGTTGTTGATTTTCATCTGTGATTCAGGGTGACTGGTATAAGACCAAGGAGATATTGCTAAAAGGCTCTAATTGGATTCTTGATGAGATTAAAAAGTCTGGATTAAGAGGAAGAGGAGGAGCTGGTAGGGATGATTATGGTTATATTCAGAAGTTATTCTCATTACCCTATAATGATGGCTACTATCAATGATTATCACCTGCTCTATAAGAGAACAACCATGTTGTTTTAAACCTTAATTATAGGATTTCCAACTGGGATGAAATGGGGTTTTATGAATAAACCATCAGATGGAAGGTAACAAGTTTCATGTTGAATATATCACCCTCTACTTCACAACTGTGTAATTTCATGTTTATTATCACATCCAGACCAAAGTACTTGGTTGTGAACGCAGATGAGGGTGAACCAGGAACTTGTAAAGATCGTGAAATAATGAGACATGATCCGCACAAGTTGGTTGAAGGATGTCTGGTCGCTGGTGCTTCAATGGGCGCTCGAGCAGGTCTTGCATTTACATCATACTTTCTTTAAAACCAGCTTACAAAATAACCAAAAACCTTTAAAGCTTGTTTACACTTGTGCGGCGATTTTATGTACGATTTTCTTCTTTTGGTAGATGTGAACGAGTGATTAGTAATTATTAGTTATGAATTCTCTGATGTATAAGAGATCATATTTGAACATCAGTAACTAATTTGCTCGTTCACATCTATCAAAAGAGGAAAACAGGCCTTTATAAATGAATCATGGTTGTATAATGACCTCACTATGGTACTTTTCATGACTCCAAATTTCCTAAATCAGAGGATCTTCTTTTCAGCTTATATTTATATCCGGGGTGAGTTCTACAACGAAGCATCGAACATGCAGGTTGCAATAAACGAGGCGTATAAAGCTGGCTTGATTGGAAAGAACGCGTGCAATAGTGGATTTGATTTTGATATCTACATGCACAGAGGCGCTGGTGCATACATATGTGGCGAAGAAACGGTAATAAATATCTGCTTTATCCTCAAGATCATTTGCAAATCATCTTGCTTTAAGACGGACGTTTTCTTGATGCATACTTGATCCATGTCCTAGGCATTGATTGAAAGCTTGGAGGGAAAGCAAGGAAAGCCAAGGTTAAAGCCTCCGTTTCCTGCTGATGTTGGTGAGTTGAATGAAATTTGAATGATGGCCAGGTTTATGAATGTATCGCAATAACCATTTCTCGTTAAATTTCAGGCGTATTTGGCTGTCCAACAACCGTAGCAAATGTTGAAACTGTCGCCGTTGCTCCTGTGAGTATTTCAGAAATGACTTTTCATTTTTCTTTGAGAAGTTCTTTCAACAGAAAACAATTTATTTCAGGTGATTTGCAGACGAGGGGGTGAGTGGTTCGCTGCGTTTGGACGACCACGAAACACTGGTACAAAGTTATTCAATATTTCTGGTCACGTCAATAATCCGACGACAGTTGAAGAGGAAATGTCTGTCCCTTTGAAAGACCTGATTGAAAGACACGCCGGCGGAGTTTTAGGTATGAAATAATCTTACAAGTTTGCACCTGAGATCGATTTCCTTCTTTCAATAGATGTAAACGAGTGTAGAAGTTACGGATGTTCAAATACAAGCTCTTATAGATCTCTGCACTCATTACTGTCCACTCGTTCATGTCGCTCATTAGAAGAAAATAGCAAGGGGAATTACAAGTGTAAAAAGTGATTAAAAGTAAAGCCACTTAATACTATAATGATCGTTTTCCAGGTGGTTGGGACAATCTGCTTGCTGTGATACCAGGAGGAAGTTCAACACCACTCATCCCAAAACAGTACGTGTTGCTATATTTTGTTGTTATTTTATATTTATCACAGAAGTTTGTTTCACTGACTGTTATTCAAATCATTTTCAGCGTTTGCGAGGATGTTTTAATGGACTTTGATGCGTTAGTCGAGGCAGAGACAGGCCTGGGTACAGCTGCTGTTATAGTTATGAATAAGCAGGTGAAGACAGGTTTCTTGACTGGAAAAAAGACATGGTTTATCGCTGAATAACACCAGGAATTTTGTTATTTTTTTAGACGGATATCGTGAAAGCGATTGCTCGCTTACTAGCGTTTTATCAACACGAAAGCTGTGGTCAGGTACGTTAATTTGAACTAGATTTTTACGCTGAGAAATCACACCAGAATAATCAAATTTTGTTTCCATTCTTCTAGTGCACGCCGTGCCGAGAGGGATGTGGTTGGATGACTAAGATGATGTACAGATTTGGTGAGTATAACTCTCACAAATATTTATATGAACTGATGTGACTTGGAATTTACTAGGAAAATATTTTATTCTCTTTTCTAGCAAGCGGCAACGCTAAACCTTCAGAAATCGATATGCTTTGGGTTAGTTTATGTTTGTTTATAGTTGATTCTACTGTATGACATACTTTTCAAGCATGTGGAAATGACTGACGTTCTGTGCCGAGACAGACACTCGCACGATAAACATGGCGTTTCTTATATCAAATGTTGATTCATTTTAGGAAATTAGTAAACAAATCGAGGGTCATACCATTTGTGCGTTAGGTGATGGAGCCGCGTGGCCAGCTCAGGTAATCTCACAACAAACGCTAGTGAAGCTGAATATCTCTTGGGATTTCAGTTCATTTTACGTATTTATCCATGTTAGTTAGTGCAGCCAGTATCTCACTGACTGGTGTAATTTTGCCAGGGTCTAATACGTCATTTCCGGCCAGAGCTGGAACGCAGGATGCTGGAGTACGAAGAATCTGAGAAGGTGGCTGCAGTTGCTTAGTGTCAGCGGTATATCGTTACATAATTATATTCCATTTCTCTAAAGGAAAGAGTGTTTCATTGAACATGCAAGATCTTTATGACATGACATGGCTGAGTGTAAATATATTTTAAAATAAAGAATGTATTTTATATGCTGCGACTGATAGGATTGTTTATAAGCTAACTGTTTTCAAGAACGAAGTATCTTTCTCGTAATCTGCATTTCGGCAATCACATTGACACACCATGGCCACCTTAAGAGAAGATGTTTTTAATTTAAGCAAACATACCTGACGAAAACGAGGCTTGTATGTACACAAACGTTCCTCACTTACCCGCTGTAACGGTACTGGGATTGAAGGTGGTGATGCTGGGATAGGACGTGATGATATAGGGATAGGATGGGACATTGTAGCTTGAGCGGTATCTGAAAGTAGTTGAGTTTAGAAACGCGGACAGAAGATAATCTAATTCTTATTTAAAGCTACTGACCTATATATGTAACTGGAGTATCCGTCTGTTTCCACTTGATTTGTATCCTTTCGTCTTGGTACAATGAAAAGAGCCGCAGAAAACAGACAAATTGATAAAAACATCCGCGATCAAGTCCGATCATAAATACCACGTGGAATGGCAACAGGGATATTGGAGTTGTGAAGAATGGTAACGATTCAGCCAGGGATATATCACCCTCTATGGACCCAATCCCCTGCAAGGAGGACGTGTCAACGCTGTTAAGATCTTGCCAGGATTGGGATAACTTCACACAAACATATTGCGCAAAATAAAAGAAATCAAAGTAGTAAAGAAGCAAGAGTAAGGTATCACTTTGTCGCTCCATGCTCCATAATGTTACATACATTGAGAATACGGTGCAATAACTCAGGATTGCGTCGCCTGACGAGTGAAACTTCACTGGCATTCTTGAGATTGGCTTTTATGACATCATAATTACTTATAAACGCAGATCACGTTTCAGAAACACGCGTTTGTAAAGCGCACGCGCGCGCCCGTCATCTGGTAAGATAATTGAAGAATATTTATCATCGTTCAAGGATTCTGTTGTCCTGAGACGACACATTAGAATCGCCCACTTTTCGTGACATATATGAGAGCCGGACGAAGAAGCTGATTCCAAATAACAAAGCAATTCATTCTTCAATCCTTTAATCAGGATTAAACGGTTGCTATTCCGTACACGACACATTTCTTCAATGACTTAATGACTAAAACGTTAGTTCCGACCTCTTGTATCTTGTATCTACATTCTACAGCACCTCGCCTAACCCAAGATATCAAATGACACTTTATCCTTAAACCAAATATTTTGTTGGGATACGTCCACTGTCTTGATTAAAAACCTATTCTATATTTCAGGCTGTATAATCCCAGGTTTGTGGACAATTAATTCCAATGTCAGCATAGTCCCTGCCGTATATTTACCCAGGAATTACCTTGAACCATTTTTCTTGAAATTAACATAACATTCCAGACATGATCTGCAACCAGATTTTCTGAAACCTGATATTTGATATATCGTATTTGTTCAGTGTTTAGTATTACTGGCCGCAAAACGCTTAAGCTGCACGGCTGTACAAATGCATGTATGTTTTGTCACGTCAAGAAATTATGGAATTGAAAGAGTGGCTTTAGTATTTTCCTGTTTGACTGCGATGGTCTAACAATTTCTGAGCAACTGTGTATTCAAGACATAAAAAATGGGTTGGAATTATCTTCAACATTTCTAAATATGGATTTGGCGATTTGTTCAAACAGTCGTTTGTCCACGTAGTATAGGAACGGAAAACCTTCCCTTGTAGATTTGCAATGGCAACAGATCTGGTTGACTATGGATTGGAATCCGAGAGAGATCTTGTCAGAATCTTGTATGAATGTTTCAGAAATCAACAATATTTCGTAAGTACGACTACGATAGTGTACGGAGAGTGCAAGGTGTTGTAATCTTCAATTCAATACATGACGCCATTGGCTGAGCGACCGACTAATTTCTCCATAATACGACTGTCTGGTATTCAAGTATTTCTAAAAATTTCTGGCAGTTTTATTCCGAGCTAGCATCGTGATTATAATTGCAACCCATTACCTTATTTTTGAAACTTTTTTTAATTAATAAATTAGGATTGTTAGCGTCCAATTTCGGTCAGATATAATTTAGTAGCCACCAGTAACGATATGGCTTTGTTCGAAAACTTTTCCTAACAAGACACTTTATCGAACCTGACACCATTTATTATAGGAATAGATTTAGAGCATACTTATTTCTTAGCTGATACGGAGCAATAGATTTTAGTCGTTGGGATATAAAAGGTTCGATGGCCTTTTTTTAACATCATGCTGTGGGATACAATGTATTGTTTACGAATGTCTACCGGATGTCTACCTCCAAGAATGGAGTGTTCCTTCTCTTTGTGTGTTTAGCCAAAGAAATATGACTGCGAATAACTTGGAACAGGGTTTAAATTTGTATATTTGTATTTTTCACTTTTCAGATTCAAGCAGGAGACATTCTTGTAACTTTGAATCCTTGGAAACGACTGGAGGGGATCGAAAAAGAGGTAAACTGATATAGTCTCATATTTTGAGAGCTGTTCTAGCTTGCTTCTGCATGAAGTGTGAAGTTTAAAAGACCCTGGTAGTGTGTCATCATTATTTGCAGGCGGAACTGTTTAACTCAGAGTTCTTGTATAGTTGATACAGATTTGACTGTGACGGGAAAGCGATATTAAATTCATAATATAAAACTGCGAAGAGTGAAGATTAATTCGTCTCGTGAAGATCCTCATCTTTGCATCTTTTGGGTCGCGGTTTAATTCATTTTCGACGTGATAGTTTGGTATTATGTCAGAACGAGTTGTTGTAGTCAAAAGTATTCTTTATTCCTAAGATAATCTCTTTAGAGAATAAAATGAACAAAGGACATGAAACCTAATGCCTTGATGGGTAAATGATTTCAAGGACAACCAATCAATTTTTTGTCATTAATGATTTCAATAATTTTTGATAGTCTGAGAATGATTCTATGAAAAAAACGCAGACAAAGGAATCTTCAAAACCTGACTATCTAGAACAAAAGCGCAGCGTCTCTTTTTATTCGATATTTCTACGGTTAACAAAACAACCGCGAATGTTAAAATACAGCAGCTGCCTGCAAGCGTTAATGTTTTAACTTTTACACGCCAGGCTGAAGTGTGAGACTTTTCAAAAGGTGTTTACAGAACACCGCAGGTAACACAAATATTCGTCTGTCAAATTACACTTAGGTTGTGGAGTATTGCGGAGTCTATCGGGGTGAAAACGAACACCACACCCTCCCTCCTCATCCGTGCAGTGTCGCAGAGAATGCTGTGAGAGATACGTCAGATGGCGTCATCATACCTTTGGGAGAAAGTGGTTCGGGAAAGTCGACCAATATTGAGATGATCCTGCGTTATCTTTCGCTTCGCGCAGACAGCCAGTTGCCTGGAAACGAGATTACGGCGGTATGTTATTATGAATAATAGAATCGATATTCTGGCTATTTGTAGATAATCCATTCAAAAAAGTTACTGGAAATCAAACAACGTAATCCATTGTTGTCTGTACTTATAAATAGAGCATTTATCAAGGCGAGCCAGGAGGAGGGGTCATGAGAGGCCAAAACGCACGTTTATTTTTGAAAGCGATCATGCGCCGATATCACGGCTTGTAAGAGAACTGGAAGCAATGAATTTATGTTTCACTTTAGATCATTGAAGTATTCAATCTTTTCTGCAACGCCAAAACATTGATATGCAATAATTCAACTCGTTGTTTCAAAGTTTATGAACTATCTTACTCCATGGAGCAAAAGCTGCTCGGAGGTTGGTCGGATCTCATGTTTGAAGCATACTTGTAATTACCAGCATCATTCACGACGAGCATTTTCAAATGTATTCTGTCTTTTATTTCTAGTCAATGTAAATGTCCAAGCCCTTCAAAAAATGCGCCTTATCTCTCAAATCAAGGTGAGTTGATTTGCAAGAACGAGATGAGAGAAAGAAAGAACGCTGTTATGATATTCTAACCGTTACTGGTTAGTCATTGATCACCAAAGGCCGATTGTGTAAACCTTTTATACCATCGCCTGTTTATCATCGCAGTTCAACTTTATTTACGGTTTTAGGGTGAAAGCAATTTTAACATATTTCACCGTCTGTTGGACGGTCTCAGCTCTGAAGCCATACAGGAATATTGTCTCCAGGGTGAACACAGGTTAGTCTAATGCTCGCAGTTATTTTTCCGTCTTCCTTTCGTCTAATATGATGTTGTTATTTATGTTTTTTGTCATTTTCGTTAAGATATGTCCCATCACTAACCACAGAGGCCGTCGGTGAACCGGAGAGCTCGTTGCCGCGAGCTTTAAAATGTTTGGAAAAGATTGGATTGGATGAAACGGTTTGTCAGTTTATTGAAAAACGAATCAGTCACGAAATCACAAATACTTGAAGTCCAACAGGAGCTTTTAAGCCTCGAAAGAGGAGTTTAAATGATCCTGCTTGAGACATGACGAGATTTTGTAGCATGTTTCATGCGTTGGGCTTCTGAAGTGTTGAGCATTATAAACGATAAATGACAAGGCGATTTCAAATAATTATCAATGTTAGGTACACGAGACCTTAAAGGCACTCACGTTTCGTTCATTCTCAGCCTCAGGTGAGATCGTTTAAACCATTTCGTGTTTCTTTTCTAGGATATTGAAGAAGTTCTTCGTCTGATATCCGGCATTATTCTTCTCGGGGATTTACAGTTTGGTCAGTCGACTCTACGGAAAGTGTTTTCTTTCAGCAATGGTGAAGTTCTTGAGAAAGGTAATTACGAACATTTTGCGCCGAAACCTTGCCTCGGATTTCAACTAAGACCATCTAAAGTTTCGTCAATGTACAGGTACTGTATATCATGTAACGATTTCTTTATTTCCCAGCCGCTTCACTCGTAGGAGTTCCATCTTCAACACTGGCTGATCTTCTCATCGTAAAATCTAAGAAAGTTAAAGGTAGACACATATTTATAACAACTGACAATTCATTTTTACGGTTTGAAATTCACATGTGTCATAAATGGGGGTTTTATTTATTCTTGTACCTCAGGCGAGAAGGTGAATATATTAGCATCATGTTCAAAGGCGTTGTACGAGTGTGATTGCCTCGCAGTGACCTTGTATGAAACATTGATCATGTGGTTGGAAGAAAGAATAAACTCCCGATACACAAGTCATTCCAGGTATAAACTGTGAAAGATATGATCGGACACATGCATATTTTAGTAACTTCTTTGACGGATAAACTAAGGACTTGTCATGTTTAAAATTTTTAGATTACAGTCCGACTTTTCACTTGTTTTACTCGACGTTTTTGGCTGGGAAAATTATAGCGTTTGTTCGTTTGAACAACTCTGCATCAACACCGTCAACGAAGCATTGCAGTCGACTTACAATGCTGTCGTCTTTACGACGTATCAGGTATTTAGATAGCGTCCGTTGGTTGTAAAAGCATGTAAAACTTTCATTCCTAATTTGTTGTTTCTTTTTTAAAGATGGAGCTTGAGAATGAAAATATCTTTCTTCATGAATCATGTTTAAAGTACGACCAACCTGGGGCTGTGCCATTATTACTAAAAGTGAGACTGAGCTTTTCTCGATGAGTTAGGTTGAAGTTCTTCCACCTTATATTCAGAACTAAATAAGACTTCTCCGTTTATTCTTTATCTGAAGATGTAAACATGCATGTCTCTCTCTTTCTTACATCAGCCTAAAGGTCTGCTGGATATTTTGCACAGCAATGTGGAAAAAAATGATCAAAAATTATCGAAGAAGCTGGACAGTCTTTTAAAGAAGGAAGCGCGATATATTGTAAATAATAATCCAGAAGTATCGGGATTTTTGATTGAACATTTTATCGATGAGGTAGGTTCAATATGACACTACACCTAACTAAGTTTCCTTCTGTAGTGACACTGGATCAATAAGAGATGATCCTTACTGGACCTCTTTAAGACGAAATGAATCAAATAATTGATCTCTTGCATGTGTCTTCTTAGTTTTAGACTTCGTAATATCTTTCATTGCACTGATTGCAGGTCCAGTATGACACGAATGGCTTTGTAGCCAACGCACAAAATTGGTTAAACGACAACGCTTTGTCATGTTTGAGAGGTAGCTAAATCAGTTAAACAGGCATGATACAAAATGGTGAAGATTTAGTTAATATATTTCAACTCTTCCAGCATCAAAGAATAAGGTTGTCTCTGTCATGGCCCAGGAGAGAATCAACAGGTATTCCGTTGAATACGCTTGCCAAATGCCAACAGCTGTCGTATACTCATCAATATAAAACCGAGTCTGTTTATAATTGTAGAGAAAACACATCGTTAGAAAAAGCGATATTTACGCTTTCATTAAGGTAAGTTTTTTTTCAATACTGTTTCCCGGAATCTTTTCCTGAACGTAGCTATAAATGTAATGCTTTTAACTCGTGTCTTCCGTTCCACCAGCTCTAAGAAAGCTGGATCCATAGTCGAAAAAGATTGGTTAAAAACGTAAGTGTTTGAAACGTGACATTGTGAAGAATAACTTATTCATTTTGATCAACGATTCTGTTTTTCTTTGCAAGGAACATTTTCCCTACTAATGCCGCAAAAGACAAGAAGAAGCATGCCACATACAGAAACTCAAATCCAGCTGTGTTAACGGTAGGTTTTCGTGATGTTTATATCTTTATTACAATTTAAAAAAGGTATTAAAGTTGTTGTGTTTCTTAGTTGTCGCTAGCCCGTCACTGCTCAAACGATTATCTCAGCGAAATTCATTTCATCAGGCAAGTATTCTCTGTCGTTCACGTTTGCCATTGGCCGGCAACTTTTCGAAATTTGTTAACCTTTTGAAATGAAGAATGATTCTTAATTTAAATGATAACTAACGTTCATTTCTTAATCCTAGATGTATCAACAGTAACCTTGGTATGCATGCCGAAATATTTGACGATGTGAGAGTTTTGCGTCAAGTACAGTGGAGTAATCTTTTGGGAACAGTGAAAACCAGGATATCTTGTCTACAGTCGTGTTTCCCGATTCATAAATTCATTACCAGGTAGTTTTCTCAATCCTATCAGAACTGATAGAGTTTTCAGGTATAAATAAAGTTTAGTTCAAGTTTCCTTCTGTAGTAACATTGGATCAGTAAGAGATGATTCTTCCTGGATCCCTTTGGAACGAAATGATAGATCTCTTGCATGTTTATATCAAACTTTTTTTCAATCTTTTAGATACAAACTATTGTTCTTTTATCTATCTCGTCCTGTGCGGTACTCGCCTGATCTTTGCTACTCTGTTTTGAGTCGGAGATTTGACGAATCTGAGTTTAAAGTTGGAAAAACCAAAGTAAATAATTGCCTTACGATGTACTGAATAGAAATTTTCGATCTATATAAATGAACTACGTAGTCTATTTTTTTCATGAAATTTGTTTAGGTTTTTCTCAAACGAAGTCTGGTATCAAAGCTGGACAAAATGTTGGAAAAAGCACTGTATAACATCGTGCTAATTCAAAAAGGTATAATGAAATTTTCGTTTGGTTTGTTAGGGGATTATTTCTTTCAATTCCATACTAACTTGCTAATGTATTCAAGTAGCAAATATTTGATTAACTCCACTGACGGGCGATGATTTATTTTAAGTTTATCGAGGATATCTCGACAGAAGACAATATCAAGCAATGATCAAGATCAAGAAGACATATGACGTTAAACGATCATTCTTTCTTGCTCAGGTATATTTTTGAACTTTATTTAAACTCATTTGTTTTCAAGCGTTGTTTTTTTTTCCAATAAAAACTTTCCCTTTTAGATCACTAATGGCGTGTCAAAGTTCCACGATCACCTTTCCTTTCAAATCCGCGAAGATCAGACGCGTTTAAAACAAAATAAGTTAAAGGTTGACAAATATTTGTTGGCCGATTCTATCTTTCCCAGTTTTACATGGCAGCTATAAATACTTATCAACTTTATTATACCTTTCCAGGAATTGGCCAAATATGAACCAAATAACAGCGAAACTCCTGAGTAAGTTCAACTCAGTTTCTCATTTGTCAACCATCGTCTTTTAACCATTAGTTTTGTTTAAAGTACTTTTGACAACACGTATTAATCAATGGCTTTTGTTGCATAGAAGAAGACCACCACTTGCAAGCCCAGATACTCAAGGTAAACAAATAATGCATACTCGAAAGTATATCAAAAGTATAACGTTCATAAAACGTTGAACGTGTCAAAAGGAGGCTATGCAGTTGTTTCAATACGATTCTCTAAGTACTTTATCATTGTAAATTATTTTCATTTTCAGGTCCGTTGTCAGACGTTTGGGGTGACGAGGTCTGTTCATTTTCTCGTTCTTCTGACTATATTTTATCGTGTTAGGGTTTTCTGTTAATATTTTAAGGTGAATATTGTCTTTGCGTCATAGGCTTCTAAATACGTAACATCAGAATCACTAGCTTGGTGTGAAGTTATCTGTTTTCAACGAACAAAGCAGTTGGCATTATTCAGTGTGAAGATTCCCAGAGTTGTAATAGATGGTACGAATCACAGTTTCACCACTGACAGGTGAGTTTTGTTTATACTGGATTGCTCTGAAAAAGGACAACTATAGAAGTGCCTATATGATTTCTTATCCAGGATTGGGTTTAATTCATTCCCAACTCCAAGTCATGATCTGCAAATGAGGAAAGTTAAAGCGTGCATTGGCAGGGTAAGCCATAAAGTGTAGCTTAAAATATACGGTTTGCATGCCGTTTTGCATTTCGTTTTACCGTCACATATTTCTTTATTCAGGGTTTGAGCTATATCAATCTGACGATAAAAACTTATTGCTCTATGCAGTATTTCAATTTTTGTCAAGGTTAGTGGATGACGCATGCTGTATAGCAGTGTTTTTGAGGGCGACTATTTGACCTTTTGTGTTGGATACGTTTTTACCTGTTGAACTAATAATTCCTTAGTGTTTATGTGAAAGGTATTTCTTGTTTTAGGGACATTTTTGTGAGAAAAAGCTTCTGATAAGCCAAGGTGAAATGGGAAAAAACGAAGAATCTGTGGTACGATTTTACTTTGTTTCTGAAACAGATATTTCACTAGATATTTCCCTCCATTTTCGGGCGTATCATTTTGGCTGTAAAACATGTCTTGACGCGGTTTTTGTTCCCTACAGGTGTTTAATTACAGAGACTTTATGGATAAAATCAACTACGAATGTCATCCAGCGAGAATTGCAATAGACAGCGAGGATAAATGTCTGGCAATGTGCGTGATTCATCTTTGTTTCGTTAAGAACAGCGAGAGTGATGAAGACGCGCCATGTTGGGTTGAGATTGTCTTGAATATGGCTGTTCAATATGTTAAAGGTATGTTCATGCAGTGTCATCTCCTGCTTAACATGAGCACAACTTGGCTCTAAACCCAGTTTTAATAAACGTTTATTTAGGTGTAATCTCTTACGCGATGCAACGTAGAAGGGAAGTGCAGGAAAAGTATCACTTTCAAGAACCACCAGCGCTGAGAATGGACTCGAAAATGGAATTCACTTCAGCCAAAATTCTTAAGCTCATTCGACCAAGTCGTTACATTGAAACAGTGAAGTTCAAACGTAAGAATTGGGCTCGTAAAAGAGTCGTTAGTAATCCTTTTTTGTATGGCGAGGAAGACAGAAATGACAGTGCTTCTGTTTGTTCTCCTGAAACCAGTTACAATGAAGGAAGTGTGTTTGAAGAGAGTGCTGATTTGACTCAAGAGATTTGTAATTCACCTGTAAGTGAGGTTTCCGATATTTATGAAAACGTTGATATCGAGAGAGGTACTCATGATGCATCTGATCAAGTCGACGACTCGTATCTTGAAAGTACTCGACCACAGGAACGTTCATTTGACAGCTCACAAATAGAGGACAAGGAGTATCTTCGAAGAAGTATACAAGGAAATGATGAAGATGTTGGGGGATATGACGATGGCGAACTTTACGTCAACGTACAGCATGGAAGGGAAAGTGATTTTGAAACATCGGAGAGGCAAAGTTTTGATTCTAATCGTTTCCAAGAGGAATATTATGATAGAAAAGTGGATGATTCATCACGGAATGACTATAATTCTGTATACTTCATGCGCCCAGAGAATTTGATGCCTGATGCAACAACAAATCATTATGATAGTAGAACAACAGTTCACGACTATCCTGATATGAAAGACGAGGGGTTACCACAAGAGGAACACGAGGAGTCCTCATTCAAAGAATGTAGAAAGGAAGAGGCACATGAGACACAAACCCAACCACAATCTCCTGTTTTTTCACACGGCTCAGATGGCGAATTCTTTCAAACAATACCAGAGGATTCTAGTTCAGCGTATTCCTCAGAGTTGAGGGATATCCCGAGTCCTGATTACATGGACGATGATCTTCCTCTTTACACAAACTTCTCTTCCATACAAGAACACGAAGATCTCGCCACAAATGATGAAGTTTTGAATGAAAATATTTACGAGGTTATGAACAGACCAAGTCAGCCTGTGTACGATGACACGGTGGAATATGTTAACACCACTGAATCCAGGCAATATTGCCAGCAAACTGGACTAATCTTTCATCAATAGAAGTTGCTCTCTGGTCATGTGTACGGATTGTCGTTAAAAAACTTGTAATTAGGTCATTCTTCTGACCCTAAATAACGCAACGTTTTTCCATCTGATGGTTAATAGTTATGTTGATTACGGGCAATTAGAGATAAATTTTAGCTAAAATGGGGAGGAAGTTCATTTCAAGAAGAAACATTAGCCTACACTAATCTTATATAAAGTATCATCAGTTGTACTGCGGGCTCGATAGAAGATGTAAAGCAATATTTGGTTTCTCAATTTTGTTTGTTTTTAAATGTTTTTATGAAGAAAATTTATTGAATTTACTCCAAACTACACACCAGGTAATTTTTGATTGTATTTTATTGTCTGATCTGTTCATTTAAATGTTTTTTGATGTTTTGATCTTATGATATATTCCATATCATAACCGGTGCTGTGCCTGTGCAGATGATGAGGTGAAGTGTATTTGTATCACTGTAGAGAATGCTTTAAATAGCGTAATCTATTTATTCCTCACTTCACAGGCATTGATGTCTTTACGACATTTCGGGAAACTCGTTGGCAGCGCAAGGCATGGTCATATTTTGAAACCACTGAGACATATCTCGATCCAAACATTTCCTAGAATTGATGGCGACATTGATTGCAAATCAGCGGAATTTCTTAGAAACAAAGACTTTTATTCAGTATTTCAAGAAACCTATATGCAAGATTTGACCAGTTTGGACTCTGGGGCAAACAAGAAAGCAATTGATCGTCATGTAAAAGTGAATAAAAAGCTTCTTCTGAAAGATAGACTTTCATCCATTCTTGATCCAGGCTCAGATTTCTTGGAACTTTCACCACTAGCTGGATTTCGTTTGGAGTATGGTGAGATCCAACGTGCTGGTATTTTGTGTGGTATTGGCAGAATATCTGGACAACCAGTCCTTGTTCAAGGCAACGATGCAACAGTGAAAGGTGGAACTGCATATCCTGTTACTGTGAAAAAGCAGCTTCGTGCTCAAGAGATCGCAGAAGAGAATAGTTTACCATGCTTGTATTTAGTTGACAGTGGTGGTGCGTTTCTACCATTGCAGGTTGGTTAGGATTGTGTCTTCAGAGGAAGGACTGCTGCTCCTTGCCTCGAACCCCTACGAAGTTAAATATATCTGTTCCTTAATGATTGTGATATTTTCAGGCAGAAATCTTCCCGGATGAGCAACAAGGTGGAAGGGTATTTTATAATGAGGCTATCATGAGTTCAAAGAATATACCACAGGTTGGACGTCTGTTATAGATACAACTTGACCGTGCAATAATGAGACATATTGATGATAGAAAACATTTGAATTATTGCACAGATATGTATTGTATGTGGTTCATGCACAGCTGGAGGAGCCTATATCCCAACTATGGCCGATAGATGTGTGATTGTGGACAAGATCGGAACAATATTTCTTGGGGGGCCACCTTTAGTGAAGGTAAAGATCAAATCATTTCTTTTATAAACCAGAAATTTGCCTTGACTTGACAAGAAGACTTGAATGAAAAACTCAATGAATATCTAGGCTGCAACTGGTGAAATTGTATCGGCAGAAAATCTGGGTGGGGCCACGGTTCATTGCAGGTTAGACAACTTAGTATTATTGAAAATTTAACCATCTCTTATGGAGGTTTAATAAATATCAAATCATTTCTAGCATAAGTGGTTGTACAGATTATTTTGCAAAAACAGAGCAGGAAGCATTCTCAATGACCAGATCCATTTTTGGCTCATTAAATTCCACTCCACCAACACCACATTTAGGTAAGTTTAAACCTCTTGTGCATATTACAAGAAAAAACCTTTACATTCACGACAATTCTCTGTAGAATTTTAAATTCTGTTCGTGTTTTCAGACTTTGAGGAGGCTCTCCATGATCCTGAAGACCTTGGACCACTTTCAGTCCATGGAGATAGTGAAACACTTCCAATATACAAGGTAATATTTCACAAAACTCAATAAATACTTTATAGAGTTGTTGGTTAATAGAAATATATTTAATTTTAGATTATAGCACGTATTGTAGATGGAAGCAGATTTCACGAATTTAAAGAGATGTTTGGTCCAACTCTTGTGACGGGTTTTGCTGGAATAAAAGGGTGCGAGATTTGATCAGTTGGTGTTTATTCAAGTTGAAAATAGTGGCAGGTTTTCCCAGCATATCGTAAAATTGTTGGTATTTATTATTTTTAGAACTATCGTCGGTATTATAGCAAACAACGGTCCAATTACGTCGCCAGCAGCGTCGAAGGTAGGCTTTTGAATTGAATACACTAAGCCATGTTTGACGGGGATGAAATTGAAAGGAGTTTAGTTGAATTCGGGTTAGCTACTATATTCAACGCAGGCTGCAATATTGCCATAAATATTTGCAAGAGAACTTATAGATATTATGGCGTATTCTCTGACGTTTTTCGTATTTTTAGGCTGCTCATTTTGTCCGTGTCTGCTGTCAGCAGAATATCCCTCTTGTCTTCCTACAAGACACTCATCCTGTTGTCGACCAGGACCCTGAGTTGGCAAAACAACTTGCAAGATTAATGTCAGTCGTTGCATGCGCTGAGGTGAATTTCCCATGGCTATTATGTGCGATTTTCTTCTTTTGATAGATGCGAACGAGGGAATTAGTTACCTGATGTTCAAATACGAGCTCTTATATATCAGCGTATTCCTAACTAAGTACTCGTTTACATCTATCAAAAGGAGAAAATCGGGGCTTGCAGTTGCATGTGCAAGTCAGCTAAAAAATATTGCTTATTCCTGTCAAGGTGCCAAAGGTGACGGTTATTATTGGAAGATCGTTTGGTCCAACAAGTTACGCGATGGTTTGTTAAGAATTGAAATATTCTTGCTATTCAAAGATTGTCTTTGTGGATTGCCGCCATGCATATTTTCTTTCCATGTAGTGCGGTCGTTCTCTTCAACCATCATTCCTGTATCTCTGGCCTACAGCACAAATATCCCTGGACGAACCGAGCAAAATTTCTGTACGTTCTTTGAAACCATATTGTCGTAACCTTGCATCAAATCACGCACAGCCCGCAGGCGTAGAAAAGCACGACACGACAGTAGATTTCATGGTCAATGTTTTGTAAATTCTTTATAGGGTAAAAGTCAAAACCACGAGGAAATTAAAGAATATCTTGATAGTCGGTAATGCCCCTTGTTATAAATACAAATTCGTTCGTTAAAAGTCGAGGATATTTCGAGTATTTGTCTCTCAGCTGAGAGAAAACTAAGTTGTGATTCTCACCTTCGTTTAGATACAAAATAAAGTCCACTTCATTTTTTTCAACCGCCCGTCTTTGGGATGATGGTATAATCTTACCGCATCAAACGAGGGAGGTATGTACCTTGATTTTTGTGTCAAAAACCTCCAACTTTGCGTTGAAAGAAAGTCTTTTTTTCAGGTATTGGCGTTGAGTTTAAACGCATCAATGGAGAAACGAAAGTTTGTGGAAGAATCGAACTTTCCTGTCTTTCGAATGTGATTTCAGAGCTGATTTCCCAGAAAGGTTTGTCGAGAAGTCTTTCTTTAAGCATTAAGCTATGAATAAGGGGCTTCAAGAAACTCAAGCGGCAGAAACTGAAACAGCGGAATCTGGTTCTCAGGAAATTTTTTAAATCGCTTCATGACATTGCAAAATCCATGCAAGAAAATAGACGATATTTATCAAGTACTTTAGAACTAACCATTTCTGGCTTACAGAGAAGATATACCCACTAAAAATTATTATTTCATTCGGTAAATCTGTGACATTATATTTCTACACAAAAGAGCAGTTCTTAAACATGGAATTTCTTTTGATATTTGCGATTAAATTTTGTCGCGCGGACAATTATCTTTCCTTGCTTTCACAGAGAAGTAGTTGCAACATTTTGAGATTTTCGTGTCGTAGTACTGGTAACCACAGCAACTGTAGTGCGCTTTTCTGTCGTATCTTTTACCACAACAACAAACCTGTTTCAGAGGATCGTAAACCTGGTTACCACAATCTGTTAAAAAAAAATAATGGTTAGAAATGGATGTGTTTTTACCACACAACAGTTCAAGGGAGTTTCCGCTTTTCTGGGTGGTTGCCCAAAACGTAATAACTCAAACCAAGAAATATTTTTAAATAAAAAATTATTGTGGACTTACAGTAGAATGGACAGTATGCGAAATGATAAACACAATCCCATTTTCCAATATTCAAGCATATGCTGTTTTTAAAAGAAAGAAATGTTAGTCCAGATATCCTGTGTTGCCGACGGTCGGCGAACACAGATCAGTGTCGGCGAAGTATTGTTGCCGGGAAGAAACGACGACGCTAACGACTTCAGTCCTCGGCGATCACCGGGAGTGATCGTACGTCGCCGATGATTGCGATATACGAGAACTAGGCTATAATTATAACATCTAGAACATGCCTGTCTCTAGCTTTAAATGACTATCAGCTATTGATAAGTGTCTTTCTTTGAAATTAAATTTACTGTAACCTACCATTTCATACAGCTGCATCTGACCTCATACCCAGGTTTATGAGTTACACCGACTCCCCATTGACAAACTGTCAAGTCAAAACATTTAGAAAAGAAGGTTTATTCACAATATTCAGTTTTTATTCAGTTTGACTTTTTGGGATTTTATTCTTACATCCTTTTGGTGGTCCGTCATTGTTGACTTCAAGCAAAGAAGATGTCTCATCTTTTTCATCTTCAACAATAAGCTTTTGCACCTTCGCTTCTTTTTCGCTTTCTAAAGTAAAAGAATGTAAAAATTTTAGTTCAAATTTCCCAAAAAGATCTTAATTGAGATATATTAGGTAGTATTCTACAATAAGCTGTCGTGGTTTGTGTCTGAACTACCTGAGAAAGATATCTCAAACGTGGTGGTCCAGTGTAGGTAGTATTCTACAATAAGCTGTCGTAGTTTGTGTCTGAACTACCAGAGAAGGATATCTCAAACATGGTGGTCCAGTGTAGGTAGTATTCTACAATAAGTTGTCGTGGTTTGTGTCTGAACTACCTGAGAAAGATATCTCAAACGTGGTGATCCAGTGTAGGTAGTATTCTACAATAAGCTGTCGTGGTTTGTTTCTGAACTATCAAAAAAAGATATCTAAAATAACCTACCTCCAAAAGTGAAAGAAATAAGAACCAAACACAGTAATATTTGAATCTTCATCGTTGAAAATTTCAGTCCTGCCTTCACTTCACGATTGTGTGTAATGATTTATTATTACCGACAGAGCTCTGTTTGCAAATGCGGCGCTGTGTAAGATTTTTGTTTCTTACACACTAACAAAGAATAATCAAAACGTTTTGTTCACTCTAAACCCTTTGTCATTGCAAAGTTGTGTAAGAATTTATCTAAGAACTAATACCCAATGCCAAGCGGTGAAACCCAGCTTGAAACACAGATTTTTTGTCGTTATAACTACATTTTCTTTTGTATTTTACTTATGGTTTCGTTTGAAATTAAGCTACTTGACCTATCGATGTGCTCCAAATAGTTTACATACAAGTATAGATAATAAAGTGTCCTCAAGTGGTTTTGAAATAGTCAAACGTTGTGTGCCTGAACATGCTTAAAAAAAATCTTGGCAGGATTTTCAAGCCGAGGTTTAGGGTTTAAATTGTCTACAGAATATGCTAACGCGTGTTCATGAGTATTAGCCTGTATCTTTGATGAAGTTTCATTTTTCCTTGGCCATTATTACTTCCGATATAACTCTTTGAGATCATAACATAAAGTTCTTTGCAAAACAAAGAAATAAAGGATTTTTGTTTTCAAATTTTTTTAAAACAAATATCTTTAACATTGTGTGTATATTTATGACACTCGTCACCATAGGCCTGTCGTGTACTACAATTGGTACTACAACTTCGCACCATGGTCGTATGACATCATAAAATGCATTAGATCTTGCGATAAATTTGCATAAATTGCTTTGAGAGGGTTTCGGCCAAGGACGGATATTGACGGAAGATATTCGTTACATGTCGTAACTTGTCATTCCGCCTTTCGTGCCCTAAATAACATCATCGTAGACTCGATATGCATTATGTATAAAGCGAGAAATCTCTTCAGATATTTTGCTAATTTTTTTAATTCCATTACGAGAAAAAGATTTGGAGTAAAAAATGTCCAATTTGATGTTTTGAACCGAATCATTTTGGAAAAGAAATATCGTGATATGATTTTGACGGATGTTAAGTATTGCTTGACTGACGTAACAAATTAAGTTTACACTTGTTTAGTCAGAGAATATTGGTGTGGGTCAAAATACAGTCTGTGAAAAATTTGAAGAAACCTTGCTGAAAATCTTTACGTTTTCTGTGCTTGAAAGCTGATCTTTCTAGTGGAGAAAGGAGTTTTATTAAAGAACTATCAGTTCACAAGAACTATCTGGACAGTCAGTACTGCTCAGAGTTGATCGTTACCGTGATATTTTGCAAATGCTTTTGATGATTCTAAAGTTACGAAAGAGTTTTGTATATTTGAACTTGGAAAGTGACACTCTTGATTTTAGGACTTTTTTACAGCGATCGCAATCGCAATCTAGACAATGTATAGAGTTAATAAACTGACGAAATATTTTTGCCGCTCTGCATGGAGTAATCGAGCTTTAAGACTTTGCATTCGACAACAGAAAACTTTGGCAGCCGAACCGTTTGCCAATGGCACAAACAGTAATTATGTTGAGGAAATGTACGAATCCTGGAGAAAGGACCCAAACAGTGTGCATTCGGTAAGTATTCAGGCTAGTCTGGGTATGTTTTAAAAATCAAAACAAAAGTGCAGTTGAAAGAGAAGTCTATCATAAAAATAGATCAAGCATAACAAGGAAACACTTCGTATTCTAATATAACTCTCTGAAATGACCAGAGACATACTCAAATGTCAGGGGAAAGTAATGGTTGGACTTTGGTCAGTGTAGTTTTGGATATTGTATTATGATGTGATGTTAAAAAGAACCTGGGAAAATTGGATCATTTGGATGACAATTATGATATCTTGCTGGGAATTAAAAGTTGTCACATCAAAAAGTATTTCCATCCTCACAGATGACCTGCTGAGTGCTGACATATTCACATACAAAAGATGTTTGAATAAATAATAAGTTTAGTTGGCATTGCTAGAGGAAATTCCAAGAATACCAGAAAGATTTTGCTATAGGGTTTTACTGCATGAGCCTGTAAATAATCATGTAGGTTGTGATGGTGCTACTCTGAATAACCAACTTAAAAGTTAAAAAATCAGCTTTTTCAGCTTGCTATTAGTAATGCTATTAGTAATTTGAGAATTCTGATGAACAAGGAAAAACTCCAAACAGTTGTTTGAAAAACCAATTTTCTTTTCTATCTAGTCCTGGAATGCATATTTTAAGAACATTGAAAATGGTGCCCAAGCCGGGGAAGCTTATACACCACCACCTTCAATAATTCCTCAAGAGAGAAATAGCTCGTTACCGGACGTTTTGAGCCCAAATAACATTTCATCTGATAGTCGTACTGTGATTCAAAAACATTTAGCTGTTTATTCTCTTATTCGATCATATCAGGTAACTAAGAATATACTACAGTACATTACAAAACAAGTAGATTAATTAACAGCTATGTTTTAGTATGTATTTGCTTCAATCTCTTTTGATCCACAGATCAGAGGTAACAATGTTGCTGACCTTGATCCTTTGGGAATGCTGGATGCAGATCTGGATTCCAGTATACCTCCAGAATTATCATTAGGATATTGGCTGTATAGTATGTTAACAGTTATTTTGTTTTGTTTTGCTTCATGGTTCTACAATGGCATACAAGTATCAAGCATTCTTTTTCAATTCCATTGGCCAGGTCTAACTAATAGAACTATATCGTTGATGCATTTAGACACATTAAGAGGAGACCCCCCAGCAAAACTCACAACAAAGGATTACAAAGATATAAGTAAGGATAGTTTGCAAAAAATAACTTGATTTAATACAGTACTGTAAAGGATTTCCACAAAATTTTATTAACTACCTTGTTAAATTGTTTCCTAGGTGATCAAGACAATGACACAGTGTTCTACCTTCCTAACAGTACCTATATTGGTGGTGATGAACTTGCAATGAGTTTGCGAGATATTAAGAAGCGTTTAGAGGTAATTGTAAAGACTTACGTCAGTGTTATTTTTGGGTTAATTATAACTAATAATTTTGAATTATCTTTTTTACTTTCAGGAAGTGTATTGTGGCCATATTGGTTTGGAATATATGTACATTTACAGTCGTGACAAGTGTAAGTTGTTAAGCAGTTAATAGAAGATGTGATTTGTTGTTTATCTTTCATCACTTAAAGAATTTGTCAAGACACTATCGAAATTTTACCGTTCTTGAAGGTGACTGGATTAGAAAAAGATTTGAAACTCCAGGAGCATTTGAACTGACTAAGGAAGAAAAGCGTCGATTGCTTGCAAGATTGGTCAGGTCGCAGGGGTTGGTAACGTTTTCTGTAAAACATATTTCTTGATAATGCATTTTGATTTTAATGAATTTTGCATTGGTTTATTACTGTGCAGATTTGAAGCATTTCTTGCAAAGAAATGGTCGTCTGAAAAGAGATTTGGCCTTGAAGGTTGTGAGGTGTGATATTTGTTTCTTTGCCTTGTGTTTACTTGGAATTATTTGTTGCATTTATTCACAATTGTCCAGTCTCTGCAATAATATTTTTTCCAGGTGTTAATCCCTGCCATGAAAGAGATAATTGATGTCTCAAGTATGAATGGAGTTGAAAGTTTTGTCATTGGAATGCCACATCGAGGACGTTTAAATGTTATAGCTAACGTTTGCCGCAAACCTCTAGAACAGATTTTCACTCAGTTTCAGCCACACCTTGCACCTACAGATGAGGTCAGCTTTGAATTCTTTCTTCTTGTTTCAAAGAACAATTACATTAATTATTACTTAGACCAAGCAAACTTATAACCATGCATGCAATTGTCAGCCACTTTTTAATCTTAAAATTTTTTCTCTTAGGGATCGGGAGATGTGAAGTATCATCTTGGAATGTCTCACAAGAGAATAAATAGAGTGACAAATAAAGAAATAAGACTTGCTGTTGTTGCTAATCCATCGCATCTTGAAGGTTTGTTAAATATTGGCATATATGAATTGAATGTACAGTAGATGCTTATTCTTCCATCCATACTGTATACTGCAGTGCTCAGTAGGAGCAAGTTTCTAGCTAAACCAATCCTGACATTTGTTCTGATTCTTCTTCATCCGACAAATATTCAGCTGTAGACCCAGTCGTACAAGGAAAAACAAAAGCAGAGCAATTTTACAAAAATGATGAAGATGGAAAGAAGGTATGTTAAATATATAAATCTTGTGTTCAGGAAATCTAGGTAGCTCTTCTAGGTTTTTGGTACAATTAAATTATTCTTGTTTCAGGTGATGAGTATTTTACTTCATGGTGATGCTGCATTTGCTGGTCAGGGTGTCGTTTATGAAACCTTTCATTTGAGTGACTTACCAAACTACACGACCAAGGGAACAATACATATTGTTGTCAATAATCAGGTAGAGATGTTGTGTGTTGGAATTTTCTCTTTTTTTGTCTTGTGGGGAATAACTTTTAGTATTTACGTTGTATCTGAATACTGTTATTGTTGTAGATTGGTTTCACGACAGATCCAAGGGTTGCAAGATCTTCACCATACTGTACTGATGTTGCAAAGGTTAGTGCTGACTTAAATACACAGCATTTGAATCTATTGACAAGGCACGGCCTGGTGGAATAAAGACGTGTGTGTATCTCATATCTAGGTAGTGCAATGCCCAATATTCCATGTGAATGCTGATGACCCAGAGGCAGTTATAAATGTCTGCAGAGTTGCTGCAGAATGGAGAAATACGTATAGTAAAGATGTTGTCATTGATCTGGTAAGACTGACAAAAAGGAATCTGTTTTTACAGTTAAATATTTAGTTATAAGTCAGGATACATTTTTTATCTTTTAAGGTTTGCTATCGACGCTTTGGTCACAATGAAAGTGACAACCCGATGTTCACCCAGCCTAAAATGTATGAAAAAATTGAAAAGCAAACACCTGTTGTTAACAAATACGAACAGCGGTTAGTAGATGAAGGGATTGTCACAAGAGAGGAATGTGAGGTAAACTTATTTAGCTTCTGATAAGTTTGGTCAAAATGAACGTTCTTTTCTTGGAACAATTTAATGTTTATTAGGCTGAACATGACAAGTATGAGAGAATTTGTGAAGAATCTTTCAGGAAAGGAAAAGAGATAAAATCAATCAGGTTTGCCGACTGGTTAGATTCCCCCTGGAAAGGTGAGTTCTGTTGTTGAAGGATATTTTTGTATTTTCAAGCTATGTGTTAACTTTTACTTTGTAAAGTTGGTCATCCAGTAATTTCATGCATATTTTTTGCAGGCAGGCATTGTATTGTTTTTGCAAATGTAGTGTAAGCATGCAAACAATCTATTGCTATCCAGCAACCTTCTCCTATATGTGAAACAGTACTTTTTTTCAGATTTTTTCAAAGATGACAGAGGAAAGACCCCAGTACCACCAACTGGAATTAAATCAGATGAAATACATAGCATTGGTCATGCCTTCAGTAGTCCACCACCTGGTGTTGAGTTTACCATTCATGCAGGTGAAGTAATCAAATAATATATTATCTGCATGCAGTGAGTGTTTGTGGTGTAAAAAGCATAGTAAAAGTTCATGCTTGTGACAGGTTTCATCTCAATGAATGCTTTTTTAGGTTTAAAACGGATTCTAAAGGCCCGTAAAAAAATGCTGGAGGAAGGGCATGTTGACTGGGCCATTGGTGAGGCTCTGGCATTTGGTTCATTATTGAAAGAGGGGATACATGTCAGACTGAGTGGTCAGGATGTTGAACGGGGAACATTTAGGTATGATAGTGGTAATTCAACCTGTAGACTATATATCAGGATATGCTGGCCACTACATATGATGCTATGTTTTAAATTTTCTTTTCCTCCAACCTCGTAGCCATCGTCACCATGTATTACACGACCAAAATCGAGATAAAGAGACCTACATCCCTCTCAATGAATTGTCTGAAACTCAAGCTGAATATACTGTGTGTAACAGTTCTCTGTCGGAATATGCTGTGTTAGGTTTGTGCTAACTGAAATCTTTAAAGTCCACCTCCACAATGTATGATTATGCAAATCACAAATGCTATATGTACTTCCATTTTCAAAGGTTTTGAACTTGGCTACAGTATGACCAATCCAAACTCTCTAGTCCTTTGGGAAGCACAGTTTGGTGATTTCAACAACACAGCACAGGTTATATATTTATTATAAATTGCGGCTTGCTCTTCTTTTTCCAGTCTACAAAGTATATAAAATATTATTTCCTTCAATCAATGTTTCAGTGCATCATAGATCAGTTCATTAGCAGTGGACAGGACAAGTGGATCAGACAAAGTAACATTGTCCTCTTGCTTCCTCATGGTTTTGAAGGCATGGTAAGCTGTTTTTATTCTTTTGTAAATGAAGTTTGCATGTTGTATCATAGTCTAGAGTTATTTCCGTCCATTTTAGTTTACAGTTTATCTCTGTCTATTTTCAGGGACCTGAACATTCAAGTGCTCGTCCTGAGCGTTTTCTACAAATGAGTAATGATGACCCAGACACCTTTCCTGTGAGTTTAAAACAGAGTCTCTTGTTTTGTGGTTTTATATATTTTCTCCATTATTTTGGTAATGTTTTATTTCTTATCATAGCCTGAGGGAGATGACTTTGAAGTAAAACAACTTTACAACACAAACTGGCAGGTATGTTTTGCACCTTTTTATTTCATATCCTAATAATGTAAGCTAGTTCTAATCCAGGTGCTGTGGGTTTTAAGGTTGTAAACTGCAGCACTCCAGCAAATTATTTCCATGTTTTAAGAAGACAAACACAGATGGACTTCAGAAAACCGGCAAGCATTTAACATTGTTTAGCATTAACCAGTTTTTCGAATTGTTGTGCAAACTGAAATCGCACTTGCAAAGGTTGTGTATTGATTCATTTATTTTTCAGCTAATCATTTTCACACCAAAAAGTTTGCTTCGTTTACCAGCTGCAAAATCTGCTTTGGAAGATTTCAGTGAAGGTGGCATTGTAATTAATGATAAACCAACCTGAAAAATACTATTGCATGAATAACTTATTAAAGATGGTTTTATCCTTTACACTGAATAAATTGTGATCAATTCTAACTCATTGTTGATATTATCGCCAGGCACATCATTCAAGCGATGTATCTTGGAGAATGGTGCAGCCAGTGAGAATCCTGAGGGAGTGAAAAAACTGATTCTCTGTACTGGCAAGGTTTATTATGATCTAGTCAAGGTAGGTAAAGAATTCTGAAGCCTGTGAATTAATGTTGTTCAAATTATTATTATCAAACCATGCAATATAAATTCTTTGGCAATTCTCAGGCACGTGAAGAAAATAAGTTGGATTCTGCCATTGCTATCAGCACAGTTGAACAGGTAATTCTAGTCTCTTGTGAATTGTGATATTCATTTGTGTAAACCTCACTGATGTTAAATGCAGATAATGTTCATGTTTTATTAAATCTTCAGTTTGTATAATTTTCTCATATTTTTGTAGTTGTGTCCTTTCCCCTTTGACTATGTGAAAAAAGAGGCTGAAAAATATAACAATGCAGAAATAACATGGGTTCAGGAGGAACCAAAGAACATGGGGTACTGGAGCTACGTGAAACCTCGCATTGAAACAGCCACAAACCATGGCAAGAAAGTTGGGTTAGTATCCAGCACAAAGCATGCTGGTTTTTGTGAGTAATCCAGTTCTTGCTTTTTTTTGAAAATTAATAAATTGTTTGTAATATCTCAGGTATGCTGGCAGATCACCAACAGCTGCAGTTGCAACAGGAAATAAATATCTGCACAATTCTGAACAAAACAATGTGATCAAAGATGCATTAGAACTCTGAACTAGTCTGAATGTTCAGTACCGTAAAGTGAAAACTTTTAGTGGATCTTGAAACAACTTTACTACACACGGGGTAACAGAGAGTATTATTCATGGTATGTTTTATTAAAACAGGAGTGTCTAGTGGCCATTGATTGAAATCATGGGAGAAAGCTTGACACATGATAACTACAGTATAAAAAGCAATTATTGTGGTGATATAATAGCAATATTTATATGCACACAGTGGTAAATATATAAATTTTCTACAAACGTGTAATCTTTTTACTGCCCTGAAAATATTGCATGTCTTTAAAGTTTAAACAAACAATTTGCAAGAAAGTGCACTTCAAAAATATGTACAAAATTTAATGGGATCAGAAGTTACATTACATAGCATTGAATTAAGCTGTACAAAATATCACAATATTGAAATGTAATCTCGATTGAATTAAAACGCTTTTCTGACGGCTTCCAAAACCTCGTAACAAACTGGGTCTAACATGCCATCGCCCCCTATGAAAAATTTGTATAAATTTGAATTAATTGTTTAATGACCATAACTTGCAAATACACTGCGTGTCTACGTTGGGACGTCAGCGAGCAACGACCACGAGGTACACAGGTTGAATGTCGACTTACCAAACTGGAAATTTTGGATGGTGGAGGTGAAAATGGTTTCGCCATTGATAATGATTTCAACGACGTTTCTATCAGGGATCGCAGTAAAGCTTACACTGTGGCCATCTTGAAGAAGAAGAGCTGAATCGAGAAAGTATTGAATGTTAGCGACTCGAAAGCATCACAAATAAACTTCAGAGGTAGGTCTTGATAAGCACAAGTTTCAAAGCTATTTTAGATCATTTAGGGCTGCTTTCCACTGTCGTGCTTTTTGCACGCACGTAAAAGTTTAAAATCTAAGTTGTTGTAAAACACGTCAAATCATCAGCAGAATCTATAAACCGTATTCAACTATTCAATCGTTGATTTGATAAGTATCGTTTAAATGATTAGTCAATTTTGCAATATAAAACAGAGGAAAGGTGAACCTGGGCAATCGGTTTCGTTTCCTCGAAATGATCTACCTCCTTGCAACGTTTCACGAGCCGGAAATTATAATTTGCCTCCACAGGATCATTTTTGTATCTTTGAATTTTCAAACGAAAATCCTGCGCTAAAAAAGATTTGTCTTTTCCGTCCTAGCAACGGTATCTATGACAGAATTGTCCTCCGTTTTTACTCGGGAATATTGCCTGCATTTATATACCTTGTAATCCTTCTAAACGCGCCGTACGATGTTCAAGTAAACCAAAACTCACATACGGTCCATAACTTATGGTTACTTTATGTTTTTTCATCGCAAATTTTCTTCAGTTGACGAAATTAAAGGGACTGAAAAGTAACAAATTTGTTTTGTTTACATCAGAGTGCGCCAGCAATTTATGCGAACGTTTTTTGGTTACTTCATGTAAAGTATAATTATGCGTTGTTCGTACATTCTTGCCAAACACTGCCCCAGGTCCTGCCCGGTGTCTCTAGACGACCAGGTGCGGTTCTTGTCCAAGCGCCGCTATGTATGCAAATCAGTTAAATATAGTAAAAATATCTATATATATATGAACTTCAGCCGATCCTAAAACGTTCGGTTCTACACAAATAATTACGATAGTCACATATTGGTCTTAAATCATATCCAGATACGATTTGAGTTTTTCAATATGAATGTTCTTCTCGAAGGATCGTTCACATATCTTTTCTCAGCGATCCTCGGTTATCGATAATGGAATACTTTGGTCTAGTTTAGCTTGCCATACTAGACGCTGTCTTTCAGTTGGCTATAAGCTGCAATGATTGAATATATTCTGCTAATCTCGTCGGTCTAAGAATTGTTATATAACAGTTGAAGAGTGATTATCATTAGGGTCAGGAAATGGGATAAGTGTCAGTCCGTAAAAGGTCAGTCTGCCGCGTTTCAGCGCAATATCCCACAGGGGTTTAATGAAGCATGCGTTTGTTATGTTTACTAAATCTCTGTCAAAATCAAGGAACAAATTGGATCAGTCAGGTTCCTGATCGTTATATTAGACCGTAAATTGATAATGAACATGTGTACATATCATTATTACCAACCTCCCCAGAGCTCGACACTGTGTCATGCTTATACCTTGCTACTGTAATGTTACCTTAGCATTGGAATATTGTTTATCCATCTATATTCGTCAATATTTATCTCAAATTTTAGCACGATATTGCTTTCATTTGATTTTCTAACAAATTAAATCTGATGCATACATAACATATTTTCCGCATTCCTAGCATATTTTCCCTTTGAGTGCGGATTGAAAGAAAATTCTATTCATATTGAAATCGAAATATAGACACAAAGACAGGAGAGGAGACGAGATAATTATATAACATGGCATTGTGTGCTTGAAATATCGCGACTATCTTCTGTGTGCGACGTCGTGGACAGTGAACCGACCTTTTTGGTATCATTTCCTTGTCATAAACCTACTCAAACGGAGATTAGCGTATCATAGTTCCGTGTTCATGACATTGTCTGCTCGACAGAAACAGTTCAAACATAATCTAGACACGTCACCGTGTTTTGTTTAATTGCGTGATAAAAAGCTTGTTTGAACTGCAGTTTCGATGAAACGAATGGGGTAAAGCGTAGAAAGACTGTTGTATGAAACTCTTGGTACATGTAAGAAAGAAGGTAAACACGATCAAGCGACAAACTGAGTGTATATATATTGGCGATATCGAGAGAAATATGCGAGGATTATGTATCTGGTGGTGATACGGCGAACAAGGTAATACTTGCACTTGTATTGATTGAGTCAGCAATTCAGAGCGACCAGTTCTTAAAGGATAAATTGGTGAATTCTAGTTTCAGTTATTGGATCGTGTAAGAAGAAATGGACGCATCTAGTTAAAGATAGGAGCATGTTGAGCGTGCAGACGAAACTCTCAAATGAATGCCAGCGTTGTTCCTGTGTGTCCGAGTTGTGTGCTCCGGCAACAGCGAATGAAACTGGATCAAATATCATCCTTGAACTTCCGCCTGCTTATGCCTTCCATATGCCTTACCAAAATGACCTTTACCTTGGCTACCGTTACGACCCTGATCGGCTCTCACGAACCAGTGTATCTGGTGGCTCTTGCAAAACTGGCTGCTCCCGTGACCATAAAGAACACCACTTGCTTCACTCGGGTCTGGGGCAACATGACGCAGATGAGCTCCAAGAAATCATATTTGAGAACTTACCTTCGACTACGTCTATAGAAATGTCATCAAAAAACGAGAAAGCAGAGAATTTAACTGTCGAAGTTCAACAAACTACGCAAAGTTCGACATTATGCAATGTGTATAAACCAACAACTCAATCTTCAACTGCGTCGAATGGAACCCCTTCAAACCTGAATGAAACGAGCAAAAGCTTTCAATCTCCTTTCAAAAGAAAACAAAGTTTTTCTAGAGAAGATGATGTCAGCAATTATTGCAAACCAGCAACCGGCTCATCGTCTGATGCAAGCAACCATCCATCATCCAGCTCCAATTTGGATCACCTAACGACAAAGAAAGCTATCAAAGAACCTTTAAAAACTCTTGAATCAACAAACAACAGTTTCCTTCCTCCTGTTGGTCCAAATGACTTTCAATTGACCATTTCACTTTCCCAGGATCCTTGGGATATGTCGACGCAAGATGCAGAATGGTTGTACATTGATAAAAACGGAGAACAGTTGCCTCTGAATCTAAATACATCATTGCTGCTGGATCATATTCATAATTCATGTACCCAGTTCAATTCCAAAGTCAGAATGAGCTTGCCAGAGACAGGCAAAATGTACGATATCAATTTTAGAGAACTTGAGATGACTGACGTATGTACTGGAGAGAAAACCGCGCTGCTTAGAAAGTCTTGGACACCTGGTAAACCACTTCAGTAAGTACTTGAGGAATTCTAACATGATTACATATTTCTTGTGTGAAATACTTGCATCGCATATTATATAATCATGCGTCATGACCTCTTAAAAAAATTAACTTTGGCCTAAGTTTATCGACAGTCGGTGTCCCATCAGTCATATAACTGTTTTTAAAATAGGTTAGCTTATGAATTGTGTTTATTTATCCAATATTTATATATAAGTATAATACAGTAATTTTTGTTACTGATATACCCTTCTATTCAGAGCTGAAAATGAAAGTTTTTTTCCGACGAGTTGGTCCCCTCAAAATCATGATATCGTGTTGGTTACACTAGATCAAAAAACCGAGGAACATCGCACGATCAGAAACACCTTTCTTCGAACCATGCCAGAGTGCTGTGTCATTGGCATTGAGCGAATACAAAATAAGAAACTCTTCATAAGATATTCCTTTCAGAAAGCTGTCTTGTTGGAGAAAGTTTCAGGTAAAAATCTTACTATAATTATAATGCAAAATACGAAATGATTGAATTGATTTGGCGGTGACTGTTACCATTTCAATAAAACTTTATCCTTTTATCCTTGAAATAATTGCTACTGTTGAAAACTTTATCCTTTATTCTATTCTTGTCGAGTCTGTCGACCGTTTATTAATTGCGAGAAGGACAAATATTCGAATGTTTTGAGACGGAATTGGGATCGAAAGGTTAGATTGAGAAAGATGAAACTTATTGTTCTTCGATTGGGATCTAAGGGAATTTCGAAAGGGTTCAAAGGCAGCATTACCATCGTAAAAACACACTAACCACACTCACTTTCGTACGTTATCTCAGATACAATATGGCGTAGATTTGATTCCTGCCAAAAGACACACAGCTGACCACATTCACCTGCGACAACGCCTTACGTTATCACGACGCTGTCCACCAAAAAGTTGACTTTGACTTTGGATTGCCTTACATGTCGTTGAAGGTCACTGCCATTGCTCAAAAAAATTCCATACCAAAACATTGTATATCATCATTCCCACCGAGAGGGCGTGTATCACATTTCTTTCCAACATCATGCATGTAGAACAAAGTGTTATGACCCGATCTAAGCTTTTTTCATTACAGTTAAACGTTAAAACAAACGGGAATATTGCTACAAAAATCAAAACTGAAACCTTGCAAACATTTAAAATGAAAAAAGGTGTATATTAGTAACGTGTTGAGAAAGCGTTACCATGCATGCTAATTTCTCTTTAAACGTAAATCGTTTGAATGGCTTTTCTTAAATATCTAATATTTATTATAATTAAAATAGTACTCCCGCCCAGAACTGCATGCCTTCCGTTCATGGTCCGGCTGGAATTTATCGCTTGTTGATAGTCGTATTCTGAACTCTTTGTTTTCCTTGCTGCATTATCCGTATCCGTAAGCTTACCCTTAGGACATGATTATCTAAGGCCGGTTGGATCATCAAATTGTCTCGGTGGTAATTGGTCTTAAGACTGTAGTATTAAACTCTCTCGACCTTTCAACCAGGCAGCCATAAATAGAGTTCCGGACAGACGAAGAATATCTGCTTGACGAGACCAGCTTTTGAAGCAGTCTCCTTGTCAAAAATGATCGCCACATTAATTTTTCTTCCTGCAAAGAAATCTCCGACAGCGATATATTCAGTCGCATTCCTTCTTTTGAAGTTTGACTGTTTAACCATACACTGGCGTTAAACTGATATGTTTATGTTGTTTTAGGGAGCGTTGAGGGTCTGAATGAAAAGATGCTGTTTCACGGAACGAGCAAAACTCCTCCGAAAAAAATCTGGCAAAGCGAAGATGGTTTTGATTTGCGTTACTCACGGCGCGGTATGTGGGGAATTGGTTCCTACTTTGCCCAAAATTCCTCGTACTCCGACAATTACGCTTACATATATTCTGGGAATTATCCGGTCTTCCGGGAAATGATTGTAGCCAACGTTCTGACAGGGAATTCTATAGAAATGCAATCAAATAATAAAACGAGAAAACTCACTCGTCCGCCCGTATTTACACAGGCGACGCAGAATAATCCCGAAGTACTTTACGATTCCGTAACGGGATTTACCGGAGGCAGCCGAATATACGTCCTCTATAAGTTTGACATGGCTTACCCAAGTTATTTAATTCGCTATTTCCATCTCAAACCGGGCTGATATAAATGGATGTAACCTTGTATCCTCAAACACGAAGGCTTGGCTTCTCGTAAACATCGACGTGCTCCAGATCTATTGCATGCCTCATCATTGTTTGATCTGATGGACGACGTAGTGCTTTTGATCCGTCCACGTTCTCTCAATGGTAGCGCAAGAGAAGTCAGAACTGAACCTCGCTAAAGGCACACACGTCCGGTTTGGATACATAACGAAACAATGGTAAAAATTACCATAAATAAAACCCTACACTTAAAACCTCAAAAAAGAGACTCGTGATATATTATTAATAATCCTATACATTTTGTACTATAATAAAATTTGAGGGTAAACCTTTTTTATAATGACTTCAGACACGGAAAGCCTGACGACACACGAAGTTTGATTGACCTCACCAGCAACAGCAGGACCACGTTTGAGACATCTTCTTCAGTTAGTTCAGACACAAACCACGACAGCTTATTGTAAAAAGTACTACCTACACTAGACCACCACGTTTGAGATATCTTTTTCAGGTAGTTCAGACACAAACCACGACAGTTTATTGTAGAATACTACCTACACTGGACCACCACGTTTGAGATATCTTTCTCAGGTAGTTCCGGCAGACACAAACCACGACAGCTTATTGTAGAATATTACCTACACTAGACCACCAAGTTTGAGATATTTTTCTCAGGTAGCTTAGACACAAACCACGACAGCTAGCTTATTATAGAATACTACCTACACTAGACCACCACGTTTGAGATATCTTTCTCAGGTAGTTTAGACACAAATCACGACATCTTATTGTAGAATACTACCTACACTGGATCACCACGTTTGAGATATCTTTCTCAGGTAGTTTAGACACAAATCACGACATCTTATTGTAGAATACTACCTACACTGGATCACCACGTTTGAGATATCTTCTTCGGGTAGTTCAGACACAAACCGGCTGCGATTAATGGCTTATTGCGGCCGAATACTACTGCATTGGACCATTGCGTTTGAAAGATTTCTAGACAGTTATCATGTACATGGAAATCGCAAAGGGCAGCTTATTTAAGAGCAGTCATTGAATTTCTTTTACTAATGCACTCGCCTTAGGCGTCGCATTTCTTCCCTGTATCATTTGCTTTGGTTAAAAGATGATTAGTATTGAAAAAAGCCGATTTGTATTGAGGAAACAACTTGGCGCTAATAGTGTTATATTGTTGTTTGTGGAGATACAGTTTCATTGAAAGAAAACAGTTTTATTCAATACATGAACAACAATCTAGACAATGCCAATGGAGTGTTATTATCGGCATTCAATGGATGAATCACAAGTAATTATCTCACTTATCAGGCACCAAACTGTAAGTGTTACTGACAAAGGCTCTTTAAATGTGTGGAAAATGTTTTTGTCTCTCGGCCAGTTTATTTTGAAGCTTTAACTCTTTAGAGCAAGGAGAAACCATCTTTATAAGGAGATTAGACATTTATTAGTCTCTGATTGCCTAAGTACAATGAATTCAAAACGTCATTTAATGTCTTGACTGCATGCATGCCGTTAAACAAATTATTAATTCGATGGGATATTGGAATGCTATTTTAATAATGATCACAACACTTTATTAAGAAATATTGCAATTCGTAGGCATTATATATAACCCGTGGAAACTATTCTTCGCATAAAAAGTTTTACTCTGAACATTGCTTCAAGATTCATCAGTTTGGAGCTGCTGTTTACGACTGCAGAATAAATTTTCTTTCCTCTCTCTACTAAAACCTGGAAGCTCAACAAAATTACTGCATGGTTCTACGTCACAACGACCGTAGAATGATACACGAAACATGAATTCTGGTTTGATTTTTCGTGACAGGATATTTTTCACAAACATTTATCGACCTAATTTATTTGCCAAAAAATAATAGTATACCACGTACGTCAGTTCGATGTTATTCCAAGCGACGTTCGTTGTTTTGCAATATCAGAATCTTGACATTTGAATGCAGTCCTAAAGTTCAAAACCCTTACTTGTTACGATGCTGAAACATTCCTGTAAACCGTGTTTTTATTTTTCACTCTTACTCTCAGTCTACCCACGTTTAAAAACATGATTAAAAATAATTTACCTCCAATCTTAAATGATTTTTCCTGACTTTTTTTGTTGCTACGCGTTGTAAAATTAACTGCAGCAGAATACGAGATGAATATAAATCTTCCAGCATGACCAGTAGTTCGTTCAAAATCAATCTTCCATTGTTGGCTTGACAAACGATGCGGTGTACTTAATACTACGGTAAAGTGGAAGATAGGCTATCAAGCTAGCATAAAAACTATTAACTAACTTGCATTTTATTTTTCTTCATTATTTTGGCAGAATTGATTTATGTACTGTTTGCAAAGGTCATGATTGACGCAATGATATGTGTAAAAACGTTGGAACAAAGTGCTGAAAAGCACCAAGTGCTCGCATTAGAGAGAGAGTCGTATTATTGAATACCTCATATGTTTATGAATGAATATACGTCGCTAAGTTTGGCGCAAAAACGTGTTCACATTGTTTAAGTCTAAAGTTTATTAACAATATCTTTATTGAACGTTGATAGACGAACGTGTTTAAAACCATGGCGTTGTCTTAACCAACCAATGATCGCTTCCCAAGCACGTGCGCTATACATTGGCTTCAGAGTGCCGCCTTTTGCAAAATTAATATGCCAAAGAAAATCCTAAAGTCATTATTAAACAACACTCTTATATATAAGACTGAAACCGATTATCAAATGCGAGGGGATTCTCACAGTAACCCACCTAACATTCCAACACTCCCATAGGGGGTGACCCCTAATTTTGGGCGTATTTGGGGATGTTTTTGCTCCCCAATAAAAAGAATTTTTACTCAAATCTTCTCGTGCTATTGAAATTCGGCATTCAGAAGCAATTTACCTTTTGTTTTGAGTAAGACAATGGTTGTACAATGAAGCATGTTGTTGGACATGTGATGAAGTCTTCAGCCCACTAAGGATCACATAAACATCTTAATTTTTTTTAATTTAAGCTCAGGAACGTGTTTCAATTAGCAACGAGCACACTTCCAAAAGAACAGTCTCGATTTGTTTAAAAGTGGGCCGTTTTAAGCAAGGTTTTAACCTCTCCTAACATAAAACTCGTCCTAAAAATCCTCCCCTTTCGGAAGCCACCTTCAAAAAATTCCTTTGACATTTTTCATTAAATATGTATTTTCCAAGACTTTAAACAAGATTCTGCTTCATCAAAGATTTATATGAATCGATTGTATTTATATGCTAGCTTCGAAATTGTGCCATTTTAAGTGTTTTCCTAAAAAAATCCTTGTGTCAAATTCTATCTCTCACAATAGGCTCATTACCAAACTTCAAGTATTATTTTTTAAATAAATTAACTTCCACAGGGAACAATTGTGTGATAAAAATGGACTTGAACTAGCTTTTAAAGGCGACGTAAACAGCGATGATTTTGAAACATTGCTGGAATCTTATTCTTCTTGAAACGATACAAACCGGACGACAGTGTCTGTGTATCGATTTTGTTACTTAGCCTAAGGGTATTTTCTTTCTCATCTTCAAACTCAGGCGCATGCGTGATATAAGGATAATCAAATGAACAAAGTTAGACAGAACATCTGTCACTTCATTGATAGAATACGATTTTTGAGCCGTTGTTTTTATCTTCGGAGCTGACGTTGACTGGGTTTGGTCAATATGAAAACATTGCACCAAATTTAGTATTTAAGTGAAGTTAATAAGGAGTGGAAAATATTACGACAGGAGCTTTAGATGTAGTTTATTATAATGCCTGAGTGTATCGTTGTGCCGGGAATAAAACGTCTATTAAATATTGTAGACAAGTTTAATCATTTGACAACGGGGTGTATAAGAGTGCATGTGAGTGGTCTAGGTGAAGGCGAGACGTATTGGGTATTGTATAGTCAATAGAACTAAAAATATGAGCAGTCATAATTCAACACACGCAGTAATTATGATGGACTTTCAACGTGGTGCAGGCAACTTCTAAGAAACATTTTCCACGAGAGACGCTCATTTAGTCTTGTAACAATTATTTAACGCCCAGCGTCTACACAAGGCTGCGGTAACATAAAAATGACATGCGAACTCACCGTATCCATTCTCGTAGGCAACCATTCAAGTATTGTTCTCCCCTAATTAGGCTGCGCGCGTGTTAGGATGGCGTATAAATGACGCGCGATGCTCCACTCAAAGTCAAACACTGCTCCAGTCGAGTTGTGAAGAGCACCACCTCAAATTGGTTAAAAGGATTTTCACAAGTTCCAGAACAACAGTACTCGACGAAGATAATCGACTACACTTCTGGTTTCAGGAGTATTTTTGGTAAGTAAGTTTCCGTATTTGCATAAATATATTTTAAACAAGAGTTGTACATTTTAAAGTGCATTGTGAAAATGTCTTGTCAACATTGTGAAAATTCTCTCTAGTCAAGTGCCTTTTATCAACAAACTTTGAGGCTTGAATCTGTCTACTTTTCGCTAGTTTAACATTTCTTTAAACGTTTTTCTTTTAAAACAACGTTCACAGAAGTCGTTTTAGAAACACTTAGTCACGTTCACTTTGTGATAGGATAAAAAAACTAGGATAAAATGCTAAATAATTTGTGTATTGCTTTGTTTAAAATGATGCAGCGAAGACTTGCTAATTTACTGTCTTTTCTTGTAGATTTGCGATGAACTCGCCATGTACGAAATCATGTGACTGTGTTCCCAGCCTTCAGGCTCCACGCGCAGCAATGGCGTACGCCCCCCTGGAAAATGGACCACATTTCACCCACCAACCCCGGGTGATGGAGACAACCGTTTGCACAGCAACTGTGGTCTCGGCAGAAACGTACTCGAGAAATGGATTCTGCGTTCCTGCGGATGACTTAGGATTATTAAATATTCCCTCGATTTACGAGACAATGAACAATACATGCTTTGAAGAGCCGTCAGAATGGGGCTGTTGGCCAAATGATGGAACTGAGTGCCCTGGAAACGAGGCGGGAAAATGTGACGATGACGAAGAGGGAAATCCTACGAACATTATCGAAGAGGTTCCGAGAGAACCTCTGAAACGTCTTCGTAGACAGCGCGCAAATGATCGTGAACGTCGACGAATGAAATCGCTCAACGGAGCTTTGAACAACTTGAAGCGTTGCATACCGTTGCCGAAGACCAAACGACGAGTTACGAAACTTGAAATACTGAGAATAGCTTGTAATTATATCCAGTCTTTATGGGAGACCTTGAATAATGGGGGTAATGAGGGACACACAAAATCTTTAGGAACAACAGGTGGCAATCAGCATCGTATAGTGAACGGCATGAGTGTGACTCAGAGACTAAATTTATTGTCCAATAATTTAAAATTTAACTTTCAGTTGTAAGGCTTATGCGTACTCATTTAGGTTGTAAACTGAGCATCAGTGTATGTAATCTGTTTTTTAAAGCAAAGCTTTAACTTGAAATTAAATAGTTGTAAATACCAGGTTCTGATAGTCTGTTTGCATGCCTTCTTGCCAAATAAACGCATCATATATTACCAAATCAAGCCCTGTTTTCAGGAAATCACTTGTAAATATAACTTAAGTTATAGTGTATGTAAATTACATTTAAGAGAAAAAAACCTAGTTTTCCTAATCGTAAACGCAAAATGCAGGATTTTTTATTTATAGAAAACCTAGCCAATCGTATTTATCAAATGAACGAAAGGCGGTATATCCGCGTGCGCTATAATGGAAACCGAATTGATATATTCTGAAATTTAGTCTGAATGGACTGGAACAATCAACAATCTCGCTCTGCAGTGGTTGTACACGAACATTTTATTATTTTAATAAAAGCTTTATTACGGCAATGCTCCCGATTTTTAGCGCTAAAAATGAATGCTCTTTTGGTGAAACAAGTGACGAAAAATGGGACGTCTTTCTAACAAAGACGTTGTTGACTTTTAGTTTTTTTTCGACTTTGCTAGCAGGAGGTAATCCAAACTTAATTCATCGCCACTTCTTTTCTTCCGCCTTTGGCAACAGCCGGCGTATAATTATAGCTAGCATACAGCTGTTTGTACTATACATTGATATCTAAGAATAATGACTCATTACAGACTTAATGATGTGGTGCCATTTTTAATCCTATTACTTTCCGCGTGTAACTTTTCTGTACGTCTACCGAAATAGTTGGGGACGTGATTATCGTCTATGTGCTTCTGTTTATTTTCCATTAATGCAATGCGCTTAAACAAGTCAAAATATACAGCGACAATCACGTGGCACACGAGTGCAGGGGTAATCCGAGGTAACAAAAGTATATATAAAAGTTATAGTCACGGTTCAACGTTATTTTTAAAAGTACATGAATCAAATCTTCCTAGCCTGAGAAACGATACGCGGTTCTACTCCAACAATCGTGTTTGTCGGCATCAGTTAGATAAAAGTAATTGACTGCTGATTAAGGTTTCAGTCTTTTATAATTGTAATTACCCACGTGTTATAAGAGATACACTTTACGCTGGACAGCTGAAAACTCAGCATCTCTGGAATTGTTTTGAAAAAATCGTTAACGCGAACCCTGGGTAGACTTTTTAACCTGCTGTTTCCGTCTGCAACACAACCTTTTGTCTAATGACTTTGGAAGTACAACTTGTATTGATTGCAAAAAATACAACTTGTATTGACTGCTACGTGAATGAGAGATCGAAATATATTAATAATAAACTTGACGACGAATCAACGATGGTCTACTGACGTAAAGCTTAACTGACGTTAATTGTAAACTCACAAGATTACTGTCTCCTGGAGAAGCAAAGAATATTTTTTTATATAATTGAGTTCAGCCATAATCAGTTTAATCCACAACAATCTCTAATGAAAAACGACTAACCTTTGGTTGAGCGCGGCAAGCTCTGAATCCTAAATGATGTGTCCTTTTCAAGCTAGAATTGCGATAATTAATTGTTGAAAGAATGATTTATTGAGTTTTTATTAGTTTTGATAGCTTTGTCTCGTTTTTAGTCTTTGTTTGTTAGTTCAGTAGTTTGTTATCACAAGGGTGTTAATTAATGTCATATACATAGCTTTCATGAACTATGGATGTCAGTGTCTGACATTTTATTTACACAGTATTGTAAATATTAACTACAATGGATGCATTCGGACAAAGGATCCGTGTTTTAAGTAACGAGTACTTTGTTGTTGTAAGGCATGTGTGATTGTTTGAAGAGTGTTTGACATGATAATCTTACTGATTTAGGTTTCTTCCCGCCTTGAGAAGGCTCACGCTTTTTGTCTTCCTTTACGAGAAAACGGATTCCAGTAAAAATAGATTTCGCGTCAAATAGATCATGGATGTCGGCTGAAAGTCCCCCATTCCACTCGTCTTATTAATAATTTAAAGTTTTCAAGGCCTTGAAACTCCCTCACACAACTAACTGACTGAGTTCGTATGCATAGTTCATGTCGATGAATGACTTCAGTGAATATAATCCCTTTCACACTTCACTTGGTGTATAAGAATTGACACGGGGTATCTCTACTTTTAAATCAGTGTTTTTACTGACAGAGTCGAGCAAGGCCTGGCTTTCAAGCCTATAGCCGATTTATATACAGCATTTATCTAAATTTTTAAAAAGCTGGCGTGTTCACATTCCTAGACTCGTAGTATATATTCCGTTTCTCAGCTGTCCACGAACTGATTCAGACATCAACATTGTATTTGGGAGAAGGTCGGATGAGCTGTGACTACTAAAGTGTATTCTTGTACGTCTTAGCTCAGGCAAAGTTAAAGCACGTTTACATTACAAGTATTGCCGAGTATTTGAAGCATATTGCCACCTCTTCCCTCAAAGAAACAATGTTGATTCATTGTGGTAAAGATTGAAAATTTGTTTTAAAGCGTGTCTTGTTGGGTTGCAGGAGGAGTGAGGAGGCTACAAGTATCTAATGCTGTGAACGTGTTGTATTCAGTTTTGCACTTCTACTACAGTTGAAGTAGAACAGCTCAGGAATACTAGAATTCTCTGATCTATGGATCATCCATAGAGTTCTAAACAGAGATGCTGATTAACTGCAGAGCATATGAACAACTGCATATGAACAACTGCAGATTACACTTGTCTTATCTGTATTCAACAGATTATGTAATCGAAAGCTGGTACAATCTTGCATCAACTATAACAAAATAGATGGAACCGAAAAGTGAAGAATATCGTCCTGATGAGTGATTGATAAAGACGACCTCAGAAGAAACGTTCCCCCAAGAGCCGTTCCCATTCCTCCAGAATCCTAGCGACCGCGCGAGTGTTTAGTCACGTGATTAGAAATACAACGGCTACTATGGAAAGTAAACATTGGAGTGGAATAATTTTATATTTGGTTGAAAAATCTTGATTTTATCCACAAATCTGACCGAAATCATGCAGAAAAAGACGATATAGAAGCAAAGAAAGACATTAATAATCTTTTTGTGCAATAAAACAAGAAATCGCGTTCTTTTACGGGATAATTCGGTGGTTCTATTTGGTGCAGATCCAGTGAAAGTTGTATGCGTGCCATACATAATGATGGCTGCTGTTCATTCAAGGACAATTCCTGCCGATCCTGGCTTTCAAACGAATCGTTCAGATGGTGGATTAGTTGCAGACCGTCCTAAGCCAAGGATTAAACCAGAAGCTATGATGATTGCTATCAAAAATCAAGGAACTTTGGGACAACTTTTTAACCCATATTCAAAACCACCATCATTACGAAGTACCAGAAGATCAGGTAGTTATTGAAATATATAAATCTTTAGATAAGGTGACTGCTTTATACTAATAATGCCAAATTAACACTCAAGACATATAGCATTGTTAAAATATGAGTATGGTGAACTATAATCTTACAGTACCAACGTTTTGACTATTTACATTCAAAACTCTGCATTGGTATTTGCACGGGTATTTGCATCAAACTGATCAGACTGATAATCTGATTTGAATTTCTAACATGCTATTATTACTAATATACAGAATTTATCTTGGCATTGTTCTTTAGTAACTAGAATGGTTAGAACTCAAACACCCGGGTATTCAACCAGTTTATGTCATCCGAGGATACTTTCCTTTATAATTACAGCAAAAACAGCCAGACCGGCGGTCCTGTTGTATTTTGGGACAGACAGATTCTGTATCATCAGACAGACAGAGTCTGCAGTCATGTATATCGTTATTTACATCTGCCTAGCATGGGAAATGCAGTTTCACTGTTATATTCTTAATCAAATACTCTATTTAAATTCAAAATGCAACCAGTCTGACCATTTTGGCCACTTAAAGGAAAGTTACCACACTCAAAGTTACTAAAGGCTCTGTTTACTGATATTCGTCATGTTTCCACAGGTACGCCTGAGGTGAAGCGAGACTTCATCAGGGAAAACACAAAGCAAATTAAAAACATTCAAAAAACTAATCGTGAAAGTGAAGCAGCTTTGAGTTCAAGAGAGACATTGAGGACTCCTCCTCAGAAAAATGATAAATATGAACATGTTGAATCTAAAGTTGCCCAGGAAGTGAAGGTAGCTACTAAATGCTTTTATTGTGGTGTAATGTTTCTCACAATGACAAATATCTACCATTCTAAGGTGAATTTGATTTTTCCAAACAGTGTCAAACAATGATAGCCATATGATAAACAAGAGATATTTTAGTTTTGCTAGTAAATTGTATTTACACACACTAATACTTCACATTTTCTCATCTCCAGGGTATTCCTCAGGCTCCAAGGTCAACATCAAAATCTTTTCTTCGTAAACACTTGCGTAGTGGGTCACCTGTGCGTGATCGTCCAGCTTCCGCAAGATCACATGTGCCTCCTGAGGATAAACAGAGTGTTCCGAGGCCAAGTTCTGCTGTAGCTAAGGTAATTTGATACATGCAGATGTAGCACATTGATACATGCAGATGTAGCACATTAACATGATGAAATCAGGTTAGCCCTGGGTAAGATCTTGATACCATTTTCATAGGTGTTGGGTTGGGTAGTAACTTTAAAATTAGCCAGAAAAATTGGTCAAAAATACAGAAAAATTAGTTTTGGTTGTAGTCAAATCGTGCAAAGTCCTTGCAGGAATTACCTGATATTATAACTTCTCTGTTCCTTTTTACTTAATTCAACGCAGCCTTTTCAAATTAAGATATCGTCGGAATTCAGTGTTACACAAAGTAGCTTGGGTTTAGTACCACAAGATAGCGCGGTCTGCATTAACACAGCTTGCTCACGTCATGTGACGTAGGCTCGTGTCTAGTACTAGCAGCATCACAGGACACTTTAAGCAAGCAAGAGACAATGATTTAAACCAAAACTTTGTATTATACAACCATTGTTTCATTTCATAATTCTCAAGTGTAAAATGAGGCATCACGAGTGTTTATTTTATTGTTTTTAATGCGTTCTGCGGGTTGGATTTGCGACAATTAGCCCTTAACTATATCTTCCTGATAATCTTGATTTCGCTTTCTTGAATCGCAATTTTCAGGAGAAAGGCAAGACAGCCAAGGTCAATCATATTTCGAACAATATCCGTCGGGTGACTTCGTCTCCAGGCCTACGACGTCGTGCGCCTGCGGTCATAGCCAGTGAGGAGCTGGAGAGGAAGAAGACTGAGACCGAGACGAAATACAAAAGAGGCGAAGTCCCGAGCTAGTAAGCGTTACATGCATGATTTACAGATCTGGGGCCGGTTGTATGAAAGCTGGATAGCGCTATCCACCGGATAGTGATTTTTCTACCGTTTTAAATGAAAAAAGATCCTCAATTTAAGAATACTGAGGAGTACTACTGATACCTACCACTATGCAGTTTCGCACAACCTGCCTCTGATGTACCAATACTGATCAACCTTTATCCTTGAACCAACCTCAATACTTGAACAACCTTTATTCTCTGATGTACCAATACTGATCAACCTTTATCCTCTGATGAACCAATACTGATCAACCTTTATCCTCTGATGTACCCATACTGACCAACCCTTATTCACTCTCATTTACTCTTGAATTTCAGCTGCGATTCTCTTCTTCTGAAAGATGTGAACGAATAGACAAGTTATGGATGCATGTCAAGCTATGGATGCATGACTATTCACTCGTTTACATCTATCAAAAGAAGAACTTCGCGAAAAGACCCCAAGTGTAATCAAATATTTTACTCTGTATTTGCTACACCCAACATTCTTTGGAAAGCTGGAGCGTTTTAATATGTAAATCGCGTGTTTTCCGTAGCTTAAGGAAGCGACAAGAACAATGGAAAAGTGAGGAAGATGAAAGAATAAAGAACATGCCTGATCCCAGCATTCCACCGGGTCACACCCTCATGCCACGTGATGAACGACTGCAAACCCTCGAGCTTCTTAAGAAAAGTATAAATCATTCAATTCCTTTTCACATTAGGTCATTCATGTACACGTTGGGATATAGGGTATCAATCATGTACACGTAGGGATATATGGTATCAACCACGTACACGTAGAGATAAAGGGTATCAATAATATACACATAGGATAATGGGTATCAATCATGTACACGTAGGGATATAGGGTGTGAATAATCAATACGTCGGGATAAGGGGTATCAATCATGTACACGTAGGGATATAGGGTATCAATATGGTATCATGATGGGCATTTCATATCGTCTCCATTATCCTCATGGTTGAAAGGGGGGGGGGCTAAAATCATCCACTTTTCAATCATTCTATGATTTGTTTTTGTAGAACAAAAGGAGATGACAGCGGAGCTCAACTCTCTCCCTGTCAGCTGCGACACACTTCGTATCAAGCAAAGAAAAATGGAACTCGAAATTAAACTGCGGGAAATTGAAAACGCGTTGAAAATATTTTCAAGACCCAAGGTTTTTGTGAAAATAGATTCGTGACGACGGTGGAGAAAGGACGCGTTGAATAAGTCTTAAAGGAATATGTCAGTATAGATGAAGGAGAATGAATGACAAGATATTTATCCCGGGAGAAAACGTATTTGAAATATATGCAAAGCTTGCAAGTTGGAAGACACAGGCCGAAATGTATTGAAATGAGAGAACTTTAAGCGACGAAAAATGTCAAAAAAAAGTTGTAAATCCACGGATAAAAAGCTGTACATAAACTAAATGTTGTTGGCCACGCATTCTCTGATCATGATGTTTCCTTACCTCAAAGTGTATTAGAAATCGTTTTGGAAAATGTATTAAAAATTTTTACACCAAGGTATTTTCATTTCATTCTATATTACGACGTAAGGATCAAGGAAAATTTCGTGGAGTTACTAAGTTAGGATAATATCAACGATAAAGCACAGCTGATGAACCGTACGTTCATATGCCGGTGAAAAAGATTCGTTGCAACAACAGCAAAGAAGCAACGTCCCCACTCAACAACTCGCATTAAATATGGTATAAAACTTGCCTGTAAAAGAACAAAAAAACTTGATTCAACCTTTGTATGTGACACAATAACTCTCCTTTGGTCTAAATATTGAGAAGTGTTTTTGTCTATTTTGGGCAGTTGTTATACCACAATGCGACGTCAAACAGACATTATATAAAAACCTGTAACAAGGTTGCTATAGAGTCGGCTGTCGTCAAAATAGCCTTAGGTAATAATAGATTGACCGAAAATATATAAAGAAAAGCTCGACGCTCTAGCAAAGATTCTTTGTCTGAAAGTTAGCAATTGATGATTGTAGTTTTGATGCGAAAAATTATCGCTAAGGCACCTGTGAATTTAGCGAAGGAATTGTGCTGGTTCGCAACTGTGTGGAAAGGTGACTCAGAACATCGGATGCGCTGCGATTTCTATGAAAGTTAAACCTCAGCGTATGCCGTGAGACGTGACAAAGTGATTTCTTGCATGTCGTCACAGGGAAGCTTTCAATTCTTGTCTGCATGCTGACATTACTGTCTGATGCTTACATTTCCTTGAAAACACTTCCGACGTTGTCCAATCTCACTTTGTTCAAGTACCATGCACCATCTTCAGAAAATAACCAACTTCAAGCACTGATTTCAGTTGTAATACGTATTTGTAACTGTAAAATGAGTTTCAGGATGCAATACCTGCTTGAATACTTTGTAGTCAAAGGCTTTCCAATCTAAGGCTGATCAAAGATCAGCTTATTTTATATATAACATAAACTAACGTATTTAGCAGAAACCAACGCAGTTGCATCTTAATCCCAGTTGAAATCTGAGAAATGCGAAGCATTGCTATACAGACAATTAAATAATATTTAAATGAGGTTGTTTATCCAGTTGTTATATAAATATACCTTTAGGATTTGAAGTCTGATAAATTAACACTGTTTCAATATGAGCTGCGACTTTTCCCCTGAGTATCGACTCCGGAAACTTTCAGACAAGTGTCTGAAAAGATCTTTGTCTTCATTGTCTTCACATCACGTACACGATAAAGCATTCATTTCAGTTCATAAACAGGAAATTTAAGTTCCTCCAAAGGCTCCAAGTTACAAGCTTGTTGAGCCTGCGTGAAATTGGTCTTTGGATAAACGTGTTCACTGGCCAAGCGTGCAAACCACGGTACCAACACTCACATTCCCGATTAAGAAATTTACGAACGAGATACCTCACACGTAAAGTCGATTAATATGATTCAGAGTTAGTCAGCAACGAGCGCAAAAGATTCTCTCAGGCTTAATTATCTGAAAAAAAACTGTTTTAAAATATTCTGACTGGTCATGCATATAAATAAAATATTACCTTTAAGGGTTTACCATGGAACTAAAAACAACTAGTTGATTAATTAAAAAAAGAACAAGATATTTCTATATAACTGCATGTGTGTTATTGTATAAGTGCGGTGGCTTTCAAAGCAACTGATCTGTTTCATTTACCCAGACAGAAAAAAATGATTTATGTCTGAGGTTAATGAAACGAATTTGTTTGGAGGTAGCTAAATGTGCTCAGAAAGCGTACACAATGAACAGCATTCTTCGTTTGTAGAATGACACCTTAATTAGCATTAAAAAGATCAGTTAAACGTGACCTTAATGAACGAAAAGAAATGAGGTTTATTAAGAGCCTTTAAGCGCGCAAGTTTTTAAATAAATATTTCAACTAGAAACGATGAAAACAACTTCCCCTCAATCCAATAAGAAGAAAAATATTTTGCCACAACTCACGAAAACACTAAACTTTTCATCGTGCTGAAAAATTAAATTTCCCCAATAAGTGGTTTTTTTCATTGCTTTTACAAATTTTGTCTATCCCCCAATTCAAACTTTTTTTAACCACAAACACATGCTATGGCAAAAGGTTGATGTTTTTGAAGAACTGTACAGAAGAGAGAAAGAAACTAGCAAGCAACAGGATATCGTCCAAAAACTTTATCAATGTCGAAATTGCCTATTGTTTTTTGATGGGATATTTTTCTCTTGTTCGTATCATATTTTATTGTTTTCAAAGAGACCGTATATCTTTTCGAGAAAGAATACTTTTTTATAAAATTATATATCATTTCATTGCACAGTCTTTACTTTAGTTTGGAAATGTGTTGAAGTGGTGTAAAGGGTGACGCCTAGAGGTTACCGTGTGATAAAAGTGCTTGGGCATTTCAACAACTGTCTAGCTCTATGCTAAATATAATGCAGAGACTTATCGTATAATGCTACATGTGTTCCTTTGTTAAAACACGCTTTTAAAACACAATTAACCACATGTTTTAAAGTTTTAAAAACACATTCGATGCCATCATTTCTGAAAGTTTTACTAAACAACATCTTCTGTGATACGTCAAATATTTCACCCTATAAACCATTACATCCACGTTTAATGACCTCAAATCTTTCTACGTCGCCTGTACACAACAAATATATCAAATGTTGGAAAAGTATAAGCGTGAGAACGCGTAACAATACGAAGCAAGCTGTTCTCTCTAATTATTATCCCTTTCTCCCAAAATTTTGTCCATTTTGGTTGATACTAAGGGAAATAGAGGCTGGAATTGCCCTCGTTCATCTGACTGTCCTCAAGAGCAAAATCTGTGGAGAACATATGCCAAGCATGGATTTAATAGCGCAGTATAAATAATCTCAGGTATTAATTGGCTTGTGAGAGCTAATTGATATGGGATCTTCGCATTACAACGAAGAAAGGAGGTCTTTTTCTAAAACAAAGGATGATAAAATTAGGAGGGTCGTACAACAGATGGATGTAGGTCATGGGAGCGTTTCCTAAGTCGCCTCCTGGCAATGTCTTATCTTTTCTTAAACACACATATGTTTTAAACACAAAAAGGCATCCAATTTGACCATGTGATTGCGTATCGTATTAATTATTGAGTATAATACCTCGAGTGTGCATTACGCATGCGCTGAAGATGAATCATTGAACGAATGTTCGTAAACGTGAGGCAGCACCAGACATCGGTTAAGTGGGCTCAAGAGCTAACATCACTTTTTACATCTTCTTGGAAAACTGTTCGAGGACCTGCAAGGTTGGTCTAATATTAGAGCGTACCACAAATATATACCTCCTAAATCAATTATGAATTAAAGAATTGAAGATTCCTGAGTGTGCAAAAGAGATTACTTACTCTCGCCTATCATACCTCTCCATTTTGTAATTGAATTATTTATGTCGTAAGCACTTGACGATCTCTTAACGTTGCATTTTATACGTTTAAAATAAAAGCCCATCTTGTACCTCGTTTAGATGGATCTTAATTAATATTACTTCCAAAGATCACACTTAATTATTCTGTATAGATATATATATACATACATACAATGCATTTTTTGTACATGTGCAGACGGAGTGTAAGTCAGTCTTGTTTTGGTAAAAAAGGATCCATGAATACCTCCCAAGTGTTTCGTGCGGCTAAAGAAGACAATTGCATTTCTTGATGATGTCATTTACTGTGTGGCCAGCACGTGTGAACGCTGAGGACGATTTAAAAACGCACGTATTTAATCATTCTTGTTTCGTTGCCTACAGCTGTTGGAGAGTGTCAGAGGCTACCTGAGAAGGACACTGTGAGGAGGCGAAGCGCTTGGTAATTGGAATGGATTCTTTTCATACACAAGGTAAGAGCAAACTAAAGCAGAACCAAACTAGATATCTTGGTATTATGATTCAGCACTTCTGACATGAACTAAGCCATGTCAACACAGCGATTATTATAAGCTGTCTTCGGACTCGCGTCCATTTTTCTTCAACATTCGTGCCAATTGAGGAAGTCGTCTTAGCCGAGTGGACGAAAGGTTATATGAGCAGCTAAAAAGATGAAAGGAATGTCTTAACTACTCTTGAGTTTGTAAGAATTTCAAGCGTGTGACATTTGGGCATTTTATTCTTGGAAAAGACCACGATTTTCTTGTAACTTTATGAAAACTTTATGTAACTTTTGTTCTAAAAATTATCAGTAGAATATTTCTGCGAGGTATTCGTAACCAAGTGGCCTTCGCGTGGTAAAAACTTTACCGGCAGGATCAAGACATATTCCATTCATTTGAATACATTAATTTACCACTTTGAGTCAAATAAGTGTCACATATTCATATCGATGGCCTCTAACATCTCATATCTTCTTTCACTGGGAAAACAGACGATGAAAAGTCAAACTATCGTGTTTCTTTTGGATGAAATGAAACAGTTTCTGGCTGAATACACCTGATGATGTTTGTTCCGTGCAAAACAATAGAAAACGTCCAATTCTTCAAAGAGGTCCTTCAAACATGAACTGCCCTTTTTGACGTTGAATCATTGCAGAGATTAAAATGTTTTCACCACACGACCATCAGTTGCAAAATGAATATCTCTTTCTTTCTTTTGCCCCCTGACGTTAGCAACCGTGCCCGAAGTACGTCAAGGTCACAAACATCCCTGTTGGATGCCTGAGAGCGGTAGAAATGTGATTGTCTCTTATATAATAGCTTTGACGATACCCGAAGGATACATTTTAGTACAACTTTCGATCCACTTCGACTTTACTGCGTGCAAAGATCATGAATAATTCATGATCCATGCTTCATGCTGATAAACAGCAGGCTCAGAGTTTTTAGCTGCGTACAGAAATGTGCGGTCAGTAATGAAGAAAAACTCTGATTTCGTGATTCTTGGGCACTTCCCTGTATACGGTACAAACAGCCAGCATTCTCTGCATTCATAGTAGAACTCTGCATTCAAGTATATCGTTATTTACACCTGTATTTTTAACGAAATACTCATTTTCAATTCAAAATATGACCGGTTGGACCATTTTTGCCGTTCAAAGGAAAGTGCCCTTAGATTGGATTCGCTCAAGATTACAGCAAACACTCGGACGATTTGAGAGGAACTCAGAAACTACTATTATCCGGTTGAGGTCTCTGAAGTATTCGTACAACCGGTGCCTGACTTTCCGTGTTTACTGACAATTCAGCAACCAATGCATGGTGTTTTTTAAACTGTGTAAGGCGTGATCTTGATCTTGATAAAGATGATCTAGAGATCTTTGTTGTTCTCTGCAGCGTTCTACCAGTCATTATGAATCATTTCAGAAATCTGAATAGGTGTCATTTGTTTATTTTGTTCAGCAATGTGGAACTGCTTAGAATATAAAAAGAGCTCGAGGACTCGATTTAAGAGCCTTCATAAGGTGAATACTGACAAAGATCTTTAGTTCCGAGAAATCGGGAAGTCTTCTTTATATTCGAGCAATTGAGACAGCTGATGCAAGGATGTTTAAAAAGGCTGTCATTTGCTTGTATACTTGTGATATACAGTAACTGATTGTATTCAAGACCGGTTTACATAGAATTGTAGTAACTATGTCATCTAAGGAAGGTGTTTTTTACTGATTTATGAATCTGTTTACTAATTACTTGTGAAATTTCATCTTCTCAGGTGTCCGTGTTGATATATCTGTAGCGTTCAAACCAGAGCTCCACGCAGGGAATGATGAAATTTTTGCAAAAGAATTCCTGGCTGCGTTTCCCACGAGACACAATTGCTCCTCTCCACAAAAAGAAACGAAAAAAACACGCACAAACGTTTCGAAAATAAAGACGACAAACCTAACAGAGAAATCGCCAAGACAGGAGCGAAGGAATGCTCGTGAACGTGGTAGAAAAGCGAGATTAAATGCGGCGTTTCAGGTCTTGAGGAGTATGGTGCCTCACAATGCTGATCCTGATCAAGAACAGAGAAAATTAACACAGGTTGAAATTCTAAGATTGGCGAAAAACTATATAAGCTCTCTGACGACCATACTAGAAACTTGCAATGATAACATTGCCTTTTGCAAACATCACGACCGGCAAATATCCGCCACTCGAACAAGTAACTTGTATACAAACTAAATTAGCGTTGGTAGATTTCCTGACAGGAAATTATGGAAGGTGAACTATCAAGTTAAATTACCAAAACGTGAGCGGACTCTGCATGAGCTCTAAGGCTAAGTAACGTGAAGTGATTTCCGTTTAAGATCGTGGCAATTGTACAGTATACTGTTGTATATAGATGTAGAAAAGTGACTAATGTCTAATAATATTTAGTATAATATTACCTCTATGAATATTTTGAGGTATCGCTTAAACAAGGATTGGTATAAGCGGTATAAGCTTTCTGCATCAACTAGTTCATTCACCCGGGTGTCTTTAATCTTGATTTGATTAATTTGTCTGTTAGCTTTTAATTTCATTTTCTTTATATCTTCTAATTTGTTGCATAATTCGTTTCTTATTCAGTTAATTACATTCTAATTAGCGACTTTGTTGCACGAATAAGTTAGCACGAGTCAGATCAATCCAAACGACAAATTAGAATTGACAAAAACATTATACCTCACAGCGAGATTTGAACCACCACAGCGAGATATTTGACCTTTCTATAATATGTTCATTATGGCTCTCATAAATAGACCAATATAGGCAATAATCCTATGATGCTAACAACACCTGTGTCATTATAACGATGCGTTAAGAAATGTAAACATGTTATTATATCATTATTGTATTAATAATACAATTATTGAGCAACCACTTTGGCTAAGATTAAGTACCGTGATGATTGTGAATTGGTTATATTATCAAAGAGGTGATAATAAAATAGGTAGGGTTTTTTTTAGAGCACTTTGAATTGAGCTAACGCCCCACCTTGATGAAAAAAAACTATTCCGTCGTCAGTGATATGAATGAACAATGTTACTCTTAATTAGTTTAGGTTTTCTCCTGTAGACTGTAGTTAGTGTACTGGATCTCAAGGAAGAACAGTTTAGAACTGATAGAGCTATCCAGTATAAATAAAGTTAGTTTAGTTTAGGTTTCCTCCTGTAGTAACACTGGATCAATAAGAGATGATTCTAACTGGACCTCTAGGAAGAACAGTTTAGAACTGATAGAGCTATCCAGTCTAAAAAAATTTAGTTTAGTTTAGGTTCCCTCCTGTAGTAACACTGGATCAATAAGAGATGATCCTTACTGGACCTCTAGAAAGAACAGTTTAGAACTGATAGAGCTATCCAGTGTAAATAAAGTTAGTTTAGTTTAGATTTCCTCCTGTTGTAACACAAATCGTCAAGATAATCCTCCTTGTATAAGCAGTTGAACAGTTTGTGCAGGTGATAATATCTTATTCTTGGATAAAATAGTTTCGTGACACTAAAACTCTGCAACGTGCCGTTAGTAATAACATAATTGCTTTAATCGCAGGAGTAACTCAAGTACACATGCGTCGGAAGTTCATTATCTCGGCAATCAATTGTTTTGAAACTCCTCAATAGAATAATTATTTCCGGACCAACCACTCCCTCATGTTGCAGGAAAACACGTGAGCGCCATTAAATGTATTTCTAATACTAAACGTGGTATAAAAGCCAAGTTTTTACGTGTTTTACGGCTGGACCCACTTGGGTATCCTGTTGCGTCTTTCTTTAAGCGGCAAAAAAAGTCAAACCAGTCATATTTGAATAGAAACTGAGTATAGCGGTGAAACTATCATTGAAACACGCGATGTTCAAGTCATATTAATACAAGAGGAATCTCGTATAAAGGCGGGCGGGAACTGAGTGTTGTTTGTAACGTACTAACGTGCTATCCGGCTCGTAATAGAGCGCTTTGGTTTACCAGCTGTTTTGCGCGGGGAGCTTGTGCGGCCACATTGTGGCGGTTGTGGCCTTGTGGGGGTAACAAACAGGGGCTACCTTGCGTGTGCAGCCTGATTTTCGCGCCCGTCGGGTATGCTGCACTATGCAGGCAAAACTAAATCGGCAGTCTACGAGTTTGTTACGATTGCTTGCCGATTTTAAATTGGATCAAAGATGGCTGAAATATTTTGGCCAGGGAGTGTTCTTTATTATTGTTCGTGCAAACTCGCTTCGCCTTTCACGAGCTTGTACTTTTGTCGTTACTGTATCGAGATACGATGCCAGTTATGTGTTTACACCGAGGTATGTTGTGATCGCTGAGTTTGTATGCATGAAAACGTTAAATGAATATAGCGTTGTCAGCAGCACTGCACTGCTCTGAAAATAATTTTAATATTTCATGTAGCATGATCGTGAACAAGTAATCTTGATTTTGCAAATGACTTGAGTCAAAGGGTATCACTTGACATTGAGTCAAGGGGTATCACTTGCAGATTCACAGGGAAAAAGGGGGTTGTGCATTTTTAGCTAAGACTGGCTGGGAGAGGGCAGGGTAAAATACTCATAGCCAAGAGTACACAGGACTGGAGTGGTCTGAGCATTGGAAATACTCTAGCTAGCTGTTGTCATTTGATATCCCTGTTGGGGCTAGCAAAATGAATTCATGCCACTTGTGTGTATAAGTCAGTTGATGTAGAGGGTGTCTGTGCACTTGCTAATTTACTTGCCTTTGCTTCAAATGATGTTGTCTTGTTTTGACATTTCAACAGACTGATTCATATTTCTGTCCAAATTGTTTGGAAAATATGCCATCAGCTGAAGCAAAACTGAAGAAAAATAGGTATGGTTGATGCATTTGTGCTTTGGAGTTGTTAGAAAAAGGATATTTATCAATTATTGGACAAGGTTGAGCAAAATATCGTGATTTGTCGGTGGCGAGCAGATCAATTATTTGCCGATGCCGAAGGCAGAGGCAAATAATTGATCTGCGAGAACCGAGTTCTATAATTGTTTTATCATTCACCACTCAATTTTCAATTCATTCACCACTCAATTTTCAATTTTGAGTTCGTTTTATCGGACAGTTCGGCAAAGCGAGTCGCCATTGTTTATAAAATTGACATTAATGTGCATGCTCAGAGTATTATTTGCAGCAGAGTATTATTTGCACGCAGTTAACTGCAGGTAAATTAACCAATCAAAATTGAGAATACTATAAAGTGAATGATAATATTATTTATTTGTGTGGTCTTTTAACCTTTTTATTTTCATATCATATGACATTGGTATGATCAAACAACTTGCTGTCATCTAGATGTGCAAATTGTTTTGAATGTCCCTCATGTGGTAATGCTCTGTCTACTCGTGCAACGGCCATTGCAATGCCCTCAGACAATCCTGAGGAGAAAGCAACTGCAAAGAAAGTATTTTACCTGGCATGTGGCTTCTGTCGATGGTCAACTCGTGATGTTGCTATCCCAGACAGGAATAATGGTAAATACATTCATAGCATAGAAAACTACCCCTCTTTAGATCTGGTTCCACTTGCAATTTTTACTGCATTTCTTAGTGTGATTTTCATCTTTTGATTGATGTAAATGAGTGAATAATTAGGAATGGTCTATCTGTAACTTTTCAACCCAATATATGTCTCAATCACATCTATCAAAAGAAGCCTTAATGCATCTTTCAATCAAATAAATGTATTTTAGCAAGCAGTGGATGGCAGGAGCCAGACAATCCAGTGTCAAAAAGAGTAAGATGTTTTCAGTTATTAAACGTGAAATGAATTTTTATGTTTCAGTTCAATATCTTGAAAAGCATATGCAACATTTTAGGTGAACAGCCTGGTGGATTTTTATAAAAAACTGGCAACAAAGGAACAGCAGGATCGTGAAAAATTGAAATTGAAGAAAAAAAGTTATATTCACATCACAGTAGGTGCTTTGGACCTGAGCTGGTGTAGCATTGCTTCTCTCCTTTGCTTTGGACCTGAGAGTGTTTTTTATAGTTTTTATGTAAATTTAACTCCTAGATACTAATATAGATGTAGTGTAAGTTGCCTGGTAAACTCTGTTTAAACCTGTATATATTTTTTTCTAGTCATCTTCAAGTTTTGCAGCAAAGGTGAGTGGTCTGTTGTGTGTTAAGATGCGTATGTTATTCCACACCAGTATTTGAAACATCCCAGTGTTTATTTAGACTGGTAACCTGGGGCTTTTAAAGAAAAGAAGTAGTTTATCTTTGATGAGAAGTCTCTCCCTAAACAGAGGGTTTGTATCAACGTCGTATTTGTCTCAATAAAATCTGAACTGTGTACGAATTTTATACAACGAACCACGCCAGGTCAAATGACAATATTATTTTTAAAACACTTTACATCATTTTTGCTTCCAATCCTTTCTCTTCAATGTCTGTTTCAAACAAAAAAGCTATGCATAATGTAACTTAATATTCTTTCTTCCCCCAGGAACGGTGGTATAGAACAAGAGATTGTGTTTTCCGAGCCTGCCAAAGCAACGGAACAGCCAGCTCGTCAGGACTTGTACACGGAAGTTGTCAAGCTAGAGAAATCATCTTCAATATCTCAAATGGTGGCTCAACCTGACTTCCAAAACGCACAAACCTGGTGAGAGTTCACAACGTTTTTTCACATGCAGATTTGGATTGAAGTCGATTTGAAATATGATATACGAAAGATTTAACGAGTAAAAGTCTAAATATTTGTATTCGTTGTTTATTTCAGTGATTTTTTCCCAAGGCATAAGCACTTAATTGCAAAACGCTCACAAAGATGTAGGGTATGAATTATCCTCTTTGTATGATAAGCTGTTCTACTTCTGTAAAAGATTTAAAGGTTTTTTTGTTTTTTTCTTTCGTAGTTTCTTAAGTTCAGCATATTTTATTTCAGCAATGTGAACACAATGTTGTGAAGCCAGAGTTTAATCCTAGCTCTACAAAGTATAAGATCCAATTTTTTGCTGGGTAAGTATATTAGTCATCACTCGTGCGAATTATAAAAGCCTGAAGTAGTAATCTTTTTAGTCTCATGTAGTAATTTTCCCCATCACAACGTGCCAAGCTTACCCGTCACTATTAAAAAGAAATTCTCGATTCATTTAGAAATTACATCCCGCAGATGCAAATTTCAAAAGCTCCGCCGTTTTCTCATCAGAAGGTAAGTCAAACTGGAAGCTCACATGTGACTGAGGGGAAATTATAATCAGACAACTGCATATTACAGGAATCAAACCTCAGTCATAGAGATGAAAGACACATGTACTAACCATCTCTATCGTTCTTATTTTCAACTAGAAATCTCGAGTGATCCTCTCGCTAAAGAACCCGTTGGACTATCCAGTCAGTGTAATCCTTAAATTAGCCCGGGAGGCTGACTTGGAACAAGAGGAGGTCACGAAGGGGGATTTGAGGGATAACCAGGAGAAAGGTGAACTGGATGAACAGGGAAAAGAAGAGATGAAAAGGGGTAGAAGAGGATCTGATAGTCTATCTGAAAAAGGATTAGCTAAAGTGCCGAAGATTCCTGTGGATAATAGTGGTGATAACGGGATCCTGGAGGATACGGTTGAGGTAAGGGAATCCTGTTGAACAAGGATTATCTAAAATCAAATTGTTAACACGTCTTGAAACATTACTTGTTCATTTCAAGGTCGTCTTGCCATCAGCTCCACTACTTATAGCCGCCAAAGATGACGCAGCGGAATTCGATGAAAGCGAAGTAACGACGACAAAATACGAAGACGATCCGAAGTATGTACATACACCAGGGTAAATGGAACCAGATGAATAGCACTACATTTACTTTGGGTGTTTTTCGTTATCTTCTAGTATTATCGCGTCACGTAAAGCCAATAAAATCTGGTTCTATGTTGATGTTACCCCGCTTAAGACTACCGGAGATGCACAAGTAAAAGATAATTTTAAATTATGACATTTTTATAATTATGATAGTTTAGGTAGTTTCTCTTCATAGATAGTTTCTTTTGTAGTAACACTGAATCAATAAGAGATGATTCTTACTGGACCTCTATAGGAAGAACAGTTTAGAACTGATAGAGCTATCCAGTGTAAATATATTTCGTCTTGTGTGTTTTTAGTTCTCCCTTCTGCTAAACTATGATTATAAAACAATCCCGTCTTCAGCGTCGAAAGTCGGAGCAAAGGAAGGACAAGAGGGGCCGAAGATTGAAACGATCCATCTTGCACATCGAGTGCATTTGACTCTCGGAAAAATATCTGAAAGTGAACAATAAATAGTAGATATTTAGAACTGACAATTTTGAAATATAATTTGTTAATGATATATATATATTTAGCGGCAAGAGGATCAATTGTTCCCGATATTACCGTAAAAAGTTCATTGAGTTTAGTTTAGGTTTCCTCCTGTAGTAACACTGGATCAATAAGTGATGATCCTTACTGGACCTCTAGGAAGAACAGTTTAGAACTGATAGAGTTATCCAGTATAAATAAAGTTAGTTCAGTTTAGGTTTCCTCCTGTAGTAACACTGGATCAATAAGAGATAATCTTTACCGGAAGAACAAGTTTAAAACTTCGATAGAATGTAACAAAAGCGTTCGAAATCGAGGTTCTAATTTAAAGGCCCTGGAAAGAATAACAATTGCGCATGCGCTGTGAAAATATGAGAAAATAAATGTTTGATTTGGTTATTTAAATATGGCATTTGTCGTGAATTTATAAATTGTTTGGCGTTGTTTGGGATGTCAGCTGCCTTTCAATGGCTAATACTATGATTATTATATTTTCGTCTAGTTTTCTGCCTTAGATATCGCCGTAAAACATAACTTTGTAACCATGTTCTACTCGACAATGATTGGAGATACGTCGTTCACTGTATTGAAAAGATACGAAAATTTACAACCAATTGGTTCTGGTGCTCAAGGAATGGTTTGGTAAGCGATCTAGACAAGGAAATATAAACTAACTTGCTAAATCATTGAATGTTTATCCTGCTTCTTTCTAAACACAAATATAGAGCTATGAATCTATGAAGATCGATACATTGTTTAAACTGCTTCTTTGACTACGAAAGTTTATGGGAAAAAGTTCACCAGGAAATTAAAATATAACTCTGATCGGTCCTTATTGCTGATGAAATATAACAGAGATAAAAATTTTTAAGGAATTTTATAATTTCCTCTCAAAATTCATCGTTTATTGGCATTAATTATTTCGTATTTTATACTAGAATGATATAATCATATAATCTGATAAAGTATATCGTGATTCGTGTCTGATATTTAAATGGAGACAAAATTGTTTTGCATTTTTAAGCGGGTAGGACGCTAACACAGGACATTTCATTGTATTTAAAGCATCAGATTCCTGTGAGCAATTAAAAATGAATGACAAAGTGAAAATGTCTCTTTGTTTTGTGATTACTTTGTGGTCATATAAAATTTTGCATGACAAATTATCATTAAAAGTAATTCAGAAGAGACAATTATCTATAAATAGAGCCACTAAACTTAAAAAAAAAGATTTTAGTTCTTCTGCAAATAATGGGTCTGGTACTTTTATGTCCCAAAAATATTCTTCAATGAATGTGATTTGTGTCTGAACTGTGTGAAATCTCTGCAAATATATCTTTTGTTCGGTGTATGTAGTATTCTACAATAAGTTGTTGTTTATGTCTAAACTTCCTAAATCAAGTGTAGTGTAACATATGAAGTGTTTTAGTGTTGAACTGAACTACTGGGAAAAAATATCTCAAATGTGGTGGTCTAGTTGTAGGTGGTATGCTACGTACATTAAGTTGTCTCGTTTATGTCTGAACTACCAGAAAATTATATCCTATTAATTGTGATAGTTTGAAGTACTTGTAAACATGGCTTTTAACAATAAGCTGTTTTGGTTTGTGAGTGGATTATAATAATCATATAATGCTAAAACACAAAGTGAAGTCTTTCAATGCATAAATATTGGAAGATTCACATGACAAAGAAACAAAGGTCAAGTTCAATGCATCTTGCTTGAACTGGTAATTATTATTTAAAGGCATGTACCAGTAAAAAGCTTTGTTTAATTTTTTTGGCATTATACCAAAGTTAGGAGCCACAAGTCATTCATTCACACCCAGTCAGATCAAATTATGCCTCCCATCAATCATACCTGGCTCTTTGTCCTAGTATTAACCTTTAACAACCTTTATTTTTTATGTATTTCCCAGCAATAATGCGATAAATCTCAAATATTTCTAGTTCTGCGCTGGACACAGAAACAGGGGATAAAGTGGCTATCAAGAAGTTAAATCGTCCATTTCAAAATGTCACACATGCTAAGAGGGCATATAGAGAGCTTGTCTTAATGCAGCTTGTCAATCATAAAAATGTAATTTTTTTGCTGAGTAAGGCTGGATTTCCATTGTAGAGAATGCATGGTTTGCTAGCAAAATGTTTTCGTTTCAACAGTATAAATATAGTAATTATAGTTCAACTTGACTGTCCTCAATTGAAAAGAAAATGTGAACATATTTAGCTAGGAGACACTCTCTCTACAAGTGAAAATCCAGCCTAATACTCTATATTTGTATTGGTTATTACAGTGTTCTGTTTATTGAAGTAAAGTTCTCTTGATTTTCTCTATAGATTGTTTCCTTATTGAATGTTTTTACCCCTCAAGATTCTCTGGAGGATTTTACTGATCTGTAAGTTAGTTTGTGCACTGCTCTTTATTATAAAAAACATACTCTAGCCTACAGTTGTCAGACCCTTGGCACTGGATTGAACCATGAATAGAAGAATACAGTAATGAGGTCTGCATGTGCTATTGCTCTTCCCAATAGTTTGCCAAGATTTTCCCAGGTTTTTCTACTCAATAAACAGCCAAATAAAATTGACTGTTCATATGAAAAACTCTCACAATTATTATCGTACCTTTGTAGATATTTAGTTATGGAATTAATGGATGCTAATTTGTGTCAAGTTATCTCAATGGATTTAGACCATGAACGGTTGTCTTATTTACTTTACCAGATGTTGTGTGGAGTAAAGGTACAGTCCATAGTGCACCTATCTTTAACTGAACACTCTGTATTGAAACATGTTCAAATGCTTATTTCATTGTTAATTATCTCAATTTTCTGTTTAGCATCTTCATTCAGCTGGGATTATACACAGAGTATGTTTCAAGACAATATGTCTTATTAAAGTAGACTTCTTTCTGCATTAAACTTTACCATTAAAGATTTATATTTTTTTCTTTTAACAGGATCTAAAACCAAGTAATATTGTAGTAAAATCTGATTGCAGTCTCAAGGTAGGGTATGCCATATGGATACAGGTCACAAACTGTATCTTGCAACAAGATAAGCTAGATATAGTGCATTGTATTTACAAAGTTTCATGTTGTATAAAGCATTATTTTCTCGTTTTAGATTCTTGACTTTGGTTTGGCAAGATCTGCAGGATCTAACTTTATGATGACGCCATATGTTGTGACAAGATATTACCGAGCACCTGAGGTTATCCTGGGGATGGGATACAGTGAGAATGTTGATTGCTGGTCCATTGGGTGTATATTTGGAGAAATGATCCAAGGACAGGTCATGTTTCCTGGTGTTGATCGTATCCTTTGTGTTTAGTTAAACAAATGTCTATCAGTTCTAAACTGTTCTTCCTAGTGGTGCAGTAAGGATCATCTCTTATTGATCCAGTGTTACTACAGTCAGGAGGAAACCTAAACTAAATTAATTTTATTTATACTGGATAGCTCTATCAGTTCTAAATTGTTTTTCCTAGAGGTCCAGTAAGGATCATCTCTTATTGATCCAGTGTTACTACAGTAAGGTTCATTTAGTTATGAAGCGTGATTTCTGGGTTGAAAAGGATTTTTCTTAACTCAGTCATCTCCAGATATCGACCAATGGCATAAGATTACGGAACAACTTGGAACTCCTGAAGAGTTGTTTTTCGAGAAATTACAACCTACGGTACTGCATTCTGTTCAGAAGTCGCCTACATGTTGCTGTCAGCCATTGTTCTGAATTGTTTTACAGGTTTGACTGACGTTTCTCTCGTTCAGGTTCGTATGTATTGCAAAAGCAGACAAAGGCATCGTGGGAAATCCTTTGAAGAACTTTTCCCAGATGAATTGTTTCCCCATGACACTGATCGAGATCATAGGAAGAGTATGTTTACCAAAAACGTTTTATTTTTATTTTTGTAATGAAAAGATTGAAGAAGCGTTGAACTTGGAGCGTTTCTGTTTCTAAAGTATTATTATTATATTTTTCATTCAGCTGTGGATGCCCGCGATTTCTTGACAAAAGTCCTGGTCGTAGATCCATCCAAACGATACTCCGTTGACCAGGCACTGCAGCATCCTTATGTGCATATTTGGTATGACAAGGGAGAAGTTCTTGGGGTACGTTTATACAAAATACTACAGAGATAGCGTGTATACTTGTCTCAGCGAAAAAAGCAAACATTTATGTGTTAAAATGACGATGTTTCAGCCGGCCCCAGAGAAATATGATCACTCCATTGACGAACAGGAACATACAGTTGAAGCTTGGAAGTGTAAGTTAAATTTCCTTGATTTTTTTATTATTTCTTTGTAGTAATTTATTTCATATCATCGCGTTTATTGCAATGGCGAACAGTCCAAATTTTCTCCCGATTTTTGCTATAATTTCATAAACAAAGCCTTTAAAAAATTATTGTTTATCCAGCGATGATTTACGAGAAAGTTGCACAATATCGCTCACAGCACAGCGATGAGGTAATGTCTGCACAAGCGAATGGAGAATCGACGGACTCTGCAAGTCAAGAACCATCTACAGGTTTGTATTTAAGATCTGAAGCTATAACTGTAAAAGTACAAAAATAAACTGAAATAAACACCATGAATTACCAGCAGAAAATTTAATAAACTACAATAAACCATATCTCAAACAACGTCTTGTAAACCCAGGGATTCAGCTTTAAAACAGCAAGTTTCCAATGATATAGATTCAAATATTGGTTTTACAAGATGTTTTGAGCTTTGAAGTGTGTTTTTTCTTGTTAACCAAAGTAAACGAATTTTATTTCCACTATAAATAGCATTAACCTTATTGCAACTGAACCTAACGTTTAAAAATAAGATTTTAACAAAAGATTAAATCGTCGAGTAGGTAGAAAACGGTCAACCCGAAGAAAGAAAGAGCAATCCCACTCAATATCTGCAAGGTAGGTCGCTTAAACTCACGCTAAACTCATTAGTCATTACCGTGTCAAATCCCAAATCTCACTTTAATGAATAAATTTTAACCTTCTTTTCTGTAACTCCTGAATACGGTAAAAATAATTCCACGTCCGAAGTTTAATCGTATAAATTTCATAAAAGATTATGCATTGAGGAACGGTATAAATTAAGGTAACGATTTTAATGAAGCTCTGAAAAATGTCTCGATTATTTTCCATTTATTGACTGGCTGATTTGAGTGAAACGTTTCATTGTTGTTTGTGCTATACTACGGAGAGTTAACTGATAATATCATTAGTTACGTTGTATCTTTCAGAATCCGTCAGATCATAAAAGGCGATGATCATTGAAGACATCAACCTTTCAGCATTTGTCATGGCCTGGAAGCCAATGACATGGAATCGGTGAAGTCGATGCAAAATGATGACTTTATCCAGATAAATAAAAATATTTAATGGCAGGATGTACCAGAAATAGCATATACAAATATGCAAAGAATTGGATTAAGATTATTGGAAAAAATTCTATGGAATATTCTAGGAGAATAGGATGATATGAACTGAATTTGATTATTTGTTTAATATTTTTTTTGAACGTTTTTGGCTTTACGGTCTTTAGTCGTATAATAGACGGGATTTTAGTCAAATATTTTTACGGTTCTAGTACATAATAGTCAACTTCTAGTAGCGAGATATTGTTCAATTTGGATGTATTTGCCGGGGTTCAAGAAACGGTTTATACTGCAAAGAAAGGTAGTATAGTTGACTTTCACCTGTTAATTCTTCTCAAGTTGACAATTATGTGATGATAATTTTGGATTAAAAAACCTGTTTTCATAGGGAATATATTTAAAGCCTTTGCAAATTAATGTAGCTAATAAATACTTTAATTAAACAAAATTAAAATTTTGTTCAAAATCAATATTTGTTGAGGAAGGTTGGGACATGCATGTCGAAGCTCTCGGAAGCTTTCGTCAAAGATTAAAAAATGTTGTTTGTAAAACTTTTGCACAACGCTTTGAAGTACTTTAGGGACCGTCATTATTTATAGAAGGGGGGGGAGAAGAGTTTTCCATTTTGTAGTTTTTGAAATTGAGACTCCCCCCTGCCTCGCAGATATTTAAAACCATGACAATTTCTCTCGGGGTATTAATCTGTACATTCGTCCAATTGGATAATGCTTTTCTTTGCTTTCTCAAGAGCGAAGCTATGCTATTGGTTGAAACACAAATGTATTGTAAGGTTCGGCCAATGAAAATCATTCTTGCCAGGAGCGGCGACATTACATTCACTGTTAAATCTCGATCATTTCATTCTTACACGAGGTTTCACCGAATAGGTGTCATTGAAAGCTGATCTCTCGCTGGCTCAAGTTATTTAATCTTTCGGTGGATTTGAAAAAGAGTAGAAAGTCTGTAAAGTTTGCTTGAGAGTAGCATTTATTCCGGGTTTTTTTATGAATCAATTGCTTATTTAGAGCAAGTTTATTAATCTACGAAGCTATGTCTTCGATATTTTTCACGGTGTGCCCTTTACCTGGCTCAGTAGACCAACTTCAAGAAGGGTAAGAGGATCGTTCTGTTTAATAGAGGATACTCGTGCTCTATTTTTGTTCATTTTCTGTCAAGTGTTCGTGCGAGTTTTGTGCTTTTTATACGCATCTAGACTGTTCATTACTGAGACATATTCTTGCATTTTACTTCAGGTTAAAAGACATCGTGAATCGAAGAAAAGATGGATCCTGCGTGAGGTAAATTCGTATAAAAATTCTCAGCAGATGGCGCCTTGTTGAAGACTGTTTATATATTAGTTTCAAAATGTTTTGAAATTCCGTATTGAAAACGTATTCATACAAGTACAATAGGACTTTTTTACTTGGAGAATTTGTTCTGTACGATTGAGGAATTGCAAAGTAAAACGATGTGTAAATGAAGGGCGAAACTCTAGAAACCTATATTTCGTTCGTCGATGGCTGTGGGAAATAAGTAATTGATCCGATACCAGAGCAGCCAGACTGCAGAATTTGAGGGCAGAAAAGTCAAAATACTTAGGACAAAGCCAAGAAACAGTCAGAAAGGGCACATGGGAACAAACTAAATATGTAGTTGAGTAGGTTCAAATAGACACGATGAAATCCAGAGATTTAGCCCAGGAATGACTTTGCATTTTCTCTTCAGTAATTGACACTTCCTAAAGTTGCTGAAACGTTTGTGTGAAATTATTCAAAGTCCAATGCATGAATTGTGAGGATATCTCAGAATGAAAACATAAAACAAAACTAAAAGTTGGGCAATTATTTTACTAAATCTCCTTTTTCTTGTAGTGTGTTGCCTTATGCTGTGAAGGATTTTGTCCTTGGTCCTAACCATGTGGCATTGTTATTTGAAGTAAGAAAAAACCACATTTATACAAGTTTATACTTGATCCACTTCATCTAACATTTATACATTTTCATATTTCAGAATGGCACAGTTTGTCGACAAAGATTTTCAGCATCACCAGAGCAGGCAGATGCTGTCAGTAAAGAACCCACTCCTGTGTAAGTAATACTCATTATTTATTAACCGAGACATATAATTGATGTGTAAGATACGAGATAGATAATATACTATGATATACAATACTCAAGTCAAAGTTTATCAAAATATTTACTGTAGCTACAAATCACCATCATATCCATTCCTATCACATTGCAATCTTTGTGGAGTTATAAGTATTGTTTTCAATTCCAGGAGTGAAGAATCCAGTTCAGCAAGATCAACCTCTCATGTTGTTTTACATGGTAGTAAGTTAAATGTCACTTTCTGCATTTTTAAAGTTGTAAACATATTTCATATAATGTATTCCATAAATGTGAAAAATGAACAGATATCCTAGATAAATATTCCAGTAACAGATTTATATATATATATATATATATATATATATATATATATATATATATATATATATATATATATATATATATATATATATTATTTCCCCTAACATAGGAGCCATTATAGAATATAAATGGTGAATCCAACTCTTAACACTAGTGCTATGTAGAACTGCCTTGTTTTAAGTTAGCTAATGCATTAATTGAATAAAGCCAGTCGCAGAGCAAGAATAAAGGGTATTTTCAAAGGGATAAAGATGTTCTACACATTACAATTGATCCTGTGACAGATCTTCAAAATATTGCTCTATTTGCCTAGTATTCCATAAGCCCTAAAATGTTTTTGAAGTCACTTGGAAAGGATGTCTGTGTGGACATATTTTAAGCTGTTGTTAGTTATTTGGTTATTCATGAATGTCTTGTTTTGCAGTTGGGGAAAGAAGTCATGGAGAAACCTCCTGGCTGTTGCCATCTGGGGAGTCATTTGCAGCACTATCAGGACATCCTGCTTTGAGGTACATTAATTCAAACTACATTTTGTCTTGTATGTCCCTAGGGGTCTCATGTGGTCACTCGCTGTTCACGTGTTTTTTTAGGTGGAGTTCAAACAATCCAGTTACATTGCGTGCAGGGTGTCGTCTCACCGCGCGTGGTCGAGGTCGCGTTGTGCGTGGTCGTGGACGTGGTGGCGCCTCAGGTTGGCTTACATCACGTAGTGTCATACCTGCATCCGCTGTGCCCGAGGAACTTATTGCACAGGCTCAAGTTGTTCTTCAAGATAAATCACGTGCAGCCATCGTTAGAGAACTGCAAAGAACGGTTAGTTTGGAAGAGGGACATCTTACTCTCAATGATCCTTCATTTACCATCCAATATAACAACACAGAGCAGGATCATTGTCCCTCGATAACTTTGCATTATTAACGGCAACACATTGGATGCGATTTATTTACGTGTTGTATACCAGACAAATATTTATAAGAATAAACTTTCTTTCAGAATTTGGACGTGAACCTTGCAGTGAATAATCTTCTCAGTCGAGACGAGGAGGACGGTGATGATCAAGAAGAAAGCGAATCATACATTCCTGGCGGTAAACCATCTCTCATTTTATCAATTATTGTTGTAGGTGAAACCGTGACAATAACATGAAAATCCTTCGTAGAAACCGGCCTTTACTATTCGTTTATTTTCCAGAAGATCTTTTCTCAATTCTTGAGACTGGTCTTCACCCTGAAGATCCATCCTTCGTCATGGACACCGACGCCATCTTCCCTGAAGATATGTTTTACAGCGGTATTCCACGGCGCATGGGCAATAGAGCCGGTCGTTTCTTTGAGCGGGAATTCGAGAGCGACAGAGACCGGGATCGGGACAGAGAACGAGATTTACTGCGTCGTGAACGATGGTGGAATGGCCTGGGGCTAGCTGAGAACGCCGCTGGCGCTAGGAATAACAACGGCTCACAGGAGACGAGCTCTGCATCAAATCAGGCCAAGAAAGGCAACAAGGAACCTGTGAAATTTCTAGGAGAACTAGAATATTGGCCAGGCGAGGTAGATCACGTAATAATACTCTCCGTCATGACGTAGTTTGCGTGCTTTTGATTGAACTTGCCTTTCCATGACCTACGTCACACAGTGCAGGCTTTTTATAAACGTCTATATGAAGTATCTAACCTGAAGTACTTCATCTTATAGAAACGTTCTACGCCTGTGTTTGTGAAAATAGCTGCAATGCACTCAGAGTTGGTTTGTCTCGATGCTGATGGTAATTTATATCAGTGGAAATGGAATGACTCCGTTCTGACTGCGCAAGAACGTGATTCAAAGATGACTCATCCTAGGATTAAATCTCTTGGTTTGTTAAACGAGAATATTGTTAAATTGTCTGCCTGTTCATCACGGGCCACCGTCGCTACTCTATCAGGAAAGGTAAATATGCATTGTGTCTGAATTACCACCGTGTTTGGAAGAGTCAAACTGAAGGCAATCGTCTCTGACTGAGAGGTGTATAGTTGTAAATGATAGCAATTTTTCTCTTTCTTTCAAGGTCGCGACGTGGTTGGACGAAAGTCTCTCAGCTGTCGCCTCCAAACTGGAGCATCCCGCGAAATTATTCTCAGATTTTGAGAAAGAAAAAATCCAAGAAATCTACACGTGTCCTCTGTACACCTGTATCCAAACTGTCCCAGGAAATCTTTACTGGTGGTAGGTTGCCACTGATAACTAAGACGACTGCAGATATTCTAGGATATTTCAACAGTACAATATATTTCTCTTCCAGGGGCATTTTACCGTCTAATCAACGTCGTAAATTACTAGAAAAGGCAAAATCACGGGCAAAAAAAGATCGTATCGCAGGAGTCTCGGAAATCGTCGTTGGCGCCCAGGTAAAGTTGACAATTTCTTCGGCCAGTTAAACATATTTTAACATTTTGATCTGTTTAAAGCGATTCGTGTGCGTTTTACACATTTAGTGCATGATATGCGTTTCTATTCGAACTATTTTAGGCTTAATAATTTTGTAAGATTTTCGCTGCATCTTCTAGGATACTTGTTGTGTTTGTTTAAAAGATGACTCGTACCGACTTCAATCTTATAAACAAGTGAATTATATTTAGGTTTGCTTAAGAAGCAGTCCGCTCTACAATGCAGGAGCCTTGGCCTTCAATGTTAGCGATGAAACGCCGCGTGTTGGTGAAGTTGTCACTTCGTTGTGGAATTTTGCTGTCAGCAAACTAAGATTTCGCATCGTTTCCTCCGCTGAATCTGAGAAGAAAGAACCGAACGATCCTACGAGTGTTCAACAAGATGACCCAAGCCCCGCTGTTGGAGCGAGTAAGTGACTTAGTTGAACCCTAGTAGACTGTATTTAACCCTAGTAGACTGTATTTAACCTTAGTAGACTGTATTCAACCCTAGTAGACTGTATTTAACCCTAGTAGACTTTATTTAACCCTAGTAGACTGTATTTAACCCTAGTAGACTGTATTTAACCCTAGTAGACTGTATTTAACCCTGGTAGACTGTATTTAACCCTAGTAGACTGTATTTAACCCTAGTGTAGACTGTATTTACCCCTGATAGACTGTATGGTACTTTTCATGTTTCATTAACTATATCGTTTGTCTTTAGAGCGTAAGGCGGGAAATGAAAGCGAGGGGTCGAGCATGGAAGAGGAGTGGGATCTAAAGGACGTTGTCTTTGTTGAAGACAAGCCAAATTCATGCATCGGCGTTGTAATGCAGGTAGAGACTAGATTTTGAATTAGAAGTGAAAATAGTGGAATTATTTAGTTTTAGTTTTAACGTTATTGAATATTCGCGATGCAGGTCGATGGTTTGTATGCTGCCGTGCTGTTTCCCTCCAAAGAGCAACCTCCAGTGTCCCCATCTTCTCATGATGATCCCATGTCGCTATTCAAGAAGTGCCGTCTCGTACGCAAGGATGAGCTCCAGGTATGTTGAGGAAGCAGGTTTTGATGAATGTTAAATGAAATATCCAGCAACTGGTGATGTCGCCAGATGTCGTATATGACCTATATCGTTTAATACCATTCGATTAGATCTAAATGATTAAATTAAAAAGAAAGCCTGACTATCTGCGATTCTTTTGATAGGTTCTGAAGTCAAGTACGAACCATAAAGTCCCCGATTGTGTCCAGAAGTCCCCCAAAGCTCTTGTCATCCCATCTGGGACCACACCAATTACAATAGCTGTTGCCAATGACGGTGAGTGAATCCCGAAGCTAAACTAACTTTTCCCACTCTGAATTGTGAAGGGAATCTAAACCAAACTACAGTTCTATCAGTTCTTCACGTTCTCGTGGAAAATCTGAACCATTTCTTCCCTGTTCTCGTTATTATTTTCTCGTATTTATTATAACTTCAATTCGTTGCAGGTGTCCATGCTGTATTAAAACGAGGCAATAAAATCTCGTACGCGTTGTTCAATCTGGCTAATGGCAGGCCAGAACCAGGAGGAGTGTTTCCTGCAGAGACAGCTTCGTTTCTTGCCAAGATCCCCACTGTCCCACTTCAGTTAAATCGTTCTGTTGTGGTGAGTTAAGACTTCCTTGTTAGACCTCACCACCATCAAGACCAGGAAGACCTCGAACCTTATCCTAACATCTTCACAAGAGTAATATTATTTCTTCACTACACAGGGTCCTGTGATGGTGCTTCAAGACTCAACAGGAGGGTTGATTCCTCTTGCTAAGGACAGTTTAGGAGGCGTGAAAGAACCTCAATGGCTGGTACAGTAACTAACGTTTCTCACTCAATGGTATTTTTACAAATGGAGTTTGAATGATTATCAATTTAATCCTCTTATATCTTGTTTGTTTTTCCAGGGACTACCTCCAGTGCGCATTCTGCGTATCGCTGTGACGTCCAGTAAAAACAACAAAAAGCTTGCAGTGGTTGCTTTATCGTTGCCGGTATGAATCCTGTTAGATATTAACACCTTTCGTGTAACGTCAGAACCCTTGTCTCTGCTGTAGCGAGTCCTTACTAACGTATCTGAAACGCTTCTCTTTCAGAAACAAAAATTGATTTCAGAAGTGATTGATCTCAACGAATCAGCAGTGATGGAAATCGTGGAGTTTCTTGCACAGAAATGTCGTAAGTTATTTAATGCTGTATACACTTTGCAGTTCTTGTCACCAAACCGTAGTTGCATGTTAATAAATACTTCAGATAGACTAAACCATGGATAGATTAAACCATTAAGAAAGTTAGTTTGTATAGCTTTGGTTTTATCCTGCAGTATGTACATAACTGGATCTATGTTTTCGATAATAAGCTCATTTATAAAATTTGTTTTATTTGGTCAGCTGAAAAAATTCCCGAGGTCCTGAAAGAGACTTGTGATGGCAACAGAAACATTCTTCATATCTGCGTATCTCACGGAGCACCGTCTGAAACCCGGGAAGGAGCGAGTCGTTCAACCACAACCACAACTCCAGGCGCTTCAGGCTCCAGCGCTGGTAGCAGTCGAAGCATCAGCATACGAGAAATGATGCAGAAAGCAGTAATGGCAGCTAGAGCTGCTAGTCTGGATGTCGATGAAGACGCTCCTATACCAACCTTACACTGGCCTCCTGATCCACCTAGTAACACAACTACATCAAGTACCGCAAGTACCTCAAGCACAACAACCGCTGCTCCTACCACTGCTGGCACTACCTCCGAAGAAACTGTTTCCACAGTAACAGGTATTTGATAAATGTGGTGTATCTATAAAAGTCAAAGTGACTGGATGAAAATATGTCTTCTCTTTTCAGTTCCATCCTGCCCACCTGAAGAGGATAAGCAGACAAAAGCTCTTAGAATATTAAAACTCTTTTGCAACAACGAGAAATTCAAGCCTCATTTACAGTCATTACTCGCAGCCAAGTGAGTCCATGATATCAAGCATTATCTGTTCTTATCACAAGTTGTCCCCCAAAAAACCTGAACCTATCCGCCCCATTATGAGTCCATAAGTATCAAGCTTTATCAATCTTTATCCCATGATGTCCCCCCAAAGAAGCATAACCTATCTTCATATAAGTCCCTGAGTGTCAAGTGTAATCAATTATTATCCCAAGATATCCCATAAGAGCCCCCAAATCTATTTCCCCGTATTATCATTCCAGTATCGTTGGCTTCTAGTAACTTTGTTTCTTTGTAGGAATGCGGACGGTTTTACTCCGTTCATGTTGGCGGTGTGCCGTCGTGCCTACCCCTCCGCTCTCTTCCTCTTCGACATTGCTCAAGAGTTTGCTACTAACCCTGAGACGAAACTTGTGAATCAGGATCATCTCATGACCATGATTTGTCCCGCTGACACCTCCGCCATGTCGTCGCCGCTGTATCTGTTATGTTGTAATGACACGTGTTCGTTCACGTGGACTGGAACGAAGCACATCAGGCAAAATATATTTGAATGCAGAACCTGTGGTCTCACTGGGACTTTGTGTTGCTGTACAGAATGTGCGAGAGTTTGTCATCGTGGTCATGATTGCAAGTATGTCTGTTCTTCCATTAAAAATCATCTCTTATTGATCTAGTGTTACTGCAGGAGGAAACCTAAACTAAACTGCTTCTCTGCTTGATATATGAATTATAACTCAGTCACAGTAATAACAGACACATGCTAATTTCTGAATGCTAATTTCAGAATCAAGAAAAAGCCACCCATCGCTTACTGCGATTGTTGGAGAAAATGCAAGTGTAAAGCGCTGCTTCCTGGGAGTGGAGAGGCAAGAACAGAACTATTGAAAAAGTTGGTCTCAGAAACAGATCTCATAACTATGCCAAATGGAAAGTAAGCAACATTTCACTCTCACCAATATTTTCTTCGGCTTGAGTGATGTGTTTGCCTAGAGTTTGCCTTTGATGTACATATGATGTTCATTTTTAGAGGCGAGCACATCTTGCTGTTCTTAGTTCAAACAGTATCGCGTCAGATCACAGAGCAACGGGCGTATATTCCGAAGGGTGTCGACTGTCATCCGAGCAAAAGACGGGCCCAAGCCGCGGCCGCCGCCGCTGCTTCTGTCGCAAAAGGCGACACGAATTTCCCTGATCACGACCTCGAACCGCCAAAGTTTGCTTGTCATGCACTTGAGTTGATAATGAATGAATGGAAGGCGATTAAAAACATGGTCTTGAGTGGATCAAAATCTACTGAAACGTAAGACTGCTCGTGTGAACTAAACTAACTTTATTTATACTGGATAGCTCTATCAGTTCTAAACTGTTCTTCCCAGAGGTCCAGTAAGAATCATCTCTTATTGATCTAGTGTTACTACAGGAGGAAACCTAAACTAAACTAACTTTATTTATAATGGAAAGCTCTATCAGTTTTAAACTGTTCTTCCTAGAGGTCCAGTAAGGATCATCTCTTATTGATCCAGTGTTACTACAGGAGGAAACCTAAACTAAACAAACTTAAAGCTATTCCTCATAACTAATTACAATGTTTTCTTTTCAGCAATGGTCTTCCTGATCTGATCCAAATGGAGAATCTGGCTCACTCCATGTTAACTTCTCAAGAACAACAACAATATCTGAACAATCAAGATGGAACGACTCGTCTGGACAGCTTCACTTATTGTCTAATAAGTAAATGTCCCGCTGATGTGAGTAGGCAATTTAGTGACTTCTGGGAAAAGTTAGATTAATAGGGACGATTCTTAATGCTAATCACTCTGAGGTAAAATCACTTTGACTAGATATAATGTTCCTTTTCTTTAGATTGTGGACTTGTTTGTCAAGTCATTGACCTGTGCTCTCGCAGCAACTGAAAATGGCGATGAAGCTGTGATGGTTGCCAAAAGATTTGTTCGTTCCGTTGCTAGAGTGATGATCGTTTTGTCGTCAGAAAAAACACCATCTGTAGCTAAAAAGAAACTGTATGTACAGCAAGTCCTGTTACTATGTTTGCATAAGATATGTCAGTGTAAAATTTGTCCTATGATTCAATATACGAATATTTTTCTACATATAGGTTGGCTTTCGAGCAGATGAGCAAATGTCGCAAGGTCTTTCAATCCATGGTGACGATTGCGATCCCAGAACTCCTCAATATGGCAAACTCTCTAATTGCGCCCGTGCGCCTGGGTGTGTGCCGACCAGCGGGTCCATTCTCGTACTTAACCTCCGACAACACGACGAGCAACGACGAACCTTCAATCGGGGAAGAGTTATTTAACATCGAGCCCTTACGTCGTCGGCCATCTACGCCGTCTTCCGAGCCCACGCGGGTGCCGCGAAATCGTCTCGATTCTGACCTGATACCAGATTCGCAAGTAGAGCAGTTGGAGGTTGCCGATCCACAACTGTCGGGGGATGTCGGGGAACTGCATGACATAGAGGTATGTTTACGGTTTATTGGGACCTCTGTGACTGAGGTTTGATTCCTGTAGTATGCAGTTGTCTGATTATAATTTCACCTCAGTCACATGTGAGAAGAATGCTTCCAGTTTGACTCTACCAAACACAGTGGTTAGTACATGTGTCTTTCATCTCTGTGACTGAGGTTTGATTCCTGTAATATGCAGTTGTCTGATTATAATTTCACCTCAGTCACATACAAATGATTTAAATTAAAATAAATTTCTATAGGTTGTTGACGGCGCTGAGATGCAGGCTCTTGTATCTGACTCTGGGATAGACTTACTAAACAATGCCAATCAACGGGAAGACGTAGAAGGAATGGATACGAGTCAAGACAACCCCACTGACCAGCGTAATTCTTCTGAGCCTGCGCAAACTACTCGTAGATTTAACCCTGGTATTGCTCGCGCACGTAGAATACGGCGGTCCACTGGACAGGAGCCTGAGAATGGTAACGAGTCAGATATGGACTTGGAACTTTTGGCGGAGAGCGAGAGCGACAGTGATGAGGAAGCAGCCCCTCCCGGCGAAGACCGTGCTAGATGTTTAACGACGGAGGGTTTCGACCGCCCAAATGAAGCTTGTGTCGTTTCTCGTCACGTGCTATATTCAGATGATGATTCGTCATCGGGTGATGATGATGTTGTGGAAAGTGAAATGGATCAAGTGGAAGATGACGAGGAAGTCGGTGAAGAAGGAGGTGGAAGAGATGAGAATGAAAATAATGCCGGAACAAGAGTACCGAATGTCCAGAGAGTTGGTTAGTTTAATTGTAGTTTCATTTGGTAGTTAATAGTGCGTCTTGCGTCCTGAGATAACCTGATTGATGTGGTTCTTACTAGGCTTCTAGTTTGGCACTTATTAAGCCCAGTTAGGACCACCTCTATCAGCTTATCGTAGGACCCAAGAAGGAAGTTTTATATTGGAGCAATCCAGTCTTATTTTAGATTATTGTCTGCTTAGGTCGTGAAGGCAATACCACACCACATGCTATGCACTGGGCTCTCTCTAACTCAATCATGCCTGGAGTGACAGTCAGCTCTACATCCGGGCTTTCTGCCGCAGTGCTTTATGGTGAGCTTGCTCAAGGTATCGCTGGCAGTGTGAGCGCTGCTGCGGCAACTTCCAGTGTCACGTCAGCGGCATCTGCGTCTGATTCATCCAGTGCTATAGCGCGGTCTCATTACAGTGCATTGAATTCTGCCAGTGCCTTGGCGAGGTTGTTTGCAATACTAGTTCGTGAGGTAAGTTTGATCATTATTTGTTAAATTATAGCTTAGGTTTCCTGCTGTAGTAACACTGGATCAATAAGAGATGATCCTTACTGGACCTCTAGGAAGAACAGTTTAGAACTGATAGAGCTATCCAGTATAAATAAAGTTAGTTTAGTTTAGGTTTCCTCCTGTAGTAACACTGGATCAATAAGAGATGATCCTTACTGGACCTCAAGGAAGAACAGTTTAGAACTGATGGAGCTATCCAGTATAAATAAAGTTAGTTTAGTTTAGGTTTACTCCTGTAGTAACACTGGATCAATAAGAGATGATCCTTACTGGACCTCTAGGAAGAACTCTAGTTTAGAACTGCTTGATATAAACTAAGTTTCTTTGAATACTGTACATGCTACAGTCTGATAGACTCTTGATTTATTTATTTAGATCACAGATCTCGTAATAGGAGCATACAGGAGTCTGAAGTTGTCAGAACTTCACTCTCTCTGCATTTTGGTCGACAGAGAGTTCCAGGGTACTTGGGAATGGTTGTGGACAATAATGGAGTGCACAGAAAGTCAACTACGGTTCGGGACATCCCTATCTGCTGCCTCGGATCTCTCACATTCGGGACATCCGTTGAACGAGGGTCAGGGTAAAAAGGATAAACGTAGTACTGAACAAGGGATCTCTGTGGATAAGAAAGCAAGGTTGGTGATAAAATGACATCTCATCAAACAACTCTGCATCCACTAAAGTCATTCTGTATCCATAAAAATTCCTTCACATCAATGAAAGTCCCTCTATATCTATGAAAGTTGCGCTACGCCATATAACTATTGCTAACCAACATTGATATTTTCCTAGACGACATGGTATCCACACCAGTGATGTTGCCAGACAAGACTTCCTCAACTACGTTCTCTCGCTGATCAGAGGCAGTAAAAATGAGCACGCGGACTCTCTTCCCAAGGTCGATGTTGCTTCGTTACGTCATGTTGCATTTGTTTTAGATGCCTTGATTTACTACTTACGTAATAATCCTGCTGGCAGCATGAGTAAGTAAACCAGTATGACCATCGTTAACCAAAAGCATCACCATCTAACCGTAACTATCACCATTTAACCATCAACATTACCATCTATCATTAGGCTCACCATGTGATTATCCCACCACCATCCAACCATCAATATCTGACCCTCGATACCACCATCTGACCCTCGATATCACCATCTGACCCTCAATACCACCCATGATCTAGCCATTGTTATCACCGTCTATCCATCGGCTTCATCATCTCACCTTTATTCTCTTACCAGATTTGAGTAAACGAGTACGCTTTGACGTTTTCGATGACATCGCTACAGATGACGAAGGTGCTGCTGACATTGAGGACGAAGATGAGGATACTGACGTCATCGATGACGACGCAGTGTCACGTGATCTGCGACGATTCTTCCGTCGAAGTGATTCGACAACTGTCCTTGGCTGTGAGCCCCCAGAACCTCTTCACACCCCTCTCTGTGAATCGTTACCTCTGGCAGAAAAACCTCATTTGCTCAACAGAAATGCTCGTCGTGAGCAACTGTTTGGAGCTGTGCAGGAACCGTCGTTTGCCGAGGGACAACACGGCAGCCATTCCAAGACACTGGGACTCCAGTTTAACAAAGGTACACACGTAACGGATGATATTGTAAACAAGCCGATGAGATTTTATCCTAAAATGTCATTTTTTCTGCGATATTTTTCTTCTAGATGCATCAACAAGCTTGTCAGCTCAAGCGGAGGCAAAAGCGAGCGAAAACTGGTCATCAGATTTCGGAATCATCGGCATGCTGCCTGCAAATTTCCTGCTAGGTCGCTGGAGATTGTGTCTGGAGTTGTTTGGCCGTTTTTTCCTGGAGGATGTTGGCGCCGAACCATCGTCTGTCCTGAACGAACTTGGAAGATTTGATGTGAAAGAAATCTCTTTTAGACGTGAAATGGATCGTCTAAAAAATACCAGCCAGAGAGATCTTGCACTAGAGGTAAGCTGTCGTGCCCTGATACGACTCCGGTGTTTGAACTAATATTACTGAGCTTAAGCAAGTGACGTTTTTGACAACACGTACGTTGACCGGAAGTAAAGTTTTTATTTTTCACCAATCACAATCCTTGACCCAGTCTTTTGGCGTTACTCATGCCGTTTGTGTTGTCAAAAACGTCGCTTGCTTAAGCTCACTATTGTGATGGTGCTACTCCAACCAACCATGCAAGCTGAAAAAGCTGTTCGAACCGTAGCGTCTTGATCTTGTAACTCAGTTGGCACCATCACAATATTATTGCTTGTCTGTGTTTACACTCAATGCTTTTTTCTTGAAGCTGGAACGTGGTCACGATCAGTTGATACGACAAACCATTCGTCAGCTCAATACTTACTTCGGTCGACGCCCAGCAACATGTAAACCTTCCGTCATACATCGTGTTAAAGTCACCTTCAAGAATGAGCCTGGTGAAGGAAGTGGCGTTACAAGAAGCTTCTTTACCGCTATTGGTAATGCTTTTATGGCCGCAGATAAACTGCCGAATTTGGAAAATTTAGCAGCTCCTTCTGCCAGTAAGTTGATGTTTTCGTTGATATAATTTTCTGCTGGATAACTCTATCAGTTCTAAACTGTTCTTCCTAGAGGTCCAGTAAGGATCATCTCTTATTGATCCAGTGTTACTACAGGAGGAAACCTAAACTAAACTAACTTTATTTATACTGGGTAGCTCTATCAGTTCTAAACTGTTCTTCCTAGAGGTCCAGTAAGGATCATCTCTTATTGATCCAGTGTTACTACAGGAGGAAACCTAAACTAAACTAACTTTATTTATACTGGATAGCTTTATCAGTTCTAAACTGTTCTTCCTAGAGGTCCAGTAAGGATCATCTCTTATTGATCCAGTGTTACTACAGGAGGAAACCTAAACTAAACTAACTTTACTTATACTGGATAGCTCTATCAGTTCTAAACTGTTCTTCCTAGAGGTCCAGTAAGGATCATCTCTTTTTGATCCAGTGTTACTACAAGAGGAAAACTAAACTAAACTAATTTTATTTATACTGGATAGCTCTATCAGTTCTAAACTGTTCTTCCTAGAGATCCAGTAAGGATCATCTCTTATTGATCCAGTGTTACTTTATTTATACTCCTGTACATGTATCGGAATATGGCCGTCAGGATAAATAACATTCCGTTCTCTCATTTAAAGGTTCATCAATTATGCAGAAGCTTCGTGCTCAAGAACGTGAACGTGAGCGAAGGAGAACGTTTCGTGCTCGTAAAGATCGTGCGCGTGACCATCAAGAGAGTCATCAACAACTCAATCCGGAAGCCAGACCTTTCTTCCTTAATCGCAGTGATAGCGCCGACAGTGATGATGCAGAGGGAGACGCCCTACCCTCACATCGACAGTCAATCGGCGAGAGACTCTTCCCTCGAGTACAGTCCATGCATGCGGTAAGTCTTGGGATACCAACGCTGATGAACATCAGAGGTTCACAGAGCTCCAGTATCGCTGTGTGTTCACAGTGGTTCAAAGAGCTCCAGTATCGCTGTGTGTTCACAGAGGTTCACAGAGCTCCAGCTTCGCTGTGTGTTCACAGAGGTTCACAGAGCTCCAGTATAGCTGTGTGTTCACAGAGGTTCACAGAGCTCCAGCATCGCTGTGTGTTTACAGAGGTTCACAGAGCTCCAGTATCGCTGTGTGTTCACAGAGGTTCACAGAGCTCCAGTATCGCTGTGTGTTCACAGAGGTTCAAAGAGCTCCAGTATCGCTGTGTGTTCACAGAGGTTCACAGAGCTCCAGTATCGCTGTGTGTTCACAGAGGTCCACAGAGCTCCAGTATCGCTGTGTGTTCACAGAGGTTCACAGAGCTCCAGTATCGCTGTGTGTTCACAGAGGTTCACAGAGCTCCAGTATCACTGTTTGTTCTCTTTATTATCAACCTGGACACACGTGAACTAACAACTGACTTCGTACTTCAGCCGTTTGCAAGCAAGATCACAGGAATGTTGCTAGAGCTGTCACCTTCACAACTTCTGTTGTTGTTGGCGAGCGAGGAAACCCTGAGGACGAGAGTTGACGAAGCTGTTGAACTGTTGCTGAAGAGAAATAGGTGAGTTTGTCGATCGCTTTGAATTGTCTTGAATGTCTTCCACGCCGGGAGGCCTGCAAGATTAATACCATTCATTCAGAGAAAACCTGTCATGTTTGACATAATGTAATCTTCTCACGTGTGACTGGGGTAAAGAAATATTCCGAGAACTGCATATTACAAGAAAACTAAACACTCTTCGGTCACTTTGTTGCAGTCGCATCATTTCGTTTCTCGTTCTTTCTTATCAGAGAAACGAGCAAAGATGAGGTTGATGTAACCGCTCCTTCAAGTTCAACGACACCTGCAGCCAACTCCGCACCAGACGCCCCACCGGCCGTAGAAGACAACGCGGCTTTATTCTATCAACCTGGTCACTCTGGTTTCTACTCCCCCCGGCCAGGGAACAACTCACCCGAGCGATTAAATGCTTTCAGAAATGTCGGAAGGTAACCTGCGTTTTTTAACTTTGGGAACATTTCCAGCGTGGTCTAGTTTTTGGTGTAATCCACATTGGAATTTGAAGTGAATGCGAAAACTTTACGGTTGTTTTTCTGCCGTCCTAGGGTGATCGGTCTATGTCTGGTACAAAATGAAATTTGTCCAATCACGTTAAGTCGTCATGTGATCAAATTCTTGCTGGCGCGTGAGGTAAGAGTCTGAAAGCTGGACAGTTGTGCCCCGGATAGTTAGGGCGGTTCCCTAACGGCCAGAGTCCGGTCCTGTTAAATTTCGTTACAGGCAGATTGCTGCATGGTATTTCAGAGTGTTTCAAGAACTCTGCATTCACGTATATCGTTATTTACATCTGCCTAGCACGGGAAATACAGTTTCACTGCTATATTTTTATTGAAACACTCTATTTCAATTCAAAATAAGACCAGTCTGACCATTTTGACCGCATAACGGAAGCAGCCTAAGTTTGTTCAAAGGCGTGAGGTTTATTTACTGAGGACATTGCTACCTTACAGATTGGCTGGCATGATTTTGCCTTCTTTGATCCGACGATGTACGAGACGCTTCGGAAGTTAATCGTGGACGCCGAGCTTCCGAACGCAACCGAGATGTTCTCGACGTTAGATCTGACATTCAGTGTTGAGTTGAGCCCTGACGAGGGAGGAAAGCGAGTTGACCTGATCGCAGGTGGCCAGGAGTTGCCTGTCAATCCAACGAACGTACGTGCTTATGCCAGAAAATATGCCATGCAGAGGATGGAACTCTGTGCTAAGAAAGCCTTGAAGGTGAGATGATCGGTAGATCTTAACTGGATGCATTTTACTCACACATGATTTCACCATGACGTATTTCTTTCTTAGGCAATGCGTGCTGGTTTGTTGGACACAATTCCTGCCAGTTCATTGGATGGATTGACGGCTGAAGATTTTCGTTTGTTGCTTAACGGTACTGGCGAGGTGAATATTCATCAGCTCATGGATTATACTTCATTTAACGACGAATCTGGAGGTATGTCTTGTACAAAATAACAATTTCTCTTTTTGTGTGTTTCTCTCTTCTCACAAGATCTATTTTAGGTGCGGGATCAGAAAAGCTTCTCAAATTCAAAAAATGGTTTTGGTCAATACTAGAAAAGATGCCAATGACCCAAAGACAGGATTTGGTAAGTTTCTCTTGTGCTCCTCCATTTTAGTTTAGGTTTCTTCCTGTAGTAACACTGGATCAATAAGAGATGATTCTTACTAGACCTCTAGGAAGAACAGTTTAGAACTGATAGAGTTATCCAGTATAAATAAAGTTAGTTTAGTTTAGGTTTGCTCCTGTAGTAACACTGGATCAATAAGAGATGATTCTTACTAGACCTCTAGGAAGAACAGTTTAGAACTGATAGAGTTATCCAGTATAAATAAAGTTAGTTTAGTTAAGGTTTCCTCGTGTAGTAACACTAGATCAATAAGAGATGACCCTTACTGGAGCTCTAGGAAGAACAGTTTAGAACTGATAGAGCTATCCAGTATAAATAAAGTTAGTTTAGTTTAGGTTTCCTTCTGTAGTAACACTGGATCAATAAGAGATGATCCTTACTGGAGCTCTAGGAAGAACAGTTTAGAACTGATAGAGCTTTTCAATCAAATCATGACCTTGTCTTTCTTAGATGTACTTCTGGACATCCAGTCCGTCGTTACCGGCCAGTGAGGAAGGATTTCAACCTAAGCCATCGGTTACCGTCAAGCCTGCCAACGACCAGCAACTACCAACAGCCAACACTTGTATATCTCGTCTGTATATTCCTCTCTATTCCTCAAAACTTATCCTGAAGAACAAGCTTCTTATGGCAATAAAAACGAAGACATTTGGATTTGTATGAAAAGTATGAAAACAGTACATCTATTGCCATAAAAATTGTGTTGATAAACCCTTTTCTTTATGTTTATGTTATGGTTTTGAAGTATTCGTATATGAGAATAGGATTAAGTAAATAAATAATTGTACTCGTTCACTGCAAGAAATGGATGGTGGTGACGTGTGTGGTGTGATTCAACACGCGTGTTCAGTCGCGCGTGTTGAATCGCGCGTGTTTAGCATGTATTGTTCACGTGCTCTTTTTAATTATTGTTTTGTTGATGTTGTGTTTATCGTTTGTTGAAAATGATGTTGTGTTTACGTTTGCTGTCTGCTAGTTCCTGCTCTAAGAAACAGGTCTGGTTAAAGTATCGAGTAATCTAATAAAATTGAGTTTATGCGTAAGAAAATACGTCCATTTTTATGTAAAGAAGTGTCTAGTTTTCAACCGAAAATGACTTCAACGTGTCGGGTGGATATTCCCATGTACTCCAGCGATTGTTTGAAAGCGATGAACGAGATGAGAACGAAAGCCCAACTCTGTGATGTAGTTTTACGAGTGGATCGCTGTGAGTTCCCTGCTCATCGTATTGTCCTTGCTGGTGCCAGTCGTTACCTTCATGCAATGTTTACGAATGGCATGTTAGAGAGTGGTAAAACCAAAATAGATTTAGGCGGAATTGATCCACAGACGATGGCCATGTTATTAGAGTTTGTTTACACGGGATCTGTCGAGTTAACTACAGCGAATGTTCAACAGTTATACGCTGGGGCTTCAATGCTTCATCTCACAAGCCTTGCTAAGTCTTGTTCAAATTTCCTCGAAGCTCATATCGACTTCTCAAACTGTATAGGCGTTCGTGCATTTGCAGACCTATATTCATGTAAAAGTCTTGAGCGTTTTGCGTTTACGTATATCTGTGAACATTTTCTTGAAGTCGTACAAAGTGACGAGTTCTTGGAATTAAACAAGGATGATCTTATTGACTTGTTGAAATGCAACTCCTTGCAGGTTTACTCAGAAGACGAGATTTTCAACGCTGTTGAGTTGTGGATTTCTCACAGCTACGAGCAACGACAGGCGTGTGCCTCTGAAGTTTTGCAACACGTACGGTTACCTTTGATCTCTTTGGAGTTTCTGGAAACGAGAGTTGTGCCAGCTAGCTTTGTCAAGAATGATAGCAAATGTCAAATGCTTCTTGCAACTGCTCTGAATGACCATGAAAGCAATTTACCAGCGTATATGTTTCTACCAAGAGCTCAGCCACACACTCTATTTGCAGTTGGTGGTCGCAACAGTAATTCATGTCAGTTGTCAAGCGTAGAACAGTTTGATGTTGCTGCAAACAAGTGGTTGACGTTAGAGCCAATGAAATGTGCTCGAACAGCTGTTGGTGCTTGTTCTTATAATGGACAACTGTACGTGATTGGTGGGGAATGTGCAAATGGTCCAGGGAACAATCATGGTGACACAACCTACAAGAAGACTGTTGAAGTTTTTAATCCCAGAGAGCAAACTTGGCATAAGTCTGCTGATCTAACAATTGCTCGGTCGTTTATCTCAGTTGTGTCACTTGAAGGTTATGTGTACGCCTTGGGTGGGGAGGATAGATTGTGTTCTTACAACTTTGTTGAGAAATACGACCCTAACAGAGACTTCTGGATGCCAGTACAGAGCATGAAGAGACGAAGATCTGGTGCAGGTGCAGCAGTGTGTAATGGTAAGTTTTAAATGTCATTTCTTATGGCGAACAATTTCAATTAATTGCAATTAATAATTACTTCTTTAGGCCTTCTCTATGTTGCTGGTGGTTACGATAGAGGTATAGGCGCCGACCGTGCATCAGTCGAATGTTATGACCCAAAGTTGGATCAATGGACATTTGTCACAGAACTTGAGAAGGCAAGGTCAGGTCTTGGACTTGTGTCTTTGAATGGCTGCATTTATGCAGTTGGTGGTCGAAACAGAAGCACAGACTCCTACTTTGATCTTGTGGAGAGATTTGATACCCAGACGCATCATTGGTCGCCAGTTGCCCCAATGAACAGTCCACGTGCGTGGGCAGCCGTGGTTGTTTACAAGGAGAATATTTTTGCCATTGGTGGATTTGATGGAGCGAACCGTTTGAACACAGTTGAAATGTATGACTCCGTTAAGAACGTTTGGACAAATGTTGAGGGTTTGAATGTAAACCGAGCAGGGTGTGGTGCTGCAATACTGTGACAGTTGAAGATGGTGTTTTTATTCCACCATGACAGAATAAATGAAGGTCACATTTTAGTAATGTAGTTGAAGGATGTCTGGTTTTTAAACTGTAGCTAACTCAAACTAAGCACAATTATTTTACAAAATTGTTTTAATAAATCCTTCTAAAACTGCTGTCACAATGCATATATGCTCGCATTCAAATACTCCTGTTGCTTCGGATTCACAGTTGCCAAAACAACCAACATATTTTACAATAATTTTAACTATCTACCTACTGGCTTGACCACAACAACCTTGCAGCTGCATGTTTAACACAACACATACATGTGCAATTAAATAGGATTAAATCACCAATTGTTTAGACATTCAGAGGCAAGCAATATATATACAATGACTAAATGCTTGCTCTTGAAATCTACCATGATAAACACATCCAGATGGGACCATTGATCTTGTTTTATATTGGTGAAAGGCGATCTCTTTCGCTTTTTGGCAGGTCTGGATGCCAGAAATCGACAATCAGTATCATTCGTAAACTTGTTCCGTTATGCCAAACCTCGTGCTCTATTGAGTCGTCAATGATAATAAACTTTCCTTCTTTCCACGAGCTATATGTGAAGAATAATTGCGAAAAATTTTCAGGTAATTTGAATTTTGATGAAAACACAGCCAAGTGTAAATTGACCCTGAAATTTGCCCACCTTGTTGTTTGATTCACTCTTATATAGACACCGTCAGGGATGACCAAACCTAAATGACCTCGAATACGGCAGTTGGTTGGACCACAATGTGCCCAGACGTGGGTATCAGGCTTCATCACTGAATATTTGACCTAGAAAACAGGTTTAGTGTAGAATTAATCTAGATCTATCTACCAGCATGCTGTGTTTCTTTCTGTTTCTCCCTGTAGCAACACAAGTTCAGAAAGACATGATCCATAGTGGACCTCTAGGAAGAACTGAGTCTACAACTGATAAAACACCTGTCCTCGTTTGCACTTAGCTGCTTCAGGAATTTGCTCAATCAGACTGCAGGTCTTAGGGGCCTTGGCACAAGCTGATTGATCTTTTCTTCCTTGAAAGAACATTGTGAACTGTTGCCAATCTCCTTTTTCACGCAGTCCCTCCTCCTCGGGCATAAAAGCTCCTTTCTTTGGGTCATAAAGTGCTACACCTTCATCGCGAATTGTTTTCCAATTTTTCTCTAAAATCCTATAGAGTTGATCAAGAAAGATATCAGGCAATATGAAATGTAACAGTGTCCATTGTTAATCAGAACACTTACCTCATTTGCTTATGGTATGGTGTCTCTTCAGGCTCCCAGAATGGTTTTGCTCTCAATGGTGTTTGGGCATTGTAAAGGGATCTTTGCATTGTGGACAAGAAATGTCCACGTTTGGCTCCTTCTCCAAATACCTCATAGGCCTTGATGGAAAATAGTAGTTATTTAGAACTATTAGTTAATTAGGCAGGATTCGTTTAGTTTAGGTTGCTTACTGTAGTAACATTGGATCAAAAGATACCTCTTTGTGTTTTCCAGTTCTGTAAAAAGCATCTCCAAGGTGGAAAAAGAATCGACTATCATCAGTACCAGGCTCTCTTGTTGCTATGCCTCTTTGAAGAAGAGGAATGGACTCCACATATTTTGATTCACTTTTCACAATGAAACCCATGTGGACAAGAGCAAATCCATCATTTGGATTGATTTGAAGAGACTATGAGAGAGGGCACAAGATTGATTGAAGCAAATTCAATTAGGTTGCGATATAAAAAAAATTTATTAAACAAGGAAGAAATATTAAATACTTAGCCTTTCTGACCTCTTTGAATGCTTTCTTTGCTCGATGTTGATTGCCATGCAGTAGAAATTGTACTCCAAGTTTGTTATAAACCTCCAAATCAGGTGGTAAGCTCTTTGCAAGATCTTCCAAGACCTGCACGGCCACATTTGTCTTACCAAGGAAAGAAGCACGCTCTGCTTGTCTCATTACAGCAAGACGTTTTAATGCCACTGGACAATCTTTTATCTTTCCTACTTTACCCAAACTATCAATGGCTTCTTGTAAAATTTCGTTACTTCTTCTAACATCAGCAAGTTCATCCAAAGACCTTGCAAGACCATACATGGCTCTTGGACTATCCGGATGATCTCGTACTAGTTTCTCAAATGCTCGTTTTGCTTTTTCAACCTGTTTTGTCTTAAGGAGTTTTTCAGCCTCATCCAAATCTTTTAAAATTGTTTTATCAAATGCATTTGTGATTGCTGCATTTTGGTCTTTCTTGGCTGGCTTTGCCTTCGTCTTTTCTTTTGCTTTTTGACCTTTTTTATTTTTTACAGGCTTCTCCTTAGCTACTTTAATATCGTCTGGCTTTGCTGTCTCATCTACATTTGTTTTCTCTCCAATGAAATAAATAGCAGCGGTTGCAATGCCAATAATAACTACGAAAGCAAGGACTATTTTCCACAAATGATCCGATTCTTTTGGTTTCTTTTTTGGCCCTGAACCAAATAGACACAACGTACATTTTTAAAAATATTTCCGTACCACAAAAAGGTCATACTCTGCCCCCTTTCAATTCAAAGTTTATGTAACGGCTTCATTACGACCTTGTTTATGTTTTATTTGTAAAACAAACAGCTAGGGCGAACTCAAACAGCTGTTTTTCACGATGTTTTTGTCAGTGAGGACAAATATTAAATCTTCTTTCACACCACAGTGATAATTGTTAACAAATTTCGATGAATAGTTGAGTATTGTCATCCATTAATTATTGAAACAAATCATTTGCCACGTCTGACACTAGGTTGGGGGTGATAAAAGTGATTTGCAAGGACCCACTATTAAAAGCATCGTTTGAGTGCGATCGCTTTGCATTGAATGTCTTCAAATATGTATTGTACATACCTTTAGGTTTCTCTGGCTTGTGATCCTTTTTTCGCTGCCTAGCAGACATTATTTTCCCGTCAAAATTGAACAAAAACAAATATTTTATGAACTAGAAACAAACTACAACTTCATTGACAAGATGCATAATGTTGCAGAATGTAACAATACGCCGCGCAAATTATTCTCGTTTCCAGGTTTGAGGGTATAAATTTGCATAAATAACGAGCTTGGTACTTTCGGACATTTAGTCAATGGAAGATACAGTCATTCCGCTCATTTGTTTGGGTTTTTGCAAACGTGTGTGATTTTCATGATCTGAAGAATTACCTGTGATAGAGATATACTAGCTGTGCAATGATGAAACGGCCTTATCCAACAATTTAGGCTATGTGCACACGGTAACGTTTTAATTCGAGCGTTTCACATTCATTTCCATACCAAAACGGTTCTAACACCGTCAATTTGTTTGGCACAATGAATGCAAAGCCGTATACAGGTTTGCATAAATATGAACAAAAGGCTAAACAAAAGCTTTATCCAAATTTCTAGACCATGTCCTGCATGATCAACCATGGGCGCATTAAACCTGTCTTTCATATGATCGTAATTACTAGCGATGCGGTGTACTGTACAATGACATCTAAAGCATAAAACTCGCCCGTGGGGAATCTCTCTTGGAATGCCAATGAACACGAACAATGGTCCAAGTTTGTCGTTAGAAAAAAAACCACGTGTAATGGCTGTTTGCTTCAATATAAAACGAGTTCCCCTCCTCTCCTCTTCTGTAGAATGTTCTCAGGAGTCAAGGATCTCAAGCTTACTGTCTGCGAGGATATGTTTGGCCGAAGGTGAGAAGCTTTCTCAGCGAAGAATCTTGCTCTAAAATCAAGCGGTTGAAGTCATCATTGCCTAATGATTGATCAACGAGTTCTATTGAATTTGAATGGCGCATTCTACCTGCTTGATCTTGTTAGTTTTCATTTCAAATGTTTGTTAAGTTGTGAAGTAACTTCATTTTCTTTTCGTTTTAGAACGAAATACGTCGAAAAGATGACGACGAAGCTTGCAGAATCCGAATTTGCCGAGAGTCTAGCATGCGGTAAGTTACGAAATCAACAAACAATAGATCATTATCAATTCCTAATTGTTTTCCAAGCGTTTGGTGCATTGGGGGAAAAACATTTATTGTTTGCGTTGTGAGCTTTGGTGGAAATCTTCGCTTAGTTTCTTATGGTATTTTTTATCTTTTTTAGATGAGTCAGTATCAGAGCATTCACTAAATGCGGGCAAATACAAATTAAAAAATGACGTTGCATGCTTCTTCAGTTTCGTCGTTTTAAATACAAAATCATGCATGAATTATATGATGTTCAGACATTATACACTGGTTGCATGCTTCATTAAACTTTTCAATTTTCGGATTTCGGTTTTTCCAACCCCTGGGTTAGCCCTGCATGTGTAGAACCGATAGAAATAAAAGTGATCTGGGCCCAATCACTTTTATTTCTCTTCGGACGGCCAGGCCAAAAATACGTCGCTTACCATTGTAAGCACCAAAAGAACAGTTAAAAAAGAGTGTTATTGTCTGTAACATCGGTTTTGAAATAAAACAAATCTAGGCAAGAAATTCATGAAATATCTTGCTCCCAAAATTTATCATATGCATGTCTAAACGTGAAATATTCTGCATTTCTGCATGAAAAATACAGTTGATTACACCATCGCTTTAACTTCAAAACGTTTTTTGAGATTGTAAGCTTGAATTTGGATGAAAAGAATATAACTTAAGAATCTCGATTGCATGAATATTTGACTGGAAAATGCATGAAAAAACTGGATGATTTTTACTTCAAAACTATGACAACTTTGGGAAGAATGATATAAGTATTGATTGGCTGGTGAATATAAACTTCAGTCTCGCAAGCTTAGCCTTAGGAAATTATTTGCTTGAATTATCTGCATGAATTGTATTTCTTGTTTTCACAAAAAGTGGCATATAAGAAATAGGAATTGTTTTTGCGTGCGAATTGATAAAAGCTTCTGTAAGCCACGAGCATGCAGTGATGACTATCTCACAAACTCGAGGAGGATGTTGGTGTGGTGATGGTGGAGCCCTGAGGGTGGAGCCCTGAGGGTGGAGCCCTAAGGGTGGAGCCCTGCGCTGAACTCGACAGAATCTCTGGAAGAACTTCGCCTGCATCGGGGGGACTTCGCTGGATCTATATACGACGTGCAACTGGAACACTCCACGATTGATGGCCGTCAAGATGAAGAAAAGACACTGGGCGTCGGATGTGACGTCTGAAGAGGAAGCTCATCCAGGTTTATACTATAGGATACCATAGGATACTATAGGATACTATAGGATAGTTAGATCTCGCTCCCAGAACGATTAGACGTAATGCATGGTTAGTATAAGTAGTTCTGGGCGAGATTTCCTGGTGGTCTAATACATTGTGTTTACACTATCAAGTGACAATTCTCCCTTTTGCATGGAAAGTGCATGATTGTCTACATTACTAAACGTATTTCCAAGTCTTGTTAAAACAAATCCCGTTTTCAGTGTCACTTGTGTGTAAATACATACAAACTGCATGATGTAAGCAAAGTATCTTGAAGCTATGAATTACTGCATGAGGTGCGGCTAAGACATGCGTTCATTAATCGCGATCAATTTCATAATCATCATGTTAATCTGCTTCAGATTAATCTGAGGATAATCTTAAACCAGAGCAGTTGGATGCCAACTGCCCATGGTGGAAAGTAGCGCGACTATGTAGAGCGAACATTGACAGCAAAGATTATTATTTCCCCGACTATCAAGCCTTACATTAAAAAGCATGGGTGCACGGAATTCATGAATTTTATAACAACTTGCATGCATTCAAAGTTTGGGGCCAAAACATCAGTCCCTGCAAAAAAACTTCAGTTTAATAATTAGCAGCATGCAACCACGAGCATATTGTAATATTGACTTCTATTCATGAAGACCTTTGCATATTGAAACTAAAGACTGGTTAGGTTAACTGTAGAAGCATGATTCATGAGTCTATACCTAGAGTTTTAATGGGTATCCCCGGTAGACATACAGAGTATCCTAAAAAGCGGAGTCCGGAGCCTTTTATAAATTATCGCGTTTCTTCGTATCACTTTGAAGCCTGTTCATTCTTCTTTCACGTAACGCTTATCTTAACTATTTGCCAAAAAATTGCTCCATTTCATGACAATATGGGGTAAGCTGTCTTATAATAACAATGATAATCAACTTTATTTAATGAGGGTAACACATAACAGTTTAGCACTGACAAACCAATGCCTTCTTGAGACAAAAGCAAGTGCATGTGTCTTTGCATGTTTATTTGAACTTTGAAGAGAAACAAATTGAAATGCTTGTGAAAATCAAATCAGTTGCATGCAAGAAACATTGTGAGGTTGACTTAGGGACAAGAGAACAATCTGTGTTTGCACCTTCTGGATCGATGGTCGCTACGAGGACAATATTAATCATCATCGGGATGACTTTGGTTGGAGCTCTTAAAGGACAAGTTCTACGACAGGCGACGACAAAGACCTGAACGATCTGACAAAAAAGACGTCTCAAGTGTGGATTTCGAGTGGCTATCAAGTCTTGGTGATTCTATGTCGAGTGGCTGAATTTATATTTTGAACTTGAAAACGGTGGTATTCATATTGTTGTGATTGTGTAATGCATCATTAATTTAAATTATAAATCACAAGATGTATAAAACACAAGATGTATTACCATATCTCATGATATTTTAATAGAAAACTTGCCAGCTTTGGTAAAAAATTAGCAAGTGCATGACTCAGAACTGTGGCTCAAAATTTATCAAATGCATGACTGTAGGAAACTGATGAATGAACCGGCTTCAAACGAGTATAAATTGCACGGTACAGTTTTCTCCTTCGAAAAAATTGCATGAAAAAATATCCGCTTTTTGGGAAACCCTGTAATTGCTCGTGGTTTAGGAGGGGCGTGGCTCTGAAAATGGGCTGGGGAACAAGATACATGATTGGGTGAGGGTGGAGGGTGCATGCTCTGACTTGCGCATGCTTGGTTTTAGTAATGCATGTTTCCTAGTGTTGCATGAGTAAGATCCACTACATTTTAAGACGGATTCCTGGCATAAATCGTGATAATAATATGCCTTCGCTAACCAAATACAATAGTATAACATGAATATTTTTGCTGTCAATGTCAGGCGACGCGTCGTTCGAAGTTCGGTTGATATAAATTTGCGCAAATCGGTAATTATGATTCGCATAAAATGCGCGCACTTTTTAGACCACCAGGATAATTGTAAAATGCAAAAAAACTGTAGCGAATGCATGGCGGAATATCTTGAAGCGAAGCATGGATGAGGTGAAGGCGCGCATGCGTAAATCGCAATCAAAAATAAACCAACGGCGGCAGCGTGAACGGAAATGAGAAACGGAAAACAACAATATGGCGGAGTCGTTACAGCATATGCGGTACAGCGCGAGAAAAATGCAATGAAACAAAATCTTCGGTTCCGGACTAAATATTTTAGAAACAAAATACCAAATTCGGATCGCCGGTGAAGGAACCTGAAATTCAGGTTACCTTTGGAGGGTTTTTCTCCGGGCACTCCGGTTTCCCTCCTTTTCGTTTGGTCTTAAAAAACAGTGTCCATGTCTGGGGCCAAACCGATATTATTTACTGTTCCGAGTTAAAAGATAATTGTCTAAATTCTTGTTCCCATTTTGTCGCGACTTTCCCATTGACCAGTATGCTTCCTCGGAAAAGACAGCAGTGAAAACTGACGGGGGAAAAAAAGCGAGAGTTGTGGCTTAATGGGAAACTTTGCTCTAAGAAGTGCAAAGCAACTGAAACCACTTCTATAGAAGTTGAATGAGTGAGTTCAAACATGTTTGGCTTCTGGGTTAAAATCCCAGAACACTGTCCTAAAATATATCGTGGTATAAAAGAACTAAGGCTTCTCTGTTATCAATCTTGACACTAGTCTACCGCGGTGTGCTTGTAATTCGTGCTTTAACGATGGCTTGCCTTTAGTTTGGACTGCCTTTACCAACCTTGTACTTACATCCCTGTACCGTGTAAGATTCAACTGTACGAACGCCTGAGTTTAAAGATACTAGCTTGCTATACTAGCTTGATACTATGTTGAGTTTGAAGATACTAGCTTGCTATACTAGCTTGATACTATCTCTAGTTTGAAGATACTAGCTTGCTATACTAGCTTGATACTATGTTGAGTTTGAAGATACTAGCTTCTAATACTAGCTTGATACTATCTTGAGTTTGAAGATACTAGCTTGCTATACTAGCTTGATACTATCTTGAGTTTGAAGATACTAGCTTCTAATACTAGCTTGATGCTATCTTGAGTTTGAAGATACTAGCTTCTAATACTAGCTTGATGCTATCTTGAGTTTGAAGATACTAGCTTCTAATACTAGCTTGATACTATCTTGAGTTTGAAGATACTAGCTTGCTATACTAGCTTGGTACTATCTTGAGTTTGAAGATACTAGCTTGCTATACTAGCTTGATACTATGTTGAGTTTGAAGATACTAGCTTGCTATACTAGCTTGATACTATCTTGAGTTTGAAGATACTTGCTTGTTACGATATCTTGATGTTTTCCGCAAAAAAAGGTTTTCAAGCTAATGCTTATTGTAACGTATTTATTCTAGTCTCACTTGTCTTACCTAAGTTCTACTTGTTCCCAAGGGTGTAGTTGGGGGGAGAACCTTGGTAAAACTCTGGCCCTTCCTAAAGAAATTCATTTCATACTTATTTAGACAGCCCAACCCTACCTTTGCTGCCCAACCCCTTGGAAAAGAAGTTCTGACCACGCCCCTGTGTCCCACGTCAGCAATCGGGTATAAACACGGCCTAATTCTCTCTTTCTGTATCATGTTTCAAATGTTCGTTGAGTTGTTCAGCAACTGCTATCATGGTCGCACATGTATGTTGAAAACTGTTCTTCGACATCACAGTTCGTAACCATGACAACTTGTCGTACCCCGGCTCATTTCCACCAAATTCTGATGGTAGCAAGTCAGGATGTATGAACATGTGCAGTGACGTCAGATTGTTACCATGAAGATGAAGCTATGGTTGAAAATTTCGGTAATTGTGTTAGGTCACCAATATAGTCCCCTATGGATCTAATACAGTCCCCTATGGACCTAACATAATCCCCAATGGACCTAACTCAAAAGCTTACCCGATCACCAATCTTCGCTTTCAGGAAAGGGAGGATGGATTTTATAGCGAGATTTATGTACCATGGTTGATTAATGAGGTGAATAGCCTTGACACGGGCTGGGAAACACTCCTAAAAGAACGAATTGAAAGTTTTACGCCCTTCGTGCTATGAAGAGGAAATCAGAAAAGAAAAACTGGGGAAAATGAGCTTCCCGTGAATTAATTCATTTATCGGCTCTTAAAAAACGCTTCAGGTCTTCAATGACTAATTGTGTTATTTAGAAAAACGCGTTGTCCCAGGGTTTCTCTCACCTGAAAGATCTTTACAACGCTTCTCAACTCTCTTACTGTGATATACCGACCATGTTTTGACAACGACCACCCAGTAAAATCAACAATGGCAACAATGCCATTCACTTGTGTCTCCTCCTCTGTTATGAGTTCTTCCATTGTAAATATCAACGCTTTCACAATATCTTTGAAATCAAATAACTCTCTTTCCCAGCGCCCTGGAAATAGAGCACTAAAACTCTGGATCCATTCGAGTCCCTATTCTCCAGAACACCCGGGAAACCTTCTTGTAAGACGGGGCGAAGTTTTGTCAAAGTTAAATCCTCGAATAAATCGCGGTTTTTTCTTTTAAATTCAATATGAGAGCACAGCAGTTGAAATGCTCGCTCTTCGTCAAATTTCCGTGCACGTAGAAAACGTAAAAGGTATTTTTCATCCGTTTTTCGAAACGGAAGATCTGGCCGAAATACCATCTTGTCACGAAGTAGTTGTACTTTCGCATTTCGTGTCAAAGGATCCTCGTTCAGTTCAGCTTTGGCTTTTTCTTTCGTCTTCGCTGAAAGGCCAGAACTAAATCCCGGGCCAAACGACATTTATAAAACTTCAAATAAAAAAATTAACTTTATTTGAGTGTTGTAAACTGTCGGTACGCACCACTGCTCTATCCTTCTCGTTAAGCAAATTCGCAAAGAACTATATTGTAGGAGTTTCTCATCAAAGCATATATCTTTTCTTCAAACAAACAACGTTCAATGCTAACTCCTTGTAAACCACAAAGAAAGGCTTGTTGATTTATGGAAATGAAAATCCTTTTAATCAATCATGTCTGTCGCTTGAATCTCTGCGGTTTTTTAGCATTGTTTGGTAGTGTTAAAATGATTAAAAAATTAATGACGTTTCTGTATCTACGAATGAAACACTTTAATTTTTAATAGATACACATGACGGATAATATTGGTCAATATGATATCAGCTGGATATAGTTTACACTTGATATAAGAAGAAAAATTACAACGGAAAAAATCATGATTGTTTTAATCTTTTCGTCTTCATATTCTCTAGATTACTATAACTTGTACTTATGTCTGCTCGTCTTTTTAAAGAAGACCGTTTCTCAATTGTTTCTTCATCTTTTCCACCGTCGTTACGTACTTCATATTTACCACAGATTTCTTTGCTAAAAGCATTCTCTAAAAAAAAACAAGAAAATGTAAATATAAATAGATTATATCTACAAGTAAGGATCATCTCTTATTGATTCAGTGTTACTACAAGAGGAAACCTAAACTAAACTAACTTTATTTATACTGGATAGCTCTATCAGTTCTAAGCTGTTCTTCCTAGAGGTCCAGTAAGGATCATCTCTTATTGATCCAGTGTTACTACACGAGGAAACCTAAACTAAACTAACTTTATTTATACTGGATAGCTCTATCAGTTCTAAACTGTTCTTCCTAGAGGTCCAGTAAGGATCATCTCTTATTGATCCAGTGTTACTATAGGAGGAAACCTAAACTAAACTAACTTTATTTATACTGAATAGCTCTATCAGTTCTAAACTGTTCTTCCTAGAGGTCCAGTAAGGATCATCTCTTATTGATCCAGTGTTACTACAGGAGGGAACCTAAACTAAACTAACTTTATTTATACTGGATAGCTCTATCAATTCTGAACTGTTCTTCCTAGAGGTCCAGTAAGGATCATCTCTTATTGATCCAGTGTTACTACAGGAAGAAACCTAAACTAAACTAACTTTATTTATACTGGATAGCTCTATCAGTTCTAAACTGTTCTTCCTTGAGATCCAGTAAAGGCTAATTTCCACTCCGGAAAACGAGCAGCGGATCGGATCGGATTGGAACGAAAGATAATCCGCGCGTGCGCCGTCTGTTGAAATTTTTGGCTTATATTGATCCGAAAGCGTCCGAGACCGGATAAAAAAAAGTTCAAATAGTTTTAACTTTTTTGATCCGATCCGAAATCACTTCATGGATCGGACCAGCTCGGAAAAAAATCCGATCCAATCCGATCCGCTGCTCGTTTTCCGGAGTGGAAATTAGCCTTAAGGATCATCTCTTATTGATCCAGTGTTACTACAGGAGGAAACCTAAACTAAACTAACTTTATTTATACTGGATAGCTCTATCAGTTCTAAACTGTTCTTCCTAGAGGTCCAGTAAGGATCATCTCTTATTGATCCAGTGTTACTACAGGAGGAAACCTAAACCAAGCAAACTTTATTTATACCGGATAGCTCTATCAGTTCTAAACTGTAACCCTAAAATTGCTCACCTCCCAAGAAATATTCTGCAACTCTCTTCTTGTACAACATGACTTCTCTTAATTCGTCGGTGAATTTGAAATTTCTCGTCAGTCTAAAATGATATCTTGGCCACCAGGATTTCCTTTCTTCCCAACACAACTGCAGTTCGTGTTTCGCAGCTGACTCCGTCTCAAGACTGCTTCCGATGACCGAGTGAAGGTGTGCCCAGGCTTTTTCATCAAAAAAACATCCCGAATGATCGAGTTTTTCAAATATCAATCGTATGACACTCGCTTCGTTTCCTGAAGGTAAATCATGTCGGAATAATATACGAATGACAAGCTATCTCCGCTGGCGTTGAAGTTCAAACTTTCGCATAGTTGTAAAAATGAATGATTAAGAATTGAGGGGAAACCATTGTAAGGAAACCATTTAATCAAGACATCAAGAAAAGATTTTGGATTAGATCGAGAGTTCGCGGAGAAAGCAGAGTGCTATTGTGTGAAAAACAAGGCGAAAAAAACATAGTTTTTATAATTTCATTTCTACCTACCAGATTTGGCTTTGAGCGAGAAAAGATCTTCCAGATACTCGCTGGTTGGATCAAGTTTCATCAAATCTTCTAAAACTTTGATCTTTTCCTCGTCGTCAGCGGAGTTTGATTGAAGAAAATGGTAGAGATACCTAAATGATAATAACAAAACTAAACATTGCAACGTCTTAACTCCGATTATGTTCATAATAAGCGTAGGAAAACCCAGCTTTACCTGAGCGCATTTGGATTCAATGGATTCGTATTTTTATACTGCTCCAAAAACTTTCGAACTGCATTTCTCTCTCCGTTCATCTCGAGTAACTCAACATAAATTGGCACAAATTGATCCCAGATTCCTGGTTTAGAAAACACTTCTTCAAAAAGTACCAAGGATCTTTTCAAAGAGAAATCCAGTTTCGTTTTTGTCACAAGAGTTTGTGGAAACATGAAATCTTGTTCATCTTCAGAAAAATACGTTTCCATCCCTTCAAAAATATATCATCATAATTTCAACTTACATGAGAAGAGGGTTGGTCTTTGTTTATAAGGTTGACAGAGGCATGAGTTTGTTATGGACAGTCGTATTTTTTATAGGACAAGACATAAGTAGAAGAACAAGTGTAAATATAAATCTTTGAACCTTGTGGTTGTGTAGACTCCGTTTTCTTTGGTTGGTGAAGTAAGTACTCAAACAATCCAATATAAGCTTTGTGCATGAGGCTTTGGTTAAATTTCTGTTTGCTTGACTTTGATTTTAGTAGCTCCAAACCTTCAACCACATCTCGCTGTCTCAGGACAAGATACAGAGCAAAATTTAACACAATCTCTGGTTGGTGATCTGCGCAAGCTAAGAACATATCTTTGTAGAATTTCAGAACCAGCATATGACAGTGTGGGAGGCTTTTCAAGATCTCCAAACCAGCCTAAAATGTGGTGTACGTTTACCATAATGGTATAATTAACAGTGGTAAGCAAAACATCATAATATCCAAAGTAGGGTGAATTGTATTCCCCAATGGAGACATACCAAACAAAATAATTCGATAACTTTTTCACATTTTCCACTTAGACCTATCATGGTTGCAATAGCTTGGGTGAACCTGTGGGTCAGTAAACTGTCTTGAAGAATTTTACTCAAGAAATATAGATGACGTGTTTGGATGTTCCGCATTCGACCTAGAGATATAGAATAATTCATGTTTACAAATGAACAGTTCATTGCGGCATCTACTGCAGAGAGTAATGGTTTAATGAATCCACTATATGCTTTAATTGGCTCATTATAATTTCAAGAGCGTGTCTTTTTATTTTTATTCTGCTAAACAAAACAAGTTTTGTCTGTGTGTTGTGTTTTCTTTTGACTATAGGATGACATGGGATGACCATTAGTGCTATAGGTAGATTGCTACGACCAACAACTAGTCTGTGATGCCTTGTGAAAACCTTACGGGTATCGTTTTCCTGCGTCAATGGATGCCATACTGTTTGAAAGCTGGACAATGTCTCAAAACAGTGAGACTCAAACCGATGTGTTGCCATATATTTGATGTAGTTCCGAATAACCAGATTGTTTTGAATTAGGGTTGATTTCACCAATGAAGGTGGATTGGTACCATTTGTAACTCTTCATCCATCCAGAATATTCACAATACAGAGTGGTGTTAATCACACTCCAGTTGAGCTACTCACTGAGCTCCTTCGCCGGCGTTTCAGGAGGATACTAGTCGCCGACAGAAGAATTATGCGGGTTGGTTAATCGCAGAAACAGAAACTACATCAATAGGTATTCTCTTATATTTCTTATTTGAACTCCAAATATATGTTTTAAATATATGGAATTTCGGTCATTCGTCATTGTTTGAACATGCACTGCTCCAGTTTTAGTATTGAGTACATTTTCGTGGAGGTTCGAGGGAACGGACCAATCAGATGAGCGTATTTGTCATCACGAGACTTTCTCGAGATAAACAGAAATTTAATATATGGGGTGACCATTCTTGTAGTGCCATGAAAATCAAGATATTATCAAGTTTCATTGGCATTTGAGGTTGCAGAAATGCCTTGTTTTTCCAGCAAATATCTGGTTTCGTTTCTGGTTTTGCATCTAGTCGCAGGTAGCGTGAAATCATCCTTTATTTTCGTGCATAATGCCACAATCCTGATCTGTGTGATCTGTGATCTCAAATTCAGAAATTCTATGCGTCTATATTATCGTCTCAAATTCTTTGTGAAATTAAAATATGATTACGTTTTTTTTTGTTTCACTGATATTCATGATATGTAAATTCAAGTCTTGGCTTATTTTGCTGGGGGGTACATAGAGTGAAAGAGATTTCGTAACCCTATGTTATTGTTTATTTACAAGAACGTACGCTGTATTAACCGATTAGCTCCGTCATTTCCTAGAATCATTGGTCAAAGTATCAAGTATATTGATTGACCTTTGCTAAATGTGGCTCGTTTACAAACTTGCAAACCAAACCGTTATGAAAGAAACGAAGCTAATAGCAAGAAATACTCTTTGAAGATCAGTTGAAACTATCCCAAAAATGTGTCTATTATCAATGCTTTGACAGTAATATGATATATTATGGTTATGGGTGGTCAGCATATCTTGTTGACAAGAGCAAAACAGAAGTAAGATGTAATAGTGACTGACATACATGATACTTGATCTTTCTGGAAAATCTGATTTCTTATAGGGAATGGCTTTCTTGTCGGTATTAGATCCGTGCTGGGAGTTGACAGTAACGCTGTGCAAGCATTTTTTTCACCATTTTCAAGCCCCTTGAAGGCCAACAGGTATGTGAGACAGAATTATGGAGTTGTGAGGACTTCATACAGGAAATTATTTTGTTCATTTTATATTTCTTCTTCACAATTCTTCTCATCATCTGTGATACATGTACATCTATAGTGTAAAAGATGTGACACTTGGTATGGACCAGGCTTACTTAAATGTCACCTGGGTTGACAGGAATAATGTGCATCTTTTTCATCATGTTTACGGTGTGTCTGAGAACTGTTATAAGGTGTGTAAAATGCATATTACTTATTATATTTCCTAATAAAACCTTCAACAAATTCATCTCAGATCCTCTCATGATTTAATTTTGTTTTGTAGTGTCCTCTTCAAAAATTAAACATAATTACAAAATACAGCGTATCGCAGGGATTTATAATGGATACAAGATGGCCTTTTAGACTTCTGGTTAATACAAGTCCTAAAACTAACCAAAGCTGCAGGTATGCTGGGTAAACTTTATCTGACTGCAAAATAAGTTTTAGAAAATTCTGTACACCATATGCACAGAATACCTAACAGAAGTAGAACTCTATACTATTTTTTCGTAAGTGTGATTCGTCATGATTCGTCACTTAGCAAGTGCATTTTTTTGAGGTAGTCACCCCCCCTGCCAATAGTAAAAATGCCCTCATTTTAGACATTGGCAGGGGGGTGACAGCCTCAAAAAAATGCACTTGTTAAATGACGAATCATGATGAATCACACTTACGAAAAAAGTACAGGAGTTCCACTTCTGTTAGGTATTCTGTGCCATATGTACTACCACTATGGCTGTTGCTGAAGACTTATGAATTACAAAAAAAAAGTTGTGTAAAATGTTTGCTGAAACTGACTGTAAATTTGCTTCTTGTTTTATAGTATTACATTTCATTTTGGTGAATCTGGACGTTACCACTATGAAATGAAACTTAACATTAACATGCGACTCACCTGCTCTATGGTTGTAGACACTGAACCGGACAATAGCAATATACGTAAGTGCATTCTTAATGCTTTTTTGCCTTGCATTCACTCCACTCTGATAAGACATTAGCTTGATCAGTAAAAATATTTTATGCTAGACAGAATAATAAGGTAATGATAAAGAAAAATATCCCACATTTTTATCCATAAGTCTCTTCTTAGAGAAATTTGAAATATATAATAGTACAAACTATGAAACTTTTTTCTATTTTCACAGCTATCTTAGTTGCTGCTGCCATATTGTTCAGTTTAGCTTTGTTAACAATGTTTATAAAATGGATAAGAAGGTATGCTTCATGACCTTATTAGTTGTTGTAATAATAGGTGTATCTTACATACTTACATAGGCTTTCATCCCAAATGAAATGTTACCAAATTAATGGTTAAACATGCTGAGAGTATGTTATATTCATTCTTACACAGAACGTATCTAAAAGCTTTAATTCCAGCAATGTATTCAAACTCTCATCTTGCCTCGGTGAGTGTTGTTTCAAGTTCAACATGATGCAGATTGTAAATGGTCTTTGATGTCCCCATTAATTCTCAGTAAAATCACTACAACTCGCTACTAGATGCAGTTTTGACAATATTCATGTAATCTTAAAGTTTGTTTCTAAGGACTTGGGTCGTGACAGTCAAACGCAACCACAAAGCAGTGAAACAGTCACCCAGGTATATTGAAAAAATATCCCAGTTTCTCAGCACTGATGTTTGAAAGCTCAATTAAAAATGAACATGCTGTCTTTGAAACACAAATCTTGCATTGACAGAAAGATCTTATCTAATGATTAAGAAGTACGGTTCTTCATTTTTTCAGCCTGCAAAGAAACGTTTACAATCCTTGGATACCTTCAGAGGGTGGGAAGATATTTATTATTCTTTCATTGAAACGATTCTTTCTTTGCTGTTATGAATAGTGAATATTTCAGTCCAGACCTTTATATCTCATTATATCTTCCCTATTAAGATTATCACTGACGATAATGGTATTTGTGAACTTTGGTGGTGGAGGATATTGGTTTTTTGAACACTCGAAGTGGAACGGTGAGAGGCCTCGACTCGCATTAGTCCGAAAACGTTTTTGATAATCGTCTATACACGTCTGACTTTACTTTGTCTTAGTCCAATATATTTCTCCTAAACGAATAATGTTGATCTTTCTTAGGTCTCACTGTCGCGGATCTTGTTTTTCCATGGTAAGGCTGTGAGAAAATTGTATTTGTATACTTTAAAGACATTCAGTTATCACAGTATAGATGCAATAGACGCCATGGTGATATTTCTAGGTTTATATTTATCATGGGAGTTTCAATGGCGATTTCGTTTCGAAGTTTACGAAAGAAGAATGTTCGAAAAATTCGTATTTTTCTAAAAATAATACGACGGACATTGATCCTTTTTGCACTTGGCTTGCTCTTGAACAAAGGTTAGTTTATTCAAACAGTTTATTCTAATAAAGTTAGTTCAGTTTAGGTTTCCTCCTGTAGTAACACTGGATCAATAAGAGATGATCCTTACTGGACCTCTAGGAAGAACTGTATAGAACTGATAGAGCTATCCAGTATAAATAAAGTTAGTTTAGTTTAGGTTTCCTCCTGTAATAACACTGGATCAATAAGAGATGATCCTTAATAGATCTCTAGGAAGAACAGTTTAGAACTGATAGAGCTATCCAGTATAAATAAAGTTAGTTTAGTTTAGGTTTCCTCCTGTAGTAACACTGGATCAATAAGAGATGATCCTTAATGGATCTCTAGGAAGAACAGTTTAGAACTGATAGAGCTATCCAGTATAAATAAAGTTAGTTTAGTTTAGGTTTCCTCCTGTAGTAACACTGGATCAATAAGAGATGATCCTTACTGGGCCTCTATGAAGAACAGTTTGGAACTGATAGAGCTATCCAGTATAAATAAAGTTAGTTTAGTTTAGGTTCCCTCAACAACAACAACAACAACAACAACATTTTATTTCCCACATTCTACATTCAGCTTGTATATACATATTAATAATATTAGGTTATATTTGAATTATTATTTATTATATCTACATTAATGAGGTTATTGTAGGTGTAGAGGTAGACCATTATTAAACTCCAAAAAAGAGCTTGTCAAGAATGGTCACCAAATGAGTAATGAGGTATTTTTGAAAAAAAGAAGAACCAGAGTAGAATTGCAGAACTACAATAGGAAAATCTGCATGCTTGAAAAGATAGTATTAATAAACAAACGTTGCTGAAGAGTTTCGATCATGATTGTAATAATATCACGAAACCCTCCACATACTATTTAAATACAATTATAATTACTAATGCGTAGATAAAGAAGATAACAAATAAATGTATGCATAAAAGCAACACAAGGACAACAAAACAAATTCATACTGATGAATTTGTTAAGTAATATCTAAACTTATTTATAAATGAGGATAATGAATTAAGTTCGGTAAGATATATTGGTAATGAATTCCATAAAAATGGGCCGTTATAACGAAATGAAAATTTTCTAGTGTTAGTTCTTGCTTGGATGATGTGTATTTTGCGAGCACTTCTGGTGTTATAGGAATGAACATCACTATTTAAGATAAAGCAGTTTCGAAATAATTCAGGAAGTGAAGATTTTAGTTTCATGCATTTAAACATTAGAACACCCATCTGTAATTGATTCAATTGGAAAACTGTAAGAATTTTATACTTCGAAAACAGTGATTGTGTATGACTCAAGTAACCGACATTAGCAATAATTCTGACAATACGCTTCTGTAGCTTAAACACTTTATCCAACTTAGAATGGTAAGTGTTGGCCCAGACCACATTACAATAATTGATGTAAGGCAATACAAGTGAGCAATATAACGTTCTTCTGGCTTGTGCATCGATTAAATGCTTAATTTTGTTTATGACTCCAATAGCTCTAGACATTTTATTACATACATGATTGATATGACTTTTCCAATCCAGTCGAGAGTTAATAATAACTCCAAGAAATTTCTGATCAATGATTTGATCAATTTGTATCCCATCAATGTAAATTTTAATGTTAGCCGCAGAAACGTTTTTATTTTTAGAAGTAAATAAGATAAATTTAGTTTTTTTGGGATTTAATAAAAGTTTGTTCGATTTAAACCACATCGATACTTTCTGTAATTCAGAGTTCATATTCTCCACCAAATAAGTTAAAGATTTTTCTGAATAGATAATGTTAGTATCATCTGCAAATAATATGAACTTGAGCAGCATTGAGCTATTGAGAATATCATTAATATAGATAAGGAATAAGGTTGGTCCTAATATTGATCCTTGTGGAACACCACACTGAATGACATTCATACCTGAACATATACCGTTGATATTGACATATTGTTTCCTATTTGCCAGGTAATTAGTAAACCATGTTAGTGGTAAACCACGAATGCCGTAGTGGGATAACTTCATTAATAAAATGTTATGATCAATTGTGTCAAATGCCTTGGATAAATCTACAAATAGTCCAATACTACACTCTTTCTTGTCGATAGAGTTAGAAATTCTATCAACAAGATCCACAAGAGCCAATGTTGTTGAGTGGTGTTTTCTAAAGCCAAATTGCGACTGGTTTAAGATATTATTCCCTCCTGTAGTAACACTGGATCAATAAGAGATGATCCTTACTGGACCTCTAGGAAGAACAGTTTGGAACTGATAGAGCTATCCAGTATAAATAAAGTTAGTTTAGTTTAGGTTTCCTCCTGTAGTAACACTGGATCAATGAGAGATAAAAAACACGCTTCTGTTGATTTAGGAGGTGACTTGAATTACTATCGTATACCTGGAGTGCTACAAAGATTTGCCTTCTCGTACTTCGTTGTGGCCACCTGTGAGTTATTCCTACGTCATTCAATTGATCTCGCACCTCAGGTAAGGAAACTGGAGCGTCGTACTTCATCGCGCCTGTAATAAAACAAAGATTCAGCGACTCGTATACTTTTCAGAGCGTCTGGTGGTACACGATTCGTGAGGTGATTGAACTGTGGAAAGAATGGATAGTGATGTTGATTATTTTGATAATTTATTGTGTTGTGACGTACGCCGTTCCCGCACCAGGCTGCCCAACGTAAGTGTGAATGATTGATAATGGTAATAGAACGAATAGGAGTGCAATTAATGCCAAAATCATACGAGTGATTACAAAATCAACCGACCGCGCAGCGGGAGGTTGATTTGTTAAGCACGAGTATGATTTGGCATTAATTGCACGACTTAATTCGTTCTATTACTTATTAATTATCCATCTTCTGTAATCAAAAATTCTGGTCATTTTCTTCAGCAAATATATCATTTAAAAGGTCAAAATTTTCAAAATCATTGTCAAATTCCTCCATTTTTAAAAATTTCGCGCCCCAAAAGAAAACAAATTCTTATTTTGTATCCTGAATGCTGATTGGCTACTTGTAAAGCTATGCTGAATTTCATTGGCTGTGAACAAGAGTGCGATTACAGCTCACCAAGAGTGTGATTAATGATTAATCGCACTCCTGTAAACCAATCAAATTGAAGTATTTGACAGTGATTACAGAAGATGGATAATTAATGATGTAATAATATTATAATATTATTATATTATTATATTCGGATTTTCACAGTGTTTCATTATAAGTCGTTGCATCCAAATGGATCATTGTTTATGATCTCCAGTCGTATGCGAATTGCGAACAAACGCTGTGTTTACATTTGAACTGTTTACCTTGTTACATGACCTGTAAATAAACCCACATTCAGTATTGTAAATGATTAGGTAAGTTTGTCAACTTTAATCCCAACAAATCTATTGCTAGTGGATATGTGGGACCTGGTGGGATAGGCGAAGGATATCCACAGAGCGAGAACTGTACGGGAGGGATAGCTGGGTACATTGACAGAAAGCTGTTTGGTGAGAATCATATTTATGGCCACCCGACATCAAAGGTACCTCGCGTTGAGATCAATGAATTGAACAGGTTTCACCTTACACAATTCTCACTTACCACTGAGTCTGAAAATGTGGCAAAATTTGTTGAATTGCAGAAGTTGTACCTGAGCACCGTACCGTATGATCCCGAAGGAGCCCTGGGGGCGCTGACATCAGCATTCCTAACGTTCCTGGGTCTACAGGCTGGTAAAATAATCGTGGAACATGCTGAGCATATTGACCGAGAGAGAAGACTGATATTATGGGGCCTGATACTGGTAATATTACTATTCAAATGTATTTGTGAGCAAGCCGCACAAGATAGGCAATTGTCATCTCAGAGATGTCTCCTACCCTGACAGACCTTGAGCTTATTTTACTGCGTGTTCGGTGTGATGCCTTGCAAATTGCGGAGATGATTTTTTCTTATAAACATCTCGTTAGTTCCTCCATCATGTGTGATGATTTTCTTGCAATTTCACTTGTGTTCTTTCGCAATTAACTTGCTTGTCGCTACTAGAGTTTCCTGAATTATGACCATAACTAATAAATCTCTTCATTAGGGTTTTATTGCAACTGGTTTTTGCGGTGCTTCCAAGAACGAAGGACTAATTCCGATTAACAAGAATTTATGGTAAGGTGCATATTTACATCGCCAGAAAGGCTGTAAAGAGATTTAATTAAAACGTTGTGTTTTAGGTCTGTGTCTTTTGTTCTCATAAACGGATCGTTCGCCTACATTTTACTGGCGTTTTGTTACTTCGTGATCGATGATAGAAAATGGTGGAATGGAGCGCCTTTCATTTTTCCAGGTAATTCAGCATCCACTAGTTTCAGTGTCCATTAGTTCTACCCACAGTTCTACACCCAGAAACTACAGCGTTTGAGATACTGTATCTTTTTCAGGTAGTTCAGACACAAACCACGACAGTTTATTGTAGAATACTACCTACACTAGATCACCACGTTTGAGACATCTTTCTCAGGTAGTTCAGACACAAACCACGACAGCTTATTGTAGAATACTACCTACACTGAACCAGCACGTTTGAGATATCTTTCTCAGGTAGTTCAGACACAAACCACGACAGCTTATTGTAGAATACTACCTACACTGTACCACCACGTTTGAGATATCTTTCTCAGGTAGTTCAGACACAAACCACGACAGCTTATTGTAGAATACTACCTACACTGAACCAGCACGTTTGAGATATCTTTCTCCGGTAGTTCAGACAGAAACCTTATTGTAGAATACTACCTACACTGGACCACATCTTATTCTATTTTTCCACTTTCATTCTAGGAATGAACTCAATTTTAGTGTATTGCGGTCATGAGGTTCTTCATTCGTTTTTCCCTTTCAATTGGGAGCTCCACCCACCCACCCACGGGAAGAAATTGGCCATGAATGTCTGGGGAGTGGGTTTGTGGGTACTCATTGCCTACTATTGCTACAAAATCGATTTCTTCGTCAAGATCTAGGCTTAGAAAAAAATACAATCCAGGAATAAAATGTATAAGGTAATATATATCTGCATATGTATGTGAAGAGTCTTTTTTATCATTAAAATCATGAGGTAACTGGCTTCCCTCATTTAAGCAAATATTGGGAGGATATTGTTCTGACAACGGCACACAATTGAATAATGCACTCGCAAATGGAATACAGCCTTTATAATCTGAAAGTGAATGTAATTTATAAATTGTTTACTTTGAAATATATCAACAGCGGACGACGTGCAAAATACGTGTTTGTGTTAAGATATCTAGACACAGGACTAATATTTTATCGTTTTGACGCTTACACAACCAAACAATCAAAGAAAGAACACTTCTAGTGCATTGAATTAGCTCCAGCATTTTCATAAAATCCGTTTTGCTCGAGAGCACGAATGAAATGGCTGGGAAACGTTGCTGTGTGCATGTATTTTACGAAGACAAAATACTACAAGGTGTTCAAAATTTATTTCATTTATCCTCTGTGATTATTGGCCTGGGTTGAGATGATTTTTCAATTGTCATATTTAGAAATTGTTCTTAGTAAAGATTCGTTCCACTCCTTTCAGTGAGATGTCGGAAAAATTCAGGACAGTGTGAAACGTTACTTAACACAAGCGCTTCACATATTAAAGAACAATAGATAAACATTAGAGATGCCTCATTATTTATTGTTTAATACGTTCGTTACATGATAAGAACCTTGCTTGCCTTATTCATCTGGAAAACACTCATCTAAGATTTGTTCATGGAACAGCTTGCTAGGTTACGACATGACATACTTTATGTTTACTGTGCAGTTGCTTTATATATAATAAAGCATTTCTTGTCTGATGGGTTTATAAACACGCGTGGTTCAAACGGAAATTAATTTTCCTTGTATTGTACAATATGCATTAAGTGTAACATCATCATTGCTGGTTATTCTTCATTGAATGCTTTTGCTAAAAGCACAAAGTCGTTTTGCAAAATCAATCAACAAAATGCATCAAACTTCAGGATGCAACTGGCAAGTTATTCCATAATTCACTTTGTCTAAACATTTGCTATCATTACAAACAATATTTTCAAACTCAACGACCGTCTTTTGTTATGTGGACTATTCTTGGATGACCACCAAGTCCAAACTGTTGGATATTTGGCAAATTGCCGTCTCATTATCGAAATACAGCCTCTCATAGGTCATGCGGTCAGAGGCAATGTCGGAGGTGTGTTTCATTTTACAATAACACGTTTTGGCAGGAGTATTGTTATGGTGTCACGTTGCCTGTATTTAATAGTTTCACCATTTGCATTGTTCTGCAAACTGCAACGAACTCTTGAGCAGATCGTCTTCTTTTTTACGCTCGAAACCTGGGATAAAGATTTTTAGTATTGTCTCGAAAGATGAGTAAACATTGTCTAAAGTTGTTCGTTGTTGGTACTGGATTGTTTGTTCTTCTTTCTTTGGCTAATGCGGGTCGTTGTCGAGGGGGATTTGACCTGTATTTCGTTCTAGACAAGTAAGTCATGCTGTGGAAAAAATGAATTTCATCATTCAACGTGTAATATATATTGTATCATGACTCATCGTATACAGTATCTCCTGCTTGTGTTAAAGTCAACTTTGAAATTCTCATGACGTATTGTGCATTTTGAATTGGTACTGTTATACATTGTCGCAACCGTACCATACAGTTGCATAGGTAGATGTAACAAAATTCAGCTTTTTCGTAGTGGTTCTTTCCGGCTAGCTCAGCACAAACATTACATATATAAACTTTTACAGTACGAATATTCTAGCAAGAAGCATTATTAACTCGACAGCTAGAGATTGTTTGCACAGCTGAAAATTCGTACTTTCTCGAAAAACAAATTCGTACCAAGTTACTTTTCAAGGCACGGAGTAGCGTTAGCCTTTTGATAATATGTATAAATCGGAATTTAACGATTTAGGCATGACTAAACGACCGATTAAAGGCATACAAAACATGTCTGTCTAAGATCGTTTATAAATGAAATTTGCATAACCTGTTAAACTATAATATCGAGAAGATGCGTGTGGGTATTCCTTCATGCACATTTTTAGTGGGAGGTTGCTACCAACGAGCAAAACAATACGATTTATGAAAAGCAGCTGGTTAGCAATATTCCTGTAAATATATCACATGATCTTATCACAAAAAAGACCAGCGCATTTGCTCGTGTGTCTGTTTATTTAAAGACGTTTTTTCGGCTAACAATAGACGCTGTGGTTAAAAGGTTATCAGTTGTATTGAGTATAATTGGCGTATTAATATAGCACTGTCTGCAGATAATGATTCATGATCACCATCATGTAGCCTGTGTGTATCGTTTTTGAAGAGCTGGGAGAACATTTGGAAATATAGTTGTTAAAAACACTAAGTCATCGATTGTTTTTGTTGGCAAAATCTGACTATAGGATGTAGTGGTAATTGCAAGCAATCAGAAGAACTTGCCAATCACAATTTTTAATTAAAGGGCGTATAAATTCTTTCTGTTCAACTTTATCTTAAGGGAAATGTAGTTTATTTGTTTCAGCAGTGTCATATATGATACTGTTGGAAAGCACGAAACGGTAGCTTAGTTTGATTGACTCATTGACATAAAAAACATTTCCTCACGTTCAGTATCTTAATAACAGCAATGAATTTAATCTTCGTCATGACCTTTCAAGCACGAGATGATAGATAATTGATTTCTTTCAAGCGTTGAAACTCATGGAGAATGTTTTTGTCGAGAATGTATTGCTACGAAAATTACCGGTTATAACCAGTTCTTGGAGTTTCAATGTGAAGAATGTCAATGTGAGTCGGAAATTTGGCTGCAATACAAGAAATGTGTACTTTATAATCCACCGACTTTACGGTTTCCGTCAAACAAGAAATTTGTATATAAATCCTTCTGTAATAATGGTATCGATTCGTTTAATCTTTTCACAGAATTTGTGGTATTTTTAACAATTTGGAAGAACTTAGAGGAAGTTTAAAGTGTCTTCAGACCTTTTTAGGTCGTTTAAAAGCCACAAATAAACCAGGCTTATTGTTGAAATCCAATACTAAAACTACATTGAAATGATTTGACAAGTATTTTTTGACCTTGTTTTGCGGAACTGAATTGTTCCTACCATGAAGTCCAATATTCCTTTAATATATTTCCTTTGACTTGTCGTCAACAATTCGAACGGAAATATGGTACATTAAAGACGGAAGATACGAGAGCTTTCTCATGGCAATAATAGTCTTTAAACTTAATGATTTCAATCAACCATAGATTGGAAACAAGTAGAAAGAAAACAATCATAGCATACACAAGTACAAACTTGCAAAACTGACCCCTTTTCGTCCTGAGCAGCCAATATAAGCTTACTGCGTATCGTAAATCCTCAACGAGTTTAACAATCTATTCTTTTTGACAATCGGATTTTATAAACAAGTACAGAAGCGTAGTGAAGTGTCGAAACATAGCCTTCTATTTGTTCCTTCGTTCCTAATCTTCTGAGGAAAAACTGGTTAAAACCAGTGTTTTAATTGTGCGTTCTCCGAGATGACCTTGTTTGAGCTTTTCATGGTCTTTCAATATCTCAATAATAACGGATATTGTATTTCGATAACTGTGAAACAAACTCGACTCCTGCATATACAAAGAAAAGCGGAAGAAATAGATTGATATTTCATCAAAAACTAGCGAGGTTTTAGACATCAAATAACGAGGTATACTCAATATACTGCGATATTTTGTACAGTCTAACTGAAAGAAACCTTTGTTTATAGGATGGAAGTTGCATAACAAACGCTATTTTTAATCTCAATTTAAAATAGACCTCTCAAAGATTACTCGTAATTCTTCCTGCTGCGTTGAGAAACTGAGCAAGGTTAACAGGCGGAAACACGCTAGTCTTTGAAACGCTTTGATTTCGCATCAAAACAGTGTGAATGACGTCATTACGTGATAACCAACTGTTTAGAAATTGATATATTGGAAGGTTACGATCTCAAACAGACCGCTGCATGCTTCAACAATACGAGAGCTCCCCCGTAGTCTCTGAGAGAGAAAAATCTTGGCAAATGTCATACATTTATTGGCAGAAACATTTTTTTGTTTTCAACCCCCCTGCTAAGGAGCGAGAAACTTGACTTTGAAGTGTCGATGATCTTTTGATTGTTTTAGGGGGATACGCAAAAAAAACAATGGTTCTAATTACCTAACCACGGATTATTAACTTCCTTCATATCTAGCATCAAATGTGGTATAACAACTGCCTAAAATAGACAAAACACTTCTCGACGTTTCGACCTGAGGGCCTTCGTCAGGAGAGTTAGTATGATATTCTATAGTTATTCTATTCCATACTAACTCTCCTAACGAAGGCCCTCAGGTCGAAACGTCGAGAAGAGTTTTGTCTATTTTAGGCAGTTGTTATGCCACATTTGATGCTAAGTTGTTTGAAGACGCTGCCACGCTGCTCCCTGGTTATATTGGAACTTATCCTCCATATCTATAGTGTTACCTGTTCGAGCTACGAGCTAGTTATTCAGCTTTACCGGTTTGGTAACTCCATCATCGCAATATTAATTTCCCCGAGTCACATTCACCATCACTTTCCTTCATTTTTACCATCAATGACTAACAATTCTTGACTTTAGGTCATCAAGTGTGAGAAATGCAAATTTTAAAGTTCAGACCGTTGGATTTGTTGAAAAAATTGTCTCCAGTTTTGTGAGGTATGGCTTATCTTTGTAACGACAAGCAACACTGCTTTAAAACCATGCACATGCAATAATATTCTACGTCTAACACTCTTACAACCTCTTGCAACTCGAAGAGAGACGCCCAATTTTAAAACGAAAATCCAAGCCAATTGAATTTTTTTGCTGCCATTCCTTTGTCTGAAATTTTGAGGAGTGAAAGCATACCAAAACGATCAATTAGGTCAATCACTCTTGACCTCTCCTTAGTATAATTGTTCACAACTATTCAACTGTCTCACGAACACTCCTAGTGTTTGTCTTCGACCTCCTTACTTGCAACGTTCCACCAAAGCTTACAAACGAAACGTTAGGAATAATTCTCACATATGAAAGGCATGGGTTAAGCTTTTTTTCACTTTTTTTTCAAAAATCGCTCTCAGAACATTTCTAACGCCAGTTCGACAGTTCGACTCTTCCAGCTTTGTCAAACACTGTAAATTTACGTATTTTTGCTTCTTGCTTTGTATTTTAGTTCAAAGTTGAGGGTGTCATATATATCGTTTTCAACAAATGCAAATATTGACATGGGCTTGACAGATAACAGGTGAGGTACATCACTGAGATGGCTCTTAATGAGGCCAACCCCTCATGAAAAGTTGATAGGTTGTTTGTGTGCATGCATGGTACGATTATTATCTTCACTTCGTGCCATATTCCTTTTCAACCAGGACATTGATAGTAAACAGTCTAGAAATTCTCCGAAAAGTCCAAACAGGTGGGGATACCTACATGGATCTAGGTCTTGAAAAGGTAAGTTCGATTAATGCAGCCCAGTCTGAACTCAGTTTCCAAGTTTTCAGAGGAAATGATTTTAAAATAAACCCGCAAATTCTATCTTACCAGGCAAACAATCAAATTCATAGACTTGGTAAGTCTTATGTTTCTTATCCAAGTTGCATTCGTGCATCGTCATCCATCACTTATACAATTATTTTATCTGTTTTGTGCTCATCCAGGAGAGAAAACAGCCGGAGTGATCATAGCGCTGACTGATGGACAGATTGGAAACAGGAAGAAAGAAACGTTTACTGAGGTTTGTTGAAAACGCCATCCATCGCCAGAAACAAGCCATGAATAAGATACGAAACTTCGATATACTTACTCAGACTGATGCAACACCTTACAGCAGAATACTGATTTCGTTTGAATCCGGCATTTCTAGGCAAGAATATCTCGTATTTTGGGCGCCTCTGTGTATGCAGTTGGAGTAGACAAATATGATATCCAGGAGGTCTGTAATTCTCTCTCTTAAATGTCAGAAATGTACAAAGCCTTTTATTGTTCTGACGTCAGTAATTCCATTCTCTTTCTTTATCTTCTTCAGTTGAGAAATATCGCTGACAAGCCATCCGAAGATCATGTGTTTGTTGCTCGCAATTACGATGCTCTGAATAATATAATTGATTCTGTACGTTTTGATATGTGTTTTTGTGTTGTTTCACAAGCATTTGTCTTGACATTTTCTATTAAACATCTTCTTAGATCATCAAGAAATCATGTATTGAAGTTCTCTCAACAAAGCCCACAAAAACATGCGCTGGAGGTGTGTGCATGAACCTTTTACTTTACGAAACGTGTGATCCAATGACGACTCTAGTTCATATTGACGGAGTATGTAATCTTGTATCGTGTTATTTCCAGAAAGTTTCTCGGTCACACTTCATGGAAATGGATTTACGAAAACGGACAATATCTCCCAAGTTCGTTGTAATTTTAAACTTGGTGAAAAAGATCAAAGTATGTTGACAGTTGATTGTTGACCATATGTGAAGATCATATAATACCTTTGAATTAATCTCTCTCGCAAAGATAAAAGGCTCGTTCCTGATAAGATTACTATATTTCATGTTTCTTTAGTCACCAGAGCAACGTTTGTCAGTGAAACTGTTTTGAAATGTGTCTGCCCTCCAATTCCTAATCCCGGAAGGTCAGTTTCTTCACGTTTTTTAGTTTTCTATTTTTCTACAAATCGTTCAATCCATGTTCTTTATCTTTTAGTAAAGTAAACATTCAAGTGTCGGTCAACGGTATAAAATACGTTTCCAGTGATATCAGCATTGAAGCAGTTGATTGTCGACCTGTATGTAGCTTCAAACTCGTTAACTTGAACGACTGTTTTATCAGAATAAGTTTCCTGATCAGGTTTCATCAATTCCCTAAAACTATTGTGTTCAAATTGTAGCGTATTGCGATGAAGAACGAGAGCACGGTGTGTGTCGGAAGTGAGTACTGCAAAGTTCGTTTTTTATCTTCTTGTTCATTTGGTTTTCTTGTCATAAGACGCTCGTTGTGATTGTTGTCATAATCTCATTCTTTCTTACAGAATCACAAACAATAACAGTCTCAGGAAATCGTCTCCTTCGCTATTCAAATAAGTCCAAGTCGAACGTGGCTTGTCGCGTCAAGTACAACGATACGTTTGCTGGTGAGAATGAAAGATTTTACAAGTCAAACAACAGCTGAATATGAGTCTAGTTAGAAGCGAAACAGCAGTAATCTGGATATAATGTCATACCTTTTTTTTCAGTTCCGGCAGAGGTTATTTCTCTCACTTCTTCTACATTAAAATGCAAGATACCAGCGCTTCAAGAGACTGGCAGGTATAGAGTCTGCTTTACCGTCTTTCCTTCGAATTCAATTGCTGGCATTTATTAAACTGTCCACGTTTTATCTCCCAGAACTTTCATGTTCCAAGTAACGACGTCGAACTATGACACTGTGCTAAGAAGCTTGAAATTCACAACAGTATCCTGCACTCCGGTTAGTAAAACTAACTTCTAGTAGGACCATCTCACAACCTTATTGAAATGTTTCTACAATTCTTGCTGTATCAACTGAAATGAATATTTCATTCGGTGTTTAGGTCGAGAAGAAAACAAATGTCGGTCTTATTATCGGAATTTTATTCGTTCTCTTTCTTCTTGCGGCCATTCTCTTTTGGTGGTTCTGGCTGATGCTGTTTCCAAAGGTAAGTAAATTTCCCCTCAATATACTTGACGTTTGTGGACTAGATTAAGATAGAGACATTGTCCTTGGCAACATCACATCACGCTTCCCAATTCCCAAGGCAGGAAAACATGAAAACAATTCCCGGGAAGAAAGCATTGTTCCTCAACGACCTTTCCACGGGGAGGGCGAAAAGGGAAATATTTCTGGAAGGAAATGTCTCCTAGTGAATAGTGATAATTTTGCCCGAACTCTAGTAAGATTTCGTTTCTTTTAGGAGCCGAAGGAGGAGCCAGCTTCACCGACATCAAGTACAGTAAGTTATATATATTTTAATAGAAAAGTGAGTTGATGCAATGGCGCGACAGCAGCAGAAATATTAGTTCTTGTGCCTGATGTCTTCGTGACAAAATCATTATTTGTGCAGGGACCGCCGAAGAAGAAATGGCCGTCGGTAGACACGTCCTACTATGGAGGGGGAGGGATAGGAGGAATAACACCAGTGAAGGTTTTTGAGGCTCTCTTGTTGATGTATATTAGTTTGCCTTTTTTAGCAAAACGTATTTCATTATATATCTTATCTTTCCAGGTGAAATGGGGAGACAAAGGAGCGACTGATGCTGGAGCTTTGCTCGCAGCTGCTGAGGTGAGTTTGAAACCATTGAGATGGAAACTGAAGAAAAATGACAAGGAATAGTCGTTCAATCAAAATGTACTTCCTCTCATTTCTTTTGTTATCAGTGTATAAAAGGTTACCCAGAGAACGGAGATGAAATCATTTTGGAAAACGAGCAAACGTCTGCTCTCGTAATGCTCTTCCTAAGTTTCTACTCATTTTTATTTAGTTAAAGAAAAAGAAAGACACAGCAAGCCCAAGTCACGATGAACCGAAACCATCTTGTTGGGACAATGCTAAGGTCTTAATCATTTCATTTCCGAGAAAGGAAATTACCAAATAGTCATTCAAGTTTCATTTTATTTCGAAATTATTGACACTGAACCAAATTCTGATCATTGTAGGAGCGATTCCTAGCGTTCCTGACGCTCTTCCCGAAGGCATATTCCTGGATTGCATCCAAGAGGCCACAGCGTTCTGCGAGCGGAGGAACTAGGGAACCTGAGTACGAACAAGTCCGTCGTGTTTAGGCCTGGGAAAAAGGTAAGATTACTTCTGAATATTGTTGCTGTTGGATGTCCCTAGCTTGCAGGTAATCCTTAATTAGTAAGATTATCCTTAATCTGGTGGGATTACTTCAATCCATAGTTTGGGACAATTTGTTTTTGAAATCTTTGAAAGATTAGGGCATTTCTCCACGAAAGCTTCCAGCGGTCTACACGTTATCTCACAACTAAAGCTTACATCAAGTGTCTCTAAAAACTTCCAAGATTTCCCCGCCATTGCTTTTAGTACTTTGTCGGTCAGCGCATGCCCATAACCGCAGCAGCTGACACTTAAATATCGCAGAAACTTTAGCTTGGGAAGCATGGATAGTAAGCCATCTTCAGTGACACATCGACAGCGGGAGAGGTCAAGTTCTACCAACATACATCGGCTCCAATCAGGAACCTTAAAATTTTCATCGCTAATTTTGATTCCATCGCAAATCAGCGTCCGCAAGAATGGACAGATGTCAAGAATAAACCTCAAGAATTCTCCTTCAACTCTACGACAACGACGAACGCAAAGAAATCTTAAATTCTTGCAACAGATTAAAATCTGTTTCAGCCAATCATCCGTCAGTTCTTTGCAAAAGCTAAATTCTAGAGCTTCAAGCGTCAACCGTTGTCTTTGAAAAAAGTTGAGAAAGTTAAGTTTATTTTCTGTGAATAATTCCAGGAACTCGTCTCCGATAACCAAGCTCTCCAGCGTGTCTTTTCCAAGACTTTCTATAATGTTTCGGTAGACGGTTGTGGGCCCAGTGCTCTGTGCAATATTTAGTGCCTTTAAATTGTGAGGAAAATAGCTGATTTCTGGAAAGTTTTTCTGGCTTTCGCAGAATGTCGCATATTTTAATATAAGTGTTTCTATCGCAGAAGAAGTTATCTTTATCAAATGCAACGTTCCAGTCGATATATTGAACCTCGTTAAATCAAGATACTTCAGTTTGGCCTTGAAACTACTTCTGACCAATTTGCGAAGGGTTAAATCGTCTATATTTTTGCTATATTTTGCCAAGTTCACAACTCTCCATAACTGCCAATCGTGCGCTATTCTTTGCCACTCAGAATTCACTCTGGAGACACGAACCAGTTCCCCGGTTGATAGATACGAAAAGATTTTCAAGACAACTGATTCAGGAAAAACTTCCATGCACCTTTATCTTCGTATCTTTTCTCTATAGAATTTCTCTGCCAGGAAAGTTGTCGTCAGAAACAAATTGTTGTAATTCGCTGTTCATTCTTCTTTGTTACGACACCTAATTAATGAAGCATTATGACGCAAATCCAGATTATCAGCTCGCCCGAGACTTCCCCGGATGAAACCAATTAATACTTTTTGTTGCATCCTTTTAAAAAAGAATTGTTCCACCCTATCCCTCCGTAAGGAAAAAGATGAAACTTAACCTAATCTAAAGTATTTATTTTATAGTGCGTGGCCATAACTTTGAGGAGAAATGTCGAGGAATCCGGCTGATGTTGGCTGCATCATGAATCATTTAGTTGAATCTCTGGCTGTGCGCCTGGTGACGGTGATTACAAACTGTAGATATTATATATAAGTTTTGATTTAGGTCTAGTCTGTTTTATGAAATATTGCTTACTGTGTTACCTTTGAATAATTTGTACCTAGTACTAAAGAATCTTCGATATTTAATAGGCTAATATGATAAAATGATTTCATTTCTACAGAGTCTGAGATACCGTGAACAAGCAGAATCATTTGTAAAAACTTTGATCTTTTTTTCACATTTATACTAAATAGTAATCAATTCAGTCTAATCAACATCCTTGATTTCCATCCACCATGTTTCCTGCTGCATTTTTTGGAAATTTCACACCTTTTTCCAAGAAATCTGCCAAGGTATTCACACAGTGACAGCAAGCGGTGAACGGGGATACGATGACATAAAGTATCGCGCATATGAATCCGATGGGAAGAGCGATTATTAGGAGAATAATCAGCCAGATGATTGCCCAGATTAACTTGCATATTGCATCACAAACACCCATTTCGAAGAATTTCTTGGAAGTCACCTAATGTGATTGGATAACACAATGATATTTAATGGAATTGAAACACCTCAGAGAGATATCACAAACGTGTGCTGGTCTGATGCTATTTTACAAAAAGCCGTCGTGAAAACGGCGAATAAATGGTGTGGAGCCCATATGTAGCCGCATCACGCAATTTATTCATCATTTTCACGTTCTCTTTGACGTTGACGAACCGTTGACGTCCACATGCTACTCAGTGCTACACCGTACTGTACAGTATTGTTCACTACTTAGTCTACTTTACACCACCATACTGTGTTATACATTACTATACAACACTATACAGTATGATGAAGCTAAGGTCTACGTATTGTAGTGTATTTTATTATAGTTCTCTGTTTAAATGTGTTTTGTCTTCACTTGAAACCAAGCGTGAACTAGACAACAACTGTCACCGAAACTGTACGATACCAGACTGCTCGTTACCACGACTGTCCTATCGTATGTCAAGAAACTACCACTTACCTAATAACTCTGGAGAATTTTCGGTCTTTCCAGTTGTTTAAAACTCAAGCGTGTGAGAGAAATTGTGGCATAGGGCATTTTCAGAATGTTACAGGTGTTTTAGTCAAGTGTAATTGTAATCACTGAAGCGAGGCACCATCATGAGCAACCATGTCTGTGCTGAACACGAAGGGGGCTTTTTGCTTTTAAATCAAGTGGGTTTAGTTTGAAAATTCCCTTGTTTTTTTTCATTTTTTTATTCGGGAAGTGTTACTAATAACATATTTTAAACACTTTCAAAGGGAGTTGGTGCGACTGCGGACCAGGCGGGTCTGTCAGGTGATTTTATAAGTTATAACATGAAGTACCGCACTACACAAACATGGCAGCTTGAAGCAGAAGGATTTTTTAAAGTTTTTTCTTGGAAATATTGCTTTAAATGTTACCTACACGACATCTGAGACGCTTAGATATTATTAGACGACATCTTCAGCAACATAATGCAAGAAAAGTGAGCTCCAATGCAGGTAAATCGACGCAAATTGAATGCATCAAGTCATCAACTTTTGGTAAAATAATATTGTGAAATCTTCGCTTCGTGTTTTAGAGGAATATGATTATGATTTGGTTGTGATTGGTGGCGGATCAGGGGGTTTGTCATGTGCAAAAGAAGGTAGTTCATGTAGTTTTTTTATGCTCTATTTGTGTCTCGCAATCTATAAGTAGTATCCATCTGATAATCTGATTCCATTCCATCACAACAATGGAAAATCATCCAGATATCTTACACAAAATGTGTCGCGGTCTAGCACACTAAGCACAGTTGACTTTCTTTGTAGGAGCTCAGTTTGGTAAAAGAGTTGCTGTCTTGGATTATGTCTCAGCTTCTGCACAAGGTAAATACCGTCAGAACATAATTATGTTGGCTGTTGTAATCCAACATAGAGCACACTTGTTAGATAATCATACAATAATAATGCATTTTAGCTATTTACTATTCACATGTACAAAAAACGATGACCTGGTTAGCACCATACTCTTTAATCACGGAATTTTATTCACTATGCAGGTACAACATGGGGTCTTGGTGGGACATGTGTGAACGTTGGATGTATCCCAAAGAAGCTAATGCACCATGCCGCTCAGCTTGGAGATGCAATTGAGGTTAAAGAATTCATTTACCAGTGGCGGTGTTGAGTTTTTCATTCAATCTTTAATTTTAGATAAAAATTACTTGTTTAGGTTTCAGAAAAGTATGGATGGATCATTTCAGGAGAAGTCTCACATTCATGGTACAGTACTTGTTAAATTAAACTGATGCAAAAATCAACAGTTATGGAACAAAGTCAGATTTGTTGCAAGCTTTTTCTTCTGTTAACCCAGGGAGACGTTGGTTCAACATGTTCAAAATCATGTGAAATCCCTAAACTGGGGCCATCGAGTTCAACTGCAGGAGAAGTAAGCCTTTCCCATCCAATTCATATCAATGTGGTAATCTTCGTAAACAACAATTATATGAACGCCTTTTCTTGGAATATCTTTAGGAGTGTGAAGTATTTTAATGCAAACGGTGCCTTCCAAGATAATCACACAATCAAGGCTACCTCAAAAGATGGCAAAGAAGTAAGAAAAGTTAGTTTGGTAGCATGAAGTTTCAACAACATTCTCATGGGTATACTTTCTTTTTCATGTCTAGATGTTTATTACGGCAGAGAACATTGTTATTGCTGTTGGAGGAAGACCAAAATATCCAGAGAATGTAGGAAGTTCATGTGTTGAACATTAGAAATGCATATAAGAAGGATTATTTATATCTTATTCTTTATATTTTCAAAGGTACCAGGTGCAGTTGAGTACTGCGTTTCCAGTGATGACATATTCTCTCTTTCTAAGCCACCTGGAAAAACGTAAGTTTGTTTTCCCCGCAAGATATTTGATTTTTCTTTGCATGAGCATAATTAAAACTTGTGCAAAGTATAGAATAATATTTATATTTATTCAGCTAGACTCTAAAATTCTTCTTGTTTTTCATAGTTTAGTTGTTGGTGCATCTTGTATCCTTTGAAAATCCTGTGTTATATAAATGAACAGGAATAGATGATGATTAGTTAGGAAATAGATAAAAAATGACTGCATTTTACTTCTTGACCTTGTGCATCAGACGTTGCTCTTGAATGCGCTGGATTTTTGAATGGTCTTGGTTTTGATACCTCAGTAATGGTTCGTTCTGTTTTCTTGCGAGGATTTGATCAGGTGCGGTGTGTCTGTTGGTAATATTGGTTGGGAGGTACACTAGCTCAATAATAATTTCCCAAATAGTATTCTCATCTTACAGGTGAATATTATTCTTTTCAGCAAATGGGAAATCTGGTTGCAGCTAACATGCAATGCAATGGAACAAGGTTTATAGAGAAATCTGTCCCAACAGCTATAGAGAAAAATCAAGATGGAACACTTCAAGTTGAGTGGAAAAATTTGGAAAGTGGTTATACACACAGGGATTTGTTTGACACTGTTATGTTTGCAATAGGTAGGAGTGTTTATTCTGTGATCAGACCATCAAGAAATTTGCCATTAACCTAATATTTCTGCTGATTTCATCTTGATAATGTGGATACGTTTACTGTACCTTACATAGGGAGAGAACCAGAGACCTTGTTCCTACAGCTGGACAACGCTGGAGTTGCTATCAATGTGAATAGCAGAAAAATAATTGTAGATGAAAATGAAAGAACATCCGCTTCAAATATCTATGGTATTGGAGATGTTATTCATGTATGTCTATAGATTCAAATTTGAATGTGACTTTCATTAGTAAAGAATGTGCACCTTAGCTTCCCAATTTTCTTCTGTAGTAAGTGAAGGTTAGATCACCATGGAAGAAGCTATTAGAATTAATAAAAGTACCTGAAGTAGTTGTTTTTGAATTCTTTTTAATATAAGAACCGGCCGGAACTAACACCTGTTGCTATCATGGCTGGTAAATGTCTGGCAAGGAGACTCTTTGGTGCTTCAACTCAGATTATGGACTATACTAAGGTAATTTGATATCACATCATTGTAGTTCCCAGTCTAAGGTTGTCTGAATTACCTAAAGTGAACATTATGTTTTAAGAAATGGTCTTTCTGTGTCTTTAGATTCCAACAACTGTATTTACACCACTAGAATACAGTACAGTTGGCTTATCAGAAGAAGATGCTTTGATGAAATATGGGGATGAAAACATAGAGGTTGTTGAACTAATTATTGTGTCATTGTGTAAAATTTGCATGGCGTAACCATTCTGTGCTTATATTTTCTCTGGAAGGTATATCATGCATATTACAAGCCATTGGAGTATACTGTGGCTGAAAAAGACGCAAGCCAATGTTATATAAAGGTAGATGGAAAATAAATTTCTTGAAATATCAAACAAAAATCTGTTGTGTACAAAGTTAACTTCTATTCCACTTGCAGGCTGTTTGCGACAGACATAACAACACAGTTTTGGGTCTCCATTTTCTTGGCCCGCATGCTGGAGAGGTCATGCAAGGATTTGCTGCAGCAATGGCATGTGGTCTATCATATGATCAACTGTCGTCTACCATTGGTATTCATCCAACCGGCGCGGAAGAGATTGTTAAATTGAACATCACCAAGAGATCTGGGGAAGACCCGACTGTGACTGGTTGCTGAGGTTAACTTCTCTCTGAAAATGATGTCAAATTTTGACACATTTTTGGAGATGGTTTTCGGAGCATTATCAAGTCAGCAGGTGATGGTGAACCTCTTATGAACTAGTTTGTTCTGTTTTTATATCTATGTTTAAACATTTCTAACTATAACCACCATTTGCTAGGCAAATAATGCCCATTTAAACCACCAATATTAGGAACCACGTATTAGTTTATCATTGATGAAAGGTCATTTTAAAACCTTGGGTGGAGTGACCTGGAAGATTTCTGTTAGACAATTTAAATTTATATAAATTGTACAAAAATATCAAATTATATTTAATTTTGCATAATGGCATTGTCTTATTCCCTCTAAAGATTAAATCACACAATATTTAACAAAATGAAAATTTGAATCTTATTCACAAACAAATATATTCCAAAATCTACAGTTGTTAGTACAAACTAGAAATATATACTTGCACATCTAGTGTGTGCATATATTTACAAAGCATATTTATTTAACCTATTACTCTTGATCATTTGTAGGCTAGGCAATTTTAATTTCATACCAGGAAATGTTTTAATTTACTAATGAACACTCAGATCTGTCTATAGAATTGTCCAAAACTGGAATTACGGCCACATTAATTTATTTTGATATGTTTGAGATCATTTTTGAACAATCCAGCCTTTCAGCCAATTCCTGTTTCACACACATCAAGATATATCATAAGTCTTCAATGTTTTTGAGGCAACTGGAATTATCATAATATTTTCCATAGAAAAAAAGCATGCAAGCATTTTTTTAGAAGCTAAGATACAATCCTCAGTGTTTGATGTTGTAAATAGCTTTCAAATTGAATGCAATCATTTTCTTGTCATTGTCATCTGTGCAGAGATAATGTCGCACTTGCGTTGTAAGTGACAATGTTCACTATATTCTGCTGTGGCTGGGGAGCAAATTGTGTTGTAATTGTGTCATAAAAATCAGCTTCTTCACAAACCTAAATGAAAATTTCCAAAAGACAGGAAAGGTGGTAAGTGCTTGAATATGCTAGCATATTAATAAATTAATAAGGATTGTGTTGGGATCTATGTTTAGGCTGGGAAACCTTTATATACACTATGACAAGCTGTCAAGCTGGTTTCAAAAGAAACAGAATTTTGTTTAAATAGTTCATTATAAATAGAATTTGCATACTCTTTCAAATATTGGTGGGGTATGGTATTGCACGTTTAATGTAATTAATTTAAACAAGTATAAATGTTTACATGATTATATTTCAATTGCCCTCATTTATTCTGACAGGTTATTTAAAGCGAAAAATTTGCATTTCCATAGAGAAAAAAGTCCAGTTAAAGAAAGAAATAAAGAAATTGAATGCACCTGAAACGTCCATAATGAAACAGTCGAATACAAGAACAATAATCCTGCGACGAAACTCACAATAAAAAATGCAAAAAAGTTCACCAATATTAGACCATCTAGTTGCCTAAAAAATACGAAAACAAAATGTCGAAATGCAATCTTTAGATAAAGGATTTTAAATATATACCTTGCTACCAACCTGCTGTAAACTGCTTGTTGGTAAATAGTTATTTTGGATTTGATCTTTTCTGTCTGGGAATGTTCATCTTTTTCGATTGTTGATGTCGCCATATTATTGATATTTGCGACTTCTAATCACTAATTAAATCATTCTTTTCATTCCACCTTTTGATTGGCCAGATCCAACCAATCAGCTCGCGAGTAGTAAACAAGATATATTTTAGAAAAAGAAGAAAGTCTTTCTTTCAAAAAAAAATGTAAAGTTGCGGGGTTTTTTTTATCTTTACAACTAGTATGCAACTAAAGATCATGAATTAAACGTGCAAAATTTGTATATTTCAATTTTTCAGTAAGCTTTGTGAAAATATAACCGAGGGAAACTGACCGCAATATTTAATTGGAGTAACCATCTGCTATATATCCCATGATACTCAGCAATCACGTTCTTTTTCAGCTGGGACAAAATGGACACCAGGTAGAAATGCGTGAACTTTGATTATTAATCCAGTCCATCTAAGTCTTTTGAAAATATTTTTCGTTAAAAAGAAGCTGTTCTCGTGTTGTTTAAGTCCAATGCTGTCTGATGTATATCCTATTTTTGTTAGAAAATACATTTTATGCTCAGATATGCGTCTTTTTTTCACCATGTTTTAACCAAAAAAGTGTATGGAACAGACCCTTATATAGCATCATAATATAAAATAAACTGAACGATTTTGGGATCAGCTTCATACTTATAGTGATCTGAATAGTTTTACTTAATAGTCCACTGTTGTATACAGCAGAATTTGTATAAAGAGTGATATTTCTTGGTCATAGAATGTAGAAAACAGGCTAACAACAAAGTGATTCTAAGTCTAACATGGGTTCATCTCTTTTTATGCTTGCTACTCATTGTGTAGAAAATATCACATGTAATTTATTTTCCTCCAACGTAGACATCCAGTGGAATTAAGCCTCCACTGGCTCTGTCTGTATGGCACACGGGAGCCTAACATCTTTGATTTGAGGTATATTCCCAGCCATGACGTTGAAAATTGAAACTGCCCCAGATATTTTAAATATCTGTTGAGTGCAGTACTCTGCATATTCCTTGTGTCTCCTAGAGTCACTATGTGACAATAACTAGGAGGATAAACCATGCAATGAACAGTTCATTTGCCTTCTTATGAAGTTTAGATGCAAATCACAATAATATAACTTGCTAGGATTGTCTATTTTATAAGATATTTTAATCTCTTTCTAATTTTTTACTATTAAACTGTTCTAGCAATAATTTACCAACTGTTCCTGAGACTGTTCTCAAGAAAAGAAAAAGATTAGAACAGATCAAAGCATCCAGAGCTAAAGCTTTGCTTTCTCAGAAAAAGGTATCACTGGTGTAAAGTTTTTTAGTTTAGAAATCAACGTAGACATCCAGTGGAATTAAGCCTCCACTGGCTCTGTCTGTATGGCACACGGGAGCCTAACATCTTTGATTTGAGGTATATTCCCAGCCATGACGTTGAACATCAAAACTGCCCCAGATATTTTAAATATCTGTTGAGTGCAGTACTTTGCATATTCCTTGTGTCTCCTAGAGTCACTATGTGACAATAACGAGGAGGATAAACCATGCAATGAACAGTTTAACTAAGATTTTTCCATTACATCATACTTGAGCTTTTAAAATTAAAATACTCACTCTGATATTTAGCCACTCTTAATTTGTAGGCAAATAAAAATAAGCGTAAAGTGATCTTCAAGCGTGCTGAACAATATGTGAAGGAATATAGACAAAAAGAACGGGATGAAATCAGGTTACGAAGAATGGCAAACCAATTTGGGAATTTCTACGTCCCTGCAGAAGCTAAACTTGCATTTGTTATCCGTATCCGAGGGTACGTCTTTGTTTGTTTTTGGAGTTGATTCGAGAGCTTGAATTATTACTGATGTTGTGTTGGCGCTTTCCTCTGTTTTTAGTATTAATGGTGTGAGTCCGAGAGTAAGAAAGATCTTACAACTCTTCCGGCTTTTGCAAATTAACAATGGTGTGTTTGTGAAGTTAAATAAAGCTACATTGAACATGCTCAATATTATCCAACCTTACGTGGCATTCGGGTAAGCTTCTTGGTATTACAATTTATAAAGAATGAATTTATTCCAATGTAGACATCCAGTGGAATTAAGCCTTCACTGGCTCTGTCTGTATGGCACACGGGAGCCTAACATCTTTGATTTGAGGTATATTCCCAGCCATGACGTTGAACATCAAAACTGCCCCAGATATTTTAAATATCTGTTGAGTGCAGTACTTTGCATATTCCTTGTGTCTTCTAGAGTCACTATGTGACAATAACTAGGAGGATAAACCATGCAATGAACAGTCAATGTACTGAAGATTTCAAGATCCTTGTGAAATCAGGATTTTAGTAGAAATAGATGGTTTTAAGCTATAAAGTATTTCTCTATATTGTCTAGATATCCCAACCTCAAGAGTGTCCGAGAGTTGATCTACAAGCGAGGATTTGTGAAAATCGATAAACAACGAATCCCAATCACAGATAATTCACTTATTGAGCAAAATCTTGGAAAGTTTGGTATCATTTGTGTGGAGGATCTGATCCATGAAATTTTCACAATTGGACCTCACTTCAAGGAAGCAAACAATTTCCTGTGGCCATTCAAGCTATCCAATCCAACAGGTGGTTTGAGAAAGAAGAGAAACCATTTTGTCGAGGGTGGAGACTTTGGCAACCGCGAGGAAAAGATAAATGCCTTGATTCGTAAAATGAACTAAAATCCAACTATGAGGAGTTGCAAATAAAGTGTTCTTACTTCTGGAATATTGTTGTCTTTTATTGAGTTTAATGTTTGGCCAGCAATTCATTGAAACATGCTCGATTATAGAACTATAAAACTGCTTCCTGAAAAGAAGGTGTTTGTGTGTTTTAAGCTATAAGTAGACTTGTGCTCAAACATCTTTTGCAACTGAGGTGAATATGCCTGGTTTCCAGTAACTTTTTTTGTGTCTGAGTGACTCAACCAGAACTAATTTCTTTAACACATGGAGGATCTCAAGAAGTCCTGTGGATAGTTTTTACAAGAAACCAGCTTGAAACCTGTAATTACTAGTAATAGTATTGAGCGTTCACGGCATTAAGGAGATTATGCGCAACTAATGAAGGTCGTTCAAGGATAATTAGTGTCTCAAATTACTTGAGACTTGCAAGGAAAGCGCATGTCCGGATTTGAGGTGGAACTAATGAAGGTCATTCAAGGGTAATTAATAAGAAGGTACAAAGATCAATTATGTTGAATGTAATAAGGCCATGTTGACATGGTTGTTTTGTAAATAGCTCTCCTCAGAAACACCAAAATCACGCGAAAATTATGGCCTCGTTGCTTGTCGAAACCTTGAAATTTATTGGCCTGTTATTCTGGCAAATTATTACCGCGATTGTAATGTGGTTTGTTCCAGCTAAAAAGAAAGATGTTCGTGATGAAATAGTTTTGATCACAGGAGCAGGGAGTGGATTGGGTCGTTTAATGGCCCTGCGTTTCGCGTCTCTTGGTTCAATTGTCGTTTGTGTTGATATCAACAAACAGGCAAACGAAGCGACTGTGGATGAAATAAAAGCAAAAGATCAGAAAGCTTTTTCGTTCACTTGTGATTGCAGTAGCAAAGACGATATTTATCGTATTGCGAATGATATCAAAACGAATGTTGGAGAAGTGACAATCCTTATTAATAACGCTGGAATTGTCAGTGGAAAGAAGTTTTTAGAGTGCTCAGATGGTTTGATTCAAAAAACCTTTGAAGTGAATACTTTGGCACATTGCTGGGTAAGAAATATTATTAAAAAAAGCCAGTTCTTTGATGATATTTACACACATTTGATGGTTCGTATTTTGGCCAATGTTATCGAGCAAACGAACACTTCGACGACTCCTATTGGCTGATTTTCTTTCAATTCGGAGTAGCTTTATTATATAGTTGCGCAATTTCGTGAAATAACATACGTCTGAAGCACATGGTCAGAAATTACACGTTTACAATCAATATTAATTTTGTATGCATGGAGCAATAAATATCCTTGACTATGACTTGTCTGGAAGTTTGTTTGAAAATCTTTGTGACCAGAGCAATGAACTTGCAGCTACAACACTAGGTTTCTTGACCAATGACCAGTTTATGATGTTAGTTCAACTTTCCTGATTGAAGTCTTAATGTGCCTGAATAATGATAATTCACATGTTCCTATAACTTTCAGACAACCAAAGCATTTCTTCCTGCAATGATAGACAACAACCATGGTCACATTGTAAGCATTGCATCTTCAGCTGGCCTCTTTGGTGTTTCCGGACTGTGTGATTACTGCAGCTCAAAGTTTGGGGCATATGGCTTTAATGAGTCGTTACAGATGGAGCTTGCTGCCACTGGGAAACATGATGTTCATACCACAGTTATTTGTCCATATTTCATAAACACCGGCATGTTTGATGGGGCAAAGACAAAGTAAGACTCTCACAACCTTTAATGCAGATATTGATGTCACATGATGGCTTTTTTATGCTAGAAATGCCCAATCAACAATGTCCAATGTGAATAATTTGTTTTTCATAGATTTCCATCACTTCTTCCTATTGTTGAACCAGACGTGGCAGTAAACAGAATTATGAACGCAATACTAACAAACCAGCGTGTTTTGATAATGCCAAGAACTTTGTACATTTTTCTGATTCTAAAAAGGTATAAATTGTTGTTGGTTATGATCTGAAACTAATGCAACCAAGGCTTTAGATCTTGGGATCAACTTTGGGGCACTGATTGATGGCCTTTTTAAGATCTAATATTGCTGGTAGTTCATGTTTATTTCATGCAAACACAATTTTTTTTTCATTTAGTTTGCTACCTCAGGTTTCCTATATCGCCTTATCTGAGTTCTTTGGAGCCAGTGCATCAATGAATGATTTCAAAGGCAGAACAAATAAAAAGGAAAGTTAAATGATGGAAGGATGAAGTCCTCTGCATCTATGAAATATGAATTTGGATTATTCAAGCAATGACTCATTATTTACATGATAGAGAACGGCCATGCTAGGATTGTCAATATCGTGTAATTGGATTTTTATATAAAAAAAATTTTGAGTACCTTAGGAATTTTAGACATATATATCATTCTTATTCAATTTTAACTTGATAAATGGCCTTGTTTATAAGTTTGCAAAGCATTTTTGCTGGGGCAAATGGTTAGTACCAAATTATTGTTAATTTTGAATAATAATCATAATAATTTTAAAATAATATATATTCATATCTTTAGTTATTAGTTTATTTTATCCAAATCCATTTTAGTGTAATTTGAGTTTAAATAAATTGTTTTCTACAATGATTTAATAACGTAATTTATTTGTCATTCACTAGGTTAGTAATTTTGTCCAGCCTCATATTGCGGTCTGCGATGCAACGCATGCTAATTTTACTTTTGCACCGCATATAATATTGCGCGCAAATTATGCGAAACGACATTTGGTTGCTGTCATCTGTTCAACGAAATGATGAAATCTGACATAATTAGATCAGCTGATCATTGGCGGGTGACTTTCGTTTGCCAAATTGCTTTTAAACTTGTATACCTCGAGTACCTCTAGCATAGAAATCATTATTAATTGAGTCAAAATTCAGCCTTTTCATCGCTTTGACGTCACCGTGCAATATGTCTAGAAATTAACTACTTCGATGAGTTCGATCATTCTTGCGTCTGTGAGATAAAGCTAATAATCACACGTTCTAAATTTGCCGCTGGTAATAAAGGCTGCATATGTAACAATACATTACATGACAGCCTCGATACCAAACTCTTGTTTGCTCTGCTCTTGAGACCGGGCACTCAGGAAGTGTCTTTTTTATATATTTTTCGGTTTTTCCAAAAACGTTGACGTCAACCGTAGACTGCGCACGCCAACGATTTTGAAAGAGATAAAATGTCATGATTTGAAGTTTTGAACGGTAAGGATGCGAAATTTTGTAATAGAATAAACAGATAACCTCTTCGTTAACATTTCAAAGCTTTTCCACAAACCAGTGCAGCTTACTATGGCTACATTCGAGTGATTTGACTCCCACATTTGAGATATCATTAGTACTGAAATTAAACGCAGATTGAACGCGTTATCTGCTAGAACAATCTTGTTACGCAAACAGGGTCTGTATAAATAAACACACAATTTTATGCAATATACCTTAAAGTTTGTCAAAATAGAGCATCCGTTTTCTATTTTTCTTTGCCAGCGATGTGTCTTGGCTTATGATTTATTACAGAATACGTATTTTTCTAAAGCAGGCTGTTTTTCCTGCTTGTCTAGTGCATGCTTTGCGGTAGGTTCACTTAGTATAAAGGGCGTATATTTGATAAGATAATAATATATAGACAAGTCGCTCGGTACTGATCGCTGAGGTGATCCAGATCTCCCAGATATAAAGAGTATATATTTGTCAAAATGCTCTTGAAGTTTTGTTTTCAAGTTTCGTCACTGCATGAAGACAATCAACCTGGTGAATCTACGTAAGTAGAATATAAATTCTGTTTGCAATGAATCTGTTTAATCCAACATTGGTATCTTTTGTTTGTGACTCTATAACCGGATATATAGTCTGAAGATCTCTTAACGTAACATCCTATTAATATATATTTTTCTTTCTTAATCTCTTCTAATGGATTGACTCAGGGAAGCATAATTTGTTTGCCTGTTGATTTTTGCTATGTGTGTCATCAATATGTCTTAAACTATTTAACCATGTACCTGGACATGAAAACTAACTGTAGGGTTTTTCTCGCCTTTCGTTGCCTAAGAAACGTAAGCATGTCGCAATATAGTTGTCCTCAGTTATTGTTGCCTTGGACTGATCACTTGACAACTGAAATGCTGAAAGGTTTTGAGCGGCGGATAACTGGTCTGTATCGTCTAGGATCTAGCTAACCATACTCTACTTCAATTTAGGTTTCACTAGCTTCATTGTATTCGATTTTGAATAAGTCTTTAAGCCTACCTCGACAATGCGGAATTACTGGTCAAACTCCCGGGAAGATAAGTACTCTCATTAGCAAGTAATAAAATGGAAAAAAGGAATTTTCTATTCTGGATTAATCCTGTCTCGTGCTCTTTTTAATCTTTTTTCCTTTATCGTGGGTAGAATGGAGCGCGTGCAAGATCCCATGGTCCGATTCTGGTAATAATTTCATGACCTTGCATATCTCATATAGGGTATATCTCATTACAACAGCGCTTATACTAACTTACTATACTCAATTTAGGATTAACATAAAGTTTGGATTCCGTAGAATCAGAATGTAGCTACTAGCTATATCTTGCATTGCAGGGAAATAATAACAGCCCAATTTAGACTAGCTTACTGAGGAGAGAGACTACTACGGGTGGTATGTCTGGTCAGTGCGAGGTATTTATACCTAAGCATTTACACCTTTCAATCCACAAAACAAATCAGAAGAACTACATGAAGGCACCTTAAAGTGACCCATCCATAATCTTTTGAAGAAGACCAAAGGGCAGTCATTCTAGAGCATTCTCCAAGGTCTCCCAAAGTCTTTGCAAAATATAAAAAAGCCCTCGGAAATATTATTTTTCTCAGAAGGAAAACATTTAGAGGACCAATTGTGAGATGATTTTTTCCAGAAAACTTGGACGTGATTGATGATCCGTTGATCTTAGCAAATCAAACTGGATTATTGGTTGTTATGCTGAAGATTTTTTCCTGTTCAGATACTTCAACCGTATTGTGTTTCTTTAGTGACTATTAACTAGGTATTGAAATAAATCCGGTTTCAAAAAACGTTGCGTCAGAAATATCTCCCACGATGATCCCTTAGTTCAACTTCTGTAAACTGATTTCTGGGTGAGTTATTTTCGTGTGTGCGGCTTTGTCAGTTCTAATTTATTTCTTCCTAGAGGTCCAGTAAGGATCATCTCTTATTGATCCAGTGTTACTACAGGAGGGAACCTAAACTAAACTAGCTTTAATTCTACTGGATAGCTCTATCAGTTCTAAACTGTTCTTCCTAGAGGTCCAGTAAGGATCATCTCTTATTGATCCAATGTTACTACAGGAGGAAACCTGAACTAAACTAACTTTATTTATACTGGATAGCTCTATCAGTTCTAAACTGTTCTTCCTTGAGATCCAGTAAGGATCATCTCCTATTGATCCAGTGTTACTACAGAAAGAAACCTAAACTAAACTCACTTTATTTATACTGTATGCAACATGCATAAATATTGCTCGAGTCTATAGATTGGTGTTAAAAACGCGAGGAAAGTCATTGGAGAAGTTGCGGCGTTTTGTAAAGTGGGACAAATTTCTCACATAATAATTCACTCATGAACATCGTCAAAATTTGGCTCATGATATATTATCATTGATATTTAAAGATATTTTTGATATTTTTGTGCTAAATTTTCGGCAACGGATTTCACACTTTGTTTGTTTACAGCTGGGAACGCAGATTTTCCTGACGCGCAAGTTTGTGCGATCCGCGCGCGCGATAGAAAAACATGCGCAAATGTCAACAGATGATTTATGCTGCGTTTGATAAATGATTTGAAAATTACCTCAAATGTACCCTTGCTGAGAACAAATTAAATTGTCAATAAATTTCGGCTCGGTTTTGAGTTTTAATTGAGATTGATTACAGCGGTAAGGGTGAAAAGTGGACGTTTTCGCAAATGCATATCCTGATCTGCGCTAGCAGTGGCTTGCGTTACCGTCATAAGAAACACCATATAAAGTGCTAACCACTCACTTTCGAGTACTTTCAATAAATTGAAAGGATCATACATTAAGTTACCCTTGCATGTCCTCTCAGAAGACACTCCAGTGCATGCAAATTCGAGTACAGCTATCTTGAGGTGAAGATTTTTGCGGGTACAAATGGCCACGGAGGAATTTTATTTACGTATGTCTGTGAATTGTCCATCTCTCGTGAGAACGAATTCTTGAGCTAATCTTTCTCTACAGATCTGCCCTATCAATAATCACCTAAATAAACACACGGAGTAGATAATATGTAAAGCTATAATCTGCGTGTCACGGGAACTCTGATGGTGCATGTCTGTTTAAACTAAGAGATTAGTTTACACAATACCTCGGGAAGTCTAACTTGTTCATTTGAATAACAATTTAAAATATGCCAAACAAATAAGGATTTTGATGTTTAGATTTTAATAAGCTAATGAGAAATATCTGTGAGAAAGTGCAATGTTTGGTTTCGTGGGTAATTTGCGCGTGGGATAAAACGGAATGGATTTTTTTTCAAGATGCAAGTGAAATTAGGAAGTTAATTATATGATATCGACTTGTCGTGCGAGTCTGAAACGACCGCGAGTCATGATTTTAGAATTCTACCATTATTGAAGAGGCATTCTTTGATCAGTCAACTGTAAGTAAATTTCTTCTTTTAAAAAGGAATCACTGAAGAGTTTTCAAGTGTTCTGAAACCTGATTAGTTCAAGATCACCCGAACCCAGGGTTTCCAGTGAAACTCCGGCGAAGATAAATTCGCTCATTAGTGAATAAAGGAATGGAAAAAAATAATTTTCCGTTCTGGGTTAATCCTATCTCGTGTATCATTAAGCTAAATCTATTTTTCTTCTAAATCGAGCTAATTTTAGCCCCCTCGAATGCTCGACGTTCCTAACTATCGCACATACCAGGGAAAGCGTTGCCAAAGGCATTTTATAAATTTGCTCTACAAGCTTAAAATGTCATCCGTTAGACATAAATCAAGTCGACATCATTGTAAGGATATTTTCCAAATTATACCATCTGTCACCGTGCGGTGAGAGCATCGTCTCAAGACGCAAATAAATAGAAGTGCGCGCGGCCCAAAGGACCACTTAATCTGGTTGCTTCGCTAAGATAGATTTGTTAGAATTCGTTACGTCACATTGTTACGAACTGTTTCAGAGAGACTAGCCCTGCGCTAAAGTTGGCCTTCGTGAAGGTAAGAATGTTGAAAGAGATTTTTAAGTCGATTAAAAAGGAACAGCGCGTCACGATTTAGTGAAACGTTAGCTAGCGTGGTGTTTAATGCATGTTCACCTTATAGAATTCGGTTTGGCATCTAGGATTTTCTAATATCAAGCCTGTCTTGGAAGGATAAACTTCGGTGCTTCTTTCATGCGGGAAAATAATGATAGTAACACATATTCGCATTCTTCAGTTAACCATAGCATGATAGTAATGCCTTGGACTTCGTATAATGCCTAGGGTCAGTTTGAGTTTGAGCAATTCACTCAGCTGCGGCTGTTTATCTTTGTGGAAAAACAGTTTTAGTAATTCGACTTTAACTTTGTATTCTATTTTGTGATCTTCGTGATGTGAAATAAGCTTAATTTGGAAATGTAGTTTAGTACTCAATATGTCATCATTTTTTCGAGGCAAAGTCTCTCAATTCGCTACGCTATTTGCTATCTCGTAATACTTCTTGCATTGGCAATTAAACTCTCGTCTCTCGTGTTTAACTGGCCCAACTCGATAACCGTGAATAATAGCTTTGATAGCCTCGACAGTTTAAATGGTGCTGTCGCAGCCGGCTGTTAGGCACTACCGTTTTTCACTTTTCACGACAAGAGTCTAGCACGCTGGCGACAATGGGCTCTCCAGATTGTCAGACTTCGAGGTGTTTTTAACCAAGTTCTTCACGATAAAACTCACTCGCGATCTTATTCAGTTTCATGTGCTTGCCTTGCAGAGCTGTGCCCAGAAATCTGCGCTCTCTTAAAAGTTGGAAATTGAAACCAAGCTTTGCTGAATTAAACCGATTCATTTGCAAGATCTTTTAACAAGACTAACCTCCTTTGGTGTCGACGGAATTACTTGTGAGTATTATTTTATTTTATTCAGTTAATAGTCTCGTATCTCTATTCATGCATCTTTTTGCGCTCCTGCGCGTATTGACCTCACGAATGTGTTAACCTCTTCTTACGCAAGGCCAAGAATTAGCGAATAGCTTGAAACTATTTTGATATTTCTGGGAACAACTTAGCACTCAGCTAAATCTTCATTTAATCTCCGTTTCCTTGTACGAGTCATCTAAAATGAATTAACCATAATTGCCTCAGCAAAGCCTGGTTTGCTCTGTTGTTACACATCGGTGTTAGCCAACCTACTGTTCGCAAGTACTTGTGAATTTATCCCATTGAGGATTTGTTACTTTCGCCACGCTTCTCACAGGAAATTTCTGTTGACAATTGTATTGCGCGAATATGGGCGAGTTTGCGCGAGATTGCGCAAAACGCAAATAATGATAATTATTCTGTATTATCGAGACGCGCGCTTCGAGTTTCCGACGGCGTGGCTAATGTCAATTCAATGGTTTTTACAATAAGCTAGCACGATCTCAAAGTGCTGTTGAAATGTGGGCTCTTCAGGCGAACATCCTCGACAGACTGATTTCTGCACTTGACTTAAGAGGGTATATATAACTACCCTGGCCGTTTTAATGACTTGTTGATTTAAAAAGTCGAGAAAAATAGGCGAGAGTGACTAAAAAGGCCAAGTTGAAAAGTGAACAGGTTATGAGCTTTCTGCACTTTGCAATATTATGACTCATTAATGCTTCAACGACTTGTTGCTGACTAATTCATGTAACCTTGGGACACACATGCTGAGAATTAAGATTGAGAATTAATTATATTTTACCTTTTCTGTCAACAAGAAGATTTAGTCTATATTCGCGCATTGGTAGAATTCTGCGATAATTCTGCCGTAGTGATGAAATAAGCTCATCGAGATGTTAGATCATTTTGGGTTACCTGTTTGGTAGTAACATTAGGTCAACCTCCAGAAGAACAGTTTAGAACTGATAGAGCTATCCAGTATAAATTAAGTTAGTTTAGTTTAGGTTTCCTCCTGTAGTAACACTGGATCAATAAGAGATGATCCTTACTGGACCTCTAGGAAGAACAGTTTAGAACTGATAGAACTATCCAGTATAAATAAAGTTAGTTTAGTTTAGGTTTCCTCCAATAGTAACACTGGATCAGTTTACTTGACCTCTGGGTAAAACAGTTTTGAGCCATTAGAGCATGCATGGTATATGGCACATTACTCTTTCTGAGCCCCCAAGCGGGAAATTCCTGGGTGCGGCTGGTATCGAACCTACAAATTCTTCTTAATCCAAGTAAAGATGATCTAAGAGGCTAAATTAGTTCAAGAAGTTACTATTTTTAAACAGAATCTAGTTCCTCCGATATTGGCTTAAACCTTACATCACTGATAACGAAGACCGTTGCTTCGATTCTGATCGTAAATCAGTCGGAAGCGTGTCGTGAGTTGAGTCATGCGCAGATGCGCTTTTCATCAAATTGATATTTACGACAAGATTCCGAAACGCGCAGAATCATCTGGAAACCAGGTCCACATCAATTACACATCAAGTTATCTTCGCGGTTGAACCTACTAAGAATTTACTAAATTATTCCAACTATCTGTAGAGTGCGGTTGAAATATTTCCTCAATGCCTCCTCGAGAGATTTTTCTTGGAGATAAGATAATTTTGACCATATCAAAAGGCACAATCTTTTGACTGTTGCGTCTTATGTTTAAAACAGTTTAACAACTCTTATCTGAATGACCATTCATGGCAAGTACCATATATGAAGGCTTGAACTGCTGTAATAAGTGCTAAGTATGGATTATCGTATTACGAAATTCCATCAGCATTGACGGTTCCATGGACCTTTGTTCTACCAACACTAATGTTCTACTCAATGACCAACAAGAATCCAGTACAATCCAGCTAGGAAAACAGGAACGAAACTGACTACACTGAAACTGTTCTTCCTAGAGGTCCAGTAAGGATCATCTTTTATTGATCTAGCGTTACTACAGGAGGAAACCTAAACTAAATTAACTTTATTTATACTGGATAGCTCTATCAGTTCTAAACTGTTCTTCCTAGAGGTCCAGTAAGGAACATCTCTTATTGATCCAGTGTTACTACAGGAGGAAACCTAAACTAAACTAACTTTATTTATACTGGATAGCTCTATCAGTTCTAAACTGTTCTTCCTAGAGGTCCAGTAAGGAACATCTCTTATTGATCCAGTGTTACTACAGAAGGAAACCTAAACTAAACTAACTTAATTTTGGATGGGAATGTTCTGTATTTTTAAACCACCCGTTGCAGGTAAAACATGAGTAAAAAGAGCCGATCTCTTATTGAGGAACCTTTGATGTTTAAGACACGCCTTTCTACTTATGACGGAGGAGTTGAGTCCGGGTCAGAAAGGTGATGGCACTTCATTCATGCACGAACAACTGTCTACCCAATATGCCTAAGCACTCGAAAAGATATGATATTGTTTATGACCTTTCAAGAGTTCTTCACTTTGATTAAGATTCCAACGGCAAGACATTGTTTTCTTGCATTTATTGAGTGGAAAAAGAGCACCCGACACTCAAGGTAGATACAGTTGCTGGCCACATTTCACGACTTGGCATATCGAGCAACCCGTCATATCTCGTGTTTGCGGAAACAAAAAATCTCTCATCTCTTTCCCCTGACTTTTGAAAAGCATTTTCGTTTTCTCATCTCTGAAAAACAGTTGCATGTTTCAACGATTCAGAATATTTTTCAAATCCTTCTGTAAGCCTGAACAGGTAGAATGGTATGCAGTCAACGTTTCCTTTCATAATTTAAGCCCACTCTTCATGGGGGCGTTGCCGTTTTAAAGGTTTCTTAAAGTGTTTTTAAATTTTCACGCCCCTGAATGCAAGAGATTTCATCTCCAGCTGGTATGTTGAGATGTTCGCGAGGCCGAGAAAAGTCAATTCAATTATGTCATTTGTATTCATTTTTCAAAATATCTCCGTTTAAACTTCCTCTATTTCACTCACGGAGAGCAACGATTTTTGCGGCTCAATATATATTTGATGCAGTTAATCGCTTTAGTAGAGTCAAACCACATATGGTCTTTGAGGTTTTGTTGTTTATTTACGTTTATAATCTCAAATATTTAAATAATTTAAGATCCTTTTCGAAATCCCAAAAAGGATGTTTCTAGTAAGTTCTGCTCTGAACTTTGGTATGCAATCGTCGAGTTTAACAATAAACGAGGTATTTAGATGAGTGCATGAGATAACCAGCGCTGACCGGCGTGATGTCCCTGTTCAAGTTAAGCAATTCCCGAGATGAGTTTAGACCAAAAAAAAGCTTCTCGGCGTTTCGACCTAAGGGCTTTGGTCAGGAAACGTCGTAATGATTCCTTCATGTATCTTTTGGACAGATGTCTTCTTCATTATCGTTTATTGCGAGTTTCTGACTGGATATTGTGAGATTGCACTAAGTGAGGGTCTAAAATGCGTGTGTTTGCACTAAAATTTGTCTTTGTGAAAAAGATATCTCAAACGTGGTGGTCCAGTTCAGGTAGTAAGTATATATAATCTGGTGATATCTTTTTGACAGAGTTAATAACAGAGCGTAGGAGTAAAGCTTAGTGCAGGGTAAATCATCTGGCTTCAGACAGAATGGACACTGATCAAAGCCGTTTATTCTGTCTGGAATTGACCAGCGAATAAATTGGCTGAACTTCCAAAAATGGCGAATACTTCCTATAAACAACTGGATAATGCCTTCAGTTGCTAAGCGATGAAACGTCAGCGCTCTCTTTGGCCAGAAAATTTGATTAATGAAAAAATTGTTGCGCTAATAATCGGATTAAGAACGAGGGCCAAAAGTCTTGCTTCTGCCTCGAGCATTTTCCCTCTTCCGATTATGACGGATTGATGCGAGTAATCCAGGTAATCCAGCATTAACTGAAGTTTAAGCAGGAAATCCTGGATTGCGGGAGTTGTGAGAAATCTAAAACAACGCTGATAGTTACAGCATGACAGACATCGTGTCAAATATAGTAACGCTTTTCGCAGTATATTTTCAACACACTTTTGACTATAGACAGATTTTTTTTGCTGGGCAGTAGCACAATTCAACAATTCAAGTAGTTTCTCGAGTCGCGTAGGTCGATATTTCAGATCAATTTTGCAACAGGATCTTTTCAGTTACTTGCATAAAACACTAGACAAGCGCTTTTTTAACATTCTTGTGGCTTCATGCATCTCTGATAAAGCTTTAAATGCTTTCTGAAATATCATTTCCGACATAATCTTGTTATTTTACCCCAACTGTTCGTATTATTTACAGACAAGGATTTAAACTCTCTCTACTTATGAAGGTAAACAACTAATCATTATCTTCACAAAACCTCTAGGCTCTTGGTTCTTCCGTGTTGAAAGTCGATAAAAAAGGCTATAAAAAATGCATCACTCTGCTATCTTTTGGTCAATTCATGTTTATCGTTGGTATTGTCTCCGTATATACGAGCCAGAAATAAACTGCCGGAATTTCAAATTCGAAAGCATATGCATCTAACCATCAAAGGCGAATTCAGTTTGTCCTAACGGTCCATAGTTTTCGTTAATAGTTATTTAATAAGCCTCCAAACAAGGTTGATATCTTCACAGATCTGATAAAATCTGAAGTCTTTAGTCGTTTTAAACTATGCAAACACTTTTAAACCTATATGCTGGTGTACAAGTGCTTGAATCTTTTGCAATGGTTGTAAGATAAAGGTTAAGATTGGAACCATATATAAGTATTGATTGTTGTCGCGGTGCGCGATTGCCCTTGAAGTAGGCCAATGATTTCCATAAGTAGCGCCATTGATCGACATGATCCCCGTTTATTGTTGTTGCAAGAAGATAACTCAATAATGTTTACCAATATGATTTTGCTGATAAACTTAGATAAGTCTGACACACTTGAAATACTTGCATGACAACGCGCAGTCACCTTGTCGGTCTAAAGTTATTGCAAAACTGCTTTGATCCTATATCGATCTGATGGCATTTGAATGATGGAATATTTGAAGGGCTTCTGAGAAGATATATAGGGCAAAATTTATTGTGATCAGCTACTAGACATAACTATTCACATCTAAATTAAACCATACTCCTCCATAAAGACAATATATGCAAACCGTTATCATTGATGAATGTAGGTTGGTCATCGTTGGACGTGGGTGAATATTCTTTAATGACCAAGGATTGTTTAGAGATAATACATAAAGTCTCCTGTTTGACTGAAATATATGAAATATTTCCGTTAATTCGTGGGAAGCTTTAACCGTTTCCTGAGCTCAGTCAATTTTATTTCTGTCCTAAGTTATTTCCAAGGATTGAATGCGCAATTAAATCGCGGCACAAATCTTATTCTCAAATTTTTTTACCAAACAAGGAAGTAACAGATCTCGTATTGGTTGTTGTTGCTCAGTCCTGTTAATTAATTAAAACTCCTAATCTTGCATGCCAACTATCATTGGTAAATAAACCCTTAAAAAAAGGTTGGGAACTATGCATGTTAGAAGACACTGTTGTAGACGTTTCTTTGTTTCTTTAAGACCACTCAATGGTTGGTATAATTCAGGTTAAACGCTTAAAGTATCTAAAAAATAAATACCGTACGGGCCGCGCTTAGCCGAGGTTTTTGAGCTTTTTAAGCACTGCTGATATAGCGCTGTTCTGTTTCGGAAAGTAATCTGTGTTGCATGTAAAGAGACTGTCTTCTTACAGCAAATCAGAGGAAAAACATCTCTTACTTTTACACTGGCAAACTGCTTTGGAAGATTACAATCATATTTGTATAAGTGTCAATTATGAAATTGTGGGCGAACGTTCAATGGTTAACCATTACTGCGTTTTCGCCATTTTAAGAAAGGAGGTTGGAAAAAAACTCGATTTGCGAATGCTTCAAGACCTTGTTCTTTGGGAGAAACGCGTGTTTTTCCCTCTCAAAAAAAAACATTTAAAAAATGTCAACAAAACAGCAAAACATTGGTATTTGTGACGCTACCAGTTTGAAATGTTGACGAAGTAAATGAAAAGATTAGTGGAATTATTGGGTTTTATTACAGTACATATATACGTAGCATTGTTTGTATACTTTAGTTGATACTAGCTAATCTTCATGTTGACATGCTTTATCCAATCAACAAGCACTGGGGTGATACGCAAGAATCAATACGAAATCATTTCGTATCAGGTTACCTGTATTTGGATCACGAACAGTCAGTAATCTATCACATTGATCAAAATCTACCTCCTTAAATATAACCATATTTTAGGTAATTAGAAGGCTTGAAATAAATACTCTTTGTCGGTACGTCAGTGGAGCAGTTTAGGTGAACCAGCTACTGGGGACTAACAGATTCTTTGTCGTTTTAGTGAACTTTGGACGCTCTTTCGACGGATAAACGAGAACGAGATCCCAACCAGTAGGTCCGTTTGTTATTGGACATCATTATGAACGTTTTACCCCGGAGCTGGTTTGTTTTATCGACGCGTCTTGCGTTAGCAACGATCTTATTGCTGCTCCTAGCAAGCTCCTTTGCTGCGCGCAAGGGACCCAGTAACGCTAAGCTCATGAATAGCTTCAACAGCGTAAAAAACTATGATCACGTAGCGAGCGAAGAAACTGCACGACAGATGCTCAATGTATTAGGAATAGACGAGCTTCCTAAGCCACGACACGGCATCGTTCCTCACCAGTACATGATCGAGATTTATGAAAAAATGTCGAGAAGGAAATCGTCAAGAAATGGCGTCAACACCATCCGCGGTTTTGTCGATGTTGGTGAGTAAAAATATACATTAAATCCACGCTTGAAAGATTGAACTGCTTAGACAAAAAGGCTCGAAACCTACCAAGTTCTTTTTTTATATTTCTCAAGTAGTTTGATCTTTCAACGATGCCATGCAATTGAAATTATGTTGTACGTCCATTTCTTCAGCTTCATATGTAAACACACTAGACTGAGCAAAGTAAACACATTTTTAGCCTTTTGGCAAAGTTTTATCGTGTCACGATCAGAATGAGTATAGACTGTTAACAATATCGTTGTTTTTCTCGTTCAGGGGACGATGACAGCTCACGGAGAATGAAATTTCATCAGATATACTCGTTTAATATTTCCGCTCTGCCGAGCTCGGAAAAAATCATCTCGGCTGATTTACGCTTGCTGCGAATACCAACAGGTCTGGAATGGAAGTTCGCCTGGGCCCATGGCTTGAAGTACCACGCGAAATTATACTATAAAAAGACCGTTAAACATATCTGGAACTCGCAAGTTTTTACACATACGCAACTTGTGCTGGTAGACACGCTGGTCTTTGATATACGAGAAAGATCGGGAGATTGGAAGGTTTTGAAAGTGCTGGACGCTATGCTCGCGTGGAGAAATGATACAAATTTTGTGCACAACTTGGAATTGCAAGTTGAATCTGTGCGTACGGGGTATTTGATGCCAGCGCAAGCTTTTGGCTTGATGGAGACAGGACGCACGCATGATAAACGAGCGCTTTTGGTTAGTTTTACAGATGACGGAAAAGCTCCCGAGATGGAATCAAAGGACAGACCACAAAGGGATAAAATAGTGGTGGAAACAGACGAAGAAAACGGTACTAATCGCATAAAACGAAACACAAAAAGAAGACGGCGAAGAAAGCCTATTTGTAATCGAAAGAAATTGTATGTCGATTTCATACTGCTTGGATGGTCGAATTGGATCTTAGCTCCCCGGGGTTATAACGCTTATTATTGTCAGGGTATGTGTAAATATCCAATCGCTGAACATTTGAAACCAACTAATCATGCTATGGTACAAACTACTGTACATTACTCTGACAGGCGTCGAGTTCCACCAGCTTGCTGTGTCCCTAATAAACTGTCAGGGCTGGGTATGCTTTTCCTAGATAAAGGGGACAGTGTGGTATATAAAGTGTATAACGATATGGTTGTCGAGCGCTGTGGTTGTAAATGAGCGCCTGTGTACTCAATCTCATACGTAGAGAACAGCAACAAGGCGGTCGCTAAACGCCCGCATAACAAAGCAAGCCAAGAACGTTTATACAAGTGCTAATGGGAGACGCATGGAGACATGTAGCCTTTTAAGACCTGGGAGCAGACAGTCGTAGTGTTAAAATGATGCCGTTTCGTAGACTATCTGTCTTTCATCTGCATCCTGTCGGCCAAAAAACAAACATATAAACTATTGAGGCAATGAATTTTACAGAATTATGGAGACTATTCGCTTGTATCGGATATAGCGTTAATAACAGTAAGGTCTGATTATATGTGTTTGTGTGAATATGCTGATAAATTAGCTCGAAGCATTTTATACTATTAGTGTTCGATAATAAACGGTTTGTGTCAAAAATGTCTAAAGGTAATCGAGAGTTCGTATCTATACGCGCTGTCACGATAACTCAATTATTACCGACACAGGAAAACAACATTGCGAAACTGATTAATTTTCAAACTCGTAAATTTTTTGCATAAATTGCGTGCAAAGTACATCCCATTGCCGCGTAATCCCATTACGGCGTTATATATATTTGCCGTGATATTTCCGAGGCCGTCAAACGTTAGGGAAATTTAGTAAAGGTGTTCGTATTAGCCACGAATGTGCTGGAGGTATTTACAAGATACTCAATCTTGCTTCACTGATTATCAACAAAATATGAGGCCTATACTTTGGGTCATATCCTGTAGAGTCGTTGAAATAATCTGTTGCATTTGTTCGGGCAGTTTTAAGTCAATTTTCTTCGTCCTGTTTCGAGCTTTTTATCGGCATGTTTCAAATACATTATCAACCTTCAAAAGTCAGGGGGAAAATAAACCAATGGTACAACTGATGTAAGACTTTCTGTATATGTAAATACTTAATATATAAAAGTACGCACTATTTATTAGTAGAACAAATAAGCATTAAACTAATGTCAAAAACTCATTAAAATAATGGTATACATTTTTAACCTTAAGCGTGTTTTGTTTAATGTTTTTTATATTCTAAGTTTAGATCATACACCAGTCTTGTGTGTCGGTCGATTTCGAGCGCGTGTATAGACAGAGTCTAATTTGATAGGAGCGTCAGTTGGCATGTGGTATAATTCCAACTGCCCTTCGAACCTTTTAAGTGCGATTTCATGTTCAACAACCCCAGGGATGAAATTCATATGCGGTGCTTATACAAGTCTTGCTAGGAGGGGTGTTTTTCTCTGTGTCAACAAGTGAATGATGATGATTATTTTAAAGAAACACGATCGGATTTTTGGCGAGAAGTGAAAGGATGTTTTGAAAAGATCTCATAGCGGAAACGGGTGGTTTTACAAAACGTTGTAAGCCAAAAATTTAAGTCAGCTGCATAGAATGTTGACCTGAGTAGGAAAAGACTATACACGCCTTCATTTCATGAAAATATTCTCAGCATAATATCCTCTTATTCTGGTAATTATAGATTGAGCGTCATGTGCCGAACCAGTGTGTTAAATAACTCATATTCCGCTTATGTTCACAGCTGGAAAATATACAAACTCTTAAAGCGCCATTTTGCCCCGTGCTGTTGTGGGTATTTGCATCATTTATGTGCTCATTAGTTTGTCATTTATGTTCGCGCTGTGAACCGTTTAAACCGGGAAAAGCCTTATTTTCAACAACTCCCCGTGATCTAGATATTAAACGTTTCGCACTCTTTTCGCGCGAAGGGATTGCCTGCATTATTACACACAAACTGTCATGACCATTACATATTCGTCCTTCGCAACCTTGTGCTATTCAAGTCGCGCTGGTAATGGGAAAGCTCGCGCGAAAATTAATACCAGATGTTGCCATGTTTCCAGCGAACTTTAGACAGAACATGCATGATACATTATCTCTAGTGCTATAAACGCTGATAAGCTTTTCTTATGTGCGCTGATAAATCAACCCAGGGGACATCTAATATGGGTGTAGAATTTTATGCAACACTAGATCGTTTCAAGCCTTTTGTAAACACTTACATATGACACTTGTTTAGGCTTGCGGGAAGTTCTTACTCCACGCGAAAGACACAATATAAAATATCTCGCGCTCTCCCACGCTTTCTCGTTGTTTAATTAAGCGCGTTGCTAAACCTGCCCAATTTAAATGCTTTTCTCAGTTGCCCATCTTATCACTTGGATGCATATGCGCATCAAGATTCTGCTGTGTCGTGACTTCAGATAACCTCTGTCGGAATGAAATTAATGTGTTGGTTTTTGTCTTTTCAAGCAGAATTTGAGGCATTTTTTAAATGGAAATAGGCTCGTGTGGGTTTCTTTATTTAAGTAAAAAGTAGCAGCAAACTTTGGAACAGTTTGTAAGAAAAAGACCAATTGTCTCCAGTCAGTATTCTTCCAATTTATTATTAGTCACTATTTGTATATTATACGGATTGTATTAGGCTCAAAAAGAGAAAAACCGTAGAGAAATTAACCGTATAGCATGTGTAACATTTTCATTTTGTGCGTCTCAATTGCATGTTTTGCGTTGCCGCGTCTTCGAGGCTCAAAAACCAATTTGTACGAAGATAAACAAGAATAAATGGAAATATTATAATTACCAATCATGTACACATATTATCTCCATTAGAGCGAGCAATGATTGTATCAATACTGGGACACAAGAGACATCGAAATATTTCAACAATTTCCGTGTATTGAAGTGAAAGAAGAAAGACCACGTTTCTCGTATAAGGTGCGGTCGTAGGAAAAAAAATATGTCTTGACTTTTTGCAGACATTTTCCGGATTATTTCTGCCGGAAAGCGTGGCATTTTTATGTTAGATCCTCGATAAGATATTCCCTCAGTTGGGGGGAAAATGAGAATTGAAACAACTCATAACTGATAAGGTAAATTGTTTGAATTTTTGGCAAACTTAATCAAAACATGATTTGGGTTTTCGGTTTGGCTTGCAACGAATTCCCTGGAGAAAAATTTCTGAAGGATTGTTATTGATATTGTGTGTTTTCTACATACGACAAAGCCAGGTCTTTTATCAAGAAAACTGATCCTGATTGAAATAACGTTCAAAACTTATCCGCCAAGACAAATTGTTACACGAACGCGGAAAATTCAAATTTTCCAAAGCCTTCCGTTCTCACTGAAGTGACTACAGGTGAATTGAAAGTGAAGACATTTGCCATCTTCCGTTCCCGTGATTGGAAACAATAATGATAAGATCTTAAGACCATCATAGCTCGGACCTTGCTGACGACTGCTGTCTCCTTGGTGACGCTCGTCTCACACGACAATAGTCTCACCATTATTACGAGTGTGGACCTGCGTCTCCGTTCTAAGGAGATCCTGTCTTGGCGTCGTGCGGGCCGGATATTTGTCTGCTGAAAATATCACCTCAATCACATCGTCTGAGGTTTCTCCTCGCTTTTCTCCACCCGTATTGTGAGAAAAAAAATGTAACTAATGATGACCTTGAAAGGATGGAAAATATTTTATTAATCAAGTGCTCTTCCTTAACAAGATCAATCTTTACTACACCTCTAGGGTATAAAACCAGTATAAATAAAGTTAGTTTAGTTTAGGTTTCCTCCTGTAGTAACACTGGATCAATAAGAGATGATCCTTACTGGACCTCAGGAAGAACAGTTTAGAACTGATAGAGTTATCCAGTAAAAATAAATTTAGTTTAGTTTAGGTTTCCTCCTGTAGTAACACTGGATCAATAAGAGATCAAGAGATGATCCTTACTGGACCTCTAGGAAGAACAGTTTAGAACTGATAGAGTTATCCAGTATAAATAAAGTTAGTTTAGTTTAGGTTTTCTCCTGTAGTAACACTGGATCAATAAGAGATGATCCTTACTGGACCTCTAGGAAGAACAGTTTAGAACTGATAGAGCTATCCAGTATAAAAAAAGTTAGTTTAGTTTAGGTTTCCTCCTGTAGTAACACTGGATCAATAAGAGATGATCCTTACTGGACCTCTAGGAAGAACAGTTTAGAACTGATAGAGCTGTCCAGCATAAATAAAGTTAGTTTAGTTTATATAAGTTTCCAAATAAGCGCGTTGAATTATAAGTTCAAACACTGATTTAACCTTAGTTTTAACCTGCATTTAAACGATACACGATCTCTTATAATCCTCGAGAGTTTTGTTTGAATATCTCAATGGAGGTCTGTTTAGATGCTTTATCTGTAGTGGTTGCCACGAGAGTTAAGGTTCCTTTGTCATTATCATACGATTTATTGCATTTTTAACGGTTTTAATATGATTTTCATCTGGGAAGATTAGCGCACTTATCAGTTTTATTTCTCCATTATTTTTTTTACAGGAATGTACCCCTTCAAAGTCTGAAAATAGGCCTTTTAACAGTTGCTATTAAAATCTCTGATACTTCAGAATGACAGTCCACTATATGACCAGATTCTAGAATCTTCAATCGAGTCTAAATTACCTAAAAAAGACTGTCGTCGTGGTTTGTGTAAATAAGCTGTCGTGGTTTGTGTCTGAACTATCTGAAAAAGAGATCTCAAACGTGGTGATCCAGTGTAGGTAGTATTCTACAATAAGCTGTCGTGGTTTGTGTCTGAACTACCTGAGAAAGATATCTCAAACGTGGTGGTCCAGTGTAGGTAGTATTTTACAATAAGCTGATGTGGTTTGTGTCTGAACTATCTGAAAAAGATATCTCAAACGTGGTGGTTTAGTGTAGGTAGTATTCTACAATACGTTGTCGTGGTTTGTGTCTGAACTACCTGAGAAAGATATCTCAAACGTGGTGGTTCAGTGAAGGTAGTATTCTACAATAAGCTGTCGTGGTTTGTGTCTGAACTACCTGAAAAAGATATCTCAAACGTGGTAGTCCAGTGTAGGTAGTATTCTACAATAAGCTGTCGTGGTTTGTGTCTGAACTACCTGAGAAAGATATCTCAAACGTGGTGGTTCAGTGTAGGTAGTATTCTACAATAAGCTGTCGTGGTTTGTGTCTGAACTATACCTGAGAAAGATATCTCAAACGTGGTGGTCCAGTGTCGGTAGTATTCTACAATAAGCTGTCGTGGTTTGTGTGTCTGAAAAAATGCCTCAAAGGCTCAAACGTCTATAGACTGCAAGAAACTGTCTTGTTTGTGTCTGAAGTCTGAACTATAAAAGAATAGGACGAGATATACTTGGAAAATGATTTTGAGTTGAGTATTATTCAGATGCACCTGCTTCAATGACACCTGCCCCTGCATGATAAAACTAAGAAGCAGTTCCCTAGTGAACTGAAAAAATCATAATCTAATCAAATATTAATCTTCTTAAAAGTAAAAACAAATTTATGCAAATAACACTTGAACAAAAACAAACGTAGTCAAAATACGACCAGGCATTATGGCTAACCTTCTTCTGGAGTTCGTTGTCTTTTTAGCATTTTTAACATTTCAAAGCTTCAAAACGATTGTAATGTGGTTTGTTCCAGCTAAAAAGAAAGATGTTCGTGATGAAATAGTTTTTATCACAGGAGCAGGGAGTGGATTGGGTCGTTTAATGGCCCTGCGTTTCGCGTCTCTTGGATCAATTGTCGTTTGTGTTGATATCAACAAACAGGCAAATGAGGCGACTGTGGATGAAATAAAATCAAAAGATCAGAAAGCTTTTTCGTTCACTTGTGATTGCAGTAGCAAAGACGATATTTATCGTATTGCGAATGATATCAAAACGAATGTTGGAGATGTGACAATCCTTATTAATAACGCCGGAATTGTCAGCGGAAAGAAGTTTTTTGAAATCCCAGATGAAAAGATTAAGAAGACGTTTGCGGTCAACACAATGGCTCATTTTTGGGTAAAGCTATCTCACGACAGTTGTAAAAGGCAGAATTATCGTGAACATTGATTATACGTGCAGCTCAGCATGCAGTGACTGTAATTTTAATTTCTTTTTAGACCGCTAAAGCCTTTCTTCCGTCCATGATAGCAAAGAATCATGGTCATGTTGTGAGCATAGCTTCCTCGGCTGGGTTGGCAGGAATAGCTGGTCTTAGTGATTACTGCAGCTCAAAATTTGCGGCAGTTGGCTTCAACGAGTCGCTGCAAATGGAGTTGGTCGTCACTGGAAAAACCTCCGTGCACACCAGTCTGGTGTGTCCTTATATTATCAACACTGGAATGTTTGAAGGAGCGAAATCAAGGTACGTTTATTACGAACTGCGGAAATATTTTTGGCTTCAAACAAGTAGAGGATGAGCTCCTCAGTATGAGAAGAAGATCAGTGGTGCAATCCTCGCTAGAAATGTTAGGATCATCATCAGAGCCCCAAAATGAAGGAAAATTCATAGGCATACGGGGCTGCGTGAGCAGAGAAAGGCGGAGCCCCAAGATTTGGCAGAATTAGTGCAATAAGTCAGGCAATTTGCGCACGAGAATCTTCATCATCATTGTATGATTATTGCTTAGTTTACCCCCAGGTCATCCGCCAACCAACTCTGACAACCTCGAACCTTGCAGGGTCCTCCTGCAACCCTCGTAGTGGAAAAGAATCTTAGTACGAGGTGGTCTAACCTGAGATTTATGATAGACTTCCTTTCAGACAGACCCTAACCCACGCCCTTCGATCCCGTCACATACAACCAATCAGTGATACCAGAATAATGTTATATGGGTATTCGTAACTATACTATCTAAGATCCTCCTAATGTCAGTAATGTGATTGTTCATATAGATTTCCTTGGCTTCTTCCAATATTGGATCCTGAAACGACCGTTGACAAAATTATGGACGGAATTTTAACCAACCAAAGTGTTATTATCATCCCATGGCTATTAAAACTACTGCTTGTTTTCAAGAGGTGAAATGATTAGCTCGCTGTCTCTAAGGACATTTTTACTTAATCAACGATATTTCTATCAATTTTCAATTCGAATGGAATAATTTATTTTTGTTTATTTTTCAAATGCAGTATGCTTCCTCAAGAGTCCTTCATTACAATATCAGAGTTTTTTGGAGCAAGTTCATGCATGGATGAATTTAAAGGAAGAGAAATTAAAAAAGAAAATTGAAAAAAAACTTGGGGCAATGTGATGATGAATTGAAGGTTACGCTTTCCAATGGACCTTTTGCATAATAGACAAACTTTTGATTTAGGCAACAAAAAGGAAATTTCCGAAAAGTGCATACTAAATTTAGTAAAATTACCAAGTTTGGCTGCAAAATATTGTAAAGTACGGAAGATATAGCCATGCGAAGTTGCCAATTTTGTATACTTTTTACTAGGGCCGGAAGTGTGTAACTAGATTAGTTAAACGGTCCCGGCCGTAGTTAAAAAGTATACAAAATTGGCTACTTTGCATGGCTATATTTTCGACAATACTTGACATTTTGCGGCCGAACTTGGCAATTATACTATAGTTTCAGTATGCTCTTTTTAGCTGAGGTGATTTATTTCCTTCTTGCTACCTAGATCACAAGTTGGTCTATTATGCAAAAGGTCCATTTGTCAAATCCTGTAATTAATATTGAGGAATAGCAAAATTAATAAATTGAGAACGTGGTGTATTTTTCTCCCGATCAACAGCTTTAAAGTCGCTCTTTCTCAAAATTTTTACCAGTTAGAAGTACCCAACCTCGTTCCCAGGGCCTTTATTGAAAACGCGGAGTACTAGTATTAGTACCCTCTGCATGGAACAACCACAAAATTGCAAATTTGCAACTTTTTATCCGGAAGTGACGTAACGGATGTGAGTCGTTGAAATGCTCTTGATTCAAGAACATTGCAAAACATAAACATTTTCGCAATAAAAGGGACTTTTTCCCTTCAATTTAATGTTTTATTGTACCAATTTGTGGCTTCATTTATACGTTAGTCTCCACCACAAGACGAAAGCTGCTCAGATACATATTTTATGCCGAGATTTTGGGAATAATTCGTAAGTATTTGTTGAAAACAGACATGCTTAACATGTGCTGATAATTGATGTATTGTTTATAGTTTGTTTTGTAGTGAACAACATTTATATTTGTGTAAATGTGTTCAATTTTGTCCGTCTGCTGCCTCGACGTACCGCAGTTTGCACGGAAATTGCTTTTAGTTAATTTTAAGTAAGCTGTAAGATAATTTTGAGTTACCTTTTCCGGATTTAGTTTGTGGGAATTGTGTCTTTATATGAGGAACCTGTCGAATATTGGAGTCAAATATACCCAACAGCATTCACGATTCTTGTCTCTATCTGGTTGAATTTACGATGCTGCCTTTATTCTACAAGTTAAAGGAAAGTAACTATGGACGATTTCTACTTTTTGTGTTGACCCTGATTGTTTTCATGCCATTCGTGACTCACTATTATCTAACGAAGCCTTCAGTTTTGCATGAGAGTATTTTTACGAAATCTTTTCGCACAAGATCAACACTTGAAGACAGTTCAAACACTGAATATAGATTAGATGAACTTCGAAAGAATATCAACGAGCTAGAACACGTCAAATTATCGTTAAAAAACGAACTACGAGAACTTGAAAGCAAGCGACATGGGCTCCTACGAGAGATACAAGAACACTCAGATAAAATTATACTGATTGATAGCAAGGCAACCTTTTTAAACAGTGAAGTAAGCAAACGGTTGCAGGAGCTGGCTGATCTCAAATTTGCCAAGAAAATGGTTAATAACTGTCCTCAGTTACCTCTAATTAAACCACCAAAAGACATATTCACTCAATTGTCTCAAAGCTTTCAAGAATATCCAAAACCAAGTTTACAAGTTAGAACTAATTGCAAACTCTCCAGTTGTTTCAACTTTCATTTGTGTTCATTTGGTCGTGATTTTTCAGCCCACATATACCAACCAGAAAACCAGTTGGATATACATACCATACTTAAACGGATGCCGTACGCGGTCGAGGTGACAGAACCCATAGCATGCATATATGTTGTGGTGATTGCAAAAAGCTATCAGACTTCAGAGAAGCTGGAAATGTTTCTTCATGGTTTGAGATTTTGGCAAGGTGATGGTCATAATCACATTATAATTAATTTTGGTGGAGCGTCAGTCCTTAAGGGTGTTAATACAGGCAGAGCAATAATAGTTCAAACAAGTTTTAGATCTGATGTACAATATAGGGCAAACTTTGACATTGTGATTCCACCTCTTGCTAGTTTGATAACATCAGGAGCTGCATGGGAGAATTCAGCACCACAACTTCCAGCTATTCGTAAATATATACTTAGCTTTGAAGGGAACTATCATGGCAAAACAAAAAAGCTGCATAACAAAACCAGTAGCTTCATTTCTGTCAATGACCTCAAAGCACTTGGAATTGAAGCAAAAGATATATTTATCAAACTTTCTTGCAAAGTTGATAAGAAATTCGTTGCCTATGATGATTGGCAACTCTGTCGAACACACACGTCAAGGGCTGAGGTCTTGAAAGCATCAACCTTTACCCTAATATATCAATCAGAGTCCTCAGAAGACCAGACTCCTACCATAATACGCTTCATTGAAGCCTTACAATATGGTGCTATTCCTGTTGTGGTTTCTGATAATATTATCCTGCCATTTGCAGACATCATTGAGTGGGAACGTGCAGCAATATTGCTTCACAGTGCCCAGTTTCCACAATTGCATTTCATCATGAGGACAATGGTGATCAATGATTTGTTAGACATGCGACGGCAAGGACGCTTTTTATGGGAAACATATTTTTCCACAACTGAAACAGTTTTGCAAACGACAATTGCAGCCATACAAACCCGTTTATCCTTGCCAGGAACCCCGGCAAAAGAGACTCATTTCTCCTCCGTTTTTAGTGAAAGCAGTGAGCCATTGTTTTATCGTCCTGACGCCAATGTTCTGATTCAAAATGGCCTGAATTCCCCAACATACTTTCAAAATTTTACCTCAAATAACATGTATGCCAAACAAAGATGGAATTCTTACCCTGGAGCACTGATGCTGTACCCTAGTGATCCGTTTGTTCCCATATTACCCTCCTCAGCTGCATTCAAAAATTCTTCCAGCAATATGCAACCTATTGGCAAAGGAGCTGGTGGGGCTGGAGTTGAATTTCAGAAAGCTTTAGGAGGCGATTATCCTTTTGAACAGTTCACTATTGTGATGTTAACATACAAAAGGGAATCGGTGTTGATTGAAGCCCTTGGACGCCTGGAAGGCTTGCAGTATCTAAGCAAGGTTGTGGTTGTTTGGAACAGCCCTGGTGATCCTTCCCCTGACTTGAAATGGCCAAATATTGGTGTCCCAATTAAGGTAAATAGGAGGTTTGAATTAGTGGTTATTGAAGGTTTCAATTAGTGGGTGAAAGTGGGTGACAGGTAATGACAATGGGTGGATTGCTTCTGCGCAGAGAAAGAAAAACAATAAAATGATTTGTTTAATTCTTAACTTAGGTCTTGCGTCCTAAAATGAACAGTTTGAACAACAGATTTTTGCCATTTGACGAGATTGAAACTGATGCTGTATTATCAATGGATGATGACATTCATTTGAGACATGATGAGATTCTCTTTGGCTTTAGGTAATTATAACACCCAGAATGATTATATGTGCGTGGCCTAGGTGAAATAAAACTGAGATGGTGCTGCTCTAAGGTACAAACCCACCCACTAAGCTAAAAAGGTTGAGATAATTTTCCAGCTTACAGTGCAGTTGGTGAATTCAGGGTAGCATCATCACCATACACTTCAGCATGTGGTATATAGATCCAGGATTGCTACAAGAGGAGACCTAAACTAAACTATCATTATTCTAGATGGCTCCGCTCTATCAATTCTAAACTGCTCATCCTACAATTCTACCTCATATACAACTTCATAATATTGACCCGAACTTTTGTTTCAAGCCAAAATTCTCACAACTCCATGTCATTTTCAGTATATTTTTTATGAATAATTCATGACTTTAAAATAACAGTTTTTCCTTCCCTCACTTCACAATGTCACATGACCTCCCATCCCGGGGGGGGTTATCTATCCTAATCTGGGAGGGTTGTAGCATTCTACCACACGCTCCCCTAAAAATATGAACGTTTTTTTTTATATTTTTACTACATATTACTGTTAATTGACTGTTCGATCAAATGTTTGAATGTCCCAGATCACCAATTAACAGCATGTTACTACTCATCGTCTTGCTGTAAACATTCCTTAATCCTTTGTTCGGCATCTTTTGCAGCTTGCCTCTTCTTCCGGTTCTCTCGTGTTTCCCCGACTTCTTCAGTACTTGCGTTGTGTACTTCCGTTTCACGTAGTGGACTTCGAATCTCTAAGGGACAGAGTAATTGGATCGGACGCTCTATGTGGTTCCCCTTGTGCAACAATATCGCTCCTCGGATGACTCCGTCCTTCCCTGTGACGTATTTAATGACTCTCCCCTTCATCCATTTCCCTCTATTTTTTTCTTCACCCACAATAAGGACAACCTCCCCAATCTGTGGTACTTCGTTACGGCTCTTGTTAACTCGGTGATATTCCATTAGTCCGTGCACATATTCTTTTCGCCATCTTGACCACGCATGTTGTTTCGCGACTTCTAACCGTTTTTGTACTTTACTTATTTCGTCATCAAAGGTTTCATCAGGTTCGATCGTGCATGCATTTTGTCCCCAGAGGATCACGTTCGGTGTCAGAACTTGTTCTTCGCTATGATCGCTTTCAACATAAGTCAGTGGGCGATTGTTCAGATTTCGTTCGATATCCATTATAACCGTTTGAAGTTGGTGGTATGTCAGGTGTGTTTTGCCCAGGGTCTTGTACAGGGTTTTCTTCAACTCTTGTATCAAGCGTTCGTAGATCCCTCCCCACCATGGAGATTTCGCAAGGTTAAATGTCCAGTGGATCTCTTGGGTAGCCAGATAGTTATGCAACTTTTCGCTCTTCCTTATTCTCTTTATCCACGACGCTGTTGCTTTGAATACTGTCGCGTTGTCTGAGACTATTCGCCGAGGTCTTGTCCTTCTTGTGATAAAGGAATTTAGTTTTTCTTGGAACTCTTCGGCTGTCTGTGAATGTGTTAGTTCGAGGTGAAGTGCTCTCGATGTTGCGCATGTAAATACAACCACGTAACATTTCTCGGTCTCGTTCTTTCCCACTTTGCAAATCAAGGGCCCTGCGAAATCCACCCCTGTAACTTGGAATGGTTTACTTTCGTTGGTTCTAAACTCCGGTAACGGGGCCGTCGTCGGTGCTCCATACGGCTTAGCTGAGAAGACTTTACACGTGTTGCATTTCTTTATAACTTTCTTCACTTTGGAGCGCAGATGAGGCACCCACCAGTTTTCTCGTATTGCTGCCATAGTGTTTGCCACTCCTAGATGCAAATCTTTCTCGTGTATGTATGCTATTAACTTCTCCACGAATGGCTCTGCGTTCAAGTAGATTGGTTGGTATCCCACGATCCTCCCCTTGCACACCAAAATACCCGTACCTTCGTCTTTGATAAGCTGCCACCCGGGGGCCTCGACCTCGTCTTGAACGGTACTCTGGACCTTCCGCACCCAGCAGTTTGTTGCTGCTTCTATATCGGCAGTATCGATTGGACCTTTCTTACGCACCTCACGTTTTTTCGATCGACAGTTGTTCACGAACCGTAGCGCCCATGCCGTCACTCTAACTGTTCTCCAGTAAGAGTTCCTGTTTAACAATAGGTCCCATTCGTCTACAGCATTCTCTTCTACGTGATAAACTGTTTGTCTGAGGGGAATGCTCTCCTGAGAGGTATATTTCGTGCTTGCCAGTATTGGTTGATCAGGCCAATGGTCTTCCCTCACTAACCACTCAGGTCCCGTAAACCAGCCACATTGCTCCATCCGGTTTATTGTCGCACCTCTACTTCCTAGGTCTGCGATATTCTCTTTGGTAGGACAATACTTCCACTGGATCCCGATTTCGGCGGTTATTGACGCGATTTTCCTCACCCGATTTGCCACAAACACCTTCCAGTGCTTGGCGGGATTTGATATCCAAAATAAGGCTACCAAACTGTCCATCCAAACAGTTATTGAAGCAACAGGTCTTCGTTTCAGTGCAGAGCATATGTTTTTCGCCATATTCGCTGCCATCTGGCCGCTTACCAACTCCAATCTCGGGATTGAAGTATTCCTTTTCGAGATCCTCGACTTCGATGCAAGGAGACCTTTCACTGTTCCAGTAACTTGTTCTATTACCGCTATGTCACACACGAGCATGCCAAGTTACTCGCATCTGCGAAGATATGGAGGTGAATCGCGTTGATCTCCTTTAGGTCTTTCGCCACACATCGTGGTATTTTCACATTTCGAAGCTGTTTAGTCCACCTCAACCAATCATTTTTCAAAGGCGTAGATGCTTCCACATCCCAGCTTTTCTTCTCATCGCATACTTCTCTGAAAATTCTTTTCCCTTCGGCCATGGTCGGCGACACGATGCCCAACGGATCATACATTTTCCCCAGATGGCTGACGATGGACTTCTTAGTCACAGGCATTTCCTCCGGATAATCAGGTACTTCAATTAACAGTTCGTCTTCTTTTTTGTCCCATCTGAGTCCTAGAATCTTTGAGGGATTCGGCATCCCTTCACTTTCCAGTGTTCCCACATTCGACTCCCATTTGTGTAACGGGAACTTACCACTTTCCAATATCGTTGTCGCTTCTTGCTTAAACCTCTCTAGTTCTGAAACATCACTTCCTGTTTTCATCACATTGTCAACGTAGGTGTTTTCTCTTAATGCTTTGATGGTACTCTCAAACTCGACTGGTTGTTGTTCCAGGTGGTATTGTATTGTTGCTCCCAACATGAATGGACTCGCCTCCGCTCCAAATGGCACTCTTGTAAACCGCAAATGTTCCTTCTTTACCATTGATATTGAACAAGAATCGGAAGGCATCCCGATCTTCTTCTTTTATTCCGACTTGCAGAAATGCCTTTTGGATATCTGCTAAAGCTATGTTTGGGGCCACTCTCGCTCTAATCATTATGTCCCACAGGATGGTTGCAGTGGGGGTCCCGTATACATACAGTCGTTTACACTATTGGCCATGGGATGGGGCTTCATGCTGGCGTCAAACACCATTCTTACTTTAGTTGTGGTGGCATCTTCCTTAACGACTGGCCTGTGTGGCATATAAAATAAACGTTCTCCTCCTGGTTGTTCTGGTGCTCTCTCGATAATACCGTCATTTAACTGGCTTCGTACTATCTCAACATATTCATCTTTCAGTGTTTTATCTTGATTAATCTTCTTCCACACATTGCCTAGTCGCTTCCTGCTTGGTTCCAGGTTATCATTCGTTATAGTAGTCCCTGGTATCCATGGTACTTTAACCTCATATCGTCCCTGTTTTGTCTTCGTTATGTTCTCTCGAAATTCCCGATGGATATCCAGCTGGTCATTTTCGCTTCGATCCTCCACTCCGAGGACATCCAGGCTATACAATCTCTCATAATCCGTTGTTTCTCTTGTGAACATGCATTGTTCACTCGAATAGTTACCACCATGAATAATCCAGCCAAACGACGATCCTTCCACCACCGGATCTTCAGGGTTGCCTTTGAAGACTTCCTCTGTTCGTATCTTGCAATATGTCTTGTCTCCGATGATCATATGAATGGGATATTTCCCTCCTGGATTCATGTAGAATCGTTTATCTTTGGTGTGCTCGAATTCATGTTTCAGCTTGTTCATATCCGGTCGTGTCACTGTGGTAAAATCACTCAACTTGGATCCGGTCAGCTCGATTTTCTCTTGGGCTTTGCCATCCAGCGATTCTACGGTGACGTCGAAGATAGGCATTGACTGTTTGCTGGAACCGTTGACTGTAATAATTTCTCTAGCTTCATGTCGTACAGGTTTTAGGTTGAGTTTCTTTGTTGCTTCTCTCGAAATGAAGTTCCTTCCGGAACCAGAGTCCAGATATGCCCAGAACACCTCCTCCTTCAATCTTACTGGTATTATCGCCGGTAGAGTTGGCTCTTCTACGACTGGGGTATATCCCGTCAGTATGGGATCACTTTCCCCACCTCTCTGTTGGGGCTCATTCTTGATTTGAATGCAGAGGCTTGTGTGGTGTTTCGAACCACAATGAAAGCATCCACGACTACGACATTCGCTACCTCTATGTCCGGGTGAGGCACAATTGAAACACAACTTGTTCTCTACGAAGAACTTCTTTCGTTGTTCAGTGGTAGTATACGAGCTGCACTTGTCACTCCAGTGTTCTGCTTTGCAGAAGACACATTGACTACCTCGTTTCCCGCCCTTGTCTCCCCCTCGGCGAGTGTACATGCTTCGTTCCCGAGAGTCCCTCCTATTGTTATCATGAGGGGATTTGTTCCTTCTTAGCCACCCTTGTAAATTATCAATCAACCTTTCCATTTTCCAGTCTTCCCAATTGTCATCAGTTCTAACTAGGTCCGGCTTGACTTGGGGTAACTTGTTAAGGGTGCACATTACAAACCCATCTAGTTTGGCATGTTCATCCAGGGTGCGTAGTGCGTCATAATTTCTACTCAGTTTCTCATAAAACACTTGAACCCTATCGTGGGACGATCCCCTAACTGTCTCCAAATTTATTATCTCATCAATATGGGAATTTACTACCAACCTTGTCTGTCCATATTCTTTCTTCAGACGATCCCAGGCTGTCTTGTAACCGGCTGGACCTGGTCTTAAGTTGGAAATCCTGTCTCGCACTTTGTTGGATACCATCTCAAGCAAATAACCAAACTTTTCCTCGTCGGAAATAGGTTTCGAATGTATCTGAGTCAAAAACATGTTCTCAAACCTTACCCAGTCGCTAGCCGTACCCTTGAATGATGTTATGGTAAGTTTGGGCAATTTGGCATGGGATGTTCTAGCTGCCTTTTCCATCTCAAGTTTTCTCTCGGTTGTCTCGAGCTCTGCCTGTAACTTCTCTTGCCATAACTGCCGCTCTTGTCGTCTAATCTCCTCTCGATGATGCTCCTCTTCCTCTCGCATTGTGTCACGTTTCCGGCTTGTTTCTTCAAAAGTAATTTCCTCTTTTCTCTTCGCTAATATATTTTGCAACTTACTGAGTTCCAATACCCATGGTGAATACGTTTCCTTGGCAGTTTTTTTCCACTGTCGTATCGCTCTTGCTGTATACTCGCCCCGATCCAATTTTAATTCTTGCATCGTCGACACTAAGTTATATATCTCATCGAGAATAAATTCTGAACGTTTGCTTACTGTTTCAATTTCCTTGTAGTCTCTCTCCTCGATTAATTCATCGGTTTGTTCAAGATAATACTTTAATTTCTCGATCTCTTTGTTCATTTTTGTCTCCAATTCCCTCTCTTTCTCATTAGGTTCGACTTCGTCCGTCATTTTCGCACGTCTTGTTTACAATCACAATCCCTTCGAATCTCGGTAAATGTTGTCTCCAAATCGTTATAAAATCCTGGTCACGGCACCACTATGACCCGAACTTTTGTTTCAAGCCAAAATTCTCACAACTCCATGTCATTTTCAGTATATTTTTTATGAATAATTCATGACTTTAAAATAACAGTTTTTCCTTCCCTCACTTCACAATGTCACATGACCTCCCATCCCGGGGGGGGTTATCTATCCTAATCTGGGAGGGTTGTAGCATTCTACCACAATATGTTGAACTTAAATCAGCCTGAAATTTTTACAATCCCACTAGGGTTTGGCGAGAGGCCAGGGACAGAATTGTTGGTTTTCCAGGTCGTTACCATGCCTGGGACATCAACTATGGTGGATGGCTTTACAATTCTAACTACTCTTGTGAGCTGTCTATGGTGCTGACCGGTGCAGCTTTTATTCATAAGGTGAAAATCAAGTCCTGTACGTTTCTAGACTAATTGTGACATGATGCAAATGAACTTCAATTTCATTCTTCTTTGTGTTATTTTAGTATTATACGTTCTTGTACACGCACGTCATACCTCAAGCAATACGGGACAAAGTTGATGAATATACTAATTGTGAAGATATTGCAATGAATTTCCTCGTATCTCATGTGACAAGGAAGCCACCACTTAAGGTATATCTGCGAACCAAAAGCTTATGAAAGAACACATGCAGTATCGTGGCAACATTCCTCGCTTCTCCTTCGGCATTCCCCTCTCCCTCCCTCCGGCATTCCTCGCTTCTCGTTCACTATTCCCTACTCCCTCCTTCGGCATTCCCTTCTCCCTCCCTTCCGCATTCCTCGCTTCTCCTTCGGTATTCCGCACTTCCTCCTCCGGCATTCCCCTTTTCTTCCTCCTGCATTCCCTTCTAGGCATTCCCCACTCTCATCTTTCAATATTGGTCCGCAATACTTCAACTATTAATTGTTGTGAAGATGTACAGTCACTGTGCGTTGTTCATTATAAAGCCCAACATTTCACGGGGCGAGGAAAGCCGTTTTCTGCCACGGATTATTGCCTTAGCATATGCAGTTGTTTTAATGAAAGATTTCTAGTTCCACATAATCTTCAGTGTAATGACATAGTTTAATCTTTCTTTTCCAGGTCACATCTCGCTGGACATTTCGGTGCCCAGACTGCACTTCCACGTTATTCCTTGACGAGACTCATTTTACTGAGAGACACAAATGTATCAACTTCTTTGTCAAAGTCTTTGGTTACATGCCGCTATTACGAACGCAATTCCGCGCTGACTCAGTGCTTTTTAAAACTCGTATATCATCTGACAAAACGAAGTGTTTCACATATATTTAAAGGTGCCACACCACCTTGACAGCCTAGTTAGTAACCCTCACACTTTGTCTTGAAACACCAGGCCCACTTTATATATCAAATGGGATTGGGATGTATTTTCTCAAGGACAAGGATGGGAACTCCGCAGATTCATCCTGCGTCAAATCACCCGTATTCCACCACTTCACCACCGGGAGCTTTGATAAACATTTTCTATATAGAATTTGACAATTTTAATATGAAATTTTCAATTTTGTACAGATAGATAAATGTGTTTTATATGAAAAAGAAATTTTATCAGAAAACTGACGACGTTTTTGCCTTTATCAAAAAGGCAAAAGAAATATTGATCCAATTTTATACAATATCTATGCTAACAAAGACATAGTTTTTGTTACATTTTGAACGACTTGATGATCTTTTTTGGCTGGAAATGTGTGTAGAAACTTTAATAGTATTTTTATCGGATTAGACAAACTGTAATAGTATTTTTATCGGATTATTGGGAAATTGTCTGAGGTATGAAGGCAAGCCTAATGGCGATGCATTTTACTGATTATTTTCATTGCTAAACAGTGGCGTTTATACAAAGCCTTGTTGCTATGTTTTGATTATATCCAAAACTAAATAATCCTTTTGTGTTATCGATGAAGCAATATCGAGCAGAAATAATTGATATATTGTGCGTGTATTTGCCCATCTCACCAGGGGAAAACAGGCAATCTTTTGAGGAGCTGTGATGCTCAATGTCATGACTTCAAATATTATCAATGCCTTCATAACTATTAAACTTTTGTACTTGAACAAAGGCTTTTAAAAAATAAATTGAACTGGATATTGCGTATAATTTGACCCCTAAATTGTTCATTTCAGTAAATACCTGCATTACCATAGTTACGTTAATTTGGGGCAGATTATTGTAATAATGAAGGATCTAATTTCCCGGGGGGTGTTCGTTTCTATATCAGTTCATAACTAAATTGCAAAAAAGGTTCAGCAAATATATATTTTATATATATTCTTGTTTAACATCGAGTGTATTAAGTAATTTCAAATAATCCTACTCTTTAGTACCGGGGGAATTTTTCATTCTCCCTTAGGAGCTTTTGTATTTTAAAATTTTTTTTTCTCTAAACTTGATACTGCCTCCCCGGGATTTGCATTGCTTTTGACATTTCCGGTAACTCCGAACACGGTAGAATTTTTCTTGCGTTGGCCGTGTGTAAATAATACAATTTTTGATAGATTTTTGGTTGATTCTTGCCCTGAATTGTAGAGGAATTCTCTTCGAAGAACGACATGACATATGATTGAGTGTTTCAATGTTTGTTTGAAGTGGAAAGACTCTGTTTTGTCATTGTTTGTGGGCAATTAGAGGGAATTAGAGTTTGGTCTTGATTTTGGTGAAGAGACATGGAGGCCGGTTTAACAAGACGAGAATCGAAAAAAGAGCATCGGAGAGATTCGTTGGGTTCGGAAGAAGGCTCTAAGGAAAGGAAACATCGAAAAAAACGGGAGGGGAAACGTAAAAAGAAGCGATCGTCTGTCCCAAGTGCGGATGACTCGATCCCAAACTCGTCAAAGTTAGGACATGATAACGCTGGTGTCGACTATGATGAGGCCCTAACTGGTAGCAAATTGACGAAAACTGCTAAACAAGAGGGCAAAACAAATGAGTCTGTAGAGTCTGCGAGTCATGGAAGCTCTAATGCAGAATATCAAGCGGATATGGATGGTTTGGAAGCTTCAGGAACTGGCATCGTTTCATCCACATGAAGGAACTGTTAGCTCACAGGATAAGGGAACTGATTTGACCACAGAGAACACAAGGGTCTCAACACCACCAGGTGATGATGCTGGTACCAGTGCCGAGTCAGAACAAGGTCTGAGGCGAAGAGCAACCCTTACCGAAATAGAACAGAGTTTTGACGAGGAACAGCCTGGTAAAAGAAGATGGAACCAAATGAGGTGAGTTTATTTTCATGTTATTAATTTATATATTCAATTGATCATATCCCTTTTTATGGTAGACATTAGCATTGAATATGATAATTCTAGAATCAGATAAAGTCCTTGTTTCTATAATGTTGAAAGAATTATTCAAAATAGCCAAATGAACTAATATGGAAGGAGAGCTACCTTAGGATAAATATGCACATGTTTGCATGACCTGGATGGATTTGGTCGTACAAAGAATTAAACTTTGCTGCCACAGGTTTTGTTTCCATGAAGCCTTCCATTTATTTTAGTCAATGTTGCATCCTAAAACCAGTGGTTTTAAAATCACTAAACACCCAAAAAGAATTATGGATTCTGTTTATGAAAACAGAAATTTCTGTCTGGGAATTCTTACATCTGTAATCTAGATGAATATTAGGCCATTCTTGAGGTAAATGGTTTGCGCATCAAGAGATGTTCAGTGTGTGTTGATGACGTATCATGGATTAATTCCACCCACTTTTGCCTCGTACACCTCTGTGTGAGTCATTCAGTTCTAGGCCTGTTGCAAAGATTTGCAAGACCTGTCGTCAAACCCAGACCTCCACTTTCATCAGCATATCTTATCCTTGAAGTCTTTGCTCTTTCCGACAACCCAAGTGGGTGGGAGGTCTTCTCATGAGTAATAATCCAAACTGCAAGTTAATGTAAGTTCTCAATGAAGGCTAGTGATCTTCTACATTGAAAGATTCAAACTTTTCTACCTCTTTAAGTTAAGCCATAAATACACACCACTGTGTCCATGGTTCACCCACTCAACAGATATATGCCTACAAACGAATATGCAAATATACAAAGCTTTACTGTGCTCCCTAAAAAGTGTTTTTAATAATGTTACAGACAGACAAAGTTTAGTAGTAAATCAAAGTCTGTCCGTTTGTATTCTGTCAGGCTTCACAATTGTGTGGTTTTAACGTTTCTTCTCGAAGCATCGTCCATGATAATCTTTTTCACATTTTTTTAATAAACGCAGACAAGCTGTCCGTGAGAGAAGGATATTATCATTTTTCTTTGACACCCTAAGCATAATAAATTGACAAATACGTCTTAGTTTCTGTAAATTACTTTGACTACGCAGTCGCAGGTGCTTGGTTTCGAGTTTGTGTGTAAACACAAAACATCCGAGGCGAATTTTCAATTAAATGGACTATATTATCGCCGAAGCAGGTGGATGAATGTTTGGTTACCACAGCACTCACGTATCGTCCTGCCGCCGGTGTTTCTGTCCTTAACCTCGGCAGCAATTAAGGAAGTGAAAAGAAATATGTTCTTCTCAGAAAGCCCGTAGGGAAAGCAGGATGCTGTAAATGTATCATGAACGCGTATTTTAAGGATTCAACTATTTTTATACAGCGTATTTAATATTCGCCTACTCTTCTTTAACGAAGTGCGTTCAATGTTTTGAAGAAAGTTATACAACAATGCTACGTTCAAAGGGAGGAAGGAAAGGTCCAAAGCGTACTGTACAGGTTTGTGTGTACCTAACAGAGCGTTGTTGTTGAAAAGATCTATCCTCATTTTAAAGATATTATACTCAGTTTAGCTACCCGCTGAAACGTGATAATGTTGTAATGTTAAACCGCGGTTTCTGTCCGAAGTCATTTAAAATGTTTTAAATTTCTTTCGGCAAAACTAACCACTGTCCTAACAAAATGACTGAAGTTCATAATAATTGAAATTGAACGTGGGTTGCTTCAAGCGGGTTTAGAGTTACAAACTGTATCACTCACATAAACCGACAATGTATTCACAAGTCAAGAACCCTACGAATGTTTTACGAAATTTGAATGTACTTGACGGCTTCTGACGGGCTGAAAACTGCATGAGTAATGCATGGTTTTGCAAACAGATGCAAATATTTTAATAAATACTGACAAAGATTACTTGTGTTTGTATGTGTTTGATATTGGAGAATATAATCAGTTATTATTGTATTCATCAACGCCGGTGTGTGTTTGAATATACAATAGACCTTTCTTATAATGACGTCAAACGCGGAAAGTCTGATGTTACATGAAATTTGATTGGCTCCACAAAATTATCGAGCCAATTAAACTTCGTGTAAGATCAGTCTTTCCGCGCTTGACGTCATTATGAAAAAGGTCTATTAGTGCAATGGCTTGAGGTGTATACTACTATATGAATAAAGATTTAGTTTGAATGAACTTAGGAAGACTGAAAGGTGAATGTGAATTGTAGAGAAGAGCTTTGTATGAACCTTGAGACGGACGATTATCATTACGAATGGACTGTGTCATTATTAACGATTTGCTTGTTTAATCTATTTACACACAATCGCGTATCTAAACTAGAGTACTATACGTTTATTGAAAGGAATATTTGTCGATCACAACTAAAACATCTCCAAAAAATAGTAATAAATAGTTTGTATATAAATTTCATCTTAGAAGATATAAAAAGGAACATTATTAGCGCTGCTACGCTGTGTTAACTAGACACGCTCGGAAACACCAGCTGCTCTGAAGAAATATCATAACTTGTAATATCTGACAGCACTCAGTCATGGCATGTAAGATATGCTGTAAGAAGAGAGATAAACATTTCTTTTAGTTTATTGTCGCTTTTCCCCGGCTGTATGAGGAATTTAACGTAACTGCATATCGCCGTGGTTGGCAAAATAAATGAGTATTACTTTTAGAGCGGGATATAATTAATTGAATAACCCAGGCCATTATTAGATAAACTAGCTTGAATATGCGTATGTCCGATTTTAGAACAAAATTATCCTGATCCTTTGTTGTAAATAACAAAGAACGAATCTTCTTTCATAGTTTATGGAACCGTTAAAAGAAATCTCGGAAAATGCTGAGCAAAACACGTCAGGTGATACCAGGGAAGATTTTGAATTAGGAAGTGTTTCACGAGCCACTCGAGATAAAAATAACACTGTCGTTGAAACAGATACGACCGAGTCAGCACTTCACGAAGATGAAGAGGTATCTTTATTATTTGATACGGGAAATCAAGAAACCTCGTCTTCGCCGGGAGTATTTAACGAAGGTTTTCAAGAAGGTACGGAATCAAGCCTCGTGAGTGGACAGGAGGCGACTCATGTGGATACAGAAGAACCGCTTACAGATGTGGTGGTGGTAGGAGGGGATAGCATGAGCCGAGGGAACCCAACTGTCCTATCTGAACCAACTGCAGAACCATCGTCGACTCAAGAATCTCAGCAAGGTTGGTGCTTATTTATCATTATTTTGCTGAATATTTTCTAAAGGAAATTGAGTGTATTAATAGCAAGATAGTTTTCATAAACTTGAAGGCCGTGTTTTTATTAATTCAAGTTTTAAATCCATTTCAGTGGACGTAAATGAAAACAATGTCCTGTCTGAAAAGAGCGAGGTAACAAGCTCCACGATACTTGATGTAAGTGACGATGAGAGTGAGCTACCCTGGGCCATGTACAGATCATTGGATCCTGCTTATCCGAAGAACGACGAGGCAGAAAACGAGGACTGGGCGCTGGGAGATGAAGAAGACATTACAGGTAAAAGAGCAGTTTTGTTTTCATCTCATGATATGCGAGAAATGATTATGGCTCAATGATATTAACCAAGTCATTGCAAAATGTTTGTGTTTCTTCAGGACCTGAAAGGGAAAAAGATCTGCCGGATATCTACGCTCTCCTGGAAAGTTTCGAGGAAGACAAAGTGAATTTGTTGAATTCTCGGAATCTTTTTGACAGCGAGAAACAGAAAGCGAAATATCAGTATATCGATGAACTGAAATTGCAAATGGCCGACTCAACTGTCGAGAAATATGTTGAAGATTTTCACCAGGATGTTGAAGATGAAATACTGATGATTGGAAGTATAACTTTAGAAGATGTTCAGGTACACTCTAGTAACACTGAACTAACTTTACACTAGATAACTTTATCAGTTCTAAACTGTTCTTCCTTGAGGTCCAGTAAGAATCATCTCTTATTGATCCAGTGTTGCTACAGGCCTTTTGTTTTGGATCTCTATCAGTTGTAAACTGAATTAATGAATGTATTACCACTGCACAGGAAGAGGAGCGACATTTACGAGACGAACATATCCAGTATCAACAACAGCTGAGCGACATTCAAAGGAAACGACAGGAAGACATCTTGGTCAGAGAAGAGCTTGCAAAGAAAAATGTGATGGAAAGATTGAAGGAAAGAAGGAAGGCGTTGAGAAGACGAGAGGTGAGGATTGTCTGTGATCACGTTTGAGGAAACATCGTTGTTAATTATCTTGGTACGTGTTATTTTGAAAATGAAAACATTGACTTGTATTTTGCAGGAACACTTGATGCAACGAGACCGCCTGTTACAGAACAAAATTCATCAGGCGTTTCGTCGCTCTGAACATCAACTTTTGAAAGCACTTGAAGCAAGAAAAGCTGAAGTTAAGGTATCGTCAAAAAACTTCATAATTCATTGACGGAGTTCATTGATTTTGTTTTCCAAACGCTAAACTCCTGCCAACCTCTAAGATTTGTCTCTATGTCTCTGTAAACTACACCTCTCTCCCCGGATTTTTCTAGACAATGTATGGTGAACTGGTTATGGCCGATGGCGAATACGGGGGAAGCAAAGGTCGGAGATGGAAAGTTGATTGGAACAGATCACCTCAGCCTATTCAAGTGAAGTTGAAATGTCTACGGGGCATTAAGGATAAATTGCCAGGTATGTTCTGTGTTCGTGTTGTTGTCTTTCATGTGTCTTCTTGCAGTGAAATATTTCTTGTTTTTTCAGTTGGTCGTTACGTGTTGATGGCGTCATTGTACGACCGTCTTGGTGGTCACGTCATGAAGTGGTCCAATCTTAAAGGCCAGCAGTGGGGGGGAGCTACACTGCCATTGTTTCACGAGGGGGAGTTTTATAATATCGAAGTTAAGGTTAGTTTTGTCCAGCATAATTAAAGTTAGTTTAGTTTAGGTTTCCTCCTGTAGTTACACTGGATCAATAAGAGATGATCCTTACTGGACCTCTAGGAAGAACAGTTTAGAACTGATAGAGCTATCCAGCATAATTAAAGTTAGTTTAGTTTAGGTTTCCTCCTGTAGTAACACTGGATCAATAAGAGATGATCCTTACTGGACCTCTAGGAAGAACAGTTTAGAACTGATAGAGTTATCCAGTATAAATAAAGTTAGTTTAGTTTAGGTTTCCTCCTGTAGTAACACTGGATCAATGAGAGATTTCTCATTTCAGATTGATCAAAGTGTCTTCACAGTTTGTCCAGCTCGACCGGACATTCGCCCCGGTATGGTTCTCGTATTCGAGTTATTTCTCCTTCGAGGAGCTGTCACTCCGACTGATCGTGTCGTGGGTTGGGGATGTTTTCCAATATGTGACTCTAACTTCAGAGTTGTGGAGGGCAAGTGAGTGTATTACCGTTTGTTTGTCCATAGTAGTGACTTGTACTTAACCGATAAATGTAGCTAGAAAGATTATCAGAATCTATCAAAGCTTCTCTGTCTCGTCTCGCCAGATATAAAACTCCGTTTCTTCGAGGTGACATGGATCCAGGAATTGACACTTATCAAAGAATGGAGGAACTTGTCGCACAAGATATTGATCATTGGCTGTGTAATTTATACTTTGATGTTGTTCTTCTACCGAGGTAAATCAGCTTTATTTATCCTTGCAAGCTGCCTCGGTGCTAAACTGAACTATCAACTAATCACTTTGGCATCTTTCAGGTACATGGCTGGGCAGAAGGAATACGAGGTTGAACTGCAGTTCACATCAAATTTGCTCGGTCATCCAAAACGCACGAAGACTGGAGAAGAGCTTGCTGATGGGGAAGAGCCTGTGTACGGGTCTGAAAGTGATCTCCAGTCGCCTGCATTGCGTGGCTCACGTCGGGGCAGCAAAGCCTCCAGTGCTATGGAGTAGGTTCTTGAACGATTGCTTGAGTCAAAATGCTTCATGATGTTTGATGATTATTGATATTTTTCAGAGCAAGTCTTGCAAGTGAGGCGAAAGAAGGCGATGAGGAAAGTGAAGAAAAGATATCCGCCTCAGCTCAAAATCTTGAATTGCCTTTAACTCCTCTCAAGTCCCCAGTGAGTATCCGTTTAAAGTTAGTTTAGTTTAGGTTTCCTCCTGTTGTAACACTGGATCAATAAGAGATGATCCTTACTGGACCTCTAGGAAGAACAGTTTAGAACTGATAGAGCTATCCAGTATAAATAAAGTTAGTTTAGTTTAGGTTTCCTCCTGTAGTAACACTGGATCAATAAGACATGATCCTTACTGGACCTCTAAGAAGAACAGTTTAGAACTGAAAGATCTATCCAGTATAAATAAAGTTAGTTTAGTTTAGGTTTCCTCCTGTAGTAACACTGGATCAATAAGAGATGATTCTTACTGGACCTCTAGGAAGAACAGTTTAGAACTGATTGAGTTATCCAGAAATTAAGTTGAAACCATCGATTTTTAGTCAACACCTGAGGAGTATAGCAACACGGTGCATCATGATCGCCCTTCAACAGTTTTGCATACTTCACGTAAGCTCCACGAGGCCGCGAATGTGTTAGAAGGTTTGAGTGATGATAGTGGCACTGATTTTTCGGATGACGAAGTGGCAGAAATCAGAAGGAAGGATGATTTTAAACCTGTCAAGGGAAAACCGGGAATGTTTTACAGAGTAAGCAACCAGTCTTTGAAGAAATAGCTAATTTGTCACTGTATTCTGTATATATGATAGCGTTGTGTGGTAAATTTTCAGGGGAATGATCCCGGAATTGATTATGTTTTGTAGAAACACCTGAATAATCCAGTAGACACTTACCACAAGAAGTTATACACAATGTTACCAAAGACGCCATTGTTGAGCCGTCGAACTGGCAAGAAACGCAAGATGACACATTTAGAAGAGCTGGAACAACACACGTACTCTGTCAAGTAAGAAATCTTCATCATTCAGAGATTATTCTTACTGGACCTCTAGGAAGAACTGATAGAGAAAACTAACCAGCGTCTTTCATTCAATAGGAGTCGTTGGTCAAACAAAGGCCGAATACCTCGTCGAGGTCGGGAGAAAATGCAATACATCGGAAGGCAATTTCTCTCTGAACTTGGACTCTCGCAATGGCGTTCGAGGGAATTCTGGGCGATGATTTTAATGCTAATTTTAACCTGGTTTATCCGCATATACGCTCATTATGGAGGACAATGGATATATCTCACCGCTATCTTTATCCCTATAAATAAGTAAGAAATTGAATTATCTTTGGTTTGTATGACTGTGAAAGAAAGTTCCCATCTTCAATGCTTGAATGCTGTATATTAACTAAAAGCAATGATTGCTGGTTTTGCGAGCTACCTCAACCATTTAATGCCTTAAACGACTAGTTTGAATCCTAATGTATTCTATCTGAGAAAGAGGAATTGCTCAAATGCAAGCGAAAGCCTTCAACATTGAACAATTTTCAATCCATATTTTGTTTTCTGTCTAGGTTCGAGTTTCTTCCTTACACAACCAGCTTAAACTATCAAAGTACCCTGCTGCAAACACGTCAAGAAATCTCGCTTGTTGTTCTCGGTCCATTTACCAACATCATTATATTTTGTTGCATGGTTTTTCTGAGCTGGTTAATGCAGAGACTATTTGGGAGGTTTCCTAGTATTCTGTCGAGGTTCGTCATGGCTTATGGGATTAATACGTTGCTTGATCCTGTCTGGGTACTGGTGGTTGATACCGCTCTGAAAAGGTAAGACGTACTGCATGCTTAGGTACAAATGTGGTGAAGCTTCACAGGAATCAAACCTCAGTCACAGAGATGAAAGACACATCTACTTACCACTGTGTTTGGTAGAGTCAAATTGGAAGAACTACTGTCACATGTGACTGAGGTGAAATTATAATCACACAACTGCATATTACAAGAATCAAACCTCAGTCACAGAGATGAGAGACACATGAACTAACCACCACTGCGCTGACATGATTTTTAAATGTATTTTATAGATATCGTTTACTTGGAGGTGACATTCCAATCGGAGATGCTTACAAACTCTACTGGCATTTCGATCGTTACGAAAAGAATGGAATTATCGGAATTTTTATCACCGTTTTCCTGTACATTGTTACAGTATTTTCAGCCTCCACTGTTCTCTATATGTATTTCCTCAGAGTTCACAATAGCGGTCGGTTACTGGATGTATATCACAGATTAAACGGCAAAGAAGATGAGTTTTTCGTCGCGTATGATCTGGAAATTTCGCTAGAGGAGTTGACGTATATTTGTCGTAAGGCCGAGCAGTGGCGAGGGGAAGAAGGCGAGCGACGTAAAGTGGCTGTGTATGATTACGTTTGGGAAGAAGAGGAGGTAAGGACAGGGGACTGGGATCAGGCAGGCATTTTAATAGGGTGGGGAGAGTGCTTTAACTTTCTCACCGATTAGTAGTTGTTTTCTATCAGAGCATGTTGTGAACTAAATATCAGAACCAGTTCAGAAATGATAAATTAGTTCAGGTTCAAAATTGAGACGTTGTCAACATTTCTAATTGGTATTTTCCTTTTTCAGTTGGACGATGAACTTTGGGACAAGAATAACAAACGTCGGAGAAAGAACACTCGTGAAGTAACGACTCACACATCAATACATACTCTGCATTTAGATGGCTTGAGAGAACTTTACAGACATTTCCTTCGTCTTCCTGACGGAGCCATTGTTGAGGTTTGTAGGTTAAGGATTGTAATTTCACCTCAGTCACATGTGTGAAGAATGCTTCTAGTTTGACTCTACCAAACACAGTGGTTAGTACATGTGTCTTAACTGTCTTTCATCTCTGTGACTGAGGTTTGATTCCTGTAATATGCAGTTGTCTGATTATAATTTCACCTCAGTCACATGTGAGAAGAATGCTTCTAGTTTGACTCTACCAAACACAGTGGTTAGTACATGTGTCTTTCATCTCTGTGACTGAGGTTTGATTCCTGGAGGACTCAAAATGGATTGAGAAAGACATATTGTCTGACATTTCATTATCATTGTTTTTAAGGTGTTTGGTGAGATGCCGCTGACAGGCATTGATGAGAGCGTGAAACAAGCCATACTACAGAGAAACACATTCGAGAACGTAGACATGGTTAACCAATCAGTTACGACTTTGAGATCAAGGCGTGGTTCACATGTCCCTGGGGCGAATCTCTATGGTAACGGTACATTCCCTACCACTGCAGGCACAGGTAGCCCTGGTGTGGAAAACTCACGAAGACAATCAAGGGTACAGTTTAGCGACCTCCCGGCTAGAGATACACAGACATTAGATTTACCTGGAACAAGTAACGGTATCCCGGGGGGTAGTTCTCTTGTTTGATTTGTATCATTAAGTGCTTCTTCTCGCCACTCATGAGAAGCCAATAGTTACTGCTGGGAAGATTGTGGTATCCGAATGGACCACCCAGAAACCGACCCAAACACTTTTGCAGGTCAAAAGTGCATTGTATTATACATTACGTTTAACATAACATACATATGACGATATCCTTATTTAGATGTAAAAATACACGTAGAAACGACGCATAGTTCATATGCCCCGTAACCAGCTGAGATTCACTAGAATTTCATACAGGTTGCATTCATCAACAGAGATCAGTGGATAAGAGAAACGGACGCCTCAGCTACCGAACTCTATATATTTGCTGAATGCAATCTTTATGTTCCATTAAAACGCGTGGATACGAGGCGTGGATACATTGTTACACTGCACCCACATGCTACCTGGATAGTTCACCTAAGTTATCTGTTATACAGTATTTACACAATTTGATGTAATGTAATCCTATTTTTATAACTAATTTATTTTATATTTATTGCAAATACTCTAAGCGTCTTTGGTGACTCAAACTGAACCATACCTGATTATCAAACTAACTTTACTATCTTAAGAATAATTTTCTTCGACTCATCTGGTTTTTCCCTTTTCACAAACAAATAGTAAACTTTCATCGTTCACTTCATCTCATAAGATTTCACTGGAAATATCACGTAAACTATGACGACATTACTTATGATAAACTTTAAATTATCTAAGATATGCAGCCACATAGCACTGAAATTCAACAAGTGGTGACATTTCAAAGAGTCTTGCGAGATATTGCGAGCCGGATTACTGCTAATACTTCCGCGACCACGCAACGCGGAAATTGGTGTGTCTCAAAAAAATGCAGGGGTGATTGAAATTGAAAAATGGCATACATCGAGAGTGTGCAATTTGTTTAATTCAGTTCATATTTCCGCATTTTGCTCTGACCTTGTCTAGATTTGCTTGGGTGGGTCTATTCAACATGTAAGAATGATTTAAAGGTACATGGATAAAGCTGGTGGCAAATCAAAGCAAATAAAAAAACATCGACTTTCTCGTTAGAAAATTGATCTTTCTCACACTTTCTTTCATATTTTCTACCAAAATATCCAGGATCTCTTATATCGGGAGTATTACCCTATAATTTCAGGAATTTTAAAAAATTAGCATAAAAAACGTGGGTGAATATTTTAGAATAATTACAACATATAACCCGCGCAGTGCATACTGGGGTATCATGTTTTGCTTGTGACGTCACACGGCAGGGGAGCGTTGAAAATTACGCCGAAAGCTGAAAGGATACATGACTGTTTACTGAAATAATGAAATAAAAGTGCTCTTTTCACATCCGATAGTGCGCTTTGTACACTACAATTCAAGCTTAAAGCAGGAGTGGCAATTTTACCCATGAAATTACGACGAAAGTAGCGTTTTAGATCATGTTTCGTTGCCTCCTACCATGGCGTTGCAATCGTCAAGTTGAGTACATAGATCGAAGACATGCTAATTTAGTCTTCATTCCTGACGAAATCTACAGATATGAACGATATTTACAAGAACTATACTTGGACGCCAACCAGATTAAAGATTTACCAAGGGTAAGATGGCGTGAATGCCGGGACAATAAGCTTTCATCAGGTTTTGAAAATGTATTTACTGAGCTAATATATTGTATTTATGTCATAGGCATTCTTTCGTTTGTATAACCTAACACATTTGGGTATCAGCGACAATGAAATAGCCAGATTACCCCCAGAAATAGGCAACTTAACGAATTTGGAGGAGTTTGATATAAGCAGAAACGGTAAGGCTGTTGTTTTTTGGATCGTGTATTTGGGATTGTAAATTTACTGTGCTTTTATAATGCAGGCCAATTGTTCGGTATTCTTGTGGTTAAACCCTCATTTGGCCCGCATTCGTGTGTGTTTTATATTAAATTTATATAGTAAGCAAAGCCTAAACATTTATTACATCTGTGTGAGCGTTTTATTTATGTTTAGACATTTGTGACGTGCCCGAAAATATAAAGTTCTGCAAAGCTTTGGTGACTGTCGATTTTAGTGGCAATCCACTCTCAAGGTTTGACAATGCTTCAGATTTTTGCCTCAAAACCACTTGTACTTTATTGATGCACTAAAGAAAGAATATATTTCTATAAAATATGTGATGTGATGAAATATATATGTCGATGGACCGTTTTGACTCGTGCCTTAAGCTCCGTTTGAAATTCACATGACAAATACTGTCCATAAATCATAAAAGCGAAAACCAACATAATACTCCCAAAATATACCGGCTAAAATAGCTATGTGTTCAGCACCCAACTGTGAAAGAATCATAAAATATGGTTAAAAAACCCTTAAAAACCGTGAAACCCCAACAAGTGGTGATAAATAAAAGTACATTTTCCCTTCGACGAAAAGCGACAACTCTTAATACTTAGGGGATGGGTCTCTTCCAATTTGTTTATTGCCTTTAAATTGGGGTTTATTTCTAGTATTTTAATCCTAAAGTGAAAACAGGCTTTGACACGTATTTGTACAGAATTATATCTACATTTCGTTACATTTTTTACTATAGTTCGTTTGCTAGTTTTATATTTATCTAACAGCGTCAGATATTTGTCCAATTAGGTGTGAATTTAAGGCTTGAGAATTTCATCTCGTAAATTCAAACCGGAAGCATATTTATTGTGTTTTACAAACATGCTGAAAGCCAAATTGTTGTAAATTTAGTCGAAATTTATTTTACCCAGACAGCTTTCAATCACGATAATATAAACTTTGTAATTTACGTTAGCGTATAATGATTTTTTCTCTCTTTGTTTTGCACTCAGTACAGCTGTTTTAATTGTCCATTTGTGTACGACCTTTGTGGGTTTTCCAATCTATATTTGCTGAGTAATTCCACAAACCATGTCTAAACTATTACAGCATAGCTGGATAAATTTTTTACATAAGTTAAATTCCCAGGACATTTTTCAATATACTCTTTACTTTGTCTAAACATTGCCTTATAAAAACTATTTCCTTTGACTGTACTTCAATTTTTTTTGCTTCTTTGAGTCAGAAAATAAGCTGAATGCTAACAGTTTATCTTTTTAGCTGTAATGCACAAGGTTTACATGCTAATTCTATGTGCTTTTACATAGGTTTGATATTGTTTATTCAAGAATTTTGTTTGAACAATTCTTTAAATATTGTCAATGTAATCATTTTATAAAAACCTTAGAGTATAGTTGAAGTGGACGGTCTACAACCAAGTATATCTTTACGCCAATTAGGAATGGGTTCAGGGTAAAAATAAAACATTTTAGGGTATTTTATGATATGTATGCAATTAATTTGTTTACAGACCGAAAGAGACCCTTGTGGGCTTGAAATGTCTTGACAAATGATCACACAAAATTGCAGACAAAATTTTGCATAATTGAAAATTCAAATTAATTTGTGATGCTTTTACACTATGGCAGCATATCCATTTATCTGGAGTTGGAAAAAAATCCTTTTTAGTGTCCTAAAATTTTTCAGTTGAATAAATAAGGAAATGATTTGCAGTCTTGCAATATTGGCATGAAATATGCCCTCTAAGGGTATTTTGAACATTTTAAAACCACTTAATTCTTGTCCATTTTTGTATTTGTCTTCTGTGACATTGCCTTCAGACAATATATTGGTCTATTGAAAGTGAAATGATCTTTTCCTTCCTTGGACATAATTGCTATTTCACTTGCACGTTCATTCATTATGGATCTCAGCTTGATGGGGTCATATAAGGGGCAATGCACGCAATAAATAGGGAACTCTTCTGTCAAATAAATCTTCATTTTTTTTAGCTAAACACCTGCAGGTGCTAATTATACTATTTTAGCAAATAACTACTCAATATTTGATGCCCCCAGCTCTCTATGTGTGTAATTTTATTTGTGTATAAAGGCATGTTCTGATAAAGCAACCATTAGCAAGAGAAATTGCCTCCAGGCATGTTTGTGATATCAAAATTTGAAGTAATTAATGAATAAACATGTACATAGAAAAACATTTTAATATAATGTAAATGTTGACACAAGCAAATGTATCATTTTCCTTTATGAATTACACAGATTTTAAAGTCATTTTAGCATCATGTAACTGAACTATATCTTGTGTAAAAATGTCAGGAAATTCCTTCTAACAATTCTGTGTTTTTGAAATGTTTTTTTTAGACTCCCAGATGGATTTACCCAACTAAAGTGTTTGACAAGTTTATGTTTGAATGATGTGTCCTTGGTTCGTTTGCCCCCGGATATTGGCAGGTATGTCTCTTGTTTTTTAAATTTCCAAGTCCTCCATCTGCTTGTATCTTTTATTTTTCTCCTTTGATGTACGAATGTGTTTCCCTTTTTCAGCCTGGCTGAGTTGCAAGTGCTAGAACTACGAGAGAATTTGATCAAGTTTATACCAGTGTAAGTAATTTAATTGTTCATTTTTTGTAATGTCAACTTCAGAAAGAAATAGACTGGCTTTGTTTTATAGTTCCCTGTCATTCTTGACTAAACTGGAAAGGCTGGATCTTGGTTGCAATGAGTTAGAGGATTTGGTAAGTTAGAAAATGATTCATAGCAGATTTCATTCAATAGGTTGCTTTGTATACAACTGAGTATACCATTAATGACTGTTAATATACAGTGTGATCCAATTTTTGTTAGATCCATTCACTTCTGACATATGAAATGTAGTTTGTCATTGATAAAGCAGTACTGCATTGGCTTTAGTTGATTGCTTCCCATATACATTGTAAGTCAACAGACTATAAAACATTTGTCAAAAGTGAATTGGATGTGACAAAATTTAGATTGCATGAACATTCTTTTAGCTACATATCTATGTGAAACTCTCACCAAATTGGTGGCACCCGTCAGCTAATATTCTCATTGTTTACCACCATAGCCTGATATAATTGGCTCCCTTCCTGAACTTGTGGAATTATGGCTGGATGGAAATCTTCTTCGAACTCTGCCAATGGAAATTGGCAACCTAAAACGTCTCCAGATATTTGATTGTTCAGAGAACAGGATAGAATACCTTCCAGATGAGATCAATGGGCTGTCTGCTCTGACAGATTTCCATTTGTCTCAAAATTTACTTGAGATCATTCCTGACACCATTGGTAAGTTGTGAGGCACCCACCCAGCTCTCTACCCTGGGTTCTTTTCCATGCCAGATAGCCACACCCCTCCCTGGCATCAGTCTTACTGACACCCTCACTCCAAAGTGGCACCCTCCTCTCATTCCAAAGTGGCACACTCTTCATTGAAACCTCCTTTCAACCCATCTACAGTACCTCAATAATAAATCCTAAACGCTTCCTGAAATTTAAACAACTTTTTCCAGGGGAATTGAAACAAATGCAGATGCTAAAAGTTGATCAGAACAGGCTGATACAGTTGACAGATTTCATCGGAGGGTAGGTATTTGAACTTTCGTAAATTTAAATTGAATAACACTTTGTCATATGTTATAAATATTCTCCCTTTTTTAGAGCAACCACCCTGACAGAATTAGTTCTAACAGACAACTTATTAGAGGTGGGTTTAATCGAAGAATGGTATTTTCTAGGAAAGCAACAACCGTGCATATAATACCATGTAATCCAACATGATATCATATTTTATCCTTTTAGGAACTGCCATCATCCATTGGCAAATTGATAAATCTCTCTGTTTTTAATATCGATCGAAATCAGCTTCAGATTCTTCCGGTTGAGGTAAGGATCAGTTGTGCATATTGCGTTGAATAACAGTTGCGTCTTTTCTTCACGATCATCTGCATCGATGTCTAACCCTAACCATTGAAAACCAAGATTTAGGTATGTTGTGTTTATGTTGTTAGATTGGAAACTGTAGCAGTCTGTCCGTGTTGTCAATGAGAGAAAACTTCCTCACAAGATTGCCCTCGGAGATCGGGAATTGTCGTAATCTACATGTTCTTGATGTCTCGGGAAATAGGTGCGTGAAAACGCTACACCAGGATGTCTCATTTGTAGTACAGTCTGACTTAGCTTCAACATCTATTCTTGTTCTTTTCTTTAGAATGGAAAACTTACCGCTAACAATCGGGACTCTGCCATTGAAGGCGCTCTGGTTGTCTGAAAATCAGGTGCGTGTGTTTTGTATGTTGAAACGCGAGATTTCTGCATGTTAATTCTCTACAGCAGTGTAGTCTTTTGGATCTTGACTAACAGGGTTTCCTGATGTTCTTTAGTCAAAACCGATATTGAAATTGCAAACAGAAGATGACGAGAGGACGAACACCCGGGTCCTGACATGTTTTCTGTTGCCTCAGACCGAACAACAGTTTGATCTCGGTGAGTTTAGTTTCTCCACTTGCTTCTATGCTGTTCTTCCTAGAGGTGCAGTAAGGGTCACCTCTTATTGATCCAGTGTTTCTACATGAAGAAACCTAAACTAAACTAACTTTATTCAAACTGTTCTTGTTTCAAAAAATCTCTTGCAGAGGACTATGATTTGGATGAAAATCGCGAAGACTTCCATTTTGAACCACGCGATAAGCCACCAGTTGAACTTGGTTTTGTCAACGAACACGTGAGGTTCTCTGACGAGGAGTCAGATCATGATGAAGACAGACTGGTAATTGCAACATTGCTGTCGTTTATGTCTTCCAATCACATTCTTAATTTCCCAATTGTGACTTTATTTTTCAGGGTGATTTCATCCGTCATGACACGCCACATCCCAAAGACCTCAAAGGCCGACATCCAAAAATGTTTTCACACAAGCCAAGATCAGATTCGATGAACTCTGAAGAGGTTGTTTGCTGAATGAATGAATAAACAAAACATTACTTAGTTGATTCTGCATGAATTCGTCAGCATCGTTAAACTGACCTCATTCTTATCTCTCCGTTCTTCAGGAAAGGCGGAGATCAAAAGGCCTGGAGTCAGGATCGGACACAGAGCACGACAGACCGCGGAAAGCTGGAGTGAGAATACAGGATCCTGAGCCTGCAGTCCGCATCCAGGAGCAACCAGCTGTGATTGAAGATGAAAAAGAAGCGTTGATTTTAACACCAACTATCGAAGTACCACAAGAGAGTTCTCCATTCATAGAGGGTGGCGAACATGTAAGTAATTAAGTAATCATAACATGTTCACTCTTTGGGAATTTGTGTTTTTCAAACAACACACTGAGCTCTGTCAAGGAATCTCTGCCTTTGATGCGAAATAAGTAAATAAATATCTGTTCTAACTTAGAATGAAGAACCATCCAGTGACGAGGGTGAAGATGGTGAAAGAACTGTCGGATTTCTTGTCGCTGACGACGAGGATACGGAAGAACGCTTCGATAGTAAATTAAAGAGAACCAACACTCCTCACTACACCAAGGGAAAGAGATTGTACACAGACAAGGAAGATATTCAAGAAAAATTTCATGAAATAATGGCAAAGGTTGGACAACGGAATGAAGACGATTCAGACGAACAACGGGTAAGCATTTGATATTTTTCTATCATCTAAGACTAACTTTATTTACACTGGATAACTCTATCAGTTCTAAACTTTTCTTCCTAGAGATCCAGTAAGGATCATCTCTTATTGATCCAGTGTTACTACAGGAGGAAACCTAAACTAAACTAAACTAACTTTATTTATACTGGATAGCTCTATCAGTTCTAAACTGTTCTTTCTAGAGGTCCAGTAAGGATCAAACTAACTAATTGCTTCTCTAAATATTCAATATCTCAACAGTATTTATTTGGGTCTTCTGTCTAAATCTATCTCTTCGAAAATAATAATATAACCAACTCTTATGTATTTTACTGTAACAACCTTTAACATCAATATAAGTAACCTTTAGGATATTATGATATTGTTAAATATTTAAATGTTAAAATATTCGTGGGATTTGCAGACCATACTAAATGATCCAGTGATCAACCAACTTAAACGAACTCGACTAAAATATCTTTAAAAATTCAACAAACGGTGCTAAAGATTAACATCTAAACCTAAAATCTTAAAATCTATAATCTCAGTTTTCATATATGTCGAATTGCATTCACAGGTTGACTTCACGAGAATTTTATTTGTTGATGTTTTGATATAGTTTGGATTGAAGTATTTTTCGTAGATTTTGTTCATTTGTTCGTTTACGAAGACGGTTGGTGTCTGGATCTCAATGGCCTTGTGGCAATTATGATATTTGATAATTCCTATTTCGTCGTCAGGATTAGTAAATTTCAAACTCATCAATATATTTGACAAGAGAAATCACCGCTCGTATTAACAGTCTCCACGCCATCACCATGGAGATTTAATTACAAGCTCGACTGCGAGGCAAGACTCGTGTCTGTATTTGCTGATGAAATATTGATGAGTTTGAGATTTATGTTTACAATTTGGGATTAATGGGAATCGTCAAATATATCATGTTTTTTTTTCTTGAGAGTTGGTCTGCAAATTTCAGGCCTTGATGCGAGGCCATTGAGATCCAATACTAACACTGTTTTCAGTTTTTACATGTCTTCTGTTACCTTAAGGAGAGTGGAGAGGAAGGTGAACACTCCAGAGATGATGAAGGTCAGTGAAAATTGAAATATCTTTGCATATCGCCTCCGTATCCAGCAGGATCATTGATTACCCCCGTTTGTCATCCTATGTCTTCCTGATGTGAAAGTGGAATCAATAATCTTCCCTTGTTTTTATGTCCTGCGAGGATCAATGATCATCCCCAGTTCATACCTGTCATCCCACCTGTCTCTTCTTAATTGTCCTGTAATGATCAATGATCATCCCCAGTTGCCCACAACGGCAATTGAATCCTCCCAGGCAATACTCAATATTTCAATACTTCATGTTACAGATGGTGAACGTCCTCCATCAGCTCATCTCAACGGCATCAATGGACATTTAAACAAGGATGGCGACGATCATTTCGTGACGGTCACGAAAATCGTAGAGGAGGTAAGACTGAGCCAATGAGGAAGATCTTCGCCTGGGGCAGATCGAGCGTAAAAACATAAAGTCAACGTTATAACTGAAATATTTTTCAGATAACGTACACGTTAGTAAGGAATGGTGCGGGACTTGGCATCAATATCGCTGGAGGAAAAGGCTCGACACCTTATCGTGACAACGACGAGGTAAAAAACAAGATATTTTGAGATATTCTACACATCATTCGTTCTTATATCTTTTTCCCCGCTTTTTCAGGGTGTTTTTATATCGAGAATCAACGAGAAAGGACCCGTAGGCAGGGATGGTGTCTTGCAACCTGGCGATAAACTAATATCTGTGAGTGTTTGTTTTCTTCGCATGGTTCCCGGTTTTGGTGTTTTAAATACACGTCAAAAAGCCTAGTTCGATGTTGATATTCCACCCGTTCGTAGGTAAATGACGTGGACATCAGCGAGGCGAGTCACAATGAGGCGGTCCAGGTGCTCAGTAATGCTGGTGATACCGTCAAGATGGTTATATTACGAGAGACCGAGGAACTTGCCGACGCCGTCACGGAGAATGGCGAGGAGGAACCGAAGGTCGAACCGAGTGAGGTAAGATTCACTGGCCTATCTCATAACCGGGGTTTTACACACTCACTTGAAGTATCGATTCTTGGTACGTTTATAGGTGCCTAATAAAGCCCCGAAGGAAGTGAAAAAGTCTGGAGTGAGGTTCGCAGCAGAGCCGGAAATGGAAGAGATTGAGACAGCCACAGAGGTAAAGAGATATCCGCTTGGCAGCTTGGCTTGATTTTAAACATTCCTACATAACAAAAACAACAACAACATTATGTTCTTGTTTAGACGGAGACGATAGTACTAAGTAAGCGTGACAATAAAGGACTGGGGTTTAGCATTGCTGGGGGTCGTGGATCGACTCCTTATAAGGGAACAGATCAGGTGAGCAAGCAGCAGCTTGTGAAACATCTGCGTGGATCTTGTTCATTCATATAATGTTCTTCTAATCGTATTTTAGGCTATTTTCATCTCGAAACTCGCCCCGGGCGGTACGGCCGAGTTAGATCGAAGGCTTAATATTGGTGATAAGGTTTTATCAGTGAGTAATAAGTTCATCCAACACATTGGTTCTTTGACGTTTAGTTCAGCTAAAAGCACTCTAGAAGTGACATTTTGTTGTCAAACCATTTCAGATCAATCGTAAATCAGTAGCTAACGCCAGTCACGAAGAGGCTGTGGCCCTACTTACCAGCAGTTATCCCTCAGTAACCCTGGTAGTCACTCGTGAGCGAGTTTTGGAGAAACGAATGACGCCGCTGTCCAAGCATCGCGAAGACTCCCTGATAAACAAAAGAATAGCGGAAAAGGAACTCATTCAAGATGCCATGATCCGAGCTTCAGCAGTGAAGTGGCCTATTCTAATCTGTCCATTACTTAATAGTCGTCTAATCTTCAATTTGGTTTATGCAGGATACAAATCACGTGGACAATGATAGTGATGACGAATTTGATCGACCGAAAGTTGAGGTATTAAGAACTGAACATTTTTCGGCGGTAATTGATGATGCTTGCGGCATATAATTCTACAGTTTTTGTTGTTTTTTTCCACCAGAGAGTTGAGTTGAAGAAAGGCAACGGTCCTCTGGGATTTAGTGTTGTTGGGGGCTCGGATCATGCTTGTCATCCATTTGGTATAGACGAACCTGGGCTTTTTATCTCAAAGGTAGCTGTTGTTGCTTTAAACAAGTCGTGCATGCGCAGTACAAGGTATGTTTGATTCCTGTACTGAATTGTAATTTCTGATCATTATTTCTTCCAGATCGTACCAAATGGAGCGGCTGCTAATACAAATCTACGAGTTGGTGATCGTATCTTAGCCGTAAGTTTAGACTTTGAAGATTTTAGAAAGTGAACGGGCGCTTTCCTTTTTACGATGAAAACTGCTGTTGTATCTCAGTATAAGCAGATTGCTGGTATTTTAGAGACCATGTAGTTTTGAGGGATGTTTTCTTTATCTCCAGGTGAATGGTAAAGATATGACAAGATCAACGCATCACGATGCTGTCACCGCTTTGATATCAAACGTTACGTCCATAAAAATGTTGGTGCGTCATGATCCACCACCCCCCGGTCTCATGGTAGGTATAAGCAATAAAAAATCACCGATGATCACCACAATCCGGGGGAGGGATTTTCCCAAAGAAAGCGACCGTTAACATTGTATGCGCTTGTGTATTTCCAGGATATCACGATTATGAAAAATCCCGGTGAGAAGCTTGGTATAAGTATACGAGGGGGCGCCAAGGGTCATCCGGGGAATCCATTGGATACTAAGGATGAAGGGATCTTCATATCAAAGGTATGTTGCTAAATAGTAATTGTTGTATTGCTCGAAACCTGTCACGCTTTGCCCTGGAATTGTGTTTTCCTTTTGTCCAGGTTAACGAAAGTGGTGCTGCAGCCAAGGATAAAAGATTGCATGTCGGACAGAGGATACTCGAGGTGGCTGCTTTTTAATTTGATATTTGTTTGCATCTTTCTACCAATCCTGTAATATGCAGTTGTTTGATTATAATTGAATCACCAGTTTGACTCTACCAAAGACCCGAGCATTCCTCAGTTTGCTAATGTCTTGATCATTCATCATCTTGATGTAGGTCAACGGCACCAGTCTTTTAGGAGCAACGCACATGGAGGCCGTCCGTTCATTACGTAGCGTTGGTGATCGCCTCTCATTGGTCGTGGCTGATGGTTACGATGTCTCGAAAGTAGAGGCGATGGTTGGTGTGATCTCCAATCCTTTAGCAGCGGGGGATAGTCTCAGCTCTCCCGATGAACACAAACATTTTGGATACGACTCTGACCGCTCCAGTGTCCGAGTTAGTTTAAACGAAAAAGTAGGTGTACTTTGAGAACGTCTCACAATCGTAGGCGTGCACTGTAATTAGTGCTAGTGTACAATTATAGTCCACGCAGAACTATGCCTCTTTGAGGATACTGTCAACATAGAGGCGAAACACGACATTTTAGTAACTTTTATTCCTGGAACCTTTAGGAAATGTCGAAAGAACCTCCCAATAAACTTACGAATGCGGATGGCGAAGTACAAGCGGTATGTCTTTACAGTATTGTGATTTTACAAGGTTGCTTAATAGAGGTTTTCTACTAGACTTTCGCGCATCAACAACGCTTTTCTAATCCATTTAGGACGGAATTATCACTCGTTCGCAAACTACAGTACCCGAGACTCGCCAGGCACCGCCAGCTGATTTTCATCTACCTCTAAATAACTCAATAAAAACTCCCCCGCAAACTGCGAACTCACCCTCGTCCCTCGGGCGTTCCCCCTCGGGAAGCCTCACACCTTCTGAACAACGTGCTTTGGACGCGGAAAAACGTGCGGCCTGGAGACAAGCACGAATGCGGGAACTCGAAGAGGACGCGTTGAAAGCGCAAGTTGTTATTGCTCAGGTTAAAGCAATGTCCGCAACTTCGCTTGAAGGGACCTCCCTGTCTGACGAGGATAGAAAAATACCTCCAACAGACCATTTAAATAATACTTCTACGAAGTTAACTGCTTAGTTTTCTGGATATAATCGAGCGATTTGTTCGACCAAGTTCTGCATATATTTGGCTGTGTATATCATGAGAGAGAAGAGAGTGCGGAAAATCGTGGAAAACTCTTGAGTCTGGGCACCACTGCTTGATTGATGTAGGAAGCTTCTTTGTGCCTTTGGTTGACTTAAACTACGATATTATCCGGGAAATACGCGCTAAATTTTAACAATATATGAGTTTTATGTACGTGCGTCGAGAAATAGTCGCAAACATGCAGTTGTTATAGGAAAAAAGGTGGAGTTTGTGGAAGGAATAGTTTGAAGGAATGCCAAATAACGAGATCTATTTTAACAATATATCCAATCACACGAGGTTGGAACGAGATTATGGTTCTTGAAATCAAGGCTTGCTGCAGAGAATTGTGAAAAATAAAGGTGGAATGAAATCATTGTAAAGGGGGAAAAGGGAGGCTGTAAGTTATCTAAGGTTTGTGGTTTATGGAAGAATGTTGTCCTCACACAAGAAGATAACTGAAGATATTTGAACGGTGGGATTTGCTGAAGATGCTGCAAGTTCCGCTATTCGAGTCCCACTAGAGTAATTTTTCTACCTCAAAACAAAATGGCCTTCAAAGAGAAACGATCCTCTATCATTCGTCGACTGTTCCTATGTTCTATCAACTGTTCATCAATGTTCCTTGTATGAAGTGTATTCATTGGATTTTAACTTGCAGAATCCATTAGCTCCTGGAATGTATTTTACCAATCTTTAGAAACCTTATACATTTTAGTTATTTTACAATTTATTGCTCTTCTCTTAGGCCGTTTCAAGGTACAAATATTTGAAGGATTTTTAGACCTAATTCTAGACGTATTTTATACTGTATAAAGATGTTGTACAATTATTATGAAACCATTTCAACACGCGAGTATTACTACTTAAAGACATAAACTGCGCTTTTTGCGGACCTCCTTTGCGGAAGTTGTAATATAAACTGAACGAATTAGAAATAAATATATAAAACCGGATAGAATGTGAGTTCACTGATGATTAGCATATTTGCCGTGTCTTAACCCGAACAAATCCGATTATTACCCGACCTCATTCCGATCGTAGCCTTTAAACCAACATGGCGTCTCGATCGGCTTGTGTGAGTATTACGAAACAGGTGCAAAATATAAACGGAATCCCCTCTCTCATTTCCAAAATTCATGCACCAAATTTTGATATATTACAATGTACGAAAGCTGTGATACTGATTCCTGGAAATCCGGGCATAATACGTTTTTATGATTCGTTTTTGGAAAGTTTATTTACTCTATGTGATGGAGAGTTCCCAGTGTTTGGCATTCAACATGTGGGTAAGTATAACGTATGTTCACACTATTCATACTCACGATCAATTTCATACTCTCCTTTACACGATCACTAAGAGCTGTTATCCAGAATATCGTGATCATAGTCTGTTTGCAGTTATTGGAATAAGAATATTCAATTGTAGTATTGATATAGATTGAGTCATTGAGTTTAAATATAAATATATTTGGATGATTGCAAGCAACTTTTAAATGTGGTCGTGAAACTGAAGCCCTACTAAGCCACAGCAAAGTTATCCGGAATTGCTATTAACAATGGCAAGATTCTTTTCTAGGTCATGGTCCTTTGGAAAACATAGACACACGTAGTTCACCATATGGTCTCACAGAGCAAATTCACCACAAAATTGCATTCCTTGAAAACTATTTTCATCCAAATTGCAAGTTCATCCTAATTGGCCACTCCATTGGTGCATATATTATTCTAAAATTATTTGAATACTTTGGTCTAAAACAACAACGGATAACAAAAGGAATATTATTGTTTCCAACAATTGAACGAATGGCCGTCTCCCCGAGCGGCCGATTGGCTACGCCTGTTTCAAACTATTTTTCATGGCCGCTGATTGCTGCGGCGTGGGCACTGTCATGGCTACCACTAGGGTTAAAGAAATGGCTTATAAGTATTTGGTTTGGTAGAAGGAAAGTTCATACAGAATGTCAGGAAGCTGTCATTGAGTTGGTCAATGCAAACACGATTAGAAATATGCTTTTTATGGCTGCAGAGGAGATGAAGACGGTTGACAAAACCCCAGTTGAGGTTTGTTTTGTTTCATCTTGCAAGAGTTCCAAGAGGAATCTTGCCTTACAATCACAAGAAACTGGAAATATGATCAAATATTATTGATTGTAATTTGATTTCATTTCAGCTCATATCTGATCATATTGATAAGTTGATCTTCTACTACGGAGCCTCTGATCCTTGGACACCAAGATCATATTACAATGAAATGGTGCAACGCTTCCCCTCTGCACAAATATACCTTTGTGAAAAGAATATGAGACATGCATTTGTGCTGGAATCACATCAGGAAATGGCAAGAATTACTGCTCAATGGATTAGCTAGAATTATTAAAGAGATTCTAAACATGGATTAACTGTAATATATACGCGTATTACCCAATGTTCAATGTGATTAAAACATTACACTGATTTAAAATTATTTGTTAGCTGTAGAAATCCACTGCGTTATTAAAATTCAGCATTAAAAATCTTTTGGTGTTATGTTGTTAAATTTACTAAATTTATTTCTGTGCTATGGCCATGCCTCTCAGTTCAGGCTTAGTTTAAACTGTGAATGTCTCAAGAACTCTTTCCCTGGTATCCTTTGCCCGACGACGTCTTTTCGCAACACATTGAGCTATGCTAGAACTTTCTGTTTTCGCCACTGAACACGCTGAAATGAATTCAAGCAAAGATTCAAGTCTACAAAAATGTACTGGTTTAGGTATAGTACGCCACCGTATAGTACACCCTCTAGTACTCCCGTAAACACTCCACTCCAGGAATACTTCTAAGGCACCGCGGAGTGCGGCGGACCCACTTTCCAAAAAATTGTACGCTCCAAAAGTTGTACTCCCTTTATCACAAATATTTACAACTCAGTTTGTCTGATAGCTTACCATAAGTGTCTGCTCTAATACAATGAATAGTTAGTTTATGGCATCCAGTACTTCTTGTTAGTCTGAGTAAAGAAAATTAGTCAACAAACTGTCAATGCTCCTTATTAGAACTTTTCTTCAAAAACACGGATAAAAATGCATTTTTTCATTTCACCTTTCCTTTCTGACTTCTTCATCATTAATATCAAGCGGCCATGGCCTTTTAATCCCTCGTTCATTTTCTTGACAAACTTTTTCCCCACAATATTCTATTTCCATATCTTCCATTTCGTCACTACAACAAAACAAACAGGACGGTTGTTTTACTTGGAAAATAAAATCAAGAACACTGGTAGTGATTCAGTCTAAATGAAGATGTTGTTTTCACTTCTTTTGCTCTTTTTATAAAGACAGATTCTTGTCCAAGAGAGAACTAGCACTATAACTACTTTCATAGCTTTTTTCCAAAATAATGTAATGTTTCTTTAGGTAAAATTTATCACTCACATATTATAATGAGAAAAAACGCAAAATTATTTACAGCTTAAAATATTAATCTTAGCAAATATAAAAAAGTTCTTTTTCAACGTCACATAATTTTTTACGCACGACCACAAGCGCGCGGGAATATATAATATATAATAATAATTAATTGCGGGAATATATAATTATAAGCATAATTTGCGCTCCGTTACGTGTTCTCGCGGGGCGCGCGCAACCGCAACAAATGCTATATATTAAAGACGGAACACTCATTACTGGATCAGTCAATGCAAAATTCAAAGTTGTCAAGATGCTGCTTCATTTTTTGGAGAATTTAACGTGAAATATTTGGCTCTTCTTCGCTTAAATTGACCTACAAGCGTCCACGTCTTCCTTGCATCGATACGAAGTTAAAAGGCCAAGTGGTAAAACGTCGGAGAAGCCATCACAGAGACACCCGCAGCGAATTTTGAGTGAGTACCAAATTAAATATATTAAGGCGGGGTATTTAAACTTCAACCTCGTGGTCCGTCGTGGACGTTTTCATTCACCTTTTCTTCGTTCGATCTCTTTTGCCTAGCTTCACTGCATGAAATTTGTTTAACTAGTATTGTCTGTATGAGGTGAAACGTTTCACTCAGACCACGTTTTACGGAGAATGTAATTTGTATTTCTCGTATGGATTCTCGAGGTTTTGTCTTTTCTCCACGAGGTATCGACATGCGTATGATGTGTGTATAGTTATAGACATGCATGGAACACACCTCTTCCATGATTTTTCGGCAGTATTCTATGACGAATATCCCACAATCGTACCCGTTCGTATGTCTAGCCACCTAGACAGAAAAAAGATTTATTTAAGGTTACATTAATCAGTTAACTATAGATATTTATAAGATACTGAAATACACATACATGCACAGTATTTCACACATGCATGGTATTTTGAAATATATGGTAAAGAACCAACAATCTATATTTACACCGCATAGCATAAAATCATTGGCCTTGCATGTCTGTAATCATGTTTTCTTTTTAATCAGCGCGCCCAATATTTACATGATATAAAGATGATATAATTTTTTTATCTACAAATGTGGGCTATGTTTCAGAATGACTTTTTACCTTTTTGTTGATTCTGCAACATGATTTATTTTCCACCCCAAGCTGCAGAGGATGCTTGGGGTTCTTGTCTGGATTTTGTAAATAATGACCCACCAGTGTGTCCTGAAAGATTAAACACAAATTATGTTGTGCTATGTTTCAAAGCAATTTGAATATTCAATAGTTGGGTTGCATGTACACACCAAAGATATATCTTACATGTCACAAACAGGAACAATTGCCAATTCGTAACTATGCAACTTTGCAGGCCGGCGTAAAGCAAGACGCCTCTTCGACATTGAGGGCGGATAATTTTATTTTTATAGGTCATGTCAACCTATTTCACTCAATTTAAGTTGCATGTAAACAGTTTTGGATTAATGTATTAATTGTGTCATATATATAAACATAAATCACAAAGTTTCGACCAATTTTAGATAGAATAACAAAAGATATAAACGTAGCCTCAATGCAAATGAAACACTAAGATTATTATATAGTATATATTATATAAAATTATTATATTCCCTGGTAACCATAGAGATTACAAATAACACAACATTACCGCAATATCAGCTAGTTTCATAGAGAATTATTCAAACGAAAATTTAACCATAATTCAAAATTGCAAAACATTCAGCATGAGAGAATATTTCACATATCACAGAGATTGGGATTTGTATACATTCTAGGTATATTATATATTCTGCCTATAGTCCCAAAATGTTCTCCACAGAATATCGACATGCATATGATGTGTATATATATATAGTTATAGACATGCATGGTACACACCCCTTCCATGATTTTCCGGCAGTATTCTAATCACAAATATCCCACAATCATATCTATTGGTTTGTCTAGCCACCTATAGACAGAAAAAAAGATTTATTTAAGGTTACATTAATCAGTTAACTAATGATATTTACAAGATACTGAAATACACATACATGCACAGTATTTTGTAAATTTGATGTGATTAAAATGACATGATCATACGTCTTTACCTTCGGAAATGTTGGTTCAGAAATTGCCGGAATTTCTCCAACCAACCTTGCAACTTGCGCATATATTCGAAGTACCGGTATCTGGTAAAAAACCAACAATCTATATTTACACTGCACAGCATAAAATCAATGGCCTTGCATGTCATCATGCTTCAGAATGACTAAGCTTTGACTTTTTACCTTTTTATTGATTTTACATTTTTAGACAATTAAGCAAGCTAGCTTATGATATATCTGCAGTGCAACACATTTAGAAAAGCAGTATTTCTACACTAGTATTATAATTACGTACCATTCAAATGTATTTTAAATAAGTTTTAAAATATACATGTATATTTACTTCACAAAATGGTAGTCTTTGCGGTACCTGTTTGATAGGACTTTCAGCTAAATTCCCCATTGGTGGTCTACGGGAACTAAATACAGTATAAATGAATGAGCGTAGTTGAAGATTGAGTTTAAACATTGTTATGGTTAAAATGAAATTGAACATGCATAATACCTGTTCTCATCAATTCGGGTGCTTTCTAACAAAAAAATATCTGCACAAAATGACAAAGAAATACAAACATAGCTTATTCCAATCTACCTTTAAGCACATTTGAAACAAATAAAAAAATCATGATTTATTGAAGAAAAGTAAAATCACCATGGCTATTTTCATCTAACTTTTTCTCAACAGCTCTATCAGGAATATATAAAAATTTGATTAGAACATTAATTTTCAAACTACATTTGAGTGTATATAAGTTTGGATACAAAATTTCCAATACGTAAATTAGCTTGTAGCTACACCACGGCGGCATTACTACCATTTGCGTTCAAGCTTGCGACGTGCGATTTTAAAACGTACGTTTGACGTTTCAAAACGTACGTTTAACGTTTCAAAACGTTACGTTTGCCGTTTCAAAACGTACGTTTTGTCACGCCCCCTTACGATGGCCCACAAGGGTCACAGTTCAGTTCTTATTCTTGGACAGTTCAATTTTATTTTTTAGCAGTTCAGTTTCAAATTTCCATAGTTCAGTTCTCAATTTGACAGTTCAGTTTTACATTTTAACACAGTTCAGTTTCGAATTTCTTCAATTTTGAATTCTCTGAACAGTTCAGTTTTGAATTTCCCACACAGTTCAGTTTAAAAATCACTAAGCAGTTCAGTTTTAATTTTATCAACTGTTCAGTTTTAAATTTTATCTAACAGTTCAGTTTGAAATTTGCCTAACAAAACAATACCCGATTTGGGTCGATGAACGAAATACAAATCTTTTGCTCGCAAATATGGACGCCATAATAAAGGATGCTGTACGCGAGGAGCTTAGAAAACAGCAAGAAACTAAGAAAGGTGAAAGTAAAAGCTCGGAAAGTAAGGGAGAATTGCCAGTCGCAACTCAGAAAACAGAAAGGACGGTAAATCGCTTGAGCGGCCTACTCCATCGAATACGAAACCGCTCCGAAGGAGCGGCCAGCACAAGCAGGAAAAAGCCTAAAACAGATAAACAACATCGAATACAAATACGATGGATGCATTATGACGAAGATAAAGACAAATATATTCCTGTGCGAAACAAGCATGGTGGCGGAAACCGCTATATTAATTACATGGATTCACAACCGTTAACTTTACGGCAAATTCTGGACAAAGCTTGTGAATTGTTCTTTCCAAAAGGTAAAAGCCATTTTGGCTTACTTGAAGATATGTCCAAAGTAGTCACAAATTCTGCTGGTGAAGTTATTCATTCGTTTCCTAGCGGTGGTACGATTGCCGATTACCTACATGAAAATGGTTTGTATCCTTCCTTAACATATCTATACTTAAGAACAGTATTTATTCACCCAGAAGAGGATGAAGAGCAGAGCTTAACCCAAATGACAGATACTGGCTCTGCAATTGTAGAAGCCGTTGACAGTAGTGACACTTATCTGGATTTTGAGGGTGATGACCTTGGTGTAAGTGGTGCCTCACCCACCACTCAATACTTAGCTCCAAATCACCCATCACCATTAATAGGTTTTCCTCCATCCACTACAAATTTTCCTCCATCCACTACAAGTTTTCCTTCATCCACTACAAGTTTAGTCCCATCAACTACAAGTTTCCATTCATCTACCACAATTTTTCCCCCATCGACTACAAGTTCCCCTCCACCAGATTCATTGTTCAATAGTCCACAGTACAGAATAGTGTGTTCCAAATGCTATTGTACTAATCTTCCTGGTGAAGATTGTCTTCGATGCAAACAGGATGAGGAATATAATGCTTCATTAAAGCTTGATGAACAGAAACATATGGGAAATTCAACAGATGCCGATGAGCCCACTGAGAGTACAGCTATTTATCCCAACCTCGATGAAATAAGGACACATCGGATTGCTTACCTTTCAAGAAGTGTTTCCTTCGATGGTAATAATGAGACTCAACCCAATCTAGACACTCCATTTGATGACTCTTCACCTTCTGCGATTGGTGAAACCTTACAATCAGTCATTAATTCCTGCAGTAGCCCTCCTGATAATGAAAATTTTCCTGGTGATATAGAGACTTTAATAGCCAACCAACACGAATCACAAAATGAACAGGAATTTCATACTGCTCATCCACCGTCCAGTCCAAAGGAAGTTCAAGTTGTTAAAGTGCACCGTTCCCGTATATGCAAGGATATGGTAAGCTACTTCCAAGATGAGAGCATCCTAACAAGTTCCATAGTTTTTGAAATTATTGATGATCGTGGAATTCCCGAAAAAGGTGCTGGAGTTGGTGTGGCTCGTGACGTGTTTTCACTTTTTTGGAAATCGTTCGGAGATTCGATGACTATTGGAGAAAGAGAAAGAGTGCCCTTTGTACGTCACGACCACTTTGTGAGTGAATGGCAAGCTATTGGTAGAATTCTTGTTTTAGGTTACAAGATGGTATCTTATTTTCCTCTGATTTTATCAAAGGCATTTATGGGATATTGCCTATTTGGCGATTCAGTTCCCGATTCAGCTGTGATAAGTTCTTTTAAGAAGTATCTTTCAGTTGATGAACAAGAGTTGATTAGAAATGCCTTAATAAGCAGGAATATGATAGTGAAGATCTTGAGGACTTTTTGGAGCGATTTAACTGCAGAACACTGATAAATGAAAACAATTGTCTGAAAGTGATCACTGAAATTGCCAAACAAGAGCTTATCCAGAAACCTCATATCATGTTGTCTACATGGCAGCTCATTCTTTCTGAACTCAAGGCATATGCACCATTTCAGTCTTTTGATAAGTTGGAGGCCCTCTACGAATCTGTAAAGCCAACAAATAAGAAAGTTCTTCAACTTTTGCAAGCCCAACCAAATACCGAGGGAGAACGAGATGCTCTGAAGTTCCTACAGCGTTATATTAGAGGCTTAGATGCATGCAACCTTGGTCATTTTCTTCGTTTTACCACAGGTGCTGATATTTTAATTGTGGAACATTTAACTGTTTCATTTGTAAAATTTGATGGGGTATATAAATCTCCTATAGCACACACATGTGGACCTGTGTTAGAGCTGCCTTCCACATTCCAAGATTTTTGTGAATTACGAAACACGTTCAACAATATATTATCCAAACCTGACTGGGAACTTGACATTGTTTAGGTTTTGAACTTATGTGTGACGCATTAACTGTAATCTATGAAGTGATTAGTCTATAGATACATTGTACTTTTCAGTTGCCATTCATATTAATTGACTGCATAGTTTTAGTTGGGTAAAAAACTAACCGCCCCGCGCTTTATATTGTTAAGGTTTTTTGTTTTTAAAAGTGTATGTAAGATCACAGTTGAATTTCTTTTAACTGTAGTGAAATATAAGTGAGTAAGGCCTGGAGCTGTGTGTTATGCGAATAAAATATGACATAACTTCTTTTAAGTGCTTAAAAAACTCCTACTCTCTGCATGCGCTTTTAAGTAAGGTTATATTAGTAATACAAATAATAACACTTTGTAGTATATTGTTGTATAGTTTCATATTGGTGTTTCAGTTGAATTTATTAAACTAATTAATCGTCTCAATTTCTTGTAGCAAAGTAAGATAAAGATGAAATGCTTCTTTCGCATTAGTTGGTTTTGTCAGGCCAAGCTCTGTCATTACGAACGAGGCAAACTCTCCAAATTCATCAGAGAAATCTTTGACAGACATTGAATAATCATAGAATTCATTCACTTCGTCCCGGTCAATTTCCTGTTTACAATCCCCTGTGTCGAAAAGATGCGGCAAAAAAAACATCACGTCAGGCCTCCCTCTGGGTCCAGTGTTATTTCCAAATTTGCTTGGGGCAATAATATGTTGGTTCCACATTTCTGCAACTTTGTGTAATTCATTTCTTAGTATATCCATAAAACAAAACCTTATCAAATCCATTTGTACAGGATCCGAATCATTAAACAAATCAAAATCTCGTAAATCCTTGAAAAAATTTATCCACCATCCAGGCCCATCCCGAATAAGATGAGACCAATAGGCTTCTATTCGTTGATTTGACGTAGAAGTACCAATTGAAAAACTGGCAAGACCAGCATGCTCATCGTGATGCTGAGATCGCAGAAATATTTGCAAAGCCTCGACGATGCTGTTCTCAGTGCCATCGTCAGAGCGCATTCTTTGTGGTACACCTCCAATTTGCAATACGGCATCAAGGTAATATTTACCAATGACCTGAGGATTTTTATTAGTCGGACCCACTTCGAGCCAGATCAACCTTCTGGAAAAACCATCAATGCACCCATGTATATTAAACCCGAAAGGTTTCAACTTATCATGGCCGTCTATGTGCCATATATGATTGGGTCCCCGAGATGAATAAGCTCTTCTTCGAAGCCTTTTCTTTGCTCTACTTTGCACTCCTTGAGGATCTAGTTTTACCAAACATTTTCGAATAACGTCCCTTCGAACAGTAATACCATACTTAGTTGATATATGTTTCCACATTTTGCGATATCCAACATTGCATTTACTGCCAGCTAATTCAATCTCCACAATACACTCGATTTCCTCTTGTGTCAATTGTTCTTCGGCTGGAACACGTCTTCGAAGTCCTAGGATTCTTAATCTTCTTTTAAGTGTCGATAAGCTGAATTCTATTCCATGAAGCTTAAGAAATTCTAGAATTTCATGGTTGGTGAACCCTTGTTGAAAATAACTTGTTATTAGCTCAGTTTCATCTCGTCCATGCCTTCGGTCAACGTTCATGCATGGAATGTAGTCATTTAGAGGCATAATAAAGGTATAAAATACTGATTTAAAGTAGGGACAAATAGCACACTATCAGATCAAAATAATCAACTCATTTAACAACGAACTTTTCGGTAAAATACGAAACTGCGTATGTCTGTGTAAAAATTGTTTGGCACTGAAAGTTAAACTGAACTGTTAATAAAATTTGAAACTAAACTGTTTGTTAAAATTTACTAAACTGTTTGGTAAAAATTAAAACTGAACTGTCAAAATATAAACAGAACTGTGTGTTTGTGAAGCAAAACTGAACTGTGTTAAAATGTAAAACTGAACTGTCAAATTGAGAACTGAACTATGGAAATTTAAACTGAACTGCTAAAAAATAAAACTGAACTGTCTAAGAATAAGAACTGAACTGTGACCCTTGTGGGCCATCGTACCCCCTGCCATGTTTGGGTAATTAAATTGACATGTTTTTGAAGTCTAAACGAACTTGGCATAATATCTAGTGTAAACAAATATGGATCCGTACTCTGTAAAAAAAGTAAATCTATATGGTCGCAGTTACTGTCCTGGTAAACCCATTGGCGAAGAATTTGCATCTTTTATCATC